GACCGGACAGCCGGAGGAAGGCCAGGAGACAAACACGGCGGAAGGTTGCTGTGGTCTCCTGTGGACGGAGGCCGACAACTCGCGATCGAGGCTTGAGTCACCTCTCGCGAAGGCGCATCAATCGAGAATTCCTGCAAGAGTCACGCTAAGGGGGACGATTCGGTTCCCGAAGAACACCGAGGTCACATTGCATTTGAGGCTAAGCATCTGGAGGGACTCCCAGAACATGGACCGTTCGACCGTGGAATGGATTTGAAAGAAGGAGGCCAACTGAAAATTTTCAAGGTGTACCACGCGAGCGAAAGGGAGAACGAGGCACTCAAAAAGCACCTTGAGGAGAACCTGAAGCGCGGACACATTCGATCTTCTACCTCTCCGACCGGATACCCTGTGCTATTCGTCCCTGAGAAAATTGGAGAGCGGAAAACCGCGTTCAGGACGCCCTACGGACACTACGACTGCCTTGTTATGCCCTTCGGACTGACCAACGCACCCGCCACCTCTTAAGCCAAGGCCGACCATACCATTTGCCCGTTTCTGAACAAGTTTGCGGTGTGCTACCTCGACGACATCCTCATCTATTCTAAGAACCACGAGGAGCACCAACAGCATGTCAAGGCCGTGCTCGACGCATTGCATAAAGGAGAACTCTCGGTCAATCAAGAGAAGAGCGAGTTCCATGTGACAAGGACTGTTTTCTTGGATTACGAAATTTCCCCAGGAGAGTTGCGTATGAAACCCGGAAAGGTCAACACCATCAGGGACTAGCCTACGCCAACTACCGTTAAAGAAGTTCGGGCCTTCATAGGCTTTGTTAATTTCTACCGCATGTTGATTCGGAACTTTGGACAAATTGCCAAGCCACTACACGAGCTCACCAAGACGTGGTTTTCTACTGGGGACCAGAGCAGGAGAATGCCTTCCAGCGCCTCAACGAAGCCATTTTCAGCGACCCATCCTTAAGCTCTCAGACCCAACGAGACCCTTCGAGATTGAGACTGACGCGTCTGACTTTGCTATAGGGGGACAGTTAGGTCACGAGACGACAGCGGGAAGCTTTACCCCGTGACATTTTTCTCCAAGAAACTCAACAATACACAGATGAATTTACCAATCCACGACAAAGAGCTCCTCGCCATCGTTGAAGCTTTTCAAAAATGGCGACCTTATCTCAGTGGCACTACTTACGAAGTTCGGGTGTATACTGACCACAAGAATTTGCGGTACTTCACGACCACCAAAGCCCTTGACGAACGACAGATTCGATGAGCTGAGTTTCTCTCTCGATTTAACTTCCGAATCAGCTCCTGGAAGGGGACCGAGAATGCCAGGGCCGATGCCCTAAGCCGAAGACCGGACCACGAGCAATAGCGAGGAGGGGCATCGCCATCTCTATTGCAAGAACAGTCCGATGGGATTCTGGCACATCCGCTACAAACAGTCGAAGAGTGTTGTGCAGCGTGCCGGGAAGAAGACAAGGCTTCGCCGACTACACCATCCGACCCAGAGAAGAGGAACGAAGCAAATGGAAAGGGGAAAGCTCGAAGGACTAGAAGGACTAGATGCTGGAGTATATTGAAAGAATGGCCAAGTATGGCATCACGGCAAACCCTACGTCTGCGTCGATCACCAACGCCAAGTCATCCACGAAATCCGTGAATCTGCACTTGGGAGTCACGTAGGGGTCACTAAAACCATCGCTAAGGTTCGACAGTACTTCAGCTTCCCACATCTGCCCGAACAAGTACGCCATGTGGTGAACGAATGAGACTTGTGCCACAAGAGCAAGGCGGCACGGCACAAACCATACGGGCACTTGCAACCATTAAAAGTCTTTAAACGACCTTGGGGTGCTGTAGCGCTCAATTTCATCACGAATTACCAAATTCTAGGGACAGCGCAACCGGCAGCGAATGCGGCAGTATTCTGGTCGTCGTGAACCGGTCTATCAAATGGGCTCGGTTCATACCGACACGAGAAAATTGGTCAGCAGAGCGACTCGCAGATGTAGTACTACGATACGTCACAAGCGACCACGGCTGGCCGAAGGAATGGATCTCTGACAGGAACCCGAATTTTGCCTCTAACTTCTGGAAAGTCCTAATGAAGCAACTAGGTGCGAAAAGCAAATTGTCCACGGCATACCACCCATAAACGGACGGGCAGACCTGCTGCCCGTGGCGCAACTAGCCCACAGCACCACGCCCGCCGACACGACTAAACTTATCCTTTCTTTGCAGTTTCGGATACAAGGCAGACCTATGATTGGGACCAGAGGTTGCCGTACCAAAGCAAAATGAACAGCCGACCAACTACGCTCGCTGCATGAATCTATGATAATTGATCTTGAATTTGTCAGACAGGGAATGATGAAATACTACGACCAGCGACACCTTGAAGGACCTTGCCTACAGAAAGAGAACAAAGTCTACCTTGTTGCCCGGAATCTGAGAACAGACCAAGCGCCAAACTCGACTTCAAGAAACTCGGACCGGTTTTATCGAAGAGAAAATATCCGACGCAAACAACCGACTGCCATTGCCGCCCACGATGTTACTTCGCACTAACGTGTTTCATAATTCTCTTCTTGAACAGGCACCATCAACTGTTCGGCTGGCGGAGGACGAGGAAGCCGAAGACGAAGAAAAGTGGGATGTGGAAGAGATTCTAGACTTTCGGGTCCGCGATGGACAATTAGAATACCTTATTAAATGGTTGGATTTCGGACCAGAGAGCAATTCCCGGGAGCCCGTTGGAATCTTCAACTGCCCTGAAAAAACGGTGGAGTTCCACCGCCGTCACCGGGAGCGACGTGGGTTTGAGTAGTTGAGATGGCTCCAAGCTCGACAGCGTTGAAGGAAAAGTTCGCCAAGCTAAAATCTTGAAGCATATCTTGAGAAGCGGGTTGCTATTCCCCATGACGGGCCTCTTCCTCCCTCTCCTCCTCCTGGCGCTCCGCCTACTCCATCTCCTTCAGAACATCTGAATGCCATTAGCGATATCAAGTATTTTTAATTAAGTCCCGATCAACAGAATGTATCAAGCGGTAAAGTAACAAGGGGTTCTGACGAAAGGTTGTCAGAGCTAAGTGTCATGACCAACAAGGCTCTACCTGGAAAAGTTGATTCCGTGCAACCAACTGATCGGAGGAGAAGGGAGTTGACCCATCAAACCCAGATACCCGCCCCCAAAGACCCCACGCATTGAGGAGTAGTTATTCAACGTCAAGAGGGATTGATCTCAACACCTAAGGATGTTGACCCTCAACAGGTGCCATTGAGAAGGAAGGCACAAGGGAAGCCACAAGGGAGTATGAGATGTATAAAGATTCCAGGCAGGGCCATCTGGCCAAAGAAGCTCCCCAGTCAGCAATACAAAGAGTTGTCTGTTCAACTGGTGATCACAGGAATCATTCTGACTCCGTGAGAACTCCTGTCTCTCAAGTCCAGCGGTCCGGCACCTCTCGAACCAATCAAAAGGTCTGTCTGGATCATCATACTAAGATTCAACGAAAGATCGTCAGAACTCAAGCGTCAGTAGTGAAAGATCTTCAAAGCTGAGAATCTCCGACGGAAAACTGAACGCTCCTTGGTAGATGAGACAAGGAAGGATTCTGTGTATATGAGGTAGATAGATTCCTCGCAGCAGGAAGGGGGACGAAATGAATTCCCCAATCAGCAATACAAATAGTTGCCTAAACCAACTGATGACCGTAGTGCTCCTGAATCTATGTGAGAACTCCTAAGATGGGTTCGAGGGTAGTGGTCGGGTTGTAGAAATTGATGGACTGGGGTCCTCACACAGCAGCGTACGTAATTCACTGCGGCGACTGGTTGTTGGTTTACAACTGTTTCTATTGCTGACTGAGGAACCCCCCCTAATGAGTGGCCAGCTAGGTCCTATATACATGAGGGTCTCCTCCAGTATCATTCTTGCCATTGTGACAATCTAGACAGGCCTCTTGAGATGGGTTCAAGAGGTACCAGGCCGCTGGACCTGAGAGACAGGGGTTTTCACACAGTTGGACTGATAGCTGGCGGTCACCAGTTGAGTAGACAACTGTTTGTATTGCTGACTGCAGAACTTCTCCAGCCAGATGGCCCTACCTGGAATTTATTCACGTCTTATATGCCTTTGTGGCTTCCTGTGTTCCCTTCTACCTACGAGGAGTCCATCTACCTTGTATACTCAAGCCTTTCTTTATTCCTTGGTGTCTTTTGGTCCCTCATCAGCAATTCTTGGCCTGACAACCCTCCTCGGGCCCACGTGAGCTGCTTTTTTATTGATCCTTTGCTCCCGGCTCCGCTCTTCTTGCGTGATGCCCTTGTTGATTGTGACACTCATTGCCATCATCATTATCCCTAGGTTGGGACATTTCAAAGTGAAGATTTCCTTTACTGTGACGATTCAGCCAGCCTTCCTGAGATGGGTTTGGGCTTGGTCCAAGGCTTATGGATCTGAGAGACAAGAGTTCTCGCACAGGTTCAGAGGCACTGAGGTCACCAAGTCGTCTGGGCAACTGTTTGTATTTTTGACTGAAGAATTCTTCGTCCTCCTCTTCCTACGAGAAATATATCTACCTTATATACTCAATCTTTATTTCTTAAGGGTTTTTTGGTCCCTTGCCAGTATCTCTTGGTCTGACAATCTTTCCATCCGTGATTATTGGTCGTAATATGATGCCCCCTCTCGAGGTCTTTCGTCCCCGAAGGATATTTCCCATCGATCTTGTCTACTTCCTTGCTCCATCATTCTCTCTCGTAAGTCCCGTCTGTTCGCCATAATGCCTAAACGAAAATGTACTGCACAGTATCGCTCGTATTTGTCGCAGTTTATTAACTAGGCAGGTCTTGTGATAATGCCTTGTTACAACTGCTACTCTCGCGGGCTGGAGTGTCGTATGGTGCCCGAACGTCCCCGTTGCAGCAATTGTGTGTGTGCAGGTTATTTGTGCGATGGTAACATCTCAATACCGGTGACTTCCGGTCCTCATTCGTTTGTTGATTAACTTGCTTCTCAGTGAAGAGGTACTGGAAGAACAATGGCACTAAGATCAGGAGGAGGAGGATGCAAAAGCAAGAGGCCAGGGAACTGGAGACGAGTTTGTCCAAGCAGTTGCCAAGAGTTCAACGTGTTTGGAAACAAAAGCAGTTTTTGAAGGATAAGGACGTTCATTTGGCGGTACAAGGTCTTGCATCGTTAGAAGAAATGGAGAAAGAAAAGCACATGGAACAAGAGCAAACTCAACTTTCCCAGTCCCAAGTGTCAGAAGTTGTAGCGCAGCCCACGGCTGCGGCTAGGGAGGAGACACCATCCTTTAGTCTGCTCTTGCCGTTGGGAGCAGTTCTAGGGAACACCGGCGATCCGACAAGACTGTTCGATTATTTCTGAGCTCAAGACATACTGGTCTATTGTGGGCTAGGACAATTGGGGTTCTGGCGGTGAATATCCCGTAGTTTTGCAGAGCAATTGAGATATTGCACAGGATTCCATGAGTTGCTTTCAGGTCCGAAATCTAACCATCTGATCAGGTATTCTAGTTGTCCATTCCGGATCCTGGAATATCTTCTCCATATCTCATTCTTCGTCGTCCCCGGCTTCCTCGTTGTCCGCAATATACACAGACCCAGGTGCTGGTTTGGGAGGAGAAACATAAAGATTTTGTGCGTAAGCGCATGGTTGGTGTTTACGAAAGTCGGCAATTGGTATTTGAGAGCTTGTCGGATTTAAAGATCCTAATTTCTTGAAGTCAAGTTTCACACTTGGGCATTTGGATCATAGGCTCTGTGCAACGAGATAAACTTTACCCCCTCTTCTCGGCGAGGTCTCTCGAGCTTGTGTTGATCATAGTATTTTTTCAGCCGCTGCCGATCAAATTTAGGTTCCTGTTTCATGGCTTCTGTAGTGGATGTAACTGGTCAGCTGTAATCATCGCTTTGGGCACTGAGACTTCTGGTCCTTGTCGCAGGTCTGCCTTGTATCCAAAATTCGCAAAGAACGGTGTCAGTTTCGTTAGTCTCTGTCTGTGTCGTGTCGTATGCCAGCTGGGCGACTGGTAGCAAGTCAGCCCAGTCGTCCTGTTCAGAGTTGACAAACTTGCGAAAATTATTGTTCAAGGACCTGGTTGAGTCGTTCTGTTTGTCCGCCGGTCTGAGGATAGTATGCCGTGGAGAGTTTGCTTTGGCAACCCGATCTTTTCATGAGTGCTTGCAAGGAGTTGGAAGCGAACTTGGGGTCTCTATCGGAAATCCATTCCTTAGGCCAGCCGTGGCAGCTCGCAACGTGCCTTAGCGCCACAGACGCGATGCGGTCGGCGGACCAAGTCTCTTTGACAGGTAAGAAAGTAGGTCCATTTTGCCAGTCGGTCCCCCACAGTCAGGATGCTGTCGTACCTGGCTTCCATAACACTCTTTTTGGATTTTGTTAGTTTGATGATGAAGTCGAGTGTCACCGAGCCTTAAGGTTTTTCTGGAACTTCCAGAGGTTGGAGGTGACCAAAAGGCTTGTGTCGTACGGGTATGCTTCGATGACATAGATCATATTCCTTCACAAATTTTGCAATTCTTGCCCTCATCCCTGGGAAGCTGAAGTAGTGCTTGATATTTCGACAGTGTTTTGGCAATGCCGGGATGTCCGCCCATTTCTGAGTCATGAATTTTGCGTACCACGTGTTCTTGTTGGTCTCGGCTGACATAGATCCTGTCGTTGTGCCAGAGTCTTCTTCCAAATATATTCCTTCTTTTAACCCGTCTACGTGTGGTAGTTCTCCTGCTCCCCACTTGACTCGTTCTTCCATGTTGAGTCGCACCGAGTCTTATATCCTTGCCGTTCTTTCCTGAAGATCGCACAGCAATTTTCAACCGGTTAAAGTAGGTGTCGTAATGTTTCATCGTCCTGTTGTTGAAGCAGCGGCGGCGATGCTTCAATTCCATATTTCTATTGATCCGGCCGGCGGCTTCGAGCACCAGCTCTCGTATTCTCCGTTCCTTTCCGGTAATTGATGCGGAAATTGAACTGTGAAAGAAACTCGGCTTATCGTGTTTGCCTTTTGTTGAGAGCCTTAGTCGTGGTGAAATATAGCAGATTTTTGTGATCGATGTAAACTTGGACCTCGTAGGTGGTACCACTGAAGTATGGTCGCCATTCTTGAAACGCTTCAACAATTGCCAACAACTCCTTATCCTGAATGGAGTAGTTGAGCTGCTGGTTGCTGAGTTTCTTGGAGAAGAAAGCTATCGGGTGAAGTTTGCCACTGTCGTCACGCTGTCCTAGCTGCCCTCAGATAGCAAAGTTAGTCTCTTCAGTCTCGACATCGAAGACTCACGTAGGGTCGGGTAGTCGGAGGATTGGTTCAGCGATGATGGCTTCCTTCAAGCGTTGGGAAGCTGCTTCATGTCCGGATGTTCATCGAAAGTTAACATCCTTTTTGGTCAGGTCGTGCAATGGTCTGGCAATCTTGCCAAAGTCCTTGATGAACATGCGGTAGAAGTTGCCAAATCCGACGAAGGCTCGCACGTCCTTGACGGTCGTGAGTATGGGCCAGTTTTTGATAGCCTCGATTTTGCTAGGTTCTATGCGCAATTCGCCGGGAGAGATCTCGTAGCCTAGGAACACGTTCTTTGTCACATGGAACTCGCTCTTCTTCTTGTTGACTAACAATCCTTCCCTGTGCAGGGCATTGAGTACTGCCTTGATGTATTATCGGTGCTTCTCAAGGTTCCGCGAATAGATGAGAATGCCGTCAAGATAACAGACTGCAGAATTGTCGAGGAAAGCTTGTGTCGTGTGATTAACTTAAGCTTGAAAAGTTGCGGATGCGTTTGTGAGCCCGAAAGGCATGACCAGGTATTTATAGTGGCTGTAAGGTGTGCTGAAGGCCGTTTTCCATTCATCCTCAGCTCACCATTCTTCCTAGGTACGAGCAGCACTGGGTACCCTGCCGGTGAAGTCAATGGTCGGATGTGTTCGCGTCGGAGATTCTCTTCCAGGCATTTAGGCGCCTTATTTTCTCGTTCATTGGTGTGATAAACTTGAAAAGCTTCAGTTGTTGCGCCCTCTTTCAGTTTGATCTCATGAATGGTCCATGCTCAGGCAATCCCTCCATATGCTTGGCTTTGAACGCAGGGTCTCTTCAATATTTCTCTGGATATCATTGCCTCGCTTCTCTGCTGGTTCCGGGGGTCACTGAATCACTGCTGCCTCGCGTGAGGTGACCCAACCCTCGACAGCGAGATTTTGGCTCTCGTCGACGGAAACGACAGCTGCCTGCGCGCTGCCTCTTCGGGCCTTCCTGCTGATTCTCATTCCTGCCATCTTCACCAGATGGCTGCCGCCTCTTCCTGGACTCATCGCGTCGTCGACACTGTCTGATCAATGCGGTGGTTCCGCGGACGGTTTCGTGTCCCCGACACTCCCACCTTGTGAACCATTGCTTGTGTGCTCCATCGGACTGCTTGGATACGACCAAACCCGTGGTCGTAGGTGGCCGCCTGCCCCAGTCGATATCTGGGTCGTAAATCCGGTATCATGGTATTCCAAGATCACATCATTTTGTCCTTTCATGTCGGTGATGTCGAAAATTGCTTGGGTCGTTTTTCCCGCCACTGTGGTGTCAATAGGCGGTTTCGTATTGCACATATTGAGTGCGAAAAGGTCCCTTGCCGGTACAGCGTCTCTCTTCTTCTTGCGCCATGGTATTTGGCACCGGTTGACGTAGCTCCAGTCAATGATATCCATCTGTGGGACTAAATATAACTTTAATCCATTAAGTATTACAATTGGCATAGAACTGTGCAGAATACCACATATTTCTGAACGGGGCGCTTAGAATGTTAGAGGTAGATAACAGAGTTATCGTTCCTGAACGCTCCACTGTCCACCAATGCCAAAGCCTCATGTTCTTCCCATTGCGCGGCCACCCATAATCAGTTATCCTTCGCTCTTCTGATCACTGCAGTACCATGGGGCGTGTGGGTAGTCTTAACCGCTTCAATGGTCTCTCGCTGCCTCAGCGCTTGTAACAGAGGCCGCCCATGGGCCTCTAAAACCCGTTTCCCGGGCTGTGCAGTTTGGTGGGAGTGAAGGAGAGGGTATGGGTACCATTCGACTCAGCGCCCTCTCAGTGGTCCCGCTGCTGGCCGGTTCGGCTCGTGCTCCGTCCTTGCCCCACATATGCGTTTTACTTCCAATACCGTTCCCCAGAACATCGGTTTGCCACGATTTGACATGGTACTGGTATGCTTTCCTGGGGTCGTGAAATCCTCGGGGCCTTTGTTCCATCTTGCAATCCTCGTTCGAGTTCCCTGTGATGTCGTTGCTTACTGGCAACTCCAGATCCAGCGTCGACCTCCGTTTCGGTCAGCAAAAAATGGAGGAGCCGATCAGTTTCATCGGAAAGCCACTCCGTCATGCTTGTCTCCCTCGTATCCTTCTCGGCCGCGGCGCTCTCATTGCGAGGTGCAGGTTTCCGGGATTTGTACGGTGGCTTGCAATTCTTCTTTACACGGCCTTTCTGACCGCAATCATAATAAGTAATCTCGTTCTGGCCGGTCTTTTGGGCAGCGTCGACGTCCATATGTCCTGCGTGGGTACCGTAAGCCGTTGACTTTGGGAGCTTCTGCCATATTTTCCTGTCATTGAATCTGTTCTGCAGCTTGGGAAGTGAGCGAGAATTTTGTTGTTTCTGCTGGAGGCGTTTATGCAGACGATTGACGATCCCTACAGCCATAGTGATAAGCTTGTCCAAATCGTCCGGCTATTCCATCTTATACAACTTCGTCCTCAACATCCTCATTAAGTCCGTTGTAGAACAGTTGTATAAGACGCTCGTTGTTAATGCTAGAACAAAGTGCGCCTTGTCGGAACTGAGCTGCATAGGCGGCAGCTGACTTGGTTTGGCGCAGGCGGGCAAGCCGCTCCTGGGCATGCCGCTGCGAGTCCGGATCCCCAAAAACCTTCTCCAGTCCTTCGGCGAACTTTGCGAAGTCCGAGAACATCTACATGTGCTTCGTTCGATCCTCGGCCTCGTGGTCCAGATCGTCTTGCAGTGTGGGCTCAACCAGTGAAGGGCCCAGCCCTCAAGACGAGACACTGTGCAAATCGCACTTTGGCGTCTTCATCCGGGAAGCGCTCTGGGTAGGCTTAGAAGTAGGTACGCAGCTGCAAAAGGAATCCATTGAGCTGTTCCCGGTTACCCTTGAATTAGGAGGAGGCTCCGGCTTGGCCTTCTCATCGCGTCCGAGGTTGAATTGCAGGCGCGCATCCTCAAGTTGCATTTGGGTGAGCGCCTGCTGCACCTTCGTGAGCTTGTCCTGCAGATCTGCGAGCTGCTGCTCTGGGGTTTTGGGAGTGTTCATGGAAGCGCTTGGGTACTGGCCATGATGTCTGCGGGCGTATTGAGCGCCTGACCCTAGGCTGTGCCTTCGGTCTGAACCGATCTCAGAACCAAAGGGAGTCAGCAACGTGTGACGATCCAGCTAGCCTTTCGGAGATGGGTTCGGGCTTGGTCCAAGGCTTATGGATCTGGCAGGCTAGAGTTCTCATACAGCTTCAGAAGCACTGCGGTCATTAGTTGGTCTGGACAACTGTTCGTATTGCTGACTAAGGGACTTTTCGTGACCCTCTACGTACGAGGAATCTATCTACCTTATATACTCGAGCCATTCTTAATTCCTTGGAGGGTCTTTTGGTCCCTCGTCAGCGATTCTTGGCTGACGGCCTCTCTCGGGTCCACGTAAGCCGCGTTTTTATTGGTCATTGTGCCCGGCTCCGCCCCTCCCGCGTGATGCCCTTGTTGATCGTGACATTGTATATAAGCCAACACTGACTCCAGAACCTGATTTGAGTGATAATGCAACATCTATTTTTTTAATACATGCGAGTCTGTCAAAACTGCTCTATATTGGAGTTTCCCCTCTATCATAATCAACTCTGTCACTATTCATGCCGCTCCTTTTTTAAGCGCTGAACTGGAATCATGTGTTGTGTTGGCCCCTGCAGAAGTTGCCAAGCAGAATGCATGAGTGCTTCGGCAACTGACAACAGCAGTTTTGCTCGATCGTCATCCCTCCACTGTCTATATTCTACTTGGAAAGAAACGCAGTTTAGCCTTGATAATGTGGAATGGATATGCACTTTTAGCTGCCAGATATCTGCCACACATTACTACCCATGTCCCACTATTTGAGTCGTCTTGCTCTGCAGGCCGTGGACAAATCAAGGTTCTCGGCTAGTTTTGGCAGCAAAAAGCCCTCCGGTTATGCTACTATGTCATGGTATTAACCAGATGCTCTGATGTTTGATGCTGCCCAGTCAACGATGTGGAACTGAAAAGCAAGCATCATAAGTCATCTCAATATCTGTGCTGTTCACCTTTGGCAGTAGAACTTCTTCGCCGCATAAATAATTCTGGAACAAGTGGGGTGTCCATTCCATCGACAACCCTGAGGCACTGAGCGAGTTTGTAATGTGCTGGGGAGGAACCAAATCTATAACTGCCGAATCCCTCCACATTACTGCCTCATCTGCTGTGGAGCTATTTTCGATTCCCGGACAGTCTTGCAACATCTGCTTCCCCACGAGGCTGAAACCGGATTCCTTGTACCTGGCGGCAACTGGCAGAGAAAGGGGTGAGCGATGCATGTCTCCTCAGATGCCCGTTAACGGGTGTCTGCTGAGTCAGTTGAGACCAGGCTGTGCTTAGCTGGTCAGATGGAAGTTAGATACGTATCTAAGATCCAGGGGTGATCAGAAATCCCTTCGATGGCACCACTGCCGAAGCCGATGGCGCGATCCGCATCATTGTGCGAGATCCCCCCCTATACCTATTGGGATGTTACGGGCCAATGCCAGTTGTGCAGCGATCGTTGTGTTCCAGAACTGTTCAGTTAGAGCTTAGAATCGTTGGCTGGGGTATTTCATCCTTTGATCCATCATGTATATAAGCCCAGTTCAACCCACATTCAGGAAAGTTTCCCCTGCTCGATGCAGAGTATTCCATGAAAAGAGACCACGACGAATCTTCACAATATCGCTTAGTCAACTTCTGGTAGCCGCGCCTGCTAGTTGACCAGACATTCATAACATTCAACATCCACCAAAAACTTAAGGGAGTCAACGTGTCTACAGTTCTCAGTTCAGCAGCAGTCCTAGAGTCTCAAACGCCGCCAACTATGGGAAACCTCAGTGTCCAAACTTCAAGCCTCAGGCAGCAATTAGCGCCGGGAAGACATCTCGTTGTCTCTTTGTACCAGGATGAAGAACATCTTCTTGATCTTGAAAGCGTTGGGGTTGAGCAACAACTGATGGCCATCGCTCTAACAAAATTGAAGTGCCTTCGGGATGATTACGCGACGTCACCGTACCTCGAGACGTTCAACTGGGACGAGGTGATCGACACTCTCCGAGAGCTCACAAAGGAGAGCAACCACGTCTGGAAAGAAACCTCTTTTTATATTGTGGCATTCAGGTCTCAGATACCTCCAACAACAGCCTATGAAGAGCTTAGTGCGCTGGACAAAGCCGCTCACGCCGAGGCAATAGCAAGTGGAGGGTTCCTCAAGTAAGTTGGCTTCATCATGGCATTGATCAGGCGGACCTGAGGCTAACAGTGATTGTTGCAGATATTGGTTCGGGTTACCGGATGCTGAAGGACGAAATTTGGCGACTTGTATCTGGAGATCGCATGAGGACGCTCGGAAGGGAGGAACAGGGCCTGCTCACCGCAAGGCAGCTGGTGCTGCGCGGTCATTCTACGCCTCTTGGAAAATCGATCGTCACAGGCTGACAGTGATGGATAATATCAAAAATTGGCAAATCACTGATTGGAAGGACTGACTGAAATACGATGAATGTCGTAAAGTCATAATGGGGGAGCCTTTCGGCCTTTTTTCTTCTCTTGGTTGCTGTCTTCTCTGCGATATTAGCGTTGGTTTCAATGATAGTTAAGCCTGTGATATCCAAAGAACGATTGGAGTAAAAGATAATAGACGTAATACTTTCAGATCGCAAGCGGGGGTGTTTGTGAAAAACTGGTTAAGATTGGAGCATGTTGAACCTGCGACAACCCCAATATAGCAGTTTCAACCAAGATCCTATATCACCGTGGCGAGGTGAGGTTGCGTTAAGACTTTTGGGGCGGTACAGGTTCAGATCTTCAACGTGGGAGTATGCAAGATGCCACCGTTGACAACTGGATCATTGGTGGCATTTGGGCGTGTGCCCTGTAATGTCGGTGTCTAAGTTACTTTCGTGTAAGAACTTTCCCGCTTGATGTTAGATAGCATAACCTGGGGGGCTTCTTGGGGGTTAGGTTTCTACGTTTAGGTTGATACCTTCATCACACCTATTCCAGGTTGCCATCGTAACTGCGGTCTGTGCAATCCTGGCCCCATCCTTATTCTTAAGTATAGAGATAAAGTCTGAAGAAGGGTTCTCTCAAGAATTCCGGCTGAGGTCCTTGTTATCGCTCTGTACTTGCGAACAGCGCCTTGCTGATTCGACTTGCAGATTCCAGCCAGTGTTGGTTTGCGGCTGAAGGACACCAAGGAGACCGCTGCGCCACAACTACCCCACATGCTTTTTTTTCTGCCAGTGGTCTCCGCTTGTTTGTTTCCTTTCAAGCCACCCTGTAGAAGTTGTGCCCACAAACCAGAGAGATTTCTGAAACCCTCCAAAAGCTGAACTTGGCGACACCAACACCAACAGAAGATCCCAAGGCCTATTCTCGGACACCAGACTCCACCATTATCAAGCACACGGCTTCAGACACCATGGTGGAATCCCAGAAAGACGCGCCGTTCAAGACGGTGCAGGTTGAAGCGCTTGTACGTGGGTTCGACTTTTTTTTTGGAAGTTCAGTGCCCTGCTAGAGCGAACCTTCGCTGACACATGGGCAGGTTGTGATGAAGATTGTCAAGCACTGTTCCTCAGCGTTTCCAACCATCGCTACAGGGTCCATTGTGGGCATGGACAATAATGGAGTGCTTGAGATTACCAATGCCTTTCCCTTCCCGATGATCGATGTGTCGAGTTCCGACAGCCACCAGGATGCCTCGAGCCTTGCCGCAGCGGCCCCTCGTGCGAAGGCAAACATCGCGTATCAAAATGAGATGATTAGGCACCTCAAGGAGGTCAATGTGGATGCCAACAATGTTGGCTGGTACACCAGTGCCACCATGGGAAACTTTATCAACCTGAACTTTATTGAGAACCAGTATCATTACCAGCGTGATAACGACAAGACCGTGGCACTCGTCCATGACGTGAGTCGGAGCTCCCAAGGCACTCTTAGTCTGCGTGCTTTCAGGCTCTCGCCTGAGTTTATGGCTGCCTATAAGGAGGGCAAGTTCACAACTGACAGGTTAGTCGGCAACGGTTCCTTTGCAACTTGTCTCTTGTCAAGCAGGATGGAGCTGACAAGGAACATACATAGTTTGCAAAAGTCCAAGCTGTCTTTCAGGGATATTCTCATTGAGGTTCCGGTAATTGTCCACAACTCCCACCTGCTCACCTCTTTCTTGCATCAAATCCCTGCCCCGCCAGAGTCAGCAGAGATTCCACTTCCGGCTTCCCTCGATGATATTCGGCGCAACCCAGTCAAGCTGCCAGCCCATCCTTCCTTTGACACTTTGGATCTTTCCATCGATCCGTTCCTTGAGAAGACTTGCGATCTGCTCCTCGATAGCATCGAAAGCCACTATGCCGACCTGAACAACTACCAATACTACCAACGGCAGCTGGCGCGCGAGCAGTTCAAAATTTCTCAGTGGCAGGCTAAGCGAAAGGCGGAGAATGCTGCCCGTCTGGCAGCCAAGCAGCCACCATTGCCCGAGGATGAATGGCAGAGGCTGTTCAAGCTCCCTCAAGAGCCCAGCCGGTTGGAGGGTATGCTCAATGCAAGGCAGGTAGAGCAGTACAGTAGACAGGTAGATGGTTTTACAGCAACCATCACCTCCAAGATGTTTGCTGTCAGAGGGAACCTGCTTCCTGAGTGATTGGGAACCTTTGACTGGCACACATGCACGTGGAAGCTTCAGGTATGGTGAAAGTTGCAGGAGTCTTGACTGCATTTGGTCTGGCGTTCCGGGTCATGGGTTTGCTAGCTTACCTTAGTTCCGAGCCGGCCACGATGCCTATTGCTCGGACAGCAATTATATGTGGATTTCATTTTCGGGTTTGAGGGCATTCAAAAAACAGGTCCTGTTATTGTCCGTACACAGTAATCATATCAATGACTGATTCAGATGGCATGCACGCAGAGGGCTCGCGTGTGTCTCTTAATCTCTTTTATCGGCATCAGGCAAAGGGTTAGGCTGCTGTGCAAGATGAACTTGGTGTCTTGATTCTACAACCTCCAAGCAGCAGGTAAGATTATACCCTAAAGCATGCCAGGGTTCTATGCGGCTCTTTTCATATAGCTGGTCAGCTGGGCGGTGGGTACTGATACTCCTTTGTCGTGTGGTGTTTCAATTGGGAGATGGATGGTGAACTTGGATATTGGTCGACTCTGTTGGAAGCCCAGCGCCCTGGATATGTATCGGAATCAATAGTGGGGTGGCTCTCCAGAATCAGCCCTGGCGTCCTTACGGTTTCTTTCATTGACCCCGCCATCCCTTCCACCTGCCCCACGCACGCCCTTACCCACTTTTTGTTCACAGCTCTGCAACAATTGGTGATGTAAAAGCAATTGTCCGGAATTCAGGTGAGCAGCAACGTCAATTGGCATCTCATTGTAATGATAAGACCTTTAAAGCATATCTTCATACATATCCACAGTCACTGATAGTTTGTGTTATGCGTTGTGACGGTCTTGGCCGCGGGAGCGCGAGCCAGGGTCTTGGGAATCCCAGCAGGCCAAGTTTTTACAGCCTCTTGCCCCGCCAACACAGCCCCTCTTTAAAAGTCGGATATGGGTCCCACCCACATCTGATATTTTCCTTCCCATCTTGTCCCTCTTCTGCCTTTCTCTCCTCGAGACTGACCTGAAAGCTTGCTTGTCCCAAAACGCCGCCTCTCTTTCGCCAGAATGTCTGCCCCCGCTCACAAGTTCAAGGTCGCTGACCTCTCTCTTGCTGCCTTTGGGCGCAAGGAGATTGAGTTGGCTGAGAACGAAATGCCCGGCCTCATGGCCATCCGCAAGAAGTATGCTGCCGACCAGCCACTCAAGGGCGCTCGTATCGCTGGCTGCTTGCACATGACCATTCAGACCGCCGTTCTGATCGAGACGTTGGTCGCTCTCGGTGCCGAGGTCACTTGGACGTCGTGCAACATATTCAGCACCCAGGACCACGCTGCTGCCGCTATTGCCGCCGCGGGCATTCCCGTTTTCGCCTGGAAGGGCGAGACCGAGGAGGAATACAACTGGTGTTTGGAGCAGCAGCTCTTTGCTTTTAAGGACGGCAAAAAGCTGAACCTCATCCTGGATGATGGTGGCGATCTCACCCATCTGGTGCACACTAAGTACCCTGATATGCTCCAGGACTGCTATGGCTTGTCTGAGGAGACTACTACTGGCGTTCACCATCTTTACCGCATGTACAAAAAAGGCGAGCTTTTGGTCCCTGCTATCAACGTGAACGACTCCGTCACCAAGTCCAAGTTCGACAATCTCTACGGCTGCCGCGAGTCGTTGATTGATGGCATCAAGCGCGCCACCGATGTCATGATTGCTGGCAAGATTGCCGTCGTTGCTGGCTTCGGCGATGTCGGTAAGGGCTGCGCCATGGCTTTGCGCGGCATGGGTGCTCGCGTTCTTGTTACCGAGATCGACCCGATCAATGCCCTGCAGGCTGCTATGGCTGGCTATGAGGTGACCACCATGGAAAAGGCTGCCCCGATTGGTCAAATCTTTGTCACCACCACCGGCTGTCGCGACATCCTGGTTGGCAGGCACTTTGAGCAAATGCCAAACGATGCTATTGTTTGCAGTACGTTTTGCTTCTTTTCCGGTGGCAGCCACTCGTCCACTAACTATTGTCCCAGACATTGGCCATTTCGACGTCGAGATTGACGTTGCTTGGCTTAAAGCCAATGCTGAGTCCGTCGAGAACATCAAGCCCCAGGTCGACCGCTTCCTGCTGAAGAACGGTCGCCACATCATTCTGCTGGCTGAAGGCCGTCTCGTCAATTTGGGCTGCGCCACTGGCCACAGTTCTTTTGTCATGTCCTGCAGTTTCAGTAACCAGGTTCTTGCTCAAATCATGCTGTTCAAGAACAGCGATGAGGAGTTCAAGAAAAAGTATGTCGAGTTTGCCAAGCATGGCAAACTCGAGAAGAAGGTCTATGTCCTGCCCAAGATTCTCGACGAGGAAGTTGCCCGTCTACACTTGGCTCATGTCAATGCGGAGCTTACTACCCTGACCCCCATCCAGGCCGAATATTTGGGCCTGGACATCGAGGGTCCTTACAAGAGCGAGCAGTATGTTGGACCTCTTGAATCCCAATATTTCCAGGTCTGGTCCGTTACTGACAGTTCAAAGCTACCGCTACTAAATTTCCTGTCTTCCTTCACCATAATCCACGTGACGGTCAGAGGACTATTAACATTTCTCTCACTGAGTGTTCTTGAACACACACTGGTTCCTAGATGGACCTTGATGAGCATGAATGGGGTCAGTTTTCGAATTTTGATTTTCAACAGACATGACTGGCATGGCACATAGGGTTCGGGCCGGGGTTTTAAAGGCAAAAGGGGGGTCTGGTACACGTTTTCAACAAAAGTGCGGCGTTTAGCTTTGGGGCTCATGATACCCCTCCAACGCCTAGGAAAGGGCGTTTTCCAGAACTTGTCATGTTTGTGTACATGATGGACCCTCTCGAGGCAGGCTCAAGGGGGAGAATAGCAGCCCCTTCAACCGGGGCCTGAATGAGAAGAGGAATAACCATAATTTGACACACGAGTCCTCCCAGCCCACACTCTTCCCTGTTGAACCTCTCCGTCCCTCAATCCCCCTGTTATCATCAGTTACCGGTGGCTGTCTTTATGGTCCTGTGGGCCTTCGGCCAAAGGACCGAGACTGGCCATGCTGCTCAGTTCCGCTTCATTTGCTGGTCTGTATACGCCTGACATATGGTCTTCTCAGTTATTATCAGAACTTTTGGGGTCACATCTAATTATGAGAAAGAACTCAGCTCGGTCAGCAGAGACAGTCATAACCAGCCTATTACCTGGCGCTGGATAATTTCAGCAGTTCAGTAACATCGTGCTTGAGATCCCTGGTGAGATGAACGCGTCGCACGGATATTTTGCTTTGCTTCTTGATGTTTTGATCCTTTTCAGGTGCCTGGTTTCTTTTCTCCATTGAGGACCACGGGCACTGGACGTGTGTTTGAGCAATATCATGCTCATTCTTTCGCTATGAAAAGCTCTTCGAGAGGTCTCCGGACATCTTATGAACCAAAACACCAGAGATCAGATCGGATTGGTTCTATCCAAACATGGGGGTGCAGCTCTTTCCTGCCCTTTGTTCTTCGTCATGACTCCCCTCTCTTCAAGATCCTTTCTGTATAAACAAGTCTCTCCTCGCCCGCGTGGAACATCTACTGACTTTACCATTATATTGTTGTCTCCGTGAGTGGATTTCCGTTCTGTGTCATCAATTGTCATTACATTCAGCTTGAAGATCTGTGTTAGCACCATCACCCATAATGACAACCAACTGTCAGACTCGACCCAAGGTCCTTGTCATTGGAAAGATCAAGCAGGAAGTATATTTCACGTTCCAGGAACCTCCCAGATGATCCAAGATGTCGGGCAGTGGAGGATTGTCAGAGTTGCCCTCGACGTTGCTGTCCAGGAAGAAACGAATCGGTGATGCTGACATGAAATGGTCGCAGTGCTCACGAAGAGTGGCGCGCCATCGAAGATTTCGCCGATGTTATCGCGCCAGTCTCGAATAATCGGAAGGATTTCCCTCGAGAGGCAGAAGCCGGTGCATTTTGCATTGTGGTGCCATTTACCGCACATTCCACAATGTGTATCTAGCCGGAAGGTCTGATGGGGAGATTCTCGATGTCTTCCAATCCTCACTCAAGTTCATCTCCCACGATGGAGCCGGATGCGATTAAATAGATACTTCAACTTGCACTACCTGAGGAATGCATGTGTTGCACACATCTGGAGCAAGTACATAGCAAACACAGCCATGTTCTTGATAACATCGCGAAATTTTGTTGCCCATATGGCTACTCTCCGGGCCGGAGTTTGGCATGGCAGCAACTTTGGCCTGGGCAATAATCTTGAAGGCAAGCAGTTGAGTATCCTTGGAATAGGACGCATCGGGCGTGAGCTAGCCAAAAGAGCACGCGTAGTTGATATGGAGACTTGGTATTACAGCCACAAGCAGATGTCCAAGGAGGATGAAACAGAGGTTGGGGCTCGCTCTGGGCTTAGTGCACTGTTACTCATATCCCAAAGTTCCTGAGGTTGATGTAACCGTATCTGCTAAGTGGGGACATCGACACTTTCCTCGCGGGAAGTGACTTTCGAGTCTTCCACTCAATGTAAGTGCGATGTTCGAATCCACAACCACAAGTTAACCAAAAGCATAGCCCAAGACGAAGCATATTATCCACAAAGATGCGTTTGCGAGGATGAAAAAAAAGGGTATCATTATCTTTAATACTGCCCGTGGTGGACTTATCGACGACGACGAACTCGCTTAAATACTTGAAAGCGGTCAAATGAGGGCCATAGGTCTTGATGTCTGAACATGAACCTGAGATCCACAAGGGTCTACTCAATCATCTCAACGCCGTTTTTTTTTCATGGACGCTTGGACATTAAAGGCCGAAAGGAAATGGAGAAAATGTAAGTTTCCTGTCTACCACTATCAAGTCAAGGCTGGGATTCTTACAAGATACACAATCCAGGGCTATCCGACTCCTCGAATTTGCACTCAAGGAAGGACAGTTCCCCAGTCTGGTTCCGGAACAGCGCCATTTGCTCGCACAAGCCTAAACCTAGGATCGATAACGGCCGAGCGTTTTCCCTCCTGTTGGGAGAAGGCAAAAGGGGAGGGGAATGCCGGTTCAATAAGGTTCGTTTACCCCTACCCCGAACGACCAATTTAGATGAGATCCTAGCTGGCATAAGCACAAAGATTACCTCCTCCCAATAGTCGGATAGCCAGCCGTTCAAAAATGCAATAATGCAGGGGGATGAAATATGCGAAAACAGTATAAGTAAGCAAGCAACGGAGTCGACATGCAGATAAGGTCAAGGAAAGACAGCCACATACTGGAGAATACAAGAAACTTTATTTTGTGACTGCTCGACCAACCAGACTTTGACTCCCGAACGCCGGAGCATGTATGATGCAAAAGCCATCTATAGGACTGATATACAGCTGGCTCTAAGTAAGGGTGTTGAACAAAGCAGCCCAAAAACGCCCCATCTTTCCGAAATTACATGGAAAGCCATCCTGCTAATCCCAAAGCGTTGGCTCCACTGCCTGTCCTTTTGACAAGCATACACACGAGCACATACCCAAGAATTGAACCATGCCCCTTCTATATAGGAAAAACCGGCAATCTCGATAAAACAAAAGAGTAGTAATAAGAAAACTATCGGAAGTGCTGAGTACTCTATGTGGTGCCTCAACTTTTAATGACATTGACACCCGGGCGGACAAAAGCGCGATAGGCGAGATCGGTGAAGCGGCGGACAACGTTGGTTGTGCCACGTGTTGATAATGACTCGTCACGGATAAAGCGAGTGGCGACAGCGAGCTTGCTGCGGGCATCAGACTCATCCAGGTGCGAGGGGACCGTTTGCTCATTCCAGCATGCATCCCAATGTCGTGTATACTCCCTTAAAACAGCGATACTGTAAAGCACGTCGCGGTTTTCCAAGCCTCCCAGGAGAGCCCTCATGGATTGTAGACAGCACTCCCGAACGGAAACATCAGCGGGAGACGGCGAGGAATGCTCGCGGAGCAGATACTTGGCCAGGTTGTACCAGAACTCAAGCTCGTTTCTGCGTCGGATATCGGCGTCGTTGGGGGTTCGGCGGGGTGAGAGGGTTCATTGTTAGGGTCTCGCCAGAAACAAGGGCCTCAAAGACCTGCAGGCGACCGCGGGCCTCCCAAGGGTCGTCAGGCGCAGGGGCTAGATGGGGCCGCTGCTGCACGGGCGGCGGAGTTAAGAGCGGTAGACAGGCAAGCGACCAGATAAGATGAGTCTCCAGGTGGGCAGAATGAGCCATATCCATGGGGTCGGTGCTTTTAATCTTGGAGATGGACGATACAAACAGAGCGAACAGAGAGAGCAGATGCTGGTTGCCATGGAGTATGGCATCGGGATTTGAGGCGGTCGCGCGATTGCTGACGAAATCATACCACTGCGTCTCGAAGAAGCGGGACAGGCCGGGGACGTAGACCTCGTAGTACAGCCGTTTGATCTCGGCCATAGTTTCCGTAGACGGCGGGGCGCTCGACGGCTGGGGCAGCGGACCGGCGAGAGAGATAAGGTCATGGATGTTCATCTTTATCTTTGCTGGGGAACTCGTATGAGCGGATATGCTCTCCCGCGACTGGGGCTGGGGCTGGGGCTGGGGAAGTGCGGACAGGCTGGAAGGGGGGTTTGGGATGCCACCTCGCAGATTGCTGGGAACGCCAGTGGCGCCCTGCTCTGTGCCGGAGCCCGGGCTCGGGCCGGCGCTCGCGTCCGCGTTTGCGCCGGCGTTAGGCTGCGGATAGCGCGAGACCTGAGAGACCTGCGAACTCGCTGCACTGGTCGAATCAACAGCATGGAGGGCTGGGTCAATCGCAGCCGAATATGCGTAGCTGGAGTCGCCGTTGGCGGGCTGTGGGGGGGGGCGCACTGGTAGTGACAGCTGTGGGAGTTGCAGCGCTGCTTGAAGACACGAGCGGCGGGCAGGGTGGGGCTGGGGCCGGGGTCGGACCGCTGGCGGAGGCGGGAGCGGGAGCAGAGCTGGGAACAGGAGCAGCACCAGGGGTTGACGCGGAGGGCGGGGCCGAAGCTGGAGCCGGGGCTGGGGCGGCCGAAGAGGAGGCGGACGAAGACGATTGAGAGTTATTGTTGTTACTCGGGGCGGGCTGGATGGCCGCCTGACCCTGCTGTCTGAAGATAGGATCATAACCGAGACACTCGCGTTTGGATTTTTTGCAGTTGTTGCAAGTTGGATGGGCTTCATCACACTGCGGCCAGAAGACGTGGTTAGCTGGTTACAATACCGGGAATGAAGGCCAGCGATACGCTTGGACACGAAAGGAACAAAAATGGCGACAAGGCAGATCCGATTTCATGTTTTCTTTTCCTGGTTCCGGATTCCAGGTTCTACTTCACTGCCGTGGCTTCCACGTTCTGCAGACAGAGCGCACTTGAAGCTCGTGTGCAATGTGAGGTCCGTGGATATGACGCAGCAACGGCAGCAGCAGTGGCAGCGGGTTAGCTCTGTGCGGGAGGGTTCCGACCACGCAGCAGTGTTTGAGGTGAAACGCCGACGATCTGAAAAAAAGTGCCCCTATGTGAGGTGGGCTGGCAGTCAGGCAATAGAGCAGTTTCAGGCTGCTCCCCCCTCCCAGAGATGCGATGCTGCCAGTTACCTAGAAGCTAGGCAGGTCGTAGCTACCTCGATGTGAAATGTAACAGTAGGTGAGGTAGGGCAGGTGGCCATCGAAGATAGTGCCAGGTGTCTGGGCGGCGGAGGAATCCGGTGTACCAAGAGAGGGGAAGTGGTAGTGGAAAGGATGGCAACCATGGATCTGCTGGAACCTGGGGCCTGAGGCTTGGAGCCTGTAATCTCCCCTTTTTGGCTGACATGAAAGCCGTCCAAACTCTCATCGATGGTCATGACGGCTGCGGTGTGGTCCGTACGTGGATGCAAGCTATGAGAGTATACATGGAAAGCTGCTATCCATCCTGGTTCGGCCATCTGTTGCCAATCGTACCAGTACCACAGTTTCCCCATTCGGCAGCACTAGCACAACCCCCATTTGACTCGCCTTGGGACACGCACAATGCTAACAACGCGGCTCTTCGTTGGAGAGACCTGTCCAAGCCCCGCCTGAATACCGCACCATAGCAAATGGAAGACAAAGATCACGAAAGGAAAAAGAAAAAAAGGGAGGGTGGTGAGGGGAGGGAAACGACAAGATGCGGGCCGAGTATCGTTGCTGGTACGTACCTTTATCCGGCGCTTACGGCAGGTCAAGCACCCGGTTTTCGTGCGCCGTTTGATCTCCTGTTTGAAGCGACAACGCCAGAACCACGGTTAGCCAGCTCTGCCTTTTGAACTCTCGCAACAACACATGAAAATATGGGGAATCATACCTTTTTATGTCTGGGCTGACCTATGAAACGCGGGTCGTGGGCGAGGCCAGGACCAAAAAAACGCATCGAGTTGGGGTCTGGGATGCTGTAATATGGCGGAGCAGGGTGAGGAGGTATGCCGTAGTACGGAGGCATGGGTCCCGGTGTAGGAGTCGGCGGCATCGGGGGAGCCATGTGGGCGGTTAGGGGAATTCCGTGGTGTGACGGCGGCTGTGGCTGCCCGTGGTTCTCCAGGGTCCGCATGCTCGGCAGCGTGGTTGGAGCCGGCGGTCGGTATGGATCGGCAACGGCAGAGAGGGGCTGCGGCGGATACGTGTAGTGGGATACCGGCGGTATGGCAGTCGGAGGATACGGCGCAGGGCTCGCATATGCTACCGGCGGCCGGGGCTGCGGCTGAGGTGGCGGCTGCGGTTGCGGTTGCGTGTTGGACATGTTGGGCAAAACGCCGGTACCCGCAGTACTGGCAGTGCTTGTGCCTGTAATCGACGGTGGCGAGGCGAGCTGCTGAGGCTGCTGATGTTGCTGGTGTTGCGGCTCGCCTCGAATGCCGTGTACAATAGCACGGTCGGACGTGGTGATTGCAACTGGCACGCGGTAGCTTGGGCTGGTGCTGACGGTAGTCACAATAACACCATCGATCCCGAGCTTCGGGTCTACGGGAAGGTCCCGAGTGCGAAGCTCGCTGCCGCTGCTGTCAATGGTGCGTGTGTCAATGCTAGCTTGCCGGGTTGCGAGCGGCCACGGGCCTCTGTTATGCTCCCCTAGTTGCTGCTTGTGTTGCTCCGTCTGAATATGGGACTGGTGGTGTTGATGGCGGCGGTGATCGTCTTGGAGTTGTCGCTGTTGCTGCTGCTGCTGGGATTGGCCGTGTGGGTGCTTATGGTCGAGCGCGTCGAGATCAGGCTGCGCACGCGGGGGTGTCGTTGTCGTCGTCGTCGGCGGCGGTAGCAACAGCTGAGCAGGAACTGAGTTTAAGGACGACAACTGCAGTCGCAGCTGGGAATCCCGGAATGGTTCGGGGGTTTGAGCCATGATGGGAATTTAATTGGAAACTTTTATGGAGCCACGATTCCATTTTAAAAAAAAAGAAAAAAAAATCCACCTCTCCCCCCCCCCAAAAAAAAGCGACAAGGGGAAAAACGCGACACTGGGCCGGCTTTCCTGCGTGGAGTGACTTGACCTGCCTGTTGTTGGTGTGGCTGCGTCTTCCCAATTCACAATCGATGCCCAGCGCCTGCAGTGCCCGCAATGTCCGCAGCCTGGAACTCCCGCAACAACGCAGCAACATCGTGCATAGTGTGTTAAGTTGTACGACACCACCTCCTCCGTGTTTCTGCCACTGTAGTGTACCTGTACATCGGTACCTGACATTGGCGAGCTAAAATGCGCGCTTGCTGGATCGAGTGCGGCATCCATTCCGGGAAGCCTCTGGTCCGTGGGGCCCAGATCGCAGTTTTTCTCGCCCATCTTGCTTATCCAGGGGCACGGTACATGTACAGACGTAGTACTGTACGCACATGAACGCAGTCCACCAGGCATACACATACAGGGCAGTCAATTCCTACCTGCGAAACTTCGAAGCGGCAGCTGCATGGGCTGCTTGATGTTGAGCTCACTTGACCTGCCCCTCGGCTTCTACACACCCTCTCAAAAAACATCCTTTCGTCCTCCATAAGGACTCTGTCTCCTTCATCGTCTCGTTCCCCTGGCTGCCGCTCCAAGATGTTCACACGTGCATTTTGGTACAGGACAGGTACACACAATTTCGTGTGCTTTCCTTAACCTGTTCGATGTGGCCCCCTAAAATTGTCGAGCCAGGCAGGTATGCTAGTCCGTACATACACTAAAATCGCGTCCGGGCCCAACAGCCTGATCCGACCCCCTGGCCAGGGCAGGGTTGGCGATTATGGAAACCTAAGAGTGGGCCTCGACCCTTGGCAAGCGCGGAAGAAGTGTGAGTTTACCACAGGACTTGGGAAGACAGGCTCATGTGGATAAGGACTGGACATTTTGACACTGAACATTAGAGAATATGGCCCTCGCGATGCGAGACGGTGGTGTGTCAGTGTGAACATGAACGTGAGTGCGAGTGTGAGTTGTCTGCTCAGCATACATCCATACAATTGGGGGCCTGGCCGTGCCCGTCCACAAGTGTAATACGTAGTGTAATTACGAGACTGTTGGTTGAGCTGCGCAGCGTGTGGGTGTTGTTACTGTGTAGTTGCCGTCTATGGATGATCCGGGAGGACTCGACGAAGGTCGGTTATCTTTGCTGTTGCATCCTTTCATCACCATTTCTGGAGCCGACACGGGCAGAAGCGAGGGGTACCCGGTGGGAAGCGGGAGTGGATCCCAGGCGGATCGTTGGAGATGCCAGCCGAGACGGGTGGATCAGCCCATCTCCAAAGGCTTGAATGAAGCCACGGGCCTTTTCGACGGGAGTGGTCTGTGATTTACTCTCACAGGCCCACAGGCTAAGCTCCAGTCGATCAAATGGAGGCTCTTGTCCCCGTCGTTTCCTGTCTGTTGCTTACCTGTCGCGGACGACAAGTTTGGAATGGCAACAGTCTCTTGATTTCGCCACATAGCAAGCAGGCCAGAGACAAGATTACTTGCATACTTGAGGACGTGTTAACATGCTAACCTGACATTGAAAACGCGGGTCGTCGAGAGCCCCTTTAAAGGAGCACCACGACCAAAGTACATTAATTTACTCCCGGTTGAGCTCAATACCATTGTACCATCCGTCCGTACCAAGGTCAGCACCAGCACCCCGGATATTTTGCCCGATCGCTCCCGAGAAGTGCTGCTGCAGGAGAAGCTGCAGAATGCATTCGAAGGGACAAGACAATGGATCCCTGGCCGTGCGTGCATGTTTCACCAGTTCGACCTGGATGAGTGTACGGACTGGTTCTCGCAAACTTTCCAACTCCAGCAAGGAGCGAAAAACGCCGCTGGTTTGATGCTCGAGCTTTTAGAGAGCCTTGTCGTCCACTTCCATACATTGCAACTCTCTTTTTGGTCACCCCCGGCACTCGAAGCTCCGTTACTCCTGTAGTAAACCCCAGCAATATGGATCCATGGCCGGCCTAGAACCCACATCATCATCGCTCTGAGCTCACCTTTTGTCACCAGTTGGCAAAGATTTACCGGCCTCTCTCTCTTCGCAGAGGTATCCCGGTCACCACTCATCTGCAGGCTACATCTGCGCATTCGGTGATTTGAGAGGGTGATGACACGCAGGGCCATACATCTCTGCGGTTTATCTAGCCCACTTCGAAAATACTTAAATGTTGTGTCAGCCATCTGCTTGATCCCAACAGGCTTAGTGGCCCAGGAAGACATATTACAACATCTCTCCTATGCGGTTCACATACCAGTGGATTTTCTTCAGTAGTCAAGCTGCCGTGGAATAACCAATCGCAGTGACTGACTGGGAAGGCAGGCTCAATCGTCTATCAACTGCCGCGCGTGCGACATCGAAGTTGTTTGGGTCCAGACGACAATAAGCGCTAACCGCGAGGTCTATTTGCTGGCATATAAAAGGCCGACCACCGGGATAGCTAGCGGTACCCATCCGCAGGCTATGTACCTATGTGACGGCTTGAATGCAAACTGGCGATCGCGCTTTGCATACTTCCCGGGGAAAGCCATTCGGGATATTATATCCAGATGAGAGTGTGGTTGGTGTTTGCGATCTTCAGTAGGCGAAGTCTTCTCGACCGCCTCCTGTGTGTTCAAAGGATTTGGTGAAAACTTGGACAATCAAAACCAACATCACTGCTGATTGTACCGATCAGTTTCACTGGCTTTACGTCTGCATTTCCATATCTATGTTGCTTACAGGGATCTCGACTTATCATCGGCACAGTGGTCCCTGCTCCTGGGACGGTTTTGACAAGACCAGATTCAATGACAACATACTAGGTGAAACAGCTGCAGTAGGGTACCGTTGAGGGCCCCCGCTTCACATGCCACAGGCCCGGTCATGGACTGGCTGCGCCGATCCAGATGACGGTGTCCTGGTGCGGATGCTTCTCCGTTTACCACCGGACAGCCTTGTGATGGATTCCTGTACCCTCCCTAACTGCTAGCCCCCGTAGGTAGTAAGGCCTCTGAGCAGGTGAGTATGTGATTGTACTGTGAAGCCAGAGGAACCGCAGATGATGCACGCGAATGCAAAACGCGAAAGCATCATCTGTGCACTCACAGCTCACATATCTAGGCCGCTTCTCGAATGAGCAGAGGCCAGTTTGCCGGTCGCCCTTACTCTCTCGGTCTTCCTTTTTGCTTCGGTTCTCCCTTTACCTAGTCAGATCTGGAGACGTTTCGCGAAAGAAGGAAAGAACTGACTGAATTGGCTGCGTCTCCGCACCTGTGTGCCGTCTTTTTCTCTCGCACGCTCGCTCAGTCTCCCGGCGGATTGTGACGCAGCACGGCAAGTAGCCACTCGTGCGATCTTGGCCAAGGGAGACAGGGATATCGGACAATTTGCTGGCTTTTGGCTGATTTGACAGTTGAGTTTAGGCTTTAACGGCAGGCCGTGGCCTCGTCTCTGCTTGCCTGCGTTCCCGGGACGCTGCGCGTTGCGATCCGCCAAGCCGCGCTTCGACGCCCGATTTTCTGTCTTGTGCATATGCGAACGGGACTTGAACCTGGAAAAGCGGGATGCAAAGAAGCGTGCTGGCGATTCGCTGGGCCGGGTCGACAATGCAACCCTTTCGCTCCCTAGTGGCATGTACATTTCGACGTCGTTTCCGATCCCTTGGTGTACCTACATCCAATGCGTCCAAGCATTTTTTTCTCGCCCACGCCAAGGCCAGCGTTTGGTGTCTCAGGCCATGGGCGTCCACAACGGCAGGCACTGTGGATTGAGAGTAACGTTTCTGGCTTCATTGACATAGAATGGCCGAACTGAGCGCGGTGAACAACCCGTGCAGGGTGTCTGTGACAGCTGTGGGACCCAGACCCAATCGGACCGGCTATGCGGCCCGATCAAACGAGAACCACCAAAGGCACACCGGTCTAGGCAGGTAGTCTCATCTCTTGTTGCGGTCCAGTCGGGCCAACCGGTGACTTCGCCGCAGTGTCCCCGAGATTTCTGATTATCCAATACTCTTCTCAGTCGAGTCCAATAAAGACGAAGACGGAGCGACGGTGTGGGAGGTACTGTCACGGTGTTGATGCAATCTTCTCCAGATAGCTCACCGTCGAGCCATCCCTACCTAGGTCCTTCCTCTAAAATTCGGTTTCCCCCAAGCCCTCAAGGGTAGTGTCTCGTAGGTATAATAAGGAGAGCAGAGTATGTGTCTGGGTAAAAGAAAGAAAACCAAGAAAGCACCATGGCTATAACAAGCACTGGCCTGTTGGCCTTCTGCTGCGATGCTGCGGGGGTGACGTGCTCGTTAGCTCGAGATGGGTTCAAGAGTCTCGGCTGGCTTGCTATACATGAAACTAGGCATTTGCGGTGACGTGTTTTATCCCTCTCGTGACATGGGATTACTTTCACCCGCAAAGCGGCCAACTGTGTGTAGCAGGAAATAGGGAAAGCGGCAGGACACAAGACACAGGAGTTTTTCTATGACCAGATCGCGTTTTGTGGTACTCAGACGTTGTTATAAAGCCACAGTTACCGTAAAAACATTTATGTGGAAGGAAGATAAAACCCTGCAGAGGTCTACAACTGTCGCAAGTAGCTGGTTCTCCTGAGTGGGAGAGGACAATATGAAAACGGCTTAGCCGTAAAGAATAGTCGCTGAAGACTTTGTCCACGAGTGCAGAATCGACGAAGGTAAGGTATGGATGGAACAGAGCAATCTCCTCTGCAAGCCATGCACAACGGTCTATTTGTGAGCCTGATGCACCTCATCCTCCACGTTCTGTTAGCTCTGATTTGCAGTTAAAATGATTGATGGGTCCCATACGAAATAGTTGAATTGACGGGGACTGTTAAACAATCATACTCGATCCTGATGCTGAGGAAGTTCAGGTAATGGGTAGGTAGGTAGGCAAAGAGCGAACATGGGGTTGATGGTTACTGTGCAAGCTCGTCGAGGTCAAGCGATTGTGAAGCGGACCAATCGGGTTGCCTCACATCGATGCTTGGTGATGCTTGGACCATGGCCCAGGGCTGAGGGTGCTAATGCAGTCTCGGTGACGCCACAAATTTGGGTCCCGATCGAATGAGGCTCTGAACTCCATCTCCAACTATCACAAACATCACTTGTTTTTCCTAGGGAGCATTCTCAGGCTCGTCCCTTCCACGACGCATGCACAACCACTGCAACAGCCTCTGAAGTTACTCCTCAGCACCAGCACAACCACCGCAGGCGACAAACAACCGCACAACATCAAGAGCTGCACAACACGCAGCTATTAGTGTGTCTGGACCGATCTCGTCAAGTTCTCGAAAGCTCTCCCTAGCACCCGGCAACCTGGCGGGCATTCTGTGGACTAGCACAGCGGCTCGGTCGAGAGACGCTGTGACGAAATCACAGGGCGAAGCGCCACGCTCCGACGCCATGGTCCAACCCTCCTCCCCATCTTCTCTCACGCCGCAATTCTGCTTCACGACATCGGCATTGAGAGGTACGTGTCTATCTCAGCTTGCAGTCGGCATCAACATGACACCGCGGGGCTGAACCTGATGGCAGAGTTCCTGCGCCTGTCTCGAAGCTCGGTCGATGACACTATTACCCAGAACCTGAATGCTCTTGAAACGCCAGCTAGGGCAGGATTTGACCCGACTTCGACCTCTCGTCTTGGACCGCGGCCTCTTTCACGACACATCGAGGCAACAAAGTGCAATGCCTTCAAAGACAAGGTGCTATTTCCCTCGTGGCAGGCTCGGTCAGATGTCTTGAGCTATTGCAGCGTGGTGGCCACGAGTCCCGATCCAGATGACCCAGAGGCAGCCCTAAGGCAGGCAGAACAGGAGAAGAACCGAGAGCGAGTAGTGGACGAAAGACTAGATCCTTACTCGACGCGGGTCTTCCCGCGACAGGCGCGTACCGAGCTGCTCGCCGACATTATCCGACAAGAGATAAGGGTAGAGAACATTGTCCGCTCCCGCACTTGGGACATAGTCCGGCAGCGATGCGACAGCCAAGCACATGCTAGCTGGGAGGATGCTTTGGCCGACTGGCGAGCCTCCAAAATCTCCCCTGAGGCAGGTCGATGAGACCAATGTCTCCTTTACTATAAAGAGATAGTGTGATATGTAGGATTGTACGGAGGTGGGTAAAGGAGTTCAAAGTCATCATTCATGGAGTCCAGCTGTAAGATAAACCGACGGGATGTATGCATTTGCACGGGAAAACGGGGCAACACTGTATTATACACTGCACGGAAAGAGATCCCATGTGCCACACACGCGGCGGGTTTATGTATCCTGGGTAAGGGATCCAGAGTCCGATGTAGTATCTACCTTCATCCAAGGGTTGTTCTGGGTGTGCTTCAAGCTCCAGTGCTTGCGGACAGCATCTTAGCTGCTTTTTTTTTTAAAGTTCTGGGCTCTGGACCCACAACGAGCCCAAGGCGGGGGGCCACATCGAAGGCTTTTGGAAGGTGGGACATCCACCCACAGCCCTGCCAAGCCTGAAAACCAAGACCCAATGGCTGCCGCCGCAGCCCGCAAAAGCGCACTCAAACACCGTCGAAGAGACAGCCCACCGCACCGACACCGAATACCACAGGTGGCCGTCGGCCTGACATTAACCAAGTAAGCCTTCTGCACTCGTCCCTCCTTGTTTCTTTGCCACAAGTCGATGCGTACGCTTGCTGGCTAGTGCATGCTTCTCTCCAGCCGCTGTTTTCCACGCTCACAGACTGCTAACGCTACAACAGCCGTCTGCGCCGTGCTCAGCTCGTCCCGCACTTGGTGCCCCTCCCCCTCGGTCTAGTAGTCTACCTCCGTTCGACGGAAACCCTCCTTTGCGACACGGCTGGCCGACTGCACCTAAGGGCCTTTGTACATCCTCACTTCGATTTGTATCCTCGTCTGTGCTTAGTCCCAACTATCATCTGCGATGCCGCAGCCACTGAGTACGAGAGAGGCCAACCTCTTTCGTACCGTCATCCGCCACTATGAGGACAAGCAGTACAAGCGCGGCCTCAAAGCCGCCGAACAGATATTGAAAAAGAACCCGAAGCATGGCGACACCATGTCCATGAAAGCTCTTATCCTGAATGCTCAGGGCAAAACGGAAGAGGCCTTTGCCCTGGCTAAGGAGGCCTTGACCATCGATATGAAGTCGTACATCTGCTGGCATGTCTACGGCATTCTCTACCGCACTAACAAGAACTTTGACGAGGCCATCAAGGCCTACAAGTTCGCCTTGAAGCTTGAGCCCGAATCTCATCAGATTCAGCGTGACTTGGCGGTTCTGCAAATCCAAATGCGCGACTATGCCGGCTACGTCCAGAGCAGGTTAAACATGCTTAAGGCGAGGCCCCAGATACGCCAGAACTGGACAGCTCTCGCCATTGCCTATCACCTTGAGGGTAACCTTGAAAAGGCCGAGCACATCTTGACCACGTACGAGAAGTCTCTTACCACTCCACCGCCGAAGACCGACCTGGAGCACTCGGAAGCCCTTCTCTACAAGAACACCATCATTGCTGAGAGGGGCGATATTGAGCGCGCACTGCAGCATCTGGAGACCGATTGCAAGCATTGCCTTGACCGCTTGGCTGTCATGGAGCTTCGCGCCAGCTACCTATCGAAACTTGCTCGGAAAGATGAGGCTGCCAAGGCTTACCGTGCTTTGCTGGACAGGAATCCTGAGCATATGGATTATTACAAAGGTCTCATCAGCGCACTGGACATTTCTGCCGACGACGAGGAGGCCCAGAAGGCTGTTTACGACGAGTATGCAGCTAAATATCCTCGTTCTGACGCTGCCAAACGTCTTCCTCTAAATTTCCTTTCCGGTGAGGATCTTAGTGCCTCAACTTAGTCATGTTATCTTCGGTTATAGTGCTGACCTCGCCCCAGGTGAACGTTTCCGCACAACGGCAAAGGCTTATTTGACTCTTATGTTTGACAAGGGTGTTCCGTCCACATTTGCAAACCTCAAACATCTTTACTCTGACTCCTTTAAGAAGGAAACTCTTGCTTCCCTTGCGGAAGAGTATCTTAATGAGTATGTCAATGCCCGGCCCTCGGATAACCAAGCCGATGGCGACGGTTCCAAGGGCAAGGGAGCAGCTCTCTACTACCTCGCTCAGCATTACAATTACTACATGTCCCGTGATCTTACACGAGCTCTTGAGTATGTTGAAAAGGCGATTGAGCTCGACCCCAAGAATGTGGACTTCCACATGACCAAAGCCAGGATCTTTAAGCATCAAGGTGATCTTGCAAAGGCTGCAGAAACCATGGACTATGCGCGGTCCCTTGATCCTAAGGATCGATACATCAATTCCAAGGCTGCCAAATATCAGCTGAGGAATAATGAGAACGAGAAAGCCCTTGCCACCATGGGCTTGTTCACTCGGGCAGAAACAGCTGGTGGGCCCCTAGCCGACCTCACAGACATGCAGTGTATTTGGTTCCTCACTGAGGACGGTGAGGCATGGCAACGGCGGGGCAACACTGCCCTTGCACTCAAACGCTACCACACCGTCTTCAGCATCTTCGATACTTGGCAGGAGGATCAGTTTGATTTCCACAGTTTTTCTCTCCGGAAAGGCCAGATCCGCGCGTACGTTGATATGGTGCGGTGGGAAGATCGACTGAGAGAGCACCCGTTCTACTTCCGGGCTGCTCTGGACGCTGTTAATCTGTATTTGTCCATGTACGACAAACCACAGAGCGCAAATGGCGCCAACGGAACAGAAGCAGCCAATCCCAATGGTGAAGACGCTGCCGAAAAGAAGAAGGCAGCCAAGAAGGCCAGGAAAGAGGCCCAGAAAGCTGAGCGTGAGGCTGCTGAGCGTGCTGCTAAGCAGGACCCAAATAAGCCAGGTGCTCAGAAAGGCAAAGAGGAAGATATTAAGAAAAAGGACGATGATCCGAACGGGGAGAAGTTGGCTGCTACAAAAGATCCGCTTGGTGATGCCATGAAGTTCCTGAACTATATCCTGCAGTTCAGTCCCAAGAACATTGACGGCCAGATTGCCGGCTTTGAGGTCTACATCCGCAAAAGTAAGTGTCTGACTGACAGGAACGTCGATAATAGTTATGCATGCTAATGGTTGGTTTCGCGCACAGAGAAGTACCTTCTTGCCTTGCGCTGCCTGAAGGCCGCGTCTGCCATTGACAAGAACCACCCTAACGTTCTAGAACAGGCCGCAAAATTGCGTAAGATTGTGAGTAGTGCGTTGGGTTCGATGGCGCCCAAGTTGAGGGAGGTCATTCAAGCAGAGCTTGTTGGTGTGCCTGGCGCCTAGCAGGTGGTTAGGACTGAATATTCGTTCATTTTCCAGGAAAGCCATCTGAACAGAAAATCCGGGGGCGCACGAGTGGCTATTTCAGCCTCAGAATCTGCACCTGGGCGGGGTTTTGGTGGTTTTTCGGTGATCGGGTGAAGCGTTGTGCGGTTAAACCAAGCTGACGTTTGATAAGATCATAACCATATGTAAACAAGCATTGCATTTTGGCCAGACAATTGGGCTGGAGTAGGGGGCCGCTTGTCCCACACATGCTGCGCATCTTCCGTTTTGCTGGGCCATAGTGAGTTAACAGACTAAGCCGTGCATGCCGTGAACGAGCCTATCAACGACACACGGCCATAGGGCTTAGAGAAAAGGAAGCGTGGCACCTTGGTAAGCTATCTGGGTTGAACACGACCATATGTGAGAACGAATATTATGAACCAGGCTGATGGAAGACACTGTACACCGTATTGCTCATTGCGTTGAATATCCCTCTAAAATTCCATATGATAACTCGAAACACACGCAAACGTACGAGACCAAAAGAAATGGCGCACCAGACGCAAATGGGTAAAAAAAGAAAAAAATTATGCTAGCACTGATGACATCCTTTCCTTTCCTCTAACCTAGCAAACCCGTCGCACAAAGAATGCACGAAACACACATCTCCCTTGGCATATGGATTTACTACACCTCGCGAACAACTTGATCGACAGCCCTAGCAAAGTAATCAATATTCCGAGAGTTCAACCCCGCCATGCTGATACGACCGTTCTTGGTCATGTAGACGTGGAAGTCGGTCCGCAGCTTGGCGACTTGGGCTTCGGTCAAGCCAGTAAAGCTGAACATGCCGATCTGGTCTGTGATGTGGTTCCACTGGCCGGGGGTTCCAAGCTCCTCGAGCTTGGAGCGGAGAGCCTTGCGCATCTCGATGATACGGCCCGACATGGTGCGGAGGTTCTCCTGCCACTCGGCGAACAGGGCAGGATCATTAAGAATGATGGAGGCGATGCGGGCGCCGTAGATGGGTGGGTTGCTGATCTCGGAGCGCTGCAGGATCGCTAGTTGGGAGGCCACACGCGTGGTGATGTCCTCAGCCTCCTCCGAGGGAGCTGCCACGAAGTGGAAGCAGCCAGCGCGTTGGCCGTACAGGCCAAAGTTCTTGGCAAACGACTGAGCAATGACCAGCTCGAAGCCCTCTTCGACGAAAAGCCGGATGGCGGCAGCATCGCGGTCCAGGTCGCCCGAAGCGAAGCCCTGGTAGGCGCAGTCGAAGAAGGGGAAGTGTTTCTTCGCCTTCATGAGCGCCGCGATCTCGCGCCACTGGTCGAGAGTCGGGTCGACACCTGTCGGGTTGTGGGCACAAGCGTGCAGGAGGACAATGCTGCCGTCGGGGGCATTTTCCAGGGCAGCCTTCATCCCGTCGAGATCCAGACCCTTGGTCTCCTTGTCGAAGTAAGGGTAGGTAGCGAGCGGCAGGCCGACATTGGAGAAAATCTGGTGGTGGTTCGCCCAAGTGGGATTGCTCAGGTAGACTGAGCGGTTGGCACCCTCGGCTTTGTAAAACTTGGACAGGAAGAGAGCGCCGAGGTGAACGGCGCCGGTGCCGGAAATGGTCTGCACAGAAGCAACGCGCTTCTCGGCAATGGCGGGAGCATTTGTTCCGAGCAGCAGCTCGGCAGCCTTGCTGGTCAGCGAGGCGAGACCGGCGATGGGCAAGTACTCATGGTTGGCATCTGGATCGTTGCGCAGAATCTCATCGGCCTAGACAATGGGAGAAAAGCCGACGGTTAGCTCGCTAAAATCACTTCCCTCTTTTCCCTTCTTGCATTATTCTCATCCGTCATATAAAGGCGTCTCCTGGCCTGTCTAGCAGGGCAGGTCGGAGATAGCGGGGCATTGGCGGCTAAATTGGCAGAGAGGGGCAAATCTGCATGTGCGTGATCGAATGCAGCGCACTGTTCGGCGCAGCAACGATGCACATACACTGAAACCAAGCCATTTAGGGACAAGGCAGGACGCATCCCGTAATCGCCCTGCAGCATTGCAGTCTTTCTGCAATCTGCCGCATCGTCGCAATATCATGGATGGCGCTAGCAGGGAGAGGAAACAAAAGAGGGAATTTGGAAAAAAGGGCGAGGAACGAGGACGAGGGCCACATGCATACCTTCTTAACCACGGGCAAGACCCAGGGCTTCGCGTTGTCGTCGCGATAGGCGCCAATGCCCTAGAGAAGTCGGTGTCAGCAGAAAACCGGTGGGAAGAGAGGATGATTGTTGGTGGGGTGACCCGGTGAGGAACAACGCACAAGATCAATCTTGTCAGGACTTGGATCGGCTTTGTAGGCGCGCGACAGGCCAAATAGAGGGTCCTCGGGAGCCTGAGGGACAACCTCTGCGGGAAAGTTTGTTATTGAGACGGACGCCATGTGTTTTGCGATGGTCTGCAGGCGAGAGAGGGCGGTTGAGTGTTGTTGGGATGGTGATGACGGGGAAGAAGAGCGACGAGGTGAAATGGACGCCATTTTGAATGCCTTCCAGCCTGGGCTGCCTGGACTACTTTCCCCCCTGCACACCGTGATCTGGTGTATTTTTATTTATTATTTTCTGTCCTTCCCCGAAAAGAACACTGCTCCAGCACTGAGCTCGTGGCACTTCTTGTGCACTCACTCCCTGCACGGTGACACCGCTCGGCTGCAGGCAGACCGAACCTATCAACCAAGCTTCCTGGCTCCCTAGCTTTCCGTTGCAGAGCCGGCAGGTTAGCCCGCAATCCGACAGCCGACAACGGACAGACTGGCCGAGCGGTCGCAAGCAGGCTGGAACCTGACAGTGGGATACGATTTGCTAATGACGTCTGGCTTGACCGCTAGCAGCTGGCAGCTAGCAGCAGGGCGCGGCGGAACGTGGAAATGGACACTCGCGCTCCTGCGGATGCAGATGCGCTCCGCTGGGACTTTTCTCGTAACGATATGAAAAGCGGAGGTCAAGACAGTGAATCCAAAGGTCCGAATCGCGGGGTCGCACCGCCGCAGCGCGATTCATGCAATTTGGTCAGTCGATTGGCGCTGCAAATCAGGCACTCCCGCTAGTTTCGCTGGGCAAAAGCGGCAACGGCAGGCGTGCAACACGTTGTGTTATCGCAGAAGAGTGGACGAGTTAAGCGAGAAAAAACGGGGGCAGATAGTCAGTCGTCGTCGTCTGGAGACGTACTCCGCGACCCGTAATCTGTAAGTGGTGTACGGTAATTGTCGCCCACGGAGGTTTCTCAAGCAGATGGATGGGATTCTCGAACAAAAAAAGAGACAATCAGGAAGACAAGAGCGCTCCAACTTAATCCCAGACGCCTTGAAGGCCGCTCAGCTCACTTATGAGGCCAGGCTCAAGCTATCAAGGTGCATGTGAAGCCGGCCCGCGGCCGAGTCACGCCGAGGCAACTTTGTTCTGCTCAGCGCGTTCCCAGAAATCTCCGGGCCACCAAATCCCCAGCAAGCTCATCCGGCTTTCAGGCTGCTACGGACTCGTATCAGGCCACAGTGCCACTCCGAATCTCTGGCAATTAGGATTTGTGGGACGCTGCCAGCGCCCGGAGTTGATCTGGCAGTAACTCGGCATTGCAACAAACACGATAACGCAACTCCTGGGGGACCCGACAGCGAGGGAGCGCCAGCCAGCGCCAGCGAGCGCATGTAAAACGTGCGGAATGTTGTTGCTGCAGTGCGCCAAGCGTCCGCATCCAGAATGGTCTGTGGGCTGCAGCAGCGCAGTGCGGCGTCCCTGTCAATCGTCAAATCGGCAGCCGAGGCCCTGGCGGTAGCAAACGGCTGACCCACTGCCGCCTCATCGATGATCGGACCAGCTTGCGGCGAAACCGACTTTCCTCCCACTGCCCACTATCCACCGCCCACTGTGCCCAGCTGCCCGGGCTCTCCACCGGATGACACAGAGGAATGCAGTTCATGGGGAAACAGGAAGGCACATTACGTACAACCATATTAAGGAGGAATGTAAGGATGAAACCATGCCACCATCAGAGAAGTCCCTTGACGAGTTCCTACGTTCCGTGGAATGCATTAATGTAAAAGTGTCATGAATCCTTATAACAGCTGACAAAATGGTCGAAAAAGGGTGCTATGACATGGTAGGTTACCTATCTGAGGTAGGTAAGACAATCTGGGAACCTAGGCAAGTAAGGCTTGGATGAAGTCCGCATAAGAGCAGGTGCATTACCTGACGACTGCCTTCAGGTACTTGTAAAGTACGGAGGGACTCTCAAGTGCTGCTGCTCTCAGCCAAACGCATAGGGATAAGGAGCGCACAATCAAGATGCTCGATGCTTAGAAATCGTGGAATGAAGCAGTGGTAAGCAAGATAGGCCATGGAATCGACCAAGGGTTAGTGAGTCTTTTCCACTTGTGCTCCAGAAACATGGAACTGTCCAATCGACTAGACACCTTGCGTCATCTGCTGTGCTAAGGCCTATTGATGTGGCTTCGCCGTGGCTGCAACTCCACAGGCCCAGCGAATCAGACCCGCGGCGAAGGCAAAAGCGCTGCCCCACCTATTGTGGAAGGTCCCACTGGCTGGATAATTTTCTGCCGGGCGGTCAAGATTTTATCAACATCTCTACCATCTTATCGCGGTCAAAGGCCAGGTGAGAGCAAGCTCAGCCTAGATATTACCCAATACCGTCTAATGATTAGTGTACAACTCCAATAAAGTCGTAACGAAGCACATCAACAGCATATCCGCAAGCCAGAGGCGACGACGGATCACCAATTGACAAAATGACGTCTCAGGAGAAGAGCATGCCGTTCATCAAGCATCTCGCATCCAGTGGTTCGTCGCCCCTCATGCACCGCAGCACTTGTTCTCTGCTGGCAACGCGATTGACTCATCTGCTGACCGTGTCCATTAACTTCTACAGACCGTAAAGTCCGCACAGCTGCCCTCAACTCTCTTCATGCCTTCCTCTCAGCTCGCCAAGTCGCCTCCGCTTTGACAACCCTCGATGTGCTGAAGCTGTGGAAGGGGCTTTTCTACGCACTTTGGATGTGCGATCGCGCAATCCCGCAACAGAACTTGTGTAATGAGTTGGCCGACTTGATTTGGCAATTGCCACGAGAGTCTGTCGCAACCTGGTTACGCGGTTTCTGGGCTACTATGGCGCGAGAGTGGACCGGAATCGACGTGCTGCGAATGGAAAAGTTCCTGTTGCTCGTCAGGAGAGTTTTGGGAGCCAGTTTCAAGTGGATGAAGAAGGACGGAAGCTTGGGTAAGAGGACACATGATGGCCAAGAAAAAGCCGTGAAGACTGGGGCCTGGGATCAGAGCAAGGTGGACGAGGTATTGGGCTTGCTTGCCGAATGGCCGTTTTCACTGGCTGAAGAGGTGCGGATAACCCAGAGCTCTGAGAAGGGGGGTGAGATAGTACAAAAGATACCAGTGGGGATGAGGCTGCATGTGTTGGATATATGGGTTGACGAGGTGGAACGTGTCGGCCTGCTGAATGAGGACGAAGAGGAAGCACGCATGATCGTTCAAAGGATTTCAGACATGGTAGATGCTCTCGAGCAAACCACTAAGAGCCCAGCGGTGCGGACTAGGTCGAAGGATTCCTTGGGTGATGACAGACTTCCAGCCAACAGGAGACCTAACAGCAGCCAAGATCACGATACGAAGGACATGGGCGACAGTGACAGTTGGGAAGGATTTGATGACTAGATTGATGGATACCGAATGCTATGTTGCGAACTCATCCTCCACTTATTTTTTCCATCTTATTGTTGATTATGAAGCGTCTCGGTGCTCCTTCAATCGAACGATATGAGAGCGTAGGTATCTTGGGGTATCATCTTGCCCGGTTGGCATGTCGGCCAGATGTGCCTCAGTAGATTTGACATGCCTGGGGTCCCAAAATTGCTGGCAAAAGTAAGGTGTATATAGAAAAAAAATGGTGACCTGTTTCCAAGATTTTTAACATGTTGCTCAACCGACGCCCCCACCCCCTCCCCTCTCACCATTTAATACTCTTCCGTTGTTGCTCAAGGTGAATTAGGACTATGGCAAAATGTTTCGTTTCCAATTTGAATGGCGTGATTTAAAAGTATACCCCGGGGGATGTACTGGTACGTACATCAAACAGTGCCAAATGGGTACTCCGGGAAAGGCGGACCGAATATCCGGGTTCTCGAACCGTGGGAAATTGTCCGAAAAAAACTTAGCGCCAAACGGTTCGGGAGGATCGTCGTTGACGGAGATAAGCTTAGCGACCTAAGCCAACAAGCGTTCAGTGATCGTTACTGAGTCCCAATCCCGAGGGCCCGGGGCCTCAAAGATGCCCTTTTTCGAGAGAGTCAGACCAAGTCCTTGGTGGACTTCGGCCTGGAAAGGTTCCCACGGGATGGCTTCGCCGTCAATACTGATATATCCTGCTGTCTTTGTGCGTGGAATAATGCGGAATGCCGAAATTTTCCTATACGTTACGAGGGGATTGTCAAAAAAATGACCGGATTCTATCGATAATTGCAACCCGATAGCCTTAAACGGCGAGATATCACCATCCGTAGTGATGAGATCTATAAGTCCGTCGTTGGCGAGTGCGGCTGAGAAAAAGTTGGCATCTGGTGCCATGTAAGCCATCTAGTATTGATCAGGTTAGCCAAACAAACACCAACAACGCGTGGATAGACATCCTTTGAGGTAATATATTAGGGACAGAAAGCTTACATTTCCGCAGTACAAGCTGCCCAGTTTTTCGCAACGAATGAGTTCCCAACCCTCGGGTAACTCATCTTTGACGGTTCCATATTTCAAGGGAGGAAGGCCGAGAGCGTCGCCATCGCCGTTCGGGTCAGAGGGTTGCTTGTCGTTTGGCCTGTCAGATGCTGCGCTTGTTATCCGTTCCCGGTAGTGCTTTTTCACGGCCTGCTTGTCGTCGATCTCTACCTTGACCGCGATATCACATGGGTATGTTTTTTTCTGAAATGCGAGCTTAAGGAAACCGAATGTGAAGCGTGCGGCTCCCATCCAACGAAGATGCTCGGTGCCAAGGTCTACTTCTGCGATAAGACCGAAGGCCTGGCTCAGAAAACTAATAATGCGGCGGTCTCCTTGGGTGATGCTAACGAGATCCAGAGGCGTGGGTACCCCTTTAACGATAGCCAACGCTGCCAGGCTCGGACGGTGAGTGCCGTACAAGTTGCAGCTCATTGCATTGCCAGAGCCGCAGGGGATGTGGCACACGGCGATCTTGGACAGGGCGCGACGGGCGTCGGGACGTTTGGCGAGTCCATTGAAGACCTCATGCGGCAGGCCATCTCCAGAACACGGGACAGCGACGTCGTAGTCATCGATATTCAGTTCTTGAGCCAGCTCGACAGCCTGTCCAGAGTAACTTGTCCGCACCACGGTCAGGGTCATGCGAGCGGCCTCAAAGATGGGCCGGACCTGTTTCTCCCAGATCTTGTCGGCGCCGCCAGGGCCAGCGTGCGGGTTGACAAGAACCCAGGCGCGCTTGCGGCGTGCCGCACCGCCGGCGTAGGCATGGTCCAGCAAACACTCCAACCACGAAGCTACTTGATCGACGATGCCGGCAGGACTCTGCTCGAGAGTTTGGTCCGGAATGGCAAACTTGGCCCGGCGCGCTTCCACATGGTGGGCGCGCGTTTGTCCAGCGTAGTCTATGACGAGCCATCTGCAATCGTCAACAATCTCGGCCCAGAGGATGTTGTAATATGGAATGCGGTTTGGAGTGTCATTAGCTGCTGGGCGCAGTGTCAGCAAGCAGGAGGAATAGCCAAGGGGCGCCAATGATGGCCATAATCATGGTGTGGACATGGCAGCGCTCACCTGAGCCCCAAATTCCCAGACATGAACGACTCGGCTTGGATGCAAGCTGGCCTGCATTGGCAAAGCGCGAGCACAGAGGGAGAGCGTCAGTCACGAGCAATCGTCGGCTGATAGCGAGGCCAGTTCGCTTGTGGGTAGAGGGGCAACAAAACTTACAAGATAGGAGCAGGGCATCACTTCCAAGGGTGAGCGTTACACCCGGCGACAGGACGAGGACTCGATCGGTGTCACTGGAGAGATGTTTCGCGCTGTTGGCGGCATTGAGGCCATTGGCGCCATTTGCGGCGTCGCGCAGTTGGCTTCTATCAATCTGGCCTGAGGGCGCGCTTAGGGCCATTGTGCTCCAGGGTTGTTGGGATCTGTTTGCTTTCTGGTTCTTTTTTTTGTCGGTTCGGCCTGAGACGGTTGACAGCAACAGAAATTCTTTTCCCCCGACAACTGAGGACTGAGAAGTGCGGCGCGTAGCAATGACTTAATATTGAGGACAAAAAGCTACCAAACTACCACATGTGACGGTGTCTCGCGCAGCGCGTCTGTCCCTTCTGCCTTCGGCTTCAGCTTCGGAACAGGTGTAGGTAAGGTGGGTAGGATAGGGATACACGGCTCCAAGTGGCGATGCGCAGACTTTGAAAGCAGCGATACAACGGCACGGGTTATCTGCACATGTGGCGGCGCGGGAGCGGGAAGCAGCCGAAGAACCGTGAAGGGGAGTGCGGTAAGCGCAGGGCAGCCCGGAAGATACCAATGTGGCGTCGCTGGGGACCGGGAAAGCCGGACATCCAGGCTAACCCGGCGCCGAAGACCTCAACAACGCTCAAACTGCCCGTCTTTCTTCGCTTTTTCACTTTTCCCCTCCGCTGCCCTGCGTATGCGTCTCTTTAACTCTTGGCGGCTGTAGATGCTGCTGGACTGCGGAGATTTTTCTCCTGCGTATGGAGTGTTGGAAGGGCAAAGCGCAAAGAGTCGCAGGGAAATGCGACAAGAGCTCTGGGGTTTGGAGTCCGGTGGACCCCTGCGCTGCTAGCGGATGACCAGGCTCTCGGATTCCTTGCGGCCGAGCATCTGCAGCCTGCTGGCTTTGTTAGCGTCTCTTGTGTGCAGACCCATGCTCGCCAAGTCGTCACTCTCGGTCACTAACACGTAAGATACGAAAAGAGATCCGTTTACGTGCAATCGGTAACAAACGTGTAGTTTTATTGTAACAACTGAAACCCATATGCAGACACCATTATGTACCTTACATTACATACGGGTTAAGTAGGGGACATATTCGCTGCATGTACGGAGTAAGGTAAGCGGTAACATTACCCGAGAGCATGCAGCTCCTGGCGTGCTCCAGCAGTTTGGAATCATTTATGACGTACCTCACTTGCTATCATACAGCCCGAGCCGAGCACATATAACACTAGACAGCACCTCAGCGCATCAAGAGTTCACAAGAATGCTTTAATCATCACCGAAGTACGAAGAGCTATACGAGAATGCAAGGCCTGGGAGTATCATGGAACATTGAGCACAGCAATATTGACTATGGTACAAATCAGTACCAAGGTGTGCCCTCGAATGATAAAGTGCACCGCGTCGGAATGCCGGAGCTTTGGAATGCTGCCTAGATGATCAAATCCCACAAGATGAGCACGGTGCACAGCCCAGCAGCAGCGAAGAAGGTATACCGGGCAGGACTCGCCCTCCCTGCGCTCTTCTTAAGTTCTTTGTTTCCCTTGTCGATCCCCTCGGTGGCTTCAAAGGAGTCGGCAACGAGCTGGTCGATATGTGCTGATTGAGTGGCAAGGTTACTAACGAGGAGGTTTTGGAGTTCTGCAATTTCCAGCAGCGACTTTTCTGCCGTTCTATGATAGCACACGCGTTAGGGCCATCCATATGCGTGTCGGGAGGGAAGAGGGTTGTCACCAAACCTACCTAACTTTGTCCAGGGTGCTTTCAAGGTGCTTGAGCATGTCCTGATTACCTTTTTCGAACATCTGCCGTTGCTCCACGGTGAGATCATCGAACTCGGGCCTCCTCTTTTCCACTTCCTCAGCAGCCAGCCCTGTGGCACTGGTTATGGCCATGTGCACCGTGTCAGTCGAGGGCTTAGCAAAGCTCCCGTTCGCAGCTTCGTGCGTGTTGTTGAGCAGGGCCGTATGCCTCGTTTTTGCCAAAACATCCTTGCTCTTCTCCATCTCTCTTGCAAGACGGGTTTCCATCATACATTGCTGCGTCCGTGTCGCTTCCTGTAAGCGTGTTCTCAGGTACCATATAACGCTTTCTCGGTGTGCACCGAGCTGACGCGCGGCAGCCTCAAGCTCGGCCTGTTCTGCGCTCTTACCACCCGCAGCCCAAGAGCCCAGAACAGCCAGGCCGCGCGAAAAACGCTTCTTGAGTAGAGCTGCCTGGGTGTTTTGCCGTAGCTGCTCGGCATCCTCGAGTGAGCGAATCCTGGCATTCAGATCGCGGAGAGTCATCTTGGCGTTGGCATCAATTTCCTCGCGGTCGCGGTCCGTGAGATGAACATGTTGGCCAGGTCCCGTTCGGGATGCAGCGCCACGAAGGGCTGTTCTCCGGGGGGTGGCCGTCGATAGGTATGCTTGACGCAAGTTGCGAAGCTCGCTGTGTAGATGCGCGATGAGCGAGTTCTGAAGCGGCGAAAGGTCAATCCTGGTCAGTTTGGTGATGTATTGGGAGCTTGCAATGTTTGGACGGCCGGCAGTGGTATGTGGCCAGGGAGGATAGGAGGAGAGGAGAACTGAGAAAACAAAAGGGACGCACAATACGGTAGGCTTCCTTGAGGAACTCGTCGGTGGTGTCAGCGTCAAACGGCTTTGTCGGCGCAGCCTGATGCCCCCTAAGAAGGGCATCAAAGTCGCTGGTCAAGTTTGTCATATCGAGGTCCGTTCTTTCGGCAAGGAGGATTGGCAGTGCGAGACCAGTGAACGTGTCGTTGCCGTCGGTGCGGCCATCTCTTCGTTTGCCCACCAGGTACTTCATAACCTGTCAAGTTGTAACGTAACACTTGGATAGGTAACTCGCGCCCCGCTGTTTGCCAAGACTTCCATACCTTGCCTTCCAAGTTTCCTACACCCCACAACCCAAGAAGGCGTCTCGATAGTTGCGAGCATTGCCGATGAGTAAGAAGTATCACGAGCCCATGAAAAGACCATGCCTCTTGTCATAAGGGCTTCTAATTGTTTCTTTTGTTCATAGTCGATCGATACGAACTGCAACAAGCTAATGATACTAAGACAAGACCGGGTTGTGGAAGTCCAGAAGTAGCTTTGCGATGTCTCGTACACAGCGCACGTTTTTGCTATGGAGACAATACTGTAGATTATCTATTCGGCTACCTACCTTCTTCCTAAGTGCGGTGGGTAGAAGTTCCAGGTCGCTGTAGACTGAATGGCCTGGGTGAATTTGTGCGTTTTGGTCAAGGTTTCCTTCACAGGCTCATCGCTGATGTCTGCTGCCGGTCCAGATCAAGGATGTGATACCAACATCCGTAATTGCGTTGTGTTGTGTTTGTTGATACTACAAATCAGATAACTAGCCATGCGGCCTCCTACACGGAGTACGGTACCCAAAAGCCTGCCTGCACATCAGCTTGCTGGCTCTTCCCGATGTGGTGGCACCTAAGGCCGGTTGCCCCCAGCATATGGCAACAGCACCATCACACCGTTTTGACGGAGTGTGGGAACACCGTCTTCTCTCCTTAGATCCGCCACGGTGGGACCCGGGCGGGATCGCTGCGCTGGCCCGCTTGGGGGCCGAGATCCCCTCTACCACAGGCTTTTTGTTTGCAGGCGGAAGCACCATGCCCCCCTTGTCGTCAACGCCGACAGAAGTCACACCAGACACCGACTAGCCCGGCTTTTCACTCCCGGTTAGCGGAGCCGGAGAACGATATATGCGCTGCGAAATACAGGTTTCCTACACAGCAGGTAGTGTAAACAAATAGCTTTCGGTAAGTCGTATTTGGTTCGGGTATAATCCTGGAATTCTTTGGCCTTTCGCTTTCTGCGCCTGGGAGGAATTGGAACTGGGACCCAAACGACAGAAATAGAATTTTACCTTCATGGTGTGTTGGTGTTGGCTGCTGTGCTAGCTGTACTGGTCCGCCGGGAGTGCTCGAATGCACGAGTCGAAGAGTTCCATATCGTGTCAGAGGCAGCTCAATGACGCCAATGCTTCCGGCGCCAACCGCCTGCGCCCGTCTCGGGCCCCTGCCCTGCCGGCTCCCAGGTGTACGGCCTCTCCCAGGTTCTGGCCGATACCGCAGTCCCTTCTCTCGCCTTGCCGTTCCAAGGCCAAATGATTTGCTGGACAACGCGCCCTGACCTGTACGTGGGCGCCAGTTACCATGCCTGGCCTAAAGCTGCAAAAAGTCGGCGAGATATCTTCTTGACTGTTTTTCGCTGTAGGTCTAGTTTCGTCTAAGGGCCCGCTTGTTTCCCCACGCTCTCTCACGGTTTTACCGGCAATAAGAACAACGACAAAAAAAAAAAAATAAATGAGACGACTAGCCTGCAGCCCCAGGTTCTGTCCAAATTTCCTGGCCTTCCAGCCCTGTCCGCTGCCTTTATGCAAAAGCAGTGCTACAATCATTCATCGGCTTGAGAGACTGACTGGACGCCCACCTGTTATTCTGTTCCCTCCCTTCGCCATCTGTTCTCGATCTGGAGAATTCTGGCAATGAACTTTGCCCGTCTCTCGCCTACGTATCGGCATGGATCCCAGCAGGATGCTTCCGCCGTCGTCGAAACAACTGGGGAAAAGCTCTTCGATCAGACTATCCTGCTATCTCTGCCATCATTGGCAATGTGCCCCAATACATCCGGCGCTGCCAACGTCGTCCCTGCCGAGGGCAACGAGCTCTCGGAGAGCAGTAACGCCGCTCTCGAGCCCCAAGCGCTTCGTCAGATCTCCAGCGGCTCTGTGTACAGCGTCTTCTCCAACCCAACGAAAAGATGGATAATCGCCATGGCCTCCTTTGCCGGCTTCGTATCCCCTATGACAGCCAACATTTACTTTCCTGCCCTAAACTCCATCGCCAAAGATCTCGATGTCTCTGTCCATCTCATCAACTTGACCCTAACAACCTACATGATATTCCAGGCCATTGCCCCTACGCTGGTTGGTGACTTTGGGGACATGGCTGGAAGGAGACCGGCTTTGTTGTTTGTTTTATCGTTTACATGTGCGCCAACCTGGGTCTCGCCCTCCAAGACCACTACGCTGCCCTCCTGGCATTGCGTATGCTTCAGAGTGCCGGTAGCAGCGGAACTCTGTCATTGTGTTTCGCCTCGGTGGCTGATGTTGCTGTCAGCGCTGAAAGGGGAAAGTATATGGGCTTTGTTGGCGCCGGCATCAATATTGGGCCTGCTCTGAGTCCTGTTTTGGGCGGTATATTGGCTGAGTACTTGGGCTGGCGAGCTATATTCTGGTTTTGTCTCATCTATGCGGCTGTGTGGTTGATTCCATATGCTTTGGCCGTGCCTGAGACGTGTCGGAATGTCGTCGGCAATGGTTCGATCCCAGCCCGGGGTTGGAATATGACACTCATTGATCTCTTCCGTCGCCATAGAGACAAGGAGTCTCAGACGATCGAGGCTGGCGTCCCAAAACGCAAACTACGGTTTCCAAATCCAGTTCATTCCCTCCGGGTTGTTTTCGAAAAGGAGCTTGCATTGCTCCTCATGTATAATACCCTCATCTACCTCGTCTTCATACTCATTGCTGCCACCGTATCTACCACCTTCGCCGATATCTACCATCTTAACGACCTCGAGCTCGGTCTTTGCTATTTACCATATGGTTTTGGCTGCTGCGTGGCTGCTATTGTACAGGGATACATCTTAGACTACAACTATCGCAGGATAGCCCGCAAGATTGGTTTTACCATTGACTACAAGCGCGGCGATGACCTAAGCAAGTTCCCTATTGAGAAGGCCCGCCTCATGCCAGTCTACCCTATTTTATCTGCTGGCATCATTGCCGTTATCTGCTACGGTTGGGTTCTACAGTTTGAAACGAATTTGGCAGGACCTCTTGTCCTGCTTTTCGTAGTCGGCCTCTGTGTCACAGGATCTTTTTCCATTCTCAACACACTCGTTGTCGACCTTTACCCCGAGGCCCCAGCAACAGCTGTGGCTGCCAACAACTTGGTGCGCTGTTTGTTTGGTGCAGCGGGAACTGCCTTTATCGAGTCCATGCTTCAGGCGATGGGCAGGGGCTGGACTTACACCTTTTGGGCACTTATCTTGGTCATCTTTTCGCCAACACTTTGGGTTTTGTCAGTATGGGGACCCGAATGGCGAGAAGAAAGGAGGGTTCGGAAACTCAAGGCTAAGGAGCAGGAGACCAAGGGAAAGCAAGCAGCGGAAGGGAGTTAAGGTCATAACTTGGCCGATGTGGTCTATGGACCATAGAAAAGTTGGTTGTGGGGTGATTGAAGCTTCGGATGAATGTCATTTCTTAGAGCTCGTGAAAAAAAAGATAACAACAGCCACCACAACCAGATTCGAATATGCAGGAGCTGGGATTTGCACCCAGGTTTCCACCTTGGAAGGGTGGCGAGTTAACTACTACTCTACTCCAGCTTCCGTGTTGCTGGTTTGCTTTAGCAAGTGAAATTGTAAATGTTGTTCGAAGCTTAATCATCAAGGCCCATGCCAGAGTGTTTATCGATCACACAATGATACCTTGCTTATACATCAGCCACAAGTACCTCATGAAATATCTGGATGTGGAGCCTAGGAAGCAAGCATACATTGAAGCCGTTTCCTCACACTCATCTCCCATTGACTATTATAAAGAGACACGATCAGACGTCATATATCGCGGTACGTATTCACTAAAAGACGAACTCACATAAGATTGGCGGCAGTCATCTTCTTCAACCAGAACTCGGCATAAAACAGTCATCCATGTTGATCGTTATCCGGAAAGTACACGAATCCAGAGAGCCTTTGTAAAACTCCGTTCATACAGAATCAACCAAGTCCTCGCCTACCCGAGATGACGCAGACCCCGATGGTACCCACGTCCTCCGCATAATTAAACACAGAAAATACAGGCCATATTTCTATGCCCGACCCGTCAACCGCGACCACCATGAACTCCTCGGTGTTGGAACCGCATCCATTAAATTGGATGAAGCCCTCCTGCTATCCCCTTTCCGACCATCACTGCCATCTGACCCACCGTAACGCCTATCCTTTTCGCGGTAATACCTTGAGCGTTCCCTTTCCCTTTCCCTCCCCTTTTCTTTCTCCCTCTCCCTCTCACGCTCACGCTCTCTCTCCTCGCGCCTCCTCCTCCGCCTTCTTTCCTCATCATACTCTTCCTGAGTCATGCCATTACCCGCTGCTTCAGCTTCAGCATACCCCGTACGGCGCCTGGCCCGACGAACCTCGCGATGGGCTTCCTCGTCACCATACTCTGGCATGTGGTCCTCCATAACTCGATGGGGCGGTGGGGGAGGGGGTCCCGGCATCGGTGGAGAGTGATCCATCATGACAGATTCGATCATGGGTTCATCGGGCGGCGGGGGAGCGTCCGAGTGCTCCTTAACCCATGAATCGGTTCCTGAATGTGGCCAAGAGCCTGTATTATGGTTATCACGCGACGTCCGGCCGTATGTGTACTCGTCGAGAAGTTCTGACTTGCGCCTAGCATGGCGCTCTTCGCGTTCCCTGGCCTCTCGGGCCGCCCGCCGGGCCTCGCGACGACGACGACGCTCTTCTTCATCCTCGTACTCGGAATATTCAGCGTAGCGATGATGATGGTTATGTTCACGGTCGCGATGGTGATGGCGGTGACGGCTGGTGCTACGATGGCGCTCGTGACGGCTTTCCCTTTCCCTGGTCGCACGGCGCGCTTCAACTTCGGCCTCGGCCGCCATGGCCGCCTCAAGCTCGGCGCGGCGACGCCTGCGTTCAGCACGAATCGCTTCCTTTTCCTCCATAATACGCCGCTGCTCCTCAGCACGCCGGCGTTCTTCGGCCAAACGATGTTCCTCGACAAGACGCCGCTGTTCGGCAAGTCGACGCTCTTTGGCGAGACGACGCTCTTCAGCCAGACGACGCTCCTCAGCCAGACGACGCTCCTCAGCCAGACGACGCTCTTCTGCTTCTTGCAAGCGTTGTGCCCGGCGCTCAGCGCGACGGGCTTCCTTCTCGGCTTGGCGGCGTGCCTCCTCTTCCTCTTCAAGTCTCCTGCGCCGTTCTCGACGGGCTTCTTCCTTAGTGCGGTGAGCTTCTTCCGCGGCACGCTCGGCAGCGGCCCTCTCCATGGCTTCCTTCTCTGCTCGACGGGCACGACGGGCGGCGCGGCGTGCTTCCCGCTCTGCATCTGTTTCATCCACCGGCCTGCCCAAGTCGTCGTCCGTGGTGCAATACGCAGTGGAACGTCGACGAGGCTCTGAGCGCGGCTCTGGACGCGGCTCCGGCATGGGCTTGTGATAGAAAACACCACCGAGCAGAGATGAGAAGCCGGAGTGCTTTTTACTGTTCGAGCTGGAGCGCTTTAAAGGCGACCTCGAGGGCGTTGCGTCTGCTATGTCGGGCATGACGATGTCATCATCTCGCACATATTGCTGGATATGCATGCTCGGGTTAGCTACTAAGCCCATAGTACTGCTTGGATGTAACTCGTGAGATGTGAAGGGAATGCGGCTCACCTTTGGCCGGTGATGTTCAAGTTCCATCCTGTCCGGACTGGGAGTACGCCTGATTGCGCCGGCCATCAAATATTCTTCCTCAACCCTCTTCCCACGCTTGCTAGCCGATCTGGAAAGGCCAGGGGCAGCGATGCCACCTGAGGACACACCAAAGACTTTGGCGGCCTTCGTAGTAGAGACTTCTTCGGGAGGAGATCTGGAATGATCGTCCCCGTTGACATCGACCGAATGCCTCCGGGAACTCAACTTGCCCGTCATGCTGTACCGTTTTTCCCGCGCGGAAGCTGAACGTGCGAGGACGTTGGGGTGTCGGGCAGGAGTCTCTTTGAAAGACTCCCTGACACGGGGTTTCTCTGTCTTGTCCAAGCTTCTGGATGATGTCCTTTCAGGCTTCTCTGGCGAGCCAGGCATTTTCCTCGAGCTAGACTCTTCCTTTTCGATATACCTAGACTTGGACGAGGACTTCTTTAAATCCTTGGCTGGCGTCGCTGCTGTCCACATACCCCACGACGTTGACCCATCACGATGAACCTTGGGTCGCTCCTTTCTAGACTCGCGAATTGTGACAGGACTCATGACGGAGGGGGCATCGGGCACGGCAGGTGGCGCATCGAGCACAGGAGGTGCCTCAAGCATGGGCGGCGCATCAGGGACAGCCAGCGGTGCGTTAGTTACAGCAGGGGGGACTGTGATGGGAGCATCGGGAACAGCAGGCGGCGGCGGTACGGCGGGAGTGCTGGCGATCTCGCCGTCGCCATTATCAGAACCGCTTGCAGCCTGCTTGCTTCGTTTCTCATCGCGGTCTCGGTCTCGGTCCTGCGCTATTTCCTTTGCCCCATCATCCTTCTCACTGCGGGCATATTCCATTTCGCCGTCACGATGCTCGTCCTCGCTGAAGTGGAAACCGCCAGGCACGTCGTCGTCAGCCATTTTTGGCAAGGCTTGTGGCACCTGACTTGATCTTGATGTTTCGGCCGGCGTCTTGTTTTTTTCCTGTTTTGTTTTCCGGCGAGTGTCTTTGTCGCTGTTGCTGTCGCTCTCACTGTCGCTGTTGTCACTATCGCTATCGCTCTGATCACTGTCTTCACTATCTTCGCTCTTGTCCTCGAGGTCCTGGAAAGTGCACAGACGATCGGCGATCCTTTGGCCCACCATTCTTCTGCACTTCTTGAGCTGGGCCATGTCAGCTCGCGGTGCTGGCGCCCGGCCCTCTTCAGCCATTGCGGCTTCGTTTACGGTAACACGACCAGGGTCGCTGGCTGTGGCATCTCCGGGCTGGGATGACTCAGCTGGCTGAGGAGGGGGAGGGGGAGTAGGAGCAGGCGAGTGAAAGGGAGGGGTGGTGGCATCATGTGCCTCAGGTAACGATGAGGTCGAGCTCTTTTTGGACTTTGTGCTCGATTTTTTGCCAAGTCCCCAAAAACTAAAAGCGTCTCCCCCTGCAACTCCGAATGCTTGTCTGAAAATGCTTGTGGTAAATGGAGCTGGTTTCTCCTCTTTGGCCTTTTCGGCCGGATCGGCCAGAAGCTCATCGATTTCTTCGGCGACGGGGTTGACATCCTTGAACCCGCCGTCGTCATCAATACCGGCATGCTTGGTGCCTTCCTTTGCATCCTCCAGTGCCGCCTGCTCGGCCTGCACTTCAGCCACTTCTTTGACTCCCACCTTCGCCAGTTCTGGGGCATCCTCCTGCGCTGCGTCGAGGGCCTCATCCTTGTCTATCTCGAGCGGTTCCTCCACTACCTCTCCTCTCGGCTCTAGGAACTCAAGTTTTTCCTCAGCCTGCTCTCCCTTCTTCTCCCTCTCCTTCTCTTTCTCCTTCTCCTTTTTCTCCTTTTCTTCTCCTTCTTCTCCTTTTCCTTTAGTCTCTCCCTTTCCCTCTCCTTCTCTTTCTCCTTCTCCCTTTCCTTCCTTTCCTTTTCCTTCTTCTCCTTTTCTTTCTTCTCTTTCTCCTTTGCCTTCCTTTCCCTTTCCTTCTCCTTCTCTTTCTCTTTCTCCCTTTCCCTTTCCTTCTCCTTTTCTTTGCTCTTGCTCTTATGCTTGGACTTCTCGTCTTTCTTGCTCTTCTTATGGGTGGTTGGGACTTCGTCTAGCTCAGGCTCTTCTTTTATTGGTTCGGGCTCAGTTGCAAGCTCCGGTTCTACATGTACTTGAGGCTCTGCTGATGTTCCTGGCTCTTCTTGAGTCTGTGGCTCAGCGTCGGGCTCTGGCTCAGCTGCAGGCTCAGATGTTGGCTCTGGTTCGGGTGCTGGCACGGGTTCAGGCTCTGCCGACGAATCCTCCAATTCTGTCAAGGTTTTCTTGGTTTTTGCTTCAGCCTTAACTTCGGCTTCGGCAGGTGCTTCGGAAGCCTCAGCTTTTCGTTTGCGTTCGGCCTCTTCCTCAGACTCTCTGGTGGCTTGTTCTTCTGCAAGCCGTCGTGCTTCAGTCTCTGCAGCCTTGCGGGCAGCCTGTTCCAAGGCCTCCTTAGCAGCTCGTTCCTCTTCCTGCCTCTTCCTTTCGGCCTCTTCGGCCTTGTGTGCTGTGATCGCTTCTTTTCGCCGCTCAATGCTTGCTATCAGTTGTTTTATCCTCTGAACATCGGCGCTGGTAAGCTTTTTTTTCTTTTTATTTCTGAGGATTGCAAGCTCTCTTTCTTCATCCGCCAAATCTTCGGCTTCTTTCATCCAGCGCTCTTCCTCTTCCCGTCGCCGTTGCTCTTCCTCTTCGCGGGCTTTCCGTTCCTCCTCTTCGGCATACTGGCCGAGTTCTTCCTTGGCCGCTCTCAGTTCGACTTCTCCCATCGCATCGTCTCCCCATGTACCCCAGCCGTCATCATTCGCTCTGTCGTCAGCGCCTTCAAAACCAATATTCCACGACTTAAAAAAGTCATTGTTGTCCAATGAGGCGGGATCTTTGGCTGCAGACTTGGGTGTATCTCCTAGATCAATATGGTCCTTGTTTCTAGTTTCCTCCTTCTCCGCTTCCTTTTTTTCCTTGTCTCTCTTGGACGAAGATCGCGTACTTGAGCTGTCGTCCTTTTTTATTTCGGGTTCAGGATCTGGGTCTGGTCGTTTTTCTGTCTCCTTGGCGGTTTCTGTCTCGGGTTCCCATTTTAAATCTGGCTTATTCTTTGCGTTCTTCTTCTTCGTCTTACCCTTTTTTGACCCGCTCACAGCCCAGCCGTCGTCCTCCTTCTCATGAACAACCACTTCTGGTTCCGGCTTTGCTTCCAGAGTCGAGGTCGTTTCTGGCTCTACTGTCCTGGAAACTTCGCTAGCGGCCTTCTTCTTTTTCCTCTTTTCTTTCTTGCTGAGTACCGGAACGGGCCAAAGATCATCTGCCCGTTCCAGTTGCAGCTCCAATTCAGGCTCTAGTTCCTGCTGCGGTTCAGGAGCAGGGGGGTCGGCTGGCTGCGTGTTTGGTTGTGCTTCTGACACCGGCTGACGTTCGGGCACTTGCTCCGGCTCGTGACTTTTTGCCCTGTTCTTATTCTTATCTCTGAGTGGCCAAAAGAGGCCCCATGACTCGCTTGTATCGTCAACATTCTCTGAGGCCGGTTCCTGAGTGAATTCTGGGGCTTTGCTCTCCCCTTTATCAACGGAAGAACTCTTCTTTTCCTTGCCTTCCGTCCTACGGGTACCCCAGGACCAGCCGCTCTCAGATTCTTCCTTTGTCTCCTCTAGAGTTGCTGGAGGCTCTGGAGCCGGCGGTGGTGCCTCCGCAGCAGTGCGGATTGGCTCTAAGATCTGCTCTGGCTTAGGTTGCGGGTCCTTGGTTTTCTCGGTGTCGTCGATGTAGTCCTTCTTCTTTTTCTTTTTGTCTTTCTTGTCCTTCTTATCTTTCTTGTCTTTTCTGCTGGATTCCCAAAGAGATGCACTATCGAACTCCTCTTTTGTCTCTTCTGCAGGTGCCGGAGGGTCTGGAGCCTGTGGTGGCGGCTCTGCGGCGGGCTCTGGAACAGGATTCGGATCGTCTAGTGGCTCGATGCTGGGCGTTGAGGTATTCTTCTTGCCATCCTTATTCTTCTTGCCATAGGACCAGAACCAGCTGCCGCTCTCAGATTCCTCTTTCGTTTCCCTCGTTGTCTCTACAGGAGTCGCCGGTTCTGGTGCTGGCGGGGGCGGCGGCGCAGGGGGCTGTTCCGAGACTCTGATCTCTTCCACGATGCTCTCTCTTTTCTTCCTCTTTTTCTTGTCTGGCTTGGACGTCAACCCCTCCTCCACAAAGTTGCCCTCAACTGTTTTTTCACCCGCCTTCGTCTGCTCTGCAGATTGGAGCTGCTCCCCTGGACTTGCTGTGCTCTCTTTCCTTTTGTCTTGGACAAAAGGTGCGCTTTTACAGAACTCGTCATTGCCATCTTTCTTCTCAGGAGTCGTATCGGAAGGCGGGGCAGGCTCGGAGTCCCTGGAAACTTCGTCAGCAGCTCCGTTCTTACCTTTCTTCTTCTTCTTCTTTGCTGTCGTGTCCAATAGCAAGTCTGCTTTAGCAGAGTGCTCAGGGAAAGGCCTGGGTTCAGGTTCTGCGGGTTGCGGCACTGGTTCCGCGGGCTTGGGCTTGGGCACTGGCTCTGTAGGTTTGGTATTGAAAGGTTTTGAGGACTCCGTTGCTATTGTTGTTCTCTTTTTGTTAGCTCCCCAGAAAGCCCAGGGATCCGAAGGTGCAACTTTCTGGGGGATTTGGATCTTTGGTTCTTCCACCAGAGTGCCCCGCATTTTGTCATTATTATTATCCCGACCCACAGAAATATCCCGCCGACTACTGGAGCGCCGGTCATTGTCAATCGCGGGCTCCATATCGATCGGGTCGTCATCTGGCTCTCCGAACCCAGACGATGAGAAGGTGCTCTTTTTGTTTTTGCTGCTGCTGGAGCTCCAGGGGCTGTCGTCGGTCCCGACGCCATGAAACTTTGGCTTATCATCCACCGTGCCCTTGATGACGGCGGAAATCAGGGAAGAAGGATTTGTCAAGATGGAACTCCAACCGAATAGATGCTTTTTCGTCTCAAACGCTTGGTGATGGAAGTCAGAGGAGGACCTGTTATCCAGCTTGATGCTTTGGAGAGAGTCGGTTTTACCACGCGCTGGCTCCTCTGCTGGGGGGTCAGGGGCGGATGGTTTCTGTTCGTGTAGCAGAGCAAAAGCAGAAGTAGAGGACGCAGCGGTAACTTCCGCCTTGGCCTTTTTCATCTTGTCGCCATTGGCATTGACCGACGCCGATTCAGCGGTCTTCGAGTCCGCAATAGTCGGGTGAGTAGACTCTCTGTCCCTCTGTTTCTCTCCATCATCTTTCTTCTCGTCCTTGGTTTCTTTGCTCTTCTTCGCCCCGGCCTTTCCCTCGTCCTTTTTGCCGTCGTCTCCGTTTCCCCCGTCTCCGCCAGGGTTGCCCGGATTATCGCCTGGAGCATCACGACCAGTGTCGCCGCCGTTCACATCCCCCGCTTCTTCACTGTCTTGTCGGCTATTGTTGCTGTTGTTGTTGCCACTACCCGCACCACCACTGCTGTTGTAGAGCCTGTTATTGGTGGCCTTCTTTTTCTGCTTTCTGGCGGCTTGCCGAAATCCGTGGTCGCTAGTAAAGTCGATTTTGAAGAACGCGGTGGGATCTACTGCTGGGTCGTTTCTCCGTTCGGTCCGAGGGCAAGGGCAAGGGCTAGGAATGACCTGTGCCTGTGCCTGCGCTGTGTCGATAGCAGGTTGGCTCCCCTCTCCGAGCCTTTGCCTTCTTGCAAATGTACCGCTATCTGTCGGATCACTGGGCTCAGCAGGGTAATGCGGGTCTTCTTCAAGATTCGGCGCGCGGGGCCATTGTGGCGTAATACAAGGAATGATGAGTGTGTTCGAAGTCGGCCGCGGGCGATTTGGATTGCGTTGTGCTTCCTGCGATCACATTTAGTCAAATGCCATCGACATGAGAAGGGCAGTGAACCGTGAGTCCACAAAGCCTTTGAGAGACAGGCAGCTAGCGGCCTCTCCTCCTCAAAGAGCCCATAGAAGGCGCAGATGAACAGAAGGCATCTCAGCCTCACTGGCCCTCATTGCCCATTCTTGTTCTCTTGTGTGATTCTTACCTTCAAGCTAGCGCACAGTTCGACCCAAGTCCGCGCAATAAGAGCTAATTGGGTTTTCAAGGTAGAAATCTCGTCAATCCATGCTGGCCCGCAATCCCAGTCCCCGCCTAATCTCCACGATCGTGGCCGGATAGGAGGGGTCTGGATGGGGCAAAACGCCCAGCTGTCGAGAGCGTTGATGACACCGACAGCAGCCATTCTGGGAGTCAAATGCGCTAACTTGACGATCGCGGGCTAAGGGTTTGTCAGACACATGTGGGCGCTGGAGCTTGTCTGGCGACTACCGGCAGCGACGTCGCGACGCCAATGAGAGCAAATTGAATGCAGAGAAAGCGACGACGAGCGTAGGTACTGGTAGGCAATTCGCGAATGCAACGGATCACAGGATGCCAGCGACGATATCGTTGAAGTAGATGTTTCAGCGCGCAAGCAGAACAGCGAATAGTGGGTGCTTGGTGGGTGTTGACTCGACCGCTTCGTCAGGGCCATGCCCCCTACCCCCCCCCTTTTTTTTCGAGAAACACAACTTCTGTCACGCAGAAGCTGAATGAGATTCGTCGCCTGAGGCCGATAGCTGCCGTGTCACTGGGGCCAATCGCCAGACGGGATCTGGAAGGGAGATGCCGGGAAAGAGGATTGGTGGTGGTGGTGATAGAGAGCGCTGCGTCGTGCGACCACACCGCTGATGATTGCGACTGCTGTGTAGCTGATATGCTATGTGCTGTGTGTCGCCTGTGAAGTCTGTGAGTCGCGCAGATGCCCCAGCCTTGCCGGGGCTGTCAGTAGGCAAGAGGGGGGAAAAAACAAACAGAAAAGTCGAGGACGCAACAGCTGACGAGGATGCGGCCGCACGGGTGGTTGCCGGCCACAAAGTTGAGCTATTTAAGACGAAAGGCTGATGGGCATTGGCTGATTCAGTGGATGACAAAAGTGAAATGAATGAATACTGAATGCTTGAATGAGTGAGAACTTGGAGTTTCCATACTTCATCCATGCACGCCGGAGCGTTGGACGCTAGACGCTGGATGGTGGATGGCCAAGAGCAATACCCTGCGGCCGTGGCATGCACCCCTCTCCCTGGCTCTCCCGCAGCATGACCCGTCGGCAGCAGGGCTGCGGGCTGCACCTGGGTACCTCAGGCAGGCTCGGGGGTGCTTCGAATCAGGCAAGGTACGTACTTAGGTACCCTGTTGGAATCCTACCTTGGGAAAGTCCTCTTGCTCTAACCAATTCAGTCCTCATGTAATCCGTACTCGCGAGTGCTGTTGGGTACGGAGGTTTGTAGGGTTGAGATTATGAAGCATAGAATCGGTATAATCCATGATCGTAGATGTATCCTTCTCCTTAACAGGCGCTGCGTCCAAACTTAACACTTAGTCAGGCGGCTGATTGTAAGCAAAATGTCTTGGGTACCTAACCCACACTAAGTAGCGTCGATGGGATCATATGACGTTGATGGCTTGAGCAATGTAAACTACTAAAAGCGTTTGTTGTTGACAACCGACGACAAACGCGGGAGGTGAAAAAAAGGTCCAGTGCTCAATCAGATGAGCTTCACTGTTGATTGCATGTGTCTCTAAGGTACATTTCCTATGATTTGCACTCCAGAATCTGTACTCTCCAGAGCCACAACCACGCGCACCTGCATAGTGTCAACAAGCACTCCTCATCTGTTCCCCTCCGCCCATGGCTCCATGCCCAATATTGCTCCACTGATGGTCATGTGGGGTGTTTTGCCTAAGATACCTATGTATAGGTAGGCACAGCGTTGGCAGACTGCAATGTGGGGAAAGGTAGACGTGAGTCGCATGTGGACGCACTACTTACGGGTTCCAGTTTGGGACAGCCTACGATATGCCTGGCTATCTGTGGATAATCGCGGCCAGCACCTGGCCCGATACCTCGGTCACCAATGTCCTGCCAGGCCAACAACCAAGCCACAGTAGTCGTCCAAGCAAACAGTCCGACTATTACTACTTTTTATGGAGCTGTGATGCTGCGCGTGCAGTGCTGGTGCTGTTGTCCGTCACGTCACGGGCGACTTCATGAGCCCTCCAGGCACATGGAAGCTAGACGCTCGAAACTGGAACGCCACAGAGTCAAAGTTTGCTAATTCCAGGATCGATGGCTGGGTGGTGGGGCCTGACCTTGTCGTTGGCTACCCACAGCAAAGGTGCACTGTGTGGCCAATCCTGTCACAGAATGAACTGCCACACCGTCTCGTCATCTTCACTGGGTCTTGGACCTATTTAAACTGTGACATAACGTCGTCACATTACTCGCTTGTTAGTAGCTGCCCTTCAGGCCAGACTTTGGTGAACGCTAAACGCGTCATCCCAACATGACCATCATTCCAAGATGAGCATAGCAGAAGCTTGAAACCATGAACCTCCAGCCAAATGTACATTGGGCTGTGTTCTTAAGCACTGAATCAAATGAGCGCCCGTCTTGCACTTCCAAAATCCAAAGGTGGGGTATAGCCAGATCAGGGAGGGGTGTTTCGGTAACTTACAAAGCTGCCAGACGCTTTCAAGCGCGTAGCGTTCGTGACACGGTTCCCAACCACCTGGCAAGAAGACACTTAAAACGGCCGAGAACAGCGGAAGAAGAGAAAAAAAAAGAGAGTTACACTAGACACACTACATATTAACTGGGTAGGTATGCAACATATGGGCTCAGGATGTGCTGATTTACTCCATGCTGGTCTTAATCCTAAAAAAACGCATCGGAAGACTTCGATCCTCGCTCACGTAGGGTTTTTGCTTTGCCAGGGTCTTTTTGAGAGCCCCGCACTCAAAAATGGTGGTCACAGTGTCTGTCCATCCAGTCGAACGGTGGTGACTTGCATCGCATGGACGGCGGCGATCTTTCAAAACGCACAACACACGATGCCTAACATCATTCACTTCGTGCCCTGGTCATAGCCTGCCCCGCATATTTCTGCGTAGAGGTAATAGTCACTTGCAATACCTACTATCTACAAATATAACTTTATATCTAAGGTCAAGACCTTTGATATAGATAATTATATCTCAGGTTTGTAGCTCTGTTGGATGTAATGCCCGCTGGCCAGACAGCTGCTGGACACTTAGCAGAAACACGCGAGAAAAGCACATCATCTGTCTTGTGACTCTTGTCATGTCTGCGGGGCTTTGGAAGGCGGGGATATCGCCCCCCAGGTCTTGAGAACCATTGTCCAGTCAGACAAAAGCTATCATCACTCATCACCTAGTCAAGTTCCATGCGTGCAGTCACCCTCGGACGAGGCTGTACCGGCAGTGTCGCCGGCACATATTTTGCCTCTGCCTGCGTTCTTGGTTGGTCTCTCTGCTTCACCGCCAGATAGAATATATGAGCCGACCGGTTGAAGTTGGTGTCTGCATGCCGTTAAAGATGCAGCATTCCCATGTTGTTGGATCATTGGACAGCAGACGGAACCGCAGTCCAGCATCTACTGCCCGAGCCTCGAGAACCAGAGATTTCCATCAATGTGTAGAAATTTGTCCTTTCACTTTGAATAAACACAGGCACCGATAATTACAACCCGGCCAAATTAAACCGGGCATCAGATCGACTTTGTTATCTCTCAATCAGGGTCCATAGTTTGTTTGAGCCCTATCGCAAGTTGCGAATCCCACATGGTTGAATGCACGTCGATTGAAACGTTCGCTTAAGCCTCTGCAATTGTTTAAGTTTGAGCGCTTGTCCGAGGCTGTTAGTGAACATGCAGGCCGTTTCGCAATGTGTTGCGCGACATAATGCTCCCCGCCATACTGGACCCAAAGCCGTCTTGCTCGCCAAGCCAATGGTCATTGCGTATGCCTGGTAATCTTTTCTTTCCATTTGTGCTAGGTAGTAGCAAGCTGCATGGAGAGCAAAGGATCTAGCCATGCCTCAACAAAGAAGCGTCCCGGGATACTTGCACGGCAAGATGACGTTAGCCCTTGTCATTGCGGAGTGTATGCTCTACCCAAGCTTGGGCGTGGGGAAATATCCCTATCTCTCCTCTTTGACCAGCATTGGGGCTCGCTCCCGTGACGATGGAATAGAGACGTTGCAAAGGTCGCGGCTGTAATTATATTTGCTTACGCCACCTTACATAGTTACTTTCTCCGCTGTCCAGTTGCTCTTCGCTCTTCGTCAATTGCGACCGGGGAAAGGTGCACCAAGCATGCTTTGAGTGGGCAACCAAATTGGCTAACCCCTGTGGGCTGGGTAGGCTTTGCTGTTGTGGACTTTCACGGTTTGGTTCGTTGATCTCTGAACCCTCCCTCACTGTACCCCTCACAGGAGATTTATTCGGCCAACAAAGACCAAGCTGTTTTTCTCCTGACTGGGTTCGCAGCTTTTGTTATCATCTCCATCTGCACCTTTCCAGGCTGCTGCTTCTCTTGGTCCAACCTAAACACTATCCCGTCGTCCCCCTAAACCCGTCAAAGCTCAACAAGCAATAACCTATAGCACCAGCCCGTGATGCCTACATAGAATCTATCGCGAGAAATGGCAAAGCAAACTGTTACCATGGCCTTCTTGCAAACCCGCTTTCGCGTCATCAACCGCGTGCCCATTCCCTCGATCGTTGACCCCCAAGCTGCTCGTACCTATCTCGGCACCTACGAGTCTCTGATAACACCCAATCCCTATTTGGAACGGTACGAACTGCGAACGCTAGATGCCGCAGAGCAGGAGGAAATCCGACGTGACCCTTTCTACCCTCCCAACACAACCCACTGGCAAGGCTACACTGTCTACGAGCGCGTGCCCATCATCCCAGGAGCCGGAGACTGGGCAACAACTGTGGTCGAGATCCCCTGCATCTTTTTAACTTCAGAGTATGGCGTCCTATGTCGTGGTGATGCAACTGGCGGCGTGACAGTAAAAAGTCGTTATGAGGTCAGGAAGCGTGGAGAGATCCAGGAGGGTCCTGACTTGGTGGTTGGTCCAGGTGAAGAGGGAGATTACGAGCTAGTGGACATTTCGGAAATTAATTGTAATTTGGTCGTGAAGCCGTTTGTCAGGGAGAAGCTCTCGAGTGGCCACATCGGCATTTTGAAGACTGTTGTGAGCAAGTTGGTTGAGCAAGCAAAGGCATCTGCAGCCAGTTTCTAGGGGATTAAAGTTGACCTGGCAATGATGGTGTCTGTAATAGCTTGGAAACTTTGTTCCTTTCACATTAACATTCTGTCATCACTGTTGACTTGCGTCCACACTATCAGTTCCTGAGATACCCATCAAAAGCAGGAGAAAAAGAGTCTTCTCCATTTAATACCAAAACTGCTCTGCTCAATGTGACTATTTCATACACAGTGTCGTTGCACTTGCACAGCATATTGGAGAGAAAAACATCATCGAAGTTGTACCATCAAGACTTTTGCTTCTAAGTTCGATACTCTGATCGATGCGCAAAAACTTTGAGTGCTATCCTGGCGAACAGGCCAAAGGAACACAGCTTCCACTAAGCAGTCAGCATACTGACAACGACCTGTAATGCAAGAGTAGCAGTAGAAAGTGTACATCTGTACCATACAAGAAACGTATCATATTGACCGGTATCTATACTCAGCTGTTGCAGCTGTCTAGGAAACTCTTGAGCCCAAAGGGGTGAAGTATCCTCATTGAAATCTGCGTTTCTCCCTTCTGGCCACACATCACATTAACCCCTACTTTCGGTTTCCAAAGGGGCAACAGATATCCCTAACCATCCGTCTAAAACAGAACATGAAAAATATAGTGAAACAGAGAGATCGTCAGTGTCATCAAGTAGCCTAGTCGTCCAAAAGGATGAAGACTCCCCGCTGTCCATGGAAAGGTTCCAAAATGGAAGTGTCCAGGAGGTGTTCTAGAGGGATGGCAAACAAACGACAACAGTAAAAGTGCGATCACGCCGTTTGTAAACAAAAGGTATACAGATATCCATGGGTGACCGGCATCAAGTACTTTCCAATCCGCCCAAAACCCGATTAGAAAGAAGAAACAGAAACAATACAGATAAAAGAGGGATCAATGAAAAGAGGAATAGATCATCTCCCACCATAATCACTGGCATAGCCCATCTCCCCAAAGCCCTCCGGCATGCCGCCGGGACCAAAGCCTGTCCCGGGACCGCTAACATACCCTCCGTCATCGCCATCGTCATAATCGCTTGCTTCGAATGCGCTCCCGCCACTTAGCTCGTCTTCTATGCCGCTACCGCCACCCAGGTCGGGTGCCGACCAGTTCATTTGGGCAAGAACAGGATATTGCGCGAGTAATGCTTGCGGCAGGATGAGGTTGCCGCTGGGATCCATGGGATAACTGGCAGCGGCGGCGTTGGGGTCCATGGGCATGCCCGGCATACCCGGTGATCCCTGCAATGCCATAGCCTGCTGGAACTGCTGTTGCTGCTCCCGCTGCTGCTCGCTCCAAGCGCGCATACGTTCGGCCATCTCTTCGTCTTGAAGCGGCTTGATGCAGATACGGCCAGCCTCGGACCGGAAATGACGGCCGAGAGCGTCGGCACGAGCAAAACGTCGGCCGCAGCCCCACTGGCCGCCATTCTTGAGCTCGCCCTTGCAAACAAACTTCTTTTCGCCAGAATGAAGACTCTCGTGCCGTTTGCGGTCGTGTTGGCGGGCAAAAGCCTTGCCGCAAACCGTACAGACGAACGGGCGTTCGTCAGTGTGAGTGCGGAGATGGGACCGCAGATTATAGGCACGTGTAAACCGCTTGGGACACAAGTTGCACTGGAAAGTCGCGGGATGCTTCTGGACGCGCTTGGCACCAGTGCCGTCCCCCTGGGCGTTTTCTGGGTCCGCAAGACGCAGTGCCATGACATTGTTTGGCACCGACGACGTCGACTGGCGTCTTCTATTTGTTGATGCAGCGCTACTGGAACGATCAAATGGCGACAGTGAGCGAGATTCTGACCTGATGGCCGCGGATTCTGGTGAGAGACTGCCAGATACTGATGGACTTCGCTGGTGAACAGCCAGATAACCACCGCCAGTGTTGTAGGGATCCGTTACAGCGCGAGGGCGCCTAGGACGTCCTGTTCAGAGCCAAACATGTGAGTCTCCTATCGATCAATCTACGAATGGATGCTTGCGAAGAACATACCTCGCTCTGGGGGTGTCAGAGCATCGATATCAAGGCTTTTGGGAGGTTCAAAACCACTCTTAGCTGGGGCAGGAGCAAGTTGAATGTTGATGGATGGGGGGGCAAGCATCGGTGTCTGCTGTTGTCCCTGCTGCCCCTCAGTGTTATCTTGAGGGAGTTGAGGAAACTCCTCTTGGGGAGGCTGCAAATACGGCGATGGAGCAAAACTAGGGCTTGGGGAGGAGAGCAGGAGGTTGGGCGGCTGGTTCATGTCGGTTGGCCGCTGGGGCATGATCCGCGGCGAAATTGCCGGGCTATGGGACGGGCTCCTGGCACCATGGGGAGTGTGTGTGCCGTGGTCGGAGATACTAAAGTTTCGGAGCCCATGGAGCTCATTATACACTGTAGGATCCTGGGGGGGCAACAATGGCGAGCAGCTGGGATCTATCTGATCAAAAGAGTCCGTGCTGACAAGAGCCGGCGACGCCGCCGCAGACGAAACGTCCGAATACTCGGAAGGAGTGCGCCGATGGCTCTGCCATTGAGGACCGCTACGGGTCCAGTCTTTCTGCCCCGGGAAGAGGGCATCCTGAGGCCCAAGTGAGACACTGCGTGAGTGTCTTCCAGGAGACGCACCGAATGGATGCGGGGCAAAGCGAGGAGAGTGGTTGACAGAGCCGGCCTGGTGAGGCTCGGGACTGAGAAGATGAGGAGGGGTTGGATGGGGATTTGCCTGTGTCATCATACCGGGGTCGGAAACCGAGAATGGCGACTGTTGTTGTTGCTGTTGATGATGCTGATGCTGTTGCTGCTGTTGCTGATGCTGTTGCTGCTGTTGTTCTTGCTCCTGTTGGTGTTGCTGTTGTTGCTGCTGACTGTCGGTGCCAAACAGTGAAGTGTTGAACTGTGGTTCGCCTGGAGTTGAGGGGAAGATGGTAAAGTCCGTGTCGAAGGACTGGGCAACGATGCTCGGCGGCTGCTGAGTTTGGGACTGCGGAGTTAAGGTGCCAGGCGGCGGGGCACCGAAGGCAGACAGGTCAGATTTGACCTGCTCAGCAAAGGACTGGGTTAGATCGAAGGCAGCGGCAGCAGAAGGGTCGGCAAAGGGGGGCTGCGTGAAGGGCTGTGGCGCAGCCTGCTGGTTGCTCAGGAAGCTTCCGGTGTTTGCGTCGTAGACCGAGAACTCGGGCTGGTGCACGGAGAAGTGCTGGACGGCGGGGTCGACAAGGCCGACACCGAGACCGATGGACGACGAGGACGATGAGGGCTCATTCAAATTAGGAAAGGGAGCGGGTGCTGGCGAGTGCTCAGTCCTTATATGAGGCTGCTGGTGGTGCGTTGCACCCCCGCCGGCAGAAGGGCCCGAAGGAGATTGCCTGCGAGCCTGGGGCTGCTGTTGGTCCATGGAATAGATCGTGGAGTCGTGGATCGAGGATTCGTCGATTCGCCGGTTCGTCCTCACTCCCGTCGTGACCCTGGCTGGATCGCAGATTCGAGGCGGATGATTGGGCTGTGCGGGCCTGGACTGTATTTTACGTGGTGTTGCTGTCTTTAGAAGCGCAGCGACGAAATCTTGCGATTCAGCCTGCCGGTCGCGGTGGCAGTGCTACAGTTGCTGTGAGGCTGTGCTCTGCGACACGCGCCGATGGACCTATGGAATGATGAGCAGTGCTTGTATGAGCCCGGGCAGTGGATGGATTGAATGGATGCTTGGACAATCGGTCGGGTCGCTGCCAACTGGAACGGTAAGAAAAAACCGCTCTTTTTTACCAAGCACACCCGCAAGTCTGCTGCGCTGCAATTTTGAGCCCCGCGCGACAGCGACCACGATGGAGGTCGGGTTGGATGCGACTTACGCCTTGGGCCTGTCTCGTTGCTGTCGCAGAGAATGAATGCCCAGGGTGCTGGGCGCCTGATCGGGGGAATCACTGCGTAGCCGCCCGTGGTCCCGTCACGGGCGCTTGGTCCCTCGCCCCGTCCCTCAATCTCACTGTTCAGGGCTATCCGGCATCCTCCCCTCCACCCCGCTCCTCCCTTCGCTCCCAGGCGTTGGACCCCAAGGAGCCGTGGCGGGGCTTGACGGTCCCGCCAGACGCTGGCCGGTCTGCAGGGGTTCGAATGGATCTAGGGCAGCCAATCAGCGCTCACTTCTCTGCTCACCTTCCGTGACATGCATTGATCCCCATCCTTTCCTCTATTTGCCAGCTTTTGCTTGGCCGGGTCGCCTGGTGTCTCTTGTGTATCAACTGTGGCCCATAGTGCTGCTGCCGCTGCCGCTGCCCACATTATGACTGCTCAATCCTTCAAAAGACGTGTTGATTCCCCGTGGAATGAAGACAGGAATCGAGAGCGTAGGTGTTATCTCTGGACCTACTAGCCCCTGGAGAGAATCGTGTGCGCTCAAGTCTTCCCTCTGCTGAGATCAACCGATATGAACAATCGTTTGAGGAGAGCTAGGGAAACAGGATTACAGATTACGCAGCGCAGAACTGGTCGCTCCATTGCGGGCTGCTGCTGTAGTACAGTGCTTACCCCCTAAGTAAGGTTTCTTAACAATTGCTTTAGCCCCGAGGGACGATAGCCTTTACTTAAACGAATTACACAACTGGACAGAGAGTGAGGTTCATCATACCCATGCTGACAAGCATGTTATCAGGCCTGCATCGTTTTCCCAGTGGGAACGAGAGAGAAATACTTTTGATCTCAGCGGTAACGTACACAGTAGTGCTGATTCTCAGCACTCTCAATTAAGAGGAGATCAGCATCCATTTCGCCGCATCCCTTACACAACCTAAATTTTAATGCGCCAACCCAACCCGTTCTGAAGGAGAAACGAACCTAATAAACACAGTTGAGCCGTCGAGAAGCAGAGATGAGAGAATAAGAACTGAGGCCATTGCTTTTCAAGACTCATCCGATAACCTCTTCGCGTTCATAGCCTGTTGGCTTCAGCACCGGATTTGGCCTTTTGCCAGCAGCCTTGAACTCGCTGACAAATGGGTTTGGATCATCTAGTTTCAAACCACTCAGCGTGTGGTTAACTCCCCGGTGAACGGCCTCATCTGCCTAGCGTGTGTGTTAGCCGCATTCCTCTCCACAGTAGCAACCATACTGCGGGATGGACGAACCCTAATGTACATGATTAGATCCTTCATCGTCCTCTTTCCCTCGGGCAGGCGCCAGTACTCGATGGCAATCTGTGGAACGGGGAAGTTGGGATCAGACCACTTGGGCAAGTCACCTCTCTCGATTTCACCGAGAAGGCGCGTGTATGTATGGACTGCCTCTTCCTCGAGGTAGCCGACAAAACGATGTGTGATCTTGGGAGAAATCAGGTAGGTGAGGAACAGGGCGTTGAAGAAGACGCCCTGAGAAAGGATGATCATGGTTTTCATGAACCACCCCGGCTGAGCCATGCGCATAAACGTGAGGAGGTGCATCCTCTCGTTATATGACTCTTCCAACAGTGTCTCGATCCAGCCATTGTCCCGCTTCATACGCCTTAGCGATGATAGATGCCTGAGCATTCCCGCCACCATTCCAGGCACACCGGCAATAGACTCGAGGAAGATCAGTCGCACTTTGCGATTGTTAGCATTCTATGACTGCGAGCCAGCTCTGCAGGGAAACATACCCAACCACTGTGCTTCCGTCAAGGGCTTCTCCGCAACCAATGCCCTGGGATCCTGCATGTTGGGTTTTTGGCCTGGCTTCATGCCGGTTGCAAGGTCCATGAACCACCGACATGTCCTCACAAACTTATATGCGATCCAGTCGCTCATTGTCCGTGGCTCCCGGTGGGCTGGAACGGCGGATTCCAATTCCTCCTGTGTGAAGCCATGGTGCGGCCAGGCTGGAGGTGTTCGGCGAATTAATGCTGTTTCTTTAGCTGGGAAAATGTCACGAAGTTGCTTGGCACATGTTGTCGTGAAACTTCGTGTAGATGAAGACGAATCCCTAAGTCTAGGAGCTGTTGCAGCAACCCGAAGAGCAATAGAGTATCCGAGTCCAACTTGGCACACTGGAAATAGGTTGGGTATTGCAATCTTAGTGACCTGAACTCCCTGCTTCAACGAGAGGATAGGAAGCTTCCTCCTACCCGAGATCAGTATCATGGGGAAGGAAATCTGAGATTAACGTCAGATGGCAGTCGAACGGAGCCAAGTTGGAGTGCAGTGCTCAACATGGAGTGATGCTTGGAAATCCTTGAGATGCCAACCTTTGCTATGTGCTGCCTATATATACATAGAGCGGATGATAAGCGGCACACCAGATCATAAAAACCCTGAAGAAGCCATCCTTGAACAAATGCCACCGCTCGGGAAAGCCAGGGATGTGAATTTCGCCAGAATCCATTCATAGCTCGTGTTGACAGTCTCTGATCGGTGTTCCTCCAGTCCTCCTGACCTTGCTGGAGAGTGTAACACGGAAGTGAAGCACGGATTCTATTGGAGGTGGTGAAACGAAGGTCTTGTCCCTGGAAAGCAGGGTGTCAGCCTGCCTTCCGGAGAATCCCGGGAACAGTTTACCAGGCCCGTCCGGCGGAGCCGGCTGCATACATTCTACATACCTTACCTACCGAAGCACTGGAGGGACCTACCTAGGTAGGTGGCCAAGAAACTTCAGACATCATCACAGCTTGTGAGTACAAATCAATGAGCGGGCTTGATCGGCATTCAACCACCGGGCACACATCATGATTCTAAAATTTGCATGTCTCAAAACAATATATCAACACTGCAGTAGTTAGATGAGAAAGCGCAGGCACTGCCGCGCCCACGGCAAAGGACGGTCGGTTCTCGGTGCGGGTCCCGGCTTCGGTCTGTTTAACATGGAAACTCCGGGCTAGGTGATAGAAGGATTAGCTGCGCACTGACTCGCTGGGCTCCGTGACAATGACGGATTTCTTGTTAAGCCTCAACTAGCAGATTGGACGGAGCCCACCTCCATCCTCCCAACACCTATATGAATAAAGAGCTAATATCTGCGGGTCGCCATCTTCTCCTATTGCAATTTTTTTGGGCGGTTTATCAAGTTTCTGGGTTGAAGCCGCAAGTAGGCTTCCCAATTTTGCGCAAGCGAAAATCGCATCGTTTACGGTAGTGGTCTTTGTGTTTCTATACTTGACGAATGTGACACAATCGTGAAGGATCTGATTCATGTTAGAACTGTATGTTGGGTGATGGGTACGTGGGTGTGTTTTTGGTTGGGGGGGGGGTTTTAAGATTGAGAGGACTAACCATATAATAGGCGTGTTTTGAGGACACCCCGAACCTCGTTGTTGATTCTTGCCGAATCCGCTTGACGCCGCCATGGCAAGCAAGAGGCCTTAAGCACGTTAGTGATTGATCCATTGATGCAAAATCCAGAGAAATATAAAATCATCCGAGTGAGTGGAGGAAAATGGGAGGAGAAAGGTAAAATGATGTGAAATCAATTGAAAAAGATGAATCAAATGAAAACACAACTCCAAATGAGGTGACAGCTACCGACTACAGAATTACAATGATATGACTGGGTGTGCATATTTTATAGCGCATATTTTATAGCAGGCTTTGTAATGTCATGAATGGAATCTTTTATGATTTTATAATATTAATTTATTAATGACTCTTCCAATGATGTTTACTACTGTTTGGATTTTAGGTTGAGAGGGTGAATCTTAACGATGGCTCTTTGCTTTGTACTAAGCACAGGGCCTTTGCCCCCAATCGAGGGCGCTTTGAGCCACCTGGTATGGCAGGCCGCATTGCGCTAGTAGACGCTGTGAGTAAATATAACACAATGACATTCAACAATTGGATCGTAGGTGTTGCTGACTCGGTAAGGAGTGCGATGTGTGGAAGATTTGTGCATTTGTAGATAGCAAAGTGTCAAAAGGCGAACTTGGAAATTTACAAAGTGAGAGAAAAGGGGAGATTGTTTCGAGGATAACGCCTGCCAATGCGTCGCTTGGTATGCGCCCTAGAAGGCTGTAGAAGTTATACATCTCAGATACGTTGGCTTATTAATCTAACCACATATCTAAATATCATTTGGAATGTTATGCATGTAATCAAGGAAGTTTTTAGATTTCTCAAAAGATTCTGTCTCATTTTTAGTCATTCTATTGTCTAAATAGAGCAGGTGCTTATAAACTATAGGGAAAGAGCTTCATGAATGAAATACTAATTGGGAAAAGAATGCTCACACTTAGGTGGTAGGCAAGAAAATCACAACAGGTTAGAGTCGATCATTATATTAGTGGAGCTGGTTTATATGCTTCATGCTCCTGTAAAACGAAGATGCTATTATAGAACAATATCATCACTTTGCTTCTGAAAGAAAAAACGCATAATGTGCTCTTTGCAAAAGAAGGTCAAGCCCAAACACACCGGTTAGAATTACTTAAGTGTATCACCAGCACTTTGACTAACAGCTTTCTCAAGCAGAGATAAAAGTAGCCTCGGTGAAGATGACTCCCTCCTCAGTAACTTCTTGGTCGCCAATCTTGAGCTTGAGAGAGAGCTTTTGCTTTTGAGGGGAGTACTGTGCAAGTCATTGTTAGCAACTTGATAATGAACAAAAGATCTAGGGATGATGACAAACCTGGTAGATATATGGCTTTGTACCAGCAGCTGCAGCCACAATGCTCTTGACAAAACCCGGAACCTCAGCCATGACATCTATCCTGTCGAGCCTTTCCTCCAAGGCACCCTCAATCACAGCAGTGACGGGCTTGTTGTCCTTGGTCTTGCCAGCCCAAGTGTATTTGATGATGGTGGGCTCTGGCCAGTCATTTTGACTGTCGCTCTTGGTCTCAAGATGGGCGACATCGCTCTCACAACCAGCCACAATGATTTCACCATCTTTAGCAATACCACCAACAGCCACAACTGTCGAGCCATATGAAGGTGGGGTGGTGAATTGCATCAGAATGGCTGAGTAAGTAGGCCCCTGGAAATTGCAGAAATTCCACTTGGCGGCGGCATGATGAGGCTTCATCCCCTGGAGAGCATGGGCAAAGAATGCCCTTCCCTTGAAATCAATGGGCCCGTCCTTGGTGGTGATGGTGCCCTCAGACTCGCATCTGGGCCAAAAGAGATGACGCATAGAGCCCCAGGGGTTAGAAAGATCGGTACCGAATAGGGTCTTGCCTGTCTTGCCGGCCTTGAAACCCGGTGCCGTCCTCCTGACTACCAAGTTGACGATGGCATTCGGGTCATTCATCGACTTGATCGTGAAGGTAGTGCCGTCCTCGGAAAGCTCAACCGCCAGGTCGTTGGCATAAAACGCAGTCTTATCCTCGCTGAACTCGTGGTTTATCAAGGGAGTCGAGCACCAGAGGTGGGGCTTGGAGCCGTCGAGGCTGAAGATCTTGCAGTTGAACTGGCAGGTTGTTCGGATGCCGCTGCCTAACTGTTAGCTAATGCGAGCACGGGTGTAGCGGTCAGAGCATACGCCAGGCTGCTGTAAATGACCTGGCAAAACGCGAGCTGGCCACCCTCCGACATGAAGTAGAAGGTCTGCGTTTCGACACAGGTTGACTCCAACGCTTCCCACCGGAGATCGTCCCGGGTGAGCTCAGTGTACGGGGTCGTCACGGTTTCCTCCGCGACGGACTTGATGGCAGAGGGGCCATAGATTGGCTCCTGAGTGCCGGCGACGTTGGCCAGCCTGCGTAAGGAGAACAAGTCAGACCATATGCTTTCGCGTGGGGGAAAAGGGAAAGCGGCAAAGGGTGATTTTGAACTTACGCTTGCTGCGCCCACCTGAACATGATGAGAAGTGTGGCGATAAATAGAACAACAACAAATCAAAATAGGATCGAGCCGCTGGCAGCCAGGTAGACAGGAACTAGCTAATTTTGACGTCGAACTGCGGGTGTGTTGCGTCTGAGTTCAAATGGTTCACCGCCGTCAAGGGGGGATGGCTCGAATAAAAGCGAGGAGTTTGCAAAACGGGCGCTAATAGCCCGACCAGTGGTGGGACGCTGGACGTCACCTCACAGGTCGATTTGTTAGCTCAAGTCACAGTCAGCGCGCTCGTCTCTTGGCAAAGGGGGTTGGCACCCGCTAGAGAGGGGCATTTGTGGCTGAACTCACCATATCCGTGTCCACGTGTCTGTAGTGTAGGGGAAGTCGTTACATAGGTTATGTAAGAAATGGCAGTTCATTGCGTAAATTACAATCATTGCAAGACTGTGTAACGGCAATGTGGCTGGTGTTCTGCTCACTCATACGTTACGGTACATCCACCCAGAAGGGCGGAAATTTTTGGGGCTGCGTCCTGCTCCAGAACACGACGGCTCCTCGACAGCCCAATAACGCCTTTCCGGAAGAGACCGAAGCTCGACCTACGCGCCCGAGACCTTCCCCCTCCCCCGCAGATCCTCACCTGCCACGACTGCCTTCTCCAAGCCTAGCCGACTCCAGACAGAACAATGTCCAAGGCACGGGCCGCGACTGGTGGTGTTGAGCAGGTTGTCAAGATCATTGTCGGCGCTGGTCAGGCAAGTCCCAGCCCACCGGTTGGCCCGGCTCTTGGTAGCAAGGGTATCAAGTCGATGGACTTTTGCAAGGTCTGGGCTCTGTGGGAAGTGACGTGAGGGACAGGAAAGTGCTGATATAACATTGCAGGAGTTCAATGCTCGGACAGCGCACATCATTCCCGGCACCCCTCTACCTGTTCGGGTAACAGTGAAGCCCGACCGGTCGTTTACCTTCGAGATCCGGACTCCTCAGACCTCCTGGCTTCTCCTTAACGCGGCTGAGGCACCGATTGGCAAGAAGGGCAAGAGGAAGGGAGCGAGTAACCCGGGCCACGAGACTGTCGGCACAGTCAGTCTCAAACATGTTTACGAAATCGCGAAGATCAAGCACTCCGAACTCCGTCTTTCCGGGCTGTCCCTCGAGGGCCTTTGCAGGTCCATCATTTACCAGGCCAAGTCGATAGGAATTAACGTTGTGCCCTGAGGGCAGAGGGTTATGGGTTTTGAGGCTGGGCTGGTTGGTTGCATACGGCGTTTACGGTTGTTTAAGGCAATTCGGACAAACAGCGAAATCAGTGACGACCATCACATCAGGCGCATAGAGACTACGTCGCCTTGTATACTATGCTGTTGTACAATACCACATCTGTTGCTTGACAGAAGATTCCTGGTGCAGCAAATTTGGATCTGGGCTATCAGTCCATGGCGGGATTGGTTGTTCTATGCGCCTCCACGGCCTGGCAGCTTCGGGGGATATGGCTGGTTCCACGTCCTCGGTGACCACCTCGAAGCTCAGTAGGACTTACGAAAACACCAACGGGCTACCCATACCCAAGCATGCTGGCCGCACGACTGACCCAAAAGTGCGAACCGGCTGCATTGCGGCATCCTTCCGGCATGATGGATCCGGCGGAGCTAAGACAGCCCGCTTGAACTGGGCTGTCAGCAGGTCCAAAGACCGACGATGAACGGATGGCAGCACCGCATCCTACAAGGAGCTCGTTGCGCCGTAACAGAGTTGACTTGATCTGTAGCCGAAGTCCAAATGCGTCTTGGGAGCGTCTCGGCTCTTGTTGACAGGAATAATCTCGGGTCGCACTTCAATCCAATGCGTGGAACCAGGTGGTAGGGATCCACTCTTCCGTTTTGGGAAGCATGTGCCCTTGATCGAGAATACCCGTGGACCTCTGGAGGTTGCCTAAGCAGCCTTATCTTTGCATTGTACCGGTCCGTGTTAGCCCAACGGCTGGAAGCCTGACTGATACTGATACATCCCACGAGTCATTGAGTCAATCGAAACTTGGTGAAAGCTGAAACGGAGGGGAACTCCGTGGATTGCGATGTGCTGGTAAAAGTCACAAGGGGTAAAAAAGCCAAAAAAATCTAAGAGGGACACTAAGCGGCGAGCTTCAGGGGACTTTACTTGGCTTGGGGCCCACAGCTGCCCGGAAAGAATCGCCAACAACGGGGCGCCGGCCAGCCGGATCCATCGCACCCTGACAATACCACGCAGTTACAAGCTCGTCATCGTGCCTCTCGCGGAATGCAGCCAGCGTTCGTAGCGTTGTGACAGCCGGGAGCCATCTATGGAAGTACCTGCCAAGTAGCTCCCCGTGCCACACCCCACCACGTCGCAACGACATCAAGGTCGCCGGCGCTGTTATCGTCTGCGCTGCCATTTTCCTCTTTGTTCCCGCCATCACTGTGCCTTCCCTCGCGCTGCTGCAACTTGAAAGGCATTGCAGCATCCAGCGCGGCAGGCGCTCTCTCAGCAGCACCATGACGACCAGCACGACCGTAGGCGACCTCAACGTCCGGACGGGAGGTAAGGATTTACCCGAGGTCCTTTGCCCCTCTTTATCGCTCGATCCCCCACGCTCCGAGGACTGTCAGACAAACGCCGTCAAAAGCGTTTGCGGGAATGCGCGACTTCTCAGGTCCCATCGCTTTTCGATACGATCGCAATTGTGTTCGTGTGTTGACATTGGCCCTTTCAACTGTCAGATGCAGTCCGAATTACTACCCAAACGCCAAACAGTCATCCAATCCAGTCGCCACCTGCAGTCCGCTTTAAGTCGACCATCGAAGAGATTGCGATTGCCCCCAACGATGCACCATCGTCAACCCTGCCGGCCGCCGACGGCACTGCAGGCTCTCTTAGTGACCCCGGCCAGGTGACTACAGATGAAATCCGCGAGTTTTCCAACAGACTGAGTGCCTGGCCACCTCAGGAGCGAAAGATGAACATCTTTTCCTATGAGCCGTTTTCTCTGCCTCCATCAAGAGTATGTTCCGCCTTTAGTACCGTTTCTGTGCTCTCGTGTTCGGGTCAAATTCTGGGCGAAGCGACCTCGTGGTCCGGCTTGTGTTCGTTTGTGTTTCGGGAGTGGCCGTGTTACTTTTCTTCCTTCCCACAGAGCTTTTGGACCCAACAAATGGCACTGTCCTTTGTTTGAGCGTTTGCGGGCATATTTCGGTGCTAAAGCATTTAGCTAACATCCGGCGTATCCAGTCTACGTCGCGCGACGATGAGTCTAGAGAGCCGAGCCGCCAGCCTACACAAAGCTCAGGCGGTCATGGCTCACCCTGCCTAACTAGTAGTGCTCGTGGTGCGGATATGAATTCGCCGCCTCTCACCCCAGCTGGAACCGGCTTTGCTGAAGGGGGCCAAAAGCGAGAGCCCTCTGGTAACCATGAACCGATAAGTCGTGGCCCCGATATCATCGCCCCGCATGAGTCAACCCAGGAGCCGTCATCCCCGGCTTCTGCGCAATTAGCTGTTCCTCATGTCACGATGGCCGATCGCGGAAGGCTTGCTCGGCGGCCAGCTACCTCGGAAGGGAGAGATCAGATGCAACATACACCTCTCGGTGACCATCGTCGGGGCCTTTTCTCTATCGGCGCTGCAAGTGCCTCGGTTTCACCAGCCAGTTCAGTCTCTCCATCCCGTGATTCCAGTCCATCGCGAGCTGCCACAGCTTCTCAATTCTATACCCGGCAAATTCTACCTCCTGCCGAGGCAGACGATCCTTATGCAGCAAGCAGACGACCAGCGCAAAAGGGCATTGAGCCGCGCTTCATCTTCGCAAAAAAAAAGAAGCATAGTTCTTCCAGTTCGTCCCTTTTGAGCTTGCCTCGGGCCTTGGGGGACAAACGGCAGTCAGATGATGGCATTACACATAGTAGGAACAGCTCGATGGCCGATCTGAAACGGTTCTTCAAGTTGGTTCCGACCAGTAAATCCAAGCGGACGGCGTCACCGGCCGCGTCCATCCGATCGGGGAAGACATCATCAAGCGCCAAAGGAGCTCAGATACCGTTCGGCGATGACCATGGCCTGTCATCGAAATATGGTAAACTGGGCAAGGTCCTCGGTGCTGGTGCAGGAGGGTCTGTCAGACTCATGAGACGTGCCGAGGATGGGGTTGTCTTTGCCGTCAAAGAGTTTCGGCCCCGGCATTCTTACGAGACAGAGCGCGAATACGTTAAGAAGCTCACGGCGGAATATTGTATGGGCTCGTCGCTCCATCACGGCAACATCATCGAGACCTTGGATATCGTGCAAGAAAGGGGCAAGTGGTATGTGGTGATGGAATATGCGCCGTACGACCTGTTTGCCATCGTTATGACAGGCAAGATGACTCGAGAGGAAATCAGCTGCTGCTTTTTGCAGATTCTGAGTGGTGTCACGTACCTTCATAGCATGGGCCTAGCACATCGGGATTTAAAGCTCGACAACGTGGTTGTCAGCGAACGGGGCATTATGAAGATCATTGATTTTGGTAGTGCCCATGTCTTTAAGTACCCATTTGAAAGCGGCCTCGTTCTTGCGTCGGGTAAGTAGCATGGCTTTAGTGGCATCTTTTTACTACCCTGACAAACTTTGCTAACGTGTCCCTCAGGCATTGTTGGTTCAGATCCATACCTCGCACCAGAGGTGTACGATGAGAAAAAGTACGACCCGCAGGCAGTGGACATCTGGTCTTTAGCAATCATTTTCTGCTGTATGACGCTTCGACGCTTTCCCTGGAAGATTCCAAGGCTGTCGGACACGTCATTCAAGCTGTTCGCGGCCGAACCGACACCGGGTCATGATCCGAAGAAGCTGATCCTTCCGCACTCGGCGTCCATGACCGCGGTAAATGACACACCGGCAAGAGACTTTGATCAACAGGCCCTTGAAAAGGAGGACGGGAAAAGAGCGAAAGAGGAGCCCATCTCTAAGTCAGAGAACGCCACGGGAGAAGCATCCAATCAGCAGGATGGGAAGCCACAACAACCAGCACCGGCCGGAGAGAAGAAGGAGACGATACGCGGGCCCTGGCGTATCCTTCGACTGCTCCCTAGGGAGACTAGGTACATCATCGGCCGCATGCTGGAATTGGATCCCAAGAAGAGGGCCACAATGCAGGAAATATTGGATGATCCGTGGGTGGCCAACACGGTCATCTGTCGGCAGGCCGAGAACGGCCAAGTATTCAACGCCGATGACCACACGCACGTGTTGGAGCCTCCGTCTCCTCCACAGAAATAGAGCCCTGGTGTTGAGCTGTCTGACACGGCGGACTGTCACGGTACCAGATAACATTTACTTCACATGTCTTTGTTGTCGTCAATGCTGGATAGGTTTTGGAATAGGATTAGCGAATCCCGTTCAGGTAAGGCCCCCTCGTCCGCCGTGTAGGATACTAGAAGGTGGGGCGGAGAAGGATTTTCCTTTTATGGGTTTCTGTCTGCAGTTACCGTTTTACTGTTTTTGGGCGTTTGGGTTGGTCTGACCAAGAAAGCGGGCACTGGACATATAGACCTGGGCTCAGTCGGTGGTTGGGGCAAGCTGCTTTTTGCGACTGGACTTATCAGCATGGGTACATAGGATGTTAGGAAGATTGGGCAAGTTGTTGATAGAGCTCATTGTCTGCATGCATAGCTGCGCATACTGTTGGTATAGATAGAGGACCTGAAATTGAGATATCTTGTTGACACTTCCTATTTCATTTTTAACGTGAGCTTTGCACACCCCAAGGTAATGAAATGAGTGACTCGGGGTCCCTGTTCGAAGGTCAAATGGCATTCCAAACGACCGTCAGTGGCATAGAATAGCTCCAATACTCTGTGACTAGCCCGGCTCCTCGCCGGGGATAACAGCCTTGTCTTCTATTTGCTTTCTCTAATTTTCCATGTTTTGTTTCTTGTCCAAGTTGCCGATGAACAGGGACGCTTTGGGCGGAGCCAACATGACGCTGGATAAGTGGATCTGGGCCCGGCACTCGGCGGGGAGAAACGACGGATCCGATAGGTCCGACAACCAATGAGCGGTGCTGCCGGCTGGCCGGGGATCCACTAAAAATTTGGAGACATTCTAGATGGTTTTAGAAGCTCCCTGCTCCCCCCGATGGTGTCTGCTCTTGTGCTATAGAAAACGGAACTTTCTTTCAGCATTTAAACTTCTCCATCTTCCGTTCCATCAGGTATCACGTCCTCGCTGCAACTTCATCCCGTCAGCCTGCCCTCTGCTGAACCTCACTTACACCTTACAGCCTGCTACAGCTGCTGCACAGCACACCAATCTATTACAATGGTGAGCTCCAGCCCCGCGTCTGCGCTGCCATTGGGACTGGACAGCTTGGGATGAGGAGAGAGCGTGTGTGAAAGAGAAATAGAGAAAACTGCATACCTCGAACCCAAGCTTCGAACGCCTTCTCGTTCCAGACCCTTTTCTTCTCCGCTTGCGCTTATCACGCTACCACTAACGCTTACAGAAGGCCACCGCGATCCGCAACATCAAGTCACTTGTTCCCCTCCTCGACCGTGTGCTCGTGCAGCGCATCAAGGCCGAGGCCAAGACCGCCAGCGGCATCTACCTGCCTGAGTCCTCGGTTAAGGAGCTCAACGAGGCTCGCGTCCTGGCCGTCGGCCCTGGAGCCCTTGATAAGGATGGCAAGCGCGTGCCTATGGGCGTACAGGCTGGCGACCGTGTGCTGATCCCTCAGGTATGATAATACTGCGTTTTCCGGGGCTCTGGTCTGCCAAACTGATTCTCTGGGATGATGCTGACGCAAACGCCTGCAGTACGGTGGCACCTCGATCAAGGTTGGCGAGGAGGAGTACCACATCTTCCGGGATAGCGAGTAAGTCTATGTTCCCCTTGGGCTTCGCCAGAGCCAGTCAACACTGAAGGTGTGGCAATATGAGTGTGGTATATTGACATGCGCTGCGTGTAGGATTCTGGCCAAGATCAACGAGTAAACTGAATGTACAGAAATCAAGATACCCGCATGAGCAACGTGTACTATAATGATGTATTACAATACAACTCTTGTATGAGTATCCTTGGGAGGCCATCGCGGCCATGTGTAATGCTGGAAGGCTGGCGCAGGTTTTGGACAGGTTCCTGCGGTTGCGGCTGCATCAACTTCTCGGTTGGGTCGGCACTCTGTAAAGGAATACACGGTCATCTCCACTCATACGGATTGCCCCTCAGTTCTTATTGTCACGGCAATTTCTCTCTGATCCCGCGCGGATCTGTGAGGTTTTTGGGGGCTTTGTACTGTGTCGCCATCAGCTTTAAGGGGCCTATGACGGGTAGCCTTTCTCAGTGCAGAGGGCTGCGCGGCCCTGCCAGCAGCGCAGCTACAATGCGTTCGGAGGTCTTGAGGGAACCGGCATCAGCGTGGATGGCTGCCAAGAGAAAAGTTTTCGGGGGATTTATTACCGCAGCGTAACTTTCCCGCTCTCCCAAACCGCCATCACAATTTTAACCCTTGCCCCTGCATGCCGCACGGCTCACGGCTCAGCTTGGGCTGCTGACATGCAGCGCTCCGATATTTACGTTGCCTGCGTTGCAATGATGACAGGCGAGCCGAAAGTTGTGCATCTGGACCTGAGTTGACTGCGTGTTGACTGTCAGATATATACAGGCCCTAAATATGCGTCTGCCGAGAGGTTCGTCAGAATGTCAACATGTTTTCGACTGACAACAGCAAAAGCTTGGCTTCTCCCGATGTCTACGGTATGCTGTAAGACGACACAGGATTGGCGCTTTTCTGGCCCCGTCGGCGCTTGCTGTCACTGGCCTTGGCCCCTTGCGCGCGAAAGCGGCGAAACCATAGGGCTGCAAAGTTCGAAACACGCTACTTAATCTTGGCCCGCTGCATTCAGCTGCCGGTCCCCACAAATGTTTCGTTTCTAGGTTCCTGCCATGGTTGTCGACGATCCTGATGAGCTTGTCAACCCAGCATGCATCCACAGGACCCCAATCCCAGCTGGGAATATTGTTCGTCGCCTTCCATGCTTGTCTTGTCCCGAAGCACTGGAGCAACGTTGCACAGGCCCGGAGGGTGATGGTTTCTGGCACACATCGTTTGGATGTGAAGGCCCTTCTCAAGAGCCTATCACCCGGCCGCGGCCTTGTCAGGGGCACGGCGGCAGCTCAGTTCCAAACCATATGGCGGGCATGTTGCACAACGCGGTCTGACAAAGGCCATCCCTCCCTCCCGGTTTGGTTGTTCCAAGTCCTGGCCCGACCTTGCTGCGTTTGCGACGCATTCCTTCAGCCCTTTCTTTGGATAGGATTGAGTGAATATTTCGAGCAGCCAGGGTCCAGGGGGTAATGCGGCAAGACAGGTGATGAACATGCAGGAGACATCACTTCATACGCAGGTTGAGGACACGGGCCAAGGGCTCGATACGGATATAGACTCGAGTGTCTGGTGACCGGGAATCCTTTCCATTCCCTTGTCTCCGGTATCTTTTTTTCCATGGGCGTGGTATTTATAACCGCTCTCTCGGCCGATTCTTCTTGTCCTAGCGCGGGAGCAGCCATCTTTTTTATCAACACAGTCATTTGGTCCCTAGTTCCAGGTCGTAGCGGGTGTCTGCCTCGAGTCTCTTTCAGGGCCCGCTACTTCACTCATTTGGAAACCCAGACTTGGTCTTAGACTTTAAACCTCATTCCTTAGGTCATCATCCCCATTGGGCTTCCTCGCTCTCCTTCAGTTAACGTCCTTTCCAATCCTTTCGAGTCCTTTCTTTCTCGACAGTCCTTATGCTTCCTGATCCGAGTGTCTGACATAAACTCCTTGAACTTGGTATCATTTACTCTTCGCTTCTCACTCCGCATTCCTTCGACAGAGAAGCCCCTTCATTGAGACATTCTGTTCAATACCTTCCCAGTGGGATTTTACATTCGTTGTCCTTGAGGACTGGCCATTCCTTGAAGACCAAGAGAAGCAAGATGCGCTTCCCGGTTGCTTTTACAGTCGGTCTGGCGACCGCTTTTGCCTCACTGGCCTCTGCTCACACCTGCTTCACTACCCTTTTCATCAACGATGTCAACCAGGGCGATGGAACATGCGTTCGTATGCCAAAAGATGGTAGTCTCTCGACGCATCCTATCTATGGCTATGATAACCCTGATTTGGCCTGTGGTAAGCCAATCTCCCTAGTCTCTGCTTCCCCCAGTTTCAAACTAACCTCTTAGGCCGCGATGGCAACATCCCTGTGGCTTTCACCTGCCCGGCTCCGGCCGGGGCCAAACTCACCTTCGAGTTTCGGATGTGGGCCGATCTTTCGCAGCCCGGAGCCATCGATGCAGGCCACAAGGGCCCTATTGCCGTTTACCTCAAACGTGTTTCCAACATCACCATCGATTCTGCAGTCGGTCCTGGTTGGTTCAAAATTTACGAGGAGGGCTTTGACACGGCAACCAATATGTGGGCTGTCACAAAGCTTAATGCGAGCCAGGGCCTGCTAAGTATCAACCTTCCCTCGGGCCTTCCAACCAGCTACTACCTCATTCGTACCGAGATGATCGCTCTTCACAATGTCACAAGCAATGCTGTCTCTCCTCAGCCCTATGTCGGCTGCGCTCAACTCTTCATCCAAAGCAGCGTACCACCAGAGACTGCTATTCCCTCCGAAAAGACCGTTTCCATTCCCGGTCACCTCTCCCCTTCTGACCCAGGCCTCAACTTCAACGTCTACCGCGGCGAGGGTAAGGAGAGCAGCTATCGCGTGCCCGGCCCCGCAGTTTACTTCCCCACGGCACCCCCGGGCAACAACAAGGCGCAGAACCCCACGATCCAGCAAACCGACGGCCTGATACCCGATAACTGCTTGGTCAAGAACGCAAACTGGTGCGGCGTCGAAGTGCCCCGCTACACCAACCAGGCTGGGTGCTGGGCGTCGGCCGAGAACTGCTGGAACCAGCTGGAGGTGTGCTACAAGACGGCGCCGCCGTCGGGCAACAAGGGCTGCCGCGTGTGGGAGGAGCAGAAATGCAAGGTGTTGCAGCAGGCGTGCAGTTCGGGACAGTGGCAGGGCCCGCCGAATGAGGGGCAGAAGCTGACCGCGGTGGTTGACAGCCCGATCCCCGGTGGGAAGCTGCCGGACCCGGTGAATGCTGGACAGCAAGGTGAAGTTGTGTCGGGCGGTGGGGGCAGTAGCAGTGGCAGTGGCAATACCGGTGGTGGTCAGGCCACAACGTTCATTGTGTCTACAACCTCGGCTGTGCCAACCTCCGTTGTGACGTCGAGTCCTACTCCGATTCCGAATGATGAGGTAGCTCCTACGCCTACTGTGTCTCCACCGCCGAGAGGCGGGAAGGGGAAGGGCTATCGTCCTCATTGCAAGTCGACACGGAAGCAGCAACAAAGGAGGTGGGTGGTTTATGAGCCGATGGCGTAACACTGCTCTGCTCCGGTTGACACCTGCTTCGTGATGGTAGAAGACGGGTGTCAAGAAGATGAATTTTCGATTCTTCGGAGGCAGGACCTCAGTAGCTTTATGCATTCGATTCTGTTGTGGCGGGAATTCCCATTGATATCATGTTACCTTCGCTTGCCTCTTTTGCAGTTATGTTAACGATAGATTGATGACTTGAATAAGTGCATGAGATTTCTTCGATAAACAAGGGGACAATGTTCAGCAATCTCTCATACATTTACTTTCTGCTGATTTCAACAACACAATCAACATTTCATAGTTACCTCTACCTATGTAGGAGGGCTCAAGGCCAGATATCTAAAAGACAACAAGAAGTAGAGCATAGGCTAGCTGACTGAAGATTGAAAGTCTTTAATCAGACATATCCTCTTTACCAGCATGTCCTATATAGCAAGAGAGCACCTCGTTCGTCTGACAGGACTTGACGATAGGAAGTGTAGATTTTTCAGGAAGAAAGCCATAAAAGGGCGAAAGATGAACTCAAGAAAGCAGCTTCATAACATCCGCCATACGCGTTTCCTTGGTCTTCTTCTGCTTGCTAGCCTTCTCCTGGAAAGCCTTGCTGACCAGCTCTCGCTTCTCAGCTTGGATATCAAGCACGCGTTCTTCAACGCTGTTCTCCATGACCAGCCTCCAGACAGTTGTTGGCCGGGTTTGGCCGAGCCGATGGACGCGGTCGACAGCCTGGTCCTCGATAGCAGGAGCCCACCAACTGTCAGCCAGGATAACTGTGTCTGCAGCAACCAAGTTTAACCCGACACTGCAGACACTGAGACTTGCGAGCATGATTCGGGTCTTGGGGTCATTGTCGAGTGCTCTAACGGCTGCATCGCGCTGGCCTGTGCTCATGCTCCCATCAAGACGGACATAAGTATATCCTGCTTCGTCTAGTTGGCGCTGAATGATAGTCAAGAAAGAGGTCCACTGCGAAAAGATGATGACCTTGGATTGGTCATTTTTCAGCGTCGCTTGAAGGATCTTGAGAAGGGCCTCGATTTTGGAACTCTTTGCCTCTGTGTCGAGGGTCTTTTTCTCCTCCTCAGCAGAGTGTTCGGGAGGGGGATCGATAAGCTTGTCCTCAGAGAGCTCAGCGCGGCACATGGGACACTTGTGTTGAAGCTTAATAACCTTGGTAATGCACTTCCTGCAAAAAGGATGTTTGCAGTGAGTGATCACAGGGTCGATCATCACGTCGTAACAAACAGGGCACTCGTCTTGGCTTTCTATGAAAAGCTGGAGAGCTTCCTGCAGCAGACGCCGATTCTCTGGAGTGAGAGGCACTACATCCTGCTCCTCAAGAAGTTTCATCAAATCATTAATCCGCTCCTTGCACAAGGCCCAGTGGTTACATCTGTGTTGGGTTAGTGACTGTTATCGGTAAATATTCGTGGAGGGCTTCGCGTACATCTGTCGAAGGCGCAAGAGCCGCTCAAGAACACTCTGAAACCGCACCTTCTGGCCCAGAAGAGACCTGTTTTGATACTCTTCCAGAGCACCCTGAGCTTCGGCACTAGACAGCCGATTAGCAAGTCCCATTGTAACGAACCGAAGTTTCTGTACTTACAGCAAAGCACCGTATTTCTTCTTTTCTTCCGGCCAGAAGGCGATGCGGTGAATGTACTCGGTTTTGGGAGGAAGTCTGAGATCAACAAAATTCATATCTTTCCTACGCCTCAAGCAAATGTCCTTTATGAGGGCTTGCAGAAGAGCCTCAGCCCGTGCATCTCCGTACGAAAGCGGTCTGGCAATAACAGCATTGAAAATTTCAGACTGTTCCAGGCCTCCGGTGATTCGGAGGAACTTGAGGAGGGACTGGAAGTCTTTAATATTATTAACGCTGAGCGCGATTAGTACTAAATAGTCTTCCAGACATCGCACAAAGGCGCAAGAAAAACAAACTTACATGGGTGTGCCAGTCAAGGCCCATCTCGACTTCGCGCTGAGGGCGCAAGCAGCCAGAGCTGCGTTTGTCTTTGGATTACGGATGCTGTGTGCTTCATCAAGCACAACACGCCGCCATTGGATTTTCGATAGAGGGCCGTAGATCGTGTCGCTACTTAAGGTGCCGTAACTGGTGATGACGATTTTCTGATCCTTAAGAGATTCTGCCAACGTGTGTCGGTTACCTCCGTGGTAGATAACCACGGAAGGTATATGTTCCTTGGCGACATGGCGTCGGATTTGCTGCTCCCAGTTGCTCATTACACCAACTGGCGCAACAATGAGCGTGCTGCCTTCGCCTCCTGTCATGATCAAACTGATGATTTGAAGCGTTTTACCGAGACCCATATCATCGGCGAGGATGCCGCCCGACAGCAGATCGGGGGGGGTGCCAACGGTGAAATTAGTAGCAAGGTTAACATAGCGGCCTTGTGCATCACGTTTCCAAAGCTGAACTGAGTCTGGAGAGCCCGGCTCTGGAAACGTCGGGTTCTCTTTCTCCCTCAGCCAAGCCAACCCCTGCAGCTGATATGGAAGCAACTGGGCTTTCAGCTCATTCGGCTGCTCAGCAAGGGGCATCTGGGCGAGCTGATCCTCGCTCATGGCCAATTTCTGAATGACGTCCCCGCCCATACGTAGGTTCACGACTTGGCTAGTCTTTGCCAACTCTTCTAGCGACAGGCTTTCAGGCTCGTCAACAGCAAACCCGACAGAGCTACGACCACTCTTCAGGCCCATAGCCCCCCGCCGTTTCTCGTTCTCCTTCCGGGTCTGCTTAAGCTGAATTGCTGATACAAGCCTATCTTTCTTTAGGCGTTCTTCGAGCTCCGCACGGCCCACGGGATCACTAGTACCGTAGATAGAAATACGGACGGGCCAGTCGTAATAGCCTTTTTCACCTGTGAGGGTGGCTTCGATGGAAATCGCTCCGCTGTCCTAATAGAAGTGTCAGAGGGGAACTACGAGGAGTGACAGTTTTCAGGCCTCAAAGGTTACAATATAGGGTGCAAGTTTGGCAGCCACTGTTCTTGGGATGTGACCAATCTGACGACCAAGCACGTTATCAACTCGAATGGCGTTCGAGTCGTACTGAGGACATGGCCATGTCAGCATAAAGGAAACAATTAAATTCCTACCATATTAAGGGGGCTTACCGGATTTGAAGGTTCTCTAGTGCAGATAACCACTTCTCCCGCGGAGGCCATTCCGTTATAGTATCTCACCCCGACGATCTTACCATCTGTGTTTATTTTCGAGTCAGAATTCATTAAGGAAATCAACGAAGGGGTTCAAAAAGGAACCCACATACCAAAGGAACCATACAGTTCTCGCAGCGGGCCATCGTCGACCTGGGTAAGGACAATCGAGTTGGGATCTTCATCCTCATAAATATTCGACTGTGATGCCGAAGATTGGCTCGGAAAGTTTCTAGCAAAACTAGACGTGGCATTGGAATATCCAACCGCATGCTGACTCAGACCGACATCAGTGGGTTGAGTTAAAGGTGAGGACGAAGATGGGAGCCGGGGAGCTTTTGTGGGACGACTGCTCTGAGGCAGGTCAGACGAGGATGCCGTCAAATGTGTCCGTTTGTTGGATGCTCTGGGGGGCATTGTTTGTCTTCTGAGTTATGGCGGTAAAAGTGATGGCAAGATGTGAATGGAAACCCAATTGAACTTGAGAACACGCGATGTTCTCGCTGAAAATGAGCGCTTCGACACAACCAATTCAACCCTGTAGTCTCTTATGAGATTGTCTACAGCATGTCAGATCCTTGTCAAGGTGAAGGAGGTGAAGGTTGCAAACATGGAGTTGATCAATCCCAGAAGAGAGCAGGCAGAAGAAGGATTCTTAGTAAGAAAACCGAACGCGAGCTGGCGCGATTGGGTAAATGAGCGACCCGCCTACTTGGAGCGTGATCACGTGACGCATAACACTGGGAATCCACAGACGGGCAATTGGACAGGGCTCACCTTCATCTTCGTGCGAAGGCATCAATCACGCTGCTTTCCAGCTCTGTCGCTGGCACTTCGATGTCGTATCCTCTATTACCTAATCCGTACACAAAGCTGGCACTCATTTGCTCCGATGAATAACAAAAAATGACAAATTCAATCACATCTTGGAGCATAAACCTTATACACAGTACGGATCCGTACCTAGACAGTCAGATACCAGATAATCGTTCAATCGAACTTAAGCCTCAAGTTTCACCAGATCCGAGATACCGCAAAGTTGATGCATATGGTTTAGTAACCGGGCTGTTACCTGTGCATCAGATGTACTTATAATCATTGAGGGTTTGTCCTCGTCTTTTAGCCACCGAGTACACCCCCAAGAAGCCCACGGCCCTTTTTCTTTGCGCTTTTCCCGAGAGAACCAAGGCCCAGGCTCTCGAGGACGCGCCCAATGCCCAGAGTACCCAAGAGGCCATCGAGAATGCCGCCTAGACCCAGGCCACCAAGGAGTCGGCCAACGAGGTTCAGCACGCCAGCCAGCAGCAGGCCAACAGCAGCGAGGATTTGGAACAGCGGCTCGTTGAGCAGCCCCCAGAGTGGGTTGAGCTCCTTCTTCGCGTACGGCATGTCCTCTAGCTTACGCTTGGCGTTGTCGATGCACTGGGTGACGTCACCCGTTAGGTCTTTCAGCACGTCGGCCAGGTGGTATTCCTCGGGTGTTGCTTCGCGGGATGCTGCTCTGTGTTTGGCCTTAGCTGCGATCCTTCCATCCGGGTCCAGGCCCTTGATGATGCCCCGAGCTTCGCTAAGAATGCGGCCCCCTTCCTCAATCAAGGGACGAACATCACTGACCAGCTGCTCCTCATCGCGTTCGTCCTCGGGCATGCGCTCTGCTCTGTCAATTTTCTACCGAGTCGTCGTCAGTCTCGTGCGTCATCCCAGTGTGTATCCATGTATCCAATTGCCAACAGCTTCACTCACCTCGGTGATCAGCTTGCAAATTGGCCGGATGCTGTCAAGGCATTGTTCGATGCAAACTGCCATTTGCGTAGCCAGCCTTTTGTCTTGCTCTACTTGTTTTCGTTGCTCCTTTTCCTCGGCTGACTCCTCAGGGAGGATGTCCTCGATAAGGCTGCAGTGCCCAACGATGTTGCCCTTCGAATCAACAACGTCTCCATCCTCATCGATCTCTTTCCCGCCGCAGATCCTGACATCACCAGACGTGAGCTTGCCGATAACGTTTCCATCTTCGTCAACCACATTGCCTTCACGGTTGACTCGCCGGCCATACATACGGCTCCTCTTTTTCTCGACCTTTTCAGGCTCCCAGCGCTCTGCGAACCCAATCACATTGCCGTTCTTGTCGAGAACATCACCATCCTCGTCTATTTGACGTCCGAAGAGCAACTTTGGATCCCCCTTCACAAGTCGGCCCACGATATCTCCAGCTGGAGTGATGACTGTGCCATCCTTAACTACCATACTGCCCTGCAACTCGGCAAATGGACCCTCTTTCATACCTTCTCGTTCACCCTCAGGGACAAGATCAGCTTTACCAAGAATGTCACCGCTCTCGCCGAGGACGTTCCCGTTCTTGTCACACATGCGGCCAATCATCTTCCTCACATCACCTTCCACCACGCGCCCAAATATTGTACCACTGCCATCGACGATATTGCCAGCTTTGTTCACCCTCTTCCCGGCCATTATCGACTTATCCACCTCAGTCTCAGGCTCTGGCTCCCAACTCTCAGCGTGCCCAATGACATTCCCGCTCCTGTCTAGTATATCTCCATCTGGATCGACAGCCTTACCCCTAACGATGGCTAAGTCACCCTTCACAACTTTGCCCACAACTTCGTCATTCGAAATCACCATCCCATTCTTGCTAACTTTAGCATCCGGAAAGTTCTCAAATGGCGCTGGCTCTTTGAGCAATATCTCGCGTTCATCCTCGGGAATTGGTTCTGCCTTGCCCAGGATTGTGCCGCTGCTGCTCCAGATGTTTCCATTTTCATCAACTTTCCTTCCAATAAGCTGTTGCAGCACGCCTTCGGTCACCCTTCCAACTGGTTTGCCGTCTTCGTCAATGACGTTTCCGCCTTTGTTTACAGTCCCATTTTTGAGAATCGAGCAGTCAGTAGCCTTCTCCTCTTGCAGCTCTTCTCCAGTTAATGGCTTATCAGCTTTCTGTTTTTCGATACAGGTGGTTGATTTTTCTTGGGCTGTTTCGTGGATATTGGGAGCCAGTTTTTCTCCCTCTGGGATACCTTCTCTCCTGCTGTCTTTCTCTGCAACTGGTTCGAGAACCTGGAGCTCCTCTCTTTCCCTTTCTTGATCATGAATTGGCTCTTCCACCCCGTGATTTTCATGGGCAGGTATCTCTCCTTCTGCTGAGTGGCCCTCGTGTTCGGCGTCATATGCAAAAGACTGGGAGGCGTTTTGGCCCTTGGCCAGTGCTTTATCGGTAGCGCTCACTGGTTCCTCCAGCGCATGCTCTCCGGCATGAAGAGCAGTCTCGTCTGTTTCCTCTGAAATTCCCTCCTTTTCCTGAACGACCTTTTCTTCAGGTTCTATAATAACATTTTCGGATTCACCCTGAACATCCGTCGGCTTTTCAAGAGGTTCAGCAGCTCCTTCTTCGGCGCTAATCTCAGGGGCTTGTTTCTGCTCTTCGAGTTCAGAAGTGGGAACTACTGGGCGATCTGTCTCGCCTGCCAACTCTGCTGTTGCAGAAAAGGTATCCTTGGCCTCTAGCTTAGATGGCGGACTTGCGGGAGTTTTTTTCACAGTCTCCTCCTGGATGGGTAGAATAACAGGACGGTCTGGTTTCCCGGCCAATTCTGGTGCAGATGAAAACATATCCTTAACTTCTTCCACCGATGGACCACGCTGCGGAGTAACCTTCTCTCTTTCGGCCTGACTGGGCAGCTCAACAGGATGATCTGTTTTGCCCGCCAATTGTGGTGTCGATGAGAACATGTCCTTAGCCGCCTTCAAAAAGGCCCCTTGTACCTGAGAGTTTTGAGCAGCTTTGGCGAATCCCCACTTCGCCATCCCAGTGAGTGCCGACTTCTTGTTGCCCGTGTCAGCAGCTGCTTGTTCTTTCACCGCTTCTTTACCCTTCCCCTTCCCCTCTTCCATAGGTTTAGGCTGAATATTTTCCATCTTGACTGTCTCTTGATCCACATCTGGCACCGATCCGCCGGCTTTCACTTTGATCATTTCGGGCTCCCCTTGCGCTTCTCCCAATTTCTGGCGTTCCGCGTGGATATCTCGATGACTGTATTCCCCTTCCCCCTGCTCCATGTCAACACCACTTTCTGGCTCTCCCGGACACAGACCAACATCGTGGGAAGCAGCAAGGGATGAGCGCGGTGTGGCCGCACTATGCTCAGCGCTACCCTCTTTGCTCTCGCCCTTGTATGGCCAAGCGCCAGGTGTGGCTGTTTCCGGGACAATGTCGCTCATGGTGAGATGGTAAACTGAATAAAGACTAGAGTATCAGGGAGCGAGAAGAATGCGTAGATCAATTGTAAAACTAGTAGTACAGTTTGCTGCTTTAAATTTGAATTTCTGCTGAGACGTTACTTTCTAAACGTACCCTCGAGTATTGAGATGCTGAGTGGTATTAAAACTATTGAGCTGGGCTCCCTCAACAACCTGATACACGAGGACCAGCCCATAGCTCAGCCTACCTACGTCACAAATCGTGCCAGCTTTTTCCGAACATATTGCCACTATGAATCATCCGGGGTTTGAGGATTGGTTTTGCCTTTTTCTTGGATAAAATATTCTCAAGCTTATCTTGATTCGATGAAGTGCAAACGTCATAGATGCTCTTGGCATGCCCAGCGGGATGCGGGTAGGGCAACATCCATGCAAGTCTTGAGTCTTTCGACGAGCCGGTCTGGTATCGCAGTGAAGAGGACAATTCAAGTTCCTCATCTAACGTTATCTCTCACAAAAGAACATTACATACGCGAAGGCATATACATTATATCGTAGTTCAGCTCAGTTTACAGAGCGAGGGATCATGAAGAATCAGGAGGTGCTAGCCTTGGCGCAGGGAAGACAGTAGGGATTCGAATGGTCAGTTGAACTCCCTCTCTTGTAGACTTGACGTCCAAAAATATATCCGAAGGACTCTCTTCTGGACTCTCCTTTTTCCAAGCTCTGGCATTCGTCCTCTCACTGCCTTGATTTTGCCCTGCATTGGACGAATCTCCTGTTGGTTGTGCTTTTTGCTGTTCTGGCTGTTGTTCGGGAGGTGTTGTAAGATGTTGTGATTGACATGATGGCTGTTGTTGTCTCCTTTCTGTTTTGTCATTGGGCGGCATGTTCCCCTCGGCATTATCGGCGTCGTGAATAGCATCTTCATGACAGTAAAACTTTCCAACTATAAATCCGCTCGCATCAAGTATGTTCCCTTGATGGTCAACCATCAACGAGCTGGCCGCTTTTCCCATCAGCTCAAACAAGCTGCGTGGCTGCTCAGGAGAAATGGGCGGCCGTGTGCGACCCAGCTCTACATCTGCCACATAACCCAACAACTTTCCATCATCGCCTAGTATATCGCCCTGGCTGTTGGACACTACCCTTCCTACGATGGACGGTAGATCCCCACCAGCTCGAGCTAGAACTTGGCCTGTCTTTTCGTCTACAATGTCGCCGTCTTCGTCTATCGGTTTTCCGATGAGAAGAGTGCCGATGAAGGACGATAGACGTGGTCGACCGAGGGCTGGTATTTGGATGTCTTGAAACATGGGCGTGAAGGTACCGATCTTTGGGATTGGTGAAACATAAGCTGGGCTTCGTTTGGTTGGCTGGGTCGGGTCGCCTTCGATGTTATCGCCGGCTCTGGGATTGAGAATATTTTGTGAACTGCTTCTCTGAGACTGACTCTCGGTGCCCATGTTGTCTTAATATTTCACTCGAGGATCCTCTTGATGTAGTACTAGTATGTTAAGGGACCATCCAACCTTAGTCCTTGGTCGAACCATATCCTCTTAACCCCCTGCTACACTCTAGGGTTCTACAGCCGGCCTCAGATAAGATAATGGATGTGTTGTCGAGAACCAGGCTAGGCACGTTCGACCTCAGGTTTTCGGTAATTGAATCAACCCCTGCCCGAGTGTTTAGCATTCTCTAGGGCGACATATAGCTGCAAGGCAGGTGGTATTCGACATGGGGTGAAGACCTGCAGGATGCTATGATGTCACGATTAGTACACATTGTGGGGTAGCAAGACTGTGGCTCCCGTCTTGGCCGTCGATCCTGATCCACTGGTCCATACAGGACGGAGTACGTACCGCAGCCAGTCGTTGATGGAACACAGATCTGCTGCCGTCTTTTAACATGGTATTTCCGGATCACTCTATTCCTTACCGTACCCGGAACTCTGAAGAAGATGATCTCTATATATTTAGACTAGAATCGGATCACAAGGAGGCTGTGCATGTAAGGTCGTAAATAATTCATCAATTGGCTCAGATGTGTGTCCTCTGCGCTACGATACTCCCAAATTTCTATCTATCTAGACGCAGTTAACTCCCAACCGCGCCGTTGAATCGAGATTTTCGTAACTCAATTGAACACAAAACTCTCCTGTCATCAACACCACTCCAACTTGGACATCCTGGAGCGCAAATAGGCACGCGCGAGTCATTTCAAGTACTTTAGTTCCTAATCAATTAGCCATCTTGTTCCTATCAAATACACAACCTCTCTCTTGGGGACCTCAGGATATAATAGGTTGATGCATCCTAAAAAAAAATGGAGAATGTTCGCTCAAGACTCTCTAATTGGAATGTTTATTTAGTCTTGTAGAAAAGAGGCAGGTAAGGGAAAGAAGGATGCACTGAGATATACTGCTATGTTGGGTGCTAGCAGCCATGTAGGGACTACCAAAAATGGCAGCTTCCGGGGTGCTGAAAACAGTGCGTATCAGATAAAAGATTGTCCGGCTGCTTACAAAAGTGCAAGTTCCAAGTCTCCATGGATCTTGGCCTTGAGTGTGATTTCCACATCAAGATTGAGATCAAGCCGTAGCCTAAGGGTGTCTCTTTTGCCACTGCCTTTGCTACTGCGGTCCTGAAGAGCGGTATTGGCGACACCATCGAGAACTCCCACTGTTGTGTTGACAAGACCATCAGCCGTGTTCTGTACGTTCCGTATATCTAAGGTTTCCAGTGCCCCCTGCTGCACCCTTGGTTGACGTTGCTTCCTTCTCATGGGCGAAGGGACTTCTTCGGATTCATCGACTTCCGACTCGTAGGTGCGAGCTTGAGGTTTTCGTCTTGGTTTCTTTTCTTCAGATGGTATTTGAGACATAATACTCTTGCTTTTGCTTGAAGCTTTGCAATAATTGAGCCACAGAAGAGACGACGGCATACAACGGCCTATAGGTTGGCAGGTGTATTGATGTCTCTTCACAGATATGTACAGTTTCTCGAGATCTTGTCTTTTTTTTTTTAGAGAGCCGGTTAACAACACTTACCCAGTTCTAGAAGGAATAATTTCAAGAAAACTGGCCAGACCTGCCGAATGTGGATTCATGAGGTCATGCAATGGTCGAGGGACAGATACGTCAAATTATTGGTCAAAATGATGGCTACGGAGAACCTAGTTTTATCTAAATCCTCCAGTGACGTTGCCTCTCCGTGACATCAGCCTGGAGCCTTTTGGTGGCTAGCTCTCCTCTTTGACATACCGGCTCTCCATCCCTAGCTGCATCCTCCTGCGCAGCCTAATGGGTACCCATTTCTTGGGACGAGAGCTTAGTGACATGGATACGTCTGTTTCTCCCTCTGACTGCTCGTTTCCAGTTGAACTTCCACACAATCCACTTGTGAACCTATCATACCCATCGCATCCAATTGCCCAGTTCTTGTTTTCAAGCTGAATAGCCACAAAACAACTCTCGTGTCCCTTAAGGGTTAACCACTGCTCATCTTCAGACCAGTCCCAAGGACCCACTATGTGACCCCCAAGTGTGTCCTTACGCCCTCCATGACGAAACAAACCTGTGTCCTTGTCGACAAAAATCCAGTTGAGCATAGGTGGGTCGTCTGCGATTGTGCTAACGAGCCCAAGCGGTTGCTCTTCTGATGGGTAAGTGAAGTAGTACCCCGTAAATTTATGTCCAGGTACTGGGTACTTGGGATGATCTATCCAGAGCTGCGACTTGTTAGCACTCGGATCAAGCTGTAGCTTCAGACACAATGAGACACACTAATCCATCTTTTAAAACAACCCCGCATTCGACTGATCCCTCCCCTCCAAGTGAAAGAGTAACTGACAGATGAAACTTGGCCTTTGCTTTGGCTGCAGCGTTTTCCTTCTTCTGCGCGCTCAATGCTTCACAAACTCCGATGGTGGTTGGAATGCCGGCAATAAGCAAGAGACAGAGAACCATTTTGGATGTAACTCCACCTCAATGCCAATCTGCCCAACTGCCTGCGGAACCTTATGTGAGCCCAGTCTAATATATGTTGTAGCTTCGATCTGATTTGGGTCTCTAGGGAGATATGAGATTAGTCCAAAATGTGTGGCAGATCAGAGTTGTTTGAGTTGCTGTCCCCAGCAGCTACGTCATTGATATTAAACGCTGCATATATTCCTGATCACCGGATGCCGATACGGGCAACGATAGCCTATGTCGTCACCAAGTTCAAACTAAGCGTTCGCATTGGTTGCCAGTTCATCAGCTGACATACCACCATTAATGGTACATCCTCAGAGTTTGTGGGTTTGGGATGAATTGACATATGAGAACTCTTCAAACAACCCACCTTTGCCTACATGCTACCAAGGTCTTATAGTACAGTGCAATCGTACTCTCGAAACACTCTGTAGGAGTTTATTGGGGATCATGCCTTCGGTGAGTAACCACAGCACTATGCGTTTCGATCATAATTAAGGGCATCTCTCTTAATATAAAAAATATAAAAACAGAAAAAGATCAAAAACAGGCACCCTCCACCGTCTGTATCTCGACCTCAACCTCCACAACAGCAGGAACAACGGAAGAAAGAGAAGGATCAAAAGCACAAAGCTAAGGCACCAGAACCTGCTACAAACGACCAGGAAAAGAAGGCCCTGAAAGCGGCACCACCACCACTGGTTCCTGTCGAACCTGGAGATGAAAGTGAGGACTATTCTGAGGATGTGTCCAAAGACGAGGAGCAAAGAGTGTTAGACGAGAACTATCAGGATGGCACGCCGGGTAGCAGCAGAAGGGCAGAAGCAGATGAAGATGAAAGGTCCGAGGAAGAAGCCGACGAAGACCAGGCAGTGCAAACTGCGCGCGAGGAGGAATCCGAGGAGGAGGAAGAAGAGAGCCCAGCTCTGTCGCAGCCTTCAACACCCAGGGACGACGAAAAGCCTCGGCCCAAATGGATGGATCAGCGGCTGCAGTCGGCCAAGAAAGCGGATCAACAAATGGAGCCGGCCTGTCAGACCCGCCAACAAGTTCACCACGAACAGCGTCAACGTAATATAAGTGGTCAACGCGACTATAACAGCCAGCTGACTTATCGTAAAGAGCAAGAAATGATGATGCAACCGCAGCAACAGCCACAGGTTCAAACATACTGAGAGCGAGACAGGAGCAAAAACCCACTTCGGCTAAGACTGGATTTGAACCTCGAGGTAGAAACCGAGCTCAAGGCGCATATCCATGGTGATTTGACGCTGGCTTTGCTGTATGCAGTCCTGTTTTCCTTTGCTCATATCGTTGACGCCCCCACTATTTTATAAGGGCCTGCATCTGGAAACAACGGCTTTGCTTGTGTATAAGTCTTGCTACTTTCCTCCTGTGGACATTATTCTTGATTTCTCCTGCGCTAATATCTCAAATTGCTGTCCATGACGAGGCTTGAGGGACTCATTGAGCTAACGATAGTATTTCAGGGACGGTTAATGAACAATAACACGATACACACTTAGCATGGTTGGCGTCAACGGGCTTAAGCATGTGTTAGATGATCGAGCAGTACTTTGGAAAGACCACGTGACAGAGTTTTGAACGAGAAAGCTCCAGAGGGTCAATTGATATGTATCAAGCACCTAAGTAGTGTATGTCGTCGTTGGTCAAAGGGCCCCTGGGTCTTCCGTGACAATAAAAGGCTCAATGGAGGCTTTGCTTGTACACACATTCCAGCCAGGATTAATTTGCACTCACTACAACTACCCGATGCTCAAGTTCTGAGATGGGCTTCTGTCAGTTTGAGAAACCCAGAGGCTTCTTATTGCAAGTCTACGAAACTATCGTGGATGGATCGGAACTGGATTGTTTTTTTATCTGGCCCCATCTGTGGGGTGCTGGTATGCGACGGCTCCGCTATACCGTGATGGGATCCGCATTCAAGATGGGCGATCGAGACTCGGGAACCCTGCCATCGGGATCGCGGTCCAAGTCTCCAACTCAGCGGCACCGAGAATCGGACAATCGCATGTCACCTGAGATGCGGCTTAGCTTACACACCGAGTGGCGATTGTAGAAAGATTAAAGCGGAGTGGGCCTCGGCGTTTGCTTTTGCGTGAGGCAGTATTAAAAACAAGCAACAATGATCCAAAATGATCCAGATGGCTTCCCGAGAGGAACTCATCGGGTGGTGAGGGGCCGGACGTCGTCTGCTGCCCCGGGCACATGGAGATGAGGCGGGGCCGAGGGCCTGCCAGATGCCAAGACCCGGGCAGAAGTACGACTCCACGTTGCCTTGTTCGGCAGGGACCTAAGGAGTAAGCGGGGTTCCGCATCCGGATTCGGAGACCTCGAGAGAGACAGGAGGACGATGTTGCAGTAGCATCTTCGCATGTGCCCGACATCCGGGTCGTGTAGTATCCGTATTGTCTAAAAATCCAGAGACGACAGGCTACCACACCTCGCTTGCCGGCTGTTGGTCGACTGAAAGCCACGCTTCTGTTTGTTTAGCCATGTTGTTGATGTTGCTTGCTGCTGTTGACTGCGCTTTGGTGACTGCTTGCTGTGGCTGCCCTGTAGCATCTCTCAAAAAAATGGGTGTGTGCCGCGCAAGTCTCGTTCCAATGGCCATGGCAAAAACCGTTCCTGGAGTAAATGGACTGGCTGTCATTGGTGGGTGGGCAGAGTAGCAGTGAGGGTGCCTGGGTCTGCAGCGGCCGAACATCCTCGGCCGCCAAGGTTCTTGTGTCACATCACATCCAGCATGAAGTCAACAGACAGCTTGCTGTTTGGAGACATCACTTCACCTGCGGACCTGAGCACAGCAGAGATGGGCCCAGGCCAGCAACGCTGTGTCGCTGTTTTGTGACTTGAAACACGTCCTATGGCAGAAACAAAATGGAAAACAAGGGTTACGAACGCCCCCCCCCCGGCGGCCCATGGGCGCAAGTTCTGAATCATCGATGAGCAAAGTTTCAAAAATTTGGAGACTGCGACTGGAACACAAGACGTTTGCCGGTGGCCAGGAACGCGCAGAGCGCTGCATGCAGCAGCCGCTGGCCCCAATCGGGTGTAAGAGCGATTTCCGACATCGCCACGAAGGGCCAGCATGCGATCCGTGCACGCCTGTTGTGTCGCCCAATTACCCCACAATCAACGGCCAAAATTTTTGAGACCAGCGACTCATACCCGCCTTGCCTGTGGATTTGGGTCCCACTGAGGTCAGGGTTCATTTGTTCCAGTAGCTCTAGACTCTCCGACCTGTGGCGGCATCCGTTGTGACTCTTTCATCCTGTCACCAGTCTCTTCTTCATATGAAGAAGCACTCCTCCCACGCGCAATTCCACAGTTAGCAATCTCCAATCCGCTGTGTTTCCCCCGTTCTTTCCCCTTCCCTTCTAGTCTTGCTTTCCCGGTTCGTCTTCGCTTCCCCTCCATTCGCCATGCTCCGTAACTCCTCGCGCGCCCTGAAGGGGCTCGCCGAAGCTCGGCCCGGCCAGCAACGAGCACTCACGACCATCAAGAGGGCCGCGCCCATGGCCCTGGGGTACAATGCCCCCTCCAACCTGAGATATCAGTCCTCGTCGGCGGCCCAAAATTCAACGAGCACGTATGTCTGGTCCACTGCCTAACCCCAGGGCCCTCGTCTGTAGTGACTTACTGCCCCGGACCGGATCGCAATCTGCTAACACAGATTTGAGCAGCGAGGTGCGCACGAAATCCAGCCAGTCCTTCAATTCCACTCCCTCGAGGGATCGGAGCCATGTCCAGCCCCTCGTTAACCCCCAGAAGGGGAATATGGACGAATCGTATGTTCCCCTCGCTGCCCCGCAGCGGCCTGACCAGGGAAGGTAACTGACCATCGTGATATCCCAGGTTCATTGGGAAGACGGGAGGCGAGATCTTCCATGAAATGATGCTCAGGCACGGTGTAAAACACATCTGTATGTCTGTCTGGCCTTCTGTGCGGATGCGAAAGACGTTGACTCACTAACCATGCGCCTGCCCTTGAACAGTTGGCTACCCTGGCGGTGCTATTCTCCCCGTGTTTGATGCGATCTACAACTCACCACACTTCGAGTTCATCCTGCCCAGGCACGAGCAGGGCGCCGGCCATATGGCAGAGGGCTATGCGCGCGCCTCTGGCAAGCCTGGGGTCGTGCTGGTGACTTCTGGTCCTGGCGCGACCAACGTCGTCACCCCTATGGCCGATGCCCTCGCCGATGGCACGCCTATGGTTGTCTTCACTGGTCAGGTCGTTACCAGCGCCATTGGCAGCGATGCCTTCCAAGAAGCCGATGTCGTCGGCATCTCGCGTGCCTGCACCAAGTGGAATGTTATGGTGAAGAGCGTGGCCGAGCTTCCCCGGAGGATCAACGAGGCTTTCGAGATCGCCACTAGCGGCAGGCCCGGCCCCGTCCTTGTCGATCTTCCCAAGGATATCACTGCGGGTGTCCTGCGGCGCGCCATCCCCACCGAGCCGACCATTCCGACCATCCCTAGCGCCGCCTCTCGCGCTGCTCTCGAGCTCACCCGGAAGCAGCTCGAGGCCTCGATTCGCCGCGTCGCCCATCTCATTAACATCGCCAAAAAGCCCGTTATTTATGCTGGTCACGGTGTCATCTGCTCCGAAGGCGGCACAGAGCTGCTAAGAACTCTTGCCGACAAGGCTTCCCTGCCCGTCACTACCACTCTTCACGGTTTGGGCGCTTTCGACGAGCTTGATCCCAAGTCGCTTCACATGCTTGGCATGCACGGCGCTGCCTATGCCAACATGGCTATGCAGGAGGCTGACCTTATCATTGCCCTCGGCGGTCGCTTCGATGATCGTGTGACCGGCAGTGTTGCCAAGTTCGCCCCGGCTGCCAAGGCTGCTGCCGCAGAGGGCCGTGGTGGCATTGTCCACTTTGAGATCCTGCCCAAAAACATCAACAAGGTTGTTCAGGCAACCGAGGCTATTGAGGGTGATGTGGCGACAAACCTCAAGCTGCTCCTCCCCCATGTTGAGCCGAAGACGATGGAGGATCGCAAGGAGTGGTTCGACAAGATCAATGAGTGGAAGAAGAAGTGGCCCCTGTCCGACTTCGAGCGCTCGGAGCGCGCTGGCCTGATCAAGCCCCAAGCTCTGATCGAGGAGCTGAGCGACCTCGTTGCTGATCGCAAGGAGAACACTTACATCTCTACTGGTGTCGGCCAGCATCAGATGTGGGTTGCTCAGCATTACCGCTGGCGATACCCGCGCACTATGATCACCTCGGGTGGCCTTGGTACCATGGGCTACGGCTTGCCGGCCGCCATTGGTGCTAAGGTAGCCAAGCCTGATGCTCTGGTCATCGATATTGATGGCGATGCTTCTTTCGCCATGACTCTGACTGAGCTGGCCACTGCTGCTCAGTTTAACATTGGCGTCAAGGTTATTGTCCTGAACAACGAGGAGCAGGGCATGGTTACCCAGTGGCAGAACCTCTTCTACGAAGACCGCTACTCGCACACTCATATGAAAAATCCCGACTTCATGAAGCTGGCTGATGCCATGGGCATCCAGCACAGGCGTCTCGTCAGGCCTGAAGAGACTCGTGAGGCTCTGAAGTGGCTGATTGAGACGGATGGCCCGGCTCTACTTGAGGTTGTTACCGACAAGAAGGTGCCTGTCCTTCCCATGGTTCCTGCTGGGTCTGCCCTGCACGAGTTCATTACTTGGGACAGTGGTATGTATTCTCTACTAGTTTCCTTTCTGTTGATAACAGTTGCTAACAATCACAACAGAGAAAGACAAAAAGAGGAGAGAGCTGATGCGGCAACGCACTGGTGGTCTCCATGGTTAAATGAGTCATCACCCCTCATTCAAAATTTTGACAAAACTTACGCGGGAACCATTGCCTACATTCTTTTTATTTCTCAATGCTGGTGTGCTCTCTATTTGTCATATCTGGGGAATCGGGGAAATAAATAAAAACGGGGATTGCTGCTATCAGAGAAGCAACAGCTGGGGAAATTCAAAAGGCATCGCTGGGTCAGCAAAAAGTCGGTTGCAGATCACTTCTTGTAGGGTCTAGTCTCTTAACATTTTGGAGGGAAGCCTTGATCCAAGGTCGTCTCGGATATCATATCCCAACTCGGATAAGGCGAACCGGGCTGTACATAGTGGAGGAAAGGATACCATGCGGGGTTTGGGTTTGCTTGAATGTTGACAGGGAATTTTTTATCAGATTTCTACTGCGGTTTGAGACTAATGCGCTGCTTTATGCGACTATTTCAAGTCTCTTTGTGAATCTCAATCTTAGGGCCAAGGTGACTTGTGAGGGTCATGATACCTCATTATCTTCATGCCTTCTTAAAAAGCCATGGCAGGCTTATTTGCCAGGCTACTGGTATGTTACTCAGAAAGGCAAACAGGATTATTGCTCAGCAGAGTGCATGAACAGCACATTCAATGACTGGAATAAATGAGCAAATCAAGGTCTTTTCTGTACCTATACGCTATCGCACAAGAAAAGTATGGTTTTCGCCTCCGACTTTGTGTTTGGGATTATCGTCCTTAACTATGCACAGAATACCACCACCACGATACTCGTATACCAAAGTCATATCCTTCATTTCATGTTTTTACTTTCAGACATTAGTACTGCCAATAGAAATCATAAGGTGTAGGAAACTGAGGGAGGATATATGCAGTGATGGAGAGGAAGTCACTAACACACAAAGGAAAATGCCTAACAAATGCTTGCAAGCAGTACTCTAACATGCGTACACAGCGGTTTGCAACGAGTTAAAGAGCAACGAGTTAAAAAGCAATAAACGACATGGCAATTGCTCAGTGCCAGAGCGTGCCCTGTGGTGTGCACTTTATCACATCCCCTCGGACAGTGGCCCGAAAACTGTCAAGCCTTCTCACGGGGGGGAAGTAGGCGTGGCTTCATTTTATAATGTGCTTATTTGTTCGGTTTCTGGGCACCACAGCCAGCCTGCAATTAGTATCTGTTCATGAAGCCATGTCCAACTTCAAATTGGGGGTGAATTGGACAAAAAGACCTTTTCAAGGTCTTACTTACCGGGCAGTTGGGACAAGTGCACTGGCCCGGAGGGCAGGTACATGTGCCGGTTGAGCTGCATCCACAGTCGCTCATGGCGGATCTTTATTGATACTCGCGTGATTAGGTTTTTGTGTTTTTTGAGATGCCTTATGTCGCTTCGTTTGATTGATATGAGCTGTCAAAACGCTATTTGGTTTTCACTTTCTTTTTACCTTGTTTTTTGGGGAGTGGTGACGAAGAGGAACAGAGAAGAAGAAAGAAAATGAGATGAGAAACCAAATACCGACTCCCGTGGCACCAACTAGGTGAAATTGTGGGGTGAGTGATTGCTAAATACCCTGACTGGTAAACTCTGCTTGTCTCCAGGATGGCGAGAGACGATAGTGTCATGTGGCGAGGTGACGTAACTGACATGTCATAGAAGAGGCCGAGCTTCTCACCCTTGGTCTGGATGCTGTAGTGAATGAATTATATTGGCAATAACTGTTCGATGAGTGGCTACTTGATTTTCATGAATGTCTTCACCCGTTTAGAGCGTGCAGAAGGCACTCGAGATACCATGAAGGGAGTCATCAACCAACAAATGAGTCAGGTGACCACTGTTAATAGACTCTTCGATGGACGTGTGAGAAGCCCTAAAATAAACACAGCAGGTAACGGTTACGGTGGCAGTTGGTCTTGAGAACGGTATGGGCTTCAAGGCTTTTGAATCTCGACATGTAAATAAGGTGCCTTGAAGCATCAAATCAAGGAGGTAGAGGCAATCAAGACAGGTGGCTACAGTAGACCATTGCCGGGGGTCATGTTGCCTGTATGACATCCTCTGCCAAAACTTCATTATCCAACACACCGGCATTTTCTCTACCCACTTCATATTTGACCGTTGTGAATGGACCGATATTGTTCGACCCCACGATCCACATGGTGGCTTTGGGGGAGAAATGTGGGGAAACAACAATGCTTAGGCAGACGAACTGAAGTGAACACAGGCGGTCGAAACTCGAAGCTCAGGGTCTTGTACATGACTCCAGTCCAGGGATAAGGAGGAGCATACACAATAGAAGACCCCCAGGGGCTGTTCAGCCATTGAGTGACTAGAACTGTAAGTTTCATGATGGGTTTCCTGTACATATCTGAACAAAATAACTACGGCAGAGCCCATTGTGATGTAGTCATCCCATGCAGGCACAGTCTGTTAAAATGTTATCGAGTTTCTGCTGGAATTATTTGGGGTCCGGTGCTGCCGCGGGGACCATCACGATGGATTCAGCCCTTTGTGGGACTGGGGTGGACCACATGGGATTGATACCCCGCCCCCGCTCCATCTTGCACATTATCCCCACCATTGCACCATTGCGATATGTTTGACTGGCTTCTTGGCCTGTTGTGTGAGTTGAACTGCAGAATGTATGAGACAGGATGCCAGCTTGTGTATGTGACGAGTTCAAAAACCAAGCAACTTGAGTCGGCAGTGGCCTAGCTCTGGCTTCTAAGGTACATTCTCTGTTCGGAATACTGCCGGTTTTCTATGTGACTTAGAATAAAGACTGCGGGGCAGTTTGCAAGCTGCCCCGATCTCCCCCATCCTTCGTCTCCATCTCCGCTCCTCGAAATTGGAATCAACCGACTGGCGGAGCTGCAAGTATCTCAAACTACATCTTTCCTTGATTTTCACTTCTTTCCTGCCCTCAGCCCTCTGTTATCTCAGTCTAACAAGTTCCCTCTTTCCCTCTCTCGATTTTCATTGTCTGCACTCCATCGTGTCTATTTACCCAAGAAACATTAGCTTGAACAGAGTCATCATCCAACCTTATCCTACCACTTGCTTCACCATGGCCGGCACCGTTCCCATCGCCCACTCGCTGGAGGACATCTACACCCCGGATGCCTTGCCGGCTCAGATGGAGCGATGGGATGCCCTCCAGGAAAAGTTCGAGTCCATTTACGGACACGTGCCCGAATTCGTGGCGCGGTCCCCGGGACGTGTCAACATCATTGGCGAGCACATCGATTACTCGCTGTACTCAGTCTTGCCGATGGCCATCACTGCCGATGCTCTCCTTGCTGTATCAACCAACCTAACTCCTACCAAGCCAGGGACTTTCAAAATCAAGATCGCGAACGTCCAAGAGGCTCGCTTCCCGTCCCATGAGTTTGACATCCCCTTCGATACCGTCGAAATCGATGCTACTGTTCACGAATGGACCAATTATTTTAAGTCAGGTCTGCGTGGTGCCCTGGAGCTTCTGCGGAGGAAGCATGGCAATGACTTTAGGCCCAAGAGCATGAAGATCCTCATGGATGGGACTGTTCCTGCGGGTGGCGGACTCAGTTCGAGTGCAGCCTTTGTCAGTGCAAGTGCCCTGGCAGTTATGGTTGCCAATGGGGAACAAGCGATCAACAAGAAGGAATTGACAGAGTTGGCGATTGTTAGCGAGCGGGCTGTTGGTGTCAACTCGGGAGGGTAAGGACTCAAATTAGTGCGAAGATGCAATCAGTATGCTGATCTGACTCTATGTAATCCAGGATGGATCAGTCGGCTTCAGTCTTTTCTGAGAGCGGCTCTGCTCTCTTCGTGTCCTTTACCCCAACACTCAAGGCCGAGCCTGTCCAGTTCCCCAAGACAAATCCCGAGCTTGCCTTCGTTATCGCTCAGTCCTTTGTCACCGCAGACAAATTTGTCACAGGCCCAATTCACTACAATCTCCGCGTTGTCGAATGCAGTCTTGCAGCAGCATATCTCAATGCGTTGGTCAATCCTCCTGGGACATCTTTGCCCGCTGACGCTTCACCCTTGGGCATAAGCCTGCATGGCTTCCACACAACTTTCTTTGCCACCCAGGGTACCAAGACTGCCGACTCCATGGAGGACCAACTAACCGAGCTTATCTCAACTGTCAAAAAAGTCCTCGTCAAAGAAGAAGGCTACACCCGCGAAGAGATCGCCGCAGCCCTCCAAATCTCCGTCGACGAGCTGAACTCACGGTTCACCTCTCGCTTCCCCGTCCGTGCTGAGCGCTTCAAGCTCCGCCAGCGTGCACTGCACGTCTACTCCGAAGCTCTCCGCGTCTTAAAATTCATGTCCCTCCTCCGGCAACAGCCCATCCCCGACGCAACCAACTCCGCCACCACAGAAGAATACAACCGTCAGCTCGGTGCCTTGCTCAACGAGACGCAGGCCTCGTGCCGCGATGTCTACGAGTGTAGCTGTCCCGAGATCGACGAGCTGTGCGCCATCGCCCGCGAAGCAGGCAGCTACGGCAGCCGGCTCACAGGAGCCGGCTGGGGCGGGTGCAGCGTGCATCTTGTGCCGGCCGACAAGGTGGTTGCTGTGCGGCAAGCGTGGGAGGAGAAGTATTATAGCAAGTTAAAGCTAACGGATCAGCAGAAGGAGGCCGCGGTGGTGGTTAGTCGGCCGGGAAGCGGGAGTGCGGTATTTTTGGTTAAGGGGTAATGATGAGGGATGAGGGCTTGGGAAGGAGAAAAAGGATGTTGTTTTCGGGATGACATGGGAGGGGGTGGTCTCATCACGTTTCCTTTTGAAGCTTGATGTGATGATCTGTCGGTCTAAGGGGACTTGGCTTTGAAAGGGACGGGCAGAGGAGTCGGCTAAAAAAAAAAGGCTGATCTATGCATCATTATCGGACATGGCATTGTAAACTTGTTTGATTTTGGAGAAAGCGGTCTTTTTTTCTTTTTTTTTCCCTAGCCGTGGCGGAATGTCACTTGCTATGCCTGGGTAGGCAATTAAGCAATATATATGCCGATTCAAAAGGACGACAGGTGAAGTGGTAAGCTCCCGAATGCTTGGAACAACCCATATGCCCCATCCAGTTCCATCATGATGCCTTGTCCAATACTCCAACCCCTGGATTATGGGCATGCATTACCTGCTTCAGATCGCCATCCAACCCAACCAACCCGATACGTGCCAACCCAGCGCCCGTCGTTTCAATTCTATCCCACATTACCTATCCCTCAGACCCTCTCCCCCAGGCTTCTTTACGTTCTTTACCCGCCGATGCGCCTTAACCTGCACCCGTCGATACTTAGTGTACAGCGCGAAGGCATCTTTAAGCACGACGAAGAGACACCCTCCAACAAGGCTGCGGCCCCATTGCTCCTGCAGGATACCCGTAGCCGGCCGACGGAAGCGCGGAGGCGTCACCCACGCCTTGGGAACCACGGCCCTAATCAGCTCGCCCATGCCGTAGGAGATGGCTGGGAAGAGGAGGGAGGTTACGATACCGTTGATGACGGTGGTTAGGAGGGACGGTTCACCGTCGTTGTTATTATTGTTCCGTTGCTGGTTCTGGTTGTTTTGATTTTGCTGCGGTTGCTGGTTTTGCTGAACAGGTTGTGCTTGAGCCGGCTGCTGTTGTTGTGCTGGCCGTCCGCCGTTTCCGCCGTTCCCTTGGCCGGCTGCTTCCCCGGCTCTATTCCTGCCTTGACCTTCCTGGTCGTTGATGTCATCACCTCCTCCTATCCTGAGCTCGATCTCGGCCTCGACATCGATGGCATCTAGGGGCCCTGCTGCTGGAAGGTCCATGAACACATTAAGAAAAGCACGACCGACATTAGCTACAGCACCCCACACGCCATCGGGGGGCTGAACGTTGTTTTGTTGGGCGGCCGGAGCAGCAGGTGCTTGCTCTTGTCGAGGGGCCGCCTCTTCAGTCGGCGGCCGGCCGCGCAGGGCATTATTCAAGCGCCTCTCTAGTGAGCCAAAAAGGTCATAGTAGAGGAAGTTGTAGCTGAGCTGGACATAGGGCATCATGGCGATTGCCCACTGGGGGGATGGCGGCCATGTCGGAAGGTCGTCGCGAGCGACCAAAGAGGCGCTGTACTGCACAGAGGAAACACTCTTCGTTAGTATGGGAATGCCATGCATCGAAAGACAGGTTGCCGAATGCCTGGCTTGAGCTTACCAAAACACTAAAGGGCAGGAGGACAACCGTGCCTAGCGAGGACAGCCACCGTGTGATCACCAACCCAGGTCCAAGTGCGGACAGGAATACCACCTTAAGCGTGGTTGACGGTATTCTACGACGCGAAAATGTGCCAAACCAGCGCGAAACGGCGTCGTGACCGGCGAATATGCAGGCCGCGCTCCATCCGTAAGCAGCAGCACCAGCCATAGTACCTCCAGAGACAATAACGAGCAGAATGTATGGTGATATCCGGCTGTATTTTCGGTATAGCTTGTCGCGAAAAGCAACAATGGGGTCGTACGGCTCCTCAATGATGATGGGCGCCTTGCAGGCAGGGCACTTATGCCCGGTCTTTTGCTGGTCGCTCGAACCCTCCATCTCGGCGATCCAGCGCAACATACACTCCTCATGGGCCTCGAGAGTACATGGACAGGCGTTTACCCATCTCGCGTTGGGCGTGTCTGTTTCATTCTGTAGGCAGATGAAACAAACGTGCTGATCGTTGGTGGCAATGGGCGTCGAGACGATGTTGAAGCTGGACGGAGAAGAGTGGGATGACGCTGAACTGCTGCTACAGCTGCTGCTTGGAGTTGGCGACGCCATGGTTGCTAACAGTCAGGTTGGTGAAGAGAATTATGGCTAAAGAGATGTTAAGCGCCCGAGGCGCTGATGGTTAAGTCAAACACGAAATGGCTTGTTGGCGGGATCCTAGTGTTGCGACTCGACCTGTCAACGGGTGCGATGCGCAAAGAGCAACCACTCGGACGGTATGAATGTGTCGGTAACGGCAGACTGAGATCGGATACTCACCAACATGGGATGGAAAATCTAACACAAAAGACAAGTCGATACACCTGTAGAACAGCGCTTGGCAGAACACCTAATAATTCTATTGATCAGCTTGTTGTTGTGACTGCTGATGATGTTGTTGGTTTGCGGCTGACGATGAATCAGGGCCCATCCGACTTGACAAGGAGCTCCGCACTCAGTTGACATCAGCATTCCTGGGGAACTCGATAATTGATGGGCCTTCGACGCTGGTCAGGCGGGTGGGATGTTCCCCGTTGACTGTAAGATACAATGCACAGTAACAGCGACGCACAATAATCATCTCGGGACGAACGATGTGCCTTGCTATCCCATTGATGATGCCTTAAGCGACCGTTTTACTCTTGATTCTAAATCATTTGAACTACTCACAGAAGCGAAACATTGTAGTCTTTCTGTTTCTGCTGGGATCAGGTAGCAGCATTGAAATGACCTTCTAAATGGAAAAGCCCCAGCTGTAACTAACATTGCACTGTCTCTTACACGGCCGTTACACATAACGTTATTACATGATGGCTCCACGGCCTGCCATGGGGTGCCCCACCTTATCAGCAGCAACGGCCTGGCACCATTGCCAGCCCCGCCATCGACGAGTGTGGAAGCTAGACGAGTCACAACTTTTTGGCGCATCGAACCACCATCATCTGCGACGCTGTCGTGCCTCTTCATATTTAGCCTCCAACAGGCGGCCTAGACGATAGTTTTGGGCCGTACCACACTCTCTTTCGCTTCGTCCCTGGGACCGGATCAACGCAGCCTCAAGCACTAGTCCCATCCTCCTCCATAATGGTAGGCTTCCCATCCTCTCTTCAGAACTGTTCATTAATAGTTACTCTGCGACCTGATATTGCCTTGTTTCAACGATATGACCTGACGATTGCTAGGGCCTCAATTCCAAGCAGCGCCTCGCGCTGGCCATCTGCGACTTCCTGTCGACCTCGCTGACGGATGGTACGCTCCAAGCTGAGGAGAAGGACTCCATTGACATCGCCATCAACTGTATTGGCGAGGCTTTCGGCGTCGACCCCAACGACAAGGACGCTATCAAAGAGGCGATCGGCTCTCAGAATCTATTCCAGATCTACTCTGTCTATGAGAAGTTGAAGACTGCGACCGCAGCGGCCAAGGCCAGCGCCTCCTCCCCCGCTTCCAGCACCGCTGCTGCTGGTTCCTCCTCCGGTCCCGAATTGACCGAAGAGCAAAAGAAGCAGGCTGAGGCACTCAAGGCCAAGGGTAACGCCGCCATGGCGCAGAAGGACTATGCCACCGCCATCGACTTCTACACACAGGCTATCGCCATCAACCCCCGCAACGCCATCTACCTGTCCAACCGTGCGGCCGCCTACAGCGCCGCGCGCGACCACGTATCTGCTCAGGCAGACGCCGAAGCTGCTGTCGCTATTGATCCGCACTACACCAAGGCCTGGAGCCGTCTGGGCCTGGCCCGCTTCGCGCTAGGCGACGCCAAGGGCGCCATGGAGGCCTACCAGAAGGGCATCGAGTACGAGGGCAATGGCGGCAGCGAGGCCATGAAGAAGGGCTACGAGACGGCCAAGCGCCGCGTGGAGGAGCTGGCTGCTGAGGAGGCGGCTAAGGCGGCCGGCAGCTCTAACAGCTCTGCCGGCACGCGCGGCGGTAATGGCGCCGGCAGCAGCGGCCCTAGCCTAGCCGATCTTGCCGGCATGTTTGGTGGCGGTGGCGCTGGCCGTGGTGGTGGCGGTATGCCTGACTTTGCTTCCATTATGAACAACCCCATGTTCGCGCAGATGGCCCAGAATCTTATGAGCAACCCCGAGCTGATGTCAAACCTCATGAACAACCCGCGTTTGCGCGAGCTGGCCAGCCAGTTTAGCAGCGGTGGCGGCATGCCGGATATTGGGTCTTTGATGTCGGATCCCAGTGTTGCTGAGTTGTAAGTGTGCCTCTGGTTCCGCTGGAGATACTACGAAACATGATTCTAACATGTCTACAGGGCTCGGTCCTTTATGGGTGGTGCTGGCCGGGGGCGGTAATCATGAACACTGGGCGTTTGGATTAGGATGTTCTTTCTCGTTCGTGTGCTGCCAGTAGACTCTGGTTTGGACTGACAGGCGGTCAATTTTTCAGTTGTTAACACAAGACATCATACCCATGTGCTGGCAATCAAAACGTGCTGCCGATCCCTGTGATAAAGTACAAACTCAAAAAGTGCAACAGTAAGGGACTCGGGTCCTTGTCAAGGGTTCATCAAATCTATCAAGGCAATTGTTACAGATTCTCATTCCATGTTTCCCTCTACCTAGCTCAGACTACCTCCCGATTCTTACATCACATAGCCTAGACCATATAAAAAACAAGCCGTCACCAGTAACACCGTGTATCAGACATCCTCCCAATTATCAATCTAGCCCACCCAGCGACGAGCGCTCCTAAACATCCGCAGCCAAGGGCCAAACTCGCCCCACTCAGCCAGAGCCTCCGGTGGCGCATAGCTGGTCACATCGGCCAAAATCGTACGCTCCGGATGAGGCATCATAGCCAGCACACGGCCATCGCGGCTCATAACACCAGCAACACCGGCAGGGCTGCCGTTGGGGTTGAAGGGGTACATCTCGGTGACGTTGAGCCTGTTATCGACATAGCGCAGTGGGATGCCACCGGCCTCGGTGAGCGTGCGGAAGTCCTCTTCGGAAGCGAACTCGGCACGGCCCTCACCGTGTGAGACAACGATGGGCAGAGACGAGCCGTCCATGCCGTTGAAGAAGACAGATGGCTGCGCTGGGTTGTCCTGGATCTTCACCATGCTGTAGCGGGCCTCAAACTGGCACGATGCGTTGGCCTCAAAGGAGGGAAAGTCGTGCGCACCAGGGATGAGCTCCTTAAGACGAGAAAGCATCTGGCAGCCGTTGCACACGCCTAAGGCGAAGGTGTCCTTGCGCTGAAAGAAGGTCTCGAGCTCCTTGCGTGCCTTCTCGTGAAGCAGGATCGACTTGGCCCAGCCCTGGCCGGCGCCGAGCACATCGCCATAGGAGAACCCTCCGCAGGCGGCGAGGCCGACAAAGTCGGCTAGCGAGCGGCCGGCGATGATGTCGGTCATGTGCACGTCGACAGCGTCGAAGCCGGCGGCGCGGAAGGCGAATGCCATTTCAGCATAGCCGTTGACGCCCTGCTCGCGCAGGATGGCGACCTTAGGCATCTTGCCGAAGAAGCTTGAGATGGACGCCGTAAGAGGGGTGATGTTCTCGGCAGGAGAGAAGGTGAGGTTGTACGAAAGACCAGGGTCCTCGTTGTCCAAGATGGCGGCATACTCGGAATCGGCGCAGGCCGGGTTGTCACGGAGCCTTTGCATCTCGTAGGAGGTCTTGCTCCACCACTGCTGCATCTCACCGCGGTCAAGCGTAATGAACGGCTTGCCCTCGCCGTAGCGAATGGTGAGGGTCTGCTTCGAGGTCGGCTGGACAACACCGAACTTCTTGATGAGACCAGGAGGAGGACCGCAAGTGGCAAAGCACCTCTTGAAGTTGATCTCGTCAGAAGCGCGAACTTGGAAGACAGCACCGAGTTCCTCGTTGAAGAGGGCATCGACCATGTCCTTCAGGCTGCCCGAGGCGGCAATGCCATCGAGCATGAGATCGACGCCACAGCGACCAGCGAACATCATCTCAGCAATAGTGGTGATGAGACCGCCATCCGACTTGTCGTGGTAAGCAAGGACGATACCGCTCTCGTGCAGCTGGGCAAGAGCATCGAAGTAATCCTTCAGCAGGTCGATATCGCGAACATCGGGAGCCTCATGGCCGATAGCACCCAGAGACTGGGCGAGAGCAGAGCCACCCAAAGCCTTGCGACCCTGAGCAAGGTCGACATAGAGCAGGATGGTCTCGCCGACGTCCTCGACGCGGCGGAGCTGGGGAGTCCAGGTACGGCGAACATCATCGACTAGGGTGAAGGCAGAGATAACGACCGAGACAGGAGCAGTGACGCTCTTCTTGGTCTCGCCATCCTTCCAGGTAGACTTCATGGACGTAGAGTCCTTGCCCACAGGGATGCTCACACCCAGCTTAGGGCACATATCCATGCCAATAGCCTCAACAGCCTCATACAGAGCAGCACCCTCGCCAGGATGGTTGACCGCAGCCATCCAGTTGGCCGAAAGCTTGACGCGGCGCAGGTCTCCACGGTAGTTGCCACCCTTGATATCGGCAGCACCAAGATTGAGCAGAGCCTCGGCGACGGCCATCCTGGCCGACGCACCAGGGGAGATCAAGGCAAGAGTCGGCTTCTCACCCATAGCCATGGCCTCGCCAGTCCTGCTGCCAGTGAGGTTGAAGGAAGAAGCCGTAACGGCGACGTCGGCAACGGGCACTTGCCACGGGCCAACCATCTGGTCACGAATCGTGAGACCGCCGACAGTACGGTCGCCGATGGTAATGAGGAAGGACTTGGAGCCAACCGAGGGCATCCAGAAGACGCGCTGTACAGCCTGCTTAAAGAGCTCAGCATCGCTGAGAGAGCTGCCGAAAGCTTCCTTCATGCTGGTAACAGGGTCGAAAACGGGCCACTGGGGCTTCTTGGACTCGACGATGCGCTCTAGCTTACGGCCCTTGGGGAAGAGCACATCCATGGGAACATCGATGGGGCGAGGATACTCCTTCGACTCCCTGTCGGTGAGAATCAGGCGGGAGACACCGTCAGCGTCCTTAGAAAGGACAGTGCCGACGTCAGAGAAGCCGCAGCGCTCGCGCCCTGGATGGAGCAGTTAACGCAAGGCAGGGGAAAACATCGGACAAGACAAGAACTTACGGCAAATAGCAGTGAAGCGTTCCATGCCATCACGGTTGACGAGCAGAACATAGCGCTCCTGAGCCTCATTGCACCAAATCTGGAGCGGGCTCATGCTGCGGTCGACACTCTCGACCTGGCGAAGCTCAAACTTGCCGCCAAAGCCAGCATCCCTAACCAGCTCGGGCAGGGCGTTGGAGAGGCCACCAGCTCCAACATCGTGGATCATGACAATGGGGTTCTGGTCGCCCAGGGCAACGCAAGTGTTGATGACCATTTGAGCGCGACGTTCCATCTCGGGGTTGCCGCGCTGGACGCTGTCGAAGTCCAGGTCGGCATCGCCTTCGGCAGAAGCCTTGCTGGAAGCAGCGCCGCCACCAAGACCGATGAGCATGGCAGGGCCACCAAGAACGATGACGTGAGCGCCCTCGAGCACATCCTCAGGACGCTTAAGAGCATGCTTCTCCCGAACCATACCCAGACCGCCGGCAATCATGATGGGCTTGTGGTAGCCGCGATATTCCCCTTCGACTTTGTTATCATCAGGGGTAAGGAGAGTACGGAAGACACCCGTCAGGCAAGGACGGCCGAACTCATTGTTGAAGCGGGCACTGCCGATGGGAGCCTCCAGCATGATGTCAAGACTGCTGGCGAAATGGGCTGGGCGGCCAATGTCAAGCTCCCAGGGCATGCGATGATCCGGGATCAGCAGATCGGACACCCAAAAACCGCAAAGGCCAGCTTTGGGCATCGAGCCCTTGCCAACAGCACCTTCATCCCGAATCTCGCCACCAGAGCCAGTAGCAGCTCCAGGGAACGGAGCAATGGCGGTAGGATGGTTGTGCGTCTCGACTTTGGCCAAGACGTGGAGCAGCTCCTTGTGCAGCTTCCAGGAGCCAGTCGAGTAGTCAGGGGCCCAGAAATGGGACTGCTCGCCCTGCATGACGGCAGCATTGTCGCTGTAGGCCGAAACAGTGAAGTCGGGAGTGGCTTTGTGGGTGTTCCGAATCATCTCGAACAGCGACCGGGGCTTGGTGATGCCGTCAATGGTCCAGCTGGCGTTGAACTGCTTGTGGCGGCAGTGCTCTGAGTTCACCTGGGCGAACATGAAGAGCTCAATGTCGTGGGGAGGGCGGCCCAACTGACGGAACCGCTCGACCAGGTACTCGATCTCCGACTGGTCGAGAGCCAAGCCGCGGGCTTTGTTGTACTCGTTGAGCACCTGGATGGGGTCGCGGCCGTCGGCAAAGATGTCAACGACCTCGAGGGGAGCAGGCTGGCCCTCAACGAACATGGCATCGAGATCGGGCGCCTCGGTGGTGAGGAACTCTGTCATGCGGTCGTGGATGATGTCGCGGAAGGGCACATTCTTGTCATTGTAGGGCTGCTCGAACTCGATGGTGACAACACGGCCGCGCTCGATGCGGCGAATCTCCTTTTCGAAGCCGCAGACGTGGGCGATGCTGGTGGCCTTGGTGCTCCAGGGCGAGTTGTAGCGCGGCGTGACATACCACTGGCGCGTATAGCCGATGTGGGTGAGAGGCTGCGTCTTCTCGGCGGGAAGCGGCAGCAACTGGGCGAGCTGGTGCTTCGCAACATCGACATCACCGTCGACGTGGGCGTAGTAGAGCCACTCTCCCCGCAAGACCGACACCTTGATGGGTGCCACCCGGTTGATCTGGTCCTTGAGCTTCTGGGCCTCAGAGGCCGTGAAGCACGAATCGCCAGCGAGCGTGAGGTACGGCATGGCGATTGCGATGGGTTTGGTGATTTGGGGCGATGTTGGCTGGGTCGGGGCTAGCCGGCAGGGAGCAAAAAGCTCGCTGGGAGGGTTGGCGAGAGACGCATCTTTTTCATTGAGCAGCGAGCATCGGAAGGCGGGGGCGGGGCACGTAGTAATAGTAATGTTTGAAATTTTATGGTGGGGCTGTTCCAGCACACGGGGACAGGTTGGACTGGACGGCTGCCAAGCGCAGCATCACTGGACTCTCCCGGCTCACAGTCACAGCATCCAGGGCCCATGAGTGTTAAGTAATATCTCATGTCAGGGCGGTCAACAATGCTTTCCCACTTGGCTTGTGACCCGATTCATACGATAGCTTCAAAGCCTGCTCCTATGAGCCCCGAGTAGGAGCTCAAGGCAATGAAGCTGAGATGGAAGAACAATACGAGGAATCTATCCCCTTGCACAGGCAATTGAAGCACTCAGCTCACTTATTCCATGTTTGTTCTTCTCATCCAGTTTTTGGAACATGAAAACTTTTGATCAAGTCCATGCCGTTCCACTCACAGCCCGGAGCTGTAGTTGCTTCGCAGAGAACTCTGCAAAAAGTCTGCCTATCCTGCTGCCAAGAGGCTAAATAACGTCCAACTTTATTAATAATATATTAATAAAGAAAGCCTTGACGGCGGTGTTAGGATGAAAAAAAGAATCGGCGCAGCGAGCGCTTTGCACCAGTTCAAGATGGGACAAGAAGACTTAAGAGGGGAACGCTTGGACCAGATGATGCTGTTCCACCAGCAGACCCCTGCTGCGGCATTGGCAAACCTTGCGTGGGGAAAGGCGTCCAATCAGATGTTTGGCGATCGATCGCCCTATGCCCTCAGCGAGTGGGATGCTTCTCGTCTTGGCGCGACCCTCCGACAATTTTGCTGAGAGCATCCACAACGACCGTTAAGTCCAACGCCGTGCCCGGTTCCCGTCCGCATCTCAACGACACAGCCGCTCCGATTCGGCCTCGATCCCGTCTCCGCCGGCTGCCGCCTCGCAGACAGATTCCGGCGTTAGAAAATTTTGCTAGACGGCCTACTGCCAACCAACCCCATATTGTCCCAGAGACGGCTGGCTGTATTGATCTTGCTCAGGAGCTTTGAGGACTGAGCAATCGTTCCCACACACAGCCTCTAGACTTACCCGTGCGCCGCGCAACTTGAAATCATGTCAACCTCACTCCTCCCATCATTTCGGGGCCTTGCCTCGCGGCTCCTGAGCCGACCGTTCGCCTTCACATCCACCCTCGCCCTCACTCAGCAATGTCGGGCTCTTTCGACGACTTCCTCCACGCAGGCGCCCCCAGGCGCCCAGACTAAGGCCGAAAAGAAGGAGAGAGAGAAGAAGAAGAAGGGCAGAGGCGAGCAGCAGCGCGACCCCAAGATTATTAACATGCTGAAGCATTTCGCGGTGCTGTCCCCGCGCCGCATTCCTCCCCCATTGCGCATGGGTCGCAACAGGTACTTGCGGCACTGGACCATCCACCGGGCGTGGATGCTGTGGCTGCGGAAGCAGCGTGAGGAGCGGGAACGCAACTGGATGCGTCAGTGGCAGAGTATGTATGCTGCCTGCGAGGAGTTGCGCTTGACCTCTGGTCCCGGCACCAGGGAGGAGGGCTACCTGTACCGTGTGGCCATGGAGAAGAAGGGCGTGTATGGCTTGAATCCCATCCCAATCGAGTACGCTCGGCCGCAAGTCGAGACTCCTCCCAAGCAGGCGTGGAACCATGATTGGAAGCGGTAAAGGGGAACGGGAGGGATGAGGATGGAAAAGTGTGTTGGGGAATGAGCCATGAATGTGAAGGCCGAGAATAGCTGGGCCGTGAAGAGTAAGCCTTGATGTCTTGCTCGCACGTGCTTTTTCTATCTTGGGATACCCCTTCCATGCTAGAGGGCAGGCAACTCAAATCTGTACATGTAGAACTAAACCTGTATCATACTTTTTATGTTATGCTCAATGGATGGATGCAGAGCTCGTACGAAACGAAATCTGTTTTGAGACTCGATATCCAAAACGCTATGTTTTGCCCCCTATACCATACATGCAGAAAAAACAAGAAGCGACAGACACTCTATAACAATACCCTCGGACTGCACTATGACTTCAGCCCATGACGTTGATAAACTATTCCTGCCACACTTAGGCATTACAAGCCTAGCATTGCAATCCCATAACCATATTGCTCCAGCATCCAAACCCCAAGCGCCAAGTAAATGAACGAAAGTCAAAGGGGCTTCCAAAATTCTATCGAGTATTAATACAAAGACCGGCATCAGTCATGTTACGGTGCTTGTGTAGAGTGTTCATCGTCTGACAGGAAGGTTGCTGATGCTTTCATCTCTCGGCTCATAGTCGACATGAACAGTGTGCCATAGCCCCAGGGCTGCCGAGGAAATCAAGACTCAAAGGCGTAGGCGAACCGGGCTACCTCTGATGAAGTAGCCAACTTGCTATGGTCGGCCAGCCGAGCTGTTACTCGGATGGAGGAAGCCAGCCACGACCACCCCCGAGGTAGATGGGTTTTGAAGACCATTTCCAGAGGCGACTGGCATTCATCGTGACAGGTGCGGTATCCATGGCCTGCTATCTCATAATATTACGCAGCACCCAGGGCCTTCATTCTTCTCGAACATAAGGAGAGAGGCCCTAGTAGCTGCCTCAAACACATCGTCGACGCCCTCACCGCTTAGACTGGAGCACTCGAGATACTTCCGAGCTCCGATCTCCTTGGCCATGCTTTCCCCGTCCTGAGGAGAGACAAAGCGAAGAGACTTTTTGCGCATTTCCTCAATGGCGACGGGGTCGTCCCGTAGGTCCTTTTTCAGACCAACAAGGATAATTGGGACCCCGGGGCACCGTTCGTTCGCCTCAACGACCCACTGCGACCGGTAATGTTAGCAAAGCTGCCAAGCCTAATGGGATGAATGTCTCGGAAAAGGCCATGATTGTGTCTGTTGCACAGAGGTTACACGTAAAAGAAATGCAAGCCAGCGGATACCTTAGGCCTCAACATGAGAGCAAGAGGGTCGACTGAGAATTTTGAGAACGAACGTACCTTGTGTTTAACATTGTCTAAAGAGTCTGGTGTATCGACCGAAAACCCTATGAGGATGACGTGGGCCTTGGCGTAGGCTAACGGCCGTAATCGTTCGTAGTCCTCCTGCCCAGCTGTATCCCATAGTGCTAGCTGTACTGACTTTCCGTCTACTCTGCAGTCCGTAACATAGTTTTCGAAGACGGTTGGTATCTATAGGCGAAAACTAGGTCAGGCTATATTCGCAACATGACATGTGGTATGATGGCCATTGTGATCGGTGGTTGGTGGTTACAGTGAAGAAAAGGTCGTAGACGAAAGCTATTCGCAATATTGCAAGGCAAAAATATACTCACATAATGCTTCAGATGGTGGTGTTAGCTTAAGAAATATTCACAACCCAACTCTTTTCCAGAAGCGCACTTACAGTTGGGAAGTAACCCAGAGTGAACACGCTCAGCAAGCTCGTCTTTCCGCAAGCGCCATCACCGATGATGACGAGCTTTCTAAAAGATGATACTAATGTTAGTGTATCTGTGCTGTCGCAGCGTAGCGCGCCTGGTGTTTGAAGCATCCGGAGTTGAAGAGAATGGTCTCATTGACATGACGGACCGATGACTCTCGGAATCAGCCAGCCAGACGGGACCAGGCACTATCGAGACCACCAGGGGTGTGCGGCGTACCTGCGGATGACATTTTGAGCATTGCGATCATTTGCCATGGTTGGCAAATGAGCAGGTGAGCGCCTGTTCGCTCAAAAACCTGCCGTTTTGCGCAATCGTTGAGGTATTGGGGTCCTTTGAGAGTCGATGGGCAGGAGATGGTAGAAAAGGAGATGGGACCTCTTCAAGAACCAAGATGGAACCTGATGCAAAGAGGTGTGGCCGTGCCGCTAAGCACAGATTACAGTGTGGATGCGCGCCTGCACTCGTGTTCTTTGGAAGAGGTTCTGGGGAAGTTTCGAAGGGACTTGCGGGTTGATAGCGGTTGGGGGGCCAATTACATAATGCCCGAGCTGGAGGACCCCTGTCCTCTCCTGGTAAGCTTGGCAGGACAGTACGGGTCAGTACACAACGGCACCATGATACGATACGCCTTGTCCCATCTCCACTCGACAGCCGCCAACCCATTCGTCAGGCACAAAGCTGTGAGGGTTCTCTGTGTTTGACGAACGAGATAAAAACTATGTGTGCTGTGTTGTGGATTTTGAGATCCAATGCTTTAGCGTCAAGTGTTCTCTCCACATCTTAACTGCGCACCTCTTTTTGGATACCTGGGAGGTTCAGGCAGGGCTTTACGGTTATGGTCTAATCTGTAACATTCAATAAGCTGACAGGACCGGTTTTGGACGACGGTGGGTCGACACACCAACGAAGGTGCTTGGCCAGCTCTAGGACTCCATTTGAAGAACTGATTCCCATTGATCATCGGGGCTCAGGTTGGGCTACGGATCTTCCGTGCTCTGCACGAGGCTTAGGTGCTATGTCGGAAAAGGGTCGTAAATGGCTATGGCCCGTGTTCCAGCTCAGATTCGGAGGAATCAGAAACGACAGATGGACTGTTCGGACCTCACAGTAAAATGGTACCCCTGGCGTTCGCCACCAAATCTCTTCTGCATGACGTTGGACCCTTGGGCTGAAAGGTTACAGCTGTGCTGTCCCCGATACAGCGAAGCTGAACGCTCGGCAAGTTGAGGCTGTGCACGTACAACCCAAAGAAGCTCCAGAGCAGCAATCAGGCATGCTCTTGGGAAGCCAAGTGTTCCAATAATAACTGTACGAAGCACTGCAGCTCGTTTTTGGAGTTGCTAAATCGTCTCCATCTCTGAGGATGCGCCAGGACATAATCCAACTAATGAATGCATTCACAAAGCTATTTTCAACAGTTTGAACAGTTAGGCGTTTGTTAGGAGAATGAGCGAAGCACCTTCTCGAGTACGGGTGTATGGTCTGCCAATTCCAGGTTCGCAGATTACACCCTACACAGCGGAAGGGAGAAGCTCGTCCCTGGTAATTGATTTGTCTGTGCGAGTTTGTTGCTACAAGCAGTCCTGTTGAATTTTAGCAGAAGCCGCATGGATAGGAAGTGCGATACCTACCCCTAGGTATGTGGCAGGCCCAGACCTGAACGACTTAAAACAATACATGAGACCAATATCAGCGGACTCTCTCCAGTTTGCAAGCTACAGAGAAAACAATTTGCCGGCTAACCCTGGCAAACCGTCTGCATGAGGTTTGCTCTCATGGCTTGTAAAGATCGGCAAGTCATGAGGTGTGGATTCTAGCTTTTCAAAGAAGGCCTTGCAAAAATCCAGCTTCCCACAGAGTCTATGAATCTTGGTGTACTACTCAGATTGAAACAAATGGGAAAAATTAATTGGTTGAGGAGACAATATCTGAGCAGAGAAGCACCCTGGGACTGCGAAGGCCAAATGTCACAGACCCAAATCTTTATGGACTTGCTGTGTGGGAAAAAAATAACCCAAAAACTGGAGGCAGTTGGCGAGGCTGCGAAATCACGTGTTTAACCAACCAATCAAAGGCATAGGGGGAGGGCGGGGGGCGAGGCAGGGCCACAAATCGAGCAGGCAGCGTTGGCTAGAGCGCTGCCCTGAACATCAGAACAACTTGGCGAAGCTCTAAAAGCGCAAGGCGTGTTCGGCCCGCATCGTGTGCCGCGAAGCACTGCACTCCTGCACTCCCGCACTCCTGGTCGCCAACCGCCTTTCACAACTCCTACGAAGCGAATATTGTACAAATCGGCACACATCCTGGCGCAAGATCTCTGTCATTTTTTTACGGCGTCTGGTCACTGGCTAACCCATCTTTTGTGAGTGCTATCCTGCAGTTCTGCTCCATGTTCAGTTCACCAGTGTTCTTCGGCCTGAGCCCCTCCGCAGCGTTCAATTAGCCCTCACCTCGCCAACCTTACCCTCGCATTGGCGCCCTGTCTGCAGGACCTGGCTAAGGCTGTTTCTCTCGCCGGGCCCCTGGACCCTTTCGTTAATTCCATCCAAGCCCTGGCCTGCCGCCTTATCCGCGACGCCGCTTTGGCTTCGTGTCGCGTCTCTCCCTTTTGTTTCTTTCCTGCCTTCTATCCCCTGCCTTTGGCTTTCCCAATATCCCTGTCGTCCCTCACGCTGTTGCTGCCAGGCCCTGCCCTTCCCATTTTGGCTGGCTAGGTGCTTTGCCCTGCGTCGTCTGCTGCGTTGGGTCCCCGCAACCCCGCCGACTCGCCTGCAAACTCGAACCCTCACTCCCGTCTACTTGAACTTTTTCCTGCATCGCACCATCTCGACCACCCGACTTACTTATTCTGCTATTATTTTAGTTTTCGCCCGGCTCTTGGAGCTGCAGCGAGCCCCCTGCAGCCCGCAATTCATGCCCTCATCATCGGTTACCTCCTCACCAACCGCAACAGAAGATGAAGGGAACCCGCAACCCGCCGCCGGCTCCGGCACCCTCTAGCTCCTTGACAGCCAAGATCGCAAGTAAGGATGGGTCTAAGGTCATCACCATCCCGAAAACGAGCGCCCCTGCCATCGATTCTACCCAGCCTACGCCGCAACCCTCACAGCAGCCCGCGCAGACTCCCGAGTCCGCGCCCGCGCCCGCGCCCACCCAATCTGTGAATCGCAAGAAGCAGAAGCGCCGCGCTAAGGCCGCAGCAAAAGCGGCCAAGGCTGCGGCTGCGGAGCAAGCTCGGAGTCAAGAGCAACAGCCGCCCTCAACAAACGGGGCATATGTTGCGCAGGAGGAACAGGAGCCCAAACCCGGCGACCAGCCGGCGCCAGACGCCGGCGAGCCTGAGGGAGAAGAAGATGGACGCAACCAGAACGAGACACTACAGGATCAGCAGGATCAGCAGGGACAGCAAGCGCAGCAAAACGGGACGTCAAAGTCGAAAAAGAAAAAGAAGAAAAAGAAGAAGGACAAGGATGCGGCAGGGCAGAACGATAACTCCGGGAATCCGTCCTCATCCAAAAGTTCCGGCATGTCCAGAGAAAAGATCTGGAACACGAGTTCACAGGAAGAGCGAGAGCGCATCAAGGAGTTCTGGCTAGGGCTGAGCGAGGCTGAGCGCAAGTCCCTCGTCAAGGTCGAGAAGGATGCCGTCCTGAAAAAAATGAAGGAGCAGCAGAAACATACGTGCAGTTGTACCGTATGCGGAAGGAAGCGAACCGCCATCGAAGAGGAGCTCGAAGGCCTGTACGACGCTTATTACGAGGAGTTGGAGCAGTACGCCAATCACCCAAACCAAGGCGAAGGCCCTCCGATGCTGCGCCCGCGTAGGTCGTATAGCTCGATGCGCGGGACGCGGTCTCGCGGCCTGACTGCGAGGTATACCAACCACCAACCGTCCCATGGCCGAATCGTCGAGCAGCTGGGGGATGGGGAGGACGAAGAGGCCGATTATGACGATGATGGTGGTGGGGACGGCGAGGCTGACGACTTCTACAGTGATGGAGAGCTGGAGGAGGACGTGTACAGCGATGAAGAGCCCTCGGAACTGCACCGATCCGACTACGCTGCCGATTTCTTCAACTTCGGAAATAGCCTGACTGTGCAGGGTAGGGACAGACTTCCCATTCTTCCGTCATTCTTAGAGTGTTATCCCTTCTCAGGGGCTGGCAATAACGCTTATGGCTCACCTTGTTTAGGCGGCATCCTTACTGTGGCCGACGACTTGCTCAAGAACGACGGCAAGAAATTCATTGAAATGATGGAGCAACTGGCCGAACGGCGAATGGCTCGCGAAGAGGATGCTCGAGAACAGTTCGAGCGCGGCTACGACCACGCCAACGGAGACCGTTACGGTCATGGACATCCGGCACCCCCCGACGATGATGATTATGATGACGAAGAGGAGGACTACGAAGAGGACGAGGAGGATGATTATGATAGCCAAGAGGAGGAGGTATGCAGCTGGCACCCAGATGCCCTCCTCGCTACTGATCAGTCCCGGTCAAACCCGCTAACCTTTGGACTAGGACACCATGACCGAGGAGCAACGCATGGAGGAAGGCCGAAGAATGTTTCAAATTTTCGCTGCTCGGATGTTCGAGCAAAGAGTACTGACAGCCTATCGTGAAAAGGTCGCTAAAGAGCGACAAGCCAAACTCCTCGAAGAAATTGAGGCCGAAAACAGGCAAGAATCCGAACGGAAGGCCAAAAAGGCCAAAGAAGCACAGAAACGGAGAGACAAAGCTGCCCGGAAGAAGGAACAGCAAGCCGAGGAGAAGGCTCGCAGAGAGGCTGAAAGAGCCGCTGAAGAAGCTGCTCGCCAAGCGGAAGAAGCCCGGAAGGCGGAAGAAGCCCGGAAAAAGGCGGAAGAGAAACGTAAGAAGAAGGAGGAGAAGAAGAAGCAGGAAGAAGAGGAGAGGCTGCGTAAAGAAGCCGATCGGCAGCGCAAGATTCAGGAGCGTGAAGAGGCAGAGCGGAAAGCTCGCGAGGCCAAGGAACGGGAGAAAAAGGCTCGCGAGGAAGCGCGGCAAAAGGAGAAGGAGGCTCGCGAGCAGAAGGAACGTGAGAGGAGAGAGCAGCAAGAGCGGCGAGAAAAGGAGGCCAAGGAGAAGGCCGATAGGCAAGCTAGAGAAGTTAGGGAGCGTGAGGCGAGAGAAGCCAAAGAGGCGAAAGAAGCCAGGACGAGGGAGGTTAAGGAGAAGCGGAAGCAAGAGGAGAGGGCTGTGCAAAAGCCCACAGCACCGGCAGCCGCCGTTCCGGTCCCCGTCACGCTTCCCAAGCGACTCTCTCAACAGCAACAGCAAGAACAGCAGCCGAAGCCCGTTCAGAATACAACAGCGACTGCTTCAGTGCCGGTTCCTGTTGTCCCTCAACAACCCCCGACTTCGTATGCTTCGCCAAAGGTTTCTGTTGCCACCCCTGCTCTGCCCAAAGCCCCGACCTCTATGCGTCCACGGCAAGCATCACAACAGCAGGAGAGCGCTCCGGCTCCCTCTGCGCCAATCTCAAATCCTCCATCTGTGGCAAGTCAAAATCCATCTCCTCATCCTATTACTCCGGTACATACAAGTCCTGGACCTATTGCCCCTCCGGGCAAAGCCGGGAGCCTAAGTGCTCAGAGTGGCCCACAACCTACGTCTCACACAGCCTCTCCGCTCTCTATGCCGTCCAAATCGGCACTCTCATCGCAGCCGGGTCTGTTTGGCCTACCCCCTCCCTCCGGCAATCTACCGTTTCCTCCCGGTCTTGGGCAAGCCCAAGCACCACCGGTTTTTCCCAGTCCGATACTTCGAGACAGCTTTCAATATTCGTCACTCTCTAGTTACCGGTCTTCATTGGGTGGTATGGGACCCGCACCCCCTCCTGGGCTGGGCGGGCCGATCGGAAGCAGAGGATATCAGTCTGTTGCTCCACCACCAGGCTTCCATGTTCCCATGGAGTCATCTCCTGTCTCCAGCATGGCTACGGTTATGGGCCCGGGCATGCAGAGGGATGGCTCTTCAGCCCATTCTCGCCAGGGCTCTGGCAGTTTCGAATCAAGCGCCTCTCAGTCCGTCAGTCGTCCAACACCTATCGGGCGGCCCGCAACCATTGTCCAGGGGCAAAGACCCTCCATCGACTCTCCAAGTGTTCCGCTGAGATCGGAGCCTGATGCCCATCTGGGTAGCAGTGCACTCTTGGACGATGTCGACGACGGCCCGCAGGATTTCCCTGGCCGCCTGCCTCGAGGTTCTGTAATAGGGACACCACGGCCAGCGCCAGGATTCATGAATCCTTTTGCGACGGATCCCATGTTCCCACATATCAACAATAGTCCCTGGGGTCCGCCAGCCAGTGTACCTCAACCCAACCCATTCGGCCCATTGCCACCGCCTCCTCCAGGTTTCGGTCATGTCCCGATAGCATTCCCTAACCCATTAGCGACGCCGTGGAGCCTCGCTGGACAGACAACATCTGCGTTTGGAGCACCGGTGGTTGTTGACAGGCACAGCGAGCCATTGTCAGTCGCCGTCCGGAAAATGCTTCGTCGCGCCTGTGAAGAACTTGCTGCTGAAGCCGACAATACGACGGTGCCAGATTCCACCAGCTCAGCCAGCAAGGATGGCTTCATCCCCTTGTCTAAGATAAAGGCCAGGGTCGAGTTATACAATCATAACTTTCCTGTGGATGAGAAGACACTTCTCGATATCTGTGAGACTGAGGGGAATGAAACCAACGGCGGCGGTAACTTTGACGTCCGAGACGACCCCAAGGCAGGCAAGATGATACGCTTTGTCGATGATGAATCCACGGGGCAAAAATGCGTACAACGGGCAGTGGGCGCGGTGGGCGCCAATGCCACTCCAACCAGTCCCATCCGCGGCAACCGCTAGCGGCGGACCTGGAAAGAGGCGAAAGACCGACCTCTCGTACAATGGGGTGACTAATCGTCATGTAGCTGTTTGTGGGGAATGATGCAATGTTTCGCCTTGTCTTCCCATTTTGGTCCCTCATCAAGCAATGCATCTATCAGCAGGTGTTTGGAGTGTGCCATGATGAGGGGAGAGCGGGCTGGGGCGATCATATTTTTTTAAACCTTGATCTGGTCCCCGGAGCGCAGTGTTCCCTCTTTCACATAGGACTGAGAGGACATCCGCGAACCGGACAGACCGCATAACCATGTCATTCTGGCGCATGCTTTGCGGGATAGCTTACTAGAGAATTGAGCGTGTCATGGATTACAATGTACAGTAACGCCACAGCTTTAACTGGAACTGGACAGCAGCGAAAGGGCATGAGAAAAAGGAACGAAATGCATTGAGGCGCAATCAATGAAATTGCGATCTCTATCTTTTGATTCACATAACCCTGAAGGTTGCCCTTGTGTGTTTTGTTGCCTGTTGTTCTCTTATAAAAAAGGTTTAAGTGTTTTTGGTTTAGTAGTTCTATGTTGACCTATAAGTCGACCATCGTGCTGTCGGACAAACGTCATAGCAGAGATGATGTCGCCAACCTAAAAGTTTCCGAGAATGAGCCAGACGAGTTTCACTATCACTACGCTTCTAATATGAAATAGATAATAAAGGGAAAATAGGGGAGCCTGCTTGCCCAAAGTAAAATATCCCAGTTTGTACTTCATAGTTTGTTTTTATACTAGCTTGGGGGACAGCATCCCACGAGCCTAACAGATGGAGGGCCCTACAGAACCATCCTCCCAAATCACCCGCTGGTCTACATGCAAAGGTATGATACTGCCAGCTCTTTCTTGACCAAGTACTCCCCCGCCAACGGTAAATACTGAGAGATTGGTATCCTAAACTGAACTACTCGGCAGACAGATACAATTCAGCCGGCAATATGGACAAGATTAGGATATACCTCATCAGCTTGACTACAACCCCTTTTGACTCTCCTTTTCAACCCCCCTCCCCCCATCATCCCCTTACCGTAACGCAGGGTGATCCTGCCCATCGCCAAACGGATTGCCCGGCTGCGCACCGCCCTGATACATAAGCGGCTGGCTGGCCTCGGCCGCAGCGCTGGCTCCCACACCACCAGTAACACTGACGCCGGGACGCTTCGCGGCGACAGTCTGCTCGATCTTGGCTTCCTTCGCGATCTTGGCTGCCTCAGCCTCTTTGCGCAGCCGTGTCTGCTCGCGGCGCTCCTTGCAGCACATGAAGCACACAGACACGATGCTGATGGCGACCGCCGAGGCGAAGATGATGGCGATGATGGTGCCGTCGGTGCCGAAATCGGTCTGCTTCCACATACAGGACGGGTTGCCCTGGTTGTCAGAGCGGCAAATCAACTCCTCGCGGCAAACAGGTACCGTGGTTTCCTGGTAGTGACACGTGAGCTTGGAGCCGGGCGGTTGGCTTGGACAGATTTTGACGCTGGTCGGCTTGTCGGTGAAGCAGGGCGAGGGTGAGGAGGCGCGTTCGTTGGTCGTCGTCACGGGGGTCGCATCGTTGGCCTGGCGCGGCTCGTGCATGGCGGCGGTGACGACGGGCATGGCGGCGCGGGCGGCCATGGCGCCGAGGGGTTCTCGGGCGATGACGGGCTTGGCCGGGTCACTGCCGCCGCGCAGGTTGCGGCGGAGGTCGGGCGTGGGCTTGTCGCATTGTTGGAGGACCCAGAAGGCCTCGATCTCGGCCTCGGCGTCGGTGCAGCCTGCGTTGACGAAGCACTTCTCGACCTCGGATATTAAGGCCTCGGGGATGGTGGTGAGCGGAATGTGTGAGAAACAGTTATTAAGGGAATCCTGGTAGCCGCATGATGCAGCTTTGGAAAGCTCCTGGCTGCGGGTGTAGAGGCATTCGAGACGTCCAGCCGAGGCGAGTGTCGCCGAAGCGACAGCAAGTGATGTGATGAGCGGGTTGCGCATCGTAAAATAGTAGTATGGTGCTTAGCAGTTCTGCTTCTTAGTCCCTCCTGCTTGCTGCTGAGTTTTCTCGAGTCTGTTCGAGGCTCTGGTGTGTCGTACAGCAAAAGTATTGTTGCCAAACCTCGGCTCGGTTCCTGCTTTCGACTCCTCAGTGAGACGTGCTCCCTCTCGAGTTTTCCCTTTACAGAGAAATGCTGTGGAGCCTTGGAATAGGTATAGACCGTTGAAGGACAGGCAAGAGGCGGCCTGAGTCGGGAGCTGGGAGAAGTCGTGGGATGTCTCGTAGAACCTCAGCAGCGCGTCGTCGTATGCAAAGGGGAAGAGATGGAGGGAGAGAGACTGGCGGAGTTAATGCAAGCCCCCGCTCTTCCTACAGCCTGCAGCCCCGTCGATCGGGATCGTGTTGGTGGGATTGAATACGGATGAAGAAAGTTGAGATAATACCCAGAAATGAAGTTGGCCAGGGTCGAGCTTTAATTAGCACAGGTCCCTCCTTTTTTTCCATCTCTCATGACCGCAAAAAGACGGAACCCCAGGCCCAGGGCTGACCCGCTCGCCACATCACTCCTCCCTCCTCTCTGCGGTGTTGGGTGCCCTTGTCCCCGACTCGGGGATGCCCAGAAGCAGTGTGCACAGCGGGGCCGTCTTGACATGCGCCGAGCAGCAACCACAGCAGACTCGGGATATGCAGATTGGCCCGCTGGCATTCTTGAGGCTGAGCTCACCACCAAAGCACCAAGTGTGCCAACGCGACCCAACGAAAGGTACAGATGAGGGTGCTCTGGCTGTGCCCGAAGGTCTCGGCGAGGTCGGCAGTTGGACCCATCCAACTGACTCGAGCCAATGATAGTGCGAAACACCATCACGCTAGCCCGATTTGGACCCCTGTCTCAAGGCTGTGTTTGACTTAGCTGACGAGCATTTAGGTGCAACTCCCAAAGTGGGTGCAGTTGCGATGGACTGCTTTTCTGTGAAGGATGCAGACGGCGGGCATTTTCACAACGATCACAGCCTACTCTGGTTTGCACTGCGCTCTTCATGGTGCAGCAGGATTCCTTCAGGTGATGTCAGAGTTGACGATAGCAAGTATTTCAGGATTCCTGTAACATCTCTACCTAGGTAGATACTTAATCTTTATCCCTGACATGAACAAGGACAAACAGCAGCTGCACAAGGTCCTGACCCCTTAAATCGACACATATTGGATTGACAGATACATATAAAGTCAGGCAGAGAGAAGCCTGTCTTTTGGGTATTATGCATCTGTTTGTGTTCTGAGATCGATTTGTGGGAGTTCCTGTGTGCTTTACTTCCTTCAACACAACTTGCATTTTTCATGGTTCTCACCTGTTCGCCTATCCGCTTTCCAAAGTCTTTTGAGTCTGCTCCCTAGAGTTGCAAGTTATCTGCTGGGTGGCCGTGACAAGGATTCACCTTCAATTGCGGGGCATGAAGTGATGCCCGTTGCACAGCCACTCACCTGCAGGCAACAGGCCACACCCCTCCAGGTTGACTTCCATGAAGCTGAGCGAAGTCATCGCCAATAGCACCACTGCTTCCTGTGTTCTTTGGACATAGATAAGTACACAAGGCGCTGTCAGCAACAATCACTTGAGAATGTATATTTAAGCTAAAAGAATGCTAGTGGATGTGAAGAACAGCACATGGTAATGTTGTAACAGCTGCCTGTTTCATCGCTCAAGAGCTATAACAAAGTATGTCCCTGTGTCTTTTTGCCTTGCGTAGATATCTTTGAATGGCCTGCTTCATCACAGTTGACAACTTCATACCTTCTCTCACATGGACATTAGTAACTCCCTGAGTGCTCGGGTTCTTATGAAAGACACAGACAAAGATTTAAAATGGTTACGAATTATCCAGCTCAGGGACTTTGCTTGCTTTTCGAAAGCCCAGGAACTCCCATTCCAACTCAAAAACAAGGCATCATTAAAGCTTGCTTTGCAGCTGCTGGTACGTGGTCTAGCGTAAACTGTCCCTCATGTTGTCATGATACTTTACATGAAGGTTAGCTATGTCCAACATAACATATCTCATTCGGTGAGTGATAGATCAGAAACAACATTGCCAACTATCATGCGCCTTAGCTCATCATTATTCTTCGCCATCCTTCTTCACAAGCCATTATCCACCGTTATGTGTGAAACTGCCACGCTATTTACACGTTTTACAACGCAAAGGTGGCATTGGCACGGGGTGGGACATGCCAGAAGCCATTGCAAACTGGCTTAGAACCGTTGATTGAAATTTCTCCCGCTTACACAGCGAACACTCATTGGCACCTTCAAGCCTTTGCAGCATGAAAGAGGGTAAACTCAATTGAGAGTCTCTAGCTACGATGGAGAAACCCAGGTTCTCTTCCATACATGGAGAACTTGGAATAGTGACATAAACCCTGAACAGCCCGAACAGAGACCAGCAATGCTCACAGCTGACGAAAAGTTCTTGCTGCACTCATGGCGCAGTAATGTACCTAACAGGCCTCAGAAATGGAACCAGACTCAAGAACTCAAAGTTATCACTAGTCGCCAAGTCACATGCTATCACTCGGGACATTGGGAATCACCCTGTACCACCCACGGCAGCTAATACTTTTAGTATCCTCGATATTACAACCTCGCTACATCCGCACAACTTCTCCCCCCAGACAAACGTCTTAACAACAGGACTACCCCCACATCATCCTGTGATGGATGTCAATGGCCGCAACAATAAATTACTGAGAGATCCGATCTAAAGTCATCTTGCGGATAAACTCTGCCGACAAGAGAACCATGCTGGATGCTTTCGGAAACTTCGGTCTCGTGATGCAAAGACGACGAAACAGAGACCTCCCATAAATGATGGCCCTGCTCTATAGAAGGCCTGCCAATCTTGCTAGGCTCTCGATCGTTTCTCTTTCTTTCTATCCTTTTTCTTGCTCCGCTTGGATTTGAGCTTGAGCTGACCAACGCCATCATTGGTCGACTCCTGGCTGGCTCTTCTGGCTTGTTCCTTCTCCAGACGCTGGAGCTTCTCAGCCCGTCTAGCTGCACCTTTGCATTGGACACTGTCAAGAGTGTTAGCATTTAGTAAACAGTATTTGCTTTCTGGAGCCGCACACTGCAGACGGTCACTGTGGCTGGAGGCTCGCTGAGCTCCCTAGCTAAGGGTAGATGTTGGAGCTAGCCGCCATGGGTAACCGTTATGGACTCCCTCACACTGACTTAGCAGCTGGGAGCGGCCCTTGTGAAGGCCCTCCACAAACGCCCACCACGGGAGTTTGCTGGAGATGCCCACATAGGACACGAGCAGCAAATGCCCTTTGCTAACACCGGCTGAAAGATGTCTAGTGCAGTATGGCTCTACAGGCAAGCCCTCATGAATCGACCTTCACTTCAGGCTACTGGCCACCTTAATACCAGCAGTCTAAAAGCAAAGGGCAAAGTAAAGCGATCACCAAACTTGCCCTTGGCCCAAGCTCAGTATAACCCAGCATGCTCATGCTGGCCACTCAAGTGAATCTCAAACTTTCACCCACAACTCGGACTGTGCGATTCTGGCCTTTGGGGATAGGGACTGCCTTTTAATTCTAACTTACCATATTCCATATGCAGCATAAAACACATGGTGAATCTTGCATTCCACCATGTGACCTTTGGTATGGCACCTAGGTTTTGCGATCTCTAGGCACTGAGGGCTACATGCAGTGTGAGTCACAAGTTTCTCAATCTCCTCTTGGGTGTCATCCCAGTTAGCTGCACACAGGAAAGGGGAAGTCACTTACCAGTGATGCTGGGTTGTCTTGGAGGGCATCTCAGGTATGGTTGTCAGGACTGGTAGTCGGTTATCAAGCTGGACTTGATGATGCTAAAGCTAGCTCCTCTCAGATTTTTGCGTACTCGAGGGTCTGAGTGTGGGACACGCAGATATTCGCGACCTCGTCGGTTCGAGTGAAGTGGTTGATGGTAATGGAAAGTTCGCAAAGTGCGCACTGCTCTAGGCAAGCGACCTCTCGCAGATATAGCGTGGTCGATAGCAGGCGGAGCGACTTGACTAGTTGTCGGCGATACAAGATGAATCTCAGGTTGTGGGAGTCGGCCTGTGCTGGCCTCGCAACTCTGTATCCTCACGCGGCGTGAACTCGAGTATGAATGGACTGTTGGCACCGTGTGGTTTGTTGGCTGGTCTTTTCTATCTGATGTCAACTGCGTTGCCGTGAGAATCTGGCACTTCCACATATCGGCGTTGGCTATCAGCTGACTATAATCGTGTGGTACCGCGTTTAGGACCCGCGAAAGGGGTAAAATATCGGAAGCTGTCCAGAGATGACCTGCAGTGAACCTTTTAGTCCCTAAATCTCCGTTTGCAGGTATGCCGTGAGACCTGCTCAATATATTAGAACCCTATCACTTCAAGAGAAGATATTCTAAAAACCCAGGGAAAGAACGCGTAACGCACTTCTCTCTGGATAAGAGCCTGGATATAAACGCTGTTATAAGGACATTTAGTGTTGAGAAATTAACAAAGGATGAAGTGGGAGATCAGAGAACAACAAGGTGAGTGAAATTTATATACCACTTGTAAGCTATCTTTGGATGCCCATTCTCCAACGTATAGCGTATGAACTGTCTGAGCATCGAAATATCCAACCACACTCTGCTACTTCTTGCTGAGTAAGATGACCTATTTTCATCATAAACAATCCATTCCTCTTCAACGGTAATTGACTGCTTGACGAAACCTTGTCGCAGATCGTGTGCCAGGATACATGCCTTAAGATCGAAAGCAAAATCTAGCCGTCCATTCTTTATCGGTTTTTTTCTGACTCCGTATAAGGTGTGAGATTGAGATTGTGAAGATAGGTAAATGTCACTTTAAGATGCAATTTTAGATCGTAAGAACAGATACGGTTACATCAACCTTGAGAACCTTGAATGTGAGTAACAAAGCACTGAGCCCGAGGCGAGCGCAGCTTTGCGTTGAGTACCCTCGTGTCATAGCTCTGGAAATTATATCATAAGAGACACGCATACATCATTATATCAAGAGCCTTTCAGGGTCTGACCCAAGGTTCTGCATTTGGCTTGTTTACTTACATGAAGGACTAAAGGGTTCAGGGGTCAGAGTCCGTTAAGGGAAACAAACTAATGGGCAAGCCTCAGGATCTATGAACGCATGCCTGTGTCACTCACAATACAGAAAGCATATACAATCCGGGAGCCAACTGGTAAACAGTTCTTCGAGCTTCTTCAAACTGCCACATGAGAATTGGTGGAGGTTCTTGAAGGGCCATCATCATGCCCCTGAAATAGGGAACCTGTTTTTGTGGCAAACAAAAGTGGTGCACGCCCTTCTAGTTGTTGTAGTTCAATTGGTTCTGTGGTGTAGTTGGTTATCACGTCAGTCTAACACACTGAAGGTCTCCAGTTCGAACCTGGACAGAATCACTGTCATACACTTTTGGCTCCGTACTTGCCATAAGTTTTGCGGTGTTTAGCCGCGGCCTCAATCAGCCAGGGCTTTTATCATATATGTAATGGGTTTACAGCTAGATGAGCGAATAGCGAAAGAAGTTGTGCATCAAAGGCGTACAAGGGGTGAAACGTGGCCAGAACAACGGTTTGCCTCGGCCATTGGCGAGGTTAACGGCTCCCCAGCAAGCTACGTCATCGCCCAGAGCTTCCCTGCTTGCAACGGTTCCAGGGTCACATTACCTGAAGCTTGCTTGACACCCACACATACAAAAGAACGGCTCTAGGGACGATCGTCCTGTTTCCAGGCACGATCGTTCTGTTTCCAGGCACATGCGAACTTTTTGCAGAGGCACACCTACGACCACGTTAGAATCTCACTAACCCGCTGACCAGTACACGCTTACACCATACTTCCAAGATGCCACTCGTTGTACCCGGCGTGACGGTCAACAACATTGACGACAAGACCCAAGAATGGATGAATAAGCTTGTTGGAAAGACTCTGTGCGATGACGGTCCTTCAACAGAGACAGTAAGCTGGCCCTGCTGATTAGGTTTTCTTTCATGGACGGAGGCGTAAACACTAACAGGCTGTTCGCCAGACCTTCTGCAAAAAGGAACTGCCAGAGAAAACACGTATCATCGCCCCTGGTACGATTGTCACAAAGGACTATCACCCGGACAGATTGAATGTACATGTCAATGAAGATGGAACTGTTTCGCATGTCACGCATGGTTAAGAAGGATGCATATGTTTCCAGGAGCCATGGCGTTGGAGGCCTGGATGGATAGAGCATAAGGATATTATAGGCAAATACCAAAGTGTTTGAAGTTGAAACCACAATTTATTTGATCTCTGACTGTTGGACAATCGCTTTGTTTGTCTTCAACAATGAACGGTGATGGTGGTTGGAGGGTCTGCAACAACCTCTGCCCAAAACAATGACCCCGCCAAAAGGCTTGGCAACAACCCCGCCTTGAATGGGTCTCCAACGCGGGGAAGTCCAACCAAAGCAAACCGCGCCGACTAGACATGTACAGCAACCGACAACATATCATATTAATTCGTTGCGAGTGACCACTCGCTCAGTAAAAATTCAAAATGTTTAAAAAAGAGTACGTGATACTTTCCTTGAATCTAATATATCAGCAATATACAGCAGAACTAACAAGCCAACTTCTTCCAACAGTTTAACCCCGTCTCCGAAACAAAAGCTCAAATCTTCCGTCCAGCGGTCCGTCCGCCAGTTGATCCTGGACACATACCCTCTCCTGGCCCCTCACATCGACGAAGTCCTGCCCAAGAAGGCCTCTCTCGAGCAGATCAAGCTGCCTGACCGCGTATCGCTGTACGTGATTGAGAACCGCCCGCTCTTCTACCAGCAAGATAACGGCGTACTGCTGCCGCACCTGAAACTCGTCCACCGCTTCCCCCAGTGCTTCCCGAAGATCCAATGCGATCGCGGTGCCATTCGTTTTGTGTTGAGCGGCGCTACGCTCATGGCGCCTGGGTTGACGAGTAAGGGTGGCAGGCTGCCACTGCCGAGGGAGAAGGCCCCCAGGAGTGCACAAGAAGATGCTGAGGAACAGAAGAAGGAAGGGGGGAATGAGTCTGGCGAGAGTGGCGAGGAAGGGAATAAGGTTGTGGTGCCAGATGAGGGTGTGGATGAGGATGGTCACTGGAGCAGAGAGCTGGAGAAGGGCGAGCCCGTTGTCTTGATGGCTGAGGGCAAGGTTGAGGCGGCTGCTGTGGGTATTTTAAAGATGGGCACCAAGGAGATCAAGGAGAAGGGCAAGGGGCCGGTGATGGAGGAGACGCATTTTCTTGGTGATGGGCTTTGGCGGTTGAATATCGAGTAAAGTTTTTCTCTCTAGAGGAAGCGTTTCCGCCTTCTCATGCCAGTATTTCATGCCTGTTGCTTGTTTACGGGGTCAACGGGAAGGGCAAGCCGGAATACCACGACAGCACTTTCTTGGTACAAGATTACCAAGGTGCGAAACATTCAGGGCTAAGCTATGGTCGCTGGGATGAACTCTCTGTCTCTTGAATCAATTGGTCCCACAAATAAGTATCCTGTCTGGGGTGCCAAAATTGACACTGCTTCAGCTGCAAGCTCAGCACAGCAACGAACTACTGCTCAGGACCGAAGAGCAACACCAATGGCAAAAAGTAAGCTGGAAAAGTTCGCCGAAACGACAACGATCGGATTCGAACCGATGCGGCCGAAGCCATACGCTTTCGAGGCGTACCCATTAACCACTCTGGCACGTTGCCCTGTCGATGTGGAGTTTTGGCGGAAAACAAGCTCAAGAAAAGGATCAAGGGTTAGGGCTGTCTGCTTGTCAATGTCTCTGCGGCTGTCGGGTTGCCGCCAAGCCCGGCGGCGGGTGGAACCTTCGCCGAACGATCTGGATCGCTGCCGCCACGGCTAATTATGACGCAGTTGGGTGGAGCCGTTATTCATGCCCGAGCCCGAGGTGCTGAAGTTGCTTGGCTCCCAATGCGCCAGGGCCACCTCCAGTAAACCAGCTTCCTCCGCGGACATCATCGAAAGCTCGATTGCGTGTACTTCCCTTCATTGCGAGTCTCTCCATCCTTTCGCCCAGTGACGGGATCCAACGGCTCGGGAACCAGATTGCCATCTTTTGACCCCATTTCCATCGACATCGTTCGCGGAGCATTTGTCCTTTATCAGCCTGCCTTCAATCCTCTCAATCATGGCTGCGAAGGGCGTTTCGGTGCTCAAGTTTGTGGGCACCGTCTCGCTTGGTGTCATGACGGTACGTGCCACACATCGTAATTTCTCAGATGTCCCATATGTTATGAATGCCATCCGTTTGCGTCAGTAGCTCACAGCAATGCATTCAGGGCCTTTCCTACACCCTCTCCTCGCTCACAATTCCCACGCTCCTGACCCTCCCTTCGGCCGAGACAGCTGCCCAGGCATTCGACGCCCTCACGGCGACGGCCACTCGCCATCTTCGTTCCCTGTCCTCCATATCTTCATCTGCCTTTGCCCTTGCCTACTTATTCTCCCCGCGCCCTTATCGCCATCCTTATCTGCTCTATGCCTCGGCTCTGGCCCTGGGTTCCCACCTCGCCGCCTCGGACTTGCTGGCCCCCTACCTGATCTCCCTCGACCCCGCTACCGTGTCTGCTTCTGCCTCGAGGCAGAGGAAGGAGAGGCAGAAGCAGAAGAAGGAGAGGCTCGATCGCATGAGGATGGAGGCTAGCTACGAGATGCTGGGCGTTGATGCGCACAGTGAGGGCAGCGTTGAGGCTAGCGGCGAGGAGCTTGAGGGTGAGGAGAGCGGCGCTGTCAATGGCGAGGAGGTGCGCGCTGAGGTTGAGACTTTCCTCAAGAAGCAGATCGTGCGCAGCGCCTTTGCTGGCCTGGGCTTCTTGCTCTCTGTTGTGGGTATTTGGGGTGATGGTGTGGGCGTCGTCTCTGGCCCGACGATTGTCGTTGAGGCGTAGGGGTGGAACAGTAGGTGATGGCTGTTACAGGAAGCGGATGAGGTTGCAACTATCCTCACGGGGTGGCTCTATGATTTAAGAACTCTGGGATACATGGAGAAGGGAGGTTTTGTGATTCTGGTTTGTACCTTAAAGCTTTGGTGGGATTCCACCCCTCTCCGTCTCTCTCTCTCTTCTCATTTAAGAAAAGCGGAATGTCATACGATTAGAGAATGTATCTAACGGCGTAAATGGACTGAGTTTGTTTGGTTGACCAGGGACAACACCCTGCTCTCCCACCGAGTCCCGTCAGCTTGATTTGACGCTCAGCTTGCCATCTGTATGATTGCGACAGGTCTTTTTGTTAGACCCCCGGCGATATTTCCAAGCGCCTAAACGTTTCTGTTTCATTTTTAGTTCCACGCCGACCATTTCTTTAACCGATCTTGAATGAATGTTTCAGTTGGGTATTCCACCTTTAGATAACTGGTTGGGAAGGAATAGCCAGACTATCATGGCAGCTTCCAGTTATCCACGTTAGGTGCTCGCTCGGCAAGAACGCTTGGTCGATTAGTATCCTTGGAGGTGTCCTCTGATCCGTGTGATTTCAACATTCTTAATCACATTCACGTCCTCGACAACCACGTTACCGTCGACAACCATACGGACGACACTTCACGGCCCCTATACTTGATTTAGTGATGTTAGTTGCATTGCTTATACTAGCAGTTCTTATCCCTTCGGCTTCTATCACATCATCTCGGTGATCCGGTTCGTTCAACCATGGGTGGGTTACGCAAATGGTTCCGGAAGGTGTTCTCCAAGGAACCCAAGGAGTCTACAGACAGCTCGACGTCTAAACATCCTCTTGCGGATGTATTCGCCGAGCGTGCACACGCAGCCGTAGAAGAACGTAAAGGTCTCCGAAATCGCCGAACTCCTGAGATGCAAACAACAAGGGACACTCCCCAACTCCCATCGTCCACATCACAGCACATCGATCCATTGCGAGCAAATCCCATAGTCCGATCGCCAAACTACCCACAGAACGGAATTGGACCAGGGAAGTTTCTACCGCTTCTGGACCACACGTCAACCTTAGAGTTCATACCTAGCCAACAGCCTCAGATCCCCCAACTACTTCAACAGAACGACATCGCTGGCCTCCAAAGAACCTTCAGCCTAAGCCATGGCCCATCGGGGAACTATGGACCCCCAAGTCATCCCCCGACCTGGCTCCCTCTAGCATCACCACTGCCCTGGTCCGGGGCGCAACCAGCGCTGAAGAGAAAAACATCGTCGGAGGTCTGCAGACACTCTCAAGAGACTGCGTCTGCTGAGGAGGATCCATATGCTTACTCTGGTCTGCCACCGATACAGGAGCCAACCAATCGACCGAGTCTCGGCCAACAGCAGTTACATGCGCCTGTGCATTCCTTCCCAATATCACATCAGCCGCTGGGAATGATGATGGCTCCAAACGGTCCCGGATTATCTTTTCAAGCACCCGTACCGGGATTCATCCAAGATTGGGGCGGGGTTTATGGCGGCTACCTGTCCAATTCTTCAGGGGTATCAACACCGGTGAGCAACGGGGCCAACCCATCAGCGGCTTCTCCGCATGCGTCAATTCAGTCCAACCTTACGGGGCCAAGCCTGACTTTTTCGGAAACGCTAGCTGTGACGTCACACATGAGACAGGAGATGACCAACGAAGGGATAAATGGACAGTCAAATGGAGGGATTGACTACCGTCGTCCCATACCAGCGTCCCAATCACGGCATATGGGGACGTCGATGTCTTGGCCGCCGCCGCATCCTGGACCTCCTTTACCTGGGCATCGGGACGAAGAAGAAGAGGAGATGATGCCAGTGCGGGAAAGTCCAGAAGAGGGAAAGGTTGGGAGATCAGGCCTGCAACATCATCGGAGCTCGGTGTTGAATTAGATGGTTGAGACTTTGGCACAACTAGGCGTTCAGGGGAGAGGGTTGGTTGAAGAGCTGTGATAGGGAGATTTGGTGATATGGGGGATGTGTGATTCGCTGAAGCAGCGTGTTGAATATTGAGCGGTATGCAAAATTGGTAACGATTGTTACCCTTGACCTTGCTATATGTGCTTTGGCAGATAGAATTTAACTTCATTCCCACTACATGAGTCTACCCTGCACTCGGAGACTTAGGGTATCTCTTCGGGATAGCAATGTCCATATTGCTTAAAGACATAAAAACCTCCGAAACCGAAATGGAGTGAGTATCTAATCAACTAAGGCTGTCACGGAGCAGGAACAGTCCAAGTGGAAAAAAAAATACGACAACGATCGGATTCGAACCGATGCGGCCGAAGCCATACGCTTTCGAGGCGCACCCATTAACCACTCTGGCACGTTGCCTTGCTGACGAGGTAATCACTGCAGGGGAACAAGATTATATTGTCTTGGACACTGTCGCTGCTGGGAGAGAGTTGTGCGGTGGAGTCTGAGTGTCATGTGGCTTGTGAGATGAGCGTGTGGCTGGTTGATGTGCTGGAGCGAGTGACTTTTGCCATCGAAGTTGGATGAACTCTGGAATATCGTTAGAAACACACTCATAAGCTAAAGATAAATCAGCTTCACAAGGGATTTGATTAATGAAAGTTTGATTTGGGTACTTTGTGTGGAACTAAAGAAAGGTGGGCAAGAGGGCCTTGGCCCCCCGTCTTCACTCTGATCCTGGCGCTCGGCCTCCAACTTCGAGCAAAGGCAAGATGGCCGAGTGGTCCAAGGCGCTGTCTTCAGGATCCTGACTGGCAGTCCGAAAGGGCGTGGGTTCGAATCCCACTCTTGTCATTGCTTTTGTCCCTGTATCGTCTCAAGTAGTTTGGTGAACGTTGTTGTGAATTTCCGACATTTGAACTGGGTTTGGAGACTGCTGAACCCAGGTTCCAGCTCCGGTTCCATATCAGGCGGGTGATGGCAAATCCAAGGTTGAGACAGACGCAACAGCAGAAGAGTTGGCTTTGTTATTATCAAATCCTTGGCTTAGGATTATCGCGCAAAGGAATTCTAGTCATCGTTTACTAGATGTCATGGTTTAAGCTCCGATGAAAGTCTGCAGGTCAGGACTCGACCCGAGGAAGCAAGAACCTCTGCGGCTGATGGCCACGACTTGGCAACCTAGACTTCGGTAACCGTAAGCCCTGGACCCGAGGGCCAAGGCGCCAGGGACCAAGGCGGGAAGAGCCTTCTTGGAAAGCGACCCATCCACCGTGCCCGCCTGCCGCGTCCACTGTCCCACAGTCTCACTCCGAGAGGCCAGCGACCAGGCCAGGACGGTCCAGGTGCCGGCCTCAAAACTCCGCGGCAGAAACCATCACAGCACCTCGAGAAAATAAAATCTCGGCCTAATTGCTGCAGGCAGCTGCTGTGGTGCCCTCTACTCTTTCCCCGAAGGCTTACTTTCGCGTTATTTGCTCATAGAATACAGAACGTTGCTTTCGCGCAATCACCTAACCACCCACAGCGCCCCTCCTCAATGAACTCGACCCGGCCCCTCCTCCGGCACGCGGTCAGGCCCGCCATCCATCTCGCTCGATCGCGCGCTTCACTTCCTAGTCGCCTACTCTCGCTCGCCTGCTGCCCTCAGCCTTCCCTAGCACCTATCTCCCGAATCCCCTCGTCTGCACGCGCAATGGCCTCAGCCTGCTCCTCTTCCTCTTCCAACCGCAGCACCCTGGAGCGCCTACCCAACTCCCAAATCCGGATCCTCCGCACCGTCGAATCAGTCCGTCGCTGGCGTCGTCCACACACACTGGACCAGCGTATGGTCGCACTGGTGCCGACCATGGGAGCCCTGCACGAAGGCCACCTGTCTTTGATCCGCGCCGCCGCCCGCGAAAATCACCACGTTGTTGTCTCGCTTTATGTCAACCCGGCGCAGTTTGGCGTGCGCGAGGACCTGTCTTCGTACCCGGTCACCTGGGATGCAGATGCTGAAGCATTGGTGAAGTTGGATCGGGAGCTGGCAGATGATGGGAATAACCTGGGGAGGATAAGCGCTGTGTTTGCGCCGACAACACCGGAGATGTATCCTGGGGGGTTTCCCGGACAGGAGGTAGACAGCAAGGGGAGTTTTGTGACAATTACGCCGGTTGGGGAGGTTCTGGAGGGAAAATCGCGGCCAACGTTCTTCCGGGGCGTTGCGACCGTGTGCATGAAGCTGTTTAATATTGTGCAGCCGGACCGGGTCTACTTTGGGCAGAAGGATGTGCAGCAGACTGTGGTAATTAAGCGTTTGGTTCGGGACTTCATGATCCCTGCTGAGGTGGTCGTTTGTCCTACGGCACGGGCTGAGGACGGGCTAGCGCTGAGTTCGAGGAATGTCTATCTTGGAGAGAGGAGACGGCCTGTTTCGACCGTGCTGTATCGCGCCTTGAGGGCTGCAGAAGATGCCTACAACGCTGGCGCGAGGGACCGGGAGACCATCCTTGCTGCAGCGACCAAGGTCACTGATGACGTGCTGGCGGAGCAAATGGCGCTGGCGCCTGAGAAGCGGGTCCGGTTTGAGGTCGACTACATCTCATTAGCTGACCCAGATAACATGGAAGAGCTTTCCACTGTTGACCCAGTGAAGGGAGCTATCCTCAGTGGTGCGATCAGGATGCTACCCGTCGAGGATCCTCAACCAGGTGAGGATCTCGGCCATAGTGGAGGCCCACTTGTCCGGCTTATCGACAATATCATCATCCCTCCTTCAGCATGATGGCATAGACTCGAGTGGCTTTCGGCTTGGAAACCAGGTTTGCATTGTATGGCTTCTTGGGTTGGGATAAATATCACAAAGACCATATAGCAGCCCGTTATAGACATGATTGTTGATGAAAGACAATATCGTCTGTGTATTGTCCGAGGAGTCTGTACATAAGTACTGGCAGAAGGGTTGTATTGTACAAAAACAAAGTGTTATCAACGAGACTATGAGTGGATTCGTGCTGTTGATGACTTCGTCACTCGGATCGTTATCCATAGGAAGGCAGTGCTCCTCCCTTTCCACCTGTAGCAATGGTTACAGGTAGCACGCCCACAGGTGTACTGGCCATTCGAGACTTTATCTCACCCGTACTTGCCACAAACCTGGCTGTTTGTGGCCCAAACCGTTTCCCTGTGCAGGTTGGTAGGTGTATCGTGCGCTTGGTCGGTCTCGACATGGGGTATCTGGGGCTCAGAAACGGGGATTAGGTTTTCCTGACTCCCTGTCCGAATGGCCCGTAGCCAAAGGACTGAAGTCGGCTGAGCTGGACTATTGTGGAGTGCCTGGGGCTCAATGGGGTCCTGTCGTTCAGGATTTTGTTTGGACGGACATCGGAGCCTTGGCACCAATGGCAGGATTCCATGACACCGCATGACATGCGTGTTGATTTGGAATAAAGCAAGCCGTTGGGACTTACTGTCAAAAGCTTGGTGTGCCATCCCTGACGGTTGACGGGGTTTAAGATGGCACCCGAACAAGCCGGGATCTCAAGGCGCAAAGAATAATTCTGGCAAGTAGGAGGGCTTTCCTCTCAGAGGATCTTGGAAAAGTGCGACCTAAACTTTCGTGATGCCCGGTCTGCTGATCGGAACTGAAATTGTTCGCCGTGTACCTCAAAGATCATCTTTGAATCTTGCTGGGGCTGTTTTCCGTCTTTCGCTTCCGGTTGCTCTTCTCCGGCAGCTTCAACCTGCTTCTGGATTGGGACTGGCACCTCAAATCGAAATACTGTACCCTCCTTAGGAACCAATTTCAGCTTGTTTTTGGGAGTGATGATCTCGAAGGCAAACTTCGAATCCTTCACCACAATACCCTTGATTCCAACGCGACTCACGCAGCCGCTGCGCACTACTTCGACCCCAGCGCCGTGAAAGTCGGCGCTAGCCAGCTTTGCTGCAGCGCCCTCACCACCAGTGTATATCTCGCTGCCAAGGAGCTCGCGGATGTAGCCCAGCCAAAGGCGATGGAGCGGCTCGTACAGCGCATATTTCTGGGCCTCTCGGGGCACGTCGTACAGACCAAGTTTCCGGCGTTGGGTAGCCGAGAGAGGCTTTGGCTTGAGTGCTTTACGGCGCTGCTGTTTCTGCTTCTCACGAGCGCGGCGACGGGCGATGCGGGCATCGGAGGGCGGAGGGGACGAGGGAGTGAGGAAGAGTGGCCGTTGCTGGACTTTTTCAGTGTAGATGCGATTTGCTTCAATGGGTTCGTGAGCGCGGGCGAGGAGTGCGGCAGCGAAAGGTTGATCTTTTTTATTTTTGCTCTTAGAATCCATTGCGACTTGCGGCGGCTGCATGTGTTTTGATGTCGTCGTCAATTAGTCGATGTTTGTGTTTGTTGCTTCTGTCGTCGCGAGGTTGCTGAGTTTTTTTGGAAGCCATCCCGCGCCGGGCCCCGCTGTCTTTCATCTTGAAAGCCAGGTATACACCTTTTCCTTTTATGGTTTAGTGTGCCTTGGCCATCAACCACCCCCGCTTTACCCCGGAAGCACAACAGCAACGTCGCTCAGTGATCGACCCCTGCATGGGCGGTCTCCGGCTTTCCTGAGCCCTGAGTGGCTCCCATCGTGCCGGGACACACCCGACCCGACTGCACGCTGGGCTTGCAGGAAGTGAGCCTCGGACCGGGGGAATCAGAGGTGCTGCAACGCCCCTGACGAAGTCCACTGTTCAAACAGGAACAAGCTCAAACATGTGTGCACCTGCAAGAAGCCGATAAGATCAACGGAAGCTGCACATTGCACATGTGGCATGGATTTGGAGTTGCAGAGCTGTGGTTTCAAGGTTACTGAGGGCTACGGCGGGAACGGTTTGCCGAAAGGACGGTCAGCAACTCAAGCAGCTACCTACCAGAAGTCCAGAGCTCAAACTTACAGACGCGACTCCGAGTGCTTGACCTACACACAGACCTACATCGCGGGCTGCTGCTAGCTCAGGACGAACCACAATCATCCCAATCTTATCTCGATTCTCCCAAGCCCGCGGTCGCGTGTGTGTCTATCACGAGGTAGAGAAACTCATTATACCTATCTATAATTAAGATTAAGCTTGCTGACATCTCAGTTTTTCAACCAAGTCTTCGGTGAGCATCACTGCAGCTGGTTCACGAAGAGCTCGGACGCCCAAACGCCATCGACAGTCTTCCAACTTCCAAAGTCATTTTCTCGTTTCAAACGTCGCGTTTATTACGAACCGATAGCGCAATGTCGCCCTCAAACTCCTCCAAAGCGGCGCCCGACCTGCGCATCCAGGGCGACCGAATTACTTTGGTCAGGTCACAAGTGAAGGAAGACTCTCGCAGCACTGACGCCGGGAGAGATGAAATTCTTTTGAACCACATGGCACGGTTCCGGACTGATCCTATAGGGTTTGTCTCCTATTTTCCCAGCTACATATTCAACTTCTCACTTTTTGCTCCTCTTTTATCCGCTTCCATCAACAAGTCCTGTCTTGTTTTTCTTCTCTTCCCACCAAGCCAGATCCCCTTGTTCTTCTCATAATTCCTGACATTACCATCATTCAACGGAGAAAAGCTAACGGGCTATTGGCCTCGATCGGTAGCTTCCTTAGGGAGCTGGGCCTACACTTGGCCGGAACGGAATGGAGAGGCTATGATGAGTATATCGGCCAGCGAATCTTTTACCCCGAATTCTCGAAAGAGATCAAGGACAAAGTTATCGAGTCCCCCTCCCTTCAAGGGAAGATCTACGAACTTGCCGATCTGAAGATTGCCGATGAGGAAAAGCAGGGTCTTCTCGACCCTGCTGCGCCCGATTACACGTCAAAGATGGCCAGCCGTCGAGAAACTCTAGTGCAACAACTCCATAAAGTTGTCGACAAGATGCTAGACGGCATGATTTGCAAGTTGGATAGCAAATATTTCATCCGCGGGGCGTACTGGGTAACCTCTGAGCTCACGCTTAGGGCGTATGGCCAGGGCATCCGAGTGAACTCGGAGGAAATTTTGCGCCTGAAGCAAGTTGCCGAAGAGGCTGAAAAGAAGAAGCAAAGCATTCTCTTTCTTCCCTGCCATCGCTCCCATGTTGACTACGTCGCTCTTCAGCTGCTCTGTTATCGGCTAGGACTGGCGTTGCCAATTGTTGTCGCTGGCGACAATCTGAACTTCCCCATTGTCGGTGGTTTCCTCCAGCGTGCAGGTAAGCACTCACTATCGGTATCTTGTGTTTAATATCAGGCAACTAATACCATTCTTTACAGGAGCCATGTACATCAGACGATCTTTTGGCGACGATCAACTCTACAGCACAGTAGTGCAGTCCTACATCGATATCTTGCTTCAGGGCGGATATAACCTCGAGTGCTTCATTGAGGGCGGCAGGTCGCGCACCGGCAAGCTGCTTCCGCCAAAATTTGGAATCCTGAGCTACGTTCTCGACAGTCTTCTTTCCGGTCGCATCGAGGACGTGGTCGTCTGTCCTGTCAGCATTCAATACGACAGAGTAATCGAAACTGAAGGCTATACGTCAGAGCTGCTAGGTGCGGAAAAGAAGAAAGAAAATTTGAAAGATTTCGTCGGCAGCGCATCGGTGCTGAAGTCAAACTTTGGCAGTGTGGATGTCAGATTCAAGGAGCCGTGGAGCCTTCGGAGCTTTGTCGAAGGCCAGCTTGCTCAGCTTGCTCTGTTTCCTTCTCGTTTCAACGTTGACTGGGAGGATGAAAGAAACAATCACATTCGACAAGCACTTCTGCGAACTTTGGGATATCGGGTCCTGAACGACATCAACTCTGTCTCCGTTATCATGCCCACAGCACTGATCGGGACTGTGCTTTTAACGATGAGAGGCCGGGGCATCGGAATGTCAGAGCTGGTTCGTCGTGTCAATTGGCTCTCGGAAAGAATCAGGGCCAATGGTGGGCGAGTTGCTCATTTTGGCGATGCGCCCACCGCCGAAGTGATTGCCCGTGGACTCAGTGTCCTGGGCAAAAAACTCGTTCATGAGGCCGATGCGGTGACCGAGCGGACGTTTAAGCCAGCAGACAAATTGGAACTGGCGTATTATCGAAATATGACAATCCACCTCTTCATACCGGAGGCTCTGGTATGCGCCGCTCTGTACACCCAGGTCAAGCAGGGGGGAGGCCCTGCAATTCAAGACATGATGTACCAGACTTTGTATGACCAGGTTCAATTCTTGTCTTCTCTTCTCCGTGGAGAGTTCATTTACGCCAGCAAAGGATTGGAGAAGAATCTCCAGAACACGCTCGAGCGGCTCGAGAGAGATCAGGTGATTTACATCCAGAGAGACGATGAGGGAAAGTTTGTGAAGGTTGGTCTTCATCCCGCCGAGCGGAAAGCCGGTCGGGAGAACTTTGACTTTTACTGTTTCTTGGTTTGGCCGTTCATTGATTCGTACTGGGCAGCGGCTGTTTCTATCATGGGTCTTACCCCACCTATTGGGTACAAGGACAATGATATTTGGATTCAGCTCTCCAAGGCACAGAAAAGCGCCCAACAGGTAAGCTAGCTTTCCATCGAGTTTACGTTGCTTGACGTGAACTAACTTTGATTTCTCCTAGCTGGCGAAGGTTCTGTATGATCAGGGTGATCTTTCTTACGAAGAGGCCATGAACAAACAAACCATCAGCAATGGTTTCAAACGCTTCGAGGAGGAAGGTATTATCCAGGTCATTCGGACCCGAGACACTCAGATCCCACCACGGTTACGCATCGCTCCCGAGTGGAGGCCCGGACGGGACGAGAAAACAGGTAGTCTTCTCGAGAGCGGCCGTTTCTGGGATTTCGTCTCACGTATCTCCGTGAGCAGAAGAGAGGGGAAGGATCGACGCGACGGGCCAACTGTCAACCGCAGAGTTTTGGCACACACTGACAGTCTGGGGCATCAACTCTTCATGGAGGCGGTTCAGGCGCAGACTGAAGAAGAGCAGGGGAAGAAGTTCCAACTGGCGCCTGCGCGCCTGACTGCTGAAGAGAAACGGAGCTTAGAGCAGTCTATCAGGGAGCAGAGGAGGAGAAGGAAGAGCTCGCGGGCTCGGTTGTAGGCATGTTGTGGTCTTCATCGCTCATTTGGCGCCGTTTAGGTTTCTCATTCCTTAGCTGGTTTGTCTTACTGACTGCACTACTAGGTGGGCAAAATCTTGAAAAAACACCAGATAGCTCTCAATACCCGAACTATCGCTCGTTACCATCCCTTTCCAATCTGGATTAGAATACATCCCACAGACTGATCTTTCCGTCCTTACTCCCCGCGGCTATCCAGTGTGCCGCCATTGCTTGATGAACGCGCTTCTCCCTCACTGTCACCTCAACCAGCTTTGGCACCACAGCGACACTGTTGCTCCTATCCACACCACACTCGTCCAGATCTTGCTGGCTCCTAGGCTCCTTATGTTTGGATATTTTGTCACCTTTTATCACCTCTTCTTCCGGACCACTTTCTGACACAGAAGACTTGCGAGCACACTCAGCGCTGTCGCCATCACTACTATTAGCATTAGCATCAGTACCAACAGCGGCAAATGTAACGGCGTAGCACCCCAGCCCATGCCACTTCAGGACGGCGACCTCCCGCAGTGTCCGCGTGCTGTACACCCGGATGCGGGAGTCCCATCCAGCTGTGGCGAAGATTCGACCGTCGGAGCGGATGCGCAGGCTTTGTTGGCCTGCGTGCTTTGTGTTTATTTGTTTAATGGGGGTGTTGTTGTTTAGGGGGGAGGGGGTTGAAAAGGAGGGAGAGATGCTGCTGGGGGTTAGTTGAGAGACTGGAGGGGAGCGTGGCTCGTTTGCGAGGGCTGCAGAGAGGAGGGATTTGGGTTTGTTGGTGTCATTATGGGCGGGTTTGGTAGGGGGTTTTGTTTCGGGGGGTCGGTTGCTGTCATCATTGCGCAGCGCTGGCTTTTGGGGGATTGGTATTTCCTGGGTTGGCTCTGCTCGAGGTGGTACTGGTTGCTTTCCCGGTTGTTGAGAGCCGACAGAAAGGGAATGCTTGGCAATGATGGCGTCAGCGCTTGATGTAATGAAGTAGTCTCTGCTTGGGGAAACATCTAGAGAGAGGATTGGTTGGGTATGAGGCTTTGCCTGATAGATGACAAGCCAGTTACCCTGGTCGTCGAGCTGAGCAACGAGAGCTAGCCCATTCTCGTAGCCTGCGACAAGTGTCAAAGTCTGTCCCAACCAGAGCAGTGATAGGGCCATGACCATGCCGTTCTTCTCCCCTAGCTTTAATGTGTATTTCCGGTTTTGAGATGGGAGATGGTAGATGTCAATCTGTAATGGCAATTATCAGTATGAGCGACTTGGGTGTATGATATGGCCCTTAGACGCACAGCTTCGGATGCCAAAGTGTTGGGCACGGCAACTAGGATATCCCCGGATGATGTGCCTGAAGCCGGAACTTCGGGGCAATGGGAGAAGGAACAAAAGTTCATAGTGTTGACCTCAAGCAGATGCAGCATCTCTGGCTGAGGTCGGGTTCTCGAGACAGGGTCCAAGGGAGGACTGGTGCTCAAGCGGCTCTCGTCCTCGACACCCAGTTTCCAGACAATCAACTTGTTGTCTCTTCCGTGTCTACGAATGCCCATTGTTTCAGCAATCTATCTACTTCATGTCTCGGGCAGACACCAACAGTGACCGATAACAGCAAGTAACAACAATCAACCTACGTGATCAGGCGGTCGCGACCCCAGTCAGAGATGCCCAAGATGGAGTTCGTATGGGCTCGCCAGACCGCTCTGGGGCGCATGATTGTGAGGTCCCACGAGATGACAAAGCCATCTGCGTCGCCAGTCACGAGGCGCTCGTTGGCAAATACAAAGGCGGCAGCGTGCACCTGGGCCTTATGGCCGCGCAGGATGGACTTGGGCTGGGCTGGACGAGACTCGGTCGACATATTCTCATCCGAGACTGTGTGATGATGGAGGGTGGAAGAAGAATAGATCTATGATAATGATGACCTTGAGTGGAAAATCCGAAAATGACCAGGGTGCTGTTCTTAGATATGGAAGCTTAAGCGTCTCGGATCCGAGGGGTACGCTGTAACTTAAGGTACCTAGGTACGGATTAAGATCAAAGTGGGCAAAATTGGAGAAGTGTGAAGTGTAAGGCAGCGCGCGATAAATGATCTGCAGATATGCAAGCTTGTTCTAGAAGACAGCCTTGTTCCACGCCATTGATGACAAGAGCAGGGCATCCCGCCAGTCCATCCAAGTTCAGACGACGCAGATGCTGTTGGCGCACGCTGCAGCTGAAGAGGCTCCATCCTCGACAAATCTTGTTCGCTCCTTCAATCGACCAGTCAAAGGCACTGAAAGCTGAGGTGGGGGAGTGGGTCTGGACAACGGTTCCATGTGGATCTCCGGCTTGCTGAGTAGCCAAGCCCAGCTCGGCGCCAAGCTCTGTGCTGAGTGGATCAGTGGACCCTAACGATGACAAGGACCCCAGGCGCCCAGCCTGTTGCCTCGACCACCGGCCCCTGGTGGCCCCTGCAACTTCTGTCATAGAAGGTCAGTGTCCCGTCCAGAGGAGGATCGAGCACTCCTGCTGCTCCCCGAGATCTCAACACCATGCCTCGACAGACGGGAAACATTCTCACTCGGGGCTCAGAACCCGATAGAACGTGCCGTCAGTATTGATGACATCTCAACTTTCGGTGAAACCCTGAGCTGCCGCGAAGTGCGAAGCTCTCCGACATCGAGTTTGAACGTGCTAATGAACTGTCCTTATCCTCGTCAGCGTCTGAGCGAGGGGCTAAAGAGATTGTGGACGGGTCCCATCGCAGCGCCGACGCCCCCTGCATCTGCTTTTTGAATGTTTCAACTTGCTCTTCGTCCGTTGCGCCTGCATGCCATCCCGGCTCCTACGTCCGTTGGCACGGCAGCAAGTCTGAGCGTTGCAACACCCCGATCCAACCTCAGCCTCGTTGACTTTTCTCCTCGGCTGTCCCCATGGCATTTACATTCACACGTTTATTACCATCACTTTCGTCCTCGCTCTCTCTTTGGGCCTGTCTGGGACACAGCATCCCGTGTAAACTCGCGTGCTGGCCCTCTCTGCAGCGTGGTGGGCGGAAACAAGCGCAGAGCGTGCAGGCGACGTATCAGCGCAGAGATAGACATCCGTCATGTCTTGGATTGCACGACGACAACTTGGAACAGCATAACGGATACTGACAATCGGACAACAGTGGCAAGCTCTTCCCCCCTCTTCTCACGCCGGCGGGGACTCCGATCGATTCCTCGCTCTTAACACGATCTCGGCCCTCTTTGCTTACCACACGGCCGGGTACCACGTTTCTGGCTCTTTGTCTTCGAGTTTGTGATTCTTAGATGCTGCCGTGGAGAGCTTGGTCCAACTCTCGTCTCAGACACTTGAAAACCTGCCCCTGAACTGACCTGTTTTTCGATTTTTCTTCCTCTCTGTGTTTCTTTCGGACTTTGTTTTGATACCCCTTAGCAGCCATGGCAGGTTCCAGTCAAAGGAGTCAAACTCATGCTCGCCATCAGAGCCATTCTTTTCATCCTTACCCTCCACCGACAAATTCATACTCCAAGGAGGAGCCATCGCCGCCATACACAACTTCCAGCAGAACGTACAGTCCTCCATTTGACAGCTTCTCAGCTAGCCGTCAAGGGACTCCAGGGACATTTAACTTCGGTGCTGCTCATGTACAGCTTCAACTTGAAGATTTGGATTATGCCATGGTACCCTCTCCAATGGTTAATGTCAATGCCATGGTAAACAGCAATGGCGGCCGGGAAGGACAGCAACTACCGCCTGCTAAGGCCGAACCAGGCAAGGCAAAGCGGGTGCGCACAGGGTGCCTTACCTGCCGGGAGCGCCATCTAAAATGTGATGAGGGTGTTCCAGACTGCAACAACTGTCGAAAGAGCAACCGGGAGTGCAAACGAGGGATCCGGCTAAACTTTATTGATGTTCAAGTGAGAACCCCTCCATATGTGCCCCCGACGACTGAGTGGTCAGGTAGGTTGTCCACTGTGGTTATCGGTCTTGTCGAAATACTAATCCATAAAACACAGTTCAAATACTGGATGAATCGCGGTTAATTGCATCCGAATATAAGGGCGGTCTGGGACGGTATCCGAAGCTGGAGACCCCGCAGGTGCCCGATGTTGATGAAACTTCTACCGAAAAGACTGCATCACCGGACCACCAGATGTCCGATTCCTCGTTTTCTGAGCACGTTAGCAGCTCCAGCGCTCCTCAAGACAACAACCCGACTTACCCGAACCATGTTGGGCAGCCTCCTCCTCCCCAGTCTCTCATTTGCGAGAGCGTGCGGGAAGAGGGGATGCAAAGTTTCACTTATTATGCCAGGGAACCATTACCGCCGCTACAGCAACCAAGCCCTCCAAACTTCGATGACGATATATTCATGTTTTCACCCCTTGAGAGCCATCATATGAACAAAGACAAGATGGTCATCTCTACCAACAAGCACGAATACACTTCTGGTTGTGCCCTTTCATTGTCCTCAACTCGCACTGTATCGTCACCATCAGCACACTCAATCCGGTTTGAAATTTACAACAGCCCAGCACAAATGCCGGGTAGGCCTGCTGATCCCCCGACGCCAGCAAGCGACGATGCGACAGATGAACGTGACTACCTGGACTCGGACGACGAGATCCGTTACATGCAAGCATTCGTGGATGGGGTAGCTCCATGGCTGGACAGCTTGGACGGAAACAAGCACTTTGCCAACACGGTACCTTACCTGGCTCTCAAGTCTCCGATGGTTCTCAACGCGCTGCTAGCATGTGGTGCAAGGCAGATGTCCTTGATGGGAGGATGCGATGAAGACAAGGCCGAGAGGTATTATAGTCTGGCTCTGGAACACCTGACTCGTATCCGTCGCGAACAGCGGAGCGACCTGTCGGAATGCGCCGTAGCGGCGGTTGTGCTTAATGCGTATGAGCTCATGAGTGACAAGTCGACTGATCCTCTGCATCAAGCCTTACCCCCTGCAAGTGCCTTGATCCGTGAATGTGGCTGGGATGCTTCATCAGGAGGCATGGAAGCGGCTTGTTTTTGGGCCAGTGTCGGCATCGAGGTCCTTGCCAGCTTGTCCTCGGGGAGCCATATCACCTGGGACCCCGATCAATGGGGGGTGGATTTAGAGTTCGCCGACGGAGGGCTCGAAAGCGGAAGTAGCAGTGCGAGCGTGATCGGATTTGAAGAATGTGTGCGTCGTCCGAGCATCGGCGGCGATGGAGGTCGCGGCCGGAAAGGATTGGCAGCTTTCCTGATGAAAAACGGCAAAGGGTTTGGCGAAGAAAGTCTCTGGGTGAAACGGATCTTCTACATCCTGGCCAAAGTGGCCAACTTCCGTGCCAGCATGCCGCGAGGCCTACATCCAGACCCTCACGAAGAGCTGATCAGCCGACAGACTCGGTTTGCGGAGTGCAGAAGACTGCAGAGGATATGCAATGCTTGGAGCAACAGCTGCCCTCGTTCGATGAGGCCGTATGGTTATTCTGCTCAATCGTCTGACAAATCTTTGTTCCCTAACGTCTGGTAAGTGCCCTTCCGTCCTTTTGCTGTCCAGGTCTTGAGGATGTTATCTGACGTCTTAACAGGTTGATCAAACCTTCTGCTATCCTCGGGCGACTCTTCTACCACACGTCCATGTGCCTCCTCTCTCAGACTAACCCTCTCGACCAGCGCCGCAGTGGTGGTAGCCTCACTAGTGAAGAGAACCGTCGGGTCCAGCAGCATCACGCGCACCACGTCTGCGGCATTGTTGCGCACCACCTGACTTCTGTCGACCGTCGTAGTTTTGTCGCTGCAGCCGCGTGCAGCTTGGCTGTTGTCGGTGGCGTACTGACTGATGCCGAGGAACGTCGTGAGGTGTTGGAGTTATTGGGAACGATTGGGAAGGAGACCGGGTGGCGGATGGGCAGGTTGGAGGGGGAGTTGAAAAGGGCTTGGGCGGCTCCTAGGGTCGTTGCTTCTGGGTCATCATCCAAGAGTGATTTTGGAGGGATGATGTCGATGCCGCTTACTGGGTTATTGGTGGGGTCTGATTTTCGCATTGGGAGGGCGATCATTTAAAGAATATCAATCTTGGATTCTTGGGAACAGTGGAAGCCTTTGGGCTAGCTTAGAACATTGGTGTTTGGGTACCTTGGTGTTTTACAAGTATGGGACGGGAAAACACTTAGGACTGGCGATATGCAGACATCTGCCATACAGCAACCAACTACTAATGAAATTATTATGTCCCGATGATCATCGGCTTCAATTCCCTGGTATCCTCCTTTCTCTATATATCTATGGTAATCTAACCTCAGCTCTATCAATTTTGTTTTCACCATTAGCTCCAGAGGTATGCTATCTATTCAGCAAGATCCTCGGAATCTATATGCCAGATATTCCCATTCCTTATTCAAGACCCATTCCGCTCCCAGAAGAACCATATGATCCTGCAGCCACCCAGAACCATTAGGCAACATTATCATGATTAGGGGCTGAGGTGACTGAAAACTAGTTGCATGCACCGAATTTTGATGGTGCTTGGGGTATCATGAGGTAAAGAGAACCTGGTCATGAAGAGTGACATGTGGAGGGTTTCCAAGCCTTTCACTTCTTTGTGACCAATTTTCCTTCTCCTCCCTGCTTTCCTTTCTCAGCACGCACCAACTTTGTGCATCTTAGTAGTTGATCTTCATTAAACCCTTCATGCAGTCCTCCTTCTCGACCTCGACAGGGGGAATAATAATGCCGTACTTCTCGTATGGGAAGTTCTCCAGGCTGGGGAGCAGCTCGGCCCAGCCATCACCGATTTTGCCGGGGCAAGGACCGGCCTCAGGCGGAGCCTCACCAGTCTGACCGGCTAAAACCTCTGGAATCCTGTGCTTGTATTGTTCGAGCAAGTCCTTGTGTGGGACCCAAACAACCCTCATGCCCGCACGACGACCGGCCTCAACACCGGACACGCTGTCCTCGAAAACGAGGCACTCCTCTGGCTTAATTGGAGCCTCACCAGCGGGAAGAGACTTGTTGATGCGGTCGAGAGCAATCAGGTAGATATCGGGTAGGGGCTTGCCGCGGCCCTTCGGAATTTCAGGATCATCGCCCAGCACACGGCGATGCATCTCGAACACAGAGAAGACGCCCTCGAGGTGGGAAGTCTTCAGCTTGAAGTTGGACTGGTGAGATGATGTAGCCAAAGCGATGTGCACACGGCGAGGAAAAAGCTTTGTGGTGCCGTTGGTGAGAGCGCCGTTGATGCCGTTCGTTAGACAGTTCGGAGTGCCGTTTGCAGCGCCATTGGGAAGATGATCTCCGCGCTTCTCGCTCGTCTTCTTTGGGGCGACTTGCCAGTAAACAGTGCGATCAAGGTCATTAAGCAGGGCCACAACCCCAGGAAGCGGCTTCGTCGTTCGCATGAGCTCCTCCTGAATCTCATAGTAGCGCTTGCGGTAATCATCAATGCTCATTTTCTTGTTGAGCCCTGCCCACTCCCACATGATCCTAGTCGCCTCAGGACCCGGGCGACCCTGTACCTTTGCTTTGATCTCCCAGGTCATCCTCGTCCTTTCACCCTCGCATTCTGCAAGCAGCTTGTTTGTAACCTCCGTGTAGATATCTTCAGTATCAATTAGGAGGCCATCCATGTCGAACAGGCAAGCACGGACAGGAGGAAAGCTGGTGAGTGTGTTAGAGTTACTGATATCGTTAAAAAGATCGTGAAATCCAGGGAGACCAACTCAGTCTTGGTGCAATCAAGAGCCATTGTGAATAATGTTCCCTGAGGTCTCGTGAGCTGTGATGAAGAGTGTATTGTTTGCTGAAGTTGTGAACCAAGGTTCAGGAGCAAATCAAGGCAAGATTGCAAAGCCGATAGAGCTTGAGGTCGGTGGCTGAGGAAATGGAAAGGAAAAGATTGGTTGCAGTGGGTGAGATTAGAGGGTATTTATACTCGAGGTCCCAGAGGAAAGCCGGTTGACTTGGTCTGATGTCTCAACTCTCTGAACAGTAGGTGACAGGGCAAATTGCTCGAGAATATAACCTTTTATTCTTTGATAAGGTTGATCGGTTCAATGTTGCAATATCAATGATCCAAAGATCACACTGGGGATACAAAGGAGGGGACAATAAAGGAAGATCGGCATAAGGCACACATGCGGCTGTTGAAGGTTGGTGGAGATGGAATGGCAGTGAAAAAAATATGGGGATGATGGACGTGGTCCCCTGCACAGGGCCACAGCCAGCACTCCCTGCATGTTCTGCGAGATTGATGAAAGGTTGCTGGAGATTTGCGGGGCAAGGCCAATGCCTGCAAATCCAGCTTCACTTTTACTCCGAGCACCAGGATCAAAGAACCCCTGCGTCGTTTCTTTCAGCCTAAGCCTTTGCGATCGCTACTACTTTCAGTATACATCTGAATCGAATCGCGTTCTCCCTTTGGCATACAGAGGCTTTTACCCAGGCGCAGCGGCGCGTTGTGAGGCTCTCACGGGCAGGGCGGTGCTACGGAGCGCTACGCTGCCGGGCCGTTTGATGATTTGGTCCCGATTTGCCATTTTCCATTTCCCTTTTCCCCTGGGCCTCGGGGTTGGGAGCCAACGCATACAGATCAGACACCAGACTGGACACGCAGATGCAGTGGACGCGGTCGGCCGAGGGAGATGCGAGATAAGACCTCGCCGTCGCCTTGACGTCCATTCGCTGCATTTGCTTGGCAGCGTTTCTGTCACGGCCTGGTAAGTCACAGCGGCTTCCAGCCGAGTACTCGATGCCCCTCCCCTGTCGCCGCGCTAGCACGGCACCAGGGGTTTTGTTCGGTTTTTATGGTTCTTGCGCTTCCTGGACTCCCTGGGCCTTGTTGGGCTCTTTTTGGGTCCCAAAGTCGCAAAGCCGCCAAAAAAAAAAAAATAAACGGTGGGACCGAACGCTCTCAACGGTCCTGCTTCCACCTGCGCTCTACGCTGTCTTGCATCATGCATGGATCTGATTACCCAATTGATTCGCCGTGTGGTCCCAGTAGCTTCGCTCATTGGATCTTCCAAAGCTCCTGGGAGTTGCAGGGAGCTTTGAACCCGGTTTTCGCGTCCCTCGCCCACAGTCCCGCTGAAGGGGTTACGTTGTTGGTAGTGTGACGATTCAGCACAGTCCAGCGCGGTCCAGTGGCCCGGCACAATCTCTTATCATCCAACGTTGTCTTCCCTCTGTTGCAACCTGCCGTGCTGGGATCGTGCTGTCTTGCACAGTACACTAGCCTGGACGCTGGATCGGTCCGGTAAAACCCCTTGACTCCATCTGTCCGCGCAAGGGCTGGCCTCGTTAGCCATGGCGTTCGAGAGCGAAAAAGCATCGGAAGAGGCCACCTTGAGGCCCGAGGTGCCCAAAAGGGTCGACAGGGACGGCAAAGGGAAGTGTGGATCTAACGGGCATGACGGCACTGATGGGGCTGCCCAGCATACAGCGGATGACCAGCATCATCGGTCCAGCGAGAGGCTCTCTCCCGAGGAGGAGGCTGTAAGTGCTGTCCCAATGACCCATGCATCATGTGCATGTCCCATATCCAATGAAATACCCTGAAAACGTTCTCAGCTGACGTTTAATTGTTTGCTGGACAGTCCATGTTGGCCAAGTCCAACTCTCACAAGGCCGAAGCGAACACTTTATTCGGTTCAGGAAATTATGATGCAGCCATCAACAAGTACGATGAAGCCATTGCCGTGTGCCCAAACTATCTGGACTACGAGCTTGCTGTGCTGCGGGCTAATGTGTCCGCCTGTCATCTGAAGCTGGAGGAGTGGAAAGAAGCCATCAACAACGCCACCACTGCTCTTGACTGTCTCGACAGGGCCGAGAAACAGGGGGAGGATTCTAACAAGAGTGCTGCCGGGAACGAGGGCGTCGAAGGAGATATTGTTAGTGCAGGTGCAGCCAAAACCACGCCGGCGCCATCCAGGTCCCGCGCTGATGATATTGCCAAACTCCGTGTGAAGATCCTCCTGCGGCGTGCTCGCGCCAGGAGTGAGCTCGGCGGCTGGGCGAATTTGGAGGGTGCCATCGAGGATTACAAGCGGCTTGAAGGAATGGCAGCATTTCTGACTCCTGCCGATCGCAGGACCGTACAAGCTCAATTACGAGCTTTGCCACCGCGGGCGAAGGAAGCGCAGGAGAAGGAAATGGCCGAGATGTGGGCAAAGCTGAAGGACCTTGGGAATGGCCTGCTTAGGCCGTTTGGGCTAAGTACAGATAATTTCAAGTTTATCAAGGACGAGAAAACGGGGTCATATAGTCTGAACTTCCAGAAGTGATGGCTCGGTTTTTTCTACTCGTATGGCCCGTCGCTGACAAGTTCAGGAGTCACGGGAGAGCAGTTCTTATCTCTCTCATTCCTGGCTCTTGCGCTTGACGTGGTTGGCTTAAGCAAATGAGACGATCTACGACTTGCTATTCAAAATCAGCAAACCTTAACTTTGGTCCCTTGCAGCTTGTGACATTTCACAAGTGAGTTAGCCAGTCTCTGACTGGCTAAAATACATGACTGTGTTGATAGGGATCAAACCCATGGTTTGTCCTGGGCCGAGCTCGCTGACAGTGAGAAAGAATCGGCAACCAAGGTGTCAAAACCCTTGAGACAGAGAACTATTGACAGTGATTCCGCTCAAATCCATTAGCACCTCAGCAACTCTTCACTGTGTAACTTTGGCCTTTGAAGCATTTGCATTTGCTTGAAGCTCCTGAAGCTGGCGCTGCCTGTTACATGGCAGACCTCCAAGGTCTGGGTTGCCAAGCAACGTTAACCGCTCCACAGCTTATCGATAGGTGCTTATCAGTAAGCGCGGGGCAATTCAAAATTCTTGAGCTGTGGCTTCGTTACGCCCCTGCTCATCTCAAGAAAAGTACACACACAGCCCCGTCGGCCTGCGCGCCCATACAGTTTATAACTACAATTCTTTCTCTTTGATACCCGCAAATATTACAGTAGTGACCCTCAATTAGTTCACTGCGACATTACCGAGAACATGGATCTCGACTCTCCCATGGGCATGGCCCCGATGATGGGGACTGCCCGTACCGGCGCTACGTGAGTTCACTTGAAATGGGCCAGAATTGTAATCAACGAATTCTGACATCACTGGCAGTATTCTGTGCTGCAACTGTGGTGTTCCTATTGACGGCACCTCCTCAGCCGGTGCTCTTTGCTATGACTGGTATGTCGTTTTGCCTACATTAGACCGGGAAAGAAGAAACTCACTGACTCTTTCAAAAGCATCAAGTCTACGGTTGATATCTCACAGGGTATCCAGCGCGAGGGTACCCTTCACTTCTGCCGGGACTGTGAAAGATGGCTGATGCCCCCTTCAACTTGGGTCGCAGCTGCCCCCGAATCACGAGAACTTTTATCGCTCTGCTTAAAACGGTTACGAAATTTGGGTAGAGTTCGTATCATTGATGCTCGCTTTGTCTGGACAGAACCCCATTCGCGCCGCATCAAAGTTAAGATTACCATTCAGGACCAGGTGTCGGATGGTGTCTTGATGCAGCAGAGTTTCGAAGTTGTCTATGTCGTTGCCTATCAACAATGCCGCGAGTGCGCTAAGTCCTACACAGCCAACGTCTGGCGTGCCGTCGTCCAGGTCCGCCAGAAGGTTACCCACAAGAGGACTTTCCTCCTCTTAGAGCAGCTCATCCTCAAGCACCAAGCACACAAGGACACCATCAATATTAAGGAGGAGAAGGATGGTGTTGACTTCTTCTTTGCCCAAAGAAATCAGGCTGAGGCATTTGTTCATTTCCTCAAATCCGTTGTCCCTATCACTCTCAAGGACTCCAGGCATCTCATCTCGCAAGATACACATACAGGCGACAAGCAATACAAATTCACATACTCGGCCGAAATTATTCCCATATGTAGAGACGACCTAGTTGCCCTGCCTCTCAAGCTCGCAAAACAGATTGGAAATATTCCACCTCTCTGCCTCTGCTACAGGATAGGCACCGCGGTCTACCTTCTTGATCCGAATACCCTTCACACAGCAGAGCTGAGCTCCGACGTCTATTGGCGGCAGCCTTTCCGACCATTGGCCGATGCCACCTCCATGGTCGAATTCATAGTCATGGACATTGAAGCGACGGGTATACGCAAGGGAAAGTGGGTGCTAGCTGAAGTCACTGTGGCTCGAGCATCCGATCTGGGCGTCAACGACAACGTATACTTCACTCGCACACACCTGGGGCACCTACTGCACCCCGGCGACTCAGTCATGGGCTACATGCTGACCGGCACAAACTTCAACTCCGATACGTTCGACGCTATCGAAAACTCGCGCCAATACGGCTCGACGATTCCCGACGTCGTGCTTGTCAAGAAGCACTATCCGAACCGTCGCCGCAACCGTCGCCGTAACTGGAAGCTCAAGCGCCTGCCCAAGGATGAGGGCGAGTTGCTGCCCAAGGCGACCGACCAGGCTCGTATGGACGACGAGTATGAGGCCTTCCTGCGCGATGTGGAAGAGGATGAAGAGCTGCGTGCTACTCTGGCTCTGTACAAGAATACTAGGAAGACCAAGAAGCCTCAACAGGATGCTGATGCCATGAGCATTGCTGAGACAGAGGATGACGACGATGGGCCGAAGATTAGCATGGATGAGCTTCTGGATGACTTTGAGGATCTGGACATTCAGGATGATCAGTGAATGCTGGTGGAAAAGATGTTGGGAGGTTTTGACGTTTGCATGGTTCACGAGTTATGTTTAGAAGATTTGTTTTTCCAAGTTTGCTAAGGGAACTGAATGCATGGCATTGAAGCCAAATGATCTTTTGCGCTACTGCTAAAGTAAAAGTCGTCATAATATGTCTAGAGGCACGGGTCGCAATGCTGGTCTACACTTCTCGCGAGCCTACAGCCGTCGGGCCAATATAAAGTTGTGTTGGGGTATCTGGACAAAGAGAGGAAGACAGGAGAAAACAACCGATTCAAAGTGCCGAGAAAAGCCCTTGCAGCTTGATCCGGATATCAAAAGATCTTGCTGAGCACTCTCTTGACCTCCTCCGGCTGGTCCTCGTCGACTTTCCTCTTCTTCGCCAGGGGTATCTGCTTGAATGTCCGCCGCTTCGCCGGCACAAACCCGACTCCTCCCTCTATCGTTTGTGTCTCCCCTTCGTCTTCTTTGCTTTCTTCCTTCCCACCCTCGCCTACGCCTAGACGTTTCCTCTTGGCTTCTGCCTTGGCCGCGATGCCGTTGAGAACCTTGGCCTTCTCGACGTTCTTGATGAATTCCTTGTTCTCCTTGGTTGTCTTGGCGATTTCGGCGCGCATTCTGGCGGCGCGCTCGGCGTTTTCGGCGGCGATCTGTTCGGTAAGATGGTGCCTAGTGGTGTTGAGTGTCAGCCAGCAAGGCCTCCTGAACCAAGAAAACAGTAGGACAGACCATTTGAAGCCCTTGAGATACTTCATGCACCAAACATCATCGCGATACCAGCTGGTCTTCTTGCCGCCGATAGTTCGAGCGTTCAGAAGATCGACACATTTCTTGGCGTCCTTCTTCTTCACAAACTCTACCCAGCCCTCTGTGTACATCTTCTTCTTATTCCCACCCATCCGCACACGGCGGGCATGCTCTGCAGGGTCTTCAGGGGCCAGGAAGATGCGGTTGATCTTGCCGTAGGGTTCAAGAAGGGAGCGCAGCTTCTGCGGCTTCATGAACGGGGGGATTCGTGACAGGTAGATTACTCCTGACTTCTTAATGGCTTCGGCGGTAACGACGAGATTCTTCTTCGTAAGAGGCTTCGTCACATCAGGGAGCTTCAATTCCTTTTCTGACTTGTCTTTCTTCTTTTTGTCTTTGCCTTCGCTGTCCTTATCATCGCCTGATGGTTCCGTTCCATCCTGTTTTAGGTTTGCGCCCCCAGACTCGTTGTTATCCTGCTCCTTGTAATCATTGTCGCTGAAATCGGATTCAATATCGCTCTCATCCTCTTCTACCCTCCTCCGTTTGGCGCTACGCCCTCCTTTCTGGAAGTTGTCGTCAGAGTCTGATCTATTGCCAGCGTCCGAGTCGCTGTCGCCAGCATCAAGGAAGTTGTTTCGCTTATGGTCTTCTGGCATTGTGGGCGCAGGATTGCGGGAATGTTTGGGACAAATTGGTAATGGTTCGATTGCGGCTTCGAGAAAATTCCCACATGTGAACACTGAACCTGGGACCTCGCTCTCTGCGATTTTGCTTATCGGATTATCAATCTTTATCTTATCGGATTATCAGCCCCACTGGCGGGCTGCGGATCTCTAAGGGTTCCGGAGGGGCAGCCGAGGGAAGCTCTCCAGAGTCTGTGGAATTAGCAAAGAGCTGCTTGTACGTCTCATCAGGCCTTGCTTTGGCGCCCTCCATGCTAGCGTGATTCGTGTTGGTTGTGAGTGAATCTTTGTCAACTCCAAATTGGTGTCACCTCTATTCCTGGGAGTAGATTTCGCTTGTCAATCCCAACAGCCTTGCTCTTTTGGCCGCTCGGATATTTGGCCAAGCTGCCTTTGACCCCCTTCTTATACCTATCCGTAACACAGCCATGTCTGAAATTATAACCACCATCTCCCCCACCACAGGTGAGCCCATCCTCACTCGCAACGGTATCTCACAGCAGGAGCTTGAACAGCTCCCGGAGATTGCGAAGAAGGCATTCGAATCCTGGCGCACCACCAAGCTGGCTGATCGCCAAGCGATCATCAGGAAAGCCCTTGCAATTCTGGATGAAAGAAAAGATGAGCTGGCAACAGAGCTTACAGTCCAGATGGGTCGGCCGATCGCCTACACGCCCAAGGAGATCGGAACCGCCATCAAGAGGGCAGAGTATATGATGAGCATTAGTGATGAAGCTCTCCAGGACACCCCTGGTCAAGCAGAGTCCGGATTCAAGAGGTTCATCCGGAAGGTTCCTGTTGGGCCTGTCCTCATCATCTTTGCCTGGAACGTGGGTGTTGATCCATGAGCGAACAGTAAGGTCCGATATAAATGGGCTGACACTGAACAATAGTATCCTTATCTGATTCTCGTCAACGCCCTGATTCCGGCCCTTCTGTGCGGCAATTCTGTTATTCTCAAACCGTCTCCTCAGACCCCTACTGTTGTGGAGCAAATCGCAAAGGCCTTCAACGAGGCCGGCCTACCACATGGCGTCATTCAGTACTTCCATTCCGGTTCACCTGCCATTATTGAGTCCATCGTGCGAGACCCGAGGATTGCCCTTGTCTGTTTCACCGGTTCTGTGGCCGGTGGCTTGGCCGTTCAGGGCGCCGCATCAACCCGCATCGTCAACGTGGGTCTTGAACTTGGAGGCAAAGACCCGGCGTATGTCCGTGGAGACGTCGACATTACATGGGCTGCCGAGGAGATCGTCGACGGCGCAGTTTTCAACTCAGGCCAGAGTTGCTGTGCAATCGAGAGAGTCTACGTTGACGAGAAGATCCACGACGAGTTCATTGCTGCAATCCAGAAGGTCCTGAAAGGATATCGGGTTGGCGATCCTCTTGATAAAAAGACACACGTCGGACCTGTCATTTCGAAACGGGCTAAGGAGACCATCGAGGCTCATATCAAAGATGCCCTCGAGAAGGGCGCCATCAATGCCACTCCAGAGAATGAGACCTTTGACGACCTGCCACAGAAGGGGAATTTCGTTCCTCCGACCCTTCTCATCAATGTTGACCACAGCATGAGGGTGATGAAGGATGAAACCTTTGGGCCAGTTATTCCGGTCATGAAGGTCAAGAACGATGAAGAAGCTATCAAGTTGATGAATGACAGCGAGTATGGTCTGACGGCAAGCATATGGACAAAGGATACCCAAAAGGCGTACGAACTTTGTGAGCTCGTAGAGGCCGGTACCGTCTTTGTCAATCGTTGTGATTACCCGAGTCCTGTGAGTCACCCATTTACAATGACGCCTACCAGTGTCACCACTAACATGTGTTTGTAGGATCTTGCCTGGACAGGGTGGAAGAACTCTGGAAAGGGTGTGACCTTGAGCAGATTCGGGTTCGACCAATTTGTCAAACTCAAGAGTTACCATCTTAAGGACTATCCAAAATAAATATCTGGATCACCAGAGGGCCGCGCTCCCTTGATTCAGGGTGGGAAAACTCGGTGTCCCCAAGGGCTCAGGTAGTTGCTCGTCTGTCGCGTTACACCTGGGACATCTCAGATGATTTTCCTCGACATTGAATAAATTGTCCCACATGAAAAATCTCACGTGGTGTCTACTCGTTCCACTGCATCGTCCACATAGGTGCTCGGAATCCTCCTGCATGTTTGTGCTTACATTCCTACTTTTCGTGTCCCTGGCCCTCCATTAGGGTGCTGGTTCAAAAGGAATGGAAGCGAAGATCCGATGCCGTCTCACCAATCTCTGGCATTCTTCTAATCTCCCTCGAGCATGAACTTTCCCTTCTCCAGCCTTCTATTTCTTTGTGCGAGTGCGAGCTCATTGACACTGGGCTGTTGGTGCCGAAGCTGCATACAAAAAGAAACCGACGGGCCGGTCATCATTGAGTTCAACGGGTATCGTAATCGGCCGCCACAGTCACTCCTTTGTTTGCTATAATCTTACATTTCATCTACTTCTACACTCATTTCAGTTACCATTCGACATTGTCAGAGTCATTCTCAACACATTCACTCTCTCTATTTTTGTTTTTTATCTGAACATAACACAGGTTGACGACCGGCACTCGTTGTTCACTCTTCTCAGTTTCTCTTGACAGTACATTCTCTCTCAATCACATAAGCTTCCAGCATTCGGAACTCATTGTACCAATTAGGCTTGCCAGATCTGTTTCGGGGCTTTTGTCTTGATCGCATAATCGTAATACCAGCCATCATGAATGTCTGCTCTGAGGTTAAGAGACTCTACTTCTCCTTTCAGGAGATGGTAGGCTTCAGGCGTAACAAAAAAGGTCCTAAACGCCCGATGCAAATTGTAAGCATTCCTTTTTGCAATCAATAACTCCGTGCTAACACATTCATGTTTTTCAGTCTTCTCCCTTCGATTTCAAATGAATCCCCACAACTCTCTCCGGCTTCACGGAAGACGAGCAAGTTCTTCCTCCTCAATTAACCCTTTCCTCTCTGGATACCACGCTTACTCTTAGCAGAGTAACTGTCCTCCGCGAAAAAGCAGCAGCCTCTCGTCTCGGCATTGCTGATCACGACAGCAGCAAGTCAAGATATCTCAGTTTATCTCCCTTCCCTCACAAGCATGCCCGCCGGCAATCTACTCTTCCTCCCCGATTGACCATTCCCATTCCCTTTCCCAACGCAGTCCCTCGAAATGGTGCGTTCACCAGCATTTGGGGTAGCAGCGCCTATCAGGCCCAATCCAGCTGTTCCGCTCTGTTACGGGGCAAGAGTAGTGCCATGACGCTGGGGGCACCAGGCGTGACGTCGCCGTTTGAGAGTCCTTGTCACATTCATCGGAAGATGCAGAATCGGGGGTTTGATCTGGACTGAAGTACAAGGATGTCCATGTCGATGAGTGATCTGTTACTCTTCGGTAGTCATGGGAGCAGTTACGGCGCGGCATCCAATCCATCGGGTACGGTACCTATGCCACGCGCAGGGCAGACAGCACTGAGGGCTGTCGGAACAGTTCCTGTGTTTGGCGATGGTAATCATGTTGATAGGTTTCCCTCTTCGCCGATAACAACAGACACGACGATAAGGAGGACAGGGTCTTGTGGATTCCTACGTTGTCTGTTTCGCCCTTGGAGAGATTGGCGCGTGTGGGAGAAGAACCGTAGTTGGAATTTCAGCTGAGCCCAGTCACTCCGTTGTCGCCCTCGCCTCTCGCCTCGCCTGTTGCGGTTTCGAGATGGTGACTTGAAGGACGAAATGTAGGAGATGGATTCCCCGGGAAGGGGGTTTATAGTTAGGTTGAAGGGCCCAAGCTTTGGTGTGTCAGTGATCTGGTTGGGTATGAAACAGGAAAAATCAAGTGAGAGGTGTGTTTTGGTAGGAATGCCATCGTAACTGCTAACCATGTTAGGGGCGAGATCTGATAGTAGGGCTCTGTCGGGATCGAAAGACTAATGCATAACGAGAAGCAAAAAGTTAGATTCTTGATTACCGGCTGCGACCGTCAGCCATACGCCTACTTATTCTATGGATTGCTATCATAACCATTCTCTTCTCTAACCCATAATGTAGGTAGGTGGTTTTCCAAACTCTACTCCTAGAAAACACTTAGATCTCTAAGAAAGCCCGTCTTTACGAGCCAGCTAAGACGAAATGATTCTCAGTTAGTGGCATACAACCAACTAGCGAATTCCTTCACATCTTCGGTCCTCACACCCTGTGTCTCCCCCTTGACCCTCAGTAGTCGCACCTGGATCCCCCTCTCCTTGCTCCAGCTCCTCAAGAACTCTTTCACGCGCTTCTCCGTCTCAGCATCATCCTTCATCACCACGGCAGCGGCATCGTAACCGCCAGCTCCCGGCACAACAGTGCCATAGACACCAGGAACCTTCTCCAGCTCGTTAAGCATCGCCTCCTGGGTCTCGGGCTCAATTTGGGCACCAGCCTCGTTACCCATGCGACGCATCAAATCACGCAAAGGCCTCATAGCCGTGCCAATCTCATCAATCTTCTGATGACGAATGATGCTGGCAAGGTGGTCAACACAATGTTGCAGCTCATTGTACGTCTGTTCGGCACGATCCGGGTTTGCCGACTTCCACTCGTGCACCTTCTTCACCATACCAACGGTCTGCGTTCCGCAATCGACATCACACATACGGATAGCCAGACCACTGGGAAGGCCCTTGCCGAGCATGTCCTTGTTGATCTCGCAATCCCAGTCACCCTGGTTGACGAGCGACACCAGCGCAGAACCGAAGCCTGGCTGGCCCGGGCTGGGCAGTTTGCTGATGAGCGAGGGACTGAACCTGCGATAGACACAGGAGCCGTAAACCGCGCTGGCCACGTCAAAGCCACTTCCTATCTTGCCTTGGGCGGAGCAGTGCGCAATCTGAGCCAAGTTATGTAAGATGCGCTTGCCCTCATCCGAGTTGACGTCAAAGACCACAGAGCCTAGGTAGTGTGAAAGCAGCGCAGCAGTCAGGGCAGTGACGATAGCGGCTGAGGAGCCGAGTCCGGTCTTGTGGGCACCGCTAATAGTGGTCCCGAAGTGCCGGAAGCGGGGCCGAGACCCTTCGGTTGGGGGCGTCTCCGTTGACGAACCGGCCTCGTGGCTTTCACTCTGGAGGACGCTAAGTGGCGGGCCGGATGTCAGTCGTTCGGCACTCTCCATCTGTCGGGGCTCGGAATAGTAGTCATTATCAGCCAGAACGATCAGCGAGGCCGGGGAGAAGCCATGCTCGGCGCGGGACTTGTCCACGCTGGCGATGTAAGTGAGAACATAATTGAGTGTTGTCTCAATGAAATGATTAGGCATGACAATATCATCCTTGCTGTAGTCCTCGGTGTAAGTCCGGGGGGTCTGAGTCTCGAAAGACTGGGCTAGGGCAGGGGCTCACGATTGCAGCTGGGTGACCTTGATGCCACCGTCGTGGCCAACGAGGTGGTAGCCATATCTCCAGGTTGAGTTAACGAACTGGGGACTCTGCACGACGATCTCCGAGAGGTGGACGCCCTCGCTGGTGGGGATGCGCTGGGCGAGCACTGAGATGCGGGCGCTGAGCCCAAAGACCAAGCCGGTATGCTTGCGGTCGAGAACAATGTAACCACCGGCAAGGAGCACCTTTCCCGGAGCCGACACCACGACAGTGTGACCGTGAACCATGGCTGTTGTTTGTGTTTATACCTGATACCTGGCTGTTGAGGCGTCACGAGAATAAGCTGATGATGACTTTAGGCGGAGCAGAAATCAGGGATGACGTCGGTTTAGTCTGCACATGGCCTCGTTTGCTTCGCTTACGGGATGCAAGCCCGCCGATCAGTAAGGCAACAGGACCTTAATGACCCAAGGTACACGCTGATGGCGCCACAGAGCGATGTCGCTGATGTTGCGATAGGTACCCCAGCTACGGATAACCTCTAGAGCTCCAGCCCAGATGTCGAGCTCAGCCGCAGCGGTGCACCAGGTTCAGCGGTGCAGCTTGGACATGCGGATCATCGTGGACGCGGTCCAGCTCCATCCAAGAGGGGTAACAGCCGGAAGCGGAGAATGCCCAGAGGATGACATCTGGCAAGTGGGGTCTGCTAGCGCGCCTGCACGCTGTGACCCCATTGATTTTTGGAATGATTTCTGACATCTGGAAGCAGCGCACGACGGGCCGAACAGGAATATCTTACCATCTCTCGAAGCGATCGAGCCAAAACGTGTCTGTTATGGAGGCTGGGACCTGTATCGGATGAAAGATGCAGTTGCGAACAGTGAGCACAAAACCTCACTGTCGTAAGTGGACGGTGCTCCCCACTGATCGGCAGGTCTGAGCTGCCACATAGACTAGTAATCCACAACAAAAGTAAGGTCAACTTACACGACCTTGTCGGCATCTCATTGTCTCATCTCTTTTTGCGGGTGATGGCAAAAGACAGCAAGATCTCGAGAAAAAAAAGCGTGCATCCAACACTGACTACACTGGCTATACCTAGACCCATAGATTCCTCGAGAAGATGGACCAGAAAGCGACGGCTTCAGTCGTCATCTGGCCTACATTGGACTCACATGGACACTATACGGTTGACGGTTTCATCCCCAGATGGAGCCCGGACCAGCACCGGCCCTCGGTGACCGAGACCGATGGCCGGCACGAGCTACTGTGGGGACAGGAGAATGCTTTGCCCGCGGCTCCGGGCCGCTGGGGTGGCGAGCCAGAGGGTCCTAGTGTTCCTAGGCCGGCTGTAACCTCAGCCTGTCTCTGATCGCGGCGAATTTTCGTTTATCCAGACACATGTGACCCTCCTTATCCAAGATGCACAGCCGCCCTTTTCGCTCAAGCTAGAATGATATGGCAGATAAGATCCTACGCTAGTACGTGCGTAGTCAACAACCATGCAGGGCAGCAGTAATGTGTGGCTGCGGCATTCAAAAAAAAGTTCATGATAAGCCCCCAAGAAAGCTCTTTGCAAACTGTGAACTGAGCCAAAGCCATTTATATGGACAGCCAGTTGTTTTATCCACGGCTATCGGGCGACTCAAGCTCACCGTTGCTTCGGCTCGCGGGAGAAGAGCTCATTGGTAGCAGACTGGGTTGTTGCAGTCTTTTCTTTCGAAGTGACTAAGTCTGTTTCGTTGCTGTGCATTGTCGAGGCACCGAAATTTTCGGCAGAGCACCGCACATCGGTCCGCGCTGACCAAGGACAGAACACGGGGCGGAAGGCTATTAACGTTCTCGAAAGCGGGTTACGTATTTCCAAACAAGGGATGGCTGTCTCGCTAGCGACAGTGCGTCCTCCTAGGCGGTTAGTGGAGGAGCTTTGTATTGCCCCTCAGTTTCGTTGACCGCGGGCATCGGGGTTGGGCGAACAGCGATGGCCGAGCTGGTGGCGCGTTAGTCCTTCATCGGCATAAGGCGTGACATCAGCTCTGTGGCTGTTAGTGCGCCAACAACAGCGAACAGCACGTTGTCCGACCGGCGAAACGGGCTGCCCCCACACATTTCTCCTGTTCTGTTTCCATGTGTCCGGTTTGTCTTCGTGGTCCTGGCTCCGACCAACCCCCGCGTAGGCCGTGTCCGGAGCTTCCGCATATGCGCCGGCCTTTTTCATTCGTCATCTGTCGCGGGCCTTGGCGACTTGCGTTATTGCCGAACAGCAGCAGCCGCGGAAACGGGCTGTCTTTTGCGCGATAGAAAGTCATCGATCGCCACTGAATCTTAACGACAGCCACCCCAGCCGCTGGCTGCCGGGGATCATAGTAGTCATGGCTCGCAGACTCTGACCCCAGTGTGACCTAAACTCGCTGGGGCAATCGCCATGTGTTCTTTTCGCACTGCGATTCACAGCTGGGGACAACAAGGATGTGCGCTGGGGACATTGAAGATGAGGGATCTTGTATCGTACGCGGGTCCTTTACGCCGTTACGGGTATCCATCGTAAAATATAACGGTAAACGGCTCTTGATATGGCCGTGCGCTCCTGATGGTTGACTGGCAAGCAACGGAAGCTTTGTAGACTTGTTAACGATGGGAAACCAGCCGTAGAGCAGCAATGGACGACGCAGCATGCTAGTAACGGTTATTGGATTGAGAATCGCACCTTTATTTACACTATTTGCGGGCTTTATGCTGCGTGTGGGCGCGGCTGTGGGAGCTGTGATGAAAAAATTAAAGCTTGATGCTGCACGTTGATGGGTGCCGCCCAGTGGGCCCGCTGCGCTGCCCTTTCCATGCTCCTAGGGTGCTGGATCCTTTGGGGAAAGCCCTTCCGAATCCACCCGCCCCTCTGCTGCGGGAAAAAAGTTCGCAATCCACAGACAATCCACCAATCCGTTTCGCCGTCGCTACCGTCATGCCCCCGTCCTTGCATCGAGCTGCGTGACCCATACAAAGCCATACAGCAGTTTATTTGACAGGCTCACCTCCCACGCCTTCCTCGGTGAACTCTCCCTTCACTTGCTCTTCGGTCCTTCCCACCCAAACACCACAAAAAATATCAAATATATCCCACCCCCTAGAGACTGCGCGTTTGTTTGACGGCTTCACAACCGTCAAATGAACCTGCAATTACATGTTGTACTGTCTTTCCTGGTGAGTTGTTGCCCCGCACTTCACGTGCTGGATGATAGGATGGAACAAGCCCTGGAGCTGCCCCAACACAAAAAAAACACACAATTTCATTCCACGTCTCCAACCAAGATCGAGTCTTGCGCGTGTGTCGCGTCAGACAGACATTCCAGATTCCAGTCCCTCGACATCTTCCCTTCTTCCTTTCTCTTCCAATTGCTTCACCTGCTATCGCTGCCATCCTTGCCGACCACCGTGCTATCTTTATGTCCTTCAAGCACCCGTTTACTGACCCGGCCCGCAAGCAGACGTTCTCTCCTCCAGGAATATCCTAAATGCCATCCGTTTACTCGTCCATTTTTCAGAACTTCATCCGCCAAGGATTTGCGAAGTCATTTACCCACGGCTACGCGCAGTCGGTTGTTGCAGCCACACACCCTCATGTTCTAAACTCCCAGAACCGGCCGTCCTTTGCGCGCCGGCACAATGCCGCCCGTGTCGGTCGCCTCGGCGGCTTTGGTCTGCAGTCTGCCTTCCACTCGAACGCTCTGCAGACCTCGGGTGAGCAGTCGAAAGAGAAGGCTGCCGGCCATGGCCACGGCGGCCTAGACGCTTATTTTGAGCATCTCCAGAAGACCCAGCAGTCAGGAGAAGGGGACAAGGACTGGGTGCAGTTCCAGTTCCCCAAGCGGATCGAATGGAAGCCCACTCCTGCCTCTGTCCTGCGTGGCTCTGACGCCAAAACCCTTGCCCTCAGCAAGGACACTACGCTCAGCACCAGCAAGAAGGATGACAAGGACGCCAGCAAGGCTGCGAGCGAGGAGCTCGCCGCCAAGGATGACGAGGTGACGACCTCTCCGGGTGTCCCGCCTGAGGCTAAGGAGGCACTCGCCCACATCGATGCCGCCATTCAGAAGGAGATTGAGGTGCGAAAGGAGCTTGAGGCCCTGGAGAAGGAGGTGGAATCCCTCCGTGCCACGTCCCCCGAGCTGGCGGAACAGCTTGAGGAAGAGATTCGCTCTCGCTCTTCCCTGCCCGGATCGCGTGTCAGGACTCCCGATAGCGCCGCTCGCACCGCTACTCCTATCGTCGACCCACAGTCCCAGAGCTATGCCGACCATCTTACCAAACTTTCTGAGGCCGGCAGGTACGCGGAGATCCCGGCCGTCTTTGAGGCCATGTTAGTTGCCGGTATCAATCCGACCCCCACTGCCTACAATGCCCTTCTGATGGCTGCCATTCACCTGCCATCCGAGAAGTGGGAGGTTGTCACCAAGGCCCTGGATGTCTACGCGGATATGCTGCGCCGCAAGGTTTATCCGGACAGCGACACCTACAACATCCTCGTTGGCTTGCTCGCCTCTCGGTCCCTTGAGGTTAACTCTCTTAAGCAGGCTCTTGAGGACAAGCGCCTGAGGTTCGGCGGCATGGACGAGCCTGGCAAGTTCATGTTCGCCTCGCATGAGCTCGAGCATGCCATGCTCACGGAGGATGACCGCCTGGATCTGGCCATCAAGTTGTTCCGGTCTTCTGTCCAGTACAACAAGGCTCGGTATTCTCCCGAGACCTACCATCAGCTGATCGCCGCCTGCGCCCAGTGCGGCCGGGTCGATGAGATGCTCCAGATGTTCGAGCACATGGAGCTGTCGGAGACAACACCTTTTGCTGCTACCTTCCCTGCTATGATCACCGCCTTTGCCAACTCCGGGGATCTCATCAGCGCTGTTGAATGTTATAACGAGTACCGTAATCTTGCCATCGCCAACGACAACGGAGAGAAGACCCTCCAGGATCGTCTCGATGCTCAAGTCTACGCCGCCGTCATCAACGCCTACATCATCTCGGACAAGCTTGAGGGCGCCAAGAAGTTCTATGAGAAGATCCTGAAGGAGTATGGCGAGAATGCGACTGAGATCAAGGATGCCATTGTCGCTGGTGGCTTCGTCAAGGGTTTCATCGATCGCGGCATCTACCGTGAGGCACTGGTTTGGGCCCAGGAGATTGAAGGTGAGGCTCGCGCCAAGGCCATGGCCAAGATTGCAGCCATTGCTGCCGATCGCGGTGATAGGCAGACAGCTGGTGCTGCTTTCGCCAACATCCTTCCTGCCAGTGCTGTCACAACCCCAGCCATTGCACTCCTTGCCATGCATGTCCGCGAGGGCGATGTTGTGTCAGCCACTCGGTACTGGGACATCCTCTGCAACCCGAGTCTCCCACCGACAGCGGACTTCATCGAGCCCACGGCCATGTACGCTGTGGCCTTGATCGGTTCCGGCCAAGTCCTGGAGGGCTTGACGCAGGCGGATTACATGTTCCAGCGCATCCACGTCGCTTGTGCCGAGAGCAGACCTCAGATCGTTGAGGAAATTGAGGAGGGTATCGAGTTTATCCAGCGGTTCATGGCCACCCGGGGCATCGTAGATCCTCGGGTAACTCCTCTGGCCCCTGCTCCGGTCATGACCCCGGCGATGACCCCGGCGCTGACCGCCGAGACGGTCCCTGGCTCTCCTGTCCCGAATCCGGAGGATTCGTTTGACCCGTATGGTTCATCGACTGACTTCAAGGGATCGGTTGCCATCGCTGAGGAGCTGGATGGCACTCGCGGCCGAAAGGGTTCGAAGCTGCATGATGCTCTTGCTCGTCTGCGCAACATGCGCCGGGCTGGTCGTCATCCTCGGTACTTCACCTACGCAAAGCTTATCACGCATGCTGCCAAAGAAGGGAAGTTGGACATCTGCCAGGAGATTCTCGCCATGGCGCGTTCTGATGTCCCGCCGCTTCCTCAGTACGCGGCTGTTCGTTATGGGTGGACCTCGATCCTAGATGCCATGATCGGTGCTTGCCTGACTCTCGGTCAGAGAACTCTTGCCGAGCAGTACCACCAGGAGCTTCTGGCCATGGGTTGCACGCCGTCTGCCAACACTTACGGTCTGTACATTACCACACTGAAGGAGACGACCAAGACCTCGGACGAAGCTTCAGAGGCCGTCAAAATCTTCCGCCGTGCCAAAGCTGAGGGTGTTGAGCCGACATCGTTCCTCTACAATGCTCTCATTGGGAAGCTCGGCCGGGCTCGTCGAATTGACGATTGCCTATACTATTTTGCCGAGATGCGCAGGCTGGGTATCACCCCTACCTCGGTGACGTACGGCACTGTTGTCAACGCTCTCTGCCGTGTTAGCGATGATAAGTTTGCTGAGGAGCTCTTTGACGAGATGGAGTCCATGCCTAACTACAAACCGCGCCCTGCCCCGTACAACAGCATGATCCAGTTCTTCCTCAACTCCAAGAGAGACAAGACCAAGGCGCTGGAGTACTATGAGCGACTGAAGGCTAAGGGTATGGAGCCGACTTCCCATACGTACAAGCTTCTTATCGATGTTCATGCTACCCTAGAACCGATCGACATGGCAGCTGCTGAGGCTGTCCTCGAGACGATCCGTGCCTCCGGTCAGCAGCCAGAGGCGGTTCACTATGCTTCACTCATCCATGCTCGCGGCTGCGTCCTCCACGACATGGAGGGTGCGCGCCGCCAGTTCGACGCCGTTATCAATGACCCGACCATTCCCCCGAGTGTCTGCCTCTTCCAGGCCATCCTTGAGGCCATGGTTGCCAACCACAAGGTCGCCGAGACGGAGCCTCTTCTTGCGCAAATGCGTGACAAGAAGCTCGAAATGAGCGCGTACATCGCCAACACTCTCATCCACGGTTGGGCCGCTGAGAAGAACATCGAGAAGGCCAAGGAGATTTACACCACGCTGGGCAAGGACAAGCGTGAGCCAAGCACGTACGAGGCCATGACCCGTGCATACCTCTCCGTCCAGGACCGCGAGAGTGCCAAAGAGGTGGTCAGCGAGATGCTCACCCGCGGCTACCCCAGCGCTGTCGTCAGCAAGGTTCTGGAGCTTCTCGGTGGCGGTGAGCGGGCGGCGTACTGAGCTGAGCTCAGTCGGCATGTTCAGGCATCGCCATAAGTGGCGACTAATATCTCCCTTTTTGCTCTGATGAGTGTTTTTCTTAATGATCTCTGTCTTTCCCTTTCTGTTTTCTTGGCATGGTATGATACCCCCTTTTGCGCGAAACTGGGAGTGGGCTCAGGTTCAGTGAACACCTGCGATATTCGGGTTGGCATTTTCATACGCATTCCGGGAAGGGGGTTTCTGCTCGCATCCAAGGGATCACCGGGAAGGACTCGGAGCAAAAAGGGACAAAGGTGCATTTTTTTTTTCCCTATCGTTTCTTGATATTGGGTCAGATCGGAGTTTCGGATATGAAAAAAGCAATTTGGTTTTTCATGGGGCTCTGTATCAACGGACTGCGGCGTTTTAGGAAGGGGATAGAACGCGCGTGGATCTGGGCCTGGACTGCATGTCGCGAGGCTCCATTGACGTGCAAACTTTCTGGTTTTGCTTTTCAGTTTGCGGAACGGAAGGTGGTGATGGAGATAAAGGAAGGATGGGTGTGAACGGACAGGAAGGGAACGGAACGGGATACCATTGACAGCGATTTTGTTTGCCCAAATCCAGGGCTGATAGAAGCAAATCTCCACTCTGCATAGGGCGAGAAGCAAATAAAAAAATATTTGCTAATGATATGAGTACCCTGGGCTGCTGGTGACTGTCCCAAACGCCTTATGAGAAGTGATGGTATCATCGGCGTTGCGGATTGCATGCTTTCTTTCCGTGTACTGGCATTGGTTCGGTTGCTGTTTACTGGAAACCTTAACCGACATTTGAAAACTAAAACATGGGGTTTCCCCAACGATCTCCGTAGATGCGAGATCTTAACGCAGACTGAAGTTGGAAGATGCGTCATTGAGGGAACCGCGGCGCCCTCGTGATCGACCTCAGCAACCTACCTCGATGCCAAGCAAATGTTTTTTGACATGCTTTACCCTAACTCTCCGTTGTCTACACCTTGTCCAGATAGAGCTCTTCAATAGAGGACTCTTCACTCTTGAACAAGTGATCAGTCGAAGGCAATGAATGCCTTCGGACATGTCGAAGTGTTCAATATCTCGCAGAATAGGCTCATGGACAAGCGTCAGTGAAGAGGTATGCATAGATAAAGTAGCGCATTGCTGTTCTATCAGTCACTCAATACCAAAGTCCTACACAGCGGGGCTTCGCTTGCAAATGAGAGCTCCTCCCCCAAGCACAGTCCCGAACCTGCAAAAGCACCACATATGCCTTCCTTCCAATCGAACAGTAGATCTTACCGCGGACCGCGCGCGGGCCGCCTTGCAAAATCTCATCAGGTCGGGTGTTGAAAATGCAAGGGCCAACTGCGTTGGCACTGACACCATCACCCCCCCCCCCCTTCCGCCCCGGTCCTGGCTCCCGAGCATGAGCGCCCTAGCTAGGAGAGATTGGACCTCGACCCGCTCTCCCCGGACTCAACTTATCACCGATTGTCGGTTGATTCCTGCAACTCTGCACATGTAGTGATATCCTGCCAAGACCACCGTTCGCCGGGAATTGCTATTCCGCGAGTTAGGCTTATATAAGTGCCCGCTACTGCTGCTCCGTCTTTAATCGAACAGTTCTTGATCTCTTGAACGGGGGCTGCCTGTAGGCTATACATCCACCAGTGACTGGTGCAAGTTGGGAGTATGAGCATGGCTTCAAGGGAGAAGACCACGCAGGCTCATGGAATAGAGCAAGCGTGTTCATCGCCAGTATCTGAGACGAGTCTGGTTGGAGGTGTTGCTGGCCAGTCCGGAAAACCAACTCCGTCACCGGATGGCAGGGCAGATACGTCCAATGGACTGCTATCAGATAAGCAACACGATGGTCAACACGAACATGATGTTCACGACATTCATGTTGGTGATGGTTCACCAGAAAAATCATCGTGGAAAGCTATCGTCCGTCGTACATGGGACTGGACACCCCGGCCATCCCGTTACGATGTTAACAACCCGCCTGAATTCACAGTGTGGTTGAATGTCCTGTTTGCCTTTGTAAGTAACCTTCCTGTTTTGGGGTCTCGCCCATCAATAAATTGACAATGGGCAACAAGGCATCATGTTTCACGGTGTCAAATCTTTACTACAACCAAACCATCCTCAACAGGATAGCAGAAACATTCAAAGTCAGCTTTGAACGGGCTTCGTCTGTTGCCACGTTGATGCAGTCTGGATATGCGGGCGGTCTACTGTTTCTGTGCCCCTTGGGCGATCTTTTTCCACGTCGCCCCTTTATTATTGGGCTGATATGGTTTACTGCCACAATGGTATTTGCCCAGTCATCACACATTCTCTTGACATGTTCTAACGACCCGGATCAATAGTGGATAGTCTTGTGTGTTACAGAGTCCTTTCCAACCTTCCAAGCGATCTCCTTCATCTGCGGCTTCACCACCGTTACTCCCCAGCTCATGCTTCCCCTTGTTGGCGACCTCGCCCCGCCCCATCGCCGCGCAAGTTGCCTATCCATCGTTGTCTCGGGTCTCTCTCTCGGCATTCTCGTCGCCCGCATCCTCTCAGGTGTCCTCGCCAACTACACACACTGGCGGAACATTTACTGGTTCGGCCTCGGCGTGCAGTACGTGGTACTGGTGTTGTTGTATGTCTGGATGCCAGACTATCCATCCAAGAACCCAGGGGGACTGAATTACATCAGCATGTTGGCTGGTATCGTGAAGTTATTAGTCACGGAGCCATCGTTGCTCCAAGCCGCGGCCGTCGCGTTCTTGCTGAGTGCGGTGTTCACCTCGTACTGGACCACCCTGTCTTTCCTGCTATCGTCCCCTCCGTTTGGGTACTCATCGATGGTCATCGGCCTGTTCGGCTTGATCGGTGTCGTGGTGATAGTAACCGCACCTGTGTACAGTCGAGTTGTCATCGACAAGGTGGTGCCGTTGGTGTCGGCGATCATGGGGCTGGTGGTTGAGTTGGTTGGTGTCATAGTGGGCACTTTCGCCGGGCTGCATCATATCGCTGGGCCGGTGATTGAGGCGATTGCGATTGATCTCGGGTCACAGTTCGCACAGATTGCGCTGAGGTCGTTGATTTATAGTATCCAACCGTTGGCGAGGAACAGGGTCAATACGGCGTACATGATTGCTGCCTTCTCGGGGCAGTTGACGGGTACGGCGGTGGGTAATCGGCTTTATGCTTTGGGTGGATGGGAGTACAGTGGTAGTTGCAGCAGTAGGTTCTCTTCATTCTTGTTCATCGTCGACGATTGGATGCTGACTGGTTCTAACAGTTGCCTTCATTGGCTTCGCTCTCATCATATGCTTCCTCCGTGGACCGCGCGAGACAGGCTGGGTAGGCTGGTCAGGTGGTTGGCCGATACTTCGGGACGACTTGCCCTCTAGGAAGAAGCAACCTAGTGTCGAAGCTCCTTTGTCTGGGCAGCAAACACCAGTAGTTCAACGAGAGAATGATGCTAAGGATTCGGTAGTGGATTCTGGTCATGGGAATCATGAAAAGAAGACGGATACAGGGCTTAGATAAAACTGGAATCAGAGGTTTAGGTTGGGTAGTAAGACTGGAGGATCATACAGGTTACTAGGCAGTATAACGCGCAGTAGTAGACAGACTCCTAGGAGTAATACTAGACCCAAAAGTTTCGAGATAATGGCGGTATCAATGAGTCACAGCACGTCAAGCATTCACTGTTTCCCGTATTAGCGACTAGATGAGCGCGAGTTACCTACCAAATGAAGGCCTGCTACGGTACTGGAGAGGAACCAAAATTGCTATCAGATCCTCCAACAGAAACTCCTCTCCATCGTTAATCATTAATTTCATCAAGAATCAATCTCCAGCATCATCGGTGGTAGTTGTCATAGATGACGGGAAGCTCATGAGACTCAGTCTCGGTTTCTTCTTTTCTCCTGCGCCTGGCACACCACCACACACAGAAGTAGATGGGTACAAGGACAACAACCATGCCACCAGCCAGGGCGACATAGCCCAAAATAAAAATAGGACGATGCTCTGCCAGTTTCAGGCCCCTGTGAGATTAATCAGTCAGTCAACTTCTGGCAAGTAGTGCGATGGTTTCCAGCAATGGAGCTTACAGCCCAATGTTGATTAAAAGCAGCAACCACACAATTCTGCTCACCCAACGGTGAGAAGCGCTGAGCTTGAGCTTGCTCCCAACCTCGAACAATGCCTGGTTCCGCTTCGTGGCTGACCGCTTGAGGAACAACAGTGCCAGGCCCCAAATGAACATGCTACCCATGAGGGCGACAGTGATCAGGCCGATGATTTGGTGAGGAGTGGTATACTTCCGTGTCTGCATGACCAGCAAGTCAGCACATTCACCTCATAGTCTCGCGTAGAGCACATTCAGGCAGGGGAAACGTACCCGAATATGGTCGCGGCTAATCATCATACCAGGGACCAGTGCCGCGAACACAAACCCCGTATACACTGTCGCAGTAGCATAATGCGTCCAAGCGCAAGTCCGCTTGCGAGCACGCGACGCGTGTCCGGCCGCCAGAAGACCAGCAACGAGGAAGTCAATTGGCGCGAGAGCCAGAGCAGCGATGGCATAAAGTACGCCGTGGACGATTCCGTTGCGGGGTCGCCGATCAACAATGACGGCCTCGTCTTCTTGGAAGAGCACACCAATGTTTTTGCCATCTGCGGAGCGAAATTCGGAGAGCTTGGGAGGACTGCCAGTGGCGGTTTCGGCATCGACGGTGAATTTTCCTGGAAGTTCACTATCAGTATTGGAGGAAATTTGCGCCAGAGGGGAGTATGAAACATACCGTAGCTGATGTGACGACGGATGGGGGCATCTAAGTCATCAGACTCAAGAGACAAGCTGGGACCAACCGCCCATATCAGGGGCAAGCTACGGTTGAACTCAATATGGCTGGCTGCGAGAGCATGACAGCTGTGACAAGTGCCATGGACAATGATGTCCAGATTCTCCGTGACGGCTGAGTAATGGACTGTAACCTTCACATTAGGGTCAAAGAATGGCTCGGTGTGGCCCCTTCAGATCGGTTAGTTTTGGATGAGAACCTGGAGGTGAGCTTGAGGGCTTACGTGCTCCGTCGTGGACTGACAGTCACTCCTATTCATAGTGCCATGTGTAAGTTGAGGGGTTCAAGACTGAATCAAGGTACTAGATACGCACTCTTCTCATGCTTGGAAGCATACATAACCAGGATTAGGGCATCCTCCATCGCATTGCCGATGCCGATTGCCACATATTGATACCAGTCCGGGGATGTGACGTAAAAGTTGATGTCATGTGTCCCGGGAGTCAGGTTGATGGCGATAGTTGTGTTAGTGTCGCGGCTGAAGAATGAAGAGTAGCCTTCAGCTGCAACAAGACTCAACTGAACAGTTGCTATGAGATCTTTTCGGCATTAGTATGGACTAATAAGTGACCGCAGAATGTAGAGTCGAGAGCTATAAGCACCAAGATGGCTTGAAAGGAAGCGAACCACTGACATCGGAGCAATTTGGATCTCCATCGAGCCATGTCTACAGAGCCAGGCATCCCACTTTCAGAACCTCACTTGAATGTGAAATGTTTAACACGGCATAAGTCCAGGAGACGATATCAAAGTCAAAAGGGTGCTCACCTCAGTCTTTTATAACTAGCAAAATGCTCAAATAACAACAAAGTCTTTGTAGAGAAGAGTGAAGCACAGATGAAGTATGCAAAAAGAGCACAGGAGGGGCCATTGAGATCTTTTACTTCTGTCCTCCTGTACGAGTTACCCCCAAATCAATGGGAACCCTGAATGACTTGCTGGGCGCTGCAGGTGACCATGGCACCTCTTGACAAGCTGGCGCTTAGCCATGAAATCCGCCTTCAACAATTGGCCCGTTGAGCGGCCGCGATCCCATTCCGTGGTTACATGCTGGGCGCCCAGACTGTGGTTGTCCAATCACAGCATCAAGGTACAGCTAACAATACGTCTCTGGCTTGGTTTCTTGAGCCCAGTGCCTTTTCTCAAAATGTGGGAGAGCTCATCGGGAGGTTTGAATTCCCATCGAACTAGATGCTGAAGCTGTAGCTGGCTCGCAGGAGCAAGGTTTCTAAAGGTGATCACCGCAAAGCGATGTTGAGGGCACCCACCCAATAATCTCCATCCAGGGTTAGGGTTAACCAGATGCGCACTAGCCTAACGGATCCGTAGTGGGGTCACCTTCGGGCCATTTCAACCCGTGTTCCGAGAAGAGCCTCCGTTGGAGCTGGGCACGTTTGACGGAGGGATGTTTCCAGCGGGTCCGTCACGCCCTTTTCCATCCATCCAAAGAGCAATTGATGACGATGGTGATGATGTGATGTTTAACTCCTTGTTGCCAGCATGTGCGAAGCAGTGCATGGTGTCCAGGCAGCGAGGGCAAGAGCTAAAACGAGAGATTCTTCGCCATGCTCATGGTTGGCGCGGTTGCCCTTCAACAGCAGAATGGAGCTCGCAGCAGCAGGCGTGGTGTTTTTGTGTGCAGTTTCCCTCCACAAACAGGAGCGTCGCGCGAGGACGTACGGATTACTCGGTGCCAGCCCTGCTGCCCTACGTGTCGTTTTGTCCGATGATTCCTTGCGCGCTCAATGAATCGATACTTTTCTGCTCGACAATATTTCTACACCCAAACCTAATTTTGTAACCTTCCGACACCCTGGCTTGCCTTTCCTTGACGTCCTCGGCATCCACAACGCCACGCCGCATCGACTTGCCTCGATCTTCCCCACCACGAGTCCTTCGAGCCATTGCGCTGAGAATTCTGCCCAGCTATCGAACCAATTGAACTGCCTGGAGACGAAAAGAAATGCCTGACGAGCAGAAGACAAAGTCGGATTGCGATAGCGAGGAAAAGGCCGCTTCCTCGCCGGCTCAGCCAGACCATCTGCTCGAGCCTAGCTCTCAGTCGCAGAAGCGGCGCAAGAAGCCCAAGAAGTCGAAGAATGTCCCGCAGCAACAAGAGCAACAGGGCGCCTGGCAATCACAGCAGGAGACCTCTCCATCCACGCCGGTACCGCCGCAAACGTTGACAATCTGTAGGAATAAGTGCGTTTTGTCCTGACCCTTCTCTGTATTACGTTCCCTACACACTTGGTCCCTTTCTCGATGATATCATAACGCCCCCACTATGATCCTTTTGCACGAAATGGGATTGCTTGCACGCGGCTAACGGGAAAATGGGTTTAGACATTGGCGTTTCATCTCGGCATACCATGGACACTGGCTTCAGCTCCCTCTCGAGGTTCTTGAGTCGATTGCCCACCTGAACTACAATCACCCGTCGCCCCGGATTATTGAGCCGGGGATCTTCTTCGACATTGCCAAAATCCGTCGTCTGGTCGATGAAGCCAGCGCGCTGGCTGTCCGCGCCAAGAATGGCGAGGCCTCGGACCCCTTAGCGCCTAGTGCAGGCTTTCGCCCGAGAGTCATGAGCGCAGAGCGTCGCCAGCGCATCCGGGAGCAGGCTGTGCAAAAGCTGGCGAAGGCATTCGCTCTTGATGAGATTGCATGCTGCGTCGCGACGATGCAGGCCTCGTCGTGCGTCGACGAAGTTGCTGAGCTGGTGCTTCAGCGCAACCCTCATCATCTGGATGCCAAGTATGTCCAATTTTTTCAGGAGAAGATACCAAGCCGACAAGTGGCCGAATACACATCTCTCGGCCCGTTACACGAAATAATTTGTCTGAGGCCAAGGGACCCTGAGCCTCTGCGGACGCGTGGTATCGTCCGAATTCTTAAGAAAGATTATCGTGGCGCTGTGGACGATTTTACCGAGGCCCTCCGCTTGTATCGTCGTTACCGAGTCCCTCATGAGCCTCCTCCGAAGCCGCGTGCTCAGGAAGTGCGGGTGGATCAACGGTCAAAGGGTGTTAAGTTGAAGGAAGACGACCAACCAAACAGTCTCGAGCTACAACTGCACTTCCAGCGATCTGTCGCATATCTTCTGATGGCCACTGATCTGGCGGCAGAGGCATTGCCTTCTGCATTCCCCGATCCCGACTACACTCTCACCAGCCATGATACAGTCTCCAACAATAGTGGTGCTGATGAAGAAGCTCAGAAAGGGTTAGCCGAGGTTGGTAGGGTAGTCAGGCACAATGCGAAGCGCGCGTTGCGTGATCTGTTGGCAATCCTTTCCCAGATCGAATATTCCCCCGACTTTCCCATAGAGATCGAAGAGGACTTCCTGCGCAGGGTGACAGCTCTGAGACATGGTATCAGGGTCCCGCGTTCATCCAGCCATCGAAGCGAAGACACTGCCGACACTTACCACGTGTATCCCGTCTCTGATCTCTTCAGCGCCTCTCCTCCTACCGATTTACCGCAATTTCACTCCAGCATCGATCCATTGAAGCATCCTTTTGCACCTAAAAAGGGAATTGAGACTCTAAGCTGCCATCCCGTTCTCACCGAAGTCCTTCACTCTGTCCTGTTGTGTCATTGTCTGCTGCAAACTCCTCCGCAAGAGCTGCTTCGGCATGCCCTTATGGTCGCTCGTCTTACTCGCCTAGCCGATGGTTTTCCGATCCTACAAGCTAGTAGATCCAGGGCTCGGACGGACTGGGTTGATGTATTGCGAGTCGCGGGCAACTGGATCGAGCTGCCTTGTGAATGGGATGATCTTTGTACCCCGAAGTGCTGCAGGCTCCTCCAGGACGATTCTGAACCTTCTCATCCAGCTTCTGCTGATGCGTCTTTGTCGCACATCCCGGGCACTGGTCAACCCGAGCATAATACAAACGAGACTGAAGCAGTCCAGCAGCAGCAGCAGAAAATTGAAGGTGTTGAGCAAATTCCTAAAGAGCAATCGGTCACTCAAGGCTTGCAGAGTTTGGATATCGGCGAGCGCCGACTTCATTCTGAGCACCATCCCCTTCCTGATCATCCGAACACGAGTACCGAATCGACATATGACTCTGAGCATCCTACTTCAGCTACTTCGGCAGCTAACTTGACCTCGAATGGTGCAGCTAACAACGGAGAAGCCCAGGACACGATCAATTCCGGTCAGGTTGAAGGTCACATGGATAAAGGTCCCAGGCCCAAGCCAATAGTTTCAAGTGGAACTGTTGCTGATGCTGTCTCGCATCCAAAGGTTGTGCCCTCCCACAAGTCAGCGCACAACACAACCTGTCCCGCTGGTCACAGTTCGCCATCTCTCTTTGTACCGGATGCCTTCAGTCTCTCGGAGCGCGCCGCAGTTATTGCCCGTTGGGTCTTGGAGGGTCCCAACCCAGCGGCAGCTGATGGTGACGCCGAGAATGGAGAAGGCGGTGAAGGACCCAAGATGGGCAAAAAGAAGGTGACGAAGCGCCGGAAAGGCGTGCGCTCGTCCGAGACAGGGGCGAGTGCCGCGGGCCATGAAGGCCATGAAAGTGAACATCACCAATACGAGGGCGGTCATGCAGGACCGGCCCATCATTGATTGTGCTGGGATGAGCAGCGCATAAGGAGCTGCATGGTTAATACCCTAGCGTTTGCGTATAGTACTAGTGTGAGGTGTATCATGAGCAACATAATAAGGCCGGGTCAAAAACATAATGGCGGAGTTAATAACAGCGGAAAACGGGAATTACATAGTATTCGGTACTACTAATGAGAACAATAACTTGGCGCATTTCACAGATCATATGACTTCATGTGTGATGCTCCTACGTAGGAGATACGATTCAGGGCAATCTCCCTGGAGTATACCCCCAAATGCCCAATCGAGTCCAATCCAATCCAGTAAGAATGCCTAACCAAGTATATGACCGCAAGATCTTAATAGTTCTTATAACCAATAACCTTACAGCTATACCAAAACGCGAATCTCATAACTCCTTAACTCCAAGTCACACCACCCCCTGCTGGTGCTCCCCCTTCCAAACCCATCCCCATACTCAAAAAGCTATCGATATCACTCAGCCCCTGCGTCTCTAGCACACCCATCAACTCCATCTGCTGCTCTTGGCTGAGACTACCATGCCGAGTCGTGACGAAGGAGTAATCTCCCAACGCCCCAACCCCGCCTGGGGCTCCTGCCGGGTTAGAATTACCCCCCATACCTGCGATGCCTAGCCCCGCAATGCCATTCGCACTTCCTGGCCCGGGACCGAAGCCGGCGAAGCCGCCCATATCAATATGCGCATTGGGAGGGGGACCAGATGTCCAGGGGCCACCACTGGCTGCCGGAGGAGCAGACGAGAGGTTCCAACTCTGAGCATTGTTGTTGCCCGCATTGTTCGGAGAAGTGCCAGGCGGGGGACGAGACCCGCTGCCGCTGCCAAAGTTGTACGAGATACCTTCTGTGCCGCTCAGGCCGAGGCCGGTGAAGGGGTTCGGGGCATTGTCCCAGAAGGAGGAATTATTGATGCCGCTTACAAACGGAGAGACGAAGGGCTGCTGAGAAGTGAACCAGTCGGCGACAGCTGCTGGGGATGATTGCTGAGAGGGATGAGCCTGGGACACCGGGGGAGAGGTGAAGACTGGGGTCTTGGATGGAGGGGGCAGAGTTGACTGTGGATGTGGTCCGGGCAGGCTGATCGGGTTGAGAGCCGGAGTTTGCAAAGGGTGTATCGTTGGTGTGGGAGTCGCCGAGACACTCGGCGAGGGACTGATATTCTTTGTATGACTTGATGGAGGTGGCAGCGATTCTGGTGGTGTAGGTATCGATGTGCCCGAACCTGAGGTAGTGGTAAGCGAAGGCACTTGTTGGGACAAAGTCATGGAAGGAGGTGGGAGAGGGTCTATTTGGTCGGGATCGGAACCTTCACTAGGATGAACTGATTCGGGAGGAAGCAAGGATAGTCTGCGACCACTTGAGTCTGAGGCCGGGCTCATGAAGATCGAATTAGAGCGGAAAGCGGGCTGGGCCTGGAAGGGGGTTGCTGCGGCGTCAAATGGATACTGTGAGTGCATGCCATCGGAGCCATCGTTGAAAACATAACCGAAAGGCGACCGATTGAAGAGTGGCGCTGATGGCTGTGTTTGTGGTTGGGGAGTCGCCCTCGGCGTGTCCGACGCAGGTGAGACGGGGTCCATCACTGTCGCCGGCGCGTCCAACCTGTTGTTTGATGAAGGTGATGGAGTTTCTTCTTCCTTCACGTGATAACTCTGAAGACAAGCATTGGTGATGACTGTATAAAGGTTGATAGCAGGTGAAGATCCGGGCCAGCGATCCGAACAAACCGTAATAGATTCAAGTGCTGTCTGTGCCAGGGCCTGTACTTCGTCCTTGGTATGCTTCAAGCGCACTTCTGGGTACGAAATTGACCAAAGAAGGGCGTTGAGCGCTGCATATATGCCTAGCAGAAACACCCAAGTGATATCGACCGCTCCTTGCTCGATCTGTCGAGAAGTTAGGTCGATGATATATCGTGCTCCTTCAAAGCACTTTTCGGCGGCTTGGCTAGTCGGAGTTGGAATTTGAGGAGAAGGCCGATAAAGTGAGATCAGCATGCTGTAGTACCTTCCAGTAAACCTATTGGGAGTTAGTCATTGAGGTTCTGCCAATTTCTTGCCACTATAACTCACCAAGGCCTGCACCAAACTGGATTCTCCGGGCAGGAGTCAAGCCAGTCCTTGAGCTTTTGCTCCATTTGCGCAAACCACGGGTGAGACTCGTGCGCCGGCTCCAGCCGTTTCTTTTCGTAAAGCATTCGACGAATCTCCGCCTGTAAAAGACGCATCTTGCAAAAGTAAATGGCAACCATTTTTCTTTCGCATGTTCGTTCGTGACAGATGCCCTCGGGTGTGATATCCTCGTCCGGCACAGCCTCGAAAAATTTGACGTTCATGAGATCATCGGCCTTAGCAAACCCATTAGGCCGGCCCATAGTGTGGGCGAGACCCAACTCCTGGGTAGTAACAATCCAACTCAGCCTCCTCCTCATATCCAGTGTCTGAGGATCTGGATTGTCCATCGTAATAGTCTTCTCGTCACCGAGACCCAATTGCTGGCAGATCCTGGTAGCCAATCCAATAATGTAGTAGATAGCGGTTCGGGTTGGCGTGAGGAGAGAGTACTGCCCTATCAGGACCAGGCACTGAAGAGTCTTGAGGTCCTTGGGGCGCACAACATCCTCGAAGTGCTTCATAGCACTAAGGTAGTAGCTGTCAGGCAACCCAGCATATTTACGGACTTTTTGTAGGCTGATTGCAGCAACCATGTTCACCACGAACAACCTATAAGGGTCCGTGTCTCCTGCATAGACAGCTTCCACATCTTTTGCCAGCTCTTTCTCGTGCAGGACTGGAGTGAAGACCTGGACTGGACCAGGGGTCAGAACAAAGGACACAGCTACAACTTCCTGACAGGGTCGACCTAAAACTCACCTCTTTCATGGAAGACCCGAACCAGCCGATCATAGACTTCTCTATTCGGCAATGACTGGGCAGGCAAGTCGCTATGCGCAGGGTAGCTTTGATACTTTCCCGAAGGCCCGCTCACACTGGTACCGCCCATGGTGACACTTTGCATTCGATCCCGGAGTTCTACTACCCTTTCTCTCTTCGCTCGGACTTCTGGGATCAAGTCGGCGATGCGGCGAGACTCTGTGAACCTTTTCGCTTCCTCCATAAGCAAGCGAGTCATGGCGATGCCGCTGCTAGGGCCAAGGTAACGGGGAGTTTCATCGGTCTCATTCAGGCGGACCATACCGCCAGGACGAACGATGTCGGCATGTGTTCGGGGGTAGTCGCCGTCTTCGTCCGTGTACTTGGCCAGCTCCTCCTCAAGCTGGCGTACCTTTTTCTGAAGGCTGACCACATAAGATCGGTTGATCTTCTTTCCCTTGGCACTATCGTAGTACTCGCACACAGAACCGGACCGTTCACAGGGTATACAACGCGGGAGGGTTGGGTCACATTTCGTTTTTCTCTGCATAACAGTCAGATTATCAAGCCTGAGGCATACTCGTGCTGTGGACAGGCTCGGGAAGCTGCGTGAGCGGGCCGAGTCGAAGCAGGGGCATGGAGTTCTGCAGGCCCAGGGGCTTCCCAACAAAAGGGGGGCGGCTCACCTGGCGGCACCTGCAACACGCGGTGAGAGTATGCGCGATGCGATGAGGAGCCTCGTTCTCTTGGTTGTCCCATTGCGCAGACGCTTGTGGTGTTGGCGCACCAAGCACTGGAACAGGAGGTCTGTTGGGGTAGAAGTACTGGGGCTGTTGAAATGCTGCTCCCAGGCCCTGACGAAAGACGTCGGCAGCGTCCATTGGAGCTTGGTTCTCGGATGGGCTCTCTCGAAAAGTTCTTTGGAACCTCGAGGGAATCGGCACGACAGAAAACAGTAGTCAGGGACAAAGGTGAACAAAGACTAGTCGCTTGCTCGAGACGACGCCACAACAAATGGGAGGTCAAAACGGGGCCGTGCTGGCTGGCGCGCGATCGAACGTGGGAAATTTTGCGACTTTAAGATTCTAGTTCATGGGCTAGCACTGAAGTGCGGATTTTGCTTGTCGTCACGATATGGCGATGTCGTGACGCCGCTGCGAGAACCCAGCACAAACTCAAAAGACTTGACAATTCGGCACAAGGCGGAACTCTGTTCCAGTGCATCACCCGCGTCAGACGATGCGGGCAAAATAGTGTTTGCAGATGATGCCAGGTCCCAGGCGGCCTGTGATCAAAAAAAGAGGGAATCCCAGGACAGCCCGGCCGGTAGGCACAGGCTGGGTCGCTGGGGTTCTTGGGCTGCGCACCACAACCTGGCGCCCGACTCTGATTCGCTGATCACCTTTGCGGTGACAGCTTTCATCGCCCGTCCCCAGCAGTGGTGTTGTGTGTGGACCCCACATTTGCACATCCGAAGCGGCGGGTGCACCAACATCCAGCGTTGCATCAGGTACAGGTGATATTCGTGGGCGAACGAACGGCTTCTGCGATCTCCATATATCGGCACTTGAGATGCAATTATGGCTGGGACCTGCATGTGTCAGTTGGTCTGTTGAAACAGAATCCATCAACCTCACTAGCCCGCCAGTATTCTTGCAGCACGTGCCTCAGACATCGGCGCTATGCTGAAGAGAGAGCGTCGAGGCTCAGATCCCCACTGTGATGCGGGGCTCGATCCGCTCATCACCCCGCCTTGCCAATCGGAAGGTGAAGCTTTTGGGCCTCGTTAAGCCGATAACACTCATTCTTTGGTTTTCCCTCGACGTTTTCAAAAGGTGGACCCTCCAGTTGGAGCCTAGCCTTATCAGACAATGGCATTGTGTGTAAATGCCAAAGTGAATTTGTTGTAATAATGACCAAAATGATGTAAAGCTAACTTTTCAAGTTGGAACCCTCTGCCATATCCAAATCGCGCGACTTTGCATGGTGGCGGCAGACTGATCGAGGTACACAACTCCCATTCCCAGGTTCAACCCCGCTTAACGACCCCGCCTATGTAACTACCAGGTGGTACAAATGGAGAAGGCTCACAAGAAGGCTTGGCGATCCATGTTCCTCAGCTTGGCCTGGACTCACAAGATCTGTCGCTCTACATCGGGTTACGCTAACGCAGGCACCTTTGCCAGCTAGACGGTTGTTGTCACCCGACGACTCGAACGAAGCGTCAACCTTCAGTTCACGATAACTTCAATCTAATACGCCCCACGGCCATGCTGTGAGCGCTGTCGCAAGCCTGTCTCAATAATTCCAGAGCCATATCCCGTCCGTTAAGCTCTTTGTCCTCACTTCTCTGCTCTTTTCTCGTGTCTGTGTCGTGTGGGCTCCGCCCTTCAAGATCCACAGCAGTAACAGATCGCCCACCCGATTTTCCCGTCCAAGAGGATCAGAGGATCCTGCCGCTCGAAAAAAAAGGGGGGGGGGCAGTATTGCTTGAGGCTCATCGCAGATCTCTTTAGTTCAGCGAGTCGAGCACAAGTCTTTCTGTGCAGGCAAGCAGGGGACTGGATTGAGCAAGCACTCATCTACCAGGAAAATTACTGAAGTTAAGATAAATTCGACCTACACAGACATCTCTTATGTGATCCGGAACGACCAGCCATTTGTCTACAACTTGTTTTGGCCAAAACAAGCCCTGAGTTTTAGTTTGATCAGCATTGAGAGTGGAGACCGGCTGGACCCGGTTGCCCGCTGCAGTCATGCCTCCGCGCTCATCGAGCTTCACGGACACTCCCCTTCTTCGGGTCTCACGCCCCGTCTCAGCGTGTTCAAGATGTGAGCCAAGGCGTTGTCTGTTTTTTTTTTTTCGTGTTTTGAGCTTTGCTGATTGCAAAATTACGTCCAGGCCGTGCTGCGAAAGTAAAGGTAGATCAAAGCTTATCGAAGGATGGGCGTTCCTCCAACTTCTCAGCTAACTGACAGTTTTCCAGTGTGATGGCAAGCTCCCAGCATGTACCGCCTGCGAAAAAGCAGGTCGAGAGAATGAGTGCTCATCAGCAAATGACCAATTCGCTCGCGGCAAAGAGCGAAGGTGAGTTCGCTGATGCGTTCTTGTTCTTGAGAGCTGTGCATTGCCTGTGGTATACTAACTTATCAATGCACAGTTATGTGGCTGCCTTGGAGCTCAGAATAGAGAAGCTTGAGAAGAGGTTAGCATACGCTCGGTCAAGAAAGGCTTCTGTAGCTCTTCACGACCCCGATGCCCCTCCAGCCATTGAACCCAGTCGCAAGGACTCTCTTGCCTTCATTCGTGCTGCCATTCTTCGGAAGGCCGCGCGCAACAGGGAGAACTCCGACGTAAATTCTCTTGTCTCGGATTTTGGCTACCTGTGCGTCTCCTTCCAGTTAGCCCCTAAGAGTTAAGTATTAACCGTCCGGCAGATCTGTCAGCGCCACCACGCGTGACTTCGAACCTTCTGAAGTGAACCTGACTTTTGCACGCGTCGTGCTGGCTGCTTCGACCAATGATCCGGTCCCAGAGCCCAGAACTAGTACTCTCCCTCCTGAGCAGACGGCTCGAGACTTGGTTAAGTTCTATCAATCAAGCTTCCTGGCGCTCTATCCTGCCTTCTCTTCCTCCTCTCTTACTATCATTGTCGACAGCCTCTACCAGGAAAGCCCGCGGCCCTTGACAAGTCCACAGTACTGGTTGTTCTGGATGGTGCTAGCTGTTGCTTCCGCAGCACGGAGTCGGAGCAAATCTGATCAGAACTACCAGGATGCTCTCGAATATGTGGCTCGCGCTCTTCCACATGCCGACCGAGCACTCATGCCGGGCTATCTAACTCAGATTCAGTCACTGTTCCTTCTCACCCAATATGCGATGCTTGATCCGGCTCATTTCGATAGCTGGAATCTTATCGGATTTACTGCCCGCGCCGTGGTTGACCTGGGTCTCCACCAGGATCCCCCCAATATGAGCTCTATGGACCAGGAGGACTTGGATGCTCGTCGCCGGGTGTTCTACTGTGTATATGCGTTGGACAGGTAGGGATTCCGCCCTTTGGAGCGTTATTCTGTGTCTAACGTGTTATCTTCCAGGGCGATAAGTATGGTCCATGCACGTGCCTTTTCCTTCTACGACGATGCCATATCCGTTGAACTGCCTTCACCGAATACTGATAAAGATTCTGATCGCCCCCCACCTGACCCTTCTGTACCACTTTTCAAGCTTCGTCAGCTGCAGTCAGGATGGTATCAAACACTTGTTCAAGGTGATCCAGACGACCCTCTGTCCGATGGTACTGCCTTCATATGGCAAAAGTGTTTGGAGATGCGAGAATGGGCAGAGTCTCTCCCGACTGACTTACCAGCCGCTGTTCGAGAGAGGTTTGAGCTTGAACTGCACTACAGTTATGTCTACTGTATCGCTCCTAGCGCCAGAGTCCCTCAATTGACAGCACATGGAAGAAAGTTAATATTCGAGCATGCCATTATGTATATCGACAAGGTGTACGAAATGGCCAAAGCCTCGAGGGACTCGGCATTTTCGACCTATCACGACGCTCTTCGAGCGTTTTTCATGGGCTCGCAATTCGTCGCCGTTCTGCGCGATGCTGCCGACACTGTTTTATCCAATACGCGAACACCAGCATCTTTCTATGTGCAGGGCCAAGGACAGATTCCTCCTCCGCCGCTGCCTTCTCGGAACGACCGGAACAGTGTGGATAATCTGCAGCGCAGCCTTCAGTGTCTGGAAAGAGTGAAGCTGACGCTACAGGTGTATGGTGAGAGATGGGAAAACGCACTGGGACTAAAGGGGACTTTTGAGGTAATGTCGGCTGAGGTTCTGGAAAACTTGAAGGCGAGAAGGGTCATGAGGGACATGGGTGCCACTGGCGTCGACCATCCTCTAGTTCAGCAGCTGCAGCCGCAACAGCATATGACGTTTGTGTCGGGCCCTAACCCGGCCATGCAGCAGCCTTCGATGCCTCAACAACACCCTGTACCACCGGCATATCAAGGGCAAGATCCAAGGTGGATGAATGTTGATTTAACAAGAATAGTTCATGGGGGACATCATTCTGGATGATTATACCTATCTAGTCAAAGCAGATGAAAAGAAATATTCTAGAATACTTCTCCTTCCACGGCATTTGTGTCACGTCTCCTGGCTGGTATATATTTCTCGGAGGAATCGGGCAAGACCGGAGCCGTCGGCAGTCCTGGCACGTTTCACAGCTTCTACGCCTTCTTCGTGGATTTGCTTGATATACTGCAGGATTCCATTTCAGAAGATTTAATCTTTGAGGAATCGGCGTTGGTCGAGCCCGAACCCATTTTCGCACTACGAGTTGCGTCTTTTTATCGGGATGTCAGCCAATATCTGTAGGAGCATTCTTGATCCGGTAGGATCTCGGCAGGTCAAGCCACCCGGCACCGGTTTCAACTGGTTTCAGCTTATTTTTCTACTTCGCGACGGAAATATGCGTTCCGCCCGGATGTGTCCGAGCCGAAGGCTGTTGGACGCACCGCCTTTGTGAGAAAGACAAAAATACACCAGGACCTGTCAAATGCGGCAAGTGGTACACATTTTCTTTGATTCCCAAAATCGCTCAGTATGTCTTCCCCGTTTCCGAGTAAATGGTTTCTTTAGAGCAAAAAAGAGGGTGCTGACATAACATGGAAAGGGCTTCTCGGAGTTTATACGCCTTCCACGTGCCCGACCTGTGAGCTCGGTCCCGGCAGCCAGGGACGAGACCGCCACACACATGCACACAGATGTCTTTTTCCGGCAAGAAATGTTCTCTTGGGAAGTCAGATCGACAGAGGTTCGGGCGCGATTGTTAACCGGATTCTTGGGTTTGTGTCTTGTCTGTGACTGCTCATCCAGTTTGTCGGCCAACCAACCGCAGTCAAGCTTCAGACCGGCCGCTCCGCTGGCGCAAAGACAAAAAAGCCGTGGAACTGTACATTCAATCAACCTTGTGCTTCACCCGGACACAAAGTGAAACCTCCTCATACTCGCAGGTTGTCACCAGCCAAACTGCAGTGCTTTCATCGAGGTGGAGAACCCGAAGATATTGAGGCCTTGGCCTTATGTTGTCTTACACTACCCTACAGAATTTTTATCTCTGTCACTTTTGTTGCTGACTTGCATGGCTTTTGGATGATTCCTCCTGGATAAATGCTAACTGTCAAGTGTATATCCTCACCACCCGGGTAATCCCGTCCAAGTTCGTTGTTGATAGTCGGGTCTCAACAAGGACTTATACTTTTTAAAGAGTTTTCCCCCCAGGATTTCTCGTTGCGCCAGACCTCTGATCAAGGAACGACTCTGTAAATATAGGCTCTCTAAGTATGAGATACGTTGATTGGCACCAGTTTGATCTTGTGAATAGAGAAAAAAGGGATATGAGTCAACTGATCTAACAGACCTGACAAACTGTGCGACGACGGCAACACAAGCAACCGAAGCAATCAAAAGAGACTACCTATATCAATACGTTATTGAAAACAAGCCCATCATGGCAACAACCGGAGCAGCTCTCACTTTACCACTCAATCGAGCTGCCACCGACCCTCAGACACTCGGCGACATGGACGCCCTACAACCACAACCAAAGTCTACTCATGCCAATGGCAAACCTTCAAAAGTCCCAGAAACAGCTGCTACGAAGCACCACCATGATCATCTAAACATCCTCGCCGAAGAAATTACGACCAACCTCCCCCTAATCCCTCTGGATGAAGGGGCACGAGTCAAAGTCACTACTTCAGCCCTGGAACTAGCCAGCTTAGTTCGACCGCCTGTCGATCTCATCATGGGACTGTTCTGCAGCATGTCTATCGTGTCAGCTGTGCGATTGTTTCTACATTGGGGAGCATTCGAGGCCATTCCTGCTGGTGAGGGAGAGAAGATCAGTTATAGCGACCTAGGCAGACGGGTTGGGGCTGAAGAGGGGCTATTGGGTATATATCTGACCCGGAATTTCTTAAAACAGGAACAATGACTAACTACCTAGGCAGTCCGCATTGCGAACATGCTAACCGCCGCCTCCATCCTAACCCATCACCCCGGTGTTACCGGCATCTCCCCTCCCTCCGTCTCTCATACCCCCTTCTCCCGCCTGCTCCTCCCTAACCAGCCGCTCCGAGCCATGTTCTCCGTCCTGTACACTAACATCATCCACGTCTCAACAATCCTGCCCGAGTACTTTGACCTGTACGGCCGGCGGGAGCCCCAGGGGCTGGGGCATATTCCAATCTCATTTCTGGAAGGTCATCCCGAAGACGATTACTTTAGTCTGCTGAGCAGGGATGAGAAGCGCATGCAGGAGTTTATGCTCGCAATGGGAATTGGCACGAGGAGGGTGCCAGTTGTGGGGGTATATGATATGGAGAGGGTGTTGGGGCTGGTCAGGGACCGGGCAGCAGGAGAAAAAGGAAGCGGGATTGTTTGGGTTGATGTTGGAGGGGGCGATGGTCATACTGTAAAGGAGTTTCTAGGGGTGTATGGGGAGCGGGGATTGAAAGCTGAGGAGTGTGTCGTGCAGGATTTGGAGATGGTAGTTAAGGCTGCGAAGAAGAAGGTTGAGAAAGAAGGGGATGAGGAGTTGATGAGGGTTAAGTGGGTAGTAATGGACTTTATGAAGGAAGCTCCTGTTGAGGGTAAGTTATCAATTGTCTTTTTCCGACGTCAAATACGTTTGCCTGTAAACTGACACATATTTTAGGTGCACTGGTTTACTACCTCCGCCACATCCTCCGCGATTACTCCGACCCTGTGGCGGTCACCATCTTGCGCAATGTCGCTCGTGCACTAACAAACCCCGATGGACGCGTCCTCATCGCCGAGCAGATCAACCCTGACCCCCTTGCCCCAACAGATCCGAGTTCCGGCAGCCCAGCTACCGGAAACAAGCCCCCTATTCCTCTCTACGCTGCCTTCAAGGACTACGCGATGCTCTCAATCGGCGGGAAGGAACGATCGTTGGCTCAGTTCGAGGCTGTTGCCGATGCGGCTGGGCTGAAGATCTCAGCTGTATTTCAGGACAAGGCAACGCCACATGGGGTTATTGAACTTGTACTTAAGGATCGACTGTGATGTCATGGACGAAGACTTTTGAAAGGATGTGTCAAGGCTTGGCTGTATCATGAATTTTCATTTTGAAGAGCTCTCAACTTTATCACCAAGTATCTCCAGCAAATCAGGGAACTGTTTTTAGGGGGAACAAGAAGCACTATACGTAAATTTATATACGAAGAAGCGAAGAAGATACACATCCCCGCATGACAGCCTCATGACGTCATAAAACTATGTACATCCAAAAAATATCCAAGTAGTCCACAACCGCGCAAAGATCTATGTTGCCCATTCTTCATGGCCCTCCTTCGTCGTGCGGATGAAGCGAGTCGTTTACAGGCACTGTTGAGCAAATGTTAGCAATTCGAGTCCAAGCGAGTCTTGAGAGAGGGAGGAAAGGGGGCGTGGGGAAGAAGAATAACATACCTGGCTGTACCAGGGGTTGAGCTCAGTGCAGGTAGTGCCAGCAACGCAGTTAGTGCAGCCGGTGTAGCCGATACCACCGCACTGGCCCCACTTCTGGGTGGTGCAGCCGCCGGGCTGGCTAGTCGGGGTGGAAATCTGAGTAGTGCTGCTTCTCACGCTGGTGGTGGTAGAAGTGGGAGGAGCAACGGTGGCGGTCGGGTTGCTGGGGGTGCTGCCGTCGAGGCCAGGGACGGTCGAGCCGATGGGGCCGAAGCGGATGTTGGAGAAGATAACGTTGCTGTTGGGGACCTGGGCCTCAATCTCGGCAGGGACACCGGAGGTGGTCGGGCAAGCACCGCGCTCGGCGCCGGGGGTGCCGGCCTTGTCAATGGGGTAGGTCGAGTCGAGCCAGAGCATGTTGGCGTAGTGGTCATCCCAGACGGACATGACCAGGACCATAGGGCCCTCGAGGGCCTTGCTCATCTGAGCCATACCGCCCTTGCGGTTGAAGTCATCGATGTCACCGAAGGCGACCTTCTGGGCATCGCACCACTCCTGGGTGATGGAGTTGCCGGGGTTGCCGGGGATCTTGGACTCGGCGTTGGCAATGATCTTGCCGTCCTGAACGTAGAAGCGCTTGATCTCGCTGAGGACGCCAGCCGAGTTCTTGTGGAACTGGGTGACGACGGTCATCTTCTTGGTGGTGTCGACGGTCATGCCCTTGCCGTAGAAGGTCTTGTCGCCCTGGCGGTAGGCGTTGAAGTCGCAGCCATCAGGATCGCAAACACCAGCATAGCGCTCAGAGCTGTAGGTGCCACCGCAGCTGTTGCCCTCGCAGCGGCTCTGGCCGATAATGGTGCAAGGGTGAGGAGTGAAGGCAGTAGCCATGTTGTTGGCCTCCCAGATATCCATCTCAGAGCAGCAGCTGCCATAGCGGCCGAAACCGGCGTTGGCATCATTGGTCGAAGGGGTCCAGTTCTCAATGTTGGCCTCGCCGTTGATGAACTTAAGGTCGCGCGGGCACTGAGCATCGCAGTAGCCGGTACCGTACTTGGCGCCAGCCTTGTTGCCAGAGTACTTGCTCATACCACCATCAGCGTCCATGGAGACGAAGTAGAGGGCGCCGTTGAGACCGCAGCCCAGGTTAGAGACATCGACATCGAAGGTGAACTCGTTGCCGAGGAGCTCGAACATCTGGTACTTGGTGTCGTTCTCCATCAGGTAGACACGAGAGCCGACATTGGTGCCGTGCTGGTGCTTGGTGACGAACTTGAGGTTCAGGGAGTCACCGCTGGTGGTGATACCATAGGTCGAAGAGTAGTCAGCGCCGTCGACGCAGCAGGTCTGGGCGCAGCTCTTGCCATCAGAGCAGATGGAGGTATCCCACTCGTTGCCGGTGTAGCAGTTGGTCGAGCCGGAAACAGTGTGAGTCCAGCGCCAGTTGGCATCGATGGTGACGGCGCCGTTCACGGTCGAGCAGTTGCCGCCAGAGGTGCAGCGCTTCCAAGTGAGTCTGGGGTGGGTCTCAGTGGTGAGGGAGCAAGCCTGCTGGGCGGCGGCGCCAGCCACGAGGGCGGCGAGAGCGGCGAACTTCTTGTACATCATTTTGAAACCTGGAAGGAGAGGATGTGTTGCTGGTGGTGGTGGTGAAGACGTAAAAGGAGCGAACTCGTCTTGATATAGACAACTGCGTGGTTGTGGACGAGGCTGGTGATGGGATGAGTGAGCAGAACCGGCTGTTGCAGGATGGGAGACTCGACTTATATAGACGATGGCCGAGTCATGGATCTCATAGAGATGAGGCCCTTTTCTCCCGCATTGACGGTGATCCTTTTGCCCTGGCAGTCGCCGAAGACAGCGACGCAACGCTCTTCTCGCCTCTGGGTCGGCCGGAGCTTGGCCATGGTACGCCGCGGTGCTAGCGCGTCCAGCATCTCCATCCAGGGAGATGGGCCAGGGAGATGGGCCATGCTTCGCCAGGTTCGCAGGTTCGCAGGCTCGCAAGCTAGTGTACTCCGGAGAGACGGCTCACGGCCCGTCGAAGCTCGATCGAACATGGATCGGGTTGGCCTGTGCCATGGCCGATTGGGAATAGCGGCGCCTCAAAGACTGGGCAGCACACTTCACGGGACAAGGCTACACGAGGCCGACAGGGCCATGTCGCCCCCAGCTGGTGAGACAACGGCCCGGAGTAGCAATGGACTATGGAGAGCGCGGGGAGCGCTGGTGGAGAGAGGCACGCACTCGAATCGCTCGATGGAGACTGGCAACACGGCGACAAGCCCAAACGGTGCATGGCGCTGGGCGCTCCGGGCAGCAGGGTCACATTGTGGCACGTCGTGGCGGAGGGCAAGGAAGGGTGAGGAGAGCACAGACGACGAGGTCGAGGCCAGGATGGACGGCGCGGAGCCGAGAGATGGAGTCGATTAAGGTTGCCGACACGCTCGACAGGGGCAAATGCCGCTCATTGGAGGGCTTGGCCAGGGCGTCCAGGGAGTTCAGGGGAGAGCCACGGAGGACGTGCGCCGAAGACGACGTTTTTGGATCGCAGGACGCAGCTTGTTTCTTGGGACGATGGGCCACGGTGGGCCATCCTGGGCGCCATGCTGGGCCTGGTGACGCCGCTACCAGGATTCAAGCTGGTCCATACCTGGCCATTTGCTTGCCATTCCAGGACTTTCAGGAACGTTGCGAATGCGCCCTCGCAGGCTCGCTCCGAAGTGCCGGCCCTCCACGATTTTTTGAGGGTCGTCACGTATGTACAGTCCCTAGGTAGTGTAAAATACAGATTATATCGGCCCTCCCGAGTCCGTCCTCATCGCCTCGTCGACGAGAGCCCGTGACGAGCACTCGTCCGATTCATCACCTGCAGCTCCCGCATTGCATCCCCAGATCACCGATCACCAGTCCGGCGGACGATAAGGACGGGCAGCCCTGGGCCATTAGATGGCACTTTGTGGGGGGTCTGGGGCTATGAGCCGCGCATGCGCCGTTCAGCGTGTTCCAGGGTTGCTTCCCCCACAAGAAAAAGAAAAAAAAAACGGTTTTGGGCCTGGCGCCTGACAGGTCCGCCTTCACCCCGCATTTCGTGCCTGGTGGCCCGAGACTCCGGAATTCAGGTTAGCGCTAGGGGCCTCATCATCAGAACTCGCCGAACTCAGTCTTGCACATGATCACAACTCCTTGCATGCTGTGTATGAATAGTACATATTTCATGTCAATGAGTGAAGTCGAAGCGATGGGATCCTACTCTTGCGGCTCAAGCGCATCAATTTTTGGCATCAATTTTTCCCGCATCCTCGGGTCGTCTTGGGCGCTGCGAAAACCGGGCACGCAGCGAAGACCGCAATTTACCTAGTATATTGGGGGCGCAATGCTTGTCATGCTTGAGATGCCCGTGTGTTTCCCTGTTTATCTCGCTGACGGTTTGTGCCGTGTGTGATGGCACGCTCATCGCCAGAAACGGGAAGCGGACTGAGCCTCGATGCCTGGAATAGGCGAATCGAGTATCGAGACGGGACGCAGGACCTCCAGTCCGCCCCACATCAAAATCTGGTCGGCTTCATGCAGCAGCCAGCAGCTAGCAGAAGTTTCGCCAGAACATGGGATAAAGACCCACCGCCCGTACCCCACATTCACTCCGTTAAGATGGGTTTAACCGTCCTTGGCAAGGGCCCATCTGTTCTGCAAAGCTTCGCCGCAGCTTCCTTCTTCGTGATGCCAAGACCAAGGGGACGACTGGAAGGAACTCGCCGCCCACAGCATTCCAGCATTGCAACTTGCAACGCCGGCAACAACTCCCGGGCTCTGCTCTTGTCGGCTCTTAACAGAAATCTGCGGTCAGGTGGAAACTGGTAATTCACGTCGAAATTCTTTGTCTGGGTGTGTTTCTCCACAGCAGTTTTCAGTTTCCATGCCCTTCGACAGCCGTCTGTTTTGTTTCGGCGCCCCCCCCCCCCCGGGGCCGCCAATTATCCACGGATCGCCGTGGTGGGCTTGGTCTACAAACTGAAACAAGCGTCTGCTTTATGCGATCTCGATGGTGTCCCCTGTGATTTTGTTTCCCATATCCCCTCGTGTGGCGGAGCTTTAGGTTTGCATGAAGGGACATAGTGCCTCTCAACGCTCAACAATTTGCGCATGGTTCCTGTCAGTTCCTGTCAACAGCAACTCTTGCACTGATCACGAGGAAGATGGGACTCTCTGCACAAAAAAAAATAATAATAAAAAAAACTGGCATCCTGACGAGGGGGCATCCTTCGGCAGATACCTGAGATACAAGTCGCATACAGCAGCCTGCCATCTGAAGATGCTACCCAGTGACCCAGTGCATCCTCTCAGCCTCACCACATCGTTCTTTGTTTGCTTAAGGCTTCCCACCTCGTTCACGCGGCTAGAGCATAGAGCCTTCAAAACGCCCGAAGTGCGCTAGTATCAACTGGGAACAGCCGGATCTGAGATTCGGATCATGAGCCCGTAGTGACAGTGGAGACCCCGCCGGCTCCAGATTCCAACCTACCCGTAGCCCGCACACATCGGTGAACAGCATAGAAGCATACGGCAGAACGTTATACCGCTCGCAGCCATACGCGCTTCCTCCGTACTCCATCCAATATAACTGACATAGTAAGCGCCGGCCTGGCAGGCGCAACGGGACGACCAGCCGTCTGCCCATCCAACGGTGACATGGATTTAATGCTGGCGGCCCGACTCTGGTGACAACTCACTCGAGGCTGACCTGATGCTGATTTCTGGGCTGTAGGTGATTCTCTGGTGGTCAGTCACCGCTATTCCCTTCCATTCAGGAATCGTTTCATCCAGGAACGTTGAGATGCAAAGGATCGACGAAACAGACTCAAATGAACGCGCGCCACGCTCGCTCCCGCGTTTGCTGGCGTGGGATGCCCAGGTTGCCTGGGAAAAGGGATGGTTCCTATATTCAGACACTCGGAAAATATACTTCCAATATGCAAGTAGGCACGGCATTGGACAAGACTGGTGTGCTAAACGCCAACAGCAGCCGGAGGGTGGGAACAGCCCTGCTATTCTGGTAACCTTGGCAATTGGTGCGGCTATGAGGGTCAACTAAGCTCTGACACTCCCTAAGAGCCTCTACTGGCTGTTGTTCGGACTTCTCAACAAAGATTCATGACGTCCACTACACTTTATGTGACATCAGCCAACCCTCTCTCGAACTTCATACGGCCCAGGTATGGGAATCTTTGTTCAAGACTTACTCGGCTGAGCAAGATCCGAATGATCTTCTTGGTGCTACCCATCCGGAGCCCGGATCCGATTCAGTCACTCTTTGCAAGAACCTCGATATACAGTCGGTCCCTGTCTAGAGCCCAACCGTTGCTCTTATTACTTTGAACCCTATACAATGCACATAGTCCTGTTTCATCTCGGCTCTATCCGGCCAGTCTTTCCCAGTCTCCTTACCATCTAAGCCGTCTAGTGGAACCTGGCGTTCAACAACCCCAACCCAGAAGAAACCTCGACAACTACGGGCCAAGGCTACGCCGTTGTACTACCATCTCGTACATGGTGGAATCAGGGTAACTCTGGACCGATTGCCCCCGAGCTTCCCAGGCTTGTCGTTCCGACATCCTAGTCAGGTACTTATCAGCCCAGCCCAGCCCAGCCCACACCACTCCGGCCGTTGCCATTCCGAGAGTCACTACAGTATATTCCCCAGTTCACCCTAGTGTTAGCTCAGCTAGTGCTGTCAACTCATGCACTGCTACACTGCTACATACCCTAAGCCGCATATTCTGCGCAAGCTGCCGTCAGCCTGGCCGTCCTAACTTGTTTGGGAGAATGCCGTAACGGGGTTGACAGCGCCGAGAAGGTGCCATGGCGGTAGACTCAAGGCAAGAGTGCCTGATCGTGGTGCCAATGAGGTTGACAGGCGTAGTCAGAAGGCGCCACCGTGGCTGGTGGCACTCGGAAGAGGGTTGGAAGTGTGGAGTTGATAGAGTGAGCGACAGGAGAGGTGGAGGAAGCATGTGAAAGTGGTGAGTATGGGAAAGAGTAAGTCAGTAGAGGTCCCACTTATCCTGTCAATCGTGATGTTTTGAAATAAAAAAAAATGAAGAGGTACGCTGCTAGTTATGTGTAACTAAACTGTGCAAGAGAGGAATAGTACCGGAGTTAGCTGGTAAGAGATCCAAATCCATCCAACATGATTGCCATAGAAGGATGAGCGTTGGAGATTCAACATTACTAAGACAGATAATTGCTGTTATGATCGTTTTTTTCAACCATGTAGGACAGTTGATCTTCGGTTGTGCATCCCATAGAATACTTTGTGATAGCGGGTATCCTATTTCGGTACATCTATTTCAGGTTACTGGAGCACCATCGGGACGAACGATTTATCAGGCCTCTGTTACAGAAACAAACGATTAAGAGTGTTGATTGCTGAGCGAAGTGACTTAGTTTAGTATGTAGCGAATACATAGCGGTAACTTATACATAACCAGGAAGGGCTTTGCCTTCTTTGATGTGTGGCCTAATACTTGCAACTTAGAGTGCTAGAAGTGGTGCTGCCTAGGTAACTACTTGCATCTAAACAACTGCCTGATTTCCAATGTTGGATGTTTGTCCATAATAGCAGGGTTCAATCACGGAGAGAATAAATCGTCAACGCTAAAACAGGATCTTTTAACTTACGAGCACCAGAACTTATCAACTACCTTGTATTACCACGAAGTCGGCAATAACCCAGGAAGGTCCATGACAGAAGCATTACGATTAAGATTAGAAAAGCACTACTTTCGTTTAACAACCCGAAATACGCATAAAGGAGTGGATGAGTAAGTGAGGAGTTGTCTGGACATCGGTGTCATGTAGGAGTCTGTAACTCGGCATGAGTGATGATGATCTCATCTCAGTAAAGGAGGATCCATCATGTTCAGAATGCAGATTCAAGAAGGTGCTAATTGCCAGGAACATCTCAAATCAGCAATGCCATTATCCAAAGCTACCTTTACACTCTTGCATGTAAACGTTTCACAAACGGTGCTGTCTCGTGCATATACTTCAATCCACTTGTTTAACTGAGACATGCCCAAAGTATATGTCACCTAGCCTGGTATCTGTCATAAGCCTGCACTTGGACATGTTCCAGACAACATTTGACACTACTACTAGTACTACTACTACAGCTAAGGAGCCAGGACAAAAGACCACGACCCGGATTATAAACCACCCACACCGAGCTAGGCAGTAAACATCTGGGGCTGAGATCAGTCCGTTCATCCATTTCTTTCTCCTACAAACGCCGAAAAGAACCGTCAACCATCCCTTCGTTCACCCCACCCTTAAGACGTACGTATATCCATTATTTCCAGTCTCCTCTGACCGATAGGGCGCACTCATATATTTTGCTTACACCTCCCACTTGACAGGTAGGTGCCTCACTCTCCCTGCCTCATTGCTTCTTTCGGGTGAAAAAAAAAAAAGAACAATAAGATTTTCCTTTATGCCCCTCAGGCCAGGGTACTGTAACATACAGCCAATTGACCTCGAAGAAATGCTGTTATCAATGCGTTATCGAGGGCAGTCAAAGCAACTCAGGAAAACAGCCGCCTTGCAGTCGGCGACTTATGCGCAGGAGAAGCCTGCATAGCCAAACGGCGAGAACGACGAGGTGTGATTTGCGAGCCGGAGCCCGAGTCGAGACCACCACTGTAGTCAGATCTGTTGACGAGCGAACCACGCCTGCATGAGTTTCCTCCTTTCGCTGGCGAATAATTGTTAAAGCCAATCGAGCTTTGGCCTCCCCTGCCGCCTGACTAGAACGGCCGGGGATCGTTGGCATGCAGCATCTTGGTCCAGCGGGGAAGCTTGCGGTCGCGCTCGTACATAAAGCCGCAGTTGTTGCAAAGGGACTGTGGGAAGAGGATTCGTTAGCATGTGATGAAGACAAGAAGGATGCGACACAGCATTGAGGTGCCTGCAAAAAAGACCTACCCTCGGCCCGAACGGCCCGTCCCTAACCGCCCACACACTCGTGCCCCACACCCTACAATGAGAGCACCGCCAAGTCGTCCTCTCCGCTTCCGTAAGCGTACCACCGCCACCTCCATACCCTTCTGCTCCGCCGCCACCTGCGCCTCCAGCAGCAGGCGTACCCCTTCCGGGGGCAACCGAATCTCGACCAGGCGACGGGCTCCGGAAGCGCCTGCGACGCCGTAGCTTGGCCAGGCGCTCCTCCTGCTCCTGCTCAATCAAGCTGCCAAAGGCAAAGCCGATAGGAATACCACCAGCCATGCCCGTGTTACTGCTAAAACGGGCCGTCTCACGACGCAAACGACGGATTTGACGCTCGCGGTCGCCCTCACGCTTTTCAATCTCTTCCTTGCTAAGGGTTTCCAGTTTAGGTTCCCATTCTTCAGCCAGGTGCTCGGGATCATAGCGCCAGCCGGCGCCTTCGCCTCCCGCGGTAGGGGCTGCATCGTTGGGGAACTCGGTGCCGGCACCGCCGGCGAGGGTGCCACTGCCGAAAGCGGTCCATCCAGCGACAAGCCCTCCAGCTTCGCAGGCCTCTTTCTTGAGCTTGAGCACGGCCTCGTAAATGGCATGCGTCAGAGCAGGCACCCATTCGCCGTAGAGGCCCAGATCGGCGCAGGTTTGCTTGGCAAAAATTTCAGCAGTGCCAGGAGGATGCAGGAGCGACCACTCGAATTTGTCGGTGTAGACCTGTGATGAAAGGGTGATGTTAAGATTGATGATGCAGCGGTATGTGTCGTCCGGGCTGTCGTCGCCCGCCTCTGGGGGAATGGGGGTTGCTCGGGCCGAGACCTCGCCTTGGGCCGTCTGCACCACCGAGGAGCCGGCAGCTCCAGGCTTGAAAGATGTTGTGGGAGCGTTAGGGGTGTCGGCTCTGCTGGCTCCCTGAGCCTGGTTCGGTGCAGGAGTCGTCCCCTTGGTCGTATTATCTGCGGTCGCCTTGGCACGGTTTGTGCGCGCATGAAAGAGAGGGTGAAGAGCAACGCCGGCATATTCCTCGAGTTGAGTGCGAATCTGTTTGCTGATCTCTGCGATGGTCTGCTGTTTGTTGGGCAGGTCGAGGTCCTGGACCAGCTGCGTGGCGAAGTAGTCCGTTGTGATTAAACTTTCGTGAAGATTCCACAAGAAGGTATCACGCAAACGGTATGGCACTGTCGGTTCCTGAGGTTTGTAAAGAGGATGAGTATTGTCGACGGAACCGCCGGGAACGGGCGGCAGTGGGGGTTGTGGAGTGAAAGACGGGATATCGAGGTCGATGCGGATGGGGATGAGGGTGAGTGGAAGACAAGCCTGCACATAGTTATGGACATCTGACCGATTGGGCTTGTTCTTACCCATCCAGTCGCGCCAATAGCCCTGCATCTCGACAGGCACCGACGTATCCTTGCCGACTTTCTCGCTGGGGTCGACCTTAGAGGTGCTGTCGTCGCGGCGCAAGCTGCGCAGGCCGGTCGGGCGCCGGCGACCATCATCCTCATCGTCGTCGAGATCATCATAGCCGTCCTCGGCATAGTTTATGATGGCAGTACCGCGCTTGGTGGTGCGCGACAGCGGGCCCTGGCCGGAGCCGGGGAGAATGGGCTGGAGGAGAGCGTTGTTGTATGTGCGCAGGCGAGGCGCGTACGACGAGAACACGGCCTGCTGTGAGTTTGACCGGACTGCCATTGTAGAATCGGAGATAAGACTGGTGCAATTGGTGACGGTTTGTTTATTTCATGTCGGCAGGGACCAGGACATCAAGGTCGCGATGGTGCAATGCGACGGTCGACCACAGTCGAGCGAAGAGATCGCGGGGCTCGACGCGGTGCGATGCCAGGCGGTAGCAGGGACGGGGAGTTTTGCACGTCGTCGAGGTTATGGATGGATCTAAAATGGAGGATGGGTCGCGCGGCTGCCTTCTTAATTTAGGCGCTGCACACGATTGTCGGTTTCTGACGTGGAGATGGGAGACGACAACGCTGGTCGAGGATGTCGAGGCGTGCACAGAGCAAAGAGCGTGCCTGCGACTTTCTCGATGCAAAGTGAATCGCCATCAAAACGCGACCAACCACAGGTGGGTCCGCGATCAATGATTGGCTGACACTGGACAGGGATTGTGCATGTACCTGCTTATGTAATCGCCTGCGAAAGATTCCCCACGATTGGACGTCATCCGTCACTCCGTTTCATGCGGCTGCCCGGGGTGGGGGGGCAAACGGGAGGTGTAGGTGCCGTTGAAAGTTGAACCGCCTAAACTCACAATCTGTGCTAATTGTCTTCAATACTAGATGTGATGCTGTGGTAGAGACTTGTTTTGCAAGGAGACAAGATGTGCCGTGAGTTCGACTCTCGGGCTGTTGATTACTTTGCACTTGGTCCCCCTTTTTTCTTCTATATTTTCCTAGACCACAAACGTGAAGTTGAGAAATGGAAAGGCACGGGGCAAGTCAAGTCGCAAAACTACTGTATACTGACTTGGAGACCACGGTGTATGGTGCTATTAGTTCTCTGTACTATTGTTTTAAATTTGAATAGCTAGTTATTGATAAAATAGCCCGGAACTCCCCCTCTTCTGCGCCGTCCTGTCGAGGACCATTTCTACGTCTGCTTCGCAGGGCCTCTCAGACCCTAATTCTTCTTGCCCCGACGGCACAGCCTTTTTCCAATTAGTCGCGATCTATTCACAACTTATATTAACATCGCAAAATGCTTCGTGAAGATGAACCTCCTCCCGGTCTCTTCCTATTTTTTTCTCAGCTCCTCTTACAACTTTCCTGCGAAACTTGCCAGCCCAGGGACAATAGTAAATCCTCTCAAGTTTTTCCCCATTACCACTATTCCGTAATTTTCCCATCAATTCTTTCGCTTTTAGCTTTCATATCTTTCAACTTCTGCGAAGTTAACAGCGACTGCCATTACACCACAGCCTGATCCCAGTCAACACTTATCAACCTTACACTTATATCAGTCATCCTCTCAACGTCGTACCAATCGCTCCATCTTTTCGTTTTCTGGATGAAATTATCTTCTAGCTTCTCTCACCTTCAATCGTCAACATTATCCGTCAAGCCTGAAAGTCGGAAATATGGTTAAGTCAGTTCAAGAGCAGGCTGCCCTCCCCCCCAACCTCGACTTCTTTCGGCAGGCCATGAAAGATCAAAATGCTTGGCTTTCCCGCTCGCAGAAAGTCGAGCAGTTAAGAGTAAGCTCGTCACGGTTCGTAGTCTGACGGCCATCGCATCTCCCAATGACGACATCACCATTGCTGCTGTGGACGGCTGGCGAGTTCTTGTTCCCAAGACTGGCAGATTCCTCGAGGGCACTCTGGTTGTCTTCATGGAAGCCGATACTTGGCTCCCGGCCAAAAGTTCGTTTGAGAAACTGTTCTCCCGGGCCGGTCCCCAGATCGAGCTTCGTGGCCGTCAAGGTTACAGAGTTTTTACCCAGGCTCATCGCTTCAACAACATCACTACTATAGTCATTTGAGGTTGCATATCAGCTGGACAACTTTCCACACATCCAAGATAAGGTTCGGGAGTATCGCTGCTGCTTTCCTACGTACACTGACAGCCAGTTTGCTGATTTTTTTTGCGCGATGTGGATTTCTCCGACCTCCTCGACGCTCAAAAGTGGCAAGCTGAGCCCGATTCGGGCTTCCATGCTCAAAAGGCGAGTACTCCGTCCACGGCCAGCACCACTCTTGAATCGAGGATAACTGGTACCCGCAAGTCTCTCTTTGAAATGAATATTGACTCGACAGTTTCGATGCTGGACTTCATGACTGAGACATCAAACTTCCTGCTTTTGTCAAGGAGACAGACCTGGAGTGGGCGCAGAACTGCCCCAACCTTTTCACCAAAAAAGTACGGCGAGATGATCTTCCAGAAGACCATCAAGCTCGATGGAGCTAGCATGACGGTATATTTTGTTGCTTCTACATCTAAGCACTACCACAACCTTCCGAAGCTTCCTCTGGCCGATTCTCTGCAATATGAGGATACCTTTCTCGGTTTCGCACTTCATTGGAAGGGCCGCATGGGAGGTTGTTCTCAAAATGTCGACATTATGCCGCATTTGATCCCTCTCTATCCAAAGGAAGCCCGTCTTGTACTCACTCAAGCTCTCTATTGGCGGGTTGCCATCGAGAACCGTTTGCACCGTCTTCTCGCCAAGCTTGGCATGAGTATTGCCATTCAGAGCGAGCTGGTCGAATGCCCTCGTTCAGCGTAACCCTTGCAACTTCAACCCTGGGGTGCATGATTTCTTTGTCTTCTCCATCATCGACATCGGGACTGGTCAGCGTTGGGATCCCCTTCATGTCGAGAGCTACTGCCGCGAACACCGTCTCAAGCATGCCCCCATCGTTGGTTACCACACGGAGCGGGAAATCACAGATATCCATGAAGCACTCATCAAAAGGGCCGAGCAGAAGTCCTTGATTAAAGGCTTGGTATTCAAGACCTGCGAGTACGTTCGCTGATCGAAGATCCTGTCAATTAAGTGGATTCTCGAAAAGGACGACGAGGTGGCCACAAAAAAGCCTTAGAAAACTCGGAGGCTCAAAATCACGGCTGGGCTCAAGACGATTCAGTGAATTCCCTCTCCAATTGTCAGAATGTCCGTGGAAACATGAAGAATGACCACATTGCCATGTTTTTTGGTCGATAAGTAAAGTACTGGCTGCAAGCCGACCGGGACGAAGAGTCCGATGTTGACAGTGATGATGGCAACCGTAACGGCAACAAGAGAGATGGCACTCTGGAGGACGTGAAAGAGGCCACTAAGGACAAGGAACATAGTGACAAAGCTTCGAATGTTGGATGAAATGAGATGAACGCTGCAAGCGATTACAATTGTCTCACGGAAACTTGCTGTGCTCAAGGCACCGATTCAGAGGGGCGATAACTGCGCCGAATATCTCCAGTACGCCAAAGATAACGACACAAATAACGAGAAATCTTTTGATGAGGCTTCTAGCGTTCCCTCCGAGGAAGCTGAAACGAAATGTGCTAAAAATCCTAATGTGGATTCCCATGAGGATTCCTATATCAGTGCTGAGGAGGACCCTCCTGTTGAGTCAGAGCAAGAAAGTACCAATGATTCCGGCTATGCTGAAGCCATTTCTTCCAAGGCAGAAGCTGAAACTGCCTACGCTGCCAGTACTGAGACTGATGGTGACAGCGGCAGGGGGCCCAAGAGCCTTAAACACAGCAGGAGCCATCGCAGTTTGCGCATTCTTCGTATAAAGATTTCTCAGGCCTTATCCAGCTTCCCGACAAGGAAACCAATGAGACATCGATTTATGTCTCCTGCAACGTTCAGTGTGTGTTGAAGAACAATCCCGCCCTCAAGAAGTGGTACGAAAACTGGCAAAAGGAATGCTACTGCGAAGCAAAGCCTTTTCTGAATCCCAGTGGAGTCTTGAATGCCGAGGTCAGTCCGGACGGTCATGGCATAGATAAGAATAAGGACCGAAAAAACGAGGGCAACAAGAAGCTCAACAGTACCGAGGACGAGAAGTTTGTCGCCAACATTACCGCTCCTGATGCTGAGCGGAAGACAGCTGCCAGTAATGTCAAGATTGTCGAGCCAAAGAGAACATTCTAACTCCCGCTGATGCGCCCAAGAAGGCCCAGGAAAAGCCTGCTGTTTAAGGAATGATGGCTTTTTCCCAGCTTACCGCTGTGTTCAAGTCGGCTGTAGCCTCTCAGGTATCGTCGAAGCAACGACTCAATCCTGCCACAACCGGCGATGCTCTCAAATGCGGTCGAAACATGCCAGTTACTCAAATTACGGCTGTTCATTCCAATCCTGCCTCTCTTCCGAAGTACACCGTGGCTCTCCAAGTCTCTTACAAGCAGCCAACTAACCCTGTCACGACCGACACTGCTTCTCTATCCGCTCAGCAGAAGCCTGCGGCTCAAGACACACAATGGCCCGTCCCGACGCTGCTTCCTGTACGCAAGACCACACTAACTCCCCAAGCCTCTAACAATCAGCTAATCAATACTGCCGTGACCGCCAATGCACAGAACACCAACCAAAAGAAGCTCGCAGTTGCACTCATGCCGGCTCGTGCCAATCCCCCCCCCCCGTGACCAAGCCTGCCGCAGTTTTTACGACGTCCTACAACAAGCCAACTAACAATGCTATGACCAACAATGCAGCGATGGTCAATCAGAAGAAGCTCAATGCAGTGCCCATGATGGCTCGTGCCAATCCTGCTCCTGTGGCTAAGCTTACCGCTGCACCCCAGAAGACTCAAGCTTCTTCCAAACCAATACTGCAGCAACCAACAACTCTCATATAACCACCCAGCAGAAGCTTGCTGCTCAAGGCACGATGCCCCATCCCAATCGCGTGCCGGCGCAGGAGCCCCCTGTGCCTGCCAGGTCTCGTACAGTGATTCGTCCAAGCTCTGGAACAACAACGATCCTGGCTACATGGGTTTCACTCCCAAAAAATTGCAAGGAGACGACCGCTTGGTTGTTGGGCTTCATATAGAGTGATTAGCGGCTCATGAGGAATGCGTAATAAATTGGGGGGGTAAGAGATAGAGAGAGTTCACAGATCTCAGGGAGTGAAGGTGATTTTGGAGCATTTACACATAAACTTCGGGTTTCTGCGATGAGCTGATAGAGCTTAATGGTAGTGGATACCCGGTGCTTGATTATTGATGAGCGTTGAGATTTCCGATTTATTTCATAGAAGCACTGTTCTTTTCCTGGATTTTTGCAAGGTCGATGGCTTCTAATCACGGCCAACTCCGTTGCATGGTAGCACCCTCAGCTCTGCCCAAACTTTGCATCCCTTTCCGTTTTCAAGTACCCATGGATGTTGCATGACCAGAAGTTAAAGTTGTTGCTCATTGATCGTGTCATTGCCTCTCCTTTGCACCTCTCAGAGCATAAGGTCAACCCACAACGGTACATGGTCACTCATCCCCCTCTCCTGCGGTGTATCCAAAATCCCCGTGCTCAAAACCCTCCCCTGCTCCCACAACTGTCCCGACACAAACAACACATCAACCCTATCACAACTGGTCCCCCATTCCTTATCCCTCGGAAAATATGTGTACTTCCTCTCTGCCCCATATATTGCCCGAAACACGTCTATCCCATCAAAACACTTCTCATCCTCTTCTCCCGGATATTCTCTCCTCTCTCCCAGATAAGCTCCCGCTCTCAGGTTATCCTCCCCTCCAAAGAACTTTTTATTAAAATCAGCCCTGTTCACGCAATGCTGCACAGGGAACGTTCGGAACTTAGGGAATCCGTCCCATGGCCCACGGGCAACGTTGACATCGCCTGCTACCACGACATGGAACCCCTGAGATTCGAGAGAAAAGCACTCGTCGCGGAGCCGGGAATGGAAGGCGAGCTTGTGGTCGTGGCGTGTTCCGATGATGCGGCCGTTTTCTGGGGAACGGTAAGGGGCGGAGGTGCCGTTGACTGCGTAGATGTTAAGGATGACGAGGGGTTTGGATCGGCTGTTGTCCCCTTGTTCAAACGGGATGTCTTTTTTAGCGATCGCATTCTCTTCATATACACTATGGGAAATCAATCTATTTGTAGCGTCGATGGAGGGCCTTCTTAGTTCCACAACGCTGATTCTCCCCTCGAGATCCCAGTCCACGCCTCTAACGTGTGTCACCCACTTCCTTGCAAAATCCTTCCTAAGGATAGACCCAACACCATATAACTTTCCCCAAAACCCTCTGACATTATGCTTATCCCTTGGTAGTACGGCATGAAGCTCATACATTCTTTCATCTGTCAGGCTGCTAGAACCCTTGCTGCAATCAAACTCAGAAGGTAGCGGTGCATTGAGCGAAGACTGCAAAGCTTCTAGGGATTTTGTATCACTTGAACGGATTTTGAGCTCCTGAAGCAAAAGGACTTCAGGAAAGTTATGCCGGATGAGGAATGATCGGAGGGAAGGTGACGGCTCCCCTTGCGCTATGGCAGCTTGAGAAAAAGAGCCCTTCTCAGATAGGGGCTTGAAGAAGTTATCTTGGGGGATAAGTCTGGCAGAAATGGCGCGACTCCATTAACATTCCATGAAAAAAGGCGTATGGATTGATGGTTTGACATATTAACGTGGGAACCCTCTTGACATTTGCCGTGAGCTGGTGGTGAGGACAGCGAAGGGACATCATGGATGTGTTCGAATTTTCTGCGCTTCGCTAAAGGAGGACTGATCTCGCGATTCATGTAGGAGCCGAACTTCTCATAAACACAAAATCGAAAACCAAAAAAAAAAAAAAGTTAAACACATTGGAAGCTATTGACCGTCATGGTCAAAGGAGTACCCTATGAGCAACAACACCAATGACGTCATGCCAACTTCGCCCTTGACGGTGTCCTTAAAACACAGAGCTCTCAAGAACAGAGAGAGAACTGTAACTCTCAATCCAACTGCCGGTGGTATATAGTGGTATACAAAACTATCTTTGCCAGATAATACGTTGATTCATAATCCTTTCATGAGAACCCGAAACCGAATTGGCCTTGTGCTTCCTATCCCTCTTACCAGCACTGCGCAACCCTCTCCCCTGATGGGAAAGAGACCTCATACTGTAGCAGAAGCTTAACGCTCTTGCCAGCGTTAAGCGTAACATCCCACGATACTTCGCCCGCCTTCTTCAAGACCGCGTACGCCTTACCCCATTCCTGCTCCTCCTTGCCCTCACGACCAGCCACGCCAGTAGCCACGCCCCTACCCCCAATCTGCATCCCCTTCGGGTGCAAGATCTCCACTCGAATCTTCTCGTCCTCCGACACGGGCACCTGGTCTAGCACGGTGAGATTGACCGGCTTGCCGGACGTGGCGCGTGTGTTGATGAGCGTGATGGTGCGCTGGTACATGGTGTTCTCGCCGCGGACAAAGACGCCCGAGGTCGAGCGCGTGACGTCGGGCTTGGGATAGGCCACCTTGATAGCAGGGTCGATGCCTAGCATCATACTGAAGGTATCACCGGCGCTGCAGCGAGGCAGTGTCGAACGGCCCAGGAACGTACCGTCCAGGGTGAGACCAGTAGGACCCTTGATGAGGGTGAGCTTGCTGGTGTTGCGCAAGCGGGCCTTGAGATAGGCGGCTGGCTTATACTTGGCCACAACGGTGCGAGTAAACGTGACGTTGGTGAAGGAGAGGCGGGCGATGCGCTGTTTGGAGGCTGTCGAGCTCGGTTTGAGCGTCTTGAGGTTGGGTAGGTCGTAGGTTGCCGTTAGCCCTGTCTCCTCGAAGGAAGATTCCTGGAAAGTGACTTCGGGAGCAGGCTCGAGTATTGTGTCTGCCTCTGCTTCAGTACCAAATACGGCCTCGGCAGTGCCATAAATGGCCAGATCACGGGTGTAATCGTCTCCGCACCTGGCCCGCGAAGAGCTGCTCAGCATTGTGCCCGGGGGAGCTGGAGACTTGGCGGACAGTTTGACGAAGCGCTCCGCCTTCTTGTTCTGAGCCTGCGGAGCACCAAAGATTTGTTGTATTTCTGGCGCCCGGCTCTGGAGCGGCGGTCTGCTGGCAATAGGGTAATCCTGAGGCGGAGGTGCAGGGCCAGCAGCGAGGTTAGATGCAGCGGCCTGACTGGCGGCCACAGACACGGGGGGCTTGCTAATGCCGAATAGGTTCGCGCGGGCTTTGGGCTGGCTCGCCATTTGTTGGGCTGCGTTCCAGAGTTCCTTCTCGTGCTGTTCCTCACGGCTGTAGGCGATATCATTGCCATCCCACGGTCCACCCTTGCCAACGATCCTGAGTTTCCAAGGAGTAAGGGTGGGAATTTCGTCCTGGAGGCCCGAGAACTTGGCCTGGGATGTGCTAAGAGTCACTCGAGTGTTGGTCCAGGTCTCCGAAGTCATGTTGGTCAAATGGGCATCGAAGCAAAGCACTGCTGTGTTGTTGGTCGTAGATAGAGACAGGTCGTAGCTCGGAGACCAGAAGGCCGAGGAGGTCACGTATGAGAGAGCCAAGTCGCAGAAAGTAACGGCTGAAGCGTCATCGATGATCTCCTTCTCCGGAACGGCTTTGACCACCTCAGTACCGCTGGCAATAGAGTTCCGGCGCGACGAGACTGGTGAATAGATGGTAGCATCGAGGGTGATGCGAACAGTATAGCAGCACCGGGGCCAGAAATTCTCGCGCTCCTTGCGGATACGGGCCTTTTCCTTGGCCTTCTCCTCCTTGCGTCGCTGCTGCTTTTCTCGCTCTTTCTCTTTGGCCCTCTGGATCTTTGCCCTCTCCTTCTCCGCCTTTGCCCGCTCCTTGGCCTCAATCCTCTCAAGGCGTTCCTCTTCTCGACGAAGCTTGTCAATATCCTTCGTGATCTGACGGCTCCGGACCAAGCCCTGCTGGCGCTCCTCGAAAAGCTTTTCACGCTCTTTTCTGTAGATGGCCAGTTCTGTATCGATCATGACAGCTTCCTTGCGGGGCTGATTGAAGGAAGAAATATACGCATCAAGGGCCCGCAGTCTTTGATCGGCGCTGCTCATGATCTCTTCGGCCCGAGTCAGCTCGTCATGTAGAGCAACCAGCTTGTCGCGCACCTCTTCCAGGGCGCTGTTGGGCTTGTCATCGTCGTCATCGCTGTCGGACGATTCATTGGATTCCGAGTCTGTGTCCGAGTCGGGATAAATATCCTCAAAGATGTCCCGGTTCGGCAACAGCTCGACGGTCATGTCGGTGATGGTGGCAGAGCCCGTGCCCTCGACCTTGATGGAGTGCTCGTCAACAGTCGGGGTCAAGCCAACCACTGTGACCTCATTTGCCCCGGGCTGGATGAGTCAGCGTAGGTCCCAAAGACGAGAGGATCCGAAAGTGAAAGGCTTACTTTGAGAGTGATATTCTTGATCTCCCGAACCACTTGGGCGCGGTTGGGAAAGAGTGTGACTGAGCGAGTGGGAAGATCCCGGACGTGGAACTCCTGCTTATGAGGGCCTTCCATTGTGGTGGACAAAGAGCGTGTCTAGGTATGAATTACACTATAGATGCTGATTTGCGAGAGGCTTGAAGAATAGAAGCGAGCACGAGCAGACAAAGGACGAAGCAAACTGAGGATGACTTGGGCCTACTTATATTGAGCCATAAAGAGGCTCAACTTCAAACAGCGGCATCGCGGGACAAGACCGACCACGCATCCGGTCCCCAGCTCTTGGCAGCTTCGTGTCCAGGGACAACAACGACTCGTGTGCCAGGTAGTTAGGCATCAGGATGCTGGCAGATGGGTTGAGATGGCGGCCTCAGAAACATGTGGTTGCACCTTGGCTAAGGAACCCATGTTGCTGTGCCGAAGCACTGCAGGCTTTTGCGGTTTTTGCCCAGATGTGCAGAACCCCACAAACTTTTAGTCGTTTAACACAGCTATCCCTATTTCACCCTTGATGACTTGTTAGGTATTAGCACGAGGTACCAAGTAAACCGCGGTACAGAACAGCTCCTGTTGTGTTCCTCGAATAAATGCCCAGCAAGTTTTTTCATCAAGTCAATCTTGTTTCTTCACATCCTTTTTTCCACCAGTTCATGCTGTTCTCGGACTTTGCTGCCTTGAGAGAAGAAAGCTTCTCCTTCCGGTGTTCTTAAACTGACAAAGCCCTGTATGGGTTATGTATCATGGGTTACCGCTTACCATTGGCGAGAGGCTGAGCCATGTGTTCTGGTCGCTTCACTGCTCACTGTGGAGAGAACGCAGATCGAAGTGCGCGATGCGAGCTGAACAAGCATCGAGGATGAACGGATTAAACCGCCCTGCCCCGGTTCAATCAAAAGCTGTTGCGGGCAACGGCACGGTCACATGCACCTGACCAATCGAAATGCATAAACCAAGCCAAGTCCCAGTTTTTAACCCCACGAATGCCCAGTTCCATCCGCAAGGGCTGTGGATCCATGGATCAAGCCAAGCGTTTTGAGACCCACCGATCTGCTGCTACCCAGCTCCCCAGCCCCCGGCCCCGAGCCACATGCAAAAGGAGTGGAATGGTCCACTCATTCTCTCATCCAGCCACTGCGCTTCATCTCATCTCACCTCATCGACCTTAGAACTCATCGTCTCAAATCATCTTGGTCGATCTCTGGTCACCTTCACCTCATTCTCTATTTGCAACACACGACGCCAGCTTCAGAGGCCTCATTGAGCTTTCACTGTGAATCTTTAAGGCGTCACACAATGCCAAAGAAATCACACAGTGATTTAAAGACCCGCTCTGGGCCAGGATCTCCACTCTCTCTGGGACAGAACGAACCGTTTCATGGCATTCCGCCGCCAGCTTCGCAAAAGGAGTGGACAGATTCCCGAGTTCCTCTGAAAGAGTCTACTGAACGTCAAGAGCCTCAGGCTTCTCTCAAGGAGTCAACTCCTCGTGCACCCAACTCCTATCCCAATCCTCCTCTACCGCCAGCAACAACTCATGGACATCCGTCATCTATCCCAGCGACTGCAGGATATCACCAGGCACCTCCTCCCCCATCGGCAGTCCCCTACTCTGCACCACCTCCTCCAGGCCCTTCTTATGTCAACAGCACTTCTTACCAACCTCCACACGTTTCAAACCACAATCCCTATCCTTATGCCTACCCGCCTGCTCCAGTGACGACAACAGCTGCACCACCTCCAGCCCCCATACACCCGGCCACAACAGCCGCCAGCACCCCAGCCGGCTACGCCTATAGCGATGGCGCGCCATTGACCCTCGCGCCGCCCATCCCAATTCCTGAGGACCATGTTTCACAACCTTCATTATCCTTAAAGCCCGCCCAAGCAGTCAGCTTCCATTCCCCGACCGCCACAGCACTCGCGACATCTTATGCTCCTTTTCTCCCGCTCTCCGAGCAAGTGAGCACTGCAAAATCGGCGCTGCGTGAGCTCAAGGCGCTGCAGCGGCAGCGGGAGCTGGTCTATTCCGTACACTGGCATCCTCCGTACGGGGTGAATGGGAACAGCGGCAGCTGGACTGCGCCGCAGCAGGTCAAGGAGGTTGATGAAAGGTACCGGATGCAAAGAGCCATTGTCCTGCGGGAGCTGGATACGCTTAGGAGGAGTGTGTCCGCGATTGTGGCCGAGTGTGAAGGGCAGAGGTGGAGAAGATTTATCGTGGGTGGTGTTTTGTAGGTTTTTTTTTTCCTACCATGTCAACAACTTTGCAATATGTGCTAACACCATTTAGCGCATCCATTGTTCCTATCGTCAAAGCCCTCTTTCGTCGCCCAGACGACGAGGAAGAATCATCTAACAGCACCGAGTACGCTTTCCGCAAGAGCAAGAGCCTTGTCTCCAGGATCTTGGCTTCTGCAAGTCGTCCAGGTCTGGGCACCATTACCTTCTTCGTCTTTGTCGTTCTCTACGTCTTTTCCAACGAGGTCACTCTGCGCGCTGCCCGGAAGCTTTCAAAACGACTCAGACGGCTTAACGCCAGGGTCGAAGATGGGCGCGATCTCCTCACCGAAGATGATGTGAAGGTTCTGAAAGGCTGGAGGTGGAGAGTTTTAGAATGGAGCGAATGATGGCCTAAAAAAAAAAAAAAAGAAGTGCTTCGAGGTCTCGCCCATATCTTTATTGAAGCCGCCTCACTCGGCCTGTCCAGATCTGATCAACTGATTTACCTTTTCTGATCCTCTTGTTTCATTTTGCTTCCAAAACGTTACGACTTATGAGCTGCGAAGACATGAGACACGACAAGATCTGATAGTTCAGCTTGGCTCGGCATTGGTCTGTATAAAGCATGACATCTTGCTGGCCAGTTAATGACGATGCTCATGATTATATACCCACATAGATTGCTTATGATGCAGCTGCTAAAGAAGTAATAGAAGTTACCTTTTCTGTTTTCCATTTTTAAGTGCAATGCTGTCATCTTCTTTTCGATATTTCTACCCAGATTTCTTGTCACCAGGGAATTGCTCCCACTCACTTTGAATCAAGAGTAGCTTTGGTGTCACAACAACAGGACAGGTGACGGCTTCCCACGTAGTCTTCTGCTGCGGAAACGATCAATGGGATAGTTTTTCACAGTTGCTTCTCCCTGTTGAACATTATGAATCAGCATTCATTAAGAATTGGATATCTGTGCAAGTGCCAAAAGCTCCGTTTCGCTCCGTTTCACGATTCATAGCTGAAACGGCTTGTCACTTATTATTTTGAAATTACGAAACGATTGATTGATGGTCCCTCATGAGTAAGGGGAAACGAGTGTCGATTCTCCTAGTCATTGCTACAGCTATCACATCGCTTAGGGTTGTGACGCTGAAGTTGGCAGCAGGTGGACAAAGAGCCACATCTGCAAAACCATCAGAAAATCCCAAATCTCACGAGGGGTATCCATCAACTCAGAACTCCTCCCTCACAAGCCTATCACACTCCTCCTTGAGACGCTTCTCGTACCAAGCAAAGTCAAACTCCTTTCTGACCAACCAAGGCCACTCCCTGGCCATGTCAACTGGCTCGGTCCAGCGCAGCTTGTCCTTTAACGACGACGAGCCCGACAGTTTGAAGGAAGATGAAACGATCGTTGTAGAACCACCAAACTTTCTGCCTCGTTCCTCCTTGTCTTCCTCCTCGTCGGTATCGTCATCATCGCCCGTAGTTGAGCCAGTGTCGTGAACATTCTCCCCCATTTTCCAGTCCTTGTCGTTCCCTCTCAGGAGCCTGCGAGCAGCCTCCATATAGTCGGGATCATAGTCCTGTCTGAAGTCCTCCATTTCACGATCCTTCTCCTCCTTTTGCTTCAGGGCAAGCATCATCGCACGATCCCAGTTGCGCTCGCACGTGTCGATGCCCTTCCTGGCCTCCTTAACGATATTTTTCTTCAAGTAGTCCACAATCTCAGCGCAACGCCGCTGGCGCTCATCGACCGTCTTTGGCTTTTTTTTGACCTCGTTCGCTGGCTTGTTGCTCATGTTGCTCCCACTTTGGGCTAACCGAGCTCCATCGCGCACAACAAACTCTTGCTTCTGTTCCACTTCCGACTCGCGCTGAGGCTGGCCGTGGAGCTCGTACAGGCGATTGGCAATGGCAACGGGGTCGGGCTCCAGACGACGTAGCCAAGATGCCACGCAGGCTGGACAGCGAACAGGGCAAATGATCTGCTCGCGAGGATCATGTGACTCAATGCGAATCGGGCAGGACGGCTCGCCGGCGACCGCGCGACGGCGAGCCTCGTCACAACGGCGAATTGGGGGCAGCGGGGCGATGGTCGAATAGGCAGATGCAATTGGAGTTTTGTCGAACGGTTCATTACCGTGGCTGATACCATCAGAAGCGCGGTTGACCGTGGCCGCGAAGGGAGAGTTGCTACCAATGTTGCTGCGCGCTGGGGCTGGACCGATGTTCAAAGTCGTCTTCCGCGCGAAGGGGCCCATACACCCATAGTCACGAACCGGGGTTTGCTCGACATTGTTAAGGTCATGCTTGACTCGGGCTGAGCTATGGCACGAGTAAAGGATACTAGGGAAGTAGCACATGGCTGCTGTGATGAAGTCGGTTGGTTCCACTCATGAAGGGTTCGGTGTAATGTGGGTTGCGAGTGAGGTCGATGGAAGAGATGGGGAGTGAAAGAGTTGAAGAGTGGGCTTGTAGGTAGGCGAAAGTTGAGTCGGTTATTTGAAGTAGGGAACGTCTGCTTATTTGTGTGCAAATGGCTATGTTATTGTGTGTGTTGAGATTCTGGCCAAGCCTTCGAAATAGCAGTCCCCAGATTCACAGCCGCACAGGAAGGATGACTAATTTCGCAAGTTTTTCGATCACTGACTGGAATTGGTGGTGGGAGATGCCATCACTAGATAGCAGACAAGGAAGGAACGAGGGGGGAGAGAAAGAAGAAGGAATGAGCTACAAGCGCGTGAGATTTGTCAAGCCCTTGTGCTACCAGGGGCTCAGAAGCGTATACTTGCAAAACCTTAGGTTCCTAACAATCATTGTTTCTAGTAAACAATTATATTAACACTCAATACTGGCACAAACCGTGAATATATAGTTGAGGCGATTAATGCACAAACCAATCTATGGGCTCTCGAAACACAGCAACTTGGTCACTTACAGTTATCCTATTGAAATTAATTCCACATACTTTCCTTCTGCCAGCATCCATTCTATCTCTATCTCTCTCCGTGCCTCATATCATGATAGGACTGTTGCATAGCAGGTATGACAAAGGGTCGCCAATCTGAAGCCACAGAGTAACAGTGACCGAGCGACTGTGTCACAAACTGGTAAGAAAAAGCGTTTGGGGAGCAGGTCTGTCTTCACTTGCCACAGCCATCTATCTAAGAACTTGCTCAAACTCAACAATTCTACCACATCGCCACTATCTAGATCACTTTGAGTTGAATAGCAACAGTTCAGCTCTTATCCTTATCCTCCTTGAGTGACACAATGCGGTTGAGAACGATCTTGTTGTCGGTGCTGTCCGAGTCAAGAGCCTAAGAATGCAGTTAGCCAAGCATGTTGATGCGGATCGCGGGACCTATGGGGGAAACTTACAAAGTAGCCAACACGCATGGCCTGGAACCGGACAGTCTCATTACCACCCCTGTGCTGCTTGTCCTCACCCGCAGCCTCAGGCCAAGGAGCACGCGCCTTGACCTCGTCAAAGCCAGACTCGATTACGGCGTTGGGATATACAATTTCACTCTCCGGGTTGATGTCGTTGAGCCAACCACCTTCTGCAGCCGCCGGGTTCTCCGATTTGAAGAGCGAGTTGTAGACGCGAACTTCACACTTATGAGAACCAGCGCCCTCACCAGCGGGGACCCACTGGATGAACGTCTTGGGCTTCTTGGTCTCACGGTCAAAGACGGCGCGGATCTCGGTCACCTTGCCAGTAGCCTCGTCCTTGGCGTAGCTGGTGGCCTTGATGGGGAATGGAGCCTGCAGCAGACCGACCGTCTTGCCGGGCGCAAGACGGAAGTAGTCCTTGCTGTCTACCTCCCGGAAATCGGACCGGTCAATATAGACAGTCTTAGTGAACTTGATCTTGTGCTCGCCCATGGCTGGGTTCTTAGGCGAGAAAGGCACCGTAAGCTCCGTGCCGTCAAACTCATCCGCATCTTCGATGACAACGCGCACGGGGTCCAGGACGAGCATAAGGCGGGGAACCGTCCGCTCAAGGTACTTCCGGACGGTTTGCTCGAAACGGGAGATTTGGATGATGCTGTTGGTGGTGGTGACACCAAGCTCGTTAACGAACTCAAGGATGGCACCCGGAGGAACACCCCTCCGGCGAACAGCAATCAGTGTGTACAGGCGCGGGTCGTCCCAGCCGCGAACGATCTTCTTGTCTACCAGCTCCTTCAGCTTGCGCTTGGATAGGACAGTCCCTGAAATGCTGAGACGGCCGTACTCCCTCTGCATTGGCTGAAACTCGACTAGCTGCTTGTTTAGCCACTCATATGATGTTCTGCTTAAGAAGAACTCAGTGGTGCAAAGCGAGTGCGTGATGCCTTCGAAACTATCGCAGAGACAGTCTATGCATCATAATTAGCCGCTAAATCCAACAAATACGGCAATCTGGGAAGCACCTACGCGTAAAGTCATAGGTGGGATATATCCTCCATTTTGAGCCAGTCCTGTGATGAGGCTTGTCCAGAATGCGGTACGCGGCAAGATCCCACATCTGGGGATTGCCATCGGTAATCTGAATGCGTTAGCGGATGAAAAGGCTTGAGCAAAAACTTTGATCCTCTTCTCACTTACATCCTGTTTCATGCGGAGGAAGGCTTCTTTTGGCTTGTACTTTCCATCACGCATATCCCGGAACTTCTGAAGGTTCTCCTCCACAGATTGCTCGGCATGAGCACACCTGTAACGGGGAAGTGTGCCCTTCTCGCCACCACGCTGGCGCTTAATCTCCTCATCTAAAGTGGTCATGGTCAGCGAACATCTACATTATGCTAGGATACCGGGTCCGTTAACTTACCGTTGCAGTGGCAAACATAGGCCTTTTCGAGAGTGATGAGCTTCTCAGCAAGCTGATAAAGCGTGTCGAAATGGTCGCTTGAATAAGTGATCTTGTAAGGCTCAAAGCCCAGCCAGCGGACCATCTCCTCGATGGCAGTGAAGTAGATCTCCTCCTCGGCCTCCGGGTTTGTGTCATCGAAACGCAGGTAGCTGTGATGATTTAAGGAAATGTCAAAAATTATTCTTTACATGCGAGCCAGGTCGTCACCACGTACCATTTACCCCCATGATACCTCGCAAACCCAAAGTTCACAGCGATAGCCTTAGCATGGCCGATATGGAGATAGCCATTAGGCTCTGGAGGGAACCGTGTGAACACGTTCTTCTCAGGTCGCTCATTGTACACCTCGAGCAGGAAGCCCTGCTTGAACATGGCATCAGGGTCGATGGGTGACTCCTCTGACTTCTCTTTAGGCTTCTTAGGGACAGCAGCACCCTCGGGCACAGCAGTGCTGTTGGCCTTGTTATCCTTATTCTTTTCCTTTGCGGCCTTCTTCGCCCGCTTCGCCAACCGCTTCTTCAGCTCGCCCTTGGATACCCACTCGCCCGTCTCCTCGTCGAACTGCAGCTTGACGCCATTTTCGCCGGTGGGCGTCTCGGCCGGCGCGTCGTTAAGCTGCAGCTTGGCAGTGGCGTCAGTTACCGAATCGGCCATTGTGTGACCTTGTTGTAAGTTGGGTCTTGATCAGGTATGAGTTAGGTCGAATCTAAGAGTCGATCGGGATGGGCGGGGGATCTAGAGTTTTCTGGCGAACACCAATGGATTTGCAGACAATAACAAGATGACCTTTGCCCTTTTGATTTGGCGGTGGGGTGAGGGATATCAGCAGCGGTGCTCTTATGCGGAAGCTGGCGTCCCGGTGAGTCAAGGGTCACTGAAACAGTTGCCCTCTGTTACAGAGGAGGAATCCTGCAAGATTATTATCGGAGGGGCACCGCAGAGACAGGGACGAGGGGCTGAACCAAAACCGTCCAACCGCACCGCTTGGTTTAGTCTTTGAGATAAGGATAAGAGCTTCACTTCCGATAAGATAAGATAATATGAGATAAGGATAGGCGGGACTTGATACATGGTGTGCCTGTAAATTGCCCATTGTCATCTGACACTGCTGTGCGTTGTATGCCAGCCGATGCACATAGAACATTCGCTCTGCTCGTCCCGCTTTTTTCTCCGAAGGCTATTCTTCAGGCTTGTTGTTCTGTGTGATGCATTTTGGTATCTATACAATCGTGCCTTACCTTCTCCTGGCTGATATACTCTAAGCCACTGAAATAATTTTCCGTCAGATCTGCCTGGTACGATGATGAGAACTCTGAGTTAGGTGCCTACCCATATTTGTTGTTGAGAAGCAGTGCTGTCTCTGGCGTTAAAGTTTCACCTATGCCGTTTTTTTATACAATGGCCGCTTCTCCGCCTTTGAGGAAAGGGCTTGTGCACTGATATCGAGGATGCACTTGTCAATTACAAGTTCTAGGATTGCCCTTTCATCATCATTGTGATTTTTAGAATGCTATCTCTCTTTGAGGTCCCAGAAATCTAACCTTCCATGCCCCGACAGTTCGCACCTTTGTCTCTCGAGCCATGGCCGATACATTCAAAATCCTGCCGTTGGAAGAGATTCCAACCCTCACCCAGCAATATGAGCAGCGCAAGTTTACCCCGGTGTCTTCTCCAGTCACACTCCCCGAGACCCCAGTGCAGCCCAAGCTACAGGCCGGCAGCACTCTTCCAATACCATCCAAAGATATTAATGACCGCATCTCTGTTATCCGATGGGACATCACCAAAATCCAGGTTGATGCAATCGTCAATGCAGCTAACTCGTCGCTGAGGAGGGGCGGAGGTGTCTGCGGAGCGATTCACAGAGCAGCTGGCCCAGAACTGGACCGAGAGTGTGCACGACTGAACGGGTGTCAGACAGGACTGGCCAAAAGCACAAATGCGTACAGCCTACCGTGCCGTAGGGTTATTCACACCGTCGGGCCACAGTACACTACAGGAGAGTTCACACCAAAACAGGCTGCAGAGAAACTCTCCAGTTGCTATACCAAGAGCCTAGAACTGGCAGTTCAAGATGGATGCCGGACTATCGCATTTCCCACCATCAGCACTGGTATCTACGGGTATCCCAGTGATAAAGCAGCCCCAGTGGCACTGGCTGCAATCCGAAAATTCTTAGAGGGGCCACAGGGCTCTGGAATCGACCGCGTGGTGCTTTTGATGTGGGACATGAAGGACATCAATGCATATCAAGATAATATCCCGTACGTGCCTATAGTTACAACGTTAGCTTGTTTGCTCTGTGCTATAGTTGCTAAAGTGCACTTTGGAACAGGCTTTACTTCCCTCCTGTCCCTTAATGAAAGGACAGGGGCACTTCCAGGTTGAGTTTGGCATCGAAGCATGAGGTGGCAGTGGCGAAGCCTGCCCCAGATGAGCGACAAGTCCCTACAAAAAGCAGTAGAATCAAATACCGAGTGACTTTGATTTTAACACTTCAATTGATATACTAGTATTAGGACGGTTATTTGAAGGTTCACTTCAGTATGTATGCTTTAGCCACCATATCGGCCATAAATCAAAGGGCCCATGGATCAATGTCGAGTCATCGTGATCAAATTGTCTATCCGAGAACTATTCCCACCCAATGGTATCTTCCCTCCAGTTCAGCCTATGGAGAAATAAAGCCAGCCACCAAAGGGTCTCCGGGCCTTGGTGGTCTGGCGACTCCAAAGCTCAGATACAAAACGGGGGGGCCGCATCGAACACACTCTTTAGGATCATCCTCAAACAGAAACATCCCATTAATTAAATCCTGCCCATGCAACCCGCCGATTCCAGAAAAGCAACTTTTTGTGTAACCCGACCGTCGTTAACGCTGAAGCCAGAGAAAAGGGTGCACCGCCAGACCATCTACTCGTCCTCGTCGCTGAAAACCTCCTCACCACGCTTGCGGCGGGCCATGCGCTCCTTCTTCTTCTTCCGGAGCTCAGAGCTGGTGAGTTTCTTGGCCTTCTTGGGGGCCTCGATCTTGTTGCCCATGGCATCAAATTTCTCGGTCTCATCATCGTCCTCCTGCTTGAGTCGGGGCCCGCTACCCTGGCCCTGGACCCAGTTGTGGCCCGAAGGAGTCATCTTACCGTCCATGACGGCCCAGACTTCCTCTGTGAGGTCCTTGGTAAACTCGGAGCTGTGAGTAATGATGATGACACCACCCTCGAACTTCTTGAGGGCCTTGGACAAGGCACCGAGAGAGTCGCGGTCGAGGTAGTTGGTAGGTTCGTCAAGGACGATAAGGTGAGGGCGCTGCCAGGTGCAAGCAGCGAGGACGACCTTCACACGCTGACCACCGGACAGACCGCGCATGTGAGAGTGAGAAACCAACTCAGCATCGAGACCAAAGTTGGCACAGTGAGCCTCAATCTCCTTGCGCACCAGAGGGCGGAACTGACCAGAAGCCAGAGCCTCTTTCATGTCGACTTCAGCGACGAGCTTCTGGTGAGAAGGCAGCAGCTCGCTGCGGGGCAACCAAGCGTTGTCGGCAGTCATCATCGGCGTCCAGCGCTCATTCTTCTGGCCAACGTTCTCGCCAAGGGCGAATGAGCACTCATACTCATAGCTGTTCTTGAACTTGCGACGAGCATGGATGCCGATGATGCGGCGCTGAGTGCCATCAATCTTGAAAATCTTGTTCATGGCCTGCTCATCAGCCTCGGTAATGACCTTGTTGGCACGGTCCATAGTCTCGCGATCCTCGCCAGTCTGGAAACGCCACTGGATGTACTCAGAAGGAGTCTTGTCCAGGTGCTTCTCGATGTGGGCGAAGGCATGCTGCTTGATGTAGGCGATACGGATGTTCTCGTGGGCCCAGATCTCACCGCTAGTGGGAATCAGTTCACCAGTGAGCAGGTTAATGAGAGTCGACTTGCCAGCACCGTTGGGACCGATGACAGCAATACGGGAGCCGAGAGAGCACTGGAAGGTGATATCGCGCAGCTGGGGCTGAGAGGTGCCAGGGTACTGGAAGGTTACGTTTGTGGCCTTGAGGATGGCCTTAGCCTTGGTCTTGACACCCTCGAGGAAACCAGGCTCAGGGAAGGTGAACTCAATTTCCGAGGCACCAAGCTCATAGTAAGACTTCGCAGAAGGGACGCGGCGGACGAATTCCTTGAGATTACCCTTGTAGCGCTTGAGCTTGAAGCGTTCGTAGTGGATGATGTGCTGGCAAACGTTGTCGAGGAAGCCGCTGTCGTGAGAGACGATGATCGAGGTGCAAGGGGAGTTGATGAGATAATTCTCGAGCCACTTGACGTTCTGGACGTCAAGATGGTTGGTAGGCTCGTCAAGGAGGAGGATATCAGGGGCCTCAAAAACGGCACGGCAGAGGGCCAGCTTCATCTTCCAACCACCAGAGAGTGAAGTAATCTGGTTTTGGATCATCTGATCAGTGAAGCCAAACTCGTTCAAGCGCTTAGTGACCTCTTCAACGGTGGTCTGGACACCAGCCTCCTCGAGCTTCTTCATTGTCCACTCAATGGTGGTCATCTCAGTGTCAGCAGCATCCAGGTCATGCTCGACGAAGACAGTCTTGACCTGATCCTTCGGCGGGAAGCCCTCAACCTGGCCCTTGTTGATGGCGCGCATCAGGGTGGACTTGCCAGAACCGTTGGGGCCGCAGAGACCGTAGCGCTGGCCACGCTTGAGGCGGAGGCGGGTGTTGTTGAGAAGAATCTTGGCACCATAGGCGAGGGAGAATGTGCAGTCGCACAGGTCTTCACCCTCCTCTTCGTCATCCTCAACGTCCTCAGCAATGCCGGCACCAGCGCTGGCACGCTTGCGGAGCGAGTCGACGACGCCCTGAGACTCCTCATCACCAACGACAACAGTGATATAGGGCTTGACAGCCTCAGTCCAGGTGGCAGAGTCGGCCACCTTCTCGTCAACGAGCTGGCCAGCAATGGCGGCAGCGTACTCGAGGACAGGGCCGAACTTCTCAAAGGCACCAGCGTGCTTGCTGCCGAGGATGTCCTTGAGGTGGCCGGTAATGGTGACAATGTCGCCCAAATTGCGGACCTCAGGGATCTTGCCGTCAACAACGTTGCCAACACGGATGAGGGTGTCGAGAGCCTGCTTGGTCTTCTCGCGAGCCTCGGGATCGGCAAGGTTCTCGTAGTTCTTCTGAAGGCCGGGCATCATCTTGGGAAGGAAAGGAGCGATGACGTTTGGATCGTCAACGAGCTTGCACATATTGTCGACAATGACGGCTGACTTGCGCTTGATGGCAGTGTCGCGCTCAGCGAGACCACGGTCAAGCAGGGGAACCATGAGGGCGAGTGTGGGCTCCTGAACTTCAGTGACGAAAGTGGTGGCACCAAGCAAGTGAACAGTCTTGGGGACGTTCTCAGGCTTGGCAATGCACTTGATGAGCTCGGGGATGAACTCCTCGATATCCTTGTTGACGATGAGCTGGCACACCTTCTCCATCGTCTTGTAGGCGTGATCCTTGACCTCCTTCTTAGTGTCCCACATGGCTTCGGAGACGACGGGGATGAGATCAGGGACGCGGAAAGCGGTCTGAGTTGGAGCGGTGCGGACAATGGTATCGATGAAGTCCAGAGCGGTCATCTTCTCGGGCCACTTCTGGGCGTTGCGGAGAGACTCGACAACAGCAGGGAGAGTGGCCTTAATGGCGTTAGGGTTGATGGCCTCTGCGATGGCCAGAGCCGCAGCAATAGCGGCATTCTTGACGGCGGTGATCTTGTCGCCAGCGCCAGCAAGAACACTGGGAAGAAGGGTGACGAGATAAGGCTCGACATGGGCAGAAACCTCAGAATGCTGAGCAATTGCCTGAATGGCAAGCAGCGCCTTCTCGCGAGCAGCGGCATCCTTCTTGTTAGCCAGATTCTTCTGGAGGGCCTCGATAGTCCTATGAGATCACATGTTAGCAACTGTGTTGTTTCCAATCACTTGGGGCGATGCAACAGAAGTGCTTGGCGCATGGCATGAAAATTTTGCCGAGCCAAGGATTGGTGCCTGCAGCGAACGTAACGTCGTGATTGGTCCATGGAACGAAGCCGCACCAGCCGACTGCAGCCCAAGGGAGACCAAAAGCGGCAACGGCGACGTGGGACGTCGCATGGAACGCACACAGAGCGAGCGTCGCTGCAGCCTCAAAATCAGTTGTGGGGCAGGTGTATCTTACTTGACAGGCGTATCGAGATCCTCGATGCGACCATTGATGAACGAGGCGATCTCAGCAGAGGCCTCCTTAATGGCATCAGCCTCCTTGGAGATGGTGAGCTTCTGCATGAGCTCATCGAGGACCTTAACGCTCTTGGCGTTCTCGGCGGCAACCTGAGCGGAAGTGGCGGCGGGCATTTTGGGTGTTCTTTTGTGGTTTTTTTTGTGAAATAGAAAAGTCAAGTCGGTAAAAGTCGAGACCGGGGAAAGTCTATCACTGATAGAAAACCAGAAGGAATCTAATCCTGCCGTCTATCCGTGGAATCCGAAACCTGGAACTGCGACCGTCTATCGGGGTATCTCTGGAAGAGGTGCTGATGACCGATGAGCCCGTAGAATTTCGATGGAGGGTCGAAATGTCTACTCTATCTTGGCTCTTCTAGGAAGAATCGCAAAAAAAGACTGAGTGGAGAGTGTCTCTTAGAGACAAACAGTCAAAAGAAAGAAAGTTGAGGGCGCAATGCGCTTGAAGGAGACTTAAGGATAAAGGAGAAAAAAGGTGAGAAGTGGTAGGAGGGGGAGGGAGGGTTATTATAAGGATTGTGTGCGCAAGCCTTTCACCTGCCAAAAAAAAAGTGCCCCAGGCAAAGTTTAAGGCAGATCCACGGCACAGACCCACATGTGGGGGGTAAGCGGCACCGAAAACTTTTTCTTGCAGTCGCCTCTTCTTTGCGTCCGGGCAACAAGTTTCATCCGATCGCCCTGTGAGGTTTCCCAACTAATTGAGCCCCCACTGATTGGCTCATGGGCAAACAGTTCCGACTCAGATAGCGGCGCCCTATCTTGCTGATCCCTGCTTATCTTTTTATCGGACTAGCCGCTAACCCCGATCCGGCCGTTCGGGAGGGCGGTGGGAGGGCGGTGAGATTGTGCGTTGGCAAAAATTTTCCTCCAAGCGCCGAGACTCCCCTGGCGCGCCGCAAACTTACAGAAGTGCGTTGTACGGATGTAGTGTTTCTGGAAGTTTTTTTTTTTTTTTAAACTTGGCCCAAGTTTCTCAAAGCTGTTCGGTCGAAGGGCCGTGTTTTTGGAGTGATGGTGGAGATTTTGGAAAACCATTAACCGGTCCCCAGACTCCCCTCTTGTCGTGGCGGAAAGGGGAACCGCCCAAGTCATGGTCGACCCGCTGCGTTGAGTATTCGGTGGTCTGTGATAGCTCTCCCACGTCAATGGCGGGGCACGGAGCATCCATCGAATGCCACGCGTTCGTCAAGGTTACGCTACCTTGCTGCTACCAAGGGTTCTCATGCGTAGCGGATACTGTCTTCACCTGGATGCCATCGCCGCAGTGGTTGTGGGTAATTTGGCTTGGACGCAAAAACCAAGCCGATACGGAGCATGCTTGTATAGGCACCCTACTGCACGTGCAAACTCGCTTTCTATATAGCTCATGCTGGTAGTTAAACGTACTTCAATCCCTTCAGTCCGTCAACGTTCAGCCCAACGACCCGCTCTATCGAAGGCAAATTTCGTGAAGCACAGACGGAAGGCTAATTGCGAGCGCGTCCTTGTCAATTAGACCAAAGGTCCGTTTGCCAGCCTGCATCCGCCTGGGCCACAACCTACTATGTGCCCACTCCCTTCAGCTTTGCCACCGCGTACGGTAGCTCTGATTGCTTGTCCCCCACAGCCAAGAGGACTTTTGCGGTCTGGAACATGTTTGGCCCGTTTGGCTCTATGCTGCCGAATCAGGCCCCAATCCGGTCAAAAACAGACGGCCAGCTGTGGCCGAGGAAAACTGTGTCAGCAATGAGATACGAGAGACATTGCGCAGTGAAGTCCTGTAGTTGTTCCAGATGCACGTGAAACGGGTGGCTGGCTGGCCTTTCCGCAGCTAGAGCACCCTAGCCATGGCCACTCGGATTGCGAAATGCATTTTTCACCGCAATTTGTACGGACAGTGACCATTTGCTACGCGCATGATAACTTAGTTGACTTCAATAGCCCCTTGAAGCAGGACCTTGTCAGTGCAACCTTGCCGTTCAACGACCAACCGTTGCGCGACGGATCTCAGACCCCGCGCTTCCGATAAGATAGACCGCGGGGCACGGCCCGGTATGTCCTGGTCACCACCATGGCACCCCGCATTTATCCAGGGTCTCTCAGCCTGCGAAATCCAACATGACCAGGATCAAAGGGTTACCTGTGGAGCTCCCATGGCCGCCACTCGGTTGTTCCGGTTCGATGCACGTGGCTGAGCGCTTGAGATGCTGTCATGTCGAGTTCTAGTCGTTGTCGGGTCCCAGTCCTTTGGACTCGTCATTGACAATCATGAAGGCAATCATGATTATGAGTGGCGTTGGCCCCACACTTCCTTTGAGCAAGGGGGGAGGTTTGCCGTCGAGAATCGGGACACAAATGGCGTTGAAACTAACGACTCCAAGTTCGTGGGGATGTTGACATCAGGATGGCATACCGCAGTATTAAATTCAAAGCTGCACCTATCTCATGCCCAGTGTTGCTAAGTACCAGGTAGTACGGATCGCTAGCGGTAGTTTTGGACCCTACCATGAAGGATGAGACCGATGGCCCGAAGCGATACGATCAAGAATTAGGTAGCCAGTACAGTTGCTACCATTGCAATCCCTGCTCGGTATACCTGCCGCATGGCGTTGTGTACCCTTAGTCTTACTCAGCCAAAAGAGGTTGACGATGACGTATATGGCTCGACGTCACGATTTTACTTCCTCTCCACCTTGGTGCTTACCGTAGACTGGACATAGTGATGAGGAGCTTGAGTTGTTGGTCGACGCCTAAATCACAATTACTTTGTACGGTGGGTGGAAATACTCTCACTCTTCAAACAATCATAGAGAACACAGCTTTAGCAAAGATGTCATCCAGCTCAAATCCCGAGCAGAACCCTCAGAATCCCAATCAACCAGCGCCCTCAAATAACCCAGGCTTGCTATCAGGGCATGCTGAGTGGATCAAGGGAGCCGCCGAGGTATCTTCCCATGTTGAGTTCGCTCCTAGTACTTTACCAGTTCCATTTATACATTGCTTTTTAAACTAGTAGTCGTGGATGATAGGTTAACCTCGTTCTGTAAAAGAGCACAATCGGCACCATCATGGGCTCCCAGTCATGGCGTACGTCGGGCGAACAGGACATGGCCCATGCCCGCGCCACTCTTCAGGCGGCTGTTGAGCATCGCGACCCGGTCAAGAGCGGGTATGGTCGAGCGGAAGAGATTGTCGGCAAGCTTACGGGTTGCGGGGGAATGAAACACGAGGGCGCAGCAAGCAGGGCTGCCGGCCAGAAAAAGGACCAAAATAAACCGAGGAGCGATTAAGAAACACGACTTTAGGTGCGAAGAGCGAAAGCACAACTGGCAACCCTTACGTGGAGGTGGGATATAAGTCATTAGCTAGACTCAAGTTGCCGATCAGCTAGCTGTAAAATAGGTCTACGTTCCACTTAGTTACTGTAATATATTGAAGGTCTTTTGAGATTATAGATGCCCAGTGATATCGTTCATTGTGTCTGAGATCTTCCACAGCATCATACCAGGTTTTTGACTCGGCAGAACCTGGCTGGGGTCGCCTGGAGTACTATCGATCTGACCTTGGCATCAAGGGCTTCGAGCATGGTACGTACATCTATAAGCCGTCGCGACCGTAATTGACACGAAACAGAAACACAGACTCCCAAGCCGACACTGTAATAATTTGTCTCAAGGACAGAAAACAAAGTTCTTGGTGGCTTTAATGGGCAATTAACTCGTTGTGAAACGCTCATCTGCATGTTGATTCTGGACATAAATTTTGAATTTTCGTACCAACCAATCAACGAGGCCGGCGTGGCGCAATTGGTTAGCGCGTCAGACTTTTATAAAAAGAAATCTGAATGTTGCGAGTTCGAGTCTCGCCGTTGGCGTTGGTTCCTGATCACAGGAGCTAAACCTCGTTATTTTTCGTACTATGATCTTGCTGAGCCTTTTCGCACGGATTCCACTAAACAACCAATAGTGCTTGCAAAAAGTGTTACATTTTCCCATCACCGTTTTTTTTCAACCCGCGCCCCTCCCTCGGGCTTTAATGTTGCAGACTTGCTTAAGATTCTCACCAATTTTTAGGTCCTCCAAATAATTCGTCTCTGCAACAACCCAACTAGTCTGCGTTCATTTTGTACTATCTACCTATTAAGTAAGCTGTGCATGATGCTACTAATTTGTAAGCATTTCCTAGCATTTCCCAGGGATACTCGTTCCATCATCATTACCATTCTCATCATCAATAAGCACAAGAAGCATATGGCGACAATTAAAATGACCTGAACGTTGCCATGTATCCGTAACCATGCCACCTCAGCCACCCAAGCCCTGATATTCTCTCTAAACTCCGTTTCGTTCCCACGTAATGATTTAATAAAGCAGTAACAAACGGCCTCACCCTCCCAACAATGAATTATCCATGACCCATTATGATGCCAGATCCCATAAAAGGCACAATGACCCAATCCGTATTCCCGCGTGCGTTGCGAGACTCACCCATCATGATTAAGTGCTAACCTTTCTTCTCACTTACCAACCGGGCTCGCGTTTCGCCCGAGCTGGCAAGTCAAGGCTTCTCACACACAGAATCGGCTCTTTCCCTTTATGTTGAGGACACTTGACGCTGAGACCCAGCTCAGTCATGCAAATCTCTTTAACCTTACGCTTATCATCATCCTCCGGTTGGGACAGTGCAATTTCGTTAAGCAAGGCCCAAGGGTAGGCATTTGCGTACGGACCATTCAAGTAGCGGAAGAACTGGCGTGCCGAGTAGAGCAGTGACACTGCGTTGTCGACTGGCCGTGGTTGGTCCCACACCTGGCGGATGAGGGTAACAAAGGGCGGGTTCCGACAGCCTGGACCGCCGCGGGGATCCGCGCCGGCCTCAAGAAGCTTGATGAGAATTGTCGGATTGGGATTGAAAGCAGCGCGGTGAACATAGCTCAGGCGGGTGTGAGGAGGAATTTCGGGCAGGCAGAAGCGAGAGATGATATCTTCGACAATGCAGACGCGATCTTCGCGGATGGCGATGTCGAAGGCCGTGAGATAGTGCTTTTTCGCGTAGCGCCATTCTAGGTCGTCCTCGTCGGGGTCACCCGAACTATAGATCTCCCGGAACATGTCGTCGGGAGGGACAAGGAATGGGTCGGCGACTTCCTTCATGAGGGAGATCGCAACACTGGTCAAGTTCTCGCTCACAGCAATGGACAATGGTGTCCTTAACTCCCGATCGAATATGTTGACGTCCGCACCCCGCTCCAGCAGAGCATTCACAACTTCGATATCTCCCCATTGACAGGCCAGGTGTAGGTATGTCTGATTTCCGTGGAATCTTGGCTCGCTGACGGCTACACCGCGCTGCAGAATTGCGAGACACAGTTCCCGATTCTGACGCATGAGAGCCTTGTGTAACAGGTACTCGTTTGTAAACACCCGTCTACCGAAGTCCATCAAGCAATTAAAGGTTTCCACCTGACTCCAGGCACCCGACTGCTCGATAATACATATCAGGTACTCCTTGATGTCGTCGTCGGTGACATGGAAGATGCGGTCGCAAAACTCAAGTAGAAGCTTCAGGGCCTTGTAGTTCCCGGTCGAAGCTGCGTTCCTGAGAACCTCTTTGACCTTGGATTCCCGCACGTTGCTCGCATCAGCGACTTTCAACATGGCCTCGAGGACGCCGTCTTCAGACCAGCGAATATGCTTTGCAGCTGCGTCTAGCGGGCAGTGACGGTGTTCTGTAGCATCCTCGATATCCATGCGCGCGCCGTGTCTAAGCAGGATTGTCGTAATTTCTGGGACCTCATGGCGATGTTCAAGCCTTACAGACACCGCGTAAGCTAACGGCGTCCTGCCACAGCGATCCTGAGCGTTCACATCGGCTCCCGCCCTCACAAGAGCGGTCACGGCGCGAGGCTCGGCAAGCTCGCAGGCAAACATCAGAGCCGTTGCCCCTCGATGGGTGCGCTTGTCGAATCGTGCGTCCACATCCGCACCATTATCGACCAGAGCATGGATTAATGCCACACGGTTGCCCTCAAACTCGTCGTGCTTAACGGGGCCGTCGTCGTGGTCGAAGAAGTCCATACGTGGGAGGATGCAGTAATAAAGGGGGCGATAGTCTCGGAAATCAGGGATATGACGGTGCGGGTCGGGGTTTCCACCGATGTTGACTAGCCAGTGTGCGACGGCATAATTACCCCTGGAGCAAGCATATAACAAAGGAGTAAGGCCACTGTTATTATGCGCCTCCAAATCGGCTCCGAGAGCTAACAACTTGGTGACGGTGTCGCGGATTTCGGGAGATTCCCGCGGGGACCAGATCAAAGAGACATAGTGGAGGGCAGTATTATTCCAGGCGTCCCGTTGGTTCACATCGAGGTTGACGTCATTGAGAGCCAACAGTTTAATGATGGGAACCAGGGCGTTTGCGGCAGCGGAGTGAAGAGCCGTGTGGTTGTGGCCTGGGGCAGCATCGAGATCGAGGGACGCGCCGCGATAGATGAGCAGTTCAGCAACCTCGCGCTCCTGGTTGCACATCGCAGTGTGCAGAGCGCGCCATCTCGGCCATTCTGCTGGGCGCTGCGAGGCTGGCCAGGTAGTTTTGAGGGGCTGGCAGTCGCAGGCCCGGTATGAGGGGGCGTCGATGTCAGCACCGTGATCAAGAAGCCACCGGACGACCTCAAGGTGACCGTTTTTTGCGGCGAGATGTAGAGGGGTAGCCCATGGTCGCTGAGCCGGCTCGATGAGCGGTTCGTCACCCAGGTCGGGATCAACGTTTACGTCGGGATTCTCGGTGTCAGGATCGGTGATGATGATGGGCTCAATTTCGATCGGCTTGCTAGGAATGGGACCCGTCGCGTTCAGATCGGCGCCGGCAGCCAGGGCGTGTCTGAGGGTGCCCATGACACCGTTCTCGGCCGCCCAGAACAGGCAGAAGGCATTAGATTCGCGGACATTTTCGGCGTAGATGACGGGGTTGATGATAGAGTAGAACCAGCGGTTGGTGCGGTTCAGAGCAAGCTTGTCTTGCAGATCAAGTCGGTGGGTGATAAGAAGGACAATCTCTGGAGGAAGGCGTAGAATGGGAACCGATGATGCCTTCTTGGACCTGGCCTTGGCCTTGACAGACTTCCCGTCGCCCGGCCGTTTCTTCTTGGGACTAGATGCCGATTTGGTTGCGGCGCCGGTCTTTGGCGGGGCCATCCGAATCATGAAGGGAGATGGCTGAACACTTGCGACTGGAGTGCGCGACAGATCGAAAGGGCGCTTATTAAAGTGTCAGTCGGCGACTGGCCCTAATAGCATCAGTCATTAACAGTAGATGATGGTAAAGGCTTAGGGATGGGTCGGGTCTTGGTTTTAGCTGTCAAGCACTACGGTCAGCCGGTCGCGGGAAGCTGGCCCAGAGTGGGGCTACTCACTGCCGTGGGGTTTGGTGGGGCTTCTTCCGGTAATGCAGCCTAGCGGCTATCTTAGCGGCTGGGTGGGCCACCACTGGGCCTGGAGGTGGGTCGCCCCATTGTAGCGGCTAGAGCCTTGGGAATTAAACCCGTCTTTTCCGCTGTTTTGCGTCTACTGGACACAGGGTTGACAGATAGCTTGAGTTATTGTCAAATAAGAACAATGTAACATTATATGTAGGACAAAGAAAGCCATTGAAATTAACTTTGTTTTTCTTTTCTTCCTTTTTTTTTTTACCAAGCAGGACATCTGCCGGTTTCCGAAGCCCAGGGTGCAGTCCTGTGTTTGAGATTCAGAATGGTCAGCTCTCCGACTAAGGTCTCAATTTAGCAATCTGCAAGATGTTCAAAATCAGACGGAACTCATACCACTAATGAGTCCAAAAATCCTGCAGATGGCGATTTGCCGCTTCCTCCGGCCTCCCCGCGCGCATCCCAAGACACTCTGTTCGAGACCTTGAGATCAACACTGTAGACTTCACTCAAGCCACCCAGACTACTGTTGTTATGTGTTCTTTGGCTGTCCCGGAACATAGCTTCTTTAAAGAAGTTGGCCTTAGCGCAGGTCAAAGCATGAGATGTCATGGCGCTTAGAGATCTGCAAGGCCCGGAGACTCGGAGATGGTCTTTTATTCATCCAAACGCTGTGCCACACCAACTGGAAGAGCCGTTAACATAGTTGCTATCACTAGTTTCTGGTATTACGGGGCTGCTGGGTTGCTCCGCTAGGCGCCGTGTCAGCAAGACCCATTGCAACGGACAGGGTCGGAGTCACGTCCCCACAACCAGGTCCGCATTTCGAATATCAAACCCTTCCAAGAACCACATCAGAACCGCCCACACACCGTTGTTGTACCATAGTTATGAGGTTTCCCAGGGAAATGCACAGATACCTCGTCTCTAATGTATGGAGATCTCCCTTTCCTCATCAGGAAAAGAGTCGCACCTTACGAACAAGGCTGTGGAAGGCTGACAGAGAGGTGCCCGCTCGTCCATCAGAGGTCCACTCTGACGTCAGGCTCTCTAAAATGCCAAGCCGGTGCTGGACCATCCTAGCCTGGACCATAGCACCACCACAGCCAAGCCTGCAGAGCTCGCTCATGGACGCCGAGGACCAAACTTACTGCATTCCAAGTTCAAGTACGGGCTACTTGTGCCAGATGACGATGTGGCACTTTGACTTGCTGGCACAAAAACATGGGCACGTGGCATGGAGCTGAACCTGCAAGGAAAATCACCTCATACAGATCAGAGGCGGAGAGGTTGCTGCTGTACCACTACTGCAAGTGTACAACAATTAGCACCAGGATACGAGCGACAGCCTTTTTACCAACCACTATACCTATCACCGTCCAAGCTTCGTTCTCAGGGATGAGGTGCTCAACAACTAGTTTTATATGAAACTTTAGAGCAATATTTTGAGGAAGCCATGGGATTGAGGGGATAAATTTCTTAGGAAACCCTTTTGCGATCCGGGTTTGTAGCAAGAGGACATCGTCATCTCATTGGACAACAACAGGCGCCACAAGAACCCCTGGGGATGCGATGATATCTGGACTTATTAGCTCTCAGATCTACTACAGCAAGGATGTACACAGTCAGGATTGCTGTTTTCCATATAATACTCGGCGAATCTGGCACGGATTGATGAGATCCATGACTATTAGAGCGCGTATTCGATCACTATGTCTTCGAAAAACGGCAAAGCATTGAGCTCAAGCGGTGGCGGTAGGTCATTTGGAACCAAAGCATGGGTGGAGCCAGGATCCTAGTTTGGATGAGCTGTCGCGCCATGGTGCTTCTCTGCGATGCTCATATCTATCCCCCAAAGCCGGTATGGTGACCAAACCATCGAGATCACTTCCATTGAGCCTCCGGGCTGGTCATGAATTCCTTGAGAATTGCAACAATTGCTTCCAAGGCAGCCAGATACTCCTTCAAAGCCGCGTAAACCTTCTGAAGGTCATCACCAAACTTGGCATAAAAATCCTTGCGATAGGGGCAGGCCTTCAGAGCAGCGGCGAAAAGGCCCCTCGCCACGAAGTTGTGGTACTGTTTAAGAGTGCCTTCATACGCGATTCCGAAAGACTTTGAGAGCTCCTCGGTTGGGTTATTGAGGTTCTGGGTAAGGGCAGCACACAAGAACTCGAGACCTCTAGAGGCATGGAAATAGCGGATTAGCCGTGATCCTTGCACTTTCGGATGACTGCGACATGGAAACAACCAACCTCCCGAGCCACAGCAATCCTTCTGTAGCAGTATGAGACTTGGTCTTGAGCTCGTTCCGCACGAGGTCCTGAAGGTTTTGGGAGTCCAGAGGGGCAGCCAGCTGACGCTTCCGAATTTTCTGTATGGAAACCAGAGGGTTAGCTAGGTCATCTCAGGCCATGCTGAACCCAGGAGTTGCTGTACCTCGACGTTGCCCAGGATGTCATTTTTTACCGGAGTGAAAGCAACCGAACCCAAAAGGTCTAGAACATTTGTGTAAGACTCGTGACTGAGCTCGATAGTGAGTAGAGAAAGCCTAGGTACCGAAGATAGTAGTGATAGACTCAGCAGCCTCGAGAAACTCGCTGGTGGAGATAGCATTGCCCTTGGACTTGTCAACAGGGACCTTAGTAAAGTTGCCCTTGAAGGTGTCGATGACGGTGCCGCCCGGGGGGATATTAACAGCCATGGTCTCTACTGTTCGTGAAAGGATTTCGCTTGGTCCGATTGAAGTGTCGTCAGGTGATGCTGGGTTAGGGAGGCGGATATCGGGAGGTGTGGACAGGAGAAAAGGAGGCGGTCAAACAAACAGAACAGAGTGGACTTGAGTCGTCAGCTTGTCAGGTCCAGCATCCGCCTGCCCCGCTCTCCATGAAACCTACCCCACCCCCACTGCCCCTCACGGCAGCCCCAACGCAGCCTCCAGTGGTTCAGCTCCAGGGTTGAGGCATCAGTCACGTGATTATAAGCGGAGTACCTCTCCGAAACTTTTGTCCACACTGAACCAAGATCCTGCAGGAATTGGTGCCGAGTACTCATATCCTGATGATACCTTGCGAAATAGCATCTATATTATTTATCGTTTCCTTTTAATCATTGCAAGTATACACTATATATCCAGGCCTTTCGGACGATGCGGACCCAAGTGAATCGCTGCCAATTGGCCAGCTACCTTGTCACGTGAGTCTCTGGTCTGACCCACCCAGCAGTCATCTATGAGCCCCGTTGCAAACGTTCGCGGTATTCAGGCCCTGGGATCCGACCACAAAGCTATCTATGCGAAAACATCAAACCCAGCATTCCACTCGATTTCGACCCGGATATCTGATGAGCACAACACGTCATGCAGAATACAAGTAGCTCATTCCATACCTCAAGTTTGCTAGTACACTGGGTTGATGACAGCAAATGCAAACTGCTTGAGACGACCTGTTCGTGTCACCTAAACTCTTGGCTCAGCATTAATGTGTAAAGCAAAGCTAGGTGGGAATCCATCACAACTGTGTATGTAGGTGCGAAACTTTCAACAGAATCAGGGTCCTGTTTTTGTTTACATGACGTCATACGGCTGCCAGTGTCTCCTTGCCTTCTCGAAGGGGCTGGTCTCATCAGTGCAAACGGAGAGTTTCCGATTCTCCTGATGAAGTTCGCTTGCTCTGCTCACCTTTCGAAATCTCAAGATCTAACTGGTCACAGCCAAGGCTTTAAGTTCCTGCAGTCTAATTGCAGCGGTACGCAACCGTTAATTGCCCCATCAAATCAAGCCGGGCTGCTCTAGAATAACCACCAAAGAATGACGGGACACATAGGAACAGCATCTCCCGTGACTGTGGCCAGCGATGTGCTTCCGAAGAGCAACCGTAGGATCAAGAAACTTTCATGGCCTAATCTTGTTCTTCGTTTGCCATCGAACATTGTTTAACTGTCATCGCTAAGGTCGTCCACCATAACGGAACGCTCCTCTCTACATGGACTGCTATGCCACACCGGCATACAGACAACATATATCTCTCGCCAAGCAAGCTCTTGTGCAGCCGTTTTACAGCCACAATTGCCACCACACCTCAGTGCTTGCAGCCCAACCCTCCAGGGAAGCTATGTCTCAGAGTGATGACAAGTGGACCTCTATCCTACAGATATGGTTGACCGCTTAGCGCGGAAGTCGGTCGACTTGTCTGGGTTAAGAGATATTTGGCGTGGCTGCAATGAAATGCTGATGCTAGTCAACCCGCGGAGCGCCGTGAGTTTGCTTGGTGGAGTAGAATCTGCAGAGTAGCCAGCGTACATAAAAGTGTTCGTATGGTCGAGTGTTTAGTGCATCCTACTGCCATGTAGGAGGGACAAATGCTTGTTCAACTGCAAAGACATGTATGTGTATGCATCTCTACTTATATAACTGCCGATAACAGCGCATTGTGGAGTCTCGAATCCTTGCCGACTGACTCACCGTACATTGCCAGCGTCAGCATCGCCGTGTAGCTAGTTAAAATATTCGTGAAGATCGCTCTGCCGATCACCCCCCATGAGGGACGGATTGGAAACCGGGGCGGCCCGCTTGGGAGATCACTCAGCTGTCTTGCTCGTGAAAGGGTCCCCTTAGCAATTAAACATTTGCCATTCAGCCACTGAACGAAGGCATCAAAATTTTTTGTAAAAGTTTATTCTGGAAGGATGTCACTGCATTATCACCACGTTCCCGCGTTGATCGTCCTGTCTGTCAACTTGCGTTTTGCAGTCCTGCTGTACATGGGTACTGTGAGCTGTCACCGATGGCAAGTGATGTTCGGTGGAAGGGAACCTTTGGGAATGACATCGTCGACGACGTCGAGCAGTATGAACAACAAGCTCTCACTGCTGTCATGATGGCTTATCCCTCAGCCCTCACTTAGCCTCATCCTCCTGTTCCTTCTTCGCCCCGAGTCGATATTTCAGATCCCTTTCTAAGCACCACCCGCTCTTCATCTTGACTATCATGAAGTTTCTCTCGCTCCTTACCACAGCAATTGTTTCCCTGCACTGGCTGTCCCATCGCCAGCGGACCCAAACTTTCTGCTCGTGGTGCGTCCTGTAGTCAAATGAACACCCCCAGCTACTGCGCTGGCACTAAAATAAACCATCTCCCTCTTAAGGACCTACCTTTGCGGGGCTCCCATTTCAATGAGAGTAACCAGCCTATCCAGGGCAACCACACTCCCTGTCGGAACTCTGCTCGACCGCTTTGGAAGCGAGTATGGAAACTTGATCCCGGCCGGGGCTTCGTATAGCCAGCGCGCGCTACCCCGAGTAACCTTGTTTCGAGCGATCTTTCCTATGTATTTTTCGTGTTTCAGGGAGCCTTTGTTTTCTAAGCCTTGACGTAAAGGAGCTAATCAAAGTTCTTCTGCATAGGGTACCGTAAAACTATCAGGTGTATAGAGTGCTGCAGCCCCTGACTGTTTGGCTGGGCCGATCGCGCCGTGGTTTCAGCAGCCTGCAGGCGGTGGCCAGTACATGACGCACAGCAATATTCTGGCATTGGTCAATGAGGGCCACCTGTCGTGGGAAGAGGTTGAAATGATGATTCCGTGAATATTTGTCGACTTGGTTAAAGTCACGTGAGTTGTGAATGAGGGGGTGCCGAAGATACACGCCCTGTACCTACTTATGTTTACATTAAGAGGTTACACCAATGAGGTGCCACTTCACCAACCTAGCTACGTCACTGACTTGAAGATTCCCCGGTCCATGTCACTTAGCGGAGAGACGCTCTACCCCATAAGGATCTATGGTTTTGGGATAGTAGTATGCATCAAAGTCGACACTATAGTTATCCGACACTATAGTTATCCAACACTATAGTTGTCGGGATTCGTCCGTATTAAGGATACTTGGACTCAGGAGCATGTAAGGGATCTTACACGGAGATCTCTTTGGGGTTTCGCTCAGACATAACCGTCATGACGTCGACAGCTGGAGACATGTACGACATCGCGCAATCTAACTGGAGAACGAGCTTTAACGTATCTTGAGAAAATCTCCGATTGGATTAAGTCATCAAAGCGAATATTCTTTGGGCTCATTCCCGGTCAAAACAAATAAGACAGCGGTTAATTTCTGGAAGGGAGCATCTCAACGACGTCATCGGCGTCATAAACAACGGGACAGAAGACCAGCATAAAAGAGAGAGGTTGTCCCTCGGCTCAGGAGAACTACCCTAACTGTGCACTAATTGAACCTAAACATGAGCAACACCAACCAACTTGACCCCAAACAGCACCCACTTCTGGCCACTGCAATGGCCATCGGGGCCGGGCTTCAGGGGGAGCGTCGGAACCCGCGTGTAAGCCATATGCAGAGCGCTAATGAGGGACCAGCCGATATCATTGCGAAAGTCTCGGGCTGTGTTTCCGGAGGGAAAAGGGAGGATGATAGCCTTTACTTTACTAATAATGAAGCTATTCCCTTTCCTGATCCGTAAGCTAAGACACCCTGTCATGTCAAAGTAGCATGCTGAAAGTTTGCAACAGGTCACATAGCAAGACCGTCGGAGGCATTCCCGTTGCAAGCGACGTCTTCCTGTTCCAGTAAGCGCATGTCCTCTCTCTAGGAAGAGTTCCCCCCTGACGTTGCATCAGGAAGCAGCAGCATTTTAACCGATCTAAGCCATTGGAGAGTAGGTTAAAACGATTGATCCAATTCACCTCATACGTCAAGTATGTCTGACCATTTGAAAAACAGGGATGGTCCATCCGTGTGGTTCAGGAGCCTTTGGATACTTTGAGTGCACCAAAGATGTCACTGCTCTCACGGTAGAATGCATTTATCTGTCAGTCACAACAATACCAGCACTAAGCTAACTTGTACAAAGAAAGCCAACTTCCTTGGTACCGTTGGTGAGAAGACGCCAGTGTTTATCCGTTTCTCCACGGTGACTTTCGGTAGAGAGTACCCTGATCAAGGGCGCAATCCCCGTGGCTTCGCCATCAAGTTCTATACCCTGGAAGGAAATTATGATATCGTGGGTCTAAACTTTGCAAGTCGCCCCGAACACAATTTAAATGTATTAAGGCTGACCTTGATCAGCCAATCTTCTTCTGCCGCGACCCCCTTCAAGGCCCAGATGTCATCCGCTCTCAGTACCGCAACCCGCGAAACTTTCTTCTGGACTGGGACGCCTGTTTCGACCTACTAGCCAACGCCCCCGAAGCCAACCACGCCGGGCTGATGTTCTTCAGTGACCACGGAACTCCCCAGGGATGGCGTAACTACCACGGATACGGTGTGCACACCTTCAAATGGGTCAACAAGGACGGCAACTTCGTCTACATCAAGTACCACTTCCTAGCCAAGAATGGTCAGAAGCAGTTCACCGACGAGGAAGCGGTCGCCATGTGCGGGCGGGACCCAGACTACTCCAAGCGAGATCTTTGGGAAGCTATCGAGAACGGCGCGAGCGTCGAGTGGACGGCGCATGTACAGGTCATGGAGCCGGACAAGGCCGATCCAGACCAGCTCGGCTTTGATCCGTTTGATCCCACCAAGGTCTGGCCTCGTAGCCAGTTCCCGCTGCACGAGTTTGGTAAGATCGTACTCAACAAGAACCCAGAGAACTTCCTTCGCGACGTCGAGCAAGCAGCCTTCTCGCCGGGCAGCATGGTCCCTGGGATCGAAGACTCACCAGATCCTTTGCTGCAATTCCGCATGTTCTTCTACCGCGACGCGCAGTACCACCGACTCGGAATCAACTTGCACCAGATCCCAGTGAACTGTCCGTTTATGGCCCAATCATACGCCTCCCTGAACTTTGACGGCCCCATGCGTACGGATGCTAATCACGCCGGTAACAAGCAATACGCGCCCAACAGCTTCGCGCATAAATTCCGTCCCGATGCCGCTGAGGCTCCTTACGCGGTTGGCGACAATGTGGTTAGCCGTAAGAGCCACTACTGGCATGAGGGGAAGAAGAATGATTATGACCAGGCACGGGAGCTGTGGTCGCGCGTGATGAGCCCGCAAGCGAGGGAGAACACATGCAAGAACACGGCTAAGTACCTGTCTTGCGTGAAGTATGATGAGATCAAAAAGAAGTATCTGGCACAGCTGTACAACATCGCCCCAGATTATGCGAGGGGTGTGTACGAGCTATTGCCTGATCCTGGCTTCGATGTGGATGAGGTTGCGAAACTGGCAGAAGGGGCCCATTTATGGTACAAAGAAAAGAAATTCCGGCCGACAGGGGAGAAGTTGGTTGGCTTTGCTCCAGGCGTGCCCGTCTACAATGTGTGATAGCTATCACTGTCGTCACCTGGAAACCATAGGAGGAAAACTTCTATAGAGACCGTAGATATGATGCTTCCAAAATGTACAAGTCCTTGTTTGTATACGAATTAAACCAGGGGTATATACGACCTCCACTGTTTGCATATTCGCACCGACCACATCTTCCTTTCAGCTCCAAACATTTCTTACCACACTCACCCAAGGTTGAACTCCGACGCGGTATTCATGCTCAGCATTTTCATCTTCTCCCTCATCCTCCTCGCCGCATCCTCATCAACAACACCAAACTTTTCATCATCGCTGCCATCATCGATGGGTTTCTTGGAACCTCTCTTCGCAGCTTTCGCGGGTTGTTCACCATTCTTTTCGCCAGTACCTCCAGCAGCGCTCGTACTGCCACCACTCTTCTTAGAGGTACTCTTTTGGACTCTCCTCGCCACACCGCCACCGATGCCTCCTGGGGTTTCACGTAGCGCAAAAGCTTTCGCCATATGACCCAGATGTAACTGAGTAATATCGAAATAGATACGTTCTTCCTTGATGTGAGTGGCGTAGGCACGGATGTGAGAGCGGAACGCTTGGCGAGCAGATTCGAGGAGAGGGTTCTCTTTCGGTCTTTGATATTTCGCCTTCTTGGCTTTGCCTTTCTTGTTTTTAGACTTGGAGACATCTTCGTCCTCCTCATCATCCTCAGCGGAAGGTTCGGATCCGGGAGGAGGGTTGAGAAGACGTTGTTCGAGATGAAGCTGTAGAGCTTCGGCACGAGTTGCCCATGTTTGCTTTTGTGTCTCTTCTGCAGTGTTGATGTATCCTGAGGGTAGGTTGACTGAGGTGAAGAAAGCCTTTTGAAGGATTGATTCGTAGTGTTGAGGCGTGATAGGCGTCGCAGCAGGTAAGATTGAGAGGTATCCTTCCTCGCAGCCAGGAAGCAGGAATAAGACGGCCTTACCAGGACGACCGGCACGTGCAGTACGACCGATCCGATGAACGTGGTCTGGTACTGCAAAGGCGGGATCATATTCGATGACCAGATCGACCGCAGGAACATCAAGACCACGAGAAGCAATATCAGTCGTGACGAGGATTGCAGGGTCTTTGCATTTGGTAAAGGACTGCAACGTGGCTGACCGGACAGGCTGAGCCAAGGAACCATGGAGTTTATGGAGGATGATTCTTGGGTTCGCAGGCGATGTGATGTACGCAGCTGGGGCAACTGTGTGTTCTGTGTGGGGATTCGGCTTAACAGGGGAGGAACTGCTTGGTTGTTCCAACGGCTTGGTCTCCTTGAGCAAGTCGAAGTGATAATCAACCGAGTCGGCACATGATATAAAGATGATGGCCTTCATAACGGATCCTTTCCTGGCAAACGTTGACTTGAGCAACGCGATAAGGGTGACTAATCGCAGCTTTGCAGGAACAATGATACTGGACTGTTTTAGCTGTGCTGGGGCTGCAAACACAGATTCATTCACCAGACCAGCATCCTTCTCCAATTCAGCTTTGGTGGCGGTGATGTGGATGGCATCTTCCAGGCTGATCTCGCCGAGTTTTTGCACATTCATCTTCATGGTCGCGGAACAAAGAATGGTAACCCTGCGAGATGGAAGAATGCCATCTAGCATCACACCCTCAGCATTCTGCTTCTCCAACTTGCCAGCCCGGATTTTGTTGACAATGGTCCGGAGATCCTCCTCGAAGCCCATTTCCATCATGCGGTCACCCTCGTCAAGCACCAACCAACGAACAGTACCAACGTTCAAAGTCTTGGTATTATCGAGGTGGTCAGCCAGTCGACCAGGAGTCGCAATCAGGATATTGACGCCTTTCCGTATCCTCGCCTTCTCGGACTTCTTGCTCTCCCCACCATGGACGGTCGTGCAAACCAGCCATGGGGCACAACGTAACACTTTCTCCAAGACCACGGCAATCTGTTTGCACAATTCGCGGGTTGGTGCCAAGATTATAGCAAACAAGCCGGAGTTGCGATGAACCTTGGTCTGCTTGGGGGTCCCATCTTCGTTCAGGCTCAGAGACATAATCCTGTGAACAATGGGCAATAGATAGGCCAGCGTTTTCCCTGAACCTGTTTCTGCCTGGAGAAATGCGTCGCTATCTTCCCGGATCAATTGCGATATGGTGTTTTTTTGGATGGCCGTGGGTGCCTTCAGCTCAAGCTTGGTAGTCAGGTGTTGGGCAAGACGACGCGACAGTCCGAGGTTGTGGAAGCTCGCAGCTTCCTCAGATAGCGGGGCATTGGACGGCTTGAGCGGCTCTGATGGTTCCTCAGGCGCATGTTCGAAGTCGGTGACGGGTGCTGGGAGTGAGCTGAACAGTCTTGACGTGATGTGGCTAGTTTTGACGGGATGAGCTGGGGCTGGCTTCGCGGTGTCGTGGGTCGTCTTGGGTATCTTGGCCTGTCTGCTGCTATCGCAATCCTCTGTTCTTGATCTTTTTCCCGGTCTATTTAGCTCGCGGTTCTCAATCGATGGAAGAGACACGGACGAGACGCCATTCTGTGGGTTATGTTGGCTTTGGGGGTTCTGCAGGGCCTGTTTCGCGCTTCGTTGAGCCTTGAGTCGGTCTCTCCAACGGCCGCCTTTAAACTTAACCGGAGCCTTTATCGGGGCATCGCCCAGCTCAAAGTTGAGAAGCATGCCATCGTCCGCCATGGCTGCTGTGGTGATGCCCCGAATCGAGAGTGAAACGCGATGAAGTTGCTGTTTTGGAGAATTGGCAGAAAAAAGTTGGAGGATGCAGATCGTCCCGCCGCATGCATGTCATCCCAGTGAAAGTCACACCGCCTTCTATATCTGGCTAGTGTGTCGCTCTCCGTATCTTATCTGGACCTGTCTTGTAATCCCCCACCCAGATCTCCGGCGCGTCAACCGTAAAATGTTTCCGACTTCTGCGGACCAAGTTTCTCATGGGATCAGATGAGAAACAGTAGGTGAGCAGACTTGCGCATCAGTTCCGCTCCACTCTAGTGTGTAAGCCGATTTCTTTCGATACCAGAATGGTGTCTCAGATGCGCGATGCCATGCTCGTCTATACAGCCCTCTGTCTGCTAGCTGATACCGAGCTCATGTCATCAGGAACTTGGAAGAATGCGTGAACCTGACAGGCTCGCCTCTACCGCTTCCGCGCGTCCGCATCTGCATTCATAAATGAAGGGATCATGAGACCTTCGGTGTTCCCACAACCCATCTTTAGATCGTCTACTAGCTGAAATACAGCCCGTCCTCATCTGCGTTGGAGCTGGGCTATCCCGAGGGACTCCCAACTTTCAGGCTCGGGACTGCTCTTAGTGTATTCCACACAAACAATATCCTCTTCTTCTCTGGACAGGTTCGGTCATTTCGGCGCGTATCGGAGAAAAAATGACTACTAGTAATCTGATCAGCTTCTGTTGGCTGCTTCAAGCAGCAACTGGGTAACACAACCGCGCAGTGGTCGATGCTGGTTGGTTTATATGCATTTGGACTTCCCCAAAGCACTCCGATCACCATAATAACTACCCACATCCGGCTTACGAAGTGACGGGAATTGGCACATTCCTCCGCTGCGATACCCTCTAGCCACTTCCTTTTGCAATTGCCATTACATCGGGGTTCCGGACCTGCGGGAAGCTGCCACTGAACACAGAATTAAATTCTAGGCCGCACCCGTCCGACGCTGAGTCCGAGAATGCCCCCGGGATCTGCGTTTCAACCCCTCAACGTTCTACGGCGTCCCACGCTCCAGGCCAACATGAGTACCCAGTTTGCTGCTGTCGCCGCTATCGCCGGCATTGGCGCCTATGTCCTCTACTCGCGCCAGAGCAAGACCGACAAGTCACACAAGCCCATCTTCAGCAGCTTTGGTATTCGCAAGCTTCGCCTCCATAGCACCGAGATGATCAATCACAATACCAAAAAGCTGCGTTTTGAGCTTCCTGACCCGAACCAACCCAGTGGGCTTTCACTTACGTCGGCCTTGTTGAGCATCTCTTTCCCCAATGGCAGCTGGCGTCCGGTCTTGCGACCATACACGCCCACTAACGATTTGTGTATGCAAGAACCCGCCTGAAAACTGCCTTGTGACCTCGGACACCCGAGTGCTAACTCTCTTCCGTCGCAGCTGAGCCAGGGTTTATTGAGCTTATGGTTAAGCTCTACCCGAACGGCAAGGGAAGCGGCTATTTGCACTCTCTCAAGCCTGGGGACACTGTGTCTTTCTTGCCTATCCCAGGTCTTGCCTGGAAGCCAAATCTGCACCCCCATGTTGTTGGCATTGCTGGAGGTGCCGGCATCACACCCATGTACCAGCTAGCGCGTGGCATCCTGAAGAATCCCGACGACCGCACCCGCATCACCATCGTTTGGGGTGTCAACACGGAGGCCGACATGTTTTTGAAGGACGAATTTTCCGAGCTCGAGAAGAAGTACGGCACTGACAGATTCAAGGTGGTATATGTTGTTGCATCTCCAGCATCGTCCAGTGCTCCGTACGAGAAGGGATTTGTGACGGCGGAAATGCTAGAGAAGCATGGGTTGAGCAGCAAGGATGAGAAGAACCGCGATGCCAGGGTGCTTGTGTGTGGCCCTCCTCCGATGGAAAAAGCCCTCAAGGCCAAGGAGTGGGGCGTGTTGGCTAAGCTGGGATATAAGCCAGACCAGATTCATACTTTTTGAGTCTGGTTCTAGGATAATGTTGGGTGACGGCTTTCTTTTGTTCGCTTTGTAAGATACTACATGGCATGGGCATTTGGCATTCTATGCAGTAGAGTGGTAAAGGCAATCACTATGGTTCTCGTGCTATTATTGGGTAGTGACTCTGTGGGTTGGCTGGTTACACAGGTCATGCAGGGTGGGACTGTCTTGAGCCCATCCTATCGACAGCACCCAATTGAACTTTTCTTTTTCAAAGACTCTCCAAGGCTTTAAGTATTCCTCACTTGTCCTTGTCTCTTGATGTTTGGACTTGCATGTGAGGCCTTACGCAGATCAAGTCTTGAAACGATATTCCAGCTGACTACATAATCAACTCTTTCATCTTAAACATGGAGTAACCGAAACTCAATGGACGAATTAGAAGTTTCAGTGATTTTAGTTTTTTCTCATAATGTTTCCTCTAGCAATATTGTACAAGTGAGCCTTACTTAAGTCATCTGACCTTCTCTACTCCTCTCCGCTACGTGCATCACGGTCCATCTAGTCTGTGCTCTTCTCAACTTTCTCAAGACCACAGACCCAGCTACTGGGCTGGCCACAGGCACGAAAAGCCAAATACCCCTACCGTTCTCGAAATCTAGTGCATATTCCGTAGGTTGAGAGTCCAATCACTCTCCTCTGCGTACGATCACACTCACGGCATCCCCATTTTGCCAGCATTGAGACCAGCTGACTCGCACGATTCACAATATATATTACGATTCTTCTGAGCACAAGCTGTCTCAGGAAGGGGCATGGATTCGTTGGCGTGATGGAGAATGGGAGGGCAAGGTTCATTTCAAAGAATTAACAGTCATTTGGCCGTCCGGCTGGAGGAAGTCAAGGGCGAGAAGGATGTGAAGAACTACGTGGAACGCACGCTTGGACAGAAGGAATTTTAGAATGGACTGACAAATGAGGTCAAGGGCCAGAATGAGATGGAGAAGGAAGAGTAACTCTGGGGCTTGCTGATTGAGAATTGCTGACTTTATCGCCACACGGGAGGCGTGGTTCATTGATCAGGAGTTTCGTGTTGTCTGGGACAAGATGAACTTCGGGCATGAAGTTGGCGAGGTGGAGCTGCAGGTTGTTGAGGATGGGCCTTTGAGTGATGAGGAGAAAGTAGACATTACGGTGGTGATGTACCGGAGGATCGATGAGTTTATGGAATGCTACAAGCGAGCAGGGGATATGAAGGGCGCAAAGGGGAAGTTGACTGCTTAGTTTGACACGGTCGAGAAAATGAAGGATGCTGAAGAGGAAGCAAAGCGGAATATCATGTACTGAATGGGCTGATTGGATAACCTTCAATGCGAAGTATTGTCAGTACACAAGGGTAATGATAAATGCTGGACTGCATGGAGGTGTAAGCCCGAGTTTTCAAGCCATACGTTATCGAATCCACAGCCAGTATAACAAAAGTGATAATTCCTTTGTCAGTGATCAGTTAGGGCTTCTGGAGGTCTCTAACTAGAAAGACAGGATATGTGATGACACCGTTACACTGCCAGATCATGTCATAGGATTCAAGTTCATCTGTTATACAGCTACTGCTCAGCGAGCCTTAGTGGAAGTCTAGGACCCAGGATTTGCTCTATCTTATGTGGTCACCTTTTGCTCTCCCTGATTCAATTGAATCCACTCTTTCCTGGATTCCAGCGCTTCAATCAAACTTGAAAGGTCAATTGGTCATTGGATGTGTCAATCTGGTCACAAAAGTTAAGAACTTCCTCGTCGGCCTTTCGGCATCAATGAACTTCAACCAACTCTGCGTTTCCCTTGCTTTTACCATGCCGCTCAAGGATGTCGGGGTTGAGTTGTAAAATTTTTCTATATCTTTGATCAAAAATCTCGGCTATGTCATCGGTTTTGTCAATGCTTCTGTTCAGTACTATTTCTCTGGCCAGTTCGCAAGGGTGCTTGAAGAACAAAACCAGAAAAGGTTCGCTAAACTTGAGTGTCAGCAACTTCAGCTTTTGGGTTCAACATACGAACTAAATGGGGGCGTACAACCTGCTTAAAGTCTTGGGCCTAGTCTAGCTGTCGAGGAAATCCATCCAAAAGCATAGGCTGGTCAGGAGCATCCCTCAAGCGAGCCTGAATCACCAGAAGAAGCCGTTCCAGGGTAGCGGCTCCCCGCGGTGAACATTGACGTGTATGACTTCGTCTGCAGCGTCGTTTGAAATACTGCCGAAGCATCTCACCAATGGAGATGTGCGCAAGAGAATATTCTTCGGCCAATCTCTTGCATCGAGTTCTCTTGCCAGTGCCATGGGTGCCTATTTGTGTTACTGCACAGTGCTCCGAATGCAGGCTGTACGACTCTGAGAGTGCCATTTACCAATAATGTAGATAAATGGAAAAACCTCTGTGTCACCCAGGGGTGCCATATCGGTATAGATTCGTTTGGCGAACTTCTTATCTCTGATATTGGCTTTTCTAGCTCTTTCGGATATAGTTCGAGTGTCTTCGGCCGTCCTTGAATAGGTTCTGAAACTGTCTCTTAACTGATGTCCGTTTGAGTCAGATTCATCGTCTGCATTTCGCGACGACACTCCATTCCTACATATATGTTAGAGCTGAATCCACTACTAAACTCCAAGCAAGCTTCATGATAAAATCTTCATTCTGTTGACTTTTGGGAAAGCATCTTGCTCAGACCGATGTTAACAGGCCTCAACGCGGTATGTTCTTAGTCGATATGTGCCCTGCCGACTTAATTCAGTTGGAAACAATATTCTCCAGTGATACGAGCCTTCAGGAGAACCTATATCAAACCTGCAGAAAGACGGGAGACTGCGTAGTGATACACGGAGTGATCATATTGTCAATTTGAGGGTCTTCGAGAGCCATTAGGAGTGTTTTCTGGAAGAAGTATGCGCTTCTAAGATGGTAATCTTCCTGCTAACATCTCGGTCTTTACAGTGATGTCTTTCAATTTTCTAGACTTTGCTAGAGTCTGCCTCAGTTCAGTTCAACAATGCACTGTCAGCATAATCTTCAGCTTGTAAATCGTTGTCATGAGAATCGTCTTTAGTTATCTGTTGCTCCTCAAGCTCATCACTTCTCACTGGATCAAACATGGTTGCCGCAAGATCCCCATATCTGTCAACTATCACTTCTCGCAACGAAGCAACTACTCCTGTGCCTTCTCTTTCCACATAATAACTACTTCGCATGTAGAACCTCTCAAACGACAGTTTCAAGCACTGCGTCTGATCTTTGAGGCGGGATACGCAAGGTTGACCTTCCCGGGGGAGAACCGTTCCTCTATCCCAAACTGTTGAGCGAAATGATTGTATTTTGCAAGGAAGAACTGAAGCTTGAGTCTTTGTCAATTGTCAGCAACGGAAGCATGATAAATGAGGACTTTCTCCGAAAATATGCCCTGAATATCGATATTCTAACTGTTAGCTGCGACTCCTTCGATGAGAGCTGTCAAGGTCATTGGATGGAGTACTGGACACCACAATCACGTCAAAAAGTTGTACCAAAATGCATCTTGATGCCGCAAGTACGGGATTATGTTACAGATCAACACTGTGGTCAATTGCTGCAATGTCCACGAGGACATGAACAGGCATTTCTTCGAGCTTGAACCGTTCCGATGGAAGTGCTTTCAGATTCTCATTGCACCCGGAGAGAACGATTCGAAAGAGATACTCCGCAACACTCACCGGTTTACCATTACAGATGACGAGTTTAACGCATTCTGCAAAAGGCATGCTGCGCAAAAGTACCTGGTACCAGAGTCCAACCAAGTCAGTAGCTTTCTAAATCGGATGAGTACCTGAGGTTTTACGACAAGTTAGGCAAATACACGTCGCATTCTATTCTCGAGGTTGACGTGCAGAAGGCTCTGGAGAGTGTACCCTGGGATGAGGATGCCTTCTTGAACAGGGGAGGGCTCTATGACTGGACGAATCAGGCCTGCACCTTAGTCAATGACAGAAACGGCTGCAAAGAACTCGGAACCTAGAATGGTAATGCATCGTCCTCACCGACCATCGACTGGGAGCCTAGGACCATATACAAAGACGGAAGCTTACTGATTTCTCTCAACGTTCCCACATTAGAACCTAACCCGCTCGTCATCTCATGGCGGACTTTCTGTTCGGTAACTGCTCGGTGTAAGAAATCTCGCTTCGGACTTCAATTTTATGATGATGAAGCACTTTTACCACACTTCGGAGAATTTTTGGCTTTCATATATTTTCCTGCCGTGGTGCTCTCTCTTGGTTATTCTTAGACTACGGAGCTTGATGGCCGGATTGTATGTAAGTGCCGCGAGCTCCGCCCGCATTTCTGCGACGGAAGGTTTCACAACTTTGAAGAGGGCCCAAACCGCACACTCTGGCTGCGACGGTGAGTTTACAATGGACCAATCTCGTTCGTATTAGAGTTAAGGCTGGTTCATAGAGAGCATCCCAATTGTCTCTGTTACGCGAACCCAAAGCTTTGGGATAATACAGAGGAGCTGGAGGGTTGGAGAAACCCGCAGTGTGAGTTGCGAGTCACAAATCCTTTACTTGAAAATTCAGCCAGGCAGGGTTGCCAGAAAACGCTTGGGATACTTCTTGAGTGCACAAATGTAGCCTACGTTTAATATTAGCCTTCAGGGTTATGAACATAAGTTTAGTCCAAGCAAACAGTAGATAGCTAAAATTGCCCGTGAATGTTGTGAGAGGTCGACCGATCCTTAAGGTGACCCACCCAGCATGCCAAAAGTGGGGAGCTGTACCGCAGCACTGGCATGGGTATGATGTATCCAAATTCCAGGCCGAACTTGCATCAGCTCAATTTAACAGGGACGAGTAGCTCAGGGGTAGAGCAACCGGCTGCAGTCCGGTAGGTCACGCGTTCAAATCGCGTCTCGTCCTTCTCTTTTGCATCTTATAAACTACTTTTTGCCCTCTTCAACTCCTTCGCACTAAGCGATTGGTGGTCACCTGGATTTCTGTCGATCATCCTCAAATTGACCCTCCCCTTTCTGCTCGAGCCGCTGATCGATTAAGTTTCTCTTGATATTCGTCGCTGCGGCGCGCTAGGTCTGGCTACGTTTCCTCCCCATGATGTACATTTTTTTTACGATCAGGCCTTGTGTTACAGCAAGAGATTTCTTGCGCCTGCCCAGAGCTTTTCAGCGAAGATTCAAGGCTGGCCTGCTCAACGAACCAGTGTCCAATAGCAAGCGAGTGGCTCTCGGGATCCGGTCCCGAACCAGTCTAACACATGCAGCTGCATCAACCGTTGGTTCCAGCACCGTCGTGCTTACATCTGGGAAAAATAGCCGCAGGCCTGGGGTGTGGGTGGTGAGTTTGGGTGCGTGCCATTACCCCTCCCTTCCTGTGCTGCGCCTGCGGCACTGCGACCAGCCACTGGCCACTTCATCGGCGCAGGCCTGACCCTCGATTATTTTTCGAACATTTGTGGCTCAATGCTGCTATTTGAAGAAACGAGTGATATGCTAGCATTTAGCTTTGTGCAAAGGGGAAAAACTGCAAAGCTCTTGCTCCTCGATCCTAGCTGTGCCGACCTACACTGCTGCTCGGCCCGGTCAAACTTCGTGGGGGCCACGAACTGAATCAAGAGGCTGACCTGTCTAGGCAGAATGTGGAGCCTAGGCCATCCGACGCAAAGGCTGTAAGTATCTTGCGTGGAAGAGACCATCAAAGCCAACGTCGAGATAGTCGGAGCCAGTGTAGAAGGTGGCCGGCGAGCAACATGGAACCTTCCGGTGCTCTCGCACTAAGTTTTTAGCCAAGTTGCTTACATACTATTTACTTACTGTACGCAGAGCACATGCCACGCAAGGCTCGATTTTTTGGATGTTGCACAGCTTCGCAACCTGTCCCGATTCTTTTGCAAATCTGCCTTTCCGGCCCAGTTGTTCCGGCCCCCTAAGGTTTAATCCGCTGACTTAACCAAGATCGGCCTACCCATCTGGATGTTTGTCGAGCCTAAGGCTGCAAAGACAGCCACTGTCTTTGATGGAAGGACGGAGCACGAGTCTGTTGCTACTGTGTAGATACGAGACACAAGACGCATGTCATTGTGCTGGGGCTGCCCGAAGTCTACCCAGCTTAATAACGTGCATTTCTTTCATTTCAAAGTCCTAGGTCCTTCGTTTTTTCTTCATTGACCCAGCTTCTTCGAGAGTCAGCTGTGATTGACCCTAAAGTCTCTCATTCTCCTCTCTGCCCCATCAGCTGGGCCCTCACATTTCGATCCCCAGACGCAGCTGCGGCAGTTGCACGATCACGACCCTATCTGGAGCTGAATTTGGCAAGCAAGCATCTCAATTGCTTCGTTTGAGGGTTCTCGCCACGTTTCAACAGGCCAGAGCTTGACCCCTAGTTAATGCGCACTTAGCTTTTTGGAAAGTCCGGAGCGCCATGGAGCAACAATCTCTCCCAGAGCAATCACCTCCGGCCTACTTCAACAACCGATATCATCATCAAGGAATCTACCCTAGTCCTCCCGGAGAGGAGCGTCGTCCTTGGGACTTCGACTCCCCAACAGCATACCTCGGCGCTCAGACCTCTCCTTCATCTCCCCCCACAGCAGCATATGGCGTTCCTTATATCCCATTTCCTCGGCCTCGTCAAGATCTTGGTGCCGGTGAAAACACCCCAACGTCCAGTGTCGGACTCGGCATCGATGCTGTCGCTCCTTCCCCGGGCTATCCCTTGAATCCACTCAAGTCTATCCGGGATCCTTATCAACTAGATTCCAACGAGAGCTACGATCAATCGAAGGGAAGGATTTTCCAGAGCGAGCGTCTCCTTTCCAGTCCCGAGGATATAGCTGCTCATGGTCAACACTATCCAGACGTCAATCGTTCTCGACGCCATCCAAATTCATCACGATCGTTCCCCCCTTCCTGGAGGTGGAGGTGGGTAGGCAGTGCATGGCCGCTCTATTCCACGTTCTGCCTTGGTATCATCTTCGCTGGGTGCCATCATTCTCTGTACGATCGTCTTGATGGGAGGGAGGCAACCGACCAGATTAACATGATTCGCTGGGGTGGTCTGTTTTCGTATCTTTCGAAGGCTTGCTTGGTGGCATCTGTTGTCTTCACTTACCGCCAGCAAATCTGGGCGACCGTAAGGAGGAAGGCCTTGAACCTTAAAACAATCGATAGCCTCTTTGCGGCTGTAGATGAACCAGCTGCGTTGCTGAACAAGGATTTTCTCAAGGAGGCAAAGCTCGCTGTGACTTTAGCAATTCTAGTCTGGTATGCTTTTATTATCGTCTAGTTCTGTCTTTCTCGTCATCTTGGTGAATTCGGCTAATGCCTGCTGTCAGGCTGTTCCCCCTTACGGTCATTCTTACCCCAGCCACATTAACCGTCGGCCCTATCGAGCTCAAGAACGATTCCGCCATATGTTACGGTGTGAGGACCCTAAACTTCGAAAACGAGATGCACAAGAACTGGAGGAAGGAAGACCGGATTCGCGGGTACCGCGGCGTTTCCGTTTCTCTATGGAATTGCACCCTCCCTGATTCCGATCAATTCCCTGATGAGCCTTTCAACAACACATACTTTGACTATTGGACAGGAAGTAGCTTCCAAATCGACTTGGTTATGTCGCGAAGCGCCTTGATGGGAACCGTTATTCCGATGTCGAATGTAGCGCTCGAGACCTGCGGCCCTGGGTGGAATTGCACGTACAACATCTCTTTTACCGGACCCGGTTATAAGTGCGAAGAACTTGCTCGAGGTGCTCAGCTTGACGAAGAGAAGATGAGGAAGAAAGGTGTGCCTTTCAACACAAGCGACCTCATCCCTCGTGGAAACTTCAGCTATATAGCTCATACCAAGCTTGGCGATTACTCTCCCCAACAGATGGAGAATTACACAGAAGGCACGCCGGGTGCTCCTAATATTACCCCTCCTTGGCCGGAAAATTTCGGGGCCTTCAGAACAGAGCCTCTCCTCTGGATCGGCTATTCTATCGCAACACCAAAAGGCTCCGACAATGGTACGAAAAAGCCACCTACGGAGAAGAGCGATTCAAGATGGAACATCGCCTTCGAGGCATCTGTGCATCGCTGTGAGCACTGGCTCGCTGAATACACGGTGCAATTCAACCAGACTCTCGAAACCCAAACCACCAAGGTCATCAAGCGCAAGTTTCTCCATCGCATCATCGACACTGAATATCTCCCCGACAAACCAGCGAATGATGGAACCTGGGACAACACAACAGCTGTCCCAGAATCTAATTATGTGTTCCCTTTGGACGTTGAAAGGTACCGACTGATTGCGGCATATCACTCAGTTGGCAGCATATTCCGCCGCTTTCTCAACGGAACCATTCAATACTTTCCCTACGCGAATCCAGCTACTGATATTACGAAAACAAATCTGATTAACAAAGATATATACCTTCCCTGGCCGAATCTCATCGAGAACATCCAACACCTCTATGAGAATATGACGCTTTCTATGCTTTCCGACCCAGAGCTGGTTGCTGTGTCCTGGGCTCACAACCGCTCACGCTCTGGAGTCACCGAGAAAGCCCTAGAACCATACAACACCACGGGCTACAATTGTACCAAGACTCGCATTGTCAACGCCTATATATATAACCGCCGCGATTTGTGGATTGCCTACACGATCGCAATTGTTGTAACCCTTCTCTCCGTCATCCTCGGTGCGGCATCACTAGCACAGAACAATCACCATGTTCGCGATGTCCATGTCTCATCCATCGTTGCCGCCACACGTGCCCCCTGCCTGGATAGCCTGCCGTGGAAGAGCTCCAAATGGGGGGAAGTCCCAAAGGAAATTATGGAGACTAGGCTGGGATATGGGGTCATTGTTGACTCAGGTCCGAACGGCACGCCCGCACTAGGACGGGTCAACACGGACGGAAATGCGATATCCGGGAAGGTATATTATGGGTTTGCCCCTCCGGAGGTGTTGAAGGTCAGTGAGTCGGCGCTTGGCCGGAGCAGGCCTAGATCGAGGATGAGCATTGTAAGTTTTAGAACGTGGGATTCTCACCATGGTCGGTAAAGTGGTGATGGCTTATATCATGCAATTTGGTATTGGGACGGTTTAATCTACACTTGGATCATTTCTCGGATTCATTTAATGTCTTTCTAGCTGCAGTGTGTGTCGATGTTCAACAATTCGGTCACTCTGAGCATGTACATGAACAGTGTCCGAGGAGAATCGCATCAAATAGTGAGGCTTATTGGGGTATTCTGGCATAATATGATAGCAATAACTTGGATAATAACACTTATGAAGATGAGATAGGCATGTATATTTCCGTGAATCGCTGATCTGATATACCTAGCCACCCTCTGTGTAATGAGTAGTAGTGTTTTGAGTGAGTGAGCGGCTTCCTGACATCTGCTTACTAATCGCCAAGACCTCGTCTCATCACCTTACCGCGCATCCTTCCGCGTCCGCCTGCCGCGTCGCACGATCCGCGCAACTTGGGCAATGGTTCAAAAGTACAGCATCAGCGCTTTGTGCCGTGGTTGTGTTAACAAAAGTATGGCGATAGCTGAGTTACGCTTTAGCAGTTATTTGGCATCTAGATGATTCCAATAATTATTTTTTCCGATACATTACCATCGGATGTTGAACACGAATTTCAACTCTTAAATGAGACCCCGAGCACTTATTCCTTGCGTGGGCATGTCACTGTACATGCTAAAGGACAGGGCGACTGGATCGATAGCGCGTCGCATTATACACGCTTCAAGCGATTGACATAGACCGTCCTTGTTACCACGAACCTAGTCTATCACCTGCCTGGTCCTTCGTCTCAAGACACCAAATGCCTCGGCAACTACCATGGAAAGTCAAAGGCGATCCTGGACGAAAGGCATCCTCGAGTTCGAGCACTGTATCTAGCTTGGTTGGTCGTAGCTCTCCTGCTATCCGCCGCCCAAAAAAAGAATCGACTCCAGATCTGCCAAGGAAGTCAGGACGCAGCTTGGTCTTTGATGCAGATAGGTCACCGACCAGCTCCCCTCCTCCATCGGAACCCCCTAAGGAAGAGTATGTATGAACCTCCAGTAAAATTTCATCATTCTAGCCGCTTATACGGTGACAGGTTCATGATTGAGGGAGTAGAACATGACGATAAATACCGAATGGTTGAGGACGAGCTTCTTGCCATGGCAGGCCAGTTCACCAGACACCTCCACGCTGCCGAGTACCAGCGACTCAAGGACCTTTCCCGGTCCAAAAATGCGGAAGCCATCCACAACATCTCGCGTCCTATCACTGCAAAGATGAGCGACCTGGTCAAGCGCCGGTATGCTGCCCTCGACACGGCTGCCAAACAGCAGAAAGGCTTGACTCAGATCCTGGGAAAGAGAAAAGACAGGGAATGTTCTGTGTCACCGAAGAAGCCGATTGCCACAGCACTGCAGGACTTGTTGGAGAGTCCTAGGAATCAGATTGTGCCTGTACCATTGCCTCTCCCTCGCACGACCTCCAGGCACAGAGATCGCAGTCCTTCCATGTCGCTAAGAGCCACTATCAGCCGAGTCCAAGGTGGCAGCACCATTCCAAGTGCTGCAGGAGATCGGAAGGATGCATACGTTTCCAAGTTTACACATGAGGCTACTTCTGCAACAAACGACGGCGATCTTGACGTTCCAGCTTGTCGGGCATCGAAAATGGTGTCGCTGCCATCTGGGACTAGCCAGACATCTAGAACAGCAAAGTCACCTGGTTTAGGACAGCTTATCCACCGTACTGAACTTAGCCCTTCCACGAACCCATTTACTCAGTTCTCTGCTAAAACAGGCCGGGTCAGAACCCTTCAAGAAATCTGGAAAGAAACAAGCAACCGATCAACCGTCAAACAAGAGCCAGAAGATGAAGAGGAGGATTTCTTTGCCCGATTAAGGGCAAGGAGAGTTGAGCAGAGGCGTCGTCGCGAAGCAAAACGGCAAGAGCTCAAAGCCAATCCCGAAAGTCAACCGACAAAACTGGATGAAATTCCATTCATATAATTCCGGCAAACTAAAGACACATGTAACTGTTCGAAAATGCTAAATGTTCCATAACACCATCCCACTTATCACTGGTTAAGACACCAACTCCTCCTCCACTTCACTCCTCCTCGAATGGAGTTTCAAATGGAACCTCCGCTTGTGGGGTGATGCGGGCCAGGTGGCGGCGAGCACCGTCCTTCCAGTCAACAAGCGCTGAATGCTGAGTGACACGGTTGTCCCAAACGACGACAGTGCGCTCCTCCCACTTGATGCGCGCCTGGAAGTCGGCACCGTATGCAAGGTGGTCATACAGGAACTTGAGGATCGCCTCGGACTCCTCCTTCTTCAGGCCAACAATGTCGCGGGTGACTATGTCTCCTGGTTAGTCTCAACATGTCAGAGAAAATCGGTGTGTTCACTTACACTGAGGGTTGACGAAGAGCGCCTTCTCGCCAGTAGCCGGGTGTGTGCGGACGATAGGGTGCTCATTGATAACGGGCTCACGGCGCACGATGCCACCACGAGCACGCGAGGCATTGGCCTGCTCAACAGCCGAGTGACGAGCCTTCAGGCCGTGCAGACGCTGACGGAAGGCTGGGCTGAGCCGCTTGTAGGCCTCGACAGCGTCGACGAAGAGAGTGTCTCCGCCAGCTTCGGGCTTCTCCAGCACGTACAGGAAAGTCGTGCCGGGCGGCTGGCGCTCGTACGAGACGTCACTGTGCCAAGCTACGGTGCTCGTGCGGTTGGCAAAGTACTGGTCAATAGTATTGTCGCCGGCGCCACGGTGAACCAGGTGAATCTCAGGGAAGCCCTTGGGGGCGCCCGAGGTTGGGTGGATGTGGTGGCTGTAACGAGTGTCAGAGATCAGCTTCTCTAATCCAGTCGGGCACCGATGGGCACGTACCGGCCGAAATATGAGCCGAACTCAAGGAGCTGCTCAATGGGCAAGTCGACGAAGTCCTGATCGCGGAAGGCGACAACCTTACGCTCAGCCACGAAGCGAGCCAGCTCGTCCTTGCCGGCGTTGCTGAGCTTGCTGAGCTGGATACCGCGAACCTCAGAGCCAATCGTGGGCGTGAGATGGGTCACCGTGACCTGGCCTTTGGGCAGAAGGTTCGGATAGGTCGGGTCGGCATCTTTGCCATGCTCATAGTGCTCAAACGGCTCGAGCGGAGGGTACTTCTCATTGGGGTCCCAGGTCGGGAGATAGTGCGGGTACTGCCGAGTTGAAGTCAGACACCCTAGGTTATTCTTATCATAGAAAGGGATTCGGATTACCTTTGCAGCCTGGTATCCCTTGAGACCGGATTCAGCCTCAGGGTCGAACTTAGGGGCAAGCTCTTTGTATTGGCCGGTAAGGATGCTAGTCTTGAAGGCCGAGGTCTCGGGGATGACAACGGTCTGGGTCTCAACTGCAGCAGGAGCCATTGTGGTATGATGATATCAAACTGAGTTCGACGTTTGGTGTTTGTTTGAAGTTGTCTGCAGCTGCTGTGATCCTGATGGTCTCTGCTGATGGTGAACAAGACATCTAGCAAGCGGGCAGAACACTCTTATATATATATGCCGTTCTCCAACGACATCACCACCTCAACGGCACGGCTTGTAATCGTTAAATTGGAGAAGATTTGATGGCAACTTGACATGGATGCAATTGCGCAAGTGTCATTTGTCCCAATCACGCCAACCGCCCAGAACATCCCCGTGTGTTTTTCCCTTCACTGCGCAGCATACAACTAGCACCGCAGCACATCACGCAGCACCGCATCCCCCCAGTCCCACGTTTTTGCAACGGCTACAGAGCATTTTGCTCCGGTAGCTTGGGGACGATCCGACGCGAAACCGACCGTTCGGGGGTGGTTGCGTGGGTGATGCTAGACGCGGAGCCGATCGCGTCATCGCGTCGCCCACGGTCTTACACTGGCGAACCGCACACGTTTCACAAGCACGCCATCGTTCTTAGGTTCTTACGATACTTTAAGTCCGGGTTGCATCGTAGTCAAGGCACGGAGATAAGATTTTGCTTGCTGATGGAGAGTATCACGACTGCAGGCACCATCGCACTGGTGATGAATTGGTCGTGCCATCACGAGCTCGAGTTTGTTTTAAAGCGAACCGGTTATTTGAATAAATTAGTCATTTTTCATCGGCATTCAACCAGGAAAGCAGTTTCTGCAAGTTTATGTTGCAGTTTCGATATGGTGACTGAGCGATGGCAACATCTGCGAGGATCTCTCCACTGCTCAATGCACGAACACTCAAGCTGAGGGGCTCCATGGGCCAACGGACTGCATATGCTTTCTATCGGAGTGCTGACTTATCCGAATGTTACCGGTTAGTTCTCTTTGATGCTATTTCTTAAGACTCTTCCATGCGGACGAGATGCCATGGCTGGCCTGCTTCACCCAAACAGATGGCTAATCTCTACAGCTAGCTTACTCCTCTCTCATTTCCTCACGGATGCCCATCGTTTTTGGCAGAGACTGCATCTCCAAGCCTGCTTATTCCTTCTGAAAGTACCCTCCATGTCCGAGTTTAGTTTGCTTCAAAGAATTTCAATGCATGCTGTTGCAACTCATTGCATCTTGTGCGCTTTCATACATCACAGTCCACACATCATTAAGAGACGTAGAGACCCAATCTGTTCCTCTTATTCCCTCCTCAGTAGTCCATCTCAACTTATCCTGAGCTGGCGGTTGAAGTCCGGTTCCACCACATTGCTCACAAGATTGGCGCCAAACTCTCACAACTTATTTTCTGCCCAAGCCATTAGATCTGACAGATCTGCTTCAGGCTTTCCCCTCTTGCTTCCAATCATCCAGGGTATACCAAAATACCTAGCATCTCTGGCTTCACGGGTGATGTGCCCAAGCTCGGGAGATTTTTTTTGAACAGCACCTAAACTAGCGTCAGTAGCGTTCCCAATGTCGAGTTGAGTCTTTTTTTAGTGACATACCTTGTAGTACTCCTCTACCCAGGTTTCGGTAGCCAAATGGTCTAGCAGGTACCATTCCCAGGAAGTTTTGCAGCAGGCGCGTGGGCTGCTCATCAAATTCCAGAAAAACTGGGTGGACTTGTATGGATATGCTTAGCAGGATCGCTGGAATGATGCATCCTCGATCCTAGTCAAGCAAAATGGCCATTTTGGCAGAGTCACCATCTTCTGAAGCGATAATTGCGATGTTGTCAGAGCCAAACTTACCATGCCCGAGCACGAATCGGTGGAAGGTTAGCTTACCGGGGCTTTCTTTTGGCAAATGAGTGAAAGAAGCTTCAGGAGCATCCGTTTCGTTCGCACGATATCTGGCCCCGTTTCGACAGGAGACCAGCCTCCTAGGCAACGAGAATCGGCAATCTTCTGCATTGTCATCTCAATTTTTGCAATGAAAACGGCCAGGTAAAACTCGTATGTGGACTCGGGAATCTCTGACACTAAGCCTCGTCTCTGGATCCATGAAACTATGTATGAACCTGCTCGGGGAACGGAAGTTGAAAAGTGCTGCGCGAACACAGGCTGTGTTTAAGATAAGCAAGGGATATCTCCGCGTCAGTTGATTACACTCATCGAGCTTCACTTCTCCAGCATTGCATAGGATTTGTGGTGAGCTTGGAGCCCTCGCGTACATGGGCTTCCGAAGACAAAGGCTGTTGCAGAAGCCATCTGATCCCAACAGCCGCGAAGACCATTACCCCTCTTGTGCTAATATCCCTCTCGTCCGCCTCAGGCACAGGCTTTGGATTTTGCTGAACAGGAATCGACGATAAAGAAGACTCGGTGCCACTATGACGCCACCAGACTCCCTCAGGACGTGACACACGGACTCCTCGAATTTTAAATCGTGAGTCACTGTCTCAAGTATAGTCTCGAGGCTACCCCAAAGATGTTCATTAACCTCCCAGGTAGAGAGCTGCACCAGGAGTTCTCTGCCATTTGATAGCCTGATATAAAAGCCGTAGTCGGAAATAACTTGTTAGTACTGTTCAGTCTAGAACAAAGCAGGTTTATAAGAGAAGCCAGCTACGTGATCAAAGGTTGACTCTTACCTCATAAGGGAACCATCATGGTACATAAGGCCAGCCCACAATTTCGACAATAAAAATTTCTTCAACTTCCTTTAAAAAAAGTTGACGGTCAAAGACTCGGTGAAGTTCCTCCTCACCGTATTCTTCCTAAAACGGCCTGTCTTTCGAAGTGCTCATAGTGCCTTTGAGTTCACTCAACGTAGGAGGCAAGTCATCATGCAGAATCTCAATGCAACAAAATTCCTTTTGTCTTCCAAGGTCGGATAGCTGCCAAAGGAGGATTCAGAACGTTGTGTAGGTTGACGCCAGCAAGGTTTTTTTTTTTGAAAGCCCAATCACAGTGGTTGGTTGAAAAGTGGAAGAACACAGCAGAGGAAGCTCGAGACAGTTTGGCCTGAAACTTGGCCAATTGCCTAAGGTCTCGAAAGAACGGGGGTTTTTCTGATCACTGAAGCAGCATGGGCCACGAATCAGTACCGGTTTGACGGGAAAAATGTTAAAAGCAGCAAAGAAGCAGGTCAAACTCATTCACTAGAAGATCCAATGCAGGGAAAGGTTTCAAATGGGAGTTAAACTGGAGATGAGATCACATGATTGTAGTCATCACTTGCATTCCATCTCATTGTCACAGACGAAGGCTACTTGATCTTAAGAATCTCAAAATGGCTTCTCGCGACTCTTGCGGCATTGTTTTTGATCTTTTGCTTGACAATGTCATCCAAATCCTCATTCCCCCGTTATGGAAACGAAGATAGACGAAGTGCATACGAAATGAAATCCCTTAGAGTGCTCAAGAACACCTGGCACTCTTATATCCATTGTTAAGACAGTGGATGGGTCAACAGCAAAAATTCCGATGAAAATTCAACAAACATGACGTTTCACTATCCCCAACACGTGGTATGTTCCTTACCTCGTGTTACCAAGGCCGTCGTTTCCCCCTCAAATGCGAGATGGTTCCTCACCATGTGTCTGGGGCACACGGTCGTTCCTTCCTCTCCTTCTTGAAGCAATCAAGTGAGCGAAAAGCCTTACACATTACGGGTCTAATTTGGAAGCCCCCAAAACAGAGGCCACCCTACAATCTAATGCGTTTCCCTCAGGGGGACAGTCAACGATCACATCTCTAACCTGCCACAGCCCCAACTTGGAAGGCTTCTATTCTCCAATCCCTCTTGGCTTCCCATATATACTGAACGGAAACCGACAATCACGCAACCATGAGTGACCCAGACCAATTCAATCCATACATCAGCAATGGAACCTGTTACTACATGGCAGGGAATCGAACGCATGATTCTTTCCTGCCCTGCGGCAACTCTGCCCTCGGCCATGTGCACTGCTGCACCAGGGGTGACTGGTGTCTTGAAGCTGGTGCATGTTTTGATGACAGATATGGAACAACCTACCTCGCTGGATGCAGTGATCCTACCTACCAAGATCCGAGTTGCCCCGATAAGAGGTCGTACAAAGGTGTGTGATGCGGCGATACCTGTTTACTACTGATCCCATTAACTGTTGGGCTTGAATACTTATCTTACTTTCACGAAAGATTATCCATGGGCTGGCTTGATTAGGTGTGAGCCCAACGACTGGTGAGATGTCCTCCTCCACTGCTGTGCTCGGAAACTCAAGAGAGATGTCTTCTGTTTATCTTGTTACTTGAAGCTGACAATGTGTTCAAGGGTGGCCTGTGAAGAAACGGCTCGACCATCGATTATCACCAAAGGTGATAAATGTGACTGTCCAACGGCTGCCACTGATACCGAGAACGTAGCGTTCAAAACTGGAGAGCAAATCCCGCCCATTGGTCGGCTGCCAACATACCTTGGTGGCACTATCTCTTGGGTGAATGGGCATTTCCCTACAGCCTCGACCTTTCTGTCAACATATTCCACCACTACCACTACCCCGCCCGTTTTGACAACCGAGGGAAGTTTGGTAACACCTCCATCCAACTCCAACCTCAGCACTGGTGCAATCGTGGGCATCATTGTCGGTTCTGTTTTGGGTGCTGTGCTGATATTTGGAGTGTTGTCTGGTGTCTGGATCATCTTGCGTCGTCGCTCGAGCAAAGGCAACACCGAGACCAACAATCCTGGAGGGACCACTTCCGGTACCTCAGGATTGAGTGACAAAGGACCCAGCCAGAGCGCGCCATCGACTCGTGCAGAGCTAGAAGGATGGTCTTCCCCATCCGAGCTGCCAGGAAACACGCTCCTGCAACAGCCACTAGCAAGTCATCCCGTCTTATCAACCACAACCACCTTAAATTTTCAACATCAAGCCCTCAACACCAACACAGCACAGGGTTCATACCAGGGACAGTGTCAGGAGAAAAACCCTGGGCAAGAACCACAGAGTCACTATGGGAGAGGTGAAATTTATGAGTTACCAGCTTAGTACCTTTGGTGATCCTGGGAAGGTTGACGATGCATCATTTCAGAAGGTTGCGGCTGAAGATATACCTGTAATCTTGCCGGTTCAATATTTGCTCAACGTTAGGCTGCAAAGCTTCTTTCTTTGAAGCTCGCAAAGGATTTCTCCAGGCTCGACAAATGTTCGATGCACCTCGATTTCTAACTAAGCAGTGAAACCGAGGTCATAACTGGGCAATTATCACTAAGAGTAGCTCAGAAAAGCCGAGAGTTATCTTGTATTTCCATCAGTAGCTCAGAAAACACATACAATCAAAGGCTTGTTCAAGGGCTATTCGAGGCTGTTGGTAAGCACTGACGAAAGACTTATATATATAACGAGACGTCTTAAGAGTTCTTCAAGGTATCCACCTAAGCAACAAGGGTTGAGAGCTGTTAGGCCGGCCATGCGGCAATAACAATGGCAGCTTGCATATAGCGAGCTGAAACGGGAAAAGATTGCCCACAAAACAAGCCACTCTGCGCTTAGCAGCAGCCTATGTGTACTACTCAGCCCACTATCATCAGCCGCAACGGTCAAGGGTAGATAAGCTTCAAAACGGGTTTCCAGAACCCAACCAGCAGCCCAACAGCTAAGTGAAGTGACATCCCTTTCTAGTGATTATCAGAAGCTCTTTGACACAGCGTATCGTCACCATCTACGACCTTTGTCATGTCCATCCCTCAGAGACAAACGTAAATCCTTAATGCTTACAAGATGTTGCTCAGGGGCTCAATGGCTGGACGCAGGCGGCAGGCCGTATCAGCCATTGTTCTCGGCTTTTTTCTGTCAGTTCTATTGTTGACACATCTGACTTCGCAACCATATACCTCTGACAGGCTACCGAAATGGCAATCACCTTTTCGAAAGACAAATATTCCAAGCGTTTTGCCATTGCCTCTTGAATACAGCCAGTGTGAATCCGAAGGCGAATGTCCCTCTGGGATTTGTACTGACTTATTCTCTGCAAATTACATTCGCCAACTAGTCAATAACTCTCAGTCATATTGCGAAGATGGCGCTCCGTCAGATATTACATGTTTCCATACGAAGATTGACCGCAAGTCGGCTAGAATCGACTCATTTTGTATCGCCCGAGGCGCACACTTCGACGTATCTTCGATAAAATATATCCTGACTTGTCCTAGGAGAGACGACAGAAAGGAAGATAGAGCTGGATTAAAAATTCCTCTGGAGAGGATGCACCGATACTGGTATATGACAGGTCCAATATACATCTTCACACAGTTTATCCAGCTTGAGGCCAAAGCTCCTTTGGCTCCTTCGGATCTTCCAGCTAGCAGTCGGGGCTCTCTCTCAACGTACATTTCTTCCTCGCCTCCTCCACGCTTCCAACTCCTCGTGAAGCGCGAAGGCTGCGCCAATCTTTGGCACAGTTTGATGGAAATATGGTCGACAAGCATGACGTTTGATGCATTGCGCCTGGCTCCTGATCCCAAAAACCCAGAGCAGCCTCTCTTCCGACACCCGTTCGACTCGCAATACCCAAGTGGTTATCCTCGACGATCACCCCGACGGACCGTACTTTGATCTGTGGAAGATGTTTGCTCAAAGAGAGCCAGTCAGACTTAAGGATCTTCTTGTTGGTCAGCAGTTTGGTGTCAGAGCCCTGGAAGCGGAAATGGCACCAAATAATCATCCCCCTTGCCGGGGGAAGTAATCCGCTGTGGCAGAACGACTGGGTGGACAGACCGGATTGCATATATTCACCCACGCTTCAGGTTTTCGCTCGACGAGTGTTGGAATTCTATAATATCGTTGGACCTGAGGCAGAAATAATCGCTCAAAAAGACATCGTCAACCCGGCGATAACACTAACCTTCATCGATCGCCTCCAGACCCGTCGTCTGGTCAACCAAACGGCCCTCCTTATGGCACTAGGTGCTGCTGTCCCTGAATTCATCCAACTGAACATCCAGGCCGTGGGTTTCGCAGAATATCCCTTTGATGAGCAGTTACGGATCGCCCATGCGACTGATGTGCTTGTGGGAGTGCACGGAGCAGGCTTGACGCATGCCATATTCATGAAGGGAGACACGAACGATTGGACAGGTGGAGGTGTTGTGGTGGAATTACAACCTGAAGCACTGAGAAGCCAGTGGGATGGTGGAACGCATGAAGGACCTGGACATGTGGGATTTAAAAACTTGGCAAGGATGCTGGCGTTGGGGTATCGAAGGATCGCTGTTAGGGAGGTTGTTCCGGCCGATGGTGATGATGAACAAAAGAAGAAGAATTCGTGGCAGACAAATGACGTCGCTGTGGACGAAGAGGAGTTCGTAGGTGTTTTGTCAGGGGTGGTCCAACAGGTGTGGGAGAAGAGGCAGAGGGCTAGTCTCTCGGGGCAATGACATAGCATTAGACCTTCTTGATTCTGGTAGGCCGGTCAAACTGTGGGAAACCGCTATATAATCGAATCGGTCTGGTAGTATCTGCAGGCTTAGCAGAACATACGGGAGCCACGTCCAAAGTATAGAGTCCAGTGTTTTCTTGCCCTTCATCACTCAGGAGCTGGGGGCAGTAAACATTCTTGGCAACAACCCTAACCCGCAGATCGCTCGACCCCAACGCGCTCCACCGCGAGCAGCCTTTCATCCGCTAAAGCATGGACTTTCACACCCCATCTAACGACGTTATTGACGAAATCCATGCTCAGCCTGAGCAAAGAAAACACAATTTCGCGTTAGAAAAACTTTCTCCATATAAATTCTGATAATTCTCGATTCTCAATTCACAAGCACTACAAATCGGCACTAATTACCAAAGAAGGTTTTAAAGCGGCTAGCATAAGCAGCCAACACTCCCATCAACTCATCACTTCTTGCCACAATTACGCTTTATAGTCCTTCATGGTTAAGCTTTATCCCAGCTAATAATCTCCTACCATGCGGCTACGCAACAGAGGAGAACGGAAACGTTATGTTGAAGAACCGCTTATTTCCGATGATGACGAACCTATCATTATTTCCGAGAACAGCACCAAGGATGATGATTTTGAAGAACCATCAGACGGTCCTGTTGACCAGGAGGTTGATGACGATGAGGAGGAAGGTGTACCAACCAGCGATGATGAACTAGCACCAGACAATGGCGATGATGACATCGCGACAAGTTTCACGCCAAAGAAGCAGCGCAACGTTGGAGCAGGGAAGATCCAGAGCCGGAAAAGTTTCCACGAGATCCCGCTCTACCCCTTAGAGAGCCGTATCGTTACTCGTGTTTACGCTGGGCCTCTTCGACGCTATGCGCGATACAGTGCTTTGAGAGATGTTATGTTTGGCCCAGAGTACCATCGGATCAAGATTATTTGGGACCTTGAGATTCGCTGGGCGAACTTTCCCATCCTCCCTCCTAAGCGAACCCCCGAGGACCAGCAGGGAATCCTGCCAAGTCCGTGGTTACCGCGAGGCTTTGAACGAGAGCAAGAAAAGAGGGCATTCCTTTGGTACGAAGCACTTCGAACTAATGCGCCAGGCCTTCAGAGATCCCGGCCACTCTCCCCTGAACAGGCACGACCGTTCATTCCGGACGAAGGTGGCGATATTATTACATTGGTTGGCCCATGGGATAAGCAAAAGGAGTACAGGCTTAGGCAAGGAAGTAGTCTACAGATATCAGACTCTGGCTATCCCGTTGAGGAGTCTAGCCCGAAGTCAACTTCAACTGGCTGGATGTTTGATGTCGGTGGCATCCCTTTAGCTGTCGCGTGGGCTCCATCGACTCGGTCGGATTCTCAAATTCTTGCCGTCGCTACAGTTCCCTTTTCAGATCAGACGATGTCAAATCAGGAAAGTGCCACAAATTCTGCAGACGGGGCACAAAACGCGACAGGATGTATCCAATTCTGGGAGTTCATACCTGAGAAAATAGGTCCAGGACAGCTGGCCACCCCTTCGGCACAACCTGCCAGGTTCCTTGGCGGAAAGTGTTTTAATTGGGGCCGGCCGAAGAGGCTTCAGTTCGCCCCAGTACCAATGGAATGTTGTGGCTCGCTGGGGATACTTGCCGTCCTTTGTGGTGATGGGAAAGCGAGAGTGATTGATATCAAGAACCTCCAGAGCCCTGGACCGACATTTGATGGTTTGTTATATTGAATCCTCTGTGCTTTTGGCAGGATCAGACGCTGACCTCTGGCGCAGAAATAGAAACACCTATTGCAACATTTAACCTTTCGGAAGACTACAAAGTCGATGTCACCTGCCTAACGTGGGTCAACACAAATCGACTCGCTTTGGGTCATTCTGACGGGTCCATCACGTTGTGGTCTGTTTTCCCACAACAGATGTTACAGCGTGTCGGGGTGCACACGACATATGTTATCGACATATGCTCTGCATATCCGTCAAGTCCATACCTGGTTGCGTCAATACCAGTGGGCGGATGCGCCACCCTCACGGATCTTTCCCAGCCGAGCTCGGAATTCACCTACTTCCCTGTTCCAGCCATCAATTTCCAGCCTAATCTCCTCTGTTGGAACGAGTCCATGCAAGGCTTCATGGCATTGTACCCGTCCTCGACGCCAAACACAACCGTCGCATTTCTTCACCATCGATATTTCTGCCAGGCGCGGAGCATCTGTACAGGACCCAACACTCTCACATGCGTGTCGGCGGGAGTCACTCACCCCTTCATTCTGGCTGGCTGTGCCGACGGGTCCATCTTTTCGTGTAATGGGCTTCAGAAGCTTTTTAAGCAAAAGGGAGAGCCATTACGCAAGTTAAAGATCTTTGAGCATGAGTATCGGCCTGTGGATTCGTGGAAGCAGCCCCCACCAGTGGACGTGGCCGATGGCGGCAGGGTGAGGGGAGCAGCCAGAATCCTGCAGGGCTTCCTACCTGAGCCCAACGATGACCCCAGAACGGAGAAACGAAAGGAAATGGACAGGAAGAAGCGGTTGGAAAAACTCAAGAGGGCAGCAGGGAAAAAGAAGAGAGGCCGCAAGAAGATTCATGAGGATGACGAAGCTGAAGATCGCGAGGCCGAGTTGGACCAGAAACTGGCGTCTCGGGTAGTGATTCACGAGCCACTAACGAGATTGACCACCATCGCTTGGAACCCCAACGTGCTCTTCAGTTGCTGGGCTGCATGTGCCATGGCGTCTGGTCTGATCAAAGTCATGGATCTTGGAGTGGACCTTTGAATCGTCGTTGTCGAGACACGAAAACCAGGATAAATGAGGTGCCATGCAGATGGTCGTTGCATTCGCATCCTTTGATTGATACGTTACCAGACTTGCCTTTCTGAGTTATTGCCACAGACCCATGGATTAGTATTGTGACATTCCCTATTGGCGCGGCAACAACATTATTTTAGTATTTACTGCGCAGCGTCCTAATATGTACATGATCTGCCTACGATCTTGTCTGTTATGTGCTGAGTGAGACGACAACTTAACACTGGAGCCCAAGGACACTGTGATGATAGTCAAAAGCCTTAGCCATGCCATTCAGGTGCGCGGCGGCAGCAAGGATGACGAAAACATGAAAGATCTGATGAGAGCTACCCCAGATATCGAAGGTACCGGGATACTTGCATTCCGGCCACCGGACCTGCATTTTGAGTTAGGCATCATGTGGAATCAACCACTCAGGTTTGGTGGAAAGTAGACTTACAGCATACAGAAAGGCCCCGAAGATGTAGAGGGCGCCTTGCAGTATAACCCAGTTCAGGCCCATCCGCTCGTTCAGCTCACTGTAGCTGTAGAATTCGAAGGCGTGGAAGATTGGTACGACACCAGACAGGCCGAGGCCAACAAACATGAGGGTCCGATAGACGCGCCACTCCGGTGTGCGGAAGTGTTCAAACCACGATACGACCAAGCAACCGAATCCAAGGAGAGCAATCTATCCAAGTCAACGTGCCTGTCCCGCAGAGAGAGTTGAGGAAGTGAGACTCACAGTCGCCAGGTAGAAGGTCATCAGATACTCGTGGCAAAAGAAACCATAATACAAGGCAGGTACATAGCTTCCCACAATCAGGAACACAATTCCAGTGTAATCTAGCTTATTCCCCCACATTGCCACCTCGGGCGAGTGGTTGCTGAGCGTATGGAACGTCGCACTCATGCCCAGGCACACGAAGGCTCCTCCCAGGAAGCATGCAAACACCAGCACATCCGAGTCACTGGCGCTCGCATACCGAGGCGCCACCAGAGCATATAGTAGCAGTCCGCCGAGCAAAAATGCAGCAGACCCGAGCAGATGGGTCCAAATATTGACCGACTCGTTGTGCAAATAGCCCAGGCTGGCCAGGCACGCACGCACGCTGTAGGACGTGGGCCGGTAGCCAGAACGGATGAAGTGGTTGTCGCGCCGCCAGGCTGGCAGGTCGTCCCAGGACCAGAGCAGGTTGCCGATCTGGTGCAGCGTTGCCTCGACGGTGGCCTCGGCCGTGTGCAGGAGGGACTCAGCTGCGGCCGTGGCGCTCTCGGTGAAGGAAGGCCGGCGTTGGCGGACCTTGGTGCTTGCTGAGGTTGAACCTGATGATGAGGAGGCGGGCTCGGGAGGAGCTAGCGTCGCCGCCACTTTTGGCATGCAGTTCCCGGCGGCGCCATTTGGATCGTTATCCGGCATTGTGTAACCCGGGGTTGCTTGTGACTCCGACATATGTTTTGCCTGTTCTTCGGAGGGACGACCAATGGCCAGTGACGTCGGTGGCTGAAAGGACTGTCCCGGAAGGGGGAAGAGGTGATCTACAAACCGGGAAGGCGGAAAAAGGAGCGGTGTTTTTGTCTGCTTTTCAATGCGAACTCTGTCTTGGATGTTTTTGAACTCCGAGGCCAGTAGTAGATGCCTTTGTTCATGGAATCCTTGATCACACCAGTTTTGACTGGTTTCCTCCTACCCACCGCTTATCCCAGTGCAAACACATGTCCACGCTGCCTATCTGTTTTTTTTTTTTTTTGTTGGGATCTTTCTGGCCTTCAATCCCCGCTATCACAAGATTGTCAGATGAATGTTGAGAGCAAGGTGACGCCTCCTTAACCGATGTAGGCTGGCACCAACTGGCACCGGCTGAAAACAGTTGGCATAATCCGTCACACAGCTGGTCAGCTGGGTGGCTGACAGCTGTGCAGCACCGACTCCGGGCGCGCCGAGACACCGCTCAACATCCATCGTGGATGAAGCGCGACTCATGCATCCCCAGCATCACGAACAAACCGATCGAGACAATGGGCAATCAAGAGCTCAAGTCCTTCCGATGTGGCTCTAGGAGGTATCAATTATCACTGTCTAGCATTTCCCTAGTCATCAATGTCCTAACTACGATCCGAAGCCTTGTGAGCAAGGCCCGGCCAGTTTTGAGACCTTCACGCGATGGCGGGAAGCAATTAGCACTGATATCGAAGTTGGACTGACTACCTAGTCCGAATGTTACTGCCAGTTTGTAACGCAATTACGAGAAGACATGCCCAGCATTGACAACTATTTGTCTCGCTACCTCACCCTGATGTCCGTCGGGAATGAGCTCGTGAACCGCCCGGCCATTTTCAGTGTGACGCAGATGTTCCCATTCGTCCTCTTCGACTGATTTCGACAGAGGATGCTTCCCTCTCCGAAAGCTGGCAGGCAGATTCGTGAGCGGGACTCGCTCGGAGTTCCACTCGCACGAATCGATGCGGTAAAGGATGGGGTGGATAGTCATCGTCATCTCGGTGCCTGATATTGATCTCGCAGTCCTCTTGCAGGAGCATATCGCTGGAGAATGCAGGAGCGGCGGATGTGCGGGTGTGCCACAGATGGGCATGAGAGTGAGCAGCCATTCCCCGTTGTGTTGCTGAGTTGCCTTCCAGCGGGTCTTTCTGCGCCTTCGTTCCTGGAAACGGCACATCGGCTCCGGAAGCTTGACGCTGCGTGTTTATTGACCCTGCGGCCACCGTTCCATACCTCCACACTTCTCCAGGCTCGTCGACTCCAGATTCCCGGGTTGGCCACATGCTAAGACAAACTTTATTTCTATTCTTGGTCTCTTCAGAGTCTCGCTACTCTGCATCAGAGCATCGTCGGTCTCGGCGCCGTTACTCCGCAACAAGCGTCGGCGAGAACGGCGGTCTCAACCGCTCTCAACATCTGGGGATGGTTATGCGGCTAATGCCATCTCGAAGAAGACCATCTCAAGCCGCGTGCGAGTGGACCAGGGATAACCGGATAGCCGCCAGTTTAGTTCGTGTATTGCAGCAGATATATATATATATTGCTAGCGTGCTGTTGTTTCACCTACCTACCTATCCAGAAGCTGCTTGTGTCGGAAGTCCCAGAAACCACCAAGTGGACATCGTCTTTCTCCTCGATGCTACCACTGCAGAAGATTTCGGGTACGTCGATGTGTAATAGCTGTTACCTGTACTCACACCACCTGTCCAGACTATTGGGCAGCACACTTATTGGGTTTCCTGAACGGTAGCAACACTGTTCACTATTCTCGCCCTTCGAGTCTTCATCCGTGGATCACGGCAGGACTTCCCCGTGGCCCATGGGCGTGGAAGAAATCGGACGTGGGAAAAACACTACATCAGGCCAAAAATAGAGCAGATGTTGCGTGCTGGGACTTTGCAACATCTGAGCCAGCCGATCACGTTTATCGCGGCCTTTGAACGCCGATTATCCCAAAGCGGATGGGTTGAAGTTTGCCATATAGGCACAATTGTTACGGTTGCAACGTCACTTGGCACTCGATCATAATCGACCCTTGCCGCGAAGTCTGGGCGCCGACAAGACTGGCTGACTCGCAAACAAGCTCAGTCGACTCCCCGGATAAATATGCCGAGATATAACTCAGGTCTGGTTCTGACCCACGTCACTTCATCTATTCCATATTGCACGCAGATTGTCGCAACCAAACTCTCCGTAGCCTTCCGTCGCAATCCGTTGCAGTTTGTCGCACTCCGTCGCCATGAAGCTCCCCGAATGCACCATGCCTTCGCTGCTCTGCTACTCTGCTGCCCAATTCTCCCCCCGGCAGCATGGAAGATCCGCAATGTCATTTGGGCTATCTGCTGCTAGCTCCTATAAATATTCATGCTACAGGTGACGACGGCAGCGGACAGTCGGACACTGATGGTGAAGCAGTAGCTGAACCGGCGACAGGGCCGGCGTATAAGTATCAACACGGCAGACCCGTCACCACCCCGGAGCCCGGATCGCAGTCCAGCCCTGGAGTTTGCCAGCACGACATTTTGCGCACCCCCAAGTCTGCGCATCCCTCATATCGCAGCCATGGTCGGCTCAGCCCTTGCCCTATCTCTCATCGGCCTTGGGGCTGTCAATGCCCTGCCCACAGGAAAGCCTGCTGCGAGGCGGCAGTGGCTGGGTGATGGATCGACCGTTTTCATTCCCGGCAACGAAGCCGAGCTACCCCCTTGCCTGACAGAAGTTCCTCTCAAGCAACAACCACCCTGCCTTCTCCCTCCTGTTGTCGGCGGCCTAGAGCCATCCAACAGGAAGCGTGACGCCAAGAGCTCTAGACGTTCTGAGAAGCGGGGATTCTGGATAGGAGACCCATCGAGTGAATTCATTCCTGGAAACGAAGAACAACTTCCTACTTGCCTGACCGATGTGCCGCTCAAGCAGCAACCACCATGCCTGCTTCCCCCTATTGTCGGCCCAATTGAGCCATCCAACAAGGCGAAGAGGCAATTCTGGATCGGAGATGGGTCGAGCGACTTCATTCCCGGAAATGAGGAGCAGCTTCCAACTTGCCTCGTCGACCTCCCGTTGAATCAGCAGCCGCCTTGTCTGCTGCCACCAATCGTTGGCCCTATTGAGCCATCGAACAAAGCGAAGCGCCAAGTTATTATCGGGGACCCATCTAGCGTCTTTATCCCCGGCAATGAGGAGGAGCTTTCACCTTGCCTTGTGGACGTGCCACTCCAGGAGCAATGGCCGTGTTTGCTGGCTCCCATCGTTGGTGGAATCGAGCCGTCGAACAAGGCGAAGAGACAGTTCTGGATTGGAGACGGATCCAGCGAATTCATCCCTGGAAATGAGGAGAAACTTCCGGAATGTCTCATTGGCGTTCCTCTCAAAGAGCAGCCACCTTGCCTTCTCCCACCGATTGTTGGCCCCATTGAGCCTTCTTCAAAGACGAAGAGACAGTTTTGGATCGGCGATGGATCGAGCGACTTCATTCCTGGAAATGAGGAGAAACTTCCAGAGTGCCTTCTCGATGTTCCCCTGAAGCAGCAGCCGCCGTGTTTGCTGCCGCCTATCGTTGGTCCCATTGAGCCGTCGCCCAAGGCCAAGAGGCAAATCTTGATTGGCGACGGTTCGAGTGTTTTCATCCCGGGGCAGGGTGATATCCCTGTGTGTCTAGTGGATGTGCCACTCAACGAACAGCCGCCTTGCATTCTTCCTCCCATTGTTGGTGGCCTCGAGCCCCCAACCCTCCTCGAGCCCGGTAAACTCCCTAAACGCGACACCTTTGCTTTGGTCGATCTTGATGCGGTTGGCACTTACAAGGACGAATGCCCCGATGTTGAGGGTGCTCAGCTCGCTCTTAAGGTTCTCCTGGAGAAGGAAAAGCTAGATGTTGAGGAACTCATCATCAAAAAAAAGCTCGAGGCCTTCCTCAAAGGCTGCGGCGTCTCCGCTATTATCTCCCCGGAAGGTTCCTGGATTTTTATCAAGCCGGCTGACAAGCGGAACCTCGCCGTCTCTTCCTTTGACCTCACCGGCTTGAAGGCTGCCTTCGAGGCACTTGTTAGCGTTGCGTCCCTCAACCCAAACGGTCTTCCTTCCTTCAACAACTGGCTCGTTTTGCAGCAGATTGCCGCCATCCTTGATATCTATGGCTCACCCGTGAACTCGACTTTTGATGTCGCCACGAAACGTGACACCAACTACTCCGAGGTAACCAAGACCGTCGCTGTCAAGAGCTGCTCCATTGGTGACATCATGGGCCTTCGCGCTGCCCTGATGGCCCTCCTGGCCGCCTACGGCAACCCAGCTCATGCCCCGCCTACTGTCTTCCTTGCCGAGCAGGTCATCGTCGCTGCCCTCCAAGTCTGTGGCGAGGCTGTCCAGGGCTGGATCACCTTGTTGCCCGGCGCTGCTCAGCCTGGTCCCATTGTCCCGGAGACTCCTGTTCCTGGCGGGCCCATCAAGCCTGATCCGACCGTCCCTGGTGGCCCGCTTGAGCCTGAGAACCCCATCCCCGGTGGCGAGCTTGAGCCGGAGACCCCTGTCCCTGGCGGCGAGCTCGAGCCCGAGAAGCCCGTCCCTGGTGGCGAGATTACTCCCGAGAATCCAATTCCGGGAGGTGAGATTGAGCCCGAGAAGCCCGTCCCTGGAGGCGAGATCACCCCCGAGAATCCAATTCCAGGCTGCGAGCTCGAGCCCGAGAAGCCCATTCCTGGCGGCGAGATCACCCCCGAGAATCCAATTCCGGGCGGCGAGATCACCCCCGAGAATCCAATTCCGGGCGGCGAGATCACCCCCGAGAATCCAATTCCGGGCGGCGAGATCACCCCCGAGAATCCAATTCCGGGCGGCGAGATCATCCCCGAGAATCCAATTCCGGGCGGCGAGATCATCCCCGAGAATCCAATTCCGGGCGGCGAGCTCGTGCCCTCCACTAAGGCCAAGCGCGACGTGATCGTGAGTGTCAGCAACCCAGAGGCCCTACTCGAGACCTTGCGCATTCTGGAGCAGGCGTACGGCGGCTACGGCAGCGGTACGATTCCTGTGCCTGTCTGGCTCATCCTAGTGAACATTGTTTCTATTCTGCAGAGCATTCCCGGTGTGATAGTGCCTGGATGGCCGGTTCTGGGACCAGGAAGTGTGGTCCTTACTCCCTCGACATGAGATCCTCGACTGTGGGAAATGAGAGGGAAATTAGGCTTGGTGGGCAACGGTCAAGTTGACCGATATCTGATGTCAAAAACATCAAGGGGAAAAAAAGAGGATGAGCAAGCAGCATATGGGTGGGCGGGTGGTCGGAGCGGTGGATGGTTGGTGAGACCTGGCTTAGCGAACCTGTCCTGTCAGGCTAGCAGAGTGTGGTGATGTGGGGGAAGAGAGATCGGTCTTCCCTGCAACAACAATAAGCTAGAATCTTGTTTTTTTCTTTGCTATTTCTCAAGAGATTCAAAATTATACACGTTTAAACATCGTTTCCGAATCTATTCATATTTTATTCTCTAACTCTTCAGAAAGAAATACAAAGGCTTGATTGACTTGGCATTTCGTTATGATGCTGACACTTGTACTCTAATAGATAACAACTATCCAATGGGAATGTTGTGAGTCTGAAATGCTCTTAGTTTTATGTGTCAGCCCGCAAGCATCTCTCTCTGGCTTAAAAGACCTCAGGCATCCAGAGCTCGGTCAACATGAGGTATCGATGTTGCTTTTGGTGGTTGGCTGAATGAGGTTTTCTGTAATGTAGGAAAATCTGATGGAGGCATAGGTGTCTAACCATCTATTTGACAGACCTTAGATTCAACGAGAGCTGAAAATGCATGGCAACTACCTAGGTAGTCGTATGGGGAGTGCATAGAAAAAAAGTTCCTCAGCTGCTGAGTCTCTGAGGGCAGGTAAACAGAGGCAATGAGTGGCTGACTTCATGTTACAGCACCTCAAAAGGAGCAGCTCATGCAAGGTATCCAAGGCTCAGCCATACTGAGATATTTCAAATGCATACGATATCTCCATCTTCCGAGGTTCTAGTTAGGAACTTCGTCGTGTTCACACCATCAACAAACCAAGGTCCTATCTTTGGCTTACGGTGATTTCCGAAAGTGGGAACTGATGATTTCACTCTTGCCTCGCACCTTCAAAGGTCCTTGCGCGTGCGTATATACTTAGTACACTGCCACACTCTATGTCTTTCCCCTCTTGGAAAAATTGCCAATTGCAACTCGAAGATCCTGTTGGAATGGCAGCCGACTGCACTGTAATGCGGAACATCTAGTGCTGCAACCGCACCAAATCCAAGATCTCTGCTGTCTGATTCGCCCCGTCACTGCCGATGTTTTTGTTAGTGATCGTCTCCGAGTTGAAACTGTCTCGAAGTCATATCTCAGGTGTAGGGAGCTGTTGAGATTGCGAAAACATAGCGCTAATGCAAGCACTTTACGCGCTACGCGGCCTGACCTCCATGGCAGAAGGACACCCACAGCGGCCTCGCTGGTTGGAGTGGTTAGGTGGCTGAACGGGCTCTATTATTCATAGTGGGGTTATATACTATCAGCGTTCTCTCCATATGTAATGGTATGTACATTAAGGGCCGCCTGCATATAGTAATGGATGTGAATATGGTCAATGACATAGGCTTCCACTAATGAGATTTGATGGCAATTCTCTTCCGCATATGAGCAATCCTGCTATGGGCTGAGTCTTCCTGATGCCTTCATGTCATATGTGCATACCGCGTGAGCTAGTGGATTTTGTCCAAGGATAGTTGTGCAATTTCGAGCCATATTAGGTAGGGATAGGAGGCCTACGACGATGGTCTTTGGGTGTAGACTTTCTGACCACTAAGGCGCTTATTGCTTGCGAATAGGTTGCAATAGCTACAAGCAAGGTACAGTAATTGAGTTGCTTGGAAAACAGGAAGATAAACCTAAGCCAATAAAACTACAAACATGGCCGATCGGCATTAATCAACTGAAGTGATCGGGATGAACATACATCAACGCCGACAGAGGCAAGACATGCCAAATAATCGAAGCAGCCCTGCAGTGTGATGTTCCTTCTCTCACCCGTCACCACCAATCACTCCATGACTAGGCGCCTGTCAACAAACTTGTACATATGTAACTACCATACGAGGGGGACCGAGAGAACGGAACCGGGCCACCCACAGGTCTGACCGGCAAGGCCTAGCTTGTCTTAACATGTTTTCCTGGGGAGCTGGAAAGCCCAGTAGTGCCAATCGTGGGGGCAAAGGATGATGATGGTGGTGGCGTCTGTTTGTGGTTACATGGGAGGGAACGGGAGCGCGTAGGCAAAAAGATCAAGAATCTTTTGGGAACATGGAGTTTTGATATGGCTGAGCACGAGGGTCAAAGAGCTGGCTGGGAGATCGAGAAGAGCCATTGACCGGATGTCGTAAAGCAAACACCTCGGGCTTACTTGCTGCTCGCAAGTTGAAGACTGAAGTCACAATGACTCAACGAGTGTTGCCTACTCACGCCTGATGAACATTCTTCTATGAAATAGAGGAAGTCTGAAAGAAGTGTGAAGTGGAATCTAGCATGTTTCCACAGTCAACTACCAAATCCTAAACACACCAGGTAGATTTGAAGTATAAATTCAAACTGTCAATATTGATTTGCTTGTGAAGAAATAAACGCAAGGTTTGTGAACATGCACGAGGTTTAGGTCACACAGCGTAGACTGCTCGGCAAATGGTAAGGGTTACTTGGCCTGGGGAGCTCCCAATGCCAAGCCCACTGCCAAAATGAGGGGTCAAGTCCAGGAATGCAAGCAGAAAGCACAGAGAAGGCCCCAAGGGAAAAACAAGGCTCATCAGTTGGGCACAGGGCCGATCAAAGGCTTCGCCATCTTTTCTTGAGATCATGAGAGACTCAAACATTGACATTTACATTCACTGACGATCTCGGCTCTCGTCCTGTGTCATGGTGGCTTGCCTGTGTGCCCAGCCTTCCCTGCAGCATGTCGCAGCTGCGTGCCCAAAGCGCCAATGAGAGGAGTAACAAAGGGCAGGCTCAGGCAACATCTATCCTGCTCAAGCCTCATTTTTTAGTTTGTCCATGATCTTGGCTTCTCATGCCGGAGAAGTCCATGTTCCCCAGAAGCACACGCACTCGCCTGGTCGAGGTTCAACAGACATTCCTGGGCGGTCGGTGATGGAACATTCGATCGCGCTCCGTACTATTGATCTCGTGTTGCTCGAATGCTGTTTGCTGCTCGCCACGTTTCTCTCTCTGAACCCTTGCACCTGCAGTGGTAACCAGACTATGAGATGAACACCTCAATGTGTTTGTCCGCGTCTCTATTCAATAGTGTAGGAGATAGGTACCGCCTGTCCGTCTCAGACAGTAACAGACAAGCATCCCGTTCCGAGGAGCCGAAGCATAACTCCATCCCCTCGACTGCTGTCGTCCCACGCATCATCTCCATCTCCAATCAACCTCCCAAACAATGCCGTCATGCAACACAATCTAAGTCCCGCTCTCGGCTCACCAAGTTGCAAGGCAGGTTGTGCTGCATGCATGCGGTGATACCCAGCGCATGAGACGGTAAAAAGGCAGGGCGACGTGGCGTTTTCCCACATAGCCAATGAACCCCATCTCCAACCTTGAGCCCACCAGTGCTCTGCCATGGCCCAACGAATCAACCTTGCATCAGATGGTGTTGCGTGCAACTGCATCGCTAGTGCACAGCAGCAGTTTTCCTATGCATCTACTCGTAGTAGCTCCGTTACCATCCATGCATGAACTGCACCAATGCATTAATCAGGAGAGTGCAGACAACAGGCAATCGGCAAGGCGGTGAGCCTGCGCTAACTGAGACCTGCTGCAAGGTGGATGCGACGCGGCATTCAACGACAAGGGAACTGTTGTTGATGCTGTCATGAGACATCCCTACGTGTAGGGGAGGCAAGAGAAATGTCCCTTTTGGCAATGACATCAGGTACACAGTACTGTGGGTGCTGAAACAACGGGTACCTAGGTAGGTAATGAAATGAATGTGGAAAATTATAAGTGCGGAGCGATATTACGACGCAACATTACGGTATTGCATCTTTGCAACGCTGAGAATTGGGTGTTAGAGTGAATGTAACATATAGATTTTCGAGGTTTCCGCTGCTTTACTGGGCAGTCCAACAATTAGTTGCCTCTTGTGCCGTTGAATCTCAAGTCAACTTAGACACACTTGATGGAACTAGAATGGCCAACGTCTCTCGCTGCTTCGAGCATCACAACCCTTTGTCGTGTCGTGAAACGGCCGGAATCTGAAGCGTGAATGTCCACAGAGCAGAGTAGGCACCTAGGCACACAGATTGTGACCTTCCGCCCGTTGGTAGCCTCGGTTCACATCACGAATGCATCATCATGCCCACATTGTCAAACAAAGCTGCTCTATTTCAGGCTGCTTGCTTGTTAAAGCGCCCTGGTATTGTCTACCGTCTCGGACTGAGGCCAGCCAACAAAGAGAGTAAACTTGCCGGGCGTGGTAACGTATATTCTCAAACCATGTGCGTCCAGCTTACTGCCATGCAACATGTTGGGCTATTGGCCCGGTATCTCTAATTTCAAGCCCATAAGACCCCTAAATGTGGTATCATTTCCCAGAATAACCAACAAGTTCATTGTGCTGCCTGCTTTCTCCGACAGTCCCTCTTTCCTTTCTATTTTTCAGGATAGAAGCCGATTGGGTATTAAAAAGAAACCACCGGAAAAGGTAGTGAACGGCCACCCGAAGGAAAATGAGGCAACAAACCACCACCCCACCTTGAAACCTATCCTGCCTAAAGCGCCACTTAAATGCTTTCCAAGAATGTTCCCGCCCTATAGCTGACAATGGAAGAACAAAAAACGTAAATATATGTTTCGCAAAATATGGACAAGATAAGCTCTCGCACTCCTTCGGATGCCGAACTTAGAAACGAGGAGAGGGGAGAATGTGAACAAATGCCCTAAGGAGTTAAAACATCTGTAGAGTAATCGGGTCCTCTCCTCAAACTAAAGGGATAAACGTAAAAGATGTGGCTTCATGCTCGGCACATCTGCGGCGCCGACTGCTGGAAACGGCCCAACTGGCTAATCGTCTTAAAAACCCGGCATATGGGCAAAAAGCGAAATCTGGGGGTAGAAGGGGACTGGGTGGCGCAGCTGGGACGTTGCGGGTGTAGTCGGCTGCGCAGGCCGGAACATCTCATAAACGTAATGCTGCAGCTGATAAAACTTCGGTGTACACGCGGCCTGAGGAGGGACCGGGATGGGGTGAGGATGGTAAACGGGTTCCTGCACGGGCATGTCATAGGCGTGCGGGTACTGGGACATGGCCTGTGGATGCTGGTAGTGCTGTTGCTGATAGTGAACTTGGGGGGGGAAAGCCATCCGCAGATCCTCAGCCTCGCAAACCGCCGGCTCGGTTGGTAACGTAGTAGGTGGCGGGGGTGTCTTGACCTCTGCCCTATCTTCGGCAAACTCTTCCTCGTCTTTGTCAAACTCGTCAATGCTGGAGCACGTCGAAGTGAACGAAGAGCTGCTGCTGCTGCTTCCAGATGAGCAGGTCGACCCTCCCTCCGACGAAGTGGGCGAAAGCGGAACATCATGGTCATACTCGGCGGCGGCGCTGTCGTCGTCATCGTACTCACATGCGTCGCCGTCACCCATGGGCGAGTCATCATCGCAAACGTAAGGTGATACCGCAGGCCCAGGAAGGATAGGCTCCTGTGAAAGCGTGGCAGCCGGCTGCTGCTCGGTGAACTTGGAGCACGCAAGAATCCGGCGGCGCAGCTCTGGAAGCGTGATCCTTTGCTCTGGGTTCCGCGTAAAGATTCTTCCCAGGATGTCGTTCAGCTCGTCTGACACCGGAAGGATGGTCTTGAGGAAATCCCGGTTCCTAGTGTAGGCCCGATAAGTGGAATCCTCCATGGAGGCCTGCTTCCACGGATTCCGACCACAAGTCAGGTTCACCAAGATAACTCCAAGACTCCAGACATCATTGGGAGCACAGTAATAAAATGGCTTGCTTGATGAATGATCCAGGCATTCTAGAAAAGGGAAAGGAATGTATGTCAGTGGGTAAATATTCGATGGGAAGGAAATGAAGAGCAGGCGAATGTAGAGACAAGACCTCTGGGCCAATAGTTGAGAGAACCTACCTGGAGACATGTAAAAGGTTGAACCACAACCATAATCTTCAGACTTCTCAGAAGAAGTGGCCAGGCCGAAGTCTGCCAACTTGACAGTCCTCCCCTGGTCAGACACCAGAATGTTTTCCGGCTTTAGGTCCCGATGGTAGATGTGCAGCTTGTGGCAATGCTCCACGGCATCCAGGATTTGAAGGAAGACCTGCTTGGCCAAATCATCCTTACCCACGTACTGACCGCGCTCGGTGATGTTAAAAAACAAATCGCCCTCGGGGCAGTACTCTAGTACAACGTAAATGGCGTCCGGCGCATCGATAATTTTCAGGATCGAGACCACATTCTTATGTTTGGAGGCGAGGTAGTGTAACCGGATCTCCCTGGTCTGGAAAGCCAACTGGCGTTGATCTAAAGGCGTTCCATCCGGATTGAACCTGCTCAGGCACTTCACAGCATAGCGCACCTGCGTCTTGGTATCGACGGCTGAGTACACAACACCATAGGCGCCTGTTCCCACGATTTCTGTCAATTGCAGCGAGCCCGTGATGAACCTCCCTAACCTCTCCTCAGGCGTGATGGGGGGGTAGCGAGGCAGACACGGGTGCTGGTGGTGGATGGTCAAGTGCTGAGCCGGGATAGCGCAAGGCTGATCAAAGGCTGGCGACGCTGGCGGAGTGGGGTATCCGAAAACTGAAACATGCTGCATGATCTGTCTGATAGTGGTTCCTTGTCCTTCGGGTTGAAGAGAGGGAAGCGCTGGCCACACTTCGGTTTCCGCGGCTCCGGTTCAGATGTCTAAGCCTGCTAGAAAAAAAGAGGACGAGGGCCTGAGCAAAGAAAGAAAAAACAGCACTGGGTCCTTAAGAGGGTACCAGCTCCTTTGGATTGGTCCAAGGGAATGGCAATTCTCCTGACAAAAAAACCAAGGAGAAAATCGGGGCACCCAGATATCAAGAATCAACGGTCCAGCCTCCAGAGGGGGGTTTTGTTCCAGCAGGGAGCGGGCTGGCTTTAGCGGATCCTCCGGGCTGACAAGTTTGGCAGACAAGAGCTAACTCGAGCGAACGCGTCAAGCTAGACACTTTGAGCCGTTGGCGAGGCGTGTGTGGTTAGTCAACCAGAGAAGGGGCGAACAGTCCTCATAAGGCCCAGGATGGTTGGTTGACTGAGAACTAAAAAAAAGGGAAGAGAGAGGATTAGGTAAGTTGCGGGTAATGTGCGTAAGAGATGTAGGAGGTAAAGCGTAAAGAGGACAGAACGGACAGAACTCCAACGACACGGACGCAAAGTGTGGAATGAGGCGCCGAAGGAGCAAATCCGGAAAGGAAAAAAGGGAGAACGGTGGTTTTTATTAGTGGAAGTTGAAGAAAGAGGGCGGGCGGGAGGAGAGGCGAAACAGTTGTCGTGAGCCTTCAGCAGCAAGCCTTCAAGATATCAAGTGACAGCGGGCTGAGTGGTTGAGCCATACTGATATCTGCCAGTCGCCGCCCTGCCTCTTTGCCCTCATTTGCCTGTCTGGGGGAGCCTTGATTGGACCCCCTTGGGAGACATGGGAGACGTGGGAGACTGGGCCGCATGGACGGACCTATGGCAAAAATGGATCCATCCATCGACCGAAGGGATCCGTCCCGCCGCAAATCCTCAGCCCCTGGTTGATGCGCTGGTCCCGGGGAGAGAGGCATGGGGTACCTAACTGTTTGTCCAGCACAGGCCATTTCCAGCATGCCCAGCACTTTTCAGCACGCTGCCACCATCCTATTCTTAATCATGGTTGCGCAGCGCTAGTCCGCATCAGGCATGGCTGGGGCCTGCAGTGTGTGGCCCGTGTGCAGCATGATGAGGTGGGCGCCGGGCGGTGGCCCAGGCGGTGGGCCCCTGTGGGCGGGAGTCTTCTCATTTCGACCTGCACACTGCACACGAGCGAGATTTGCTCGATTTGCCCGGTGCCCGGCGGTGGTGGTGTGTGGTATGTGGGGCACATTACGAGTGGCCACTAGCCGCTCGCTGGCATGCTGGCGGACTACCCGCCGCAACCTGCCCACAACCGGACCCCAGCTTTGGCTGACACACCACAAGCGCGACGCTCGTTCCTTCGTGTGACACTACCATTTCTTCTTGTGCCGCTGATGACAACAGCAAAAACGCCCCATTTATCATTCCCTCAGCCACCCCACATGCCAATAAAAAAAATGGCCAGCATCCACACCCAAGCCTCTCTGGATTACGGCGACCTCCCGTTTGTGAAAAAAGGAGCATCTTGGGGGATTGGCCTGTCGGGCATCGTCAACTCCGGCCGCCGACTTCCAACCGGGCGCGTGAACACATAGCTGGTTCTCGCCATCATGCGGTTGTTTGGGAAACCATGGTTCCCTCATGTGTGATTTCAACTGTTGAACGCTGGGCAAATCTCCAGGCATAGTGAAGCCCTGTGACATGTGACAGGGCACGTCTGAGCGGCACGATTTCTGCTTTTATTTTCGAACTCTGCTGCGCATGCAAGTCTTATGAAACAGATACACACTCTTTCATATGCTCTCCGAGGCAAGCGTATCCGTACTGTACGGATCCGTACGCGTAAGCAGGCGGACCCCGTAAGCAAATAGCGGCTGGGTACAACAGACAAAAACATGGCAAAACACAGTCGGCTGAGGATGGCAAAACCAAAAAAAAGAAGGTAAGTGAAAGCCACATCCAAATGACAACGGGTGGATGGAGGGGGTTCAAGGAGCTGCAGACGTCCACGTTATCGAGTCGGCCAATCATAGGCTCACGATCGGACGGCCAAGTCTCTGGCGCCAGGCTCGGGAAAAAGCTGCTAGGTAGGCAGGAACTTGGCAAAACAATCCATGCTTTGACGGGAAACAATGGGCAACTGAATCAAGGTCCGCATTGATTGGCTGCCACACCTCGGGTCTGAAAGCCACTCACGACCGTTCTGTTTTCTGCGGATCAGCAGGTTGGTGGGATTGCATGCGTCAGGCCCGGAAAGGATGGTGAATAGTTCTTTGCCGCTTGGTGAAGGGAGCTTCCAGGCGAATCCATGATTGTGAGACGTTGCCTGTTTGTTTGCGCCTTGGAGTTATACCGAGTGACCTCTTTCATCAGGCAACCCGCAATACCCCAACGGCTTTTCCGAGGCGTCAAAATCCTCTACATTATTGTAAACTTCAAGCCTAGAAAGTGCCAACAGGTGGTTGGTATCGAGGCAAAAGGGGCACACATCTAATAACAGTACAAAGTTAGTGTGGCTGCTAGAAGCTGTCAACAATGGGGAACACCTGTATCAAGGCTATTGTTTCGACACATTTTTACCAGGCAAGAGAGCCCTGCTGCTAGCCCTGGATCCCGGAAGAAACGGGCCCTTGGAACCGGCGTCGCTGGTCACAACGGAAGGACATGGCCATCGAAAAACCATGGAACAGGGATCAATAGCAGCTCGGGAGAATGTTGCCAAGCAAGGCCAAGCACCTGCGGACATGAAGCCAAGGACAAGTGAGTCGTTGACTAAGGACATTCTGACGATTCGATTCGAGCCTCGCACCGGAGGGGCACCCCAGCCCACACAGCCCGATCGCTCCAGGATTGCTGCCGGTGACACAGATGCACGCCCTCCTCTGACACGTCTGTTTCTACTGCGCAGCGATCTACTCAGGGGTTGCATACGCTGTAACTTGTGAGCTGGGATGTCAAGGTAAACGCCCGGTCGCGAACAGCATGGTAATCTGTATCACTTATCAACATTCAGACTGCATTCAAACTGCACTTTGGGCGGATCCCAGGTAGCCTCCTATGTAGTGCAGACGCCAGGATGTGAAGATGCAATCGTCGGGCTCCAGTTTTGGGCTGGACCGCCAGTCCTGATGGTGGGCCTGGTGGAAGAAGCTTCTTGTGAGATTGTCAGATCGATCAGCATCCATCAAATGCACCAAAATCGGGGCGGTCTGCCAAGGCGCATCTGACTGGCCACAGATTGGCGTGGATCAGTCGAGCATCTCCGCTCCAGGTCGCATGCATATCGCCAAAAGCCTCACAACGACATGCGTCAAGATGGGACCGCCTCTTGCCGAAACATGAGTGGGGGTGGGGAAGTTGTATTACGTATATAAGGGCCTTTGATTGGGCGGCTCCGTCAATCTTACTGTGCATGTGCGGCGCCAATCAGGTTCTGAGTCTGCGACTGTTGTCAACCCGTTAGTAGCATGATATTATTACCATATGCTGATTACCGCAACTGAGATACAGATTCGCAGCTTTCCATATCAATGTATCCCCCAGAAAGTCTATCAGATATGCGGTTATTTGTCTAGGTGAACCTCGCCCACCTCGGGAAGTATCAAACACTTCTATCTGGCTGTTTAAGCAAGACAAGAGTTATCTTGGTTTTCCAAATCCTTCCTTTGTCCACAATGTGGCATGACTCGCGTTCGTTTAATACATCGGTAGACAGCAAACGGGCGGCTATTCCTTGAGTCAAATTGTGCACCACAAATATCTGCCAAAAGCCATGCAGAGGTAGCCTGTCCCAACGTTGATATTCCAGGCCACTCTGTTCTCTGTTGCCCATCGGTAGGCCAAGAGATCAGGCCGCTGCAGCATTACCAGCGCCTACAAGCATGCTTAAGTATTATGGCACAAACGATGATGGCCTACCTGATGGCCCTATCGATTAGTCGACATGTTTTGCCAACGTTTTCTAACATCTACCATTCAACGTGTGTTTACAAGTTTCTTGTACATACCAGCAATCACACCCGATGATTAATGATAGGAATTTTTACAACACAGTTGATCATGGCTTCCAGAACAATCCCCGCACGGCGCCAACCTGCACCATGTGCCTGATGCTGCAAGTGATTTAAACAAGGTTGGTAAGGACCATGAAAAGAAACAGTCCCCTGTTTGGCATGGGGAAACTCGGCGGCTCCCATCACACCCAATATCACAGATATCACATGTGTGAATAGGGAGAACCTATAGGTTCGTATGCTCTTACCATGTCAATTCTTGTCTTAAAACGATCATTCTCGTATGGAAGTAGTATGTCTTCTGCCATGCCACCGTAGATTTGCAGCCCTTCGATGTTCTATTTTCGCTTCGGATTGAAGAGTTTCCGGGCGTTTAGAGGGGGCACCGTTCACTTAACTTGGTTGCTGCCTCTGGAGTGCTGCGGACCTTTCCATCTCGTCGGAAACCTGGCATAGCCATGGACGCGACATATCTATTGGTAGGTAGACCATCCTAAGTTAGATACTACTCCGCATTCTGCATTGCATGTGCGCTACTGCAGAGCCGTCGGAGCATATCCTGTGTACAAGTAAAGATGAGATGATGATCTGCCGCTCTAGGTTGCATGCCTTGGCAAACTCGTAACAGCCGAGCTTGCCGCTACCCCCAGCAGGACGCAGCATGACTGGCATATTCATCAACTTCTGCTGTGAATGTGCAGCACCAGGCGCTGCAAGCCGCGGGAGAACCCGTAGTGCAGACCATGATCGGCAATATGATGCACCAGTCCAACAGGCGCAGCCGTTCTGACTATCACGTACACATCCCCTGGACCGATGAAACGGGGTTCAATCAGCTCCGGACATTGAGCGTCTGCCGTATGGGTATGCGCAGCATGGCTCAAGTCTCCTGCAAGCACATGAGATTCTCGGAGTCATTAGCAGTCATCAACTGGCGCCTTCACAATCATTGGATCAAATGCTGCCGACAACAGCCGATGAAACCGCCGCATCTCTCGCGAGCTGGGTAGTCAAGAGTCAGTTAGAAGCTCGAGCGGAAACGCTGGCGTCAAAGCATCAGACAGGTCAAACAACACCCTTGCATTACGCTCGGCTGTCCTGGGACCGTCCAAAGCTCTTCGAGTCAGAAAGGCTGTCCGGGCCCGATAAAGTGACCCTCCCTGGAGAGGGCTACGTCCGACAGTGTCTCAACAGTAAAGGATCCCACCTCCGAGGCCTCCGTTCGGAGGTCATCCGGTGTTGCCACCGACGGGCTTCGGAGTTGTCACGGACCCGGTCCCTGGGTGACAAAGCTCAGCCGCGGCCGGTGGCAACGCTAACTGTGATGCTAGGAGAGTCATCCTACGCAGTCTTCCTTCCACGAACCCTCGATCAACAACGATCGACGTGCTTGCTTCATTTAGATCGGCGTCTTGGGGTAGCCTGGGATTGCTATGTTACACTGCCACAGACTATGGGAGAACAGTCGATCTTGTCGTCGTAATCATGAGCAATACGTCATCGGATCTATCTCGTAAGCTTCGCAGCTTTACTTTGAATCCTTTCTTTGGTTAGCCTCCTTACGGTATTTTTGGGGCCGCCATCAAGTCATCTTGCTGCAGTGCCTTAAACCATTGGGCCCGTGGTTCTGATAGGCAGTCATTTTTGGTATCTACCTGTTCAACCAAGGCCATATGTCTCTTATGAGGGACCACCCTCCTGAGAGACCTATCCTACCATTGACTACCAAGACTTGGTTCTCCCATCTGCTCGATCTATCTCAACACGCCAGTCGCTTCTTCGAGACACCACTGTTTGTTTCGAGATCCTTAGGTGATCATATTTAGTGCTGTGCCACGGCAAAGGAAGCACTTCACCATAGAGGCATAAGATGTAGATGGCAACAACATCGTCAAACGATTTTTGATCGGACTTCCTATTTCTCACCATGAAACTTTCTTAGGCCAGCATTGTAGTGACTCACAGTAACCGTATTTCTGCAGTTGTCTGCCTGTTATAGGCCGGTGGCGTTTGCCATGACGGAGAGCGCTTGATGGAGGCGATCACGACAAACTAGCTGATCGATTGCGGTGCCTCAAGTTTACTCCAATATCACAGCTGGATGATGCCAATTGTCGTGTGTCTCAGAAAGAATTTACGTGTCATTGGTAGCAGGCTGATTTTTGGGAATAGAGTCATCTGAAACTGGTTGTTCAACCCCACAGGACGTCTCAATCGTGCCAACTTCCCTAGACAGGCGGCAACGTGCCTAGACGCAGTCAGCAAGCCAAACGGTCGGGACAATTGGCCCACCGTATTGGCGCGCGCTCCATTGCAGGAGCAAGCGGGTTGGATGCACGACAACGGCGGATAAGCCAGAGCAATCGGGCAGCCGCATCCTTCGCTTCCCGTCTACAACACAACTCGTCATCCACGAACTGCAACATGATGTGACGGAAACTGCTACACTAAAAACGGGAGGAATGCGATGGCTAGTTGTTGCTGCTGTGAGATAATCTTGGCTACCAACAACTTCCAATATTCCAGGTCAACCGAGATTATTTTAGTTTGTAGGAGTGGTTGGGGGTTGACAGGATGCTAGAGTTTCTGTGCTACACATAACGATGGAGTTGAAGGAATGAATGTGACAGAAAAGGATGTCAAGATGTCTGGGTGCCTGTTGTGTCCTTCAGTGCTGCCTTCGCTTTCCTCACCACTTTATAGTCAGGAGACTTTGGGAGGGAGGGATCTACAAGCTGATTATCGATAAATGAGTCCCAACCACATGTTTGGATGCCTCTCGATTCTTCACTACACAGTAGCAGCATTTAGATGAACAACCTAAGCATCTGCGGCACAGCAGTCCAAGACGCGAACTAGACGACCTGTTGTTCAACATGTATTCATCCGACTAATGTATTACTTGCAGCTGAGCCACGAACCTGCATGCCATGAACCTTCCTGCAAGTTGTCGCCCATTGTAACGGTGTAAGGAGACACTCGCATTGACTTTCCGCTTATTGGTGTAAAAGACATTCTCAGAATGCTTCCGAGAACGAAAGTTTCTGGCTGCTGTGGCGAAATAGTTCAAACACCCATGGTTAACATGACAACAAATCTCTTCTGGTTGGAATATTGTGTGGCTAGAGAGGAGAGCAGTGTAACCATAGAGCCTCAAGAAAACCACGCCTTTCGCTCTTGTCAATCCCGCTGAGCAACGTGTGGGGAGAGTGGTTTATGATTTTGAACTTTCTCATTAGAATGGCACAAAGACTGAACTGCTCCTCGAACACAAATGGCATACCAGACATGGAACTAAACACAAGCTGTTGGTGAATTAGAAGGATTCAGACACCTTGTAAAAGCCAATTAGGACGAATTAAGGGTTAAAGGGCCAACCAAGCAGAATGGCCTAGAAAACTTCAGGGAACGCTCACAACATCAAGGTGAAGAAGCCCTACATGAACACAACCTTTGGTGTAATTCAGATTTGGTACAGCACCAACATCGGTGAACATAATTCGTCCCATTTTCGCAACACCACAGCAAAGATGCGGTAACTCACTTCTAGCAGGATCAAAGAGCGGTAGATTAAGACATCAGAGTTAATCCACACGGCATTATTAGTTACACTTTTCTGTAGGATGCACACATGATGGCCTAACCAAACGCTCATCTAATACAAAGGATGCAAAACGTGAAGCATAGAGCGCTGTAGCAGCCGTGCACGGAATGACAATATCCTTAGGCTTGCAACAAGCACAATTGCAGCACAATACCAAGAACAGGCAAACAGGGGAAAACTACACATTACTCAGGTGCAGGGGTGAGCTGGTTTAACTATCTGCGGCTTTGGCTATGTCACAACAGAAGACATCAGAGAAGGGCTGTTGATTGTGATACCCAAAGGAGCTCTCAGGATTTTCAACCCGTCTCATACGGACGAGGCTGTTCACCTCTCAAGAATGGGTGATGTCAAAAATACTGATTAAGAACTATGTCAATTTGAGAGGGAAATTCCCCAAGTGAACTCCACCAATGGCTGGCAGCGCGGTTATCTCAACCAATAACCGCTCGGATTCTGTGTCAGTTGCCTGTAAATACTAGCGCTTGGCTCTCAGATTAAGCCAGCCTTCAACATTCCTCGCTGCTTAACCATTGAACTTTTGTCACGTTTTAAGTACTGCCCCCGAGGAATGCCCTATTCTACGCCCAAAACGAATCTACACTCCGCAACTTGCTTCTTAGTGGAGAAGCAAGCTCTCCTTTACCGAGCCAGGCTCCTCTGCGTAAAAAAGGGATGCTTCAACGCCTCTGTGGGCGTGATCCTTTTCTCTGGGGTCAGCGTCAGGCAGCGCTCGAGCAGATCAATGAAGTGGTTGAGATCACGAGACTCGGCATCACTCATGCCCTGTGACGCGGCCAGCAAGCGGGTACGCAAGTCACGCGTGGGTTTAATGGTAGGAAGGGTGCGGACGCTGGTCTGCAAACAAGTCAGTTAACCGTCTAGTATTACGACGGAAACGCAAAGAGAGCAGTCATGATGGTTGGGCGCGTAGAAGGAACAACCAAGAAGGACCAGAAAGGAGGAGTGAACCTTGCTTGCCGAGATTTGGCACCAAAACTAGGTGGTGAAAGCACCAACGTGCCACGAAGCCAACCAAGTGATAAAGGCAAGAAAACGGGCAAGATCGTACTCACCTTTCCTAAGATTTTGTCCCTTTCCACACTGATGAAATTGCCCATTTCATCAAAATGGTTGTGCGCCAGCTCACCGCGCCGGTAGAACTTGGCGCTCAACTTCCCGCGGATCTCCATGATATTTTTGAGCATCTGGTTGTTGTTCTCGCCCGTGAAAAGGATCTTTCCCGTGTACAGCTCATACAAGGTACAACCAATCGACCACATATCGACCGCATAGTCGAAAGGGACGCCCAAGATGATCTCGGGAGCACGGTAAAAGCGGCTGACCAGGTACGGCATCGGCTCGTTGGCTGCCATGGCGGCATCAGAACGATCAATTGCCGTACCCAAGTCGCAGATCTTGAGCACATTTCGGGCCTCGTTAACCTAACAAATGGATAAGCTCATGCTTTTAAACACGGCAAGATCGAATGCCAACCTACCAAGATGTTGTCAGGCTTCAAATCAGCATGGATGATGCTGCACTTGCGAAGATGACCAAGGGCCAGGAAGATCTGATAAGCATACGCGCGTGTGGCATTCAGATTGATGCCAACGTTGTTACCAAACTTTTTCAGCACCTCGCGAAGGTTCATGCTTAGATTCTCGAACGCCATACATAGATGGCCCTTGTACTCGAAAGCCCGTTCGAACCGGACAATGTGCTTCTTGTCCTCTGGATCTGCTTCGTTGAGCTTCTGCAGGATGGCAATCTCAGTGTAGCCGCCTTTACGTAGGGCATCGTTGTTCCGCATGATCTTGATGGCGACAACCTTCTTGGTTACGATATCAACAGCACGGGCAACACCAGAGAACATACCCCGACCCAGGGTCGTTGAAATCTGATAGCGGCCATCCAAAATTTCACCCGGCCTGATCTTGTAGTAGCCCTCCTTATCGTCTCCCTCCAAAATACCACCTCCGCCAGCTACACCAGCTTGCGCTGCTCTTGTATCCTGGGCAGCATCTGGTTTGGGAGCCGGCGGCGCAGCGAACTTGTCTGCGAAGTCTTCAGCAAACATGTCGAAGTCATCATCGTCATCGGCCTCTTTCTTATTGTCTTCCTTTTCTGGAGCAGGTTTTGAGACCTCAACAAGGGAGCCTTGACGCAACTGGCCGTGCAAATGCAGGCTGCCATGACGCATCTCATCTCGACGTTCATCTTCTTTCATGTCCACTGTTGGATCATAGTCAGCAGCAGAGGGGCCATCTTCATCACGGGCCTTGGCTGCGCCATGGGCATTGATGAGCGCCTGGTCGTCAGCAAAATTAAGCGCAGAGGGTGACATGTCATCCTGAGTCCTGCTAGGGGATAGAGTAGGCGACCGACGGCCGTCTGATATCTGGTTAGCAGATATATTCCAACAAGCGATAGGAGGTGAGGGCAGTTGTCCTACCAGATACCGGCGTCTCACCCTCAGGTCTCTGTAAACCTGGGGTGTTGTGGCGCGTCGAGGGCTGTGTGGACGAAGCCTGGTCGCCAGCTTGAAGCGTCCGCACCGCGGGAGAAGTTGCATCAAGACCTCGCTTTAGAGCCGCTTCTCTGGCACGACGCCGACGCTCAATCTCAGCCTGGACCCGAGCTTCTTCGTCCATTAAAGTATCGGGATCCCAGTCAACATCAGGCTCAGGCTCTTGACTAGGGCCACTGCATCTAAATGTTAGCAGTTGTGCAATAAACAGGGGGTAGGCCGTTATGAGAAGGTTACTACCTGGTGTTTGATGATATTGTAAGACCGTTGATGCCGCTTTCAACCGTCGCACCCTGATCAGTCTTAGCCTCATGCTTGGAAGCATCATTGAGGGCATCTGCAGGAGCCGCCCGCTTGGGAGAGCCATCTGCCAAACGCCGCTCAACTTGGGCACTGTACTTGTCTTGATCTTGCCCTGGACCGGCACCATTGTGACCTCGATCCCTGTCCCTGTCATTATCCCTGTCCCGTCTCTCCTTGTCCGGGCGACCGCGGGGTGAGCGACTGCGGATACGGGGTCGCTTTTCGGGATAGCCGTCACGGTTACGCTCGCGGTCGTGGTCGTAGCTGTGGTCGTCTGCGTGATGATTACGAGCGCGTGCGCCAGAACGATCATCATACCGATCAGAGACAGGGCGCTCTAAGTCGCGATACGGACGACGGTCGTCTCGAGAGCCGGACTCATGATGAGGACGAGACTTGCGCGAGTCACGGCGGTCACGGCGGTCACGGTGGTCGCGGTAGTCGCGGTAGTCATCTCGAGATCGCTTCCAGCCGCGGGGCGATTGATTTCGTCGGCGGAGAGGGTCATGGTAAGCCCTCGATGGTGTGTCACGGTCATGATCGTGATCAAGGTCGGGGGTGCGAGACAAATATCTGGCTCGGGGCCTGCCGTTCCGGTCAACATCACCGCTTTGTTCAGAGCGAGGCAGGGGAGTTGCCTCTACGATTTCCCCCTCGTCCGAGCTGAGAGACGCCATTATACCGACCACCAGAAGCACCTATATAGAAGCACAGAGGCTGTCCACTTGGGATTTGCCGCTGTTACTGGACGGAATGCCTTTCCCACTTCTCGACTTTCCCTTCCTGTCTTGCTTCTGTGTAGGTGCCAGCCTTATAGGTATCAGTGATGATTTGCAAGACAAACCACTGAGCGCAGCTCAATCAAGTGAACTGTGATCGCGGTCGGTATTGTCGATAATGGAGGGATGCAGCAAATGGAGATTCGCAGCTTGTGTGTTGTCAAAAGAAATATGTTGATTAGAGATTGGATATCTTGTTGAGATGGAATGGGATGTGATGCAATCCACTCCGGTGGCGTTTGGAGGAGTCCTAGATGCGACGGAAGTTTGAGCCTGCCTGCGCACTGGCCGCCGACTGGTAGCAGAACGTAGTCAACCACAGCACAGCCGCCGACAGGGCGAAGCCTCTGTTTCTGCCAGGGTTCCGTTGTTTAGCCGGCTGACCGCCCTGATTGCCAAGATTGGAGGACCCTGAAGCAAGCTGTGTGATAAAGGCGGCTGACCGCTGGCATTGAGGGGTGTTGCTGTCAAATTCTCTTTCGGTTTTCAACAGGTCTGCTGCTGCTGCGTTCGTGTTTCCTAAAATCGAAAAACCACGGAAAAAATCATAAAATTTCAAATGGGTGGCCAGAGCAGAGAAGGTAGGCTTCCCATTGCATCCAACCTCTTAAACTCCTTTAGCCAGCCAGACTAACATGCCATTCCTCACCAGGCGGCAAGGCCAAGCCCCTCAAGGTGCGCATCTCTGAGATGATGTCGTTAGTCTTTCCCTGACTGCCAGAGTTGAGATCTAACTACCTTACTGCAGGCTCCCAAGAAGGAGAAGAGGGAGCTTGACGAGGAGGACAAGGCTTTCCTCCAGAAGCAGCGTGAACGTAAGACCTACCCTCAGGTCACACCCTAAGATGCCTGCTAGCCTTCATGGCGATCCTCTTTCAAATTGAAGATGATTCTCACACATCGTTGCTTGCAGTGGAGAAGGCTAAGAAGGAGCTTGCTGCCAAAGCCGCCGGCAGAGGCCCTCTGGTGAGTCCATCCCAACAAATTCCCAACTCAAGCTGCATGATGGAAACATTTGCAGCCACTTACCATGTAATGATCAATGCCAACAGAGTGTGGGCGCCCACGGTATTAAGAAGTCTGGCAAGAAATAAGCTTGGTAATCAAGCATTTCAGCTGGACGGAGGGTCACGGCGTTGCGGTTTGGTTGGAGCAAATAGGGATTTGTTGGGTTTTGGAAGGATGGAATGGCATTTCAAGGCAAGGCAATATACCAAATCGAATTAATTGCCATTGCTTCTTATACGTCTTTCCTATCTGGGCTTCATCCTTGACGCCCTTTGCGAGCATATTCCGTCTCCTCGCCCACCAGGCAGCAACTTCTGCAAAAGAAGTCCTTTCAGGAACTGCACAATGGGTAAGTCATAAACATTCATCCATCAGTGATGGGGGCATTCTGAAACGAGCAACAATCTTTTGGTGCCTTCATTGCAAGCTCGTGAACTTAATGGTCGAGGAGGGTTGCGCATGCCCATCCCCTCTGTAATTACAACCGCTATGGAAAAGGGCACCGTGACTGAGTGTTTGTCCTTTCTAAAACTTAGGAGATGCGGACATGATTCACATGAGATTTGCAGCAGGAACGCCAATGCAGCAATCAACCTCCCTACCTGTAAACCCCAAAACGCCAGTACAATGCCAGTCAGCAAAATACATGCTAGAATAAATGGCAAAATGCAAAGTGAAATGAAGCCGAAAGAGTGTTCACATCATGAAAGATCGCCCATCCATCATGAACTTGGAGCCGAAAAATTCATCCTGGGGCAGCTCCGAGGAGTGGACTTCTAGTTCCCTCCCCAGATATGGCCCCCGCTCCGCGGCGCCGCACCGGGCGGCGTGGCCCTTCCGGTTTCCGAAGCCTCTCCTGGGCGTCTCCGATTGTTGCTGCCCCTGAAGTAATCATATGACTGTGGCGCCATGTGCTCGTCATGGTCTGTCTGCGGCAGCCCGCCATAACCACGTGGACCACCGCCCAACATACCAGGAGCGCGAGTACTGCTGTACGAGCTTGGCGTGTGCGACCTATAGCCAGGGTTGGAGATAGGCATGCCGGCCGCATTGATAACAAGATTGGCACCGCTATCATTGCTGCCGCTGCCCAGGCCATACAGTGTGTTGCCCGAGGCACCAGCGCGCGAGTAACTGTTGGTGGGATGGTGTCGTGCGGCAGATGAGTAATGGGAAGGCTCGTCATAGGGACTATACTGTTGAGGGGTTCTGTAGCTGCTTCCGACATCATCAGTATAAGGTGAAAAGGCCCTTCTGCCGGCAAAGCCCATCCCACCAGCTGGAGTTCCGGGTCGTGAATTGGGCTCAGAACCGGGCATGCCTGGAGTATCGGGACGAATAATATCCGACGGCCTGCCAAATAGCTCGCCTGCTCCATGATCGGCTGCGAACTCGTCACGATTCTTGTAGAACTCGAAGTCCAGTCGGGACTCCGGAACAACTTCAAAGCCAGGAATTGAAGGCGATGTCTTCCCCGCCTGACCAGACGACATGTTGTCGAGGGCATATGAATCGCTGTAGCCACTGACAGACATCGTGTCGCCATCATAACCATCGCCTGGTCGTCCCCGATAGATACTCGCCAAAAGGTTTTGTGCCTTCGCATGGACCATCGGAGTGATAAGGGGCTTGAAGATTGCGGGGTGTCCAAAGCGAGCAGCGAGCAGCTTATCAGTGCAGAGGCCCTGTTCTTTGAAGTTCTTGGCTGCTTCCATTTGATCCTGCCTGGTGTATCTTGTCGCGTAGTACTGGATTTTATGGTCGAACGCGCGAGAGCAGTAGATCTTGAAAGCGATCATGAGGAAGGGGAGAGGAGCGACGGCGTAAGCTTGAACATGCGATGCGTCGCCGCGGACCCAGACGACCAGAAAGACGACCATGTGGGACAAGATTGAGGCAAAAAGGAAGCGGTTGAACAGGATGCGCCAGAACATGCCGCCACTTTCGGTCTTGGTGACAAAAACGTAGAGCAGGAGATACTTCTTGAGTCCAACATCAATGCAGAAATAAAGCGCCGCAGCGGGAAGTACGAGAGGCTGGATCGCAGCGTAACAGAGCGCAATGGTTGAGTAGTACAAGAAATAGTTGTAGTAGCTGGCATAGTCGAATGGAGGGGGCGCCGTGAGTTCGATTAGTTCGCGAGGAGTCGGGCTCGAAAACTTCCGCATTGCAAAACTGTAGACGAGTGTCCATAACTGAGCCAGATCCACTGCGGCTCCAAGTTGCCTCTGGAGAAGCCACGAGATCCAGAACGGGGAGACGGTGCAGATAGAGAGGAAGACTGTCAAGCCGAAGTCGGAGTCGACGATGGCCTTCCAGGTATCTGCGCCACTTTCTGTCCTCTGAACCACATTGGCGATGAAACTCCATAAGGCACTAAATACCGAGAAAACGATGAGGTTGTTAAATACGAAGAAAGAGTATAGCTTGGCTACGACATGACGTTCTCGTCCAGTTTTGGTCTGGTCGCCGGCCTTGATCGACATGCGCCGGAAGATGATGGGCAGGGCCACGTAAACGAGCGACATTAAAGCAGGAGAGGCAATACCTTGGATGAGGGACCAGGTAGTGCCATTCCTCTCCAATGAACGCTTGAAAGCGGGCCAAACGTTGCCCAAGTTACCCAAGTTCACGAGAAAGATGGCGATGAAGGCGTTTGGAACGATCCAAAGAATTGTGAGGATGGTTATCCAAAGGTTGTTCCAGAGCCGCCTGGTGCTGCGAGTGGTTGAGCTCAGAGGCATGTTGTCCCAGATAATATCGTTAGGACGCGGAGCAAGGGTTACGACAGCGCCGTGCTTCTTTTTGCGGCAAGCATAGGCGATCGCATGCGCTTCGGCGATGTCGGCGAACGATGCGAAACCATACGGCATGGAACCTCTCTTGTCGATACGCTGACGGACATCCTTGATCTCCAGTTCCAGTGTCTTGATGCGTTGTGTGAGGTAATCGATGGCATCAAGCTTCTGGCCTTTAGGGTACGACGAGTACGAGGGATCCTTCTTGGAGGGCAAGCATGTCGGGCGTGTGGCTGGAAGGTTGTTCGGGTCTTTGAGATACTTGGCTAACACCTTTTCAAGTTTTCGAACCGTTTTTTCGTGTTCTTCCAAAAGCGCTGGCAAGACCTTGACGTCTCGTGCAACGACGGTCCTCGCGAAAGATGAATGGGGTGCGACCTTGTCAATAATTCTGGCAATGCCTTCATCAGAGGTATAGCTTTTGGGGATATCATAGAGCTGGCTAGGTTAGCGCCTATCTGTTAGTCTCGCAGCGTATCGAAGCACATACCATCAAGGTACGGGAGTGAAGACTTTGTTGATATTCTTCGCTTTTAAAATACGTCCGCCTCAGCTGCAACACCTTCCGGTAGTTCCACCACAAAAAGCCGCAAACAATCAGGGTCAGCAGCCAAGCAAATACGACGGTAGCCCACAGGGGGGCGCCCCAGACATTTCTCGGAGTGACCTGGTACAGCCAGGACGGGTCGGGAGGTGTGAAGTTTGTCCAGTTGACGGGAATCAGGATGCCGCATCCGAGAACCGAGAGGATAACGAAAATATTGCGGCACATTCTGGTGAAGCGCATGAAAATGGCAGCATCCATGCCCGCCAAGTGCACTAGGTCTTCTTCTGATGTTGACCATAGCGGGGAGATCCAGGCGAACAAACCCTTCCCGAGGGGAGGAGGGGCGTGCTTTTCATCAGCATGCTTCAATTTCGGGGCGTACACAACACTATTATATGGCCGCAGAAAGGAAAAAGCGATGGCAATGGCAGCGGTGATGCCCAGCGAGGAACCAAGGGCAGCGTAGACGGAACTCTGTTGGAGCTGGAGGGTTGTCAGTGAGCACAATAGCAACGTATTGCAAAACGAGTACAATACCTGTGAGGCAAAGGGGTCAGACAGCAGCTGCAACAAGATCTCAGCCGAGGACTTCTGTCCATCGCGCTCCTGGAGTAGCCGAGCCGTATCCATGATGTGTGGTTTGTGAGCTGATGCCCTCACCGGGCATCTGGGAAAAAGGGAGTGGTCAAGCTGCCAAAATACCGGACGAACACCGCCACACAGGAAGTTCGGATGATCGTCGCGATGTTTAGACGGCCTGAAGGGTGTGTGTCTGCCGCCCAAACGAGCAGCTACAGGACCCGTGCCACGTTTTCGCGTGCGAAAAAAAAAGAGTCCCAGAAAAAAAACCGAGAAATTCGGTTTGTTGACTTGTTGGGTCAATGGCGAAGTTATTACCCGGGCACGATAGACGGAAACGAGAGGTCGTCGGCTACTTTTTTCTGGTTGTTGCACCGGGGCGGCAGTTCAACCGAGTGTAGACGTATCCATGCGACCTGAAGCGACGTATCTGCGTATTGATGCCCAAAGTTGAGGGCAACACCTCGAAAGATACGTGTAACGAGCGACGTTAAGATGCTGGAGATCGACAACGGGGTCGGGGCGGGAAGCGAAAGGAACGGCCCGTGGGCGAGGGCAGCGAGCGCCGGGAAATCGGTGGAGTGGACGCCGTCAACCTATCCAGAGGAAAAAATCAATCAGGTGAGCAGAAGGGTATTGTCACGACAGTTCAATGTGGAGAAAATGGGGCGATTAAAGAGGCTTAGGCAAAACGACCATGCATGCGCAGGGATCGCATTTGGGAGATCCGCTGGACAGTGGGGCAAGGAACAGGTTGCCGCTTTACCGGGACCGTAAGTGTTGCGAGAAAAAGTCGAGAAAACGGCTGTTCTTTCCTTCTTTGTTTACAGATGTCAACAGAAGTAATCCGGCACAAAACTCTTCAGGGCAGAGTCTGCGCATCCAAAAGCTGACAGACAACGACCTAGCATACCAACAGATACGAAGCATCCTGCATATGGTGTCAAATGCAAGAAGTACTTAACGTTGCACAGGCCCGTAATCCAACGGTTCCTGCAGGACACACAGTGATAACACTCGGCACTGATGAACGGCCCTCGGGTGGCGGTGGCGCGTGGAAATGGGAGAGTCAGCCGCTGTCAAATTGCGAAATCCTCAGGTCGGCAGGCCATAGCACACTACTAACCCTAACTCTGATATCGGTTAGAATGGATGAGATCCAACAATAACCTTCTGGTGTTTCAAGCCACCAATTCAATCACCACTCAGTTACATCAGGTACTTAACGAAGATTACAAACTATAAAAAAGCATTGCTGCACATTTCCATGGGATTGTGCGATAATGGCCAGGAAATTGTTAGTGGGCGAAGAGGTTGGTCATTGGTGTTGGCACCAGCCGGAGCGGGGAACTTGAGCCTGTATGATTCGACCAGCCACGAGCCACGCAATAATAAAACCCACTGAAAGCTAACTCAATAGCTCTGTTGCGGGTAAGTTTTTGTTCACATGATGAGAGGAGCTAGTTATTACGAACGAAAAGTGCTTCCTCTATCATTGACCTGATCCTGAATCTCAGGATTCAGCACTCGCAAACAAATAACAATGAAATGTACAAGAAGGAATTTATGTCAAATGGAGCGGAGCATGCCGCCGTTTAGACTATATCTACAAGTCCCTTAAGTTAAGCGTGATGGAGACCAGTTGTAGCGTGGCAGTTATGAAATCAGGGTGGTGGGAAGAGCTGTATATCAAAAATGCAAAGTCTATCCCAAGTTTCAGCGACCGAACTGTTAGAGTGCGGTAATGTAGGGAGTTGATTAGAGGTGCGAAATCAACCTCGTCGTAGGTCGGCTTTTCTACTATATCAGTTTAGGCTCCCTATACACAAGATTTCCCAGTAACTATCAATGTTATGAGTTCTCCCAATTATGGACTAATGATTCCATTGACGATATAATTGATACTGAGGGAACGATGAATACAAAATGGAAGAGCAAAGGCGCTACAATTCACTGCTCATTATAAGAGATTACACAATTATGTACGATGACGACGAAAGGGTTATTTCCGCCATACTCTATAACACACCACCATCGTCCTTAGAGCTTGAATGAACCAGAACTTTGCAGCGCAAGTTAAAACTACAGAAACTGCTGAAGCTGCATTTTTTTGTGCCTAGAGGTCGGCGACGTGACTAGCAGTTCATGCCTAGCATCCTGAACTCGGTGGTATCTCACTACATAAAGGTAGTTATGCTTCAAACACTGCAACCATTCATTTGAAGTTGGGCTCTTTTTACTCTCAATTGCATATGGCCTCGATATCTCAACCTTAAACCTTTAGTTTGTCGCTCCAATTTGGTAGTCCTGCCAGTCTATCTAACAAGTTAAAGAACTCGCAGCATACTAGGGAGAACTTGAGGATATCGGAGGTTACAATCGGTTCTTAAATACCCAAGATACGATGCAACCTCCCTCAATGATCATGCTCAATCCTTCTTTAAACACATTAAATTTAGGTAGGTACCTACGTTTGCTTGACGACTGCATGTTCACCTAAACGGCAACGAGGTACAATCATCTTTGGCTTCTTGGGGACAGGTTCTTGACTGTCATTTGTCTTGAGCAAAATGCAAACTTTATTTTCTTACAACAATGGAACATTTTACACACCCGTAAAACTTCAATGATTTGGCATATGATCTGATCAAGAACTTCAACAATCATGTAAAGTTTGTAACTTATTTTACACAGACCCCGATTTATCCTATCTACGACCTTTTTTTCGAGAGATTACAAACACATGTAACAAACAGCCCATAAACTTGGTTGACTAGCATGAATTAAGCCTCAACCGGTCCCTGACTCCTTGTCTTTCTAGCAGTTCTCCCAACAGGAGCCTTCCCAAGGTGCGACTGCTTTCTCGGACGACCGGGCTTCTTGGGGGATGAGCTGCTGCCACCATTTGTGTGTTGACAAGCTCCCTCCTGGCCAGCAATTTCCTGTTTGCTAGTTTTAGCTTCCGCCTCTCCTTGAGAATACTTAGGCACAAGTTCAGTCTTCTCAACTTCCAACTTCCCTCCTCCGTCTTTCGTCTCCCCTTCGCCCTCAGCCTGAAGACCCTTCCAAGCGCTGACTCCCTCCCCGGTATAGACCTTAACTTTCTTCTCTTCCGGCTTGTGCTCCTCACTTTCTCCAGCACTGTCTCTTGCTCTGTCAAACGCCTCTTCAGCAGTCCGCTTACCAACAAGAGCCTTAGCTTTCTCTTCCGCCTCAGTTTGCCCCTCCTTAACTTCCTCTCCTTCAGTCTTCACTCCTGAAGCAGCCAGCACGGGAGCCGACTCCTTTGTCTCACCACAAATATCCTTCATTTCCGTGTCTCCCTCCTCTCCCTCGCCCTCAGCCGATTTCTTCGCCTGCCTCGGGGTAGGCGCCACGGGGCCGGGCTGCTCAGCACTAGGAGCGTTTTCTGTCGGCGGTTTCTCTTTGTCTTCCTTTTGAGCTGCATCACCCGCTGGTCCGGACCCGGTGAGTTCGGCATCCTTGACTGTATTGCCAGCGTCCTTCCTGGCAACATCTGCGGCGGTAGCGGTAGTAGCGGCATCTCCAAGCGCAGCGGCACCTTCTTTGACTAGAGAAGACGCAGCAGCCTGCTCGTGGGATTCATCGGCCTTGTCCAACTGCGTTGGCTGGTGGGTGGAGGGAGGATCTGGGGCAGGTATCTCCGTCACACTAGTAGCCGCCGTGACAGGAGGGCCTATGGAGGGTGGGTCATTTTGCGAGAGCCATGGAGTTAGCCTTTCTCTTTTAATTTCGACCGGAGCTTGCTGGGAGGATGACCGAATGATACTTGGTCACAATTAGAAGGGTTAACTCAAGATTCTTGAGGGAAGTGGCCATCCAAGCTATAGGAACTCAATTGACCGAGAGGCTCAAAAAGCATGGTGGTTAAACTCCAGTTGAAACAGAACACTCTATGTGAGATCCTTTAAACTGAAATAACGCTCAACCCAGAGTGTAGGCGCTTCGCAATCGCGCTCACCTTGGTTTTCAGCCATGGTCTGGGTCGTTCGGGAATGACGTAAGAGGTCCCTTCAGAAAAGAGGGGTCAAGAACAGCACATTCACAATTAATAAGTCAGTCTTGTAGAGATCATCAATCGAGTGGTCTCCTCATCTATCCGTCGATGCCTACTCGGCAAATGAACGAATTGGAGTAGATGAACAAGGGTGGTAGAATTGAGTTCTAGAGGGAGATTGCCAGAGTCAGAGTCAGTCGGGGTGTCGTGGAAATTTGGATTATTGTCCGACGACAGAGAGAAAGGTTGGTATCCATGGATCGTGTGATGGAACCCTTATCTCCATCAGCGAATAGGAATCTCTACGACACATCTCCAGGAGTCCGGTGTTGTACTGTGCACTCACACACATCCATAAGGGCATCAATTGACAGGGCACAGCCTGGCTGGGGCACAGAAAAGCTTACTCACATATGCACATGTGACATTGACAGCATATGATATGTGACGTTACCTTCCTCTTTAATATATTCCGAAACGACAAGCCTTAGATAAGCAGCAGGCGTTACCTTTGGCCAACCATCTCCAATAGGTAGATCACACACTCTTACGGAATCACCGGACTTGACGAAACTTGTTGCTATCGTCCATGCGGACTTTATCGCCATTACGGGACACTGCACCGATTAATATTCAGATTTTCCATAGTAGCTCCCAGCTTCCAGGCTGCCGGTAGGAAGTCGGAGCGTGGAGAGCATCAACTACTCTCTCTTCCGTAACAAGACCTTCCTCTTCTATAAAAAAAAGCCGCCCAATGGGCCAATTGACGACTGTGGCATGTGGCTTACCGCTTACCAGACCAACACAATGGGGATGCACTACTGCGTACTGTGGAAGCTCAGACAGTACAGCACATCAGAGCAGGCAATGGAGCTGTGAGTGGCGCCGGTAGTGTATGCAGTTTGAAAAAAAAAAACCGACCGACTGCCGGTCGGAAGGACACTACGGGATCCGGAATTCGGGCACCCGACGTCGTGCTGCCGTGCTGCCACGCTCGGTTCCGTGAATGTATTGGACCTAATCTGTAACCTGTCAAGCAGCCAGCAAACACCCCGGGATCTGGGATCCAGCCCAGCCTTTCAGCTCGAGTAATGCGTGATCATGACTGCATCGATGGAGCTTCTACTCAATAATCTTTAGCTTCGACGTGGAGCCCAGCTGGGGCTAAGGCTGGGAAGCACAGCCGGCACCGTGGAAGCACACAGTCCGACTCCCGATGGGCTCCATTCTCAGTCTCGTGACTGGACATGTGATATGTAGTAAGGCAAGCCCCGGTTCGTTTCCGCAGCAGAACCTAAGTTACTTACTGGTCGCGCTGCGCCACCATGCACTAGCCATAACACTCGTCATCGTCACCTCCCTGAGCAGCTAGGAATGCACTTATAATCCGTAGTGTATGCACTGCTGAAAGCGAGGGAAGATTCGCTTGGAGCTAGGGGTCGAGTTAAGGTTGTTGGATACAGGGGTTTTATCGTCTATCGTCCTCCCACTTTCGTCCCGCCACAGTTGACGCATCCCGGCAAAACGGTACGTATCAGCCTCTGGCGGTGTCCACCCAAGCTTTGGGGAGTGGTAACAGCAATGTGCCGAAACATGAACTACTAAAACGGTTCGCTGTCACTACTGTACCCAAGGAGAGCGAAGCACTCCATAATGCGTTGTTTTGGGTCCAAGTCGGACTCTTGGAGGGGATCTGATAAAGAAGAGAGCCTTAAGTTGAGCAATCAGGTTGATATCACCCTTTCTGTAACGGCCAGGAATCATCAAGGGCCAGAGCTATCTCAACTCCCAATCGTCAGCTGTCATTGATACCCGACGAACAGCCTCAACAATGCTCAGCTGCTAGCTGGGGCTTTAGGTAGGTAGAACGCCGGCACATACATCCTAGTCCCAACTCCGACGCCTATGGCCAGCCACTATCGCCGTCCTGAAGTTGAACAAGGGTACAAGTCACATGTTGGGATGGGACCGGTGAGAGAGGGCAGATTTTCCTGTGGAGGGCACGTCACCGACAGCCGTCCTGTCCCCCCACATAGAAGCCCAAAAGAACAAGAAAGAAGCCTCATGATGAGGCAAGAGAGAATCGAGCAAGCGGATAGGGTACCAGTAGTCAGGTAGCGTAGGGAGAGTCTCGCGCTGGAAGCGCACTACAGTCCTTGGCACGGCCCAGTGGGACCCCGCGATACGCGGGTAAGCGATGTGCGAGTACGTAGCAAAGAGCCAAAAGCCAAACCGTCAACGCGGCTGGCAACTTGCCAGCCCAAGAGAGATACGCCAACAAAAACAAAGCTCAAAACCCTCCGCCAGTTGTTGAGGGTAATGCATGCAGCCAAGAGCGACTCGCACTTCGTTGTTAGCGTGGCTGGGGACCACGTGCCAGCGTCGGGTACAATTAACTGGCCAGGGGGTTCCTCGACTTTCTGCCTAGTGTAAGGTGTACGACCACGGCAGCGTAGAATGGCGCTCCGTGTGTCCAGCGCGAGGGAAGAGAGAGATGCGAGAGATGCGTAGAGAAAGTGTGCGGGAGATAAGTGACCGTAGCTTGGAAGGTGGTGGTCAAGAAATTACTGGCGCTGAATACTCATTACGGATGACAGCGCGATGCGGAGTACTCAGTAAGGCGAGAAAGTTCTGGACTTGCCTGGGCGGGGGAGGGGCACTCAAGAAGAGGCTTTGCAGCGATGAGTGGGCGGGTTAGGGCCCGGCAACCCCGGGATCAATTCCAGCGATTCAACATCTCCGCTGTTAGATGTAACGTCTATCGAGGGGCATCCCGCCAGGCGCATCACCAAGCCCTTTGGGGCATCCTCTCGGCCGGCACCAAGGTATTGAGAGTGCTCTTTCGCAAAACCCTTGCTGCGTCGTTGCCCTATCAGCTGCCAGATACGTGAAAATTGTGCGCAGCGTGCAGGGCGGCACATGGACAAGACTCTTGGCACCTTGGCATTTTCTGGGCTTCTGCGACCTTCTTTCGAAGGTCAAGAATGGCTTGTTCTGTTGAGAGAAGCTGCGAGGGTTCCCTGAACGAAGGCTTTCGACGCGAACTCAGATGGGGGAGCACCGGGGCCCAGAGCGCTCGGCACACATTTCGTTGCCACCGGCCTGCAGCTTATCGCCCGTGTCAACCTTCGCCCACAGATGCTAGGGCGGTGTCTCTCCACTTTGTGGGGAGCTTTAGGTTTGCTCCTCCAAGCTAAGCCGCTGGAGCGTAGCGCTCTGAGGCTGGCGAGCCAGGATGTTGGTCTTCACAAGCCTCTTGGCTCAAAAGCACGCAAGATGCTTCCCTGAGCTGGTTCGGCATGTGTCGGTGAGAAGTGCCTTCGAGCGGCCGGGCAGCTGTCGAGTTCCGTTGCTGCGCTCCTGGCACAGGAATCTGAGATGGCGGGTGGCGTCCCGCTATTTAAATAAAGCTGGCCCCCGTCTACCGGCTTGTTTTGCCATACGTTCCTTGCCCGTGCCAACTGCCAATCCACTTACACCCACAATTCTAAGACACCGGGCTGTAGGTAACCAACCACGCGAATTATAGCAGTGTGGGCGCCGGCATTGTGGACTAGCACCTCACAACAGCAGCACACCTGCTGCGAAGGCGCCAATTACTGCCACCCCCCAATGAAGAAGCATTCTGTCCATCGTCCGAGGACCAGATATAGCAACCCATCTCCCCGCCTCGTCGTTGTCAGCACCGTAATCCCGACCCTCGCCCTTGTGTCCGATGGCTGCCGAGTTCCCCAAGCATCCCTTTCTGCTTTCAATCCAGGAGGTTGAGCAGACTCTTGGTACCAATGTTGAGAGGGGCCTCACCTCCGCACAGGTAGCTGCGTTGCAGCAAAAGTACCCCAAGAATGAGCTCGATGTGGGTGGCGGCATTGCCTGGTACACAATCTTCATCCGCCAGCTATGCAATGCCATGATCCTCGTGCTCTTCTTTGCAATGGCGCTGAGTTTCGGCGTCCAGGATTACGTTGAAGGCAGCGTTCTCGCTGCGGTCATTGTGCTCAATGTGTCAATCGGCTTCTATCAGGAATATGGCGCCGAGAAGAAGATGGACGCCTTGCGTGCTCTCTCGTCGCCTAGTGCTAATGTCTTGCGCGATGGCAAAATTGAGGTTATTCCAAAGTAAGTGTTTCTCCGTCAGCCGGCGATATCAGCATTGCAGCCAGGAAGTGCTTGGTACTGACGTCATGAAGCTTCCAGGTCGTCCCGGGAGACATTGTTATCATGAAGATGGGCGACACCGTCCCCGCCGATGTGCGCCTGTTCGAGGCAATGAACTTCAATTGTGACGAGTCTTCGCTGACCGGAGAAGCCATTCCGGTCGAGAAGAGAGTTGAGAACAACATCACGGTTCCCGGTACCGACCGAGTCGCCACTAGCGAGGAGGAAGTTGGTATTGCCGACCGTGTTAACATGGCCTATGCGACTACTGTTGTGCGCAAGGGCCGTGGTCGCGGTATCGTCGTCGCCACGGGAATGGCCACTGAGGTGGGCAAGATTGCCGCTTCCACGAGCAAGAAGAAGCGCAAGCCCGGTCGTTCCATGAACTGGAAGAAGTATGGCAAGACCCAGCCTATCAAGGGTGCCGCTCGCCGTGCCTATGACTTCTTTGGCAAATTCCTGGGTTTGACAGAGGGCACACCGCTGCAGATCAAGATGGCCAAGCTGGCTTACTTCTTGTTTTTCTGCGCCCTGTTGCTCGCCGTTGTTGTCTTTGGCGTCAACAAGTTTGTTAGCCCGCTGCCCACTGAGGTCATCATCTATGCCATTTCGACTGGCATTGCCATAATCCCAGAGTCACTCGTCGCTGTATTGACCATATCCATGGTCGTGGCCACCACTGTCATGCGGAAGGCCAACGTCGTCGTTCGTGACTTGTCTGCACTCGAAGCCCTTGGTGGTGTCACCAACATTTGCTCCGATAAGACGGGTACTCTCACGCAGGGCGCCATGATTGTCAAGAAGGTCTGGCTGCCTCCCTCGACCGTGTATAGCGTCAAGGACTCGACCGATCCCAGCAACCCCCATGCTGGCAAGGTCACTGTCTCGCAGACCGCCGATGACAAGGGCGATGAAGAGAAGCGCGATTATGACCAGGAACGCACGACCCAGGCCATTAAGTTTGATGTTCCCGACGAAAAGTTGAACCCGAAGCTACAGGAGCCAAAAGAGAGCCAGGCTGAGTTAACCCCTGAGCTGCGTCTGTTCCTGCTTTCCGCCGCTCTGTGCAACCTAGCGACTGTACGCTTAGATGAGACGGAGGACCGCTGGAAGACGACTGGCGAGCCGACCGAAATTGCGCTGCAGGTCTTCACCCACCGCTTTGATCGCGGCAAGAAGACGCTGGAAAAAGAGGGATGGAAGCAGGTTGCCGAGTTCCCCTTCGACAGCAGCATCAAGCGCATGTCGGTCATCTATGATGTGCCCGCCGACCATCGCCTTGGAGACCTGCTGAATGAACACGACAGTGTCGTGTTCACTAAAGGAGCTGTCGAGAGGATTTTGGATTTGTGTGACTATATTGGTATCGGCGAGAACCAGACTCCGGTAACACCCGACACGAAAGAGAAGGTCCTTCAGCAGATGACTCACTTTGCCTCGCTGGGTCAGCGTGTACTGGCTGTCGCGTATCGTCCCTGGAAGGGTCGCTACGTTCCTGGTAAGAACGATGGCGTTGTTGTAACTGAAAAGGTCACGAGTGCCACCACAGACGAAAGCGAAAATGGCAGCAGCGACAGCAATGACGAGGCTGCCCGTGCCGCTGTTGAGACTAAGCTCACTCTCCTTGGCCTAGCGGGCATCTACGATCCTCCGCGTCGTGAGACGTCTCCTTCTATCTTCGACTGCGCCCAGGCCGGTATCAAGGTCCACATGCTCACGGGTGACCACCCCGAGACGGCCAAGGCCATCGCCAAGGAGGTCGGCATCATCCCGTCGAACTATGGCGTGCTCCCCGCTGGTGTGGCCGACACAATTGTGATGAAGGCAACCGATTTCGATAAGATGACTGATGAAGAGATCGATGCCCTGGAGGAGCTTCCGTTGGTCATTGCCCGGTGTGCTCCCGAGACGAAGACTCGCATGGTCGAGGCTCTTAGGCGGCGTAACGCTTTCATGGCCATGACTGGCGACGGTGTCAACGATGCTCCGTCTCTGAGCAGGGCTGATGTCGGCATTGCCATGGGCAGCGGTAGCGATGTGGCCAAGTCGGCGGCTAAGATTGTACTGACTGACGACAAGTTCAACTCCATCGTTGCAGCTATCCGCGAGGGCAGGCGCATGTTTGAGAATATCCAGAAGTTTGTGCTGCATCTACTGTGCAGCAACGTCGGCGAAGTCATTTTGTTGATTTGCGGCTTAGCCTTCCAGGACAAGACTGGCTTCTCGGTGTTCCCTATCTCTCCTCTCGAGATTCTTTGGATCAACATGGTGACGTCGTCGTTCCCTGCCTTTGGTCTGAGCCGTGAAAAGGCCAGCGCCGAGGTCATGAGGAAGCCGCCGCACGACAAGAAGCGTGGTGTTTTTACCAACCAGATCCTGGTCGACATGTTGGTGTATGGCACTCTGATGGGTATCTGCACGCTTGCAACCTTCGTCATTGTCGTCTTCGGCAAGGACTATGATGGTCTTGAGGGAAGAGCCAGGCTTGGTCAGGACTGCAACCGCCACTATTCCGATTCGTGCTATCCCGTGTTCCGTGCCCGTGCCGCTGTTTTTGCTGAGCTCACCTGGCTCATCCTGGTGAGTGCATGGGAGTTCAAGAACATCCGCCGATCCATGTTTCATCTCAACCCGGACAATAACTCTCGCTGGAGGATCTTCACCGACCTGTACGAGAACCGTTTCTTGTTCTGGGCTGTTGTCATCGGTGGTGTCAGCGTCTTCCCGACCGTGTACATCCCTTACCTTAACCGCGATGTCTTCAAGCACACCAGCATCAGCTGGGAGTGGGGTGTGGTCGTCGGCATGACCATCCTGTTTGTGCTTGGCATTGAGACGTGGAAGTACATCAAGCGCCGGTTCCATCTGCTCGAGGATCATAAGGTGCCTCGCGGTGCTTGGTCGCAGGGTGAAGAAGGCATGCGTCGTTTGCACCGCACCATGAGCTTCCGCAGCTGGCGCAGTTGGGGTCGCACCGAGTCCAAGTCTAAGGCCCAGTCGAGCGGCGGGCTGACGCCGGTCCCGACGCAGTCTAAAGCACAGACTCAGCAGCAGGGCGAGTCGTCGCAGTCACAGACGAACGATAGGGAGCTTCCCCCGGTGTAATCTTGTGCCATGGGATTTACGTTGCGTGCTCCAAACGGGCCGTTTGATGTCGATATCATGAGAGGGGTTTTGGGCAGGTTCAGCGGTATGGCGCTAGAACCCAACAATGGAATCCGCTCCATTCTGCTTTAATTGTTATGATCATGGTTCTTTAACAAAGGTGGATGTCGAAGTGTTCGTTGGATTTGAGGAGGTCGTTTGACCTAGGTCGAGCCACCGATTTCGATACCCAAGGTGTTGTTTTTTTTCTTGATGACCCAGGAGTAGAAAGGAACGTAAAAAGGCCATCGATGGCCATGAAAGTTTATGGCTATGGTAACATGTAACGAGCATATAAGCCAAATTTTACGTTAGTATTGCCATAAGAAGTTCATCTTGTAATTCGACCACTGCGTGACTTTCTCAGAGAGGTTGGGAGGTTGAGACCGGCGAAGGCAAGAGGGGTTGCTGCCGGCTTCTGGAGGCCTCCGAGGGACGTGTTTAAGGGTTAGGGTTGATATCTAGATCTGATAGGGAGCCAGCGACGCGACGTCGCCTTCGCCCCACCATCAAGCGTACCAATGAACCGCAAACGACGATCTTGTATCTGTATCTGTACAGTGTTCTTGACCTCCCCCCTCCATAAACGCCGTCCACCATGTCGAAAGCAGCCGCATTTCTTACCGATCCCCCCTTGGTTGACGATCGCCCCAGCTTTGAGACCATTCTCAAGCACGGTCACCAGGACCTTGTCCAAGCAGTCGCTTTCAACGGCCACGGAGACCGCTGCGCAACCGGATCTGTTGACGGCAAGATTCGTGTCTTCAACCGCCTCAAGGAAGGGATATGGCGCTTGTGCGACAACTGGACTGCTCATGCCGGCGAAATTCTCGAGGTACGCCCGTCTTCATGCACTCAGAGAGACTTCCTCTAATTCATTCCAGCTCCAATGGCTCCCAACAACCGTCTACCCCAACCTTCTCGCCTCGCTCGGAATTGAGGGCCGCTTCAAACTTTGGGCCGAAGACCCCTCCGCCGCCCCCGGCCGTCGCTTCGCTGAGTCGACGCGTAACGGGCCCCTCATTACTATACCATCACCACGCCTGAGCAGTCATCCCAGCCATCTAACGCACTCTCAACACCCTCAACAACAACCTCACCATCACCACGCCCCCGAGTCAATACTCCCCAGCAATCCCCCTCCCACATCGAACCCTCCACAAGCAACGGGTTCGACAACTGCCGGGTCCGGCGCCAAACCTGCCTTCGAGACCCGGAACCCTCGCTCGCCTTACCGCTCCTTCTCTATCAAGCACATTGATGACACCCGCACGACATATCTGGCCCTGCTGTCCGCCGATGGTGGGTTAACGGTGTACGAGAATGACCGTGTTGAGAATCTGGCTGCATTTTCGTTAATGGATGAGTTCAACGTCCTTGACCCGACGGCAGCTACGGGTCCAGGGCAAGCTAGTACCGCCCCTCGAGGACAAGAGACTTCATTTAGGGTGAGGTTCGATCCAAATCCTGACGTGTGTTACACAGCATTACGCGATGGTGTACTCTCCGATGCACTGGGGTTGGTAGTCGCAGTTCAGGATACAGTGAAGGTGTACCGCACACGAGATGCCGTGCGGGCATCGCTTGGGCTGGCAGCTGCCACTAAGGAATTCTACCTTGCCGCAGAGGTCGTTGCAGGGGTACACAGGGGGCTAGTGCGGGACGTTGCCTGGGCGCCGGGGAATATTAGGGGCTACGATATCATCGCGACGGCCTGCCAGGATGGCTTTGTGCGGGTCTTCCGGTTGGATACGCTCTCACCTTCAACATCTGACACCACAAAATTTGCCAGAGAACCCAGCTCAATCGACTTAACCCAAGGTGGTGAACTAGACGACGAAAAGAGGGCCCAAGAATCCGCGCCCGAAAGCCGCTGGTCCTCGTCCCGAGTCCGACGACACGCCACCCGCCGCCAAGGTCCCTCCCAAGACGCCCTAACAATAACAACCTCCGGCCTACGCGCGAGCCTTGACTCTCACAATCACCAGCAAACACCGTCCCGTGAACTTGATGCCGCCGACCGGCGAAGTCGCCGGGCATGGACCAACCAGCCGGGTCAGGTCCGGCACACGTTGACAGAGATATCCCGGCTGGACAACCACCGCACGCCGGTTTGGCGGGTTGCATTCGATGATGATGGACAGATACTTGGGAGTGTGGGGGACGAAGGGAAGCTGTTGTGTTATCGGCAGAAGCCGGACGGGACGTGGGCGAAGAGTAGTGAGATGTCGGTGGTGAAGGTGAAAATGGCTGCGCCGCAGTGAGGGCGTGGAGAGACGTATGGTAGAGTCTATTGGAATTGTGAGAGGGCATGGAGGAGTTGTAAATGTAGAACCGTTAGATACCCGTTTGGATATGATACTTGATGCTGCATAGGGGTTGTATCCACCTGGTAGATCCTAGCCCATGAGATTAACGCGAACTTTAACATGTGTTCTACTAGTGAGCCTACATTTAGTAAGTTAACACACAACCACATCTACTTCTTGGCTCATGCGTCCCATTGAAGATGACAGTTCGTCTAGCAATCTGTCTTCAGAAGTGAAAGTTGTTGGGTATCATTCGGACAGCATGTCAGGCAAAGTTGCGTTTCCCATGCCTAAACAGCTTGAGATGCATCCGAGAACAGCCATGGTATCTGCAACAGATCCAACAAGGTATGAATAAACTGATCGGTAAACATCACAACATGTATCTAAACCTCCCCACTACCCTCCGACTAAGTGCCTCGCCCTGTTCGCTCTCCTCTTCCTCATCCCATCGCCTATTCACTCTCTTCAAATACCACCTCCCCAACCCCGCCAAAACCGCTACCCCAACCATCGCAACCGCACAAACGGCCATCCCCATCGTATAATACGGCGCCTGCCGATCAGGATACAATCTCGTCCCTAACAACGGCCCACACTGTCCCACAGCCTGCAACAACGCAAACGCTGCCGCACCCCTTCTCTGCCCGCTGCTGCTGGCGTGGTTGGTTGTATTGTTCACGCTCCATGAGACAGTCAGAACTACGACGGAGAAGAATCCTATCGCGGCAGGGTAGACCGCGAAATAGCGGATCCAGGAATCAGGAGGGATATGGCCTAGGAGTTTAGTATCGCTCAACGCGAGGATGGTATACCCCGCGGCTGAGAACAGAGCATGGGCGATGAGGAAAGGGGAACGGGCGCCGACCTTATCGGAGGCATGGGCTGTGAGGAGGACCGCTATGAACGCGACCAAGTAGGGAGGAGCGGCGAGGGCTTGGGAGGTGAGTGCCGAGTGGCCCATTGCTTGGAGGATGGTGGGGAGGAAGACAGGGAGAGATGAGTAGGCTAGGTTGACGAGGAAGAGGATGAGGGAGGTGAGCCAGGCGGCGGGATCGAGGAGTGCAGAGAGGGAGTCGAATATGGGAGAGGACGACTTGCTTCGGGAAGAGTATCGTGGCCTAGATAAGGGCCTTTCGAGCTGCAAGCGGTGACGCGCAATCTTCTTTTCACGTTGGGTAAGATAAGATGCTGTTTGAGGGAAATCTGGTATGATGTTCCAGGCTAGAGCTGCGGCGAGAACGGACGGGAAGCCCTCGACGAGGAAGAGAAGGCGCCATGGGGCAATGGGGCTGTGTTCGGCTGCTTTGAGGATGAGCCATGCCAGTGAGGAGGCAAAAGATGTTGCCAAGGGGGCAGCTGCTAATGTTAGTGATAGGATATTGAGCTGATCCCAATGTAGTAGGGCACACACCTGACACAAAGATGGCCGTCCTGAACGCCAGCTCCTCCCGTTTGAAGAAAAACGACAAGTAGAACGGCACTCCCGTGAACCCAGCTTCCCCGATTCCTAGCAACGTCCGCAAGGCAATGAGCATAGGATAGTTGACAGCTACAGCCTGCAATGATGCCGCTAGCCCCCACAAGAACACGATCAAAGCCACATAGACATGCGCCGGAATGATCCTCCACAGTACAGCCATCCACTCAAAGCCAATGTAAGCCAAGTAGAACGCAGTCAACGACCACTCATACCAGTCCTCACGCGGAGGACTGGACTGCAGGTCGTCATCCATGCCCGCAATACGAGCATTGCCGATATCTGCAGAGAGAGTCAGCACACTGTCGGAGATTAGGGGAGAAATGACCAAGATGATGACATACTCGACCGGTCCAGGAAAGCCAGAAGATACAGTCCTGCGACGAACACGACCAGTTTCCGGTCAAACTTGCGTACTACAGCCTGTTCCTCTTCTTGTGTGAACCATTTCCGCGGACTTCGCCACCGGGGAGCAGGGGGCTGTCGTCCGGGAGTGAGTCTTCGTGCAGCAACCCTGCCGGCTTCTTCGTCATCGTCGCTCTTGTATTCGTCGTCTTCGACGTCTGAGATCATTTGAGGGGTGTACTGTTCACCATCGGTCCATTCTCCGTCTTGTAAGAGGGGAGAAGATGCAGAAGTAGATGTCGAGGGGTGTGTTGGCGGCTCTAACCTGTCATTGTCGTCGACATGGCTGTAACCCGAACCCTCATAGGAGGACCCGGAGGTTGGTCTGTTGTGGTCCTCTTGAGCTGTTGTACCCGTCTTTGCCCTCATTCTGTCTTGGAAATCCTGGAAAACATTTATTGGCTTTTTGAGAGAATGGATCAACAGCGAGGCCTGTCAAAGACTGAAGGCGCCGAGACGGAACGAAGGTGAGCTTGGCCGTGGGTGCCGGAAACCATGCAAAGAATAACAGAATCCTTGGCTGAAGAACAATGAAAGCAGCTAGATCCATAGAAACAGTTATAATCGGTCTTCACCAGGCAGAAACTTTCAGTGTCCAGCCCTTATTGTAGAACAAAGTCAGCACATCCTACCTAGCTCTGGCCAGCTCATGTGGTGATATAGCCAGCCTAACTCTTTGCACAAAGTCTGGTGACCACCCGGCGCTAAGCCCAGTTCTCCTGCGCGCGTCTTAACACCGTTGCACAGGAAAAGGCCCGCCACCCGTCCTTTCGAGAACTCATACCTTTACCAAGGCAAACTTAAATGCTTGGGCAAAAGGTCATCTGCATCGTCCACCCCGAGATCGGCGCACTGTCATTGGATCAACTACAAAGAAAAGAAAAGAATCGTAAAGTCAGCGAACGGGAAGCTCCGCGCCCGTAGTTAGCGCTTGCTAGAATGCACTAAAAACATGGGGGCGATGATGTGCTCGGCTCTGCTGATCTCTCAAGGGTCCATGGAGGGGCTCCGCAACATGGATGGATGGGGTCCCTTAGCGGTTTGCCATGGCGGGGTACAGAATGTAACTGGATGGCTACGGTCGGATGGGACGGATGGGACGGATAGAATGGGCAGAAGTGGGCTTGTGTGCAGATCAGATCTTTGGGATGATCGGAGATCTAAAGATGGGCTTTCCCATCCGCCATAACCATGGCCATTGGATGCCGTGACGCCGCTCATTGTAGATGGGTGGACTCCCACTGTTACGGGTTTAAAGTGTACCTTTTGGAGATTTAGCGAGGACAGTATTAACTAAACTGGCCTCAGCCCAGGCAGGCTTTTGCTCAATAGAAAGAGATGAATATCATCTCAACCTATTTCTCTACGTTCATAGTGGTCAAAGTCCCTAATTGACCTACCTGATCGAACAAACTGAACAACCAGGTACAACGAGAAAGCACACAATCCAAGGAAAACCCAGTTACTCTTCTGCATGTTCGCGTGATATCAAGGCCCTGGGTCAGCTGCCCTTCATCCATCCATCCCACATTTCATTCAAACCCCAGCAACACGGCATAACCCCCGCTGACCCATCCACCCGACAGCCCTATAAGAGATTAAGGCAACAACCAATCACCGAAGCAAACCACGTAAGGAGGAGATTAACAGCATTGGCATTCATACAAATAGTTGCTCGAGAAACAAGTACTAAAGATTAATTACCTATACGTTGAAACACAAGCCTAGTTGGCAAGCGGGTCTGGGACGGCAGAGGAAGCACTCATGAGTATACATCTGGCACACAAGCCCAAAGATCTTACTGATGAGGACAAGCGGGACTTTCCCTACACCGTCGAGCTTTATGCTTCTTTTTCTTTCAACTTGTTGTTGGCTGAATTGAGAAAGATCGATGCTTCGGTATTTCTATACAAGCAAGCAAAGGGAAAAAAAAGTGGGGGACAAAGAACTCGCAGTGACACATGCCATGTAAGAGGCCATAGCCGAACGGAAGAATGACCGCCCCGATTTTTGCTTGACCTGGAAACCCCTTTTCTTTTCTCCACCTCTCCCCGGACCAAACTGCTCAGTGGTAGAATGAAAATTAATAAATAATAAATAAGGTTATGGTAAAAAGACAAATAACATAAGAATATCCAAGACGATCGTGGCTCCATCCCGTCCGGTACCTCTAGCCACCAACACAAATAGAACATTGCTGGCAGCAGTATCCCACGGACAAAGATGGTCTATAAGGCAAATAAAGAAACAAGATCTTGATCTGGTATTGTTGGCAGCTCTTATATAGACCATGCGAGTTTGTAGCTTGACTTGACACATCCCAAACCAAGATACTCGAAAAGGGCAAAAACAATAACATCTCGGGACGAATGCGACAAAGCAAGCAGATAGATGGCGAGCGTAGATAGACCGTACGTATCCAAAACATGACCAAAACATATACCGCTTGCTGGCAATAATTCGCCCGAGGGGTATCGAAGCATAAGCAAAGCAAACAATATAAGAAAACATCAGAAGTGTCTGTCAGTCAGCCTCGTAAGGTTGACAAGTGATGATGGCCAGGCAGACAGACACGAGCGGGCAGGAGGTCCGGAAATGGAGCATCGCATCACCGGGTGGTCAGGACGAGCCAAAAAAAGAGGCAGTCAAATCCGGTCAGTCACGACCTCTCAAATCAGTTCCATCCAAGCGAGTTCTCAGCTGCTACCGGTGCCGAGATGTACTGCGTCCTGCCCGAGCCGCCCATCCCGCTTCGTCCGCTGCCATGGCTGTCACGGCCGCCTGGAGCGGCAGTGGCACCGTACGGGCTGCTCGTGAAGTCACGACTCAAAAGAGCACCGCCCATGAGCGCGGGGCTGCCGCGGCCGTGAGAGGCCAAGTCTGACATAGGAGGGTTGCTGCTGCTAATGGAGCTGGCCCTGCGGTGCGCCTGCCTCTTGCGCTTGTAGCGCCGAGCCACGACGAACATAACCACACCGTAAGCTGCAGCAACGGCCACAGCGCCACCAACGATACCTGCCGTGGTACCTTTCTGGGCACCGCTGGTATTGTTAGGCGAGGGGTTGGTGCCGAATGGGTCGCTGTTGGGGTTCGCGTTGGGAGTGTTCGGTTTTGGAGAACCATCCGAGCCGCTACTGCCACCTTCCAAGGCTGAGCCAAGGTAGATGGGAATAGCCGGGTTGATCTGTTGAGTAAGGTTGTAGATGAGCTGGTTAGGGTTCTGGTACAAAGCTGAGTAGGGTAGCCGGATGTCCACCGCAAGCGCCTCAACCATACTGCTCGGGTAAGTAATGACAGCGAGCGTAGTGATATAGCCGAGTGAGGCTTGGGTGTCCAGAGGAACCAGGCGCTTGATCTGAGCCTTGCTGACATCAAATTTACCATAATCAGCCAAAGCCTGAGGAAGCAGCTTGAAGATCTGAGCGGCAGCCCTCTGCTCCTGCACCACGAACGGATAGTTGTAGCCCTCTTTGAAACCAATCTGGATCAGCATGGTGTCGTCCGGCTGGCCAGGACTCTGGTCGTCAGGTGCAATAGCCTTAGGCAGGTCGGTGGGAATGCCAGTGGCCGTAGTAGTAGACTGGGATGCAGTGAGAGTGGAAGTCGGGGCAACAATGATGGTGGTTGGGAGCCATGCCGAGGACGGAATATTGCTAATCGTCGGGATGCTGGTGACGCCGGCAATGCTGCTGCTGGTGGTGCTAGTTGGGATGACTTCGGTTAAGCTAGTAGACGTCTCCGTATCGGTTGTCAGTGTCGCATTTTTGCTGGGAACAGGCTCGATCGTCGAGCTAGTCGGAACTGCCGGAGCCTCGGTGACAGTGCTGGTCTCGGTTGTATTGCTGCCAGGGCCAGGCTCGAGCGTGCTGGTGGGAGGGAGGGCCGTATCAGTTGGTTCAGCAGAGTCCGTCGGAATGTCGGTGCTCGTCTCGACCGGCGGGTCAGTTGGGAGAGTGGTTGTCTCACTTGGCAGCTCGGTGACGTTGGTGGGAAGGGCGGTAGTCGTGTCGCTAGACAGATTCGTGGTTGTGCTAGGTTCCTCAGCAGGCGGGTCAGTGCTAACTGGCGGCTCCGGCTCCACGCTAGTCGCAGGGAGATCGGTGGGAGTAACTGGGGTCTCCTCGACCGAAGAGCTCTGACTAGGAGTAGGAGTAGGCTCTGGGAGCAAAGAGCTAGTGATGTTGACGACCGGCGGCAATGGGATCTCGCTGGTAGGAGACTCAGTAGGCTCTTCCACGGGCGGCTCAACTGACGAAGCTGTAGCAGTTTCGGAGGGTGTCTCAACAGGAAACTCAATTGGTGTCTCAATCAGCGTGGGCGTCGGCGTAGGAGTCTCGATCGGAAGATCGCTAATGATGTCGGCATTAGATGTCGAAGAGCTCTCATCAACCGGGTCTTCGGTCGAGCTAGGGGTCGGGACATCGGTCGTCGTCGGCTCTAGAGGGCTCAAAATGCTTGAGATGACCGAGCTGATGCTACTGATGATCGAGGTCACAGGGTTGGCAGAGTCATTGGTGCTAGAAGCGACAGGCGACTGAGAGCTCGAAGACTCCGTGATGTCGGGTGTTGCAAAAGACTCGGATACCGTCGACGAAAGCTCGACCGGTTCGTCGGAAGTGGGCGTGGGAGGGATCCTGGACGTCGTGTCGACCAGGTCATCGGTTGGTGTTGCGCTCGATGACGGGACATCGCTAGAGGGAGCAACTTCCGACAGAGAGTCAGAACTAGATTCGGAAGCCGACACGGTAAGAGACTCAGAGGAGCTCTTGGACGAAGGGGTAGGAGTAAGGTCAACGGTAGGAGTATTCGAACTGATTGAAGAATCCTCCGTAAACGTAGTAGTAGTAGTAGCGGGCGGCACGAAAGAAGACTCCTCAAGGTCGCTAGTAGAGGAAGTCGAAGCCGCATCAGAGCTCGAGCTCGAGCCAAGATCTGACGAAACCGATGAGCTTTCGCTCAGAACATCGCTAGATGAGCTGCTCTCCGAAGGAGTAGGCCAGATGGTTGTGACGGGGGTCGCATCTGGCAGGGTGACAACAACGGTAGCCGTGATGACGACCTCTTCGACATTACTACCGATATTGCCAGTTGGGTTCTGCCTCTTAGCCTTAACGAGGTCGAGCGGCGTCTTAGGTGGCAGCTCGTCGGCAGAGACTGTCGAGTTTGTAAACTGGCGCTTGACATGCTTGGGGAAGTAGATCTTGGGCTTCCCCGGTGCTGCTTGGGCAGCAGCAACTGACGAAAGCGCCACCAGCGCAGTGGCCAAGAGCGATGTTGACTTCATCCTATACCACTTAGCTCGTCTTTACCATACGCTTCGGGATATATAAATCGTTGGTTTTGTGCTGCGCAACGAAACGCGTGGCGGAGGATAGATCGTGCGATCTGGATAGCACAATGGGGTGTGGTGGTCAGCGCCCACGATGGCGACAGAGTGGTCTGACGCGCTGTAGCAACACTTACTTGTCAGGTAAAGCAATAAAGAGTGTACTTGATAACGAGGGCTGAACGAGTGTGGGAGTATCTGTGCGCTTTCTGGAAGTGCATCGCGTCAGTAACCTAAACAGTGAACCCATTGATTCCACATAGCGCTTCCCCGGATTCAGTAGCATTGATGATCAGCATGATCGCCCTCAGAGGCCCGGCTGGGGCAGATCTCTCGATGCTGGCCACTCCCAGCAGCCACAGCCTGGAGTACACAGTCCATAGGACAATGGTGCCCGCCAGCAACTCTGGGTCGCTTCATGCCCCAAAAGGCGGCTCCCGATACAACTCGCAAATTGATTGACGGACCATAATCTCCCGATGACACTTCCAAACGCCAGCCCATAATCAAACACCCAGAGCCCTAACAGCAGCCGTTGCTGTGCTCCGCATACCTTTCAATATAAAAGAGCGACTTGACGAAAAATCGTCAAAAATTCGAATTTCAGTTTGCTTTCCAGCTGGGAATACGTGGTTCACCGTCAAGGAGTTGAGAGCTGCTCGCGTGTGCGGATCATGACAGACCAGGCATCGGGAACCACGGGCTGACTAGGCTGCAAGAAAGCGAGCGTATCGTTGTCTCCTTTTGCGGGCCGCAGAGACACTCTCGCGGGAGCTGCTACTGCTGCTGCGTTTGGCGGCCGGCGAGTCGTCGCTTGGTTCTCGGAGGGCACGAACGACGTCGTCGAAGACGGGTGCGGAGGTGAAGCAAGCAGAGGCAGGGCAAAAAAAAGTAAGGTAAGCAAAAGAGAGCGAGGGAAACGAAAAAAAGGCTGCAGCAGTTGAAGGAACGGAACGAGCGAACGAAAGCACACGGGACACAGCAACGAAGCGCCTCAGAGCAGAAAGCGGAGGAAACAACCAAGGGACTTGAAAGGGGATTGGAAGGACTTTGGGGCGGAGCACGACGCCGCTGCAAGGGTGCGAGACCACAGGCCCCCAAATTGGTGCCGAGCAAGGTTACCAGCAACGAGGGTTGCAGTGGGAAGATTGCGCCAAAAACCCAGGGGCTGGACGTTGCGTACGAGTGGACCCTGGGCTCCAGATGGGAAGGGTCCAGGCGGGGCCAATAGCGACGGAGTCAATGCGAGCCTTACGTTGGCCGAGAAGGTACCTGTGCCCTAACGGCTGAAACGAAGTCTGGCAGAATTACGGACAACGGCGATGATATCCCAATCTGGCATCTTGCGACCACCGTCGATAAAGCTAGACTGGCTGGCGCGTTCAGCCACGCTATGGATGCAGAAAGGAAGAGGCACTCCGTGTTTCTCAGCCGGCTGCGTCAGTTGAAGCTGTTGAATGACCCCTTTTCTGTTTGCTGATGAGATGAGCCGTGCACGGGACGAACGGCGAGGTCCATGCGTTGGCAGCTGGTAGGAGCCGGGAGAGAGGATCGAAAAGCCATTGCTCCGTGGCAGGGGCGCAACTCAAGCACGATTGCGTACCCATGCAGTCCAAAAGGCTGTTGGTCGACATGGTCGCTATCGCTCACCTGCACCAGCAACTGCAGGCTCGGGCCTAAAAACAGGGCCGTGCAGTTACCATCGAGTACAACCGTACAAGGCCTCATCTGGGCGTCCTCGAGAGAGGAATTGTCACCAGGCTGAACAAGAACCCTTGTACTTTGAAGTAACTCAACCGCCGGTTATTAAGGAGTGACCCACCTGCTTGTGCCAGATGAGCGAATGTCTGCGTGTGGTTGGCTGCTTGCCGATAGCGCCTCCGCTTTTGGTAATATTACAAGGCTTAATAAGCCACTAGTCTGATGCATCCGTGCAGTAGAGAAGGTCGAGGACCTGATCGGCTGGGAATGGAAATGACTTCCATCGAATAAGTCACTGCACAACGCTATCGACCATAAAAAACAATCACTGATAAAATCTCGAAAGGCTCCCACGAGTTTGGACTGAATTCTTGATTTCACTATGCCTGCTGTCCCCGCGTGCCTTCCGGGAACTTTCCGGCCAAGTCAATCGAGAAACCCGACAAAGGCTTGTGCCGCCACTTGATGAGGTCCCAAGACCAGTGCATCACAAAAAACGACCCCGCGCTCTGTTCCTCTCGCCAAGATGCACCGCGCGACAGGCCATCATGTTTCCCACTCAGGTCATGGATGCATGCAAATGCATAGCTTTGCCCGATGCAACAACAACACGTACAATTTGGTGCGGAATACGCCGTCCAATGCGTCCATGATCCGCATGTTGCAAGCATCAAGCTGCTCAGATCTCCACATTGCGAGCGTAGCGTAGAAACTATCTCCTCACGATGCAAACTTGGTATCTTCTGTGATCGGTGAATGCCGTTGCCGATATGGATCTGTCAGTGTGTTTGATGACTGTCCCACCTGTCCCATGTTTTCCAGCTCATCTCTCCACAGATCGGGCACGGCATCGTGAGCTCCTGATCAGCTCTGGGCATAGAACCCTGAAGATCGAAGAAAAATAGTCCGTGGTGAGCTCCATACTGTGGATGCTGCCGACAAGAGGTTCCAATGCAAAGGAGTTGACAGTCGCATGCCATTCCAGTGATGTACTTGTTCCATTGATCGGTTGACGTTACCTTTAATCAAGCGTGAAATTACCTTTCCGCCAATTTCCTTCCAGAGAAAGAGATCGTCTGGGGATAAATGCACAATATATTGTTTGTTCCGGCAGTGACAAGTTTTGCTCTTGAGACTTGGGTGGTGGAGGGAGGGAAACCTTCATGGCAAACTACTTCATGCATCACAGTGCTTCCACAACAGCTTGCCGGTGGCATTCAATTCGAAACGGACAACGGCCCGTTTCAATGACGGCCTTTATGGGAACCATGCCTACTAGGCGGTCATGTTACACCACTCCCACGTGTTTTGGAAATAAACGAAACATCTATGCGTTTGAACTCAGCTTGTGTCTTCAAGCACACCTGAGTTTCAACCCGTTAACCAAAGCTAATGAACTAAGTCAGATATTGTTCCTTCAAAAAGGAATAGTGCAAGTTTTCCTTCATGAACTGTGCTGATAAGACTGTTGAGCTTCAGCAATTGAGTCCTCTTTTGAGTTTTGAGAGCATCAAGAGAATAGGCTGGGAATGTTAGGCTTCGGAAGTGAACAGGCTCGACCGTTGAATAACATATCAGTACCATCTCTCAGGTACCAGGTTTGCAAAGTCTTTCGACCCCACAAGAATGTGCAGAACCCATCAAATTGAGAAGACCCATCAGTCCTTACTGTTGTCCATGATTTTGAAGCCCGATATAGGGATTTTCCGCAATGATGGGCTTTGCTTTGTTCAGAGTAGAAGCCTAAAGCCAGGAACAGCAATTCCTGTCATGCATGAACGCTGTCAGAATCCCAAATCCTGCCTTCCAGCCCTATGAACCCTGCTGAAGAGTCCGAATCAATGCTTTCACAGATATCCATTTGCCAAAACCGCAGCTGTACCTGCGTCTATCCGGCATATATCAATCTCGCTACTGCAAAGATTGCAGCGACGATCTCCAGGTTATCCGAACTCAAAGCTGACAGTTCTCTGCCGGCTGATCAGGACAAACTTTCCGTCCCTCTATCTGCTGAATGAGCGGAAGCGAGATGCGCGCAACAAAAAAATCTACCTATGTATATAGTAGAAAATCCGACAATGAGGTGTTTGATTGGGGATTGCTACTCAAGAACGCCAGCTCAGTGGTCTACTCTCGTATTGTGCTGCAAGAGCCAGGAAGTTTCAAGACTCTTAATAAGCTAATTGAATGAGCAGAATTAGAGTTGGTGGGTTGGTAGGGTAGCAGTAGCAGTAAATTGCAGCTGCCAGCTGCACATAATGAGCCATCACCAACAGAACGGATGAGGGAAACGAGCTGCTCGGAGAATTTTATGTTCAAGATGGATGGAACAAGCTTACTTTGGTCATATTGACGTATGTATCAAAAGGATAGGTAAAGTCACCTATTTTTGGGCTGTTTCTTGGCATCAGGTTTAACCCAGAATTGATGTACCAGATTCCCAGTGACAGACGCTGGTTAATGTAAGCTCAAGATAATCTTCAAGTGCTGTTGTTCGGAGCCGAAAAAAGGTCATCACTATACATCTTGGAGATCTCATCTATGCCTATCTTGACTTCCAAATATTTATCTGGCATCAGCATTGGACCTTTGCACTGGTTCAGAAACTTAAACATGACATGACATACTAAGTTGATTTGCCGGTTTGCCCTCGACGTAGTGGTTCATAAAGCGTGTCCATCTGGGTTCCAGGAGCAAGAAACCAAGCAATGTACATGTATGTATGCAATGATTATTCCAACCTAGGGTTTCATTTCTGCAAATTCACTTGATACCAAACGTGAACTAGACTGTTAGATAGACAGATCGATATGTAATCGCAATCATGAACTGAAAAAAACTCGAAAGAACTTGCGGCAAATTAACTTGCACGCTGATCATACCAGAAAGCCTACACTTCAAGAAGTCACCATGACCCATTCCTCCTTGCAGTGATGGTCCCTTAAGTGTTTCAACGCGGATGCTAGTCTATTTCATCACTGTTATCAATTGTCAGGAGACTGTCAGGAAACATTGTGCCACAAATTCTAGGGTCCCTTGCCCCCGTCTTTGTTGATCTAAAGGTAGTTAGAGCATCAATAACTAGGAAAATTTGTCTCCCAGACATAATCTAATGTTTCCATAGTTTTGTTGATGTGATATACAAAATATTTGGTCAGATATCTTCTAATACGAAAAGACTAACGGGTAGATCTTAGCAGTCAAATGAGCGATGAAGTGTGGCTAGGGCAAATATTGTCGGCTATGTTATCATGATGGAAGCTAGAATCCTGTGAATCGAGCAGACTAAACTGAGTAGCAGTTTCAATGGTTTCCCAGACCCTAGCAGTTGTCCTGCACATCTTTTTCCATTGAGTAGTTTCAATGGTCCTTATTCAAACAGAACAGAGATGTGGTCTTCGAAAACACCACATCTTTCTGCACGAGTTAATGATGTCGACATAACTGAGAGCCATCGGGACCACTCCTCCGGCCATCTAGGCTTCCAGCATTCTGTTCTTTCTGCATAGCAACCCAATACCAAAGCTGCTTCTTTCCGCAGAGCATTTCCCAGTACATACAGTTTGAGCGGCCCGGCTGGATGCGGAAGTTGCAAATTTTTTTGGCATTACTTTGCTCAAACGATTGCACGATGAGCAGAAACAATGGTTCACCCACTTGTCCTCCTCCACGTGTCTTCCTGATCTCTCATTTTTCACATCTGGATGTCGATCTCGGCTTTTCCCGGGCATTTTGCATCATCGTGTGACAGGGAAAAAAGGACATTTTGATAATACTGATATGTATGAATCAAAATACTTCAACATTCTTGCCCACTTTTCACGGTCGGACTTTTGGCCTGTGCATACTCACCCAACATTGGATCATGCTAGTAGGAATCCTTCGAAAATGCCGCTAGTGATCGACGGCATGCATGCATATCTCTTTGAACAATGCTCGTGACTGGTCAAAATGCGAAGCCAACCCCAATTACCCAAGTTACAATCTCATGTCAACAGTGAGAGGTATTCTGTCATTCAGAACCAGGATGGGTGGCCTTGAGTGAATAGCAGAGTTGTTCGAAAGTCAGAACACTTCCTAAGCTTTTCAATCTCCCTCCTGGTTACTGTCCTGGTATGCTGGAGGAACTTGACTCTTTGTTACTTGCTAGCGTGGGAGACCATGAAGTCATGAAGGGGGGACCGAAGATGTCGATAAAGAAACCCCATGGTACACATACACGGAGCACCATCAAATGCTTACATTTACTGAGAAAAATGTTTCTGACAAAAGTATGGAAGCTGCAGCAAGTATACGTCCCCCTCTGTTCGTCACTAACTTCATTTAAGTGACTTGTGGATGGCCTTTCTTCAAGGTCAAGTTCCATATGTTGGTCTGTCAACTATCATGGTCCACCAAATGGCATCAAGCTGAAGCTAGAGTAGTAATTGCAAGCATACCATCAAACACATCCCATTCCTGTTGCTGTTTTGTTCGGTTCCAAGCTTTATTAAGAAATCCGCGAGATCTTGTAAAGATACTCCGAAAATCAGTCCTTCACCAGTTAGGTTGAGTCCTCACAACGACAACTCATCTTGCCTCCTCAGCCACTTCAAGCAAGATGCAATATCTTACATCCAGGAAAACGAGATTTGAGCAACCAACACGCTAAGCTACTTGCATTCATTCTCATGCTCAAAATGCTCAGGGCTGGTCCACGTCTCTGGATGATGGAAGCACGGCACATGAATGTGCTCGGATTGTGGGTACCTCACCGGCTTTTCTATCTTGACATGCGATTAGCTGTCTGCTGTTTCTCCTGAGACTCTGAAAATCCAAAAACCAGGAGTGTTGCATTGCTCAGCGAATTGCACAGCATCTCGGTCATATGTTAAGGCTTGTATGCTTGATCTTGAGAAGGCAGAAAGGTCCTACAAGTAGGGGAGTGATCGACACCATATCTAGTAGCAGAGCTTCTTCCATTGAAATCCGTATGGGCTTGATGTGTGAATGCTTTGGACAGGGATGGTTAGTTCCCATGATGACTCATTCGCTAAAAACTTTCCCTTTAGCGGAGGTACCAAGGCGGTACTTGATGTACAGATTGAACGATGTATCAGGACTGGAGGTTGTCTAGGTCCCTTTTTTCATCGCTCGGAACTCACTAAGAAGGACCAGCTAGTGTGGGAAGTGTAACCACAGCTCGGAGTTCGGATGTAAGATTCAGCTGAGGAACAAGGAAAAGTTAAGCAATTAATATGGACAAAGTTCGGTCAACAGGTGCAGTCTGTAGCAGATCATTGGGATATCGGGAAACCATAGGTTTGATAGATGGCTATGCATGGCTGTTGAACAGATGTTGCAGCAGAGTAGGCTGGGCCAAAGTGCTGAATTGGCAAAAGAGACCCAGAAACGGGAGCAAATAAGAAGATCTCGGGGGTTAGTGTATGAATCTAGGGGATTGATATTGTTTCAACGACTAACAAGGTTGTTTTGAGTCAAAAAGTCGATGGATGATCCTGCTGTAATGCCAGATGGCAGACTGCCGTGCTACTGTGTCGCTTCGATTGCCAACCAGGACCGGAATCCCTCCCGCAGGAGTTGTTAACAAGGCTCTTCCAACGTCAGGAACTCCTGATCCTTGGGATGCAGACCAAGCCTCCAGCTGCAGTCCATTTCAACATCTCCAGATGGTAACCGATCGGCGGCATTGGGGTCTCTTTACTGCCTTTGTCTGCCCAGAATATTGCCACGTAAGTATGGCGAGGGCTTGGTGGCTGAAGGAGGGGACGGTCCCGGGAGGTTCCGAGAGTCTGGATAAAGCAATGCTGCACAGTATCTTCATCTAGACATGCATATTTCTATGTATTTAATGGCTCTGAGCATCTTAATCTTGAGTCATCTTTCACTTCAGAAAACATCTCAGGTTTGTACTCCGTTCGTTAACATTACAATGGGCGTTACCAAGACAGTTCACGTCAAAGGTACAGGACCACAGCCTCTTAGAGGCCAGAAGGTGACAGTGGCCTTCACTGGCTGGCTCAAGGATACAAGCAAGCCAGATAACAAAGGGCGGCTGTTGGTGAAGACTTACAATACCCAGGATACAAGACCAACGAGTTAACAATGATTTCAACATCCTAGGCTCCATTCCTCTCTCAATTATGGTAACTTCGAAGTTGACATTGGGGTAGGAAAGGTTATCAGGGGTAAGAAGTGAATCAAGTTATATGTCATTAATTCCTGTATTGCAGCACTACTAATATAAGGCAGGTTGGGACGAGGCTGTCCTAGGAATGAAGGTTGGCGAACAAGCGACGCTAGACATCACAGGGTTAGTAACATTTGATGAGTAGCATTCAATTGCTGCTCTCTGTTTGTGACAATCAATGACTAATTATATGAACCTGAGTAGTGACTATGCCTATGGGGAGCAGTATGCAAAGTCCTCGTCAAGCTTGACACTGGGAGCTTGACTGACTGTTTGACAGGGGATTTCGTGGGCGCATTCCGCCCAATGCGGACTTGATCTTGTAGGTGATCCAGTTTTCAGAGCCTGGTCATCTTGTGCCATGAGCACTGGTGCTGATACAGCCGTCACAGTGATGTGCATCTTCTAGCTGTTCAATAGATTGGATGTAATCCCTGTTAAGATTGTTCAAAGTGGACTGCTGAACGAAAGCCTAGGCACATTGCATGCCGTGGGTAGCTCAGATACGCAGCTCAAACATCCAACAAGTTGAGGACATTTCGCCATAAAAGCTTCTCCTGCCTTTATATCAAGACGATGTTGAGCACGAACCTGGCCTTGTTGATTAAGACAGCTTATGCTGGGTAAAGGGTCATGCAATAACTTTAATGAACTGAGGTGGTGTTAGGGACCATTATCTTCACGTATCAGTGGCAAGCGCAATTCTCAGCTTCCTTTAACACATGTTGTTAAACAGTTGGCGATTGCATCAGATGTTGAACAGAGGAAATCATCTTTCTATGGAGTTCCATTGTGTTCAGGCAGCATTTGTCAGGCTTCTGGTTCTCAAGAGAGAGGACCGCTCAGAAACCCAGGTGCTTCTTCCCTTGAAAGCCACTACGAAACATGCATAACAACCCCTGACTAAGGAAAAGTGGACTCCTGGACACAGTTGCGTACTTATCATTGGCTGACTGGCTGCCCCACCACACAAGGCTGGACCAGCCAACCATCATTTCCCGAGCCCCGCAGGCTGTCAACCGCGGGGCTGTGGAGGGACCTTGGCACCTCTAACTTGCCTGACCTTGCCTGACCTCACTCTCCCCGCTGCAGCCTCCAAGCAACACCGAAAACACCATCCCACCCGAAGACTGATTGCTTCTGCACATTAACCTGCCTGTTTGTCGACTTGAAATTTTCATTACACAAACATTTAGCAGCTACTTAGCTACTAATAACACTCGTCAAGCTGGGGAAGCGCAAGATTTCTGAAGGGGACCTGCCTATTTCCCTCAAACGACCCATGACGGTGAGTGTTTCCCTGGTCTTTTGCTTTGTTGTTCTCTAGGCTTCTACGCGATTGTTTCCAAAATAGATACTGGTCTTCAGGTTTCTTCGACGCCGATTGCTTGTCGCACACTTAAAGTTTTGCTGACTCTCACGGTTTCCCGCAGGAACGTAAACCTGAGGAGGTTGATCCCGTCAACAAGATGCAGGTCGATAACTCGAACACGGGCGCGCCCGAGATCGATGAGTCTCTCTACAGTCGCCAGCTCTATGTCCTTGGCCACGAGGCAATGAAGCGCATGAGCGCGTCTAACGTGCTCGTCGTTGGCCTTAGGGGTCTTGGTGTTGAGATCGCCAAGAATATCGCCCTTGCAGGCGTCAAGAGCCTGACCCTCTACGACCCGACGCCGGTTGCCATCGCCGATCTTTCTGCACAATTCTTCCTTCGGTCTGAGGATGTTGGCAAGCCTCGCGACCAGGCCACAGCTCCTCGTGTTGCCGAGCTGAATGCATACGTTCCTGTCCGCATCCACGAGTCTCCAAAGTATGTGCTTTGTCCCCTCAGTTGACAACTGAATGATTGTTCCTTGCTCTGAAAGAGTGAAACTAACATGTAACTTCACTTGTAGTCTCAGCGAGAACTTGTCGCAGTTTGACAAATATCAAGTTGTTGTCCTCACAAATACCCCGTTGCGCCTCCAGATCCAGATCGGCGACTACTGCCACCAGAAAGGTATTCACTTCATCGTTGCTGATACTTTCGGCTTGTTCGGCTCCGTGTTCTGCGATTTTGGCGATAACTTCACTGTCTACGATGCCACTGGCGAAAACCCTGTCAGCGGTATCGTCGCTGGTATCGATGAGGAGGGAGTTGTGTCTGCGCTTGATGAGACTCGCCATGGTCTCGAGGATGGCGATTACGTCACATTCTCTGAGATCGAGGGCATGGAAGCGCTAAACGGCTGCGAGCCTCGCAAGGTTACCGTCACGGGGCCGTATACCTTCTCAATCGGGGATGTTTCGGGTCTCGGCGAGTATAAGCGCGGTGGTCTCTTCCAACAGGTCAAAATGCCCAAGTTCCTCAGCTTCAAGACAATTTCCGAGGCCATCAAGGACCCTGAGTTTGTTATTTCGGATTTCGCCAAGTTCGATCGCCCGCAACAACTGCATATAGGATTCCAGGCACTTCATGCCTTTGTCCAGTCTAAGGGTTATCTCCCCAGACCCCTCAATGAGGAGGATGCGGCCCTCGTGCTCGAACTGTCCAAAAATATCGCAGAGGAGCAGGGAGTCAAGGTAGAGTTTGATGAGAAGCTCCTAAAGGAGCTCAGCTTTCAGGCAACAGGTGATCTCAGCCCCATGGCGGCCTTCTTCGGTGGTCTCACCGCCCAAGAAGTGCTCAAGGCTGTGTCCGGCAAGTTCCACCCTATCAAACAGTGGATGTACTTCGATTCTCTTGAGTCTCTGCCGACGAGTGTGGCTCGTACTGAGGAGTTGTGCAAGCCCATTGGCTCTCGCTATGATGGCCAGATTGCTGTCTTTGGCCGCGAGTTCCAGGCTAAAATTGCGAACATGAAGCAGTTCCTTGTTGGTGCTGGTGCCATCGGCTGCGAGATGCTCAAAAATTGGGCGATGATTGGCCTTGGCACTGGTCCCAACGGCCGTGTTGCTGTGACCGATATGGATCAGATCGAGAAGAGCAACCTCAACCGCCAATTCCTGTTCAGGCCCAAGGATGTCGGTTCGATGAAGAGCGAGTGTGCCGCAAAGGCAGTGACCGCCATGAATCCCGAGCTGGACGGTCACATTGATGTCTACAAGGACCGCGTCAGCCCCGAGACAGAGCATATCTTCCACGAGGAGTTCTGGAATGCCCTGGATGGTGTCACCAATGCTCTTGACAACGTTGAGGCGAGAACGTACGTCGACAGGAGATGTATCTTCTTCCACAAGCCTCTCCTGGAGAGCGGCACTCTCGGTACCAAAGGCAACACTCAGGTTGTCCTTCCCAATCTCACTGAGTCGTACTCGTCGTCTCAGGATCCCCCGGAGCAGTCGTTCCCCATGTGCACTATCCGAAGCTTCCCAAACAGGATCGAGCATACTATTGCCTGGGCCCGCGAGCTGTTTGATAGCAGCTTTGTGAAGCCAGCGGAGACAGTAAACCTCTACCTGACCCAGCCCAATTTCCTCGAGACTACTCTCAAGCAAACGGGCAACGAGAAGCCCACGCTTGAGATGCTCTTGGACTTCCTCAAGAACGAGAAGGCTCTCACCTTCGAGGACTGTGTGCAGTGGGCTCGGATGCAGTTTGAGAAGCATTACAACTACAACATTCAACAGCTTCTGTACAACTTCCCCAAGGATGCGGTCACGTCTACTGGTGCGCCGTTCTGGTCGGGCCCCAAGCGTGCCCCGGACCCGCTCAAGTTTGATCCCAACAACCCGACGCATTTTGCCTTCATCGAAGCGGCCACGAACCTGCACGCCTTCAACTACAATATTAATGTCAAGGGGAAGACGCGGCAGGATTATCTCAATGCCTTGGATTCGATGATCATTCCTGACTTCTCCCCTGATGCCAACGTCAAGATTCAGACTGATGACAAGGATTCCGTAAGTAATGTCCCAGTATTATTGTGATGTTTTCGAACTTCACTAACATGAGGGAAAGGACCCGAATGCCGGTGGCAGCTCCTTTGATGACTCGGCTGAGCTGCAGAAGCTTATCAACGAGTTGCCGGATCCCAAGACATTGGCTGGCTTCAAGTTGACGCCTGTCGAGTTCGAGAAGGACGACGACACCAACTACCACATTGATTTTATTACCGCCGCCAGCAACCTGCGCGCAGAGAATTACAAGATTGAACCGGCTGACCGGCACAAGACCAAGTTCATTGCAGGCAGGATTATCCCGGCCATCGCCACGACCACCGCTCTGGTCACTGGCTTGGTCATCCTGGAGCTGCTCAAGATTGTGGATGGCAAGAAGGACATTTCCCAGTACAAGAACGGCTTCGTCAACCTTGCGCTGCCGTTCTTCGGCTTCAGCGAGCCGATCGCGAGTCCGAAGGTAGAGTATAAGGGCCCCGGCGGCGTCAAGGTTACTCTCGACAAGATTTGGGACCGCTTCGAAGTGGGCAATATCACACTACAGGAGCTTCTCGACGATTTCGAGAAGCGTGGCTTGACCATCTCGATGCTCAGCTCCGGAGTGAGCTTGCTCTACGCTTCTTTCTTCCCGCCAGCTAAGCGTAAGGACAAATACGGCATGAAGCTGAGTGAGCTGGTCGAGTCGGTCACCAAGAAGCCTATCCCTGCCCACCAGAAAGAGCTCATCTTTGAGGTGGTCACGGAGGATGCTGATGGCGAGGACGTGGAGGTGCCGTACATCAAGGCCAGGATTCGTTAGACTGTTGGTTAGGAAGGCCAAGACGTGTCAATGGAGTATTGATGATCACACATGATAGGATGCGGTTTACGCGAGTAGACATAGCTCTCCAAGCTTCCGCTGCTTTCTCTTACTTAGACTTGCCATCGATCGGAGTAATGGTACCAATACAGCTCTAGCTGTTTGTGCTGACAGTTACTGAGACGATTACAACTAGGTAGGTACCTAAGCAGGGATGAGTTCACCGATTGATGTGATTCGTAGTCAATGGTATAAATTTTGCGCATGTTTGCTCCCACATCTGTCCTGACGAGTTGATCGGGATCTGCAGTCGTGTCAATTTTTCCAGGTCTCTGGAATCGCATGAATAATAAGCTAGTGGAGATGACAAATCATTCCAGAACATCCGCCAAAGGTGCAGAGAGGTTACTTATGTAACTCAAACTGATACTTTGATTCGTGCATATAAAATCCCGAGTCCTGCACCCCATCCCTTCATCTAATGTCGTATCGGAACAGCAGGTTTCTCTCATTTTACAAGCCACCAGTTAGACTCTTATTGCTAACCTCCCATCATCGAAGTGTGAATAAGTGTTTTGGAACAACAACCATGGTATGCTCAAATATACCCGAAAGTCTTAAAGATACAGCAATTCCCTGACTATACGCAAAACAGGCTGCCCAAGATTCTCCCCAGGCTAAGATCACAGACTGGGTCAAACCGGGTGACCCGACTGGAGAGTTCAAGCGCCAGCCGAGCTCATTCCGTAGCTTCATCTCGCGTGAGCCGGGTGCTCAGTTTCCACCTGAGAAGGGGCGGTATCATCTGTATGTGAGCTATGCTTGTCCATGGGTAGGTAGCCCTTGCTTCTAGACGAAACTGTCTGTACCAAGGAATGGCATGGTTAAATGTCTGTCTAGGCGCACCGAACTCTCATCACGCGCAAGCTCAAGGGTCTCGATGACATCATTTCGTTCTCGGTTGTTCATTGGCATATGGGAGAGAAAGGTGTATTAAGGAGTGCTGTTTCCACGTTTCCCTAATAGCTGACCATGGATTCTAGGTTGGCGGTTCCCGACTGCTGAGGACACCGACGCAGAGGGGGAGAATGTCGTTCCTGATCCTGTCCCCGGTCATGAAGGCTTCACCCATCTGCGCCATGTCTACTTCCAAAGTAATCCAAGTTACACAGGCCGGTTCACTGTTCCCGTGTTGTATGACAAGAAAACGCAAACCATTGTCAACAACGAGAGCAGTGAGATCTTGCGGATGCTGAATTCTGAGGTTCGCCAGCCATCCTACTCTATTTCATCCTCTTCATATTGACCGGCTGTAGTTCAATGATCTACTCCCTGAGAACTTTCGGCAGGTAGACTTGTATCCAGAGCCCCTCCGCCAGCAAGTTGATGAAGCCGAACAATGGCACTACGATCTCATCAATAACGGCGTGTACAAGTCTGGCTTCGCTACTACGCAGGAAGCGTATACGCGCAACGTCACAGCGCTGTTCTCTGCGCTGGACCGCGCTGAAGCCCATCTTGCTGCCACGGAGAGCGAGGGACCGTACTGGTTCGGGAAGACACTGACTGAAGTTGATATCAGACTGTAAGAATCCCTATACTATCTATAGGGCGTTGATGACACTAATCATAACCAAACACCGGTTAGATATGTAACGCTCATTCGGTTCGATGTAAGCCCCCAATTTCCCCCTTCGCCGTTTAGGCAGTTCCAGCCCACTAACCTCTGTTTTCTCCAACAAAGCCCGTCTACGTGCAGCACTTCAAGTGTAACCTCCGCGATATTCGTTCCGGTTACCCTGCGCTCCATCGCTGGATGCGCCATCTGTACTGGAACCACGAGGCCTTCCGCCTCACCACCAACTTTGCACACATAAAGTTCCATTACACCAAGTCGCATTCCCAAATCAACCCGTTGGGTATCACGCCTCTGGGACCTGTGCCGGATGTGCTGCCTTTGGATGAGGAGGTCCCCGCTGCAACTGCAGCAGTGGCCGCCGCCAGCAAGACGGGGTAGGAGTGTGTCATAAGGTATATGATCGGATGGAAGCAGCTCTCAATCAACTCAATCAACGGAGTGCTTTAGTAAACATTAAAAAGTTGTGAATTGAATACTTTTACCTTGTTTTCGGCTAGACCCGTGTCGAAAGATCGCAAAGTGGGGGGCAAGGTGACCGGGACTAGGTGACACAGTAACCATCAGCTAAAGTTTTGGCACAGACTCCCAACAAACGGTATGGCAAGGTGGCCGAGCGGTCCAAGGCGCCACGTTAAGGTGTAGAACCCTTAATCACGATCCGTGGTCTCGAAAGGGGCGTGAGTTCGAATCTCACCCTTGTCAATGCTTTCTTTTTTTGCTGTATTTTTTCCCTGGTATTGCCAGGGTAGTGTTGTACTTGCTTTTACTTTTCCGCTCTTTACACAGAGAAATATTTGAGATATTTCATAGGGTCATAGGACTCGAAACCAGGTTAAATCATGCTCAGTGCAGCATTTTTCAGCCTTTAAGCATGGCGTATCAACATCAAATGAAACTGAGAGAGCATTGATTTGACCCCACCAGACATACGTAACCCCACTCTTGTGCTTATCGATAATTTTATCACTATCAGCAATAGGACGCCAACCCAAAAATTTCTGGAGCTTCTGCAGTCTGGAACAATTGGCTTTCGCGTGCGAGAACGTCGCGACTGGACTTCATCGTTCGTCTGCGGCGCGCCATCAAGATGGATTCCCAACAACACAAGCCGCATAGACCGTCGAAAACAAAAGAAAAGAAGAAGAAACAGAATTCAGGAGGTTAATATTACCTTCGTCTTTCCTCATATCGCCACTGGCGCTGACAAAGCTGCAGGCACCAATCCGAAGGCCTTCGCAGTCGCAAACCCTGGCAAGCTCGCCAGGCAGGCCGCTCGTTCACATGATGTATGTCAATTGAAGATTCTTTTGCTGCCCTGTTGACCTAATTTAACCACGCCGCGCAGATCAAAGAGAAGCGCCTTCACGTTCCTCTCGTCGACCGCCTTCCCGATGAGCCGCCGCCGAGACTCGTCGTGATCGTCGGCCCTCCGGGTGTCGGCAAGACGACCTTACTGTGAGTAATTCCCTGTGACAGGATTCTAAGTAAGTGGCGCTAACCAGCATTCTCTCTACAGCAAATCCCTGGTCCGTCGGTACACAAAAGAAACCATGTCCGATCCCGTGGGCCCCATCACTGTTGTCACATCAAAGAAGCAGCGCCTTACGTTCATCGAGTGTCCGAACGAGCTCGAAGCGATGATTGACATGGCTAAGGTTGCCGATATCGTGCTATTGATGATTGACGGTAATTATGGCTTCGAAATGGAGACCATGGAATTCCTCAACATCCTGGCCAATACCGGTATGCCGGGCAACGTCTTTGGCATATTGACCCATCTAGATCTGTTCAAGAAGCCTTCGGCGTTGAAAGATGCGAAGAAGAGGTTAAAGCACCGTCTATGGACTGAGTTGTACCAGGGCGCCCATCTCTTCTACCTGTCCGGTGTTTTGAACGGCCGCTACCCCGATCGCGAAATTCACAATCTATCGCGCTTCCTGTCCGTTATGAAGAACCCTCGTCCGCTTGTGTGGAGGAATACTCACCCGTACACTATTATCGACAACTACCGCGATATCACCCACCCGACGAAGATCGAGGAGGACCCGCTATGCGACAGGACGATCGAACTGTCTGGGTATCTTCGCGGCACCAACTTTGCTGCCCAGGGCCAGAGGGTACATATTGCTGGTGTGGGCGACTTCACAATATCTAAGATAGAGGAACTGCCGGATCCATGCCCGACTCCTGCGATGGAGAAGGCCATGGCCAACCTGACTGGCAAGAAGCCGCGGCGCCGTCTGGATGAAAAGGACAAGAAGCTGTGGGCTCCAATGGCTGATCGGAGCGGCATGAAGATTTCGGGCGACCATATCGTTATTACCAGGGAGAAGGGCTTCACGTTCGACAAGGACGCGAACGTCGAGCGTGGCGAGGGCGAGCAGCTTATCGTGGATCTGCAAGGAGAGAAGAAGTTGCTTGGTCAGACCGACAAGGGCGTCAAGCTGTTCGCCGGTGGTGAGCAGCTTACCCAGATTCCTGAGGAGGACACGAACGATACAGGCAGGAAGACTCATCGGAAAGCCCGGTTCCTTGAGGATGATCGTCAGAACGATGAGAATGGCGTTCCTGAGGATGAAGGGTTCGTCAGCGGGGAGGAGAGCAAAGGCTCTGATGGATCGGATATCGAGGAGGAGTTCGATGAGAAGAGGCTTGGCAAGATGTTCCGAGGCGATGATGAAGAGACTCAAGACGAGGATGTAGTCTTTGCGGACACCGACTCCGAGCTTGGTTCCATCAGCGGCGACGAAGGAGTAGACTCTGAGGAATCCGGCTCAGACGAGGAATTTGATTCCGAAGAGGAAGAGGCTGTACGGTGGAAGGAGAACATGATGGAGCGTGCCAGGGCACTTCACGGCAAGCGGAAGCCATGGCGAGCAATCGACCTTGCTCGGCTCATGTACGACACAACTCTCACACCAGCCCAAGCACTTCGGAGATGGAGGGGGGAAGATAACGAGAAGGAGGAGGAAGAGGAGGAGGATATCGAAAAGGACGAGGACACTTTCTTCCACAAGGCCAAGGATGAGGATGATCTTGAGGAGGATCGGATGATCCCTCACTTTGACTACGAAGAGCTGAAAACCAAGTGGTCGAATCCCGAGAATATCGATGCCCTCCGACGGACGAGGTTCTCCACAGGCCGCCCGAAGGGCGACGGTGAGGGTGACAGTGAAGGTGAAGGAGATGGGGATGATGATGATGATTTTAATGGGTTCGATGAGGACGACGAGGACGAAGGTGATGGTGCCTTCGAGGACCTCGAAACTGGCGAGAAGCATGGCCCCAGCAAGGAGAAGAAGGAGGAAGAGGAGAAGCCGGCGATGAGCTTGGAAGAAGAGCGCGAACGGAATGCTCGTCGCAAGGAAGAACTCAGGGCACGCTTTGAAGAAGAAGACCGTGAAGGTCTTCTGAATGATAAGGCTATCGCCAGGAGGGAGGGCGGGCTTGATGAGGAGTTTGGCGAGGACCAGTGGTACGAGATGCAGAAAGCCATGCTGCAGAAGCAGCTTGACATTAACAAGGCCGAGTATGCCGAGCTTGATGAGCATCAGCGCAGGCAGGTAGAAGGTTACCGGGCTGGCAAGTATGCCAGGTTGGTAATCGAAGGAGTCCCGGCTGAGTTCTGCAAGAATTTCCAGCCTCGGATGCCTATTCTCGTCGGCGGGCTGTCGGCGACAGAGGACAGGTTTGGGTTCGTCCAGGTCCGGATTAAGCGGCACAGATGGCACAAGAAGATCCGTAAGTCATATTTGGTCGCAAGGCTCATGTCGGCAGGATGCTAACAATCCTACAGTCAAGACAGGCGACCCCCTGATCTTCTCTTTGGGTTGGAGGAGATTCCAGACACTGCCCATTTACTCAATCTGGGACAACCGGACAAGAAACAGGATGCTCAAATATACACCAGAGCATATGCACTGCTTCGGTACCTTTTGGGGCCCTCTCATCGCCCCCAACACCAGCTTCTGCTGCTTCCAGTCGTTCTCGGCTAGCAACCCAGGTTTCCGGATTGCAGCGACGGGCACGGTGCTCAGTGTCGACGAGTCTACGGAGATTGTCAAGAAACTCAAGCTCGTACGTGAGCCTACTCAAATCTTCACTGTTGTCTCATTACTAACGCTTATGCAGGTCGGCACGCCGTGGAAAATCTTCAAGAACACGGCATTCATCAAGGACATGTTCAACTCGTCCTTGGAAATTGCCAAGTTCGAAGGTGCAGCTATCAGGACGGTATCGGGTATCCGCGGTCAGATCAAGAGGGCACTGTCCAAGCCTGAAGGCTACTTCCGCGCCACGTTCGAGGACAAGATCCTGCTCAGCGACATCGTGATCCTCAAGGCCTGGTACCCGGTCAAGCCGAAGCAGTTCTATAACCCAGCAACCAATCTCATCGGGTGGCAGAGCATGCGGCTGACTGGCGAGATCCGGCGGGCGGAGAACATTCCGACGCCACAGAACCCTAACAGCACGTATCGCAAGATCGAGCGCCCCGAACGCCACTTCAACCCGCTGCGCGTTCCCAAGAACCTGGCGGCCGAACTGCCGTTCAAGTCGCAGATTGTGCAGACCAAGCCGCAGAAGAAGGAGACGTACATGCAGAAGCGCGCGGTGGTTGTGGGCCGCGAGGAGCGCAAGCTGCGCGATCTTATGCAGAAGCTCACCACAATTCGCAAAGAGAAGATCGCGAAGCGCAAAGCAAAGAAGGAGGCGCAGAGGGAGAAGCTTAAGAAGGAGTTGGCTGAGATTGAGGAAAGGAGGAGGGAGAAGCAGAAGAAGGAGAAGAAGGAGTTTTGGGAGAGGGAGGGCAAGAAGAGGAAGGCGAGCGAGGAATGGGGCGGTGGTGGGAAGAGGAGGAAGTGAGGGAGTTAGAGTATGAAGGGGGTAATGTATTGGGGGTTGTTTTGTTTCTGTTTAGTTCGGAGCAAGGCACAACTGATATACGAATAGTAGTACTGGACTTGGGATTAGAAAAGGTACTTGGTTATATGGAGGTTGCTTTTTTCCATGTGCGAGTGCTGTGATCAGGGGGCTTTGAAGACTATCGGATGTCTAGACTTCGGACGCTCGGTCTCAATGGGAAGGAGGTTCGACTCCCGCAGATAGGAGACGACCGAGAATTTAGCGGGGACCAGACGAGTGATGGAAGTAACGATTATGGCTATTCCAGGAAGATCATCGAATCATTTTGTTGTGGCTAATGTTTAAAATCGCTTTGGAGAGAATAAACAGCACACCTAATGCATGCCTGTGTACTTTGACAGTGTAGTTCGAATTTCAAGGTCGGCTGGACGTTCTGTAGGTCGACATTGGATGGTGGGGCCGGGCACATGGAAGAAAACAACATAAGGTCCCACTGCGGCGATGTCCTCTTAAACGGACTCAGATATCTCTCATTCCGCTCATCATCCTCTCATCAGCGGCCGGGTCAGTTATGCAATGCAAGGTGTCAATTTTGTTAAAGTGAATTAAACTCGTTCAAAATGCGAGTCATAAGCCATCTAGCAGGCCGACCAGCCTTTCTGCCGCTCACTTCCCGAGCGACGTCTTATGCTTCTCATCCCCATCTTCAGACTCTGAGTCGATTCACTCCCCTGCGCGACAGCCCCTTTATCAAACGCCAGCTACACCTTGCCCCTCCCTTTCTCCTAGACGATTACACCCCCCGCTATCTAACTCTTAGCTCCGTGGACATTGCCAAAAAGCGCGCCAAAGCCTATGCACACCTACGCAAGTGCAACCTATGCCCACGCAAATGCGGCGTCAACCGCTACAAAGAAACCGGCGTGTGTCTGGTCGGCGCCGAGACGGTCAAGGTTAATGTGATCGCGCCGCATTTCGGCGAGGAGCCATGCATCCAGGGTCACCATGGCAGCGGGTCGGTGTTCTTTAGCATGTGTAATTTGAGATGTGTGTTCTGCCAGAACCATGACATCTCGCATCAGAGGAATGGCCAGGATTTGACTCCCGAGGAGCTGGCTGAATGGTATATCAAGTTGCAGGAGGTTGGAAATGTGCATAATATTAATTTGATTACGCCCGAGCAGTAAGTGCCCCATCCCTTGGGATAGGTCTATAGAAAGATTTACGAACTTAGCCCTACCCAGCGTCGTCCCCCAAGTAGTTCTCTCCATCCTTCATGCGAGGGAGCTGGGTCTACGCATCCCCATCATCTACAACACCTCCGCCTACGACGCCCTCGAGTCCCTCGAACTCCTTGACGGGCTAGTTGACATCTACCTCCCTGATTTCAAGCTCTGGTCACCTGCCAGCTGCAAGCGGCTGCTCAAGGCGGAAGACTATGCCGATGCTGCAAGGGAGAGCATCAAGGCGATGCACGCGCAGGTAGGCGACCTGTGCTTCACGCCCGACGGCATCGCAAAGCGCGGCGTGCTGGTGCGCCACCTCGTCATGCCCGGGCTCGAGCATGAGGGCTCCGAAATCATGAAGTTTTTGGCCGAAGAGGTGTCGAGGGACTGTTTTGTGCATATCATGGAGCAGTATCATCCGGACGCTTACGTGGGCAGGCCGAAAACGAGAGGGGCTTCGGCTGCCAATGGGGAGGCGGGTGAGAAGAGATATGCCGAGATCAATCGTGCTGTGACGGAGGAGGAGGTCACGTCTGTCAGGAAGGCTGCTGAGAAGGCAGGCCTGTGGAGGTTCATTGAGCCACCAAGGCATGATGGCTTCCATCTGTAAAGACGATGTGATTGGATGGATTTCCAGGCAAGCACACGAGAACCTCTTAGTCTTCTTCCCCCTCCCCGCCAATTGCTACAACCAGTCGCGGCTGAAAGCGCGTCTAGAACTCCGTTTCCCGCGGAAAGAGTCTCCAGTTGAATGGAGGAATGCCGCGTTCTTTCAACAGAACCCCACTAATCTCGCTGTCGGACGCCACATGTTGCCTCAAGGGATGGAAGATGGCGAAAGAGCCTGTTCAGTGTCTCCTCCCTCTTGCAATCAGTATCCTCACCACGCCCACAACGAATCATCCTGTGCTCCTGCTTAGCTCTTTCTTCATGCGAACCCTGGCAACAGTCATTGTCAGTAATAAGTCATTGGCAGGAGCCTCGGATACGACAGGACGTGGTTCGGGGAGTCAAGATCGGCAGCTTACAAACGGCGCCAGGGATGCTTTGAGCATCCTTCTTGTGCCACATGAGCGCCCTTTGTTCCGCTCCACTCGATGATTCCATGCTGCGGCCGATTTAAGAATCTTGGGGAGAGGGGAGGGGCCGCTCGATTATATTTAAGATGGAATATGGTTTTGTCACCCAATTTTCTTTTGATTTCGATGGCGAGGGTAGTGATGCTCCTTGTTCTCATTCCAATATAGATTGACAGGATGCCTGCTGGGGAGAAGACATCGGTTTTACCCTCTCCTGAAGGCAGCTCCAGGCTGATTTCTCCCGAGACTGTTCCTCCTCCTTCTCCTCCTTCTTTTTCTGCTTCGCCTCTCGCCAAAAAAAGGGGTAAGTGTACCCCAAAACAAGCCGCGAGAAAAGGAAACAACTCTACTCCTCAACATTCTCAATCACGCTCATCTCCAGGTCCCAGTCTTAATACCCTGAATGCTATCCCATTTGTTCCGTCACTAGTCACCATGGCATCAGCCACGGCGATGTCACTAACTTCTTTCCCTGCCCTTTGTGCCCCCCCCTGCACTCCCCTCTCATCATTTGAAATACCAGCCCACTTAGATATTGGCACTCCCCCCTTAGAACAGCTCCATTACGAACGCCTATACTTAGAACAAAGCCTCAGAAAGCAAGACGAGTGCGCTTCGAGGCTGTTTGAGCGGTATGCTGCCATCGAGGCTCGACTAGCAGCTTTCACTGTTGCTGGACTCGGGAAATGTCCAAATACTGAGGGCAACAGCGACACAGCTGTCCCTGATCCTGGGAATGGAGTGACAGCGGAAAAGACGAGAATGAGCTCCTCTGAAACCAAAAAGCTTCGCAATTACGCAGCATACCTCAAGGCTAAAATCGCGGAAACCATAAAGCAGCAGCAAATGATATGGCTGCGGCTAGGAGAAATCACGCTGGAGTTAGAGAACCGAGCGAGATGGCCTCAAGCATGGAATAGTTACCGTCACCAACCTCGATATCAATTCGAGCAACAAGGGATGTCCACCATCGTCGGATCGCATCTCACCCGGATAGGGGTATACCCCTACGGCTCCTTTGATGGAGGAGTGGGGATGGGGTTCGGCTTTGGAGTTGGCATTTGGCTAAGAATCTACCCCCTCAGCAGTCCCAGCCCGAGGCAAGTACCCAAACCCCAATATCAACTCAACCAGCCCTACCCCCACCCCCATCTCCAACGCTTAGTACCGCAATCATCCGCGAGCCGAGAGTGACAGAGACAGAATTCACTTCCATCCTGAGCCCTTCATCACCGTGCTTTATTCCCAGGGGTAGTCAACCAAATGGGGTTGTGTTTCCGGAGGATATTTGGGCGCGGACGTCTACGTCGAGAACAACGTCTTCGCTGGCTGCTGTTGATGGATCGGCCGGAGAGGCCTCGTCAGGATGTGGATCGTTTGTAGGGTGTGCGGGTAAAGAGGGAAAGAAGGGGGATGAGAGTTGGGCGGAGGAGGTTGAGGGCAGACAGAGTGAAATGGGTGATGATAATGCTTGTGACCATGGGAATGAGACTGTTCTTGTGGAAAAGGCGATCGCTACTACGCGAGCAATGAAGGCATCGACTAAAGATGACGATGACCACACATCGAGGCAGGAGGATCAACGCAAGGGGCTCCATTTCCATACCCAGGAAAAATGCAAAGGTGATGGACAGACTGTCGCTGATTCAGAAGGCGAGGATGAATATGGAGATAGTCCGGGACTGAAGGAAGGTATGCGGAGGGTTTCACTTTATTTGCCCTCATCGCTCAAGGGCAGGGAGAAGAGGATGAGCCTGCCGTATGTGAAGAGTCTATGGCCTAGGTCGAGGAGGGGAAGTGGACAGGGTTCTGGGCAGGAGTAAGAATGTGTTTTGCTATATATGGGTCTTCTTCCTATCTGTGTTGCTTAGGTTTTGGCCTCTTCGATCTTGGATTATCCGGTCTGAGGATGATTGTGACATCAGGTTTTAAGATGTCGGTCACCGGTAGATGGAAGCAATGGATACATTGTGTGTTGTGAGAAGAGTGTCATGCGGTCTATTACCTATTTGTTTACTTTAGCTACTTCCGAGTGTGTTAACGTGTAGTCATGGCCGAGGAAATCCTGCGAGTATCTTCACGCGGAACTCACCATCCCTGTGACTGAGACAAATCCAACCAACAACCCCCCCAAGCCCCCAAGTCCCTCAAGCAAACTCCCCAAACTTCCCATCATCAAATCCCAACTGCGCAGATAACCTCTTCCTCTGCCTGGCCTCCCTCGCCGCACTCGACCCAGGCGGCGGCGGGGGTGGAGGAGCCAAGGCAAAAGCCGCCAAAGGCTTCCCCTCCTCCTCCTGCTGCTGCTTGACCTCACCCCCTTCCCCTCCACCCTGCGTTTGCCCCGTTCGACGACCAAACCTCGTCCCCTTCAGGTTGATCGTAATCGTCTCCCCCTCTTTGAGACTGTAGTCCTTCGCTTCCGCTTGCGCGGTCGCCTTATCGCCGGTGGTGCTGTCTCCCTTCCCAGTGGCCGTCCTTTGCCAACCTAAGGACTTGGCTGCCTCTTGAAGGGCTACGCCGAAGTCAAATGCATCGCTGCGCTCTTCGAACCCGATCGCTAAGGTAGCTTTGACTTTAGATTTTGGGTCTTGGACTCGAAGAGTGAAGAACCGGCTGCTGTCGGTTGTGGGTTCAACAACGGCCTTGTTGACGTAGGGGGCTGCCGCGAAGAGAACGCCTGTGTTGGGGTCCTCGAGGAGGATGTCTACTTTAAGAACTGGGTCGGGGTCCTGGGTTTCGTCTGCCAGGGAGTCTTGGGTCGACTCAAGAGTGTAGGAGGTCTCGAGGATGCGGAGACGGGCTGTGAAGATGTGGTTTCTGGGATCGTCCGTCCAGGAGGACGCGGCGTAGCCTGCTTTGGAGGGGACTACGGTTGAAGGGATGCTGTAGACGTGGACTGGGTGGGTGAGAACTGTGATAAGGTCAGGACTGCGTGAACTGATTGAAGAGAGGCTGTGTATCAGATGGGACCTTACACAAGACGCGGACGATGGCGTCAGGAGGGAGGGGCTGGTCTGTCGCGGGGTCGATGATGGCTGTCGAGGGGTCCATGGTGGGTGCTTTAACGAATGTACGATCTGAAGTATACTGTATCTCGTCTGCTACATGGCTACCACAAGGTATTTATACGAAACAAGATGCGTGATATGAGGATAGCGGCATGTTGGGTGATTGGCATTAATACGACGGCACTTGATCAAAAGGACCACTCCTCCTGTAACCTATGCCGAACCAAGCTGCCTATCCAGCTGCCCCTCATCTAGCTTGGCCCCATAGACCACAGTTTGAGCCCCACTATGGTGTAAGGGCGGGGCAGTATCAGGCGGTGAGAGCCGACAAAATAGCTCTTGGTTCCCCAATTGACCTGACTCACACACACAGATTGTACACCGTGAGCGTCCAAGCTGCAGATTTTCAATGAAGTGAAGGAGATATTATTACAGCCTGAGAGAAAAGAAACAGGAAATATCGAACCGCGAAACTTGAACGAGTGCCAGCTGCCAGCCAACTCGATTTCGGAGCTAACCCACTCGCGGGGTCGACAAGCACACTCCTCCTACCTGCGCCTTGACCATCACACTCGCAGAACCACTGTATGCTCTGGCGCAGTCCGCTTCCAACCTTCAGAGTCAAGCTACACTTCGCCCCCGTCATGTCTGCCGATGTGCAATCAGTCGCCCCTGTCCCTGAGGGGTTGACCCAAACCCTTTCAATCCGGACGAGCCCACAGGAGAATGGCACTGGGAATGCACAGGATGAATCGGGGGAGTTCGAGTAAGCTTACCAAAACTTAAGACTTCTTTGAGACATCAAGATGCTAAGACTTGCAAAGTATCGTCCGCACCTACCGACAAATCCTCGCCTCTGACCCGGACATCACGATGCCCGTGGCGACGATCGAAGCTCTGATCGAGCGCCTGCGCGTAACCCCCTCCTCGACAGCCATGGAAACCGTCGAGATCGTTAAAAAGGAAAAGGCCAAGCTCCTCGCCTCCGTGCCCAACCCTCTCCCCTTACTAGCCGGCGCCGACCTATTCGAGCAGTTCCTGCTGCGCTCGCTTAGAGGGCCGCCCGCAACAGGAAATTCCTCTGGCGGGAGCCTGTCCAACAGTACCAGCAATGCCGACCGCATCATGTCCTTCGAGGAGACCCGCCAGCACTTGCTCAAGAACAAGCAGCTGTTCGCGCAGCGCGCCAAGGCAGCGCGGCGATAACATTGCTATTCGTGGGAGCCGCTACGTCGCAGATGGGCATATCGTCTTGACGATGGGCGGGTCGCGGACCGTGACGACTATCCTTTTGCATGCTGCCGCCGACCACAGCAAGCACTTCAAGGTGATTTACGTCGTGGATGGAGTCAACAAGCGGGCGGATCTGGCCGTCAAGCAGCTCCGCGATGCAGGGCTCGAGGTCGAGACCATCTCGCCCAACAAGATCGCGTACGTGCTCGGCAACCAGAAGATGATCAACCTCGTTCTGGTCGGCAGCGAAGTGGTGATGCAAAACGGCGGCGTGATCTCGGGTATGGGCACCGCGCAGCTGGCGCACTTGACTAAGACGGTCAAGGGCGGTATCAAGCGGTTTTATGTGGCCGCTGAGACGCACAAGATCTGTCGGAAGACGCCCATTGCGTATCCGATGGTCAATCGTGTTGGTGTCAACCAGAAGGATATCAGCAAGTTTGAGAATATTGGTGTCGACCCCGAGGGGATCGAGAACATGCTGAAGGAGGATGAGGAAGTTGATTACACTGATCCGGAGCTGATCGATGGTATCATTACTGAGCAAGGGGTAAAGATGGCGTCGCAGATTTGGGAGATGGTGGATGATTACATCTGAGCGAGAGTATACCATGTGTTTTGTATTGTTTGGTATTTGTCTTTGTGGATTACTCTATGTTCAGGGGTTGCTGAAGCGGCATCATTCGGGCGTTTTCGGTCTTGGGAAAAGGGGCACAGGACTAAAGGTGATTAGGTTGAGTCAAAAGAGAATACCTCTTGATTTCACGGAGGTCGTTGATGTCTATGAGCATATCTTTCGCTCAATACCAAGTAGACCAAGAAAAAAAAAGGTATCGATATACATGGGGGATTCGGGGACACTTCATGGCCCATTCCCAACTGCCCACCATGTCATGAGAAAGTAAGCCTCCATTTCTCATCAAAGTGCACTAAGCTGACTAGAGAGTTGAGTGAAGATTCGATGCGATTTTCCTCCCTTTTCTTGTTCCCATGCGTGTTTTTGTCCGTCTTCTCGAGTTCCCTCCCTTCGGGAGAATAATCATTATATCCAAATATTTCAGCCAAAATATCTCCGTGGACGATGAACATCCCAAGCCGTCAGGTTTAATGATTATTAGGATCCCATCCATTGATCATAGAAAGAGAGTCTCTTCTGACACTTTAGGCGAGACAAGAGGACTTGCATGCTCAAGGGAGGTCCCTCACAAGCCTGGCACCAACCCAAGCATAGGGGTAGTTCCTCTGGTACCAGTTGACACTGTTTATACGGTCAGCGTTTCATCCTTTCTCACATTAGGACAGTCTCACGGGGTTTGCTCACAAGCTCTTCCTCCCTGCAATCCTGGGATGCGTCGCCCACGACCCGCCCAGCACGATATTATGTTTTTCATCGAAAAAGTCTGCTGTATAACCCGGGTACAGAGTCATGGGCTTGAACCCGTCCCACGGCCGCAGCACGCTGCTGGTCCACTCCCACACGCCACCACACTCGGCCTGCCCCGCCAGCTCCCCGCCGCGGTTCGTGACTGGAACGGGGTGCCAGTGCTGGAAGCCAACGTTGGCGCCATCCAGGTCGATGAAGAGCGAGTTCTCACTCTCATCTCCCTCAGCAGTAGCAGCGGCGGTCCCGGCGGGTGGGGTAGCAGGCGGTGAAATCTCGACGCCGTTGTTGCACAAATGGGCATTGACCGCAGGAACTGTCTGTGCGAGATGCTTCTGAGCCTCCTTTTGCTTCTTACGAGCCTCGACATGCGCATAGATGCTGCGGACTTCCTCGAACGTGGGGATGCGCCCGCCCATCCAGGCCGCGCAGGCTGCGAGCTCGTTGTACGAGGCGAAGACGGGCCAGTCGAGCGCGTACTTCAGGGGAACGAGGCCGAAGACCGTTTTGACGGCCTTGTCCTCGAGGAAGGATTCAGGCAGGGGGGCTGTGCCGTTGGCGATAGTGGAGTGACCGTTGGTGCCACTCACACCGTTTTGGGGATCTTTCTCCTTGGTGTAGGCCCAGGATGCAGGGATTTGTGATCCGTGGGTGTTGTAGAGGTATGTTGCGTACTAAATGTATGTCAGTACTCCCTGAATTCAAGTTAAGGAGCTGAGATGCTTACCTCCTCGTTAGTGATGGGACGCCCTTTGGCTTGGAAGGCATGAACCTTCGCGCGCCGAACGGGCTTCTCATTATCCCTGTTTTAGTCAGCAAGTGTTGCTAAACATCCAATCACAGCTCACATACCAGCCATAGTGAACATTTGGATCAGTTTCATCCTCAGGGTCATCCAAGCCAATGGTGATCTCCTGCTCAGGTATATCAAACCACTCGTTGGGCACCCTCTCAGAGCGAGCCTTAGCAGCAAGCTTCTCCCAATCCGGGACAGGAACGTTCGGCGGTGGCCGAGTCTTATCGCTCTGAAGCATCATGTATAGCAGAGTCTCGAGATGCATTATCTCGTGTTCAAAACCAACCCAGATTGCCCGGCCAATGTGGCGGGGGATATTCTCGACGCCATTTTCGTAATATTTCCGCAGCCTGGCACGTACGCGAGTCTGATACTCCAGGATCTCGTCAGCGGGCGGCCATTCATCAGGGATTTCCGAGTGATCATGGCAGATCTCCGGGTTGTCGACATCGGGGTCGATGCCCCGTTCAAAGATACGGCGGTACCATGCCGGGTCTGTCAGGGGATCGGTGGTGACCTTGCTAAGCTGGACATCGAGGAAGTTGGGAATGTGGCCCAGGTAAAAGATGCAAGCGTTGCGGAGCTTGATTGGCTTGCTGAGAAGCTCCTCAGGAGGGAGCATCTCTTGAGTAAGGGTGTCCCATGCCGCCCAGAGGGATTCCCACTCCTCAAGGCTAGGCAGCGCGGAGCGGGCGTAGACAGAAGGGATGAGACCGAATGCCATTTTGGGCTTCGATAGCATATGGACGCCTGGGAGTAGCACGATATGAGTCAGTTGCGAGATGGCTCTCTAAATGATGATAAGAGGATACGCCAATGCCCCTCAGCGCTCGGTGGGTAAAGGGGAGTCAACCCCGCAGCCAGAGGCCGGACGGCCATGCGAGTGACGACATGTTGGTGCGTCTGTCCAAGTCAGAGTCGTATGACTGGTCCCACGTATCGGGAGAAAACGTGGGGTAAGCGCAGGCAAATCTGATAGGGCTGCGGGGGAGTTGAAGGGGGGTAACGCGACAGAGCTAGCCTCCATTCAGACTATAACCCAACTCACCATATTCATCGCGGCATCTCCAATGGCCAATCTCTTCCATACCCGCCCGCTTCCAAAGCAATTCGGCCTCTGCCGGGGAGTACTTGAGACTCTGCTCCACTTGGATGCGGTCGTGTGGCCGAATCAGCTGGCCCAGGACCGTCGTGTCATGCAGAGGGGCATAAAACGCCTGATGGCGACCGCCCTGTCCGTCGTACACGTATTCGCCAATGACCCTCCATTCGGCCTCGACGAAGACGGTTTCCCCGAGGATCTTGTTGGCATGACGGAGGCCGTTGAGGATAAATCTATGGATGCTCTCATCAGCGCTGTCCCCGGACCCAGCTTGGGACGCCAATCTGGCAGCCACGATTAAACACAGCATTGGCCCTGATCTCACAGGACGGTGGGTGTCACATACTCGTGCGTCACTCCTTCTTTGTCTATGGATGGACGAGGTGATTCAAAACGTCAGCTGTGCTGCAAGCAACGTCGAGTCAGGGTTTCTTCAGTGACACAAACCATTATAAGCGTGGCTGTCGCGCTGTTAGCCCTGTGCAAGGCGACGGTGGGGTGTGTCAAGGGGCTAATTGTACTCACTAGACTCTAGCAGGGTCGTTACACGCATCCAAGCCAATGAGCATGGTGTCACCAGGACCCAATATGTCTGCAAAGGTCTTCAGGAAGGCGGCTGCGTCGGCTCTGTCAAAATTCCCTGGAAGCAAGATCCGGTTAGGCATGGCCAAAAACGGGAATTCCAAAGAAAGAGATGAGATCAAGACACTTACCCACGCTCGAGCCAAGGCTGAGAATGCACTTCTGCCTTGAGGCTCTGGAGGGGTGCTTCAACCAAGCCCGTCCATCGTCATACGTGCCGAGTAAGCCGTGAGCGCGGACATACTGGTAATGAGGGAGCTGGGCCAGAGTCCGTTCGAGCTCCTGTTTTGAGAGGTCAAGAGCGTAGTAGTCGATGCTCTTGCCAGCATCTTCAAAAGCCCGCAAAAGAAGATTCACTTTGCGAAGGTTTCTTTGGGGGTCAGCTCACAGCTGTTCGGTTGCCAGGAAAAATGGCAAACTCACCCGCTGCCCAGCTCAATGAGCATTGCTCCCTCAGGGATGAGTTTTGCAATGTCTGCCGAGTACTTCTGGAGCACCTCAATCTCGTCATTGGTGAGATAGTACTCCTCTAGATAGGTTATCTGAGACAAAAACGTGTCAATACGGGAAACGGCTGGTTTGATGAAGCTGAGGGGTTGTCTCACCTTCTCGAACAGCTGGAGACCTCTCTCGTCATAGAGAAGAAGCGTGGGAAGCTTCCTGGGCCCATTTTTGGTCAGGAACATGGAGAGGATCTCCACCTTCAGGTTCATTTCTACTGAGCCCTGACGAATATCAATAATGTCAAATGACGCCTTTTCCCCTATTTTCACACGAACATCGGGCAATCTCTTCTTCTCCTTAATGGCCAGCAGACGGCCTTGGCCAGTCTGGGAAGCCAGAACTGGATTCTCGAGACCTGGCATGTTGACTTCCCTTTGATATACCGTAGGTATGCAGGTAAGTGGAATGCCCGGAGACTGAAATGTGTAGAGAGAGAGCAGAACGCAAGAAGATCAGAAATCAATCGAAGAACTGGGAGAGGAAAAAAAAAACCTAGACGTGAACACGACCGGAAGGACCGGTTTATATTCAATGTCTACTTTGGACGTTTCTGGTCACAATGGCAGACACCACTCCTTTTTACAGGGACCCCCAATTTCAGAGCCCCGTCAACAGCCACGTCTTATACGTAGTCCAATGCCTGAGGATCAGAGATGCGCATGTGACCTTTGATGGACAGACAGCTCCAGACCGCAAGACTCGCACACACCTACGTACCTCTTGTACAGCACTCGTGGAGGAGAGGGAGCCGCACCTACCGGATAGTAGCCGCAATGGCGTCCCCATAGATGTCTTCGTGGTGGATTCAATGCTGCAGTACGAAGTCTCCCGTGCCAATCACGGCGGCCGAAGGTCTCGGGAGCCAGGAACAGAAACAGCGTGGATGTGGAACCGCCGTTTCCATCGCGGGGTCCAGCCCAGGCGACTCGACGATAGCAGTCGGTAGTGCGGAGTAGCCAGGTACTTCACCCTATGCCCAGCTTTGTACCAATAACAAGGATGGGCTAGCAGAAGAATGGGAGCTTCCAGTCTGACGGCACGAGGACGATCCAAGGGAAAAATTGGTGAAGAAGGTCTGGAAACAGCTCGCTAGTCGACCTTATCGAACCACTTCCAGGTTCCTTGTCCATCCAGAGCAAATGAATTACACACCGAGGTGATGTGGGCTGGCAGGCGTTGGGCTGCAGCTGTCTCCGTGCAGGGCAGTCCAGTTCTGACGCACTTCTCTTACTGGCATTTCAGCTCAACAGCTCGCTGCGAGGCGTCCACGGTGTCGTGTGTCGTGCGTCCCTCTGTCCGGGACAGGCATCGCTTCTGCAAAGCGAAGGACCCGGAACCATGAAACGGGTCTAACTGGAACCGCTGGGCACAGCATGCATGCCATGCCCAGCATGTACTGCATGGAGCATGTAGCAGCGTAAGTGCCGAGTGCGTAGCAGTCAGCAACCACATGTTACTCTCTGCACTCCAGAAAGAAAAAGCCGCCGCAAACGAGACGCAGGATAGATGCACAAAGACGCAGTCGAGACTCAGAGACCGGAAATGTTTTGTCATGGAATGGTACAAGAAACGGCCGCGTGCTGGAAAGCGTGGGAGTCGGTGATGCAAGGAACAAATCACAGAGCAGCTTCGGCTCGTGGGAAGGCCGCCCTGCCCCACGCTTGCCCTGGGAGGGCGGGGAAACTGGGGGCAACTAGCGCCCTGTCTGCAGGTCTGCAGGCGCAAGCTGTCGTGTTCCTGAAAAGGCATCTGTGCCTGGGGCATCTGCTTAGGGCAAAGCATAACCTGATGGAAAGTGGAAGTAGCGACAGCTGCGTCTTTGACAGCTTGTAAGGCACGACAATGGCGGTTGTCGGGACAGTCAAGAGCAACGAGGTCCAAGGATCAGAGTTCATCTCAGTCCCATTCGCTGTCAAACACAACACATAAAACACCCGTCCACATGGGATGGCCATAAATCGGCTCTTCTTAGCCCCACTTGCCACTTACGGCGGGAACAATGAATCCGACTCGACGGCAACCTCTTGCTGGCGCCACTCGCCCACAACTTCAGGCCAACTCCAATTAGGGATCAACAAGCCCACTCTCAATCACTCATCCCCGTCTCCTCAAGTAAACAACTTCAGACGAACATGCAGAAAGGAGCGGAATTGGATCCGACAGATTACACAGCATGATGCTCCCCGCTGTTTTAACGCTGGTTTCCCCGAATGTGTACCCCTCGCCGGCTGCGTGCTGCCGACGTCTTCCAGTTTCTCGTCCAATGTTTGTGTCTTATGTCTAAAACGTCGGTCTCCCCGGTGTGATACCCCGCGTTGCCTCCTTTTCTCGATCGTGTTTCCGGTTCCGATCGATCGATCCCGGCTCTGCGGAACCGGTCACTGGAGCTGCCAAAATTTTGGTCAACCCGTACGAGGACCGTCGGCCGTGATCTGAGTCCCAACAACCCGCGAACATTCCATCTCAACATAGTGCCATGGCTTTGGTGATGAAGACTTTTAACCCCCCCCCAGATGTCTTTCAAAAGCGACGTCCGACAGGGGACAAGAAACAGGCGGTGTTCGACGTCATCCGACTGTAGACACTAAATGTTCCGGCCAAGGAGAGCCCAGGCACGGCAGATGGCTGCAATGTGCAACTGCACCCCACGCCGAGGATCTCTCGAAAGATAACCACAGTCGCGCTCCAGAAGTTGTTGAGAAACAGATCACCGCTTCCATCTCGGCTTGGGAGCGCGCGGCCCCTGCGTGTCTCACAGTTACACTTGTATCACACGACATGGACACAAAAAGGAATCTTCAATCACGAAGACACCGTAGACCATTTGTCGAAAACTGAATCACACTTCCCGGTGCTTGACCGCCGATCTTCTAACATGGTTTTATTTTGCGCTGGCTTCGGTCATGTGGCCTAGTCGGCACCCCGTCCGTTGCGGGGTGAGGCGTGCATCCTACCCGCCCCCCTCCCCCTGCCTGCCGGGCGGATAGGCCGGGGTTGTTTCGGGTGTGTAGGCATGGAGGGCATGGGGTCGCCTCCGGCAGGCGAGCCAAGGAGACGGTCGGAAGCAACCCCTGGGCTGCCCGGCACTGTCCTCTGAAAATTATTTGGAACACGCAAACGGCGGGGGAAATTTGGGTTTCTGGGCTTCGGAGCGTCGATAGCCCAGCTCATGCAAGTTTCCGTAGGTGCCCAGGCCACCCCTGCCTGGTGCTGCAAGTCACCTGAGAACGCGCCCAGTCCGCGATGAAATCCCACAGAGCGAGACGCGTGATACGCGTCTTCTGCTGCAATGCTCCGGACCAATTTTTGACCGAGGCAGCTGTTTGTCAGCATCCTGATGTTGCTGCCTTGGATCCTTTTACCCTTTCGTGCCTTTATATGAGCTTGGCATCGGGCTGCAAGCCCTTTTTGACCAGGAAAAACAACACGGACTGGTAAAGGTTGTGCATATAAGTGATGTGTGATGGCCCTTCTGTGACTGCTAGCTATGAACTCTCCAATAAGCATTTAACCTGCGAAGTCGAGTCGCCTGAAAGCAGAAGTCCTCAATTTCGTGTCATTAGCACGTGCCGAAAGTCCTCGACATGTCAGACGCCGAAGTGATCAAAAAGTATCGCGGCAACTGCCACTGCGGGGCTTTCGTCTTTGAGGTTGAGCTTCCCGAGATCAAGACTGTAGCAGACTGTAACTGCAGTATCTGCTACAAGAGGGGAGCTCTTTGGACGATGCCCAAACAACCTCCTACCATCGTTAAGGGTGATGACAACACGCTCGTCAAGTACATGTTTGGTGCCAAGACGGCTACCCATGAAGTAGGCTAGGATCTATCTACCAGAGGACCTTGTTCCCAAGAAATAACTCTAACTAACCTCGCTCAGTTTTGCGGTAACTGCGGCACTCCAGTCCTGGCTGCGATGATCGCCAGCGGGGAGAATGGCAAGTCCATGGTGATCAACGTTAGCACCACCCAAAACATCAAACCTCCGTGACGCTGGCTAAATCTTTGACCAAGTCCGTACGCTTCAGAATCTCGATATTTGGAGCCTAAACCGCAAACCGTATGTAGGCTGAAGTGGGTATTTATCTCCTATAATCGTTCACTGACATAAACAGCCTGGATGGCGCCAAGTTGGATCCTCAATACGTCCCCTCGGTCTACTCGGGCCCCGAACCAAAACCTGCCAGCTTCGAAGGGGGAAAACTGTACCATGGAAGCTGCCATTGCGGCGCTGTGACTTTGGCAGTCAAGTTGAAGGACCCTCTGGAGGACGGAGTTTACAAAGAGGAGATCATGGACTGCAACTGCAGCTTCTGTCGTCGTGTAAGTGACCAGCCATCTGGGCCTATCCCCCTTTACCTTTGCCTCACTAACAAGTGAATTCCCAGAGCGGCGCCATTTGGATTTACCCCACGCACGACCAACTCGCCATTCACGGCTCTGAGAACCTGTCTCATTACGTCTGGGGGAATAAGGTCTGGCGCAGGACCTTCTGCCGCAACTGTGGTACGTATGTCTTTACCGAACCGAACCTCTTGACAGAAGAGGAGGTTGCTGCGCTGCCGGAGCGGGCTCGTACCATGCGAGCTCGCACACTGGATAGAAGGCCGCTTAATATTCGTGTGCTGGATGGATTTGATGTCAAGGCCGTCACGCCGATTCAAGGGGACTGTTGGGCTCTGCTGCAGCCGGGGTATGTGAACCCCTGAAGAGATGATATTTGGATTTTTGAGGAGACGTGAGAAAGTATTTTTCTGAAGGGTCTAAGTGCAAAATTGCACTCCACTCAGTGTACCAGTAGTGCTATCGTCCATCGCAACTTGCAAAATTCTCATAGTGACTGTTGAGCGAGTCTTGTCTTACTCGCTCTCACCCCTACTCTAGCTCATCCCTCCAGGGAATCGAATCCTGCGCGCCAGCTCTCTCAACCGTCTTCGCGGCCGCCTTATTTGCCTTCTTCACCGCAGCCTCAATATCAAACTCCCCGTCCCTCTTTCCGACCGCATCCAGGGCATACATGCCCACAAACGTGTCCCCCGCTGCCGTGGTATCAACAACCTTCGCCTTCTCAGCCGGCGTCAGCCCTTTCCTCCCATCCCTGCTCATATAATACACTCCCCTCCCCCCTAGAGTGATGATCACATTCCTCGCACCCTTCTCCACAAACCCCCTCGCGACCCTCTCCAACCCCTCCTCCGTATCCAACACACTCACCTCCACCTCCCCCAAAATCGACGCCTCCGTCTCATTCACCACCAAATGCGCCAACCCCTGATACGCCTCATCAGGCAACTTCCTCGCCGGTGCCGGATTCAACAACACATCCACTCCAGCCTCCTTCGCCGCCTTCAGCGCGGCTAACACGGCCCCGAACTGGATCTCCAACTGCATGATCAACAAATCCGGCTTCCCTTCTCCCAACAATCCCAACCCATTTTTGAAATCTCCTTCCGTAAGGACATGATTCGCCCCGGGACTCAGCACAATCCTGTTCTCCCCCGTCGGCTTGTCAACAATGATCAGCGCGACGCCCGTCGTCGCCTCCTTACTTTCTACTACCCCTGACACGTCCACCCCATACCGGGCGAGATTCCCCCTCAGCTGGGAACCGTACCCGTCCTTGCCGACAACCCCAACCATAGACACGTGCGCGGTCTCGCCCTTCCAGGGGCCGCCCTCTTTGTGCTCTTCGATGGGACGGTCCCGTGAGAGTTTGGCGCACGCAACGGCCTGGTTGGCACCCTTGCCGCCGGGGGATGTTGCGAAGGCGTCGGCTGTGAGGGTTTCACCGGGCAGGGGATGATGCGGCACGTAGGCCACGAGGTCCATGTTGAGGGAGCCGAGGACTGTGATGTGGGGGAGTGTCATTTTGGGTTGTTAGACTGGAGGGGTTCCTTGGAAATTTTTGGGTTCGTAGTGAAAGGTTTACTTGGTCTTTTGGTTATGGAATAGAGACGAATAGTTGATTCGAGAACACCTATGTTTACTTAAATCCATGCAGGAGTAAAGATGAAAGGACGTTATATAAGGTGATGTTACTGTGGGGGGGGGGGTTGAGGATCCAGGTGACCAACAAGGTGGGGTTGCTTGTTCAAGTACCTGTCTCTTCTCAACTGTTACCTGCAGATCGCCACCGGCCAAAGCCGAGGTATGAGACCATATCCTCTAATTACGACATTTGGAGTTTAAGCGTGAGATAAAATCAATTCCGTCTCTACTTTCACAGAAAACTGCTTGCAAAGCTGCTGGTGAGGACCTTGACGGTTATGGGACAGTCTTTTGACGCCTTCCATCCCGGCGGGACCGTCCTCCTTTGGATTGGGCGGGCAAACAGTTACCAATCGGATTCATCAAAACCAGGTACGGCTTCTCAGGTACGGCATCATTTCGGCATATTGGGTTGCAAATCCTAAGTTTCGTTGAAAAATTACCTTTGCTTATCCATGTTTGCATGCCAAACGCCTCTTCCGCTTCTACCATTGATTTCCCCTGGGGTATCCTGCTTGCAACCATATCCAAACCCAAACTCCTCGCTCTCTGCATAAGTGTATGTGCCATATCCCAACCGTATCCAAGACAAAAGAAATCAGTGTTTTCCAAGAGAAAAGTGATCCAAAACCTAATCACTCATGCTCGTTGTGAATGTGAAATATAAGATGTTCAAAAGGATGACGGAACCCCTCCCTCACGGAGTGCTACTGCTCATGATCGTCCGCCATCTTTTTTCTCTTGCTCGGCCTCCTTGACCCAGCAGCAGTCTGGACAGAGGAAGACGAGCTGGCAGCACTGGTCGCCGGGACCAGGTCTTCCTCACACCAGTGATTTTTCTCCATCTTATGTTTCCGCAGGTTGTCGGCCCGGTTACGGAACTTGCTCGTGCAGCCAGGGAAATTGCAGTAGAAATACTCAGTCTCTGTCCTATGCTGGGTGCGCATGTGCTTGGACATGCTACCTTTGAACCACTGTGGGTGGCCTTTGGGGCGGTATCCGCAAATCTTGCAGCACAGATCTGCTTCGACGACTTCTTTCTGCTGCCCGGTTGTACGCGGTTGTCGCTGTGACCCCTGAGTTCCAAGCTGACTTGGGGACTGGGCCGCTGGCGGTGCTTGCTGCGGTTGTGGTCTCTCTGCATCCCCGCTGCTCGAGGAGTTACTCGGCGTGTTGATAGACGTTTCTGTTGGCGTTGGTAATTGCGTGTTAAAATAAGGGGAACGAGGTCCCTTCGGACTGCTTGTTGATACGTTTGAGAACTGTGCCGCTTGCACGATCGTTTCAGAGATTGCGTCTTCGAGGAATCCAGCGTCCAGAGCATCAGAGAGTTTCGCCTTTGAGCTCGAGGTGTCAAAATCGTGTATCAGTTTTTCGATTAATTCGATGCCAAGGACATGGTATTTGTCCCGTTGAGAGACCCCTTCTTCGTGCTTCTCGTAAACTTGATCGCACAATTTCCTGACCCGAGGAACATATTCGTCGAAGAACCTCTCACGCGGCAACGAGTCCTGTTTTCGGTCAGCCTTAAGATTGGGAACTCGTCAAGCCATGACACACCTTGCCAGCCTTCAGCAATGCAAGCTCGATTTTCCGAACACCGGAGATAGAACCGTCAAAAACCCTTTGGGATACCCTTCTTAGCCCGTTATTCAGCAACTCGTGGTTGCGAAACCCACGAGACAGGACTTCCATCACAGACTGCACTGTTGCAACAAGTTCCCGGTCCAATGCATTGGCCTCTTTCAAGTGCACAATGTTTAAGTCGGACACCTGAACACCAAGGGGAAGCGAATCACAACTATGAACAACCGACATCTCGAGTGCTGCTTCCAAGTTAATAAAAAGCTATTAAGCGACAAGAAGCAGGGCTTTTGCTCACCATCCAGGAAGTCTTGTGCGGTAGCAAGCAGTGGGTCATACATTCGCTGACCGTGTGCCGTATGCAAGACCTCGGGTGCTTTGCCCTTAACATCAAACGGGGACCCGAACGACCAACGTGCTATCAAATCCTTGTAGTTTTGCACGTCTTCCTGGGTGATCGTTGGAGGCTGCCATATGAGCTTGACGAGCTGACGGTAGACGTCGCGGTCACTTTGCGGTAACCTCGAAGAGTAAGCCAATGCCTGCAAAAACAGGTTGTTGAAATGTTTGGATGCATCCTGTTCGCGTAGCACCACCTTGAAGGAGCCGATCAGATGAAGGAAACATATTAGATCCGTCGCCGTTAGCTGGCCTGTCTTTGCAATAAAGGCACGGAGAGTATGCAGCCCTCTCGTGACTATTGTACGACACGCCATTCCGTTAAATTGTTTGGCAAGCACGTTTACGTCGCGTTGGTCCTGAATTTTCACCGCGGACGACACGACATGTTCCATGAAAGCATCCCAGACGGAGCTGACGAGCGATGTAGCCTCTGAACAGCAGACGCTTTCTGGTCCAACTTCGCGCTCTTCAGACTCGGTCAGGGCTACCGGGACGACCGGGGCAATGGATTCAACAATCTGTTCTTCCTGCAGACGAATTTCAGGAATGGGCGTTGGATTGGTGGGTACAGGGTCTTCGGTGTCATTAATAGGATCAAGAGCCGTCTCGCAGGCCTTCTGGCTGACATCTGGAATAGTTCCAGGCAGCTCACAGAACTTCAGGTGAAGATAATCGGGGCAAGGATTGTGATCGAGGTGCATCTCGGTATCGAACATGTCGTCAAATGTGACTCCATCGATGGGAGAAGTTGCATGTGTGTCAAAGCCAGAGCCCATCGACCACACTCCGCTCCAGTTCGAGGACGGAGAGATTAGGGAGCTTCCATAGCTGGCAGTGGTAGCAGTAGTGTCTGTGCTAGCCGTGGATCGTACAGAGGAGCTTGGCGATAACCCCGTCTTGCTTCGCTGTGCCGGGGGAACCTGTTTTGGACGGGGAGCCTGTCGTCTGCCTTGAAGACCTTCGGTGATAACCTGAAGCGTCGGCTTGACAAGAGAGTTCTTCGGGAATCCATCTTCAGTCGAAACTGAATTCAGTGGCATCAATGCCGAAGCCATCGTCGTCGGTGTTGACACGGATGGTAACTGCCATTGTGCAAACGTGCCATCGACAGCCATAGCGGAGTCAAGCTCGACATGAGAAGTTGTTGGTGGCATGAAAAGAGCTTGGGGGTTGATTGAATCGGTCGGGTCCGGCGCGAACGGCGCGAAAACTGGCTCCGGCGCCGACTCAAAAATCCAATCCGGTGTATGATTGACTGGAGCAGCCTCAAGCTCGGCGGCAATCTCAGTTGTTGTTGGAAGCTCTGAGGGCGTGTCGTTAACAGCCTTTATATTGAGAGAGTCGTAGTAAGTCAACAGAGGGCTCGACAGGGCAGCATCGACGTCGATTTCTGAGGCGGAAGCTTTCTTGGATTTGTGGCCGAGCGAATGAAAAAAGTTTTTGGCGAGGTTCAATATCTTCCTCCTCTTGGACGGATGGCCTAGACAGCGCTTGCATTTGACATCGTTAAAACGCTCAACTCGCTGATGGTCGAAGCACCAATATTCGCCCTCTGCAAGATATTTGCACCCAGCCAGGTGCCTGAGCATAGCCTCGTGGTCAGAAAAGCGCAGTTCACATCTGAGCAGCGGACATTCCAACTTCTTCGCTTGCGGTAGGTTAGGGGACAAGTTGCGCTTTACAGCGGCCCAGACGATGAAGCGATGGCGTGCGCAATCATGCTGGGATGTTTCCTTGGTCCTGTGAACATGATTTAAGCCATGATGTTCTGTGGCATACTACTTGTGCAAGGAAGAGGTTGGTTAGGATAGCAGTGAAACGTACACACAGGACAGGTTGAGCGGTTCATCCTGATCAAGACTGGAGTCATTCTCAGGGAATAAACTCCTCTCCACATTCCAAAGCCGCCCACTGGGGACCGGAGCGCAATAATCAGATTGATGTGGTGACTCCGGTCGGCGGTGGGCCGGCCCCGCGGCTGACGAGCCAGGGCCGGATGAGTAGCCCTCCACCAAGGAAGACAAGCGTTTTTGATTCATAGACGCCTGATGATGGAATAGGGGCGATGCTGACGATCAAGTGATGATGGAGAGTGGGCCGGTGGCAATTTAGAACGCTGAGCAACCGAAAACAAGCGACAGAATTGCTTTGAAGTATGATTGAGGGCAACAGCAGCGCTGGGAAGAATAGGTCGCGGAGATCTGGTGGCGGCAGGTATGGGCAAGCAAGCGACGTACAACACACAAAGGTCCAATCGATAGCAAGAAACAAAGTCATCCCCCACCGATTTAAGGCGCCATGATTGATCCTGATTCAATGTGAGGCTCAGTGCTTCGCAAGGGCAGGAAGACACGTAACTGATCACTGAAAGTCCTATGTGGCTAGCCGAGTCGGGATGCTTTGCATGTGTGTTTGATGCCAGCCTGCTTAGGACTTGGTAGGACTTCGACTCTGAATGGTTCGAGGAGGCAACATCAGGTACCATAAGGCAGAAGACCAGACCAGCCAGGCGATTGGCTATCTTTGCCGGCTGCAGCACCGCCCGAGAACGGTGGGCAAGCAGATGCCAGAACGGATGCAGGTTGCAGACACAGAGGCGCAGAGGGGCAGAGACGCGGGCGCGGGGATGCCAAGCCGCGGGGGTCTAAGGACTGCGCAGGGGAGAAGCTGGAGGATGACGAGAAGGACGAGCTAGTGAGATGGAAATGCTGCACAAGTAGGCAAAACAACCCAGGGCTGTGAGAAGATCAATCGGATCAGGCGGTTTTCTGCCAATGGTCTGCAGCCCTGCGCTCGCTAATGACCTGACAGACTGACGGCAGCGACTGGAGAAAGGAAAGCTCTCAGTGCATCTTGCGCGACACCGGCATCTTCCGTTTCCGGAGAATGAAGGCGCGGAGTGAGGTTCGATTCTGCCTTGTGTTGATTCCGCTGCGCTGCCGCCCCCGAGGATGAACCAATCAGAGAGCAATACGGGGCCTGGCAAGGCAGATTTCAAGCGGGGAAAGTATGCTTGGCAGGGGCCAAGCATCTGCTAACAGAACGACACCCAAGCGCGTGTGTCCTTCAGATGCAAGTTGTTGGTAGCGTAACATAGTGAACTTGCATGTAGTAGGTTGGTTGAGTTAGAACAGACCTGGTGACGAAGTCGGAACTGAATGGAATACGAACGCAACTCCTTCTGATACACTATATATGAAGCATGCCCAGAAGATTTGAATGCTGATGATTTGACCTTGACGAATTCTTCACTGACGGCGGGGATGCTTCGATAGCGTCGCATAAATCGGGGGCTCAGATCATAGCAGTGTTGCGTTGAGAATGGGGGTTGGAATAGCGCCAGAATCGATCCTTGGTGTCACGAGCAGCTGGCAGAGTGCGTTTAATGCAACCATGGCCGAAAGCCTATTTTCAAAGAGAAAAGGAAGAGATGGGTCTGGTAGAAAGCAGAAGGCTGAGATTGAAAGTCGCGGAAATTGAAGTTTTCTAAGGAGCAAGGAAGTATTGAGATGAATGTACATATTTGATCCTCATCAGATAAGAATGCTAAGGCACAACTACCTGATGTTGAGTGAGAAAACAACGTTCCAAACTCATTGTGAGATTAGTTACGATGAATCTGGTGTTGATGAAAACTGGGATCCCTTTCGATCTCATCTTTCGCCGGTTATCCATCGGCGTCATCCACGAGCAAAAGCGCATGGAGAATCAGATACCCTAACCCTAACCCCAACCCATCAAAAACGCTTGTACCGGGATTATCGTCTTATCGCAAGTGGCTTGGAACCCCGCCATCACAGGAACAGAGAAACCTGGAAGTTGCCGCTCGTCGAAAACTGGAGTCACAGGATTTGCCTGCTGCCCAACTGTGTGCACCATTCACTTGCCTGATCCAGCGCCTGCGCACCCGCCCTCGATATCAACCCTCCATAGCAGCTTCACCAACAGACATAGTTCGATTTCGAACTCTTTACCTCCTATACAATGCCCGGTCCAAGCAAACGGTGGGGTAAGCGACCAACAATTTCTTTACCCCGCCATTGAACATGGAACCACTTTCCAGGGCATGATTTTTGCAACAATACAACCTCTGATGGCCCAGTCAAAACAATTTTGCGATATTAGAGATGCTAACGTGGGCCGGCTGCAGATGAGGAAGAGGAGTCGATCGCGGGCTCTGCCCCCGGCTCCCCTGTGATAGGTGCTCGTCGCAACCGCAAGTTCGACGACGAGGAGGAGGGCAACGATGATGTACGTTCTTGATGGCGCGGTCCCACAAATGTTGTTGTCGCCAGCGCGATTCCTTTGCCAGGGCTAATTCATCGCTTCAATATCAGGTCCTTGATTCGTGGGACGCCGCCGAGGACTCCGAAGTCGAGAGAGAGAAGGCCAGAAAGGCCGCCGAGGCCAAGGCCAAGGCTGAGGCCGAAGCCGCCGCTCAAAAGAAGAGCAAGACTCAGCGCATTGCCGAACACCAGGCTCAGCGCGCCCGCGCCAAGGCTGCCGCGGAAGCCGAGCAAGAGGAGGAGGAGACTGAGGCCCAGCGGCGCGAGCGCCTGCGTCGCACCGAGAAGGAGTCCGACCTGAAGCACGCGGAAGACCTCTTTGGCAACATCGGCACCATTAGCGGCCGTAGCCTGACGGCCACCACCGTTCAGGTCGACCCGAACGATCCCAACAATACCATCGATTTGGCCACTCTCCCCATCTTCAACCCCCAGGGTAAGGCTGCCTTTGAGCAGCTGCGCAACACTCTGGCTCCTCTGCTTGCGGCCAGCGCCAAGAAGCCGCACTACACTCTCTTTCTGCAGGAGTTTTGCAAGCAGTTGGCGCGGGAGCTGCCAAGTGAGCAGATCAAGAAGGTCGCTAGCTCACTGACGGCTCTCAGCAACGAGAAGATGAAGGAGGAGAAGGCTGCTGAGAAAGGTGGCAAGAAGACCAAGGCGGCCAAGACGAAAACCTCGCTCGTTGGCGTCAGCCGTAACGACAAGGCCGACCTCACTGCCTACGACGATGCTTACGAGGATTTTGGCGAGTGAGTAACCATAACTCCTTCATGATTGTATATGCGTATTGACATGTTGCTTTGCAGTGATGACTTCATGTAAAGGGTGAAATCCATTTTGACTGCGCAGTCTTGCCCTTGAGTTACTACATCAGTCTTAAGGGAAACGCGGCTTCGTTTTGACCACCCCCTGAATCCAAAGCAAGAGACCCAGCGGCTAGTCAATCAAGTAATTCTGCGAAAAGTCATGGGTAAATCACAGAACAGGAGACTGGGAGTACATATGCTTCCCACCTGCCCCTCACGGTGGCAGCAAACTAACAACCCTCGCTTCAAGATTGGGCCGGAATCGTCAAGCAAAAAGTTTGTGACAGGATGGTCGTAATACCGAATGGTTGGCTTGGTGATAGTTAGGGCATGGCCTAACGGCGTTCATTCGGATGGAATCTGGCATCTCAATCCTGTTTTCATTCCGAACATGATGTTCCATATAGAGTCTGGTTTGTGATCCTTAGCAGGGATAGCAGGTACCCAATGTTGATCTTCATGCTGTACTCTTTACTGCTGGGGAATGAGAAGTCGAGAATGACTTTGTTCTCTAAAGAGCGGTTCGAAGGCAACAAATTTTTATTTTATGAGCAATTACACTAACTAGTAGAGCTTCAACCCAGGGGTATCAAAGCTATTGCCCAATCCCCTCATTCATTCATGTTGAACGATGATGGGGAAGACCCCTTTTAAATCCGCCTTAACGCCTTAGACCCAGCTCCTTGTATACATGAGATAATGACGTTTCATGCCGCCACCAGAATGGCAAATTGACATCCCCTCTTCCCCTTCCCTCCAAATATGCAAACAATTCAAATAGCCATCCTCGTTTTCTCTATTCCCATACTTCGTACACATACACCAGGTCATACATATCGCACATCGCCAATAGCACATCATAACAAGGAAACAATAAAATGAGGAGAATTCACATGAGCGGGGAAAGGTAGGGGAATGATGAATCACATCAAATCCCCAGCGACACCCGCCAAAAGCGCATGGACAACCAAACTGATCGTCCACAGCCCGACGCGCTTGAACCGCCGGACGCGCGTCTGCTGGTCAACCACGTTCCGCGCAAACGCCTCGTACACTTCGGCCGACGTGTCGTCCATCAGCCCGCAGTCCCACACGGTCCACGAGCCGTCAAAGTCGGACAACCGCTTTACCACGCGGCACGTGATGGGGATGTAGGTGCGCTTCGCGTTGATGTAGGCCACGATGGGCCGCACCAGAGCCTGGTTGACGTAGCTGATGTGCGGATTGTTGAAGAGCGGGACCGCGGCGCGTACGTTGTTGAGCGAGATGCGCATGTCCATGACGAGATAGGAGTTATGGGCTGCTTTGGAGGAGGCAGCGACGGTGACCGTGGAAGTGTAGGAGGCGGGTGGTTGTTGGGAGGGTGGGATGGTGTCGTCTTCGGGGTTGCAGGAGGGTGATTCGGGGGGAGGAGAAGCTGTGATGGAAACTTCGGCTGCGATGGGTATGGGGGGGTGTGATCTCCGGGACCGAACGGAGGTGTTTTCTAAGATCTTGAGATAGCGGTTGCTGGTAACCGCTTCTTCCATTTTGTCGTAGAAATCAGCCACGACTTTTCCAATGCCCTCGGCCGGGTCGGCGGGGAACATGACATCAGCTACGATGTCAACGTTGCCCTCATAAATCCAGCCGAAGGGACCTTCTACACCACGGTTAAGGTGGTCGATCTTTAACCCATCGATGCGTAACCGGGAGAATTTCTTCCAGGCTGATGGGTCACCGAACTCATCTTTATCAGAGGTAACAGTGTGGACCTGTCGAGGGTGAATGGTAAATAAAGATCCGTCAAAGGATCCGGACATGTGGGACGCCGATAGGAAGTCATAGAAGAGCCATTGCTTGCGCAGTTGAGGAAGCTCGCAAGAGAAGATAGAGACGGAGAAAGGCCGAAAACCGTCAGGCTGGTAAACTGTGACCAAGAGGTCTTCCAGCTTGAAATAGTCCAGTTCAAAGTCACCAGGCTGATGCTCATGGCGGTATGCTAGAGGGTTCGAAAGGTCAAAGTTATCCCAACGAACCGATGTTCTGTCGACAACTCCTCTGACACCCTTAACTTCAACGTCTTTTAATAGGCCCTTACCATTCCACCACTTGAGGAATGACAGGGTAACGTTGACCGTGTCAATAGTCAAGTCGAACTGTGTGTAGTTGCCATCGTCCTCATCCTCGGCCTCCTGCTCGGCTTGTCGGGCAGCTGCGGCGGCTTCTGCAGCTGCATTAGAGGAACCCTTCGTGACAGACGACTTGGTCTGACCGGGCCTGCGGGAAACAAAGACGTTGCGGAAAGTAATGACACCATCCCTCCATTTTGGGACAATTGCAGACTCAAAGACAACGGTCAAACCGGCCGACTGTGTGAGATAATCACCAATCCATTTGGCAAGGGTTTCTGGACAAAGATGTCAGCGACCCATCCTTCAACCAAGCATGTGGTGAAGCCTACCCTGTGCAAACACGGTATTGATGAAGAGGATGATCAGAGAGAAAAAGGTGGTGGTCCCGACCAGGATCCACACGAGATGTCCGAATAGGAACCACGAGACAAAAGCTCCCCACTCGTCCGCATTCCATGGGCGCATGCTCCGGATAGAAAACCACTTAAATCGGACTTTTAATCGTTGACGAAATCCTTGAGCTGTAGCAAGCAGCTCTTCTTTGGTTGGCCTGTTAGGGATCTTGGGAAGGTGTAGGTATTTAGACATGGAATCGGCAAGAGACTCGCCCCCGGGAGTATTGGAACCGGGAGTCTTGGTTGGGCTTGGGCCTTCAGAGCTCGACTCGACTTGCTGTGTAAGCGGGTTTGGGTCTTCACTCTTATCACCAGTCGCTTTCGTGCTCGAACTACTCGCTCTCTTCGCCGTCAGCCCCGGCGCATATCCCCGGCAGCCGCAAGCCTGAACGCTTAGTTGCCATGTGTGACGAGCGAGATGACTTATTGAGGCTCTCTGCCCAGAAGGCCCTGCCAACGCTGAATCTGCGGCTACGGTACATGTCGTCACCACTGCCGTTGTCGAAGAAGGGCCGGAGCTCAACCCGAGGAGGAGAATGCCTCCCGAAGAGCAGCTCTTCCGGACATTGCCCGAGGTGATGCGGGGCACATATGGCCGGAAGGAGAATGACCTGGCAGGGTAAAAGAACCGGGAAGACGAAGATACCTCTGCTGGCGAACTAAATAGCGATGGCCCGGAAATTGGGCGGCCTGGAAGCTGTTGGCGGCCGGGTAATTTCGTGGAGAGAACGGCGACAGAATTCCGGATGGAGCCCCAGAGAAGACGGCCCAACTGGGTCGTGGTGCTGCTAGAGGTCATCGTTGTTGAAAGGCATGCTGGCGCACACGGTCCGCAGAGACAGCGTCAGCGCATCTCAGGCCATGGCGCAGGGCAGCAATCTTTGGTGTACAGGTAGATGTGGCAGGACGAGTCGCGAGCTGCTCTTCCAGAAAGCCGGGGATCGGCAAAGAAGCGCAAGCTCCAGAAGCTAGGAACGCGAGCTGCGCGCCATGAAAAAAAGGCTTGTCATCAATGACGCTGGGCTGTCCCACCCGGATAATCGCCCAGTGATATGGGTGCGGCGGCCTGGGTGGATCCGCAAGGCTGGCTCGAGCCCCTCAATCAGTCAATAGATAAGCTCCGATAACGACACATGCCATGCCTGTCCCACACTTTTTTGACGGATTTTGAACCCCACTCATCACCAAAATCGGGGAACACAGACCGTCAGAACACGCCCAGTGCCCATCGCCAACCGCCCTGCGCCGACCGAAAACTCGCTTGTTGCTATTTCCAGAGGATTTCTTGGACTGATACGGTGACTTACAACATCACAACAGATTATCTACCAACATGCCTGCTCCGACAGCCCTCAAGCAGCCTCCTCCTGCTCCCGAACAGCAGGCTGCCCCCGCGATCACCAACGAGAACGAAGATGAACTCCTCATCGATATCCAGCAGGCTGCGGCCACTCTGACAGATCCCAACGCTGCGGAGCCTCCAGAAGAGACCATGGAGAACGAGATGGCGGTTGATGAGGAAGGCAGGCCAAGGTTTGCGCCGGGAAAGAATATTGTATGTTGCCACATCATCTAGAGGAGGATGTGTTGGTTACGGACGTGAACTGATAAGTTCTTTCTATACTTCCAGGATCCTATTCGGCGGATTGAGACGAGAAAGATCCCGATTCCGCCGCATCGCATGTCTGCTCTGAAGGCAAACTGGACTAAGGTAAGTCTTCGTGGTGCATTCTGTGCGGACTTCAAGACTAACACCTTATTAGATGTACGAGGATCCCTTGAAAAAACACAGCCCAGAACTCTTTTCGTATACTAACCTGTCGTTTAGCTATCCTCCTCTGGTTGATCATTGCAAGCTCCAAGTGCGCATGAACATCAAGGAGAAACGGGTCGAGCTGCGGTCCAGCAAGTACACCGTCAGCAACGAGGCTCTCCAGATGGGCGCCGACTTCGTCTCCGCTTTCGCCATGGGCTTTGACATCGACGACGCTATTGCGCTCTTGCGTCTCGATTCGTTGTATATTCAGTCGTTCGATATTAAGGATGTTCGCCAGACACTCGGTATGTTTCAGCTCCATGTTTGCCAGTCTCGTCTTAAGGGAAGGATTTGGCTGACACTGGAATAGGCCCGGATGCTCTTTCTCGTGCGATTGGTCGTATTGCTGGCAAGGATGGAAAAACTAAGTTCGCGATTGAGAACGGTAAGCCTGTACAACACATAAGAGCTGGTGTTGGGATTGCAGAACTAACAGCCTTCCAGCGACGAAAACACGTATTGTCCTTGCCGGGTCCAAAGTTCACATACTTGGTGCCTTCGAGAATATCGGCATGGCCCGCGAGAGGTGTGTAGTCGTATAAGGTCTCCGTCTCACGAATGAACCAAATATTAACTTTGTCTCAGCATTGTCTCTCTGGTTCTTGGCGCTCAGCCAGGCAAGGTTTACAACAACCTCAGAATAATTGCTTCGAGGATGAAGGAGAGATGGTGAAGAAGACGGTCGATAGTCTGGTTGCTTACGTCTGCGGCATCGGTCGGCGTTCAGGGCGTTTTGCATGGTTTTCGTTTTGCACTTTGATACAACGTTGTCATAAAAAGAGATGCACGTGGTTAGATCTGAGAATTTATCATGATCAGATACCATTAAGCGCTGAATTAGAAATCTTAGTAAGAGTAAGCCTACGCCGAAAAAGCCTGCGATTCGGATTGCTTCAAGTTGTTCGCTGTTCTATCCACATGTGATCTGAGTCGAAGCAAAAGCTTCTCCAGGCTAATATGGGTATCATAAGCCATTCGCGCCACACCTTATCCCATAAACGCCGTCATCCGTTTTGATCCCTGATGAGTAAGTGCCCAAAGACTTAATAAAGGGGAGCTAATTCTCCTCGACTGTCCCTTAACGCCGCTCCTTGATATGCACCTCCAGTTGGTTGATATCTTCTTTATCGAGATCCAGGTCCTTGACCTGCGTGTCTTCCTCCAATTGCTCACCATCCAACCATATCGACACATCCCACTCGTCTGCTGACAACCCGGTCTTGACCAGAAATGCCTGAATCATTGTCTCAACTGTCTTGTCCTCTGCGACTGTGAACTTTACCTCGCGCTCCTTGGCCTTGAGAACCACTTTGAACTTCTGCGATTTTGGCTCTTGTGCAATCAGCGCCTCAGACTCAACCTTGCCATGCAAGGCTTTATCACCCGGCCTGCGTAACTGCCCTTCCTTGTTCGCTCTGCACCACTCCGCGTAAAAGTCCTCGGTTACCACCTCTAAATGAACTCCGCCATTGATATATCCCGGGCCGTGGGCATCTTTAATCTCACCTAGCTCATCAATCTCAATGCCCAGCGACGCTAGCGTGTTCTCGCCGTAAACCTTGTTGCCCTTCCAGAGGAGAATCAGCGATTTCTCTACCTCCTCTGGAATGAGCAGCCCATCCATGCGCTTCTTTGCGACCCATGCGTTTAAGATTAATTGCATGTTTTGGGTTACTCGGCGCTTAATGGCAACCGGTTTACCGCTTTCGGGGAGGGGCGATGTAACAAAGACCCAAATGATAGCATTTAAACTCTGGGATTTTTGTTTCTCTTGCAGCAGGCGAGCTTTTCGGATCCATTCATTCTCCTCCTCTTCGACGGGAGGCTCTTCGTTGGGCTCGTCTTCGTCGGGGTCGGGCATCTTTGGGGCAGGTTTGGATTCGATTATCTCGATATCAGAAGAATCGGAGTCTGCAATGATCTGTTTGGAAGCCAGAGAGGATGATTTTGGTGGCTTATACTCTCCGTCGCTGTCATCGCTATCATAAAGAGCTTTGGAGGAGCGACGTGCTTTCTCGGGGGCGGCCCTTTTTGGAGTAGGTGCTGCGAAAGCCGACCTCTTGGCCACAGGAGAGGACGGACTTCGTGACCGACCAGACCGGACAACTTCCTTTCCCTTGCCCTTTACGTCCACAATAGTGTCGTTATCGGAGTCGCTAATAACTGTTGACTGTCTGCGCGACGATGGTGTCCTTTTAGGGGGCGATGTTGACCGTTCTCTACATAGACCACAATCAATAAAATGTAAGAGATGATTGTTTTCCAAGTGACTGCGAGCGCACCTGTTCTCGGAAAGCTTCCTTCTCTTTTTCTCTTGCTCCTCGCGATGCTCCTCCTCCATATCACGAACTAGCTCTGGAAATAACTCCTTGGCGTGCGAAAACATGCCAAGCGCATCTTCATCGTCGTTGGAGGCGCTTTCGGTTACCGGCGCGCTATCCACCGTACGCTTGAAGGGCAGCGCCCGTTTCCTCGGTCGCGGGGCAACGTTGGCGGCGCTTGTTTCTTCTGAAACCATCATAGCTGTGTTTCGAAGCTGTAGAATTTAAATTTTGTTAAGTGCGTGGATACTGGATAAATGGCTGCTAAATGTTGCGCAGCAAAAAAATTAGGATTCCTGAAACTGTGTTGAATCGACTTCGAGGAGGCGTGCAACGCGACTCGATCGCGAACCGCGAACGGAAAGTCGAAGCGCATGGCGGGCTTGTCGTCGGCCAAGCCAAACAAAGAGATCCATCCAACCGGATGCTGATTTCAAACCCCACACTCAGCTGCGGTAATGCATTGTTTACGAGTATATCTGTTGTGTAACGTGCTAAGGTGCACCAATGAAATCGGACAGAAAACGGGGTGATTTGCATATCTTAAGCATACAATCAAGCATGTGATAACTCCTTGACATCTGTCAGCAAATCAGGTCGAACGAAGAGTCTCATTGAACTACAATGAGTTTTGAAAATCGTAGAAAGCATCGACCATTCTGGCGTTGGGTATCATCAACGTTAGTAGGTGTGTACGGTATATGTACTATGTATCTGGTAACAATACCCCAGTTTCTCTAGCTTCCCCTGTCCCTTACCCCCCCCCATGTCTTCTCCATTCCCAGGCCGGCGATGTGGGGTCTGGCCGAGGTAAGATGGCAAGTCCCGAAAGGGGATTCGACTATGGCACGCGGACATGGGAAGGATGAGGAGGTAACATGGGGTTTTTCTGTTACCTTTTAGTTGAGGCTGATGCCTTTCTCTTGTATTTCTACACTATCTGGAGTAGAGAGTAAACTGCAACAATCTCGACCTGTACGACGTCAACCACTTCACCCTCGAGCTCTTATTCGGGTTTTACGTGCAAGTATTTATACACAGTATTACTGACATCTGCCAGCGACACGGATACCCCTTTACATCTCGTGTGCTCCTCTAGATCAAGAACACAATGTCTGTTCCTCCGAGATCCGAGTATCTGAGCCATGTCTGGGCAAAGGATATTTTTGGTAGGTAGCAGGTTCATCTTCTGCCCACCGAGTCAACGACTCGGACACAAGACACCAAACACACATGTCTCATACCTTTGTCTCGTGTAGCCAATCGTGTCCTGTTCATCACCGGTGGCGCTGGCACCATCGGCAGTGCCCAGACCCGAGCCATGGTTCACCTGGGTGCCGATGCCTGTATCGTGGGTCGTAGCGTTGAGAAAACTGAGGCTGCTGCCCGTGAGATTGCCAAAGTCCGTCCCGGAGCCCGCGTCCTTGGCCTGGGTGGTGTTGATGTTCGGAATGTGAGTGTCCCCGAGACTCTACAATGGTTAGGCGCAATCCGTACTAACACGTGGGAACAGTTCGAATCCGTCAAGGCGGCAGCTGAACGCTGTGTCAAGGAACTGGGAGCCATCGACTATGTGGTGTAAGTCCGGACTTCAGAGATCTCCCCCTTTCGTTTCACCTTAGCGGTCACTTACCCTCTATCAGCGCTGGCGCAGCAGGCAACTTCATTGCCCCCCTTTCTGGAATGAGCCCGAACGCGTTCAAGACCGTGATCGACATCGACACCTTGGGCACATTTAACACCTTTAAGGCAACCATCCCCTACCTCGTCGAGTCCGCCAAACGCAACCCGAACCCGAACCCAAGTGGCTCGACCGGCGGCCGGTTCATCTCTGTCTCCGCAACCTTCCACTACACCGGCATGCCCCTCCAAGCGCACGTCGCGGCCGCCAAAGCCGCCATTGACTCGCTGATGGGCAGCGTTGCACTAGAATATGGCCCGTTCGGCGTGACGGCAAACAGCATCGCGCCGGGCGCGATCGAGGGCACCGAGGGCATGGAGCGGCTGGCCAGCAGCAAGGTCAGCAAGCGCGACCGCACGAAGGGTGTCCCCTTGGGCCGGTGGGGCACCGTGCGCGACATTGCGGACGCGACAGTATTCTTGTTTAGCGATGCGGGCAGCTATGTGAACGGAACGACGCTGATTGTGGATGGTGCCGGCTGGCGCCGGCAGGGTGGCTCGCTAGGCGTTGGGCTTGATCCAGGCATGGAGTACCCTGAGTTCTTGCTCCAAGGGACGTTTAGCAAGTTTGTGAAGGATGGAAGGAAGAAGGATAAGGTGAAGCTTTGAGTCAAGTTGTTTTAGGTGGTGGCGAAGTCTGAGAAAGATATGAGAGAGCGTCGGAGTGGTGTCCGAGAGGGGAAGTTGAAATATAGAACTACTCTTAGTTACAGCTAAGAAAGCGAGAATCGATATTCATTTTGAGTTGTAACACCCTACACTTTTCTGTCGTGTTACATTGGCTCCAAAATGAGGCTTGGGTCTGCTGGCTTTAAACCATGCCCTGTAAATACTTTCACTGGTGGATAGTCCTCGGAGTTTTTGAGGAGTCAGGGAAGTATCTGTAGAGCAATGAGGGGGCAATCAATCACTCAAGATATTTCGAATCCAAGCAGCCAAGGTTCCACACATGGTTCTGTATGCATTAAGTATATTAAGTTTGAGAAAGCGATGAAACCGCGGCTAAAACAACCACCAACGGGAGCATTAAGCGCCGTATGTATCTAATCGCCGCATTCTCAATTCAGATTTGCGATTCGGTGTCGTAAAGCAATCACAAAGCCTATAGAGACAATCCCTCTCATGTATACTTGTTCGTGAAAATCTACTGAAAATCCAGGGCTTGGAAATCACTTCAGAATGAGACCTAGTGACATGATTACCTGACCCTGCATAACGAAAGTATATCATAACGATGGAAGAAGCTGCGGATCCTCTTCCCAAAGACATCTGGACAAAGAGGTTAGCAGACTAATAGACTGCTAGTATCACTGGTCAACCTACACATCGGGATACTCAACATGCAAATTGCCACCTGAACAGAGGCGACAGCGTTGAACAGCGGTGTCGCTTTTGTGTTCGTTTGGACAAGCCACTCGAACGCCCGAAGCGTCAATCCGAAACTGAAGATGTTCTTGAAGACTATCATGCAGGTGAAGCCTTCAATAGCCAAGTCGCCTAAGAATGGTTGTTAACATGGATCACAAATATAGTCTTAGAAAACCTGGAGGTAGGAAGAGCATACGATAGGCATCCACAATGTAAAGTGAGCTAGAAACTGCGCCAATGACCATACCCGCGACTTCAAGAGCAAAAAAAGTGAGCGGGACGACATAATGGTACTTTTCGTGCAGCAGCCCATCCACGGTTTTGCCCCAACCGTAAAGACCAGCACAGCCTAAAATCATCTGCGGGATAACGAGCACAATGCGGAACTCTGGTTCGTACACGCCGTTGTTCCATTTGGTCATCATTTTGGCCGACCAATCTGAAAGTACACCGGCGATAACGAAACCGATGATGGCGCCGACGAATGCCGCTGTGTAGGCGTAGCCTGTCTCGACTTCACCCCACCACAATGGTGTGGCGAGAAAAAACTGAGCCAGAATAACGCCAATGAAAACAGTCCAGCCGATCATACAGCCTTGGATCAGGCAGGCCCAGAGAAAGGCTGGCTGTAAGAAGAGTGGTAGAGGGCGCAGCAACAGCTTCCAAAACTGCTCATCCGTCTTGCGTCCGTTGAACAGGGCCAAGGATTGGGTGAATGATGCCTTGGGCGGGATGGGCTTGTCAACCGTAAATCCGACAGGCTCCCCGATTTTGTTAGTCTGACTGTTCTCGTGAGCTTCAACCACATAGAGATCGCCGTCATGTTCTTCTTTATGTGTCGCCGTTGTTGTCCTGTTCTCTTTTTTCTTTAATGGAATAGGCTGGTCCTTGTCCAGTAGATCAAGGTTCAAGGCTGTATCCCGACGGTAGGCCGTCTCGGGGCAGAGAAAGTAGATGAGTGGCAGGCATATTCCACAAAAGATGGCGACGAAATAGAAGGTCCATTGCCAGCCGATGCTGTGGGTGATCTTTCCGACCAGGATTGGGGTGAAGAAAGCACCACCGAAGACAGCAAGGTTAGTAAATGCCATGCGAATACCTCTCTGATGAACGCAGTATAGATCGCCCACCGCTGCGTTGACGAGCGATTCAAACGGCGCTGTCGCCACTCCCTGAAAGACTCTGGCCCAGACCATGGACGTGTACTTGTCTTTACCGTAAGACGCACCTCCCCAGGCTGCTGTGGCCACTAACATAGCAGTTCCAGCAACGAACAAGTGACGCTTGCCCCAGATACGACCGGTCGGTACAAAGACGAAGGCGCCGATGCCCACACCAAGCAGGTACCAGCCTGTCAAGGCAGCAATCTTGGTAAAGGGCACCTGGTAGTGAAAGGTGAGCGTTAAGGTGTTTGCGGCGAGAATAGGGCCCAGGCAGGTCGCGAAGATGGCCGTCATAGAGAGGATAAAGGTGATGAGATCACGCCTCCATAGCGGCCAGTTCAGAGGGTCATTTGGGTCGTCGGACGGCTGGGGGACGAGGATGATGGGTACCGGCCCGCTGGCGTCGCACTTTAGGCCTTTAGCGGCGCCGTCTGCAGCGTACTGAGGTCGCTCGGGATCATCGAAATATCGGGTGGTTCCTGCAACGCAATGTGGTCAGCGCGAGTTTGCGCGACGCGATGCTTTCAAGGCGCCGAGAAGAATCAAGGATTGAGAGACGCACCTGGAACGTGGTCCAGAACTTTGTCCTCGAGAATTCCCAGACCCATCTTTACTGGACGCGCGACGGCGCTGCAATTCTGTTGCGTTGCGAGGGCTTGGATGTCAGTTATAATTTAAAAGCAATTCATCGCGGGAGGGTCTGTCGACGTCGCAATCAGGGTGATCAAATGTGAGTGACTTGGAAAGGGAGAAGTCAAATAAGTTTTGCTTGCATACTGCATGCGGTTGGCTGCAGACAATCGAGCGAGGGCCAACCACTATCTCGACGGGGTTATGCATCCAACCCATCTCGTGCCTCGGTGGGACCAAGACATCCACAAACGCAGAGGCCAGGGCTTACAAGATTTAGTCCCCTTGGCACCAGTATCACGGGAGCCCCCGAACCAACCAGCTGCCACACCTCCTTTACCTTCTAGCTGTTGTTCTCAAGGCGAATTATTTCCAATCCATTCTAGTCCCTCAGATTAGGAAGCGAAAATTCCAGACGAAACAGCGCCAAGAGGCCGTTCAAGGCGACCACACATGGAGCAATGTGATTGCGGAATCTCAGTGGCTATCATCACGTGGCGTGAGTGCCTACCTCATCATGGTCTGGATGGGAAGACGCCAGTCGAACGCTACGACCTTTATCGGAAGCAGAACTGCCCATTCCGGTTCGCCTGGGTTTCGCTTGATGGACCACCTCACGGGCTCATCCCTCCTGTTTGTCAGACAAACACCAAGAGCTTCCTTCTTGAGCACCCAAGGTCTGAACCTATGATAGGTTCTTAGGTGCCGGCGTACACGCATACGACATTTAGTACAGATGAGATTGCGCTGTTCCTGATAGTTTACTCTGTAATACGTGTTTGATCCTTGGAGAGTTCAAAAAGTTATGGGCAAATCAGGGCATGCACTTTACTATGAGACAAAGATATTCTCGGCGGCGTGGTAGGTAAAACGGTCGGAAAGCCAGTAGTGGTACCATACTTGGCAACCCGCACGGTGCGAAGGAAACAAGGCCCCGAACTGTAATTCGCCTGTGAAAGATTTGCGCTTGTAACGAAACAGCTTCACCGCCTTGAAAACGCTAAATACTTCCTGCTTATGTACAATCCCATTTATTTTCTTGCGATCAATTTCCCAAACACAGATAAGATGGTCAAAAACATTGGGAATATCAACAGTTAGGCAGTCACAGTGTCATCCCACCTCAACACGGCAGGTAGTCAGGCAAGCTGGTTGACTCAAACAAACCGAGGCAATAATCGGCCAGAGAACACAGCTACATAACTGCCGCTGCAATGGTTTTAAGACTCGGCACGATCGTGTTCAATACCAGTGTTTCTGTATTATATCATAACCGGGTCTATAATCGGTCAGTCTGACGAGGTTTGGTTGGGCTGGGATATGACAGGAACGGCAGGAACTCTCCACTCCACCACCTCAGCAATGCCTGTCCAACTCTGGGCCCAATCATCAGCCGGGACCAGGCTGCTAGTTCCGTCGCAGCCCTGGTAGGAGCCCGCAAGGTGAGCCACCACCCTCTCTCATTGGCGGCCTGGCATCCAAAGGCCAGAGCATTTGTGGGGGGAACGTTGTTGTAGACGGTAAGGGGGTTGCCTCTTCGAAAGCACATTAAAGGCCTAGTGCCTTCCCATCTCCGCGTCACCATTCCGTTGTCCTTCGATCCCATCTGCCAGAAGTGACAGCCCATTGACAATCTCCCAATTGCTGAATCAACAATCATCACGTTCAGCCACTGCAACAATGAAGCTTTCCGCTGCTCTCGTCGCTCTTGGCCTCGCTGGTGCCGCCCTCGCTCAGGACGCCCAGCCCACTCTTCCTGCTTGCGCGGTATGCGATACCAAATCTGTTTACTTTATTCAAAACTAAAACAACTAAACACACGGATCTCTAACATTATATACTGTGTACAGCAAGATTGCGCGAACAAGTTCCTGCAGGAAGGCATTGGCAACTGCGGCTCGGACCCTGCCTGCATCTGTGCCAACAAGAGCTTCATCGGGGATATTTCATGCTGCCTGATCGGTGTCTGCGATGATGCTGCCCAGACTGCTGCTGTCATTTTCGCGAACTCTGTGAGTTTCCAACTATGCAATTTTTTCTATGCACTACAGCCTTACTGACAGCCGCTTTAACAGCTCTGCAGCGCTTTCAAAGTGAGCGATCTGCCGACTGCTCCCTCCTGCAGCACCGCTGCTGTTCAAACCCAGTCAGCTAGCAGCCAGTCAACCACGGGCACCACTACCGGCCCTATTACATCATCTCCCTCGGCTACGACCAGTGCCACAGCTGATGCTGCTAGCAGTTCTACTGCATCCGACAACATGGGTCCGCGCCCTACGGCTGCGGCCGTCGGCCTCGGTGCCGTCGGCGGCATTATGGCTGCTGTCGCCCTTCTCTAAACCAAATGCCTGTTGGTACTTTCAGCGGGTATGAAGCCCCGAAAATCCCTGGGAGGTGGAGTGGATTGTATTATGCTTGGGGTCGGATCAATAGATGTGCTTTGATGTATGGCATCGATGTTATTGCTTGGGTGCCACATATCTTTGTACAGCACCTACCGTCAAGTGATGAGACAATAATCTTCAAGTCTGGAGGAATATTCTAATATAAGTAGTAATGAAAAGAATAGATCACGATACAATCTCCCGCATTTCTCTTGGGTACTGAAGCTTCAGGGGTTTCTGACCTTGAAATATCCAGGCTCAAGCCGAATACTGTATAAGTCAATCCACATCCTTATGTGAGATAGGCTTATGCGAGACTGCGCGGAGCATGCTAAAACCTATTCTAGAATTACAACCGGGCAAACAGCTCGGGATAAACAGTGTAAGAGAATTGAGCAGGACCAAATTGTACTGTAAGCATGGTGTGGCAACCATGCCACAAACCTTCTCAAGCAAGCCCTCTTGTGACCCATGCCCAAACATGCTCGGAGACAAGCATAAACCAGTCCGCAGACGATTATAAGCGCTCCTCAGCGAGCTCTGACACTTCGAATAATCACTTTGGCATTCTCCGAGGACCGCTCCCCTTCTAACTCCCATCCAACACCGTCCTCACTCCTCAACTCTTCCCACTTCTTTCCAACTTGCTCCTCAAGCACGTTGAGAGGCAAGTTGAGATATGCCCGGCCGAACGCCTTGAGCGTGTGTGACCGCATCCGCGCCTCAGCGAACTCCATCAGCCTTGCGCGTGGCCCATCCACAGAGAGCTTTACCCGCCGAAATAAAATCCAGTTGTCGTGGGTTAGGGCATGCAGCACAGCGTCAAGGGCGTCGTGTCTGTCAAATCCAATAACTTTGGCGGGAGAAACTTCGGAGGGAAAACGAAGTGCCGAGCGGTAAGTGTGTCGCAACGCATAAGCTTCGGCAAGATCGTCCCTGCGGCAGGCGGCGTCGAGGACGAGATAGGTAGCGCATTCACGGAGCTCGGCGGTCGTGAGCAACGAAGCTTTGTCGCGCGTGTCGGGAATTGTGTAGTGGCTCAGCCTTCGCAATAGGTATAGGAGAGCCGGGAGATACGTTTCATAAGAGCCGACGAGCACGCCGACGCGAGCTGCGAAGAGGAAAACTTGAGCTGCGAATGCATCGTGGCGACGGGTAGCGACTAGAGCTTCGCGGAGCTTGCGCAGGGCGGAAAGGATTTGGGAGAGGTTGGCTTTTGGGTCCTTCGGGACAGGAATATGAGAAGAGGAATAGCTTGTGGAGTCGGTTCCCGGAGTCACCAGTGAGTCCTGTGACAATAGAGAGGACTGTTGACGATGAGATGGGATTGCAGGTACCGATGGGACCGAAGGAGGGGAGTCAGCGAGACTCAACGAAGCAAATTGCTTTCGAAGTTCATCACGGTCTCCTGCGTCGGTGCAAAAGGAGAGATAGCGCTCAACTATTCTGCTGTAATATGTTTCCTGAGTTTTCAGGTTGAGGAGCCTACACAATATCAGACGTCAACCAAGACCACGACAGCTCAAGACCTCTAGGTACCAACCTTTTCTCTCCTTTCGAAGGCAACCCAAATTCTGCAAGAGGGTCGAGTTCGACAGGCCTCAGCCGCGAGAACTGAGCCCTTGGTCCTCTCGACCCCCTCCGGTCTCTGTCGGCTCTTCCATCCCTTCCATGCATTGTTCTTTTGTTGTTTTCGAATTGAATCGGATCTCAGATTCGGGCCATGCGGGGAACGCCCAGACCCCGCAGTTGCAGCTTCCTGGTCCCGCAACCGTTGGGCCCACTAACCCATTCAGTTCATTCTAGCTTGTTTGACATTTTGGAGAAGTTGACATTGACGGCTGTGAGATAAATTAAATTAAAATTCTTACTGATACGTATGATTTTCTTGGGTCTCTGTCATGTGCAATCGATGCATATCAATCGAGGGTACAACTACACCACGAGAAGTGGGCTCAAAAAGCGATCATCTGAACTATATCCAAGTTCATACTACCCTGAAAAGGAAACAAATAAACAACAGCGTAGCTGTCCAAAGAACGGCATTTCACCCAGATGACCTGCTTGTGCACAGCGCTCCTCTATGGTATGCTGCGGCGGTTATTGGAGATCAACAGAGCGCATCAAGTACATGGTAAGGTTGACCAACAACTACCTTGGTTCTCTCAAGAAGCTGTTGTCGCCCAGACTCTGCAATTGGAGTTTTCAGGGAGAACACATGGCAACAGGCAATGAAATCGTTCAAGGGGACAAGGACAGACTCACTAAAACAATAGCAGGTAAATCTTGACTGCAACAAGGCTGTGTTACAACACCATATGCACCTATACTCAGTGGCCCGAAGAACAAAATACAGTTTACAGTGTATGCAGGCCTGACCCAAAGCCGATCCCGAGGCGGGGCCGCGGGGATGTGGGGTATGGAGCCGCTGCAAGCCGGGGTTGAACCTCGGCATCCCCAGAGCCATAGCCAGTGTTCGGATATATCATAGATGCTATTTCTACGAGAGAGTAAACTGTAAGCGCAATACTTGCGTCTTCCATGTTCCTATCCTCTTCCTTCTCAAAAACCACTCTCACTTCAGATGTCATGGCAGAGAGAATCGGTCAGATTGCACGACAACTCAACTACCCCAAGGGCCTCTTATACGGGCAGGTAGCCATCATCACAGGGTCTGGACAGGGAATTGGTGCCGAGTGCGCCCGACTCTTTGCAAATGAGGGTGCCAAGGTTGTCGTCACAGATATCGATGCCAAAAAGACTCAGGAGGTAGTAGATACGATTCGGGCCAGCGGGGGAAAAGCCATCGCGGTGGCAGGCGACATGCTTGATGACAACCATATCAAGGAACTGGTCAAGAAGGCCGCTGAATTTGGGAATGGCAAGATTCATATCATCGTTAACAATGCCGGCTTTACCTGGGATGGTGTCATTCATAAGGTGCCTACACTTGTTTTATTCCCTCCGAAAACGACAGACCCCGAGCGCTAACACCCCTCCAGATGACTGATAAACAATGGGACACCATCTTGGCTCTCCATGCAACAGTACCCTTCAAGTTGGTGCGGGAGGCAGCTCCTTATTTCCGAGTGAAGGACGGGGAGCCACGGAATATCATCAATATCAGCTCGACATCCGGCCTGCATGGCAACGCGGGCCAAGCTAACTACGCCCTGGCCAAAGCCGGTGTTGTTGGTCTTACCAAAACTATTGCAAAGGAATGGGGCCCTCAATTTGGTGTGCGCGCCAATACCATTGCCTTCGGCCACATTGCCACCCGGTTGACCGCTGATAAAGAAGCTGGAGCTTTCATCGAGGTCGCTGGCGAGAAGGTAGCTCTGGGGATTCCGTCAAAGCAAAAGAAGGCTCAGCAGGCGAATGCCGGAGGTGTGAAGTATGCCGATATACCGCTAGGGAGACCAGGTACTGCAACTGAAGCTGCGAGCGCTGTGTTGGCGATCGCGTCACCCCTGAGCTCGTATATCTCGGGACAAACCATCAGTGTGACGGGAGGAAGGAATATCTAAACGCTGAGCAAAGAGGCTTCCTAATCTTAAGGATTATGGTCTTGTATATAGCTGATATTCACCACAACGCCTAAAAACGACCCAAAGACCTTACTGGTACAAAGACAACAGCATATATTTTCTCCAGTTCCTCCAAACAATGAAGAGGGGTAGCGCGTCTGTAGATACCAGGGTTCGGAGTGGAGCCATCGACAACCTACGGTCGAAACCCGAACCCAGGCTGTTACATACCCTGGTCCCGACACCGGCATGCAAGCAATCATGAAGCAAGTCAATCAACTATTGACTTACGGGTACTGGCTGGCAGATATATTAGATATCGCTATAACCCTCAGAACTGCCACCAGAGCTTAAGGACACCCTTTGCATACTCAACAATCTCCTCACCACCAAGCTTGCTGTCACCATACACCCGGTCCACGAACGAAATCGGTACCTCCGCAATCGTGAAACCCTTAGCCTTGGCCGTCACTGCCAGAGCCATCTGCATTGTGAAACCCCGGACGTCAGTACTCTCAAACAGCTTCTCTAACACGCTCCTCTTGTACAGCCGGAAGCTTCCAGTAAGATCGCTGACGCCGGGCCGCAATAGGGTATCCGCAAAGATATTTGCACCCTTACTGGTGAGCTTGCGCTTAAGATCCCAGCCGTAAACTCCACCATTACCAGCATAACGGGTGCCGGTGACGATGTCATAATCGCACTCCTTCTGGCGTGCGATCATCTGAGGGATGAACTTGGGGTGATGGCTGAAGTCGGCATCCATGATGATAATGAAATTTCCGCGCGCAAACTTCAGACCATGTACGTAGGCTGTGCCCAAGCCGAGTTTCCCAGTCCGAGTTTGGAGCTGGACATGTGGGTGATAAACCTTGACTAGTTGCCGGGCGACATCTTGCGTGCCGTCAGGTGAGCCATCGTCAACAATAACGAGTTCCCAATCGATATTGCTAGGATATAGATGGTATGTTAGATTTCTAGGCTTGTTCTTCGGTTAAGAGAAAAGAGTCGGTCGTAGGCGGAAACATACTGCTCTGTGAAGGTGCGGTTCAAAAGCCAGGTGACGATCGGGAGATTCTGGCGCTCATTGAAAGTGGGAAGAATGACTGAGTAGATATCTTTCTCGGAGGCTGATTTTGTAGGCGTCATGGTGAACGTATCTGGAAAGAAATATCAGGGCTGCAGTGCGTGGTGGCTACGAGGGAGTCGAATTGCAAGTGTATGTACTTCAAAGGGATGTGCGAGCGCCGGGAACGCGCAGAGGTCGAGGTGGCCACTTCCAACGTTCTAGCCATGCACTTGACGCGGTCTGGCTGCAGGGGCCAGGGGCTTGACAGCCTGGGCATTCGCACCATAGGTAAGTAAGTAAGTGTAACTTACCGTAAGGTCTTACCGTTTTCAGGACATGTACGTGGAATCTGTTCCTCTCAGGTTCCGTCTACCGTAGTTACCACTTGTAAGTTACAACTTCTTCCCAGCTGCGATTTTCCGTGCCCCTAAAGTGCTGTCAGCAAATGCATCATCGAATTATATCAGCTGACGAGTTTAGTAACTAGGAGCACGAGATGAACGGCATCTATGTTCCATCATAAATGATCAAAAATTACACATTCACTTTTCTTATAATTGTTTATAGTGATTTACAAACCCGTATCGTCGCTCATGTCCTACTTGTACTTCGCCTGCCCAGGATCAGGGAAGAAATAATCCACATCATCCCATAAATCCAATTCATACCAGTCCATTTTCTTCCTCGTGCCATAGCGAATCTTTCCTGGAGGATAAGCACTCTTCTGGATAGCGTCAGCGAGTTGACGACCAGAGGCCAAGCTTCCTCCCTCGGGTGTACCCTCAATTTTAGTCATCGCAGTGCGGAATATACGGCCGATAGACAAGAAACTGTCGTGGTCCCTCAGGAGAATACCTCTCGACGCGAACCAAGCTATCACCACAGCTATTGCTTGACCGGCAGTGAGAGCAGCCAGTGTGGTAGCTGCACGCCCCCATTTGACGTCCAAGGTTGAAACAACTGTGTGCTGCTCAGTCGCCCCCTTTAGCAGTGTTACGCGCGGCAGAATTTTCTCAGCGCCTATAAGTGTCAAGATTGGGACCCGAGCCATTATATTTGCCGCTGATACCTCATACCCGTTGAAATCCAGATTGGCGTACCAATCGTCTGTCATGTCCGATATAAAGGACGGGGCATAGCAATCATCGGCCAGATCCAATGTGAAGTTGTAAAATGCTTGATCTTTGTATAGTTTAGCGTTGAATGATCCCTGTCCGTAATCGTAAAGCCTGTCGTCTTGCGCAGGAAAGCTGAGGAGAACTCTGGAAGCATATGTGCTGTTTTCTGCTGGGTAGTTGAAGAACACATTCTGTGGCATGCCAGGTCGGCCGTTCCCGTCTGTAAGGCAGGTTCTGCACTCGTATATCGTCGTGTTTTTGCGCAGGATAGTGTCATTTAAATTGCGACTATTTATAGCGGCTAAATCTTTATGGCATCGTCAGCCACATTTCCAGGAACTGTTTGAGCTTCTCGCAAAAAGCCGAGCCTCTTACAGCTTCGAATACAGTACGTATCGTCAGCGTGGACCGGAGAACCTTCATGATAATCAACAGTCCAAATATACCGATACCTCAGTTGCGCAGCAAGGTTGAGCAATCCTGCCTTGATCAAGCCATCCATGATATGGATATGCTTAGGATCATCTGGCGGGGGCACTTCAGATGGATCGTCTTGGATAAAGCGTGTAAGTAATCAGCCAGCTGGAAGGGGTTTGAGCTTCAAGTTGTTCAACTTACCAGGGAGTTTTCCCACAAGCTTCCCATCTTCCCAGACTGTCCCATTCCAATAGTTTCGAGCGATGCAGGTCGAAGAGCTGCGGAATATCCTCTCAGAGGATGAATATGCCTCGGATCCACGATACTCTCGGGCACCGTATGTATAAGTAACAGTTCGTCCATCGACACTCCGATCCAAGCCATGTCCACTGATGTTTTTCCTGTTGAAAGTCTCAGGGTGATTAGGGTGGAGGAAAGTGTCAACATCTCTCAGCCCTATAACTGCAATGTTCTTCATTTTTTCTAATGCAGGACGTGTTGTTAGCACCTGTCCTTAGACGGGTGACACTTTTCTCATCCGAACATCACTTACGGAGATCAACAGTTATCCCTAACCAGTGTGTGCCTATCCAATCTTTGAAGCCGAAATCGTTTACCATGACCGGGTACTCAGTGAGGACAGTGTCGTTGAGATTGTATGTGAGACCAAATATAGCAACACTCAGACGGCCGAAGATGTTGACAAGGAGGTAAATGGATATGATCAACGTTGTGCGTGAAAGTTTTTTTTGACGCCAGCAGTGATGCCAGATGATTTTGGCTGCTAGCGAGGGGCAACTCATGCCCAAGATCATGTCAACTTCGCGTGGTGTGTGAGGACGCGATGCTAGGATCGGCCAACGGAGAGTCGCGCCTAGCAACGACAGGAGCGAACCGACCGATAAGCTGACCAGCGATGAAAGCATGATGGTGATGGCGTTGAACAACCGTCTGTCCCATGTCTTCAAATGATCCCAACCGCTGAACACATAGAGAACATCCAGAACCAAGAGGCTGAAAAGGACAGAGCAGCCAAAGCGCCACAGTACGCCGAACCATGGGAAACCTTCATAGTTGAAGGGCTTCTTGTTGCCTGAGAGTAGCTCTTCTTCCGCCTGGTCCTTAACAGTGCCCTCTTGACTGGAGCGTAGGTCGTCCAATTGTGTTATTGAAGACATTGTTAAAGACTGATAGGGAGAACGGAGCATGATGAAGACTGAGAGGGTTGGCAGGCTTGGCAAGAGAGAACATAGGTACAAATCTCAAGTCGTCATTTGCGCCTAATGCTCAAGGACTTCGAGGTAGATTCAGGGCCCTGCAACAAAATATGGAGGTTTCATAGCTGGCCGGGGCATAGGTGTCTCTACCCACAGGTTAACCGAGGGTTGGTTGCCCCAGATGTGTCGCTGTTTCGCGGTACTGTGTAGACTGGCGGTTAATGGACCAATACTTTACAAACTCTTAGCGACGTCTACGAGATACCCTTGTTTGCCACAGCCAACTGTCACTTTATTAGCGACTTGGCCCACCAGAAGACCCGCTCCGACAGTTTAGATCTGGCCTTGAGAGCTCTATCCGAAACCACTCGCCTGGTTTTCAACAACAGAAATCTCTGATAGTAAAATGCCATCTACTCAAGCACTGTGTTGATAATGCTGGCCGAAGCATGAAGGTAGCATCATGCATCCAAGCGGAAACAGTGGCGTTGGGAAATCGACCAATCATCGTCAACAATAGATCCCGAAATGCAGGCAAATCGCAGGCCTCCTAACCAGGCTATATGCTGTTGGTAGTTGCCCAGGATCCATGTCATCAGGCTCAAAGGTTGCCTGGGATATGTCAAGACAAACATTGAGAGCGTTTTATTAGACAGTAGGTGGACTTATACATTAAAACCCAAGCTCCAATTATCCGCCTTAAACACAAGCAGCGCCAGCCGATGGCGTACAAACAGACCAAACAGTCCCAGAGCCGCCTGCAGCACCGTGATCTCGAGCGCCAGGCGGTCCTCACGCAGCGGGCCCCTCCAGACCAACCAGAGGTTGAGCAGCGTAAAGTTACTCGTCTCCACAAACCGGTCCTCGTCATCGAGTGTGACCCGCAGCAGCCGTAGCCGACCCAACAGGCGCAGCACCCAGGCGATAGGCGCCTTGGGCTGGTGATCGGGCGTCCACTGGGTGACGCTGGGCTCCAGCAGGTTGGTGCGGGCATTGAAACGGGGCAGGCGGTGGCGTGGGCAGGGGACCAGACCGAAGAGCTGCGGTGTTGAGTAGAGGAAGTTGAAGATTTGCGGCACCAGTAGCAGCACCAACGTCTTACTGAAGTGGCCTAGGATGCTGACGACGACAAAGACCATGCCTGCGAAGTAGCAGTAGGTGTCGCCGACGAAGACGCGCGCGGGGTACCAGTTGTGGTAAAGCAGGGCTAGAGAGACGCCTAGGAAGGGAAGGAGGAAGTAGAGAGAGAAGAGGTGAGAGTCCGTCGCCGGGTGTGGATAGGGGGTTAGCAGGTAGAGACAGTCATTTAGGGAGAGTAGAAGGGCGATGACGATGGACTGGGCGACCTCGATACCGTTGATACCGGCCAGGATGTTGATGCTGTTCGGGCTGAAGATGGCCACGGCGGCCATGTAGACGTAGTACAGCGCGCCGAGGTCAAGCAACTCGCCCAGGTATGGCTGGAGCTGAATAGGTATGACGACAGAGGTAACGCCGAAGTCCACAAAGTAGACTACCAGCAACGGGATAGCAGCGAAAGCGGGGATGAAGAACTTGTGGCGCCAACGGATATCGAACAGGTCATCGCCGATTCCGAGGAGAGCGATCGACTGGAGCGAGATGATAGCAGAAAGGTACGACGCAAGCTGTAGATTACGAGTCAGCCATCATTCCAACCCATTTATCTCCATCCCCCGATATAAGTCCGCTTTCCAACGTCAACATACCTTGCTATGCGGAAACCGATGCAAAAACCGTCCCCTCTGCACATGTTCGACAGGCAACACCACATCCTTATTCCCGCCGCCACTCGTCGCAGCCACGATATCTTTATAAAACGGAAACGGAATGAACACAATCACTGCCAAGAGGTACACCACGGCACACACGCCACCCATGCACTCGGGCAGCTCACGACGAACGCGCTTGCTCAGGTCGGCGCCCTTGATGCCCGCGCGCAGGAAGGTCGGGCCCAGCCAACGGATCAGCGCAAAGGCTGCGACAAAGGCTAGCCCGCTCAACGCCAGTGATGCGATCAGTGGTGAGGGCTCTGGCTCTCGGAAGACGTTGACTAGCACGGCGACGCATGCCGCGGTGACTGTCGCTAAGGAGAGAGCCTCGTTGCGGGAGAGGGTCGTTGGGAGGCCGTTCGATAAGGGAGAGGAAGACCGGGTCGAGTTCGACGTCGAGGTCATGGCTGTGGGTGCTGCTAGGTTTGGCGCCGGAAGGGATGATGCATGGTTGTTTGGGAAGGTGATTCGGAGGAGGGGTAGATCACCTAGGTATTCGCATCGGAGGACGGAGGCGTCAGAACATTAGGTGAGAGTCGTTGGGGGTGGTGGTGAGATAGGAAAGGTGGAAGTTCGACATGTGTTCTTTTTGGCTTTAGAGCTTCCTCGGGAACACCAACGTCACAGGAGATTATTGCTGGAAGCTGACCCCTGTTGGACCCCACCATCATACCGTTTTGGGAGATTGCGCCCGTCTCCGATTGGCTGACACTCGGGATAAAAGAATCAAGACTCAAATATTGGAAAAGTCGCGACAAGACAGCGTTAGCACCTCAAGAAGAAGAACAAAGGGAACTCCTCGGGAAGACTCTAGGAAAAGAGTGAGGGGAAAAAAAGTGAACATCTTTGCTCGGATACCGGGAGTCGAACCCGGGGCTGTTGAGATCATTCACTTCTGAGAAGTGAGAGTCAACGATGTTACCGCTACACCATACCCGATCGAGTATAGCTCCGATCTGTGCTGGAGGGACGCTCGCACTGGATGCTCTTGTGTGGAAGAGAGGGCTTGATGGACGATAATTTGATGTATCCATCTCTACAGACCTGATGATAGCTTTGAAAATTATCTGATATAGCATCGACAGTATCTGCCATGCTTCAGGACTTAAACTCAACGTTCTCTGTCCGATATTCCCAGTTCCAGACATTATCATTGACCCCATGGGAAAGCTTGTAAGGACCCAAACTCTTCTGCTTGGACAATTTCCGATAGCAAGAGACTTGAAAGGTAAATCCAATCTGCTATACTCAATTCCACCAAAAACTCACACTGAAGCTCACACTCAAACTCCTGACATAGTGCCACCACCCCACCGGAATGTACAATGTATCCCCCTCTTCCAAGATACAATCCCAGTACGGCAGCTTCCTAAACTCTTCCTCCCATCCCTCTTCCAACTCATCTTCCTCCTCTTCATTGACTTCACTGCTCCCCTCTTTGCTTCCCTCCTCTGAAGTGGCTATCGGGGTCGAAGGGGGAGAGTCCCATCCCTCCAACACCCCAATATCGACCCGGCTTGTGTTGCCCATGTTGATACCTCCTTCATTGCCGCGTGCATGCATAGGACCACCTCCCTTTTCATTTGGATGTGTTCCTGATAGCCAAGATGGATACAGTCGCAGGTACTTGCGGCCGACTACCTGGACAAGGAGGTTGTGGTAGGGGTCTGTGTGAAGAGGAGTGATTGTTTGCGGGGGTCCAAACCAGGCATTGAGCTGGGGGAAGACTGTGTCGTCCATGGCTTCGTCGTCTTCAGAGTCTGACCCGACCTTTGCTGGCTGGGACGTTAGCTGACCATGGGAATGCCAAAGAGGATGCTTCGGAGGGACTGTATAGCAGAGATCCGGAATTAGTATGTCGTTCCTCAGTTGCGGTATCTGTAAAAACAGCTGATGCTGCGCCAGATACCCCGTCGGCTTTCCCTCTTCCTTACACTCCCTCCCAGCATTGATGACATAGTCATCAAGAAACTGTCCAAACTTCATCAGCTGCTGTGTCCATCCAGCATCAACATAGCTACGCCCCAGCTCCACAGGTACAAGCCGCCGGCCTTGAAAGGTTCGTGACAGCAGGTACGCTGGCTTTTTCCATGGATTGGTTGTGCGTGCTGGCCAGTCATCTGTCAAGCCTGTGATAACGAGAGGGAGAGGAGACTTGTAACTTGGGTCTTCCGGGGGCATGTTGAGATAAGTCTGGAACTCCTCTAGTGAGAGAGCATGTACCCGTCTAATTGGGTTCTTCACAGGCGGAGTAAAGGGCTCGTGGTGCGAAAAGGACGGAGTGTTATGCCAAGAGTTCGGGGCAGACATCCTCGCTTTCTTGGCTGGAGGTGTCTCTCCATTTTCTGCAGCATCGTACGGCTCCTTTGAAGCTTGTGATGGGGAGGAGACTGCCAACCAAAGATTCTCTAGCATTAGTAGAGCCTTGTCTATCCACGGCCTTCCTCGCCTCTCTCCAGCTGCACCTGCAAGGATGAGAGCCAGGTCCAAGACTTGAATCATCTCGTTCAGTTTCTCTTCGTCTTCTTGAGCAACGGATCCCCGCTTGCCCTCAGTCAAGATGCTGATGACCGGCTGCCACTGAGAGAACAGCAAAGAAAACTTGAGAATGCTGGCATCAGTATACAACTGCCGCCAGCAAACTGGGACTTCGTGAAATGGGAAAGCGTAAAACTGAGTGTAGGAGTCTTCGATCAAATCATCGAGCCGCTTCCTTAGTAAGCCATAATTAATTGAAACCTTTTCGGTGTCAGTTTTTGGCTGGCTTTCGTATATGCTTCGGAGCTGTAGAGCCTGTCGTTGCAGGAGCTCAACCATAGGTTCGGAGCAGCTCACCAACACGGGTTTGTTGGCGGAGTCGTTTTCCAGGCTGTCAGCACATTCTGAGAGGATCTGTTTGATTGCTGAAGAACAGTGTACTATCAACAGATCGATACAGTCTTCGATCTCCATAGCTATAGAAGTTATGCAGGATCAGAAGTTTGAGTGAGTGGGAAAAGTCGGATGAGATATACTCTGTGGGGCACCAGTTCCTCTGGGCCGTTTATTGCTAGCATGCTAAGCCAGTTTCAACTGGCCGAGAAAAGTTCAGAAGGAATGTAAACAAAGAGATGATAAATGCTTGCCAAAATACAGCTGGAAGAGAGGCTAAACAATGATGCTTCAAATGATCGGTTAACAGGCTGATGAGTTGTTGGGGTAGGAATTTCCCAGGTTCCCCACGACAACTGGAGCCAAGAAATTGTCCGCTAACATTCGATAGACCAGCTGTTCCACTGTTCCTGCCGATCGACACATCTTCGACTTCCTTATCCCTCATCCATAGGGAGACGCTGCTATGAGACCAATAGCCTCGCAATCAATGTGCTCCATGCAAACAGCATCTACGAAGTCCATCACCAGAGATCAGAAAGGCCCGAAAAACCTGAACTCTCCATAATTCCTATCACTCAACTCAACCCCTGAAACTCACTTCACGTAAAACAGATGCTGTCAAACACTAAGTCCAACCCTCCGACAAATCATTTACATCAGTACAACGCTACACTCTGACACAATGACAAGGTCATTACGGTTATACAGCCTTCGTGGCATCGGAGCTTGGCTACGTGATACCAGTCCATGAAGACAACGCCACCCCGACGGCTGTGTCTTAGGAACCCTGAAGGTCGGTAGCCTGAGGTAGTACGTACACAGTGGCATGTTCATCTTCCGGCGCCCGTCCAGCCGGCCCCAGTCGACCGGGCAGCGGGGCGAGGCAGCGGGGCAGGAGAAAGATCAGGAGATGCCAGACTATGTAGAATGCAAAGCAGAAGCAAACTCGGGTTTGTTGTTTCTCTACTCCCTTCTTTTTCATGCTATGCAATGTCAATGTGAGGGATATTATGGCAACCATAGTCGCGCGTGCATTGCAGATGCTGGTAGTCAATGTAAACGGAATGGCAGAGCGTTTACTCAACGCTGATGAATTGATATTTCGTCAGAGTATTGCAGAACCAGCAAGCAGGCAAGCAAGCAGGGACACTGCTGTGAACAACAATGTCCTATGGTCATGCTCAAGCAAGTTCCTTATCCGTGGGGCTAATCGGAAAGACAACGACCCTGACGTGCAGCATCGCCCAGGGATCCATCTGCAGGCTATGTTAGGTGGATGCAACGCTCTGTTTCAGTGATTCCGATCAAAACGATGGAAGCAAAGACCAGCCGCTATCAGTCAATGGTACCTAGAGCGAGGGGTAAAGTGGCTGATTGAGAAGGGACACCAACATGGCCGTTCCTCGCAGGGAGTGCGGGCCATTCGCAGCAATATAGGGGCTGTTGAGGTGAGACTCGGCTTCCATTCCGCTCGGCATTTTTTCCAGGCACAAGGACCAACAACCCGAGCGGGCGGAAAAGACACGGGTAACTGATGAGGGGTTGAACATGCAGTCAGAACGGCTTGTCGAGATAACCCCCCCCCCTTTTTAGCCTTCAGGTAGGTATACATTGCTGTTACCTATGTAGAAATTGCCAAACAGCCTCTATCACGCTCCGCCAACGATGTGGTGAACATGCCATGCCTCTTGAATCAAAGCATACCAAACGTCTAAAAGCTTGAATCCCCTAACTCCCCGAGCACAGATCCGACCCAGCGCAAACCCTGGCACGCCTTCCCCCTCAAATCTCCGGTTTCTGAGCAAATATGAAATGGATTGTCATATATGCATGAATCCTCTTATTGTGAGCATCGATCGTTGCCTGCCTCAAGGCCTCCTCGACATCAGGCCTAGGGGTACCGGATTCGACCATCGGCCGAGACACCATTGTGTTGAAGAATTCAAGCAAGATCTCGCGGAGGAATCCTCCGATGATGCGTAGCCTCCTGTCCCTGGCCCATTCGCCCAGCGGAACGCGATACACCCTCTGTTGTACATTGACAAAGCCCAGATTGCGCAGCATGTCGGGGATTTGCTCCACAATGAAGATGTTGTATCCATAGTGCTCTCGTAGTATAGGGTCCAGTAGACTGTAGAATTTGGTGACTCCGTGCTCCGGAGTCACGGTTCCATCATCTGACAACACTCGCGGGACGATATCCTGGATTTCGATCCAGCCACCAGGTCTGAGATTTCTTGATGATGAGAGTGCCGTCAGCCCAGTTATCATTCAATAGAGAAAGGCTCCAGAGAATGCCTACTGTAGAACGTTGCGTAGCAGAGTCTCATTATCTTTGAGGACCGTGTTCACAAACCGGATGTGTGCAAAGTCATAGTCATTGTCGTGCACCCAATCATCCTCGATATCATCGATAACAAAGTGCACGTTTGGTGGCACCCATCTGGGCTGCACAGGTGACAGATCAATACCCGTCACATGGGCGCCGGGGAAAAGCTCGCCAACTGAGGTTATAGATTAGTCAGGGTTCGGCCCCCGGGGAGATTGAACTCAAGCATACCCTCAATAGTCCACTGGCCGAATCCAGTCCCTAGATCAATGATTTTCTGAGGGTTGTCACCAATCGGCGCAAGAAACAGCCTGCCGTCCAGCAGCTCCTTCATCATATCATGCTGGACTTTCTCCCTAATTTCCTCACCCTCATCATTGGGGATGCAATATCTCCCCGACCGGAAGGCATGGTAGCGTCTGTGGAGCAAGAGTCAGTTTGCTATGCTCTTATGAAGAAGAAGCGATTCCTTCCCGAACCAAACCAACCTTCCATATTCCCATACATGACCATTTACACTCGATGTCAAAGACCCAAACCTGGTATCCGTGTCGCTTGGGTCATAGTCCGAGGTGATCTCGCGTGCCCCAACGGGCATCTCGGCATTGCTGACGTCGTCTTCGGTTTCGGTTTCTGTAAGAGGCTCAATGAAGTTGTTTTCATCCATGTTTGTGGGATGATTGTTTGGATTTGTGGACATTCACAGCTCAGACCACGGCTTGGAAGGGGCGGTAGTCACTGGGCTTGGCTATGACGTCGACGGGGCTTGAGTTTGACAGAAAGCGGTCCAGCAAGGGGACAAAGAATATGCAGCTCAAATAACAGATGTGAGTCCTGGGTTTATTGGCAGAAAAGAGGGGCGAGGAAGTGGCACTGTGTTTGCGCAATGACAACAACAGACACCAGATGAGTTCTGCGAACAGAGATGAGAGCGCGGGCCGGGCGAGGACAGGACAGAGTAAATAAGAGAATTCTAAAGCTCAGAGATCAACGCAACCAAGGCAAGCAGAGGGCCCACCCCCAAGATGGCGGTGCCAAACAAGCGACTTTGAGTGATCGCGACAGTTCCATGCCAGAGAGTGAGCGACGAAGCTAAAAGCACACTCTGGTGAGTGATTTGGACTGCGTGGCAGGCCGGCGGACCTTGTTCTGAGTTTTAGCTGGAAACTGGAGACTTGACGGAGCAGACCCTCTGACCCTCTGGAGGTGCGTTGGACGAGCTCCGTCGAGCTCGGTCACAGGGTGCCAGTCATGGCAACCAAACGGGCAAAAAGGGGAACTACCCGAGGTGAGCCAGGTTGTTGTGTATCGAAGGCAAAGAGGAGAAAAGTAAAGCGTGTAAGCAAGGCAAGGCAAGGCGGCAATCTTCCAGGCGCGACGATGGAGTAAATGGAGCCGTAAATGGGCCGTTAGATGGGGATGGGAGATGGCTCAGGAGAGCTTAGCGTAGTCGACCCCCCAAAGGATGCTCTGCCCAGGAACCCCCGAGCAGTCCAAGAACTACAGTAGCAGAAGGACCAAGATCTGAAGAGACTGGACGAGCGTCCCACACGTGCCAGAGGTAGGGAGGGAACCTTGAGGAAACCCAAGATTGAGGAGAAGAGGCAGGGTAGGCAAGCCACAGGATATTCGGTCCACACCCACATCTAGGCTCGAGCATTCCCACATAAACTCCTTCAGTCACCTCTCTCACAATCGCAGCCACACACACACACACACACATACTCTCTCTCTCTCTCTCTCTTACCCAGGCAAGAAGCAACGCGCAGCAGACAGCAGCTCGCTCGCATGACACAGGCTCGCAGGCTCACAGCAGCGAGACGTTGCGTGCTTGAGTGGTTCGGCTCGTTGCTTGGATTTGGGCCTAAGAGAGCCACAGGGGGTGGAGCAGTGGATGTCCAGCTTGGGGACACAGAGCCAATCATGAACCGACACCTGCTGTACCACGGGAAACTGGTGGCATTCGTCTGCATAAGAAGAGGCCATTTTCTGCACCTCGACGTTTTGCTGAAGGCGCTGGGCACACATCAGGGCCCCCCATTCTGGGTAGTCCATCTAATACACCAGTGATGAATTGTCCCAAACAGTGCATCCATCTCAGTCCCAGAACCATTAGAACCACTGCCAAGGCTCCGTGACTCCATTCTCCCGGAAACATCATTAGAACCCAGAGTCCAGCACAGAGGGACCAATCCAGCAGAGGAGGAAGCACCCGTGACAAAAAGCTGCACTGCGCAAACCGAGCTGTCCACGGTGCCCTTCAGATGGGACACACCCCCCCCCCCACTTCCTCTGGTCTCTGAACCCCTCCCGTTCCGGATGCCCAGGTTGCGGACACACGGCCGGTGCACTTGCAGCTACATGGAAATGCCGGCTGGTCTACACGATGACCCCCCCCTCTCTCGCAGACCCAGCTTATCGGAGGACGGCATGGGAGAGCGAATGTCCAGCGCAAGAGGAACCGGGGGGTGGGGTGCACTACCTACATAGGACTGGTTGCGGCAGGCAAAATGGGAAGTAGAAGGGAAAAAAAAAAAAAATACAAAAAGCCAAGCACACAGGTCGAACAGGCAGACCTCGCCAATCGCCAGCGGCCAGCCACCCCATGCGGGGGACTTGGGCTCAGAGGGACGATGACCACAGCGCCGGGTCCTGGTGGCTACGGGAACAGCGGCCAACAGTTCACGCCGCGTTACCAGCTACCAGAGCGTCGGTATCGGGAGGGGCTGTCTGGGCACAACAGCTCGGTTCAATCTCTTCCGGCCGTGTGTGGGAGAAGAATCGAGTAGCAAGCACAGAGAGGCGGGGCAAGTAGAATGGACATCACACACACTACACTGTTTACCTACATACATGGGCTCGTTACCAACATGGACTGGCTACCAGCCTGTGACCACACAAGCGCAATCATGCCATGACCGGCGAACCGTCGCAATGGGTCCATGAGATGTCTGGGGCTAGGTCGCCGCATTCGCCGGACCTGCGCCCCGAGAGACGTTTTTGATGGTCGTAATACTGTGGACAGATGACTGGCAGCGAATCCGAATTGCACTCTGTGGATGGAACCTCTGGAGAGGATGTGAGGGGCCAGAATGGCTCCATTTCAATGACGAAAACTGGGGTGGACGATAAACTCCGCCGTTAGATGCTGCCTCGCGGCTTCAAAGCGCGGAATGAGAGCGGAACATACAGCAAAGCGAGGCTCCATCCATCACTTCGAGCACGTAAGGTAGCAGTACCCTGATGTCACGCCTTGTCCTGTGAGGGAGAGGAGGGGCAAGGATGGATTTGATTCCTCGAATGGGGCAGTGCAAGGGAGGAATCAATCAAGTTACTTAGGGCCGTGTCTGTGTCTCTCCGAGGCCGGCATTGCTTCACCTACTGTAATGTCATTGTATTCTGTTGTTTCGTATTGTGTGTTCACACCATGACCTTGAATGGAAAGCCTGGCGTCGAGTTACTGCGGGGGATGCAAGCAAATGGTGACGGACCAGTATGATTGGGGGCTACTGTCCTCTCTAGTTCACATTCAGAGCTGGCTGCTGCCGCCACATTCTATAGCGGTTGCTTTTCCTATCCATTCGCAGCAGAGAGCACGGTTGATCATTGTTGACAGACATCGTGAGAGGCGTCTGTTACATCTATTGCGTCTGCTTAAGAAACGAGAGGTGCACGAATGAGCGAGCGATCCCGGTTCGGAAATGCAATACGATAAACCCTGAGAAGAGAAAATAAGCGGTCAGGTCAAAGAAATGATGATCTAACGACAAATGATGCTGCTCCATCCCACGCGCTCGGGAGGAGGGGGAGGGGCAGAGGAGGGGGCGATGGACGAGCGGTACGTACTTAGGTGACACAAACAAAGAGGGGCAGCTGCTGAGAACGTTCCAACGACCCTGGACCGATAAGGTGGGGAAACACAGCAAAGCTGGGGCGCTGACTTGGGAAAATAAAAAGCGGGACGAGTAGGCTGGGGCTGAACCCCAGCAGTGCCAGCGTGGTGGGGTGCCATGAACGGGAAGCAAACGGGCGCAAAAAGTCAAAACAGCTGGCAAACGCGGCAGGAGGAACAAGAGGCCATGCAGCACTTTCGCCAATACGTATAGGAAAGTACTTCTCAAACTTGGCCAAGCTTGTCTGCGCATTCCAGGTGGAGCTTCATGTTCAAAAGCCCATCGCTTGATCGGTGGTCTGGTTCGTGCGAGCCACTTACGTAAGACCAGGCACGTATGCACAGTTAGACCTGCGGATAACGACAGGGTCCGTCACTCAGGGTGCATGTCGTTATAGCCAGGGAATCATTATTCGCAGACTTCTCCACCTTTTCCTTTTTTGATGATTTTCTTTTCTTAACATTTCTTTTAATTTAGTTATAGTTTCAATACTATGTTCGAAACCTAAAGAATTACCTGGTAGGGGTGATACATTTGCAAGCATACCCGATAGCGATAACATGAAAAGCACCCTGTTCTGTACACCCAGACGTCAATTAGTCAAGCTTTGTAGAAGAAGGAATACAAAGTACAGATATTTGAATGGATTTTTTGCCTCGAAATCGAGTAGGAGGGATAGCTCTCCAGTAGGGAATATATAGGTCTTTACATACCGCGATAATTATCATTTTGTATAGGTGGCTAAGCAGCAACTACATCGCTTATCTCAATCACCTTGGAATTTTCACTTTCCCATACGAATAATGATGGTTCTCACTGTCCGTACCGTTATGGCCAGACTATTGTTATAGGTCTGATGGTTATTCTCAGGTCTAACTGTACAAAGTACTGTAGGTAGCGAACAGTGCAACTGGACAGTGTGTGCCCTCTAAGACCTACCGTACGTAGGGCGACGCGGTTACGCGCAACCAAAAGCGCGACAGACCGTCCCACCCCACGTCGCGTCGTGCCAAATGAAAGCGCGTCTTGCACTGTTTGCACATTCTCCAGTCTTCAGCTTCTATCTAAGTCCATTCCAATTCATGCACTCACAACCCTTGCACCTTGTGTGTGAGTTTCTACCATAAACAGACACGCTCCACACTCCCTGCGCACTGTTTACCATTTCCCTGGACAATCAGGGCCCAAGTGTGGACTTTTCGATTTGATTTTTACCATTCCTTACGGGATTATACCACGTTCTTCAACATCATCGTCGTCCAGTTGAGAGTCGCTTAGAAAGACATCCCACTTTCCCTTGGGCAACGCCAGCGCTGCATCCTCGACATCGCGACCTCTGCTGCGCGTCTGCTGCTCTCTCTAAGCTCTCTCTCTCTTCTCATAACCCAGACCAACTGTGAGTCCGTGACGACCTCATTCCACACCAATCCGGCCTCGATGACCATTTCACGCGCCTAAGTCTTCCTCGAGATCTAGCCATAGGCCGCATCTACCCGCGAAAATGCACCTCCCACGCTCGCTCATCTCCAAGCCCTACCTCCACCTCCTCAACACGCGGCACCCGCTCTCCCCTCCCGTCCTGATCCTCGTCGCCCTAGAGCCCGACGCGCTCTGCGCCTGCCGCATCTTGACCCGTCTCTTCAAACACGACTACATCCCGCACAAGATCCAGCCCGTCGCCGGCTATGCCGACCTCGAGCGCGTTGGCCGCGAGCTGGTCGCGCCCATGATGGAGACCCGCGGTGGCTCAGGCGGCGTGGTTGTCTGTCTGGGTGTAGGAGGGATGGCGGATTTGGGTACGATACTGGGGCTGGAGCCAGATGAGGAGGTTGAGGGGGCAGAGGGACTGGAGACACAGGCTTACGCGGGGGTTGAGGTCTGGGTGATTGATTCGCATCGGCCGTGGAATCTGAGCAATGTGTTTGGTGGTTTCCCGCTCGAGCCTGAGACGGAAGAGGCGAAGACTTTTGCTGCGAGATCGCCGCCTGGTGTTAATGGTGGTCGGATTGAACAGTCGTATCGGCATGGTAAAGGTGGCATTATTGTCTTTGACGACGGTGATATTGAGGACGAGCTGGGGAAGGAACGGGAGGCCTATCTTGCCCTGGTAGATATGCCCGAAGTCGAGGATGACGGAGAGGATCTGGGAGACAGTGATGACGACGATGAGGAAGATGATGACAGCAACGACAGCGAGAATAGTGGTGACGAGCCTCCCACTTTGCCGGCTCCCCCGGCTGGTAAAAAGCGCAAGTCGTGGGACTTTGAAGAGGACGACGATGAGAGTGACGACGAAGACAGGCCTCGGCAAAGGAGGAGAAGCAACTCGGTATGACCAATTGACTCCTTTTCTGTGAACAATGGTCACTAACTTTCCGCAGTCAACCCCTATCCCGGACTCTCCTCAACGCCCTGCACAACGCAGCCTCCTGTCGTTGCGAGGAGATCGGGACGAGCCCATATTCTCTAGTGACCCATTGGAGCCCCCGAGTGCTGCGCAACCACCCAAACAACCCTCGGCGAGAACCCTGAGACGGAGACTTCTGCGGTCACGTCGCAAAAACGAGGACATCTTACGAGAATACTACCGACTGGGTACTTCTTACTCAGAGCCGGTCTCGTCCATGTTATACTCCCTGGCGTCCGAGCTCGGCCGCGAAGACAATGACCTGCTCTGGATGGCCATCGTAGGTGTCACATCCATGGAGCTGTACGGACGTTCGTCGGCCGGCATTGCCGTTCCAGCCCGAGGCTCCGAGTCCCGTCCTGGTTCTGGCTGGCTGGGCATGCGCGGTGCCAGGATACGTCAACTCCTGCGAGACGAAGTCCGACGATTAAACCCTCCCGACCCCACGAAACCCGAGAACGTGGGCATCATCCCAACCACAGCCCGCAGCCCCGAAGATACCAGCATCCGCTTGTCTCCCGAGCCCAAGTTCCTCCTCATCCGGCACTGGAGCCTCTACGACAGCATGTTGCACTCGCCCTACCTCTTCTCGCGCCTCAAGACCTGGAGCGAGTCCGGCTTGAAACGCCTGCACAAGCTCCTTGCCAAAATGGGCGTCAGCCTCGTCCAGTGCAAGCAGAGCTACACTCACATGGACATGGTGCTCAAGCGTGAGCTGCGCACCAAGTTGCTCAAGTATGCCTCGCTATATAACCTGGACGAGCTCGTCCCTACCATTGATACAGATGGCCCCGACCGCGGTGGCTCCAAAGACGGATGGGGCTTTGTGCGCAGCTGGGGCTGGCGGGCTACGCTGAGTGCCCAGGATGTGGGCGTTGTGGTTGGCGCCTTGCTGGAAGTGGGGAAATCGCCTCCTGGGCTGTCGTCGTCTCCTGAGCCGGGGGCGACACAATCACCTCAGGACGTCATCCCCGCTGGGGTTGATAGCAATCCCAGTGAGGAGTGGCTTCCCCGGTTCTGGGAGGCATACGATGCGTTGGAAGATATTGAAGCCCTGAAAGCGGGCCTGCCGACCGCCCAGTATTTGCATAAGGCTATCTTTACCACGGGTACGACGATCCTGAAGAAGAAGCAGATTACCCATCTACGTGCGTTCCGCATGTGTGTTGTGAAATCGGGCACTGCCCCCGACGCAGCGCTGTTCAACCACCCTGGTGCCTTGACCAAGCTTGCTCTCTGGATCGGCGAGGCGTTGGCCGAGCAGGAGAAGGAAGCTACCGGCGGCAGACTAGCACATGGTGGTCGTGGCACGCCGCTTGTGGTGGCTAGCCTGGACGAGAAGCGGGGTGTGTACGTGGTCGTGGGTACTGGCGGCGGGGGGGGCCCAGACACGACGTTTTTGGATCGGGAGGCGGCGAAGAAAAGAGCAAAGTTGAAGCAAGAGAAAGAGGAGAGAAGGAAGGTGAAGGAGAAGTTGAAGCAGGAACGGAGGGAGGCAAGGAGGAGGTTAAAACTGGAGGAGAAGAGGAAGAAGAGAGAAGAAGAAGGGAAAGGAGATGAATATGAGGATGAGGAGGATGAGGATGTTACAGAGAGTGAGGAGGAAACGTCGTCGTCTGAGGAGGAAGAAGAGGAGGAAGAGGAAGAGGAGGAGATTGAGCGTGGCAGAGGTTATGGATTGAATCGGTTTGGTGTGGCGTTCCAGGATGTGGTGGCTGAGACGAACGCGAGAGTGAGGATTGACAGCTTTGAGCATTGCGTCGTGGAGGTTAAGAAGGAGGATTTAGGAGGCTTCTTGGAGAGCCTGAGCATGAAGGCTGTCGTTGGCTGATCATCAATCAATGGTCTTTAGCCTCGAAAACGATCGGCCCATCGTATATATAATAGAGACGGAGGGTTTTGATTTGGTAGCTTGAAGAGACGGGATCATACCTTTTTTTTATTCGTTCATTGTTTTTTTTTCCCTTGCAACTTATTTTCACTCTAGCGCAACCCATAGCATAACCCTTCTTTCGTTTTTTTTTTTTCCTGTTATCATGATGCATACATGGCTCTGGGATGGATGGGCAGGCTTGCGGACGGGAGATTGGAAGAACTGCGCATGATCAAGGGGGGTTGTCAGTGAAGTGAGAGATACCAACCTAGACTCTGGACTAACAAACACCGTGTACATGAACTTTTGTTGGCAGCTTGATCTTGAATGATGACTTTGCTAGAAGCCAGAAAATAGTTTTCCAGTCTCTTCAACATTCAGTGTGATGAAAACTACAAATCCCTAAATGGGACAAAAGTCTTACAACGTCTGTAGGTGAGTACAGAATGAATCAAAGTACAAATGATTACTTGTCCCCTCTCTACTTGTCTGATCTTTCCATGATCCCCCCGAATCCTCCATGTCCTCAGCTCAATACCCTAGATATACTCAGCAGTCACAGTCTTCAAGTAATTGCATGCAACTGAATGAGATGACCTGCTCACTCCCAACTCCCAGGAAACAAGGCTCTGCGCAGAAACTTCTATCCCAAGTGGATGCTCAAAGCGGATTTCCTTCGTCACCGGATCAATAGACGCCTTTAACCAGTACGCCGTGCCAGCTGCAACCAGGGCCTGCACAGTTTCCTTCCCTTGCCGCAACATTCGCACACTGACAAGATTCTGCGCCTCCGGACCAATATTGAGCTCAAAAATTGAGGTTAACGTCATGAAGCAAGGAAAAGCATGCGAGATGGGGGGCATTATTGATGAAGCCAACCGCTCTAGAGGTCCTCTCCCGCGCACTTGGTAGTGAGTCCCCATCGGATAATGGGGCAACCTGTGAGTTCCATCCAAGGGTCTGGTGGTTCTGCGGAACTAGAAAATGTTTTTCGCACGATCGAAAACTGCCTTTTCCGGCAATGGTATTCATGTATCATGCTGGCCGCTGGGTGGCCTACTATGAGAGTCAAAAAGGGCTGAACGATAAACGGAAAGTGGCAAAATGAAAGCTTTGGTGCTCAGACAACGGCTGGGCGAAAATATGGATTGCAAACAGTTCATGATGAACTATATTGTCTGACTGAATCTGCAATCCGGATATAAAGACAAATCAATTTATAGTGACATGAAAGCTGCGCAACCAGTTCCTGACAACACAAGCACCCACGTTCCGATCAGATGAGATGGGCTCATGAAAAGAACTCTAGTCTGACTTGAGTGATTACCACAATAACAAAACAAAGACCCACTAGTTGTCACCTGCAATCCGAGCTTCAGCAAGACTCGATCGCAAAATTCCTAAAGACTATTGCTCATCACAACACACTGCATTGTTGAAATTGTTGAAAACACTCACATCGTGGTTAGCTTAGCAACATTCTAGCATATTTTTGACGGGGCCTCTCAACAACCTTGGAAACTAACCCTATTTATGGCAGAAACCCTTCATATAGCACACAACCCTAAACACTGCACCCCAAACCCTCAGATCCGCAACGCTCACTGACTCACAATGGCAGTAGTCGCCCGCCAAAAGTGTAACATATTCAAGCGCCAGTGGTTTAGTGGTAAAATTCATCGTTGCCATCCCAGGCAAGAGATTCGATGAGCCCCGCGTTCGATTCGCGGCTGGCGCACATCCTTTTCTTTTTAACTTTCTATCCAGTTTCACATGAGCTAGATATTGGCTCATTTTTTAAATGAGCCAAGTCAGAGAGTTCTTCTGTGAGATATCGAATTGGCAACATAAGTCAGTACTATGGAAGGCGCTTTTCTGCGCAGTTTGATATGGAGTTGTAAAGTTCGAGAAGGTAAACCTCGAGGCTGTCTCGAAAGAGCAAAGCGATGACTCCTCAAGTACAGGGCCACCGGAGACTATACTGTTGACAAGTTCAGACAACAGGAGCATTATCCTACAGCACATATTCAAGGACGAGGATACGAAGTGCGTAAATTTTCCTATTCCCCGTCCAAACCACCAATATAAACGCCTAAGCAGATGTAATGCAATAACCATCCCGACGACGACGATGATAATGACGATGAGGTATGTACGCTCAAGACCCTCTTCTCCCGGAAAATCAAACCTTCCAAGCCAACCTGCCAATGCAAACCCCAACCATCAATCTCGCGGCTGTATGATACACAGACACAACACAAAATACATAGACAAGACTCCATAGTTCTTGGGCAAAGTCCATTGGCCTCTCCTCCTTCCTTTCCTCTCTTCCAGGTCGTATAAAATCCTTTCAACGGAATTTCCATGAGATAAAAGCCCCATTCGGTGTGGTGTCAACCACTCCCATTCTTCCTCTTCCCCCCCCCCGCCCTCCTCCAGTTCAAGGAAGCTTCCTCGTAGGAAACCGTTCCTGAGTCCACCGATTCGCCCTTAGCCTCGCTAACTTCTCCGGCGAGTGCGCAAAACTATTATTCCCTCCACTGACCCTGCTGTTCTCCTGTTCACTCTCCTCACCACTCTGACTCCCTCCCTGAGCGCCCGTTGTCGTGATATGAGAGTGACGGTCTTTCTTACCAGGACTGCTCTGTCTAATCATCCTTTCTGCCAACTCCCTCTGCTCCAACGCTGCCATCTCACGCGAGTTGCGTGGCGAGCCGACGTACCCTCCGTTGGGGCCCTCGTTAAGCAGGTATGGGTTGCGCTTCTTGAGGGGGGAGTTCATGTGTGTGTAGACGCCCAGGCTTCCGCCTAGCCCGGGAGCTTGGGCTGTTGAGGGAGGGGGGAGTGAGGGTTGGCTTAGTTGGCTTACTCGGGTCGGTTGGCTGCTTGTGGTTGATTGGGTCGTGGTGAAAGAACTGTTGGTGCTGGTACTGGCGAAGGAGCTTGTGAAGGAAGGGGTTTTGTTAGTGCTGGCGTTGGCATTAGTCACAGAGGGAGTGGATGGGTCTGTGTTGGTGCTGGTGGTGCTGGTACCGGTTGAGGTTGTGGTTGTGGTGGCAGCGTTTTGGCGGAGCATGGTCTGCCGGAGATGCTGGGCAAAGGTCGGCTTAGATGGAGTGAAGGGGTTGACGGGAGGTTTGGGGGGTGTGAAGAAGTTCGACGAAACCGACTGCTGATAAGGCCGTAGCGGTGTGGGAGACATCGTGGTGCGCGTCACGGGGATCTGGCCATCAGGGTCGATGTGGCGGACGTAGTTGGGGTTCGGGTTGGGTTGGAATGACCGGCGAATGAGCGTAGAAGGCGTGCCAAGACGAACATCCTCTTCCTTGATCTTGCCGTCACTGATAGACACCTGGGTCCCGACCTCACGGTACACAGGGTGCAGCCTGGGATGAACGAACTTGACATCATATTCATGCATAACTTCCCTTTGGATAATGGCAGTGTCTTTAGCCTGCTGAGCAAAGCGCAAGTGGAAGAGCCAGAGCTGGGTTGACAGGATGACCTGCAGGAGGATGCACTTGAAGACGGTCATGCTCGGGCGCGGGTCGAGGGTCGGCAGAGGTAGGAAGAGCATATGGATGAGGACGTGGCCAGGGCTGAACAGGCAGAACATGCGCAGCGTCGCAGGGAAGGGGTCCCAAACACGCAGCTCCCAAACATCGCGCGACGGGTCGGGATGTGCACGCTGATCCGCCGTCTCAGGGCGGAGGATGGTCTGAATGAGCCGCACGGGGGTCGACGCGGAGGGAGTCGAGTCGACACGAACGCGCTGCGCCGACGGAGTGCCGGGTCCATTAGACTCAACACTCATCTCGAAGAGGCGGTATGTGCGCTTGCGCGTAATTGCGTAGAAAGCGTTCAGGATGGAGATCGTGATCAGAAGCCACTGGAGGAAGTTGGCCTGGAGCGCATGCTCGTTAGGAGCTGGGACATCCTGAAGCTGCAAAGATCGAGACGGGACGGGCACTTACCACAAGCGTGAACCAACCGCTAGCCGGCGCATCGCCAAAGACATCATCGAAGGCCTCGCGTGTGCCGCCAGTGTTGGCTCTCGCAATAAGAAACAGAAAATTGGCGATCAGGCCGAAGCGCGTACCGAAGGCGATCGAGTCCCAGTCGAAGGTCTGAATCTCCTCAGAGAGCCACAGGTAGAAGTCCATGGGGTTCAGGATCTGGCGAATTCGCTCGCGCAGCGGCAAGCGCCGCACAAGGCGTTGAGGTCGTGGGGGCATTGTATTGAGGTTGCCTGCAGGATTCCCTAATTCAAGAGTTGTGATCGGATTGCTGAGCGCGCTCCTTCACGCGCGCAGTTGTTTGTTTGCTCAGGTCAAGTGCTCATGGAATGGGTGATGGCAAATCAGAGCAAGAAAAAATTCCGATATTGATTGAAATGTGTTAATTTAACCCTCGTATGTTCTGTTCGAGAAGAATCGCAGTGTTTGCGTGATGGGCTTAGGGAGGTCGAGGGAAAAAGTCAAAGATGTCACCGCAGGTTTGAAGTTTTGCGTCGAACTGTTTTTGTTGTTCTTGATCGTTGACGTCCCTCTGGCAGCAGCTCGAGGCTCCACTGGCCAATTGCCCCACTCCGCTGCAGCTTTGCCTGGAAAGCTGCCTGGGCGCTTGGACAGGGGTTAGCGGAGCATCCTCGCTGCGGCGGGGTCTTTCATCGCGTCATGAGCGTACGGGCTGTCTCCAGGGTTGGGGTTGACAGTTGGTTGGACAGGACTGGCTGCTTGCCGCCAACCACGACTTCCATCCATTTTGATTGTCGTCCCGTCGCTCCAACGACCGTTCTTGGCCATTGGGCACTCCTTTGGATAAACTAATCTGGTCGATTCCCAAAGCCGTTGTCATCGAATCACCCAGATCATTGCTCCGGACATGGCGTCGCAAGCCGACTACAAGGACAGACAGTTCCTGGCCGTGATAGGCGACGAGGCATGCCTTTCCTCCAAGATACTTTGCAGCGTCAAGATAATCAAACTGACCATTGCGCGCTTAACTACAGGACTCCGTCACGGGTCTGCTTCTTGCTGGCATTGGGGTGAGTCTGAGCACTTCTTGGGACCTTCGATCCCCTACAAGAGCAGTCGAGTTGACACTTCCATAGCACGTCACTCCACCGCCCGACAACCAAAAAAACTTCCTGATCGTCGACTCTAAGACAGAGACCTCCGTCATCGAGGCAGCCTTCGACAGGTTTACCAAGGAGAGGAAAGACATTGGCATTGTTTTGATCAATCAACATGTTGGTCGCCCTGTTACCCTTCTTATCAGCAAGGGCCCGTTTTGTTGAACACAAGCCTGACATTACCGCGCCTACAGATCGCAGACCGGATACGCAACCGCATTGACACCTACACACAAGCCTTCCCGGCTGTTCTCGAGATCCCGAGCAAAGATCACCCATACGACCCCGAGAAGGACAGCGTGTTGCGCAGAGTGCGCCGCTTGTTTGGAGAATAGATGGCTTAATAACAATCACCTTCGCGCTCCTAAGAAACGCATATGTGTGAAGTGCGTGGTATTGCATGTGGTTGTGAATGTATCCGCGAGACCGTGATACCAGACCATACCATACCTCAGGAACTCCGTCGCGTGCTCCCTCATCAACATGCCATGAGAACCATAATGCTGCGCAAGGGTAAAAGAGAAGGCAGGGCACAACTGCAATAAACTCCGGAAGAACCAGAAGAAGGAGAAAAACGACCAAGCACTCAAGCCAATATCGCTGCTGGATACTCAATCTCAGGAACCGCCCCATTACCCTCTACACAATCCGTCGTTGGGTGATCATGATAAGGATGGTGATGATGAATTGCTAAAGCCATTGATCAATTTACTTAGAGGTCGCCACCAAGGAGGTTGCCAAGCGGGGGCCTGCCAATGGGCTTCGGCTTGAAGTAGACGGTGGCAGTCAGGCAGGTAATGTGCTCGTCGTCCTTGCTGTAGACGTCGGCCTGGACAATATACCGGCCCTGCTGCAAGTTAGCATCCTCACATATACCGATCGGGATCGGAATCCGCCAGGCACACATACCGGCGGGATCTCCTTGGGCAGGTCGATGGTCTTGAAGATCTCGATCTTGCCCTTCTCGATGGGGCACGTGAGCTCCACGTTCTTGATCTCTTTGCAGAGGTCCGCCTGTGTGCTGATAAGCTTAATGTAGCCGTACCGGACGTCCAGGTTCACGTAGGCGCCGTCCTCGATCGTCTCCTTAACCGTGCCAGTCGCACGAATCACGAGGGTGTCACCACTATACAACACATAGCGTCAGCATGTTTCCTACAATATCGTGGTCAAGGCTGGGCTTGCTTACGCTTGGGGCGGGTTCGGCTCCAGGTTGACTTCCTCGATGGTGATAAGGTCGTTAGAGCGGTCTGGATCGCAGAACTTGAGCGGGTTGTGACCGGGAACGTCAAGCTCGCCGCGCCTGTTGATGCTGAGGGCGTTGGCGCCCGCCGCAATCAGGGCAAGAAATGGTACTGAGAGCCTCATTGTTGACTAGCGAAACGACGTTTCAGTCGTTATCAAAGTGGTGGTGGTGTGAAAGTGTTGATGGATTGCGGGGAACCGCCGTATCTCCACTGGCCTTGTTCTTTCTCTGTGGCTGACAACCCGCGAGCGTCCTGCTTTGAGAACTGCGCTCGCTTGACTAATGCCGCTTGCGGAGAAGAAAAGGTTAGGACACCGCGATCGGTTTTATGCGCCGATTGAGGAAAACTACTGTAGGGAATGCAGGCAGAACAATATGGAAGATGGCGAGGTTGGGGATGATGATGACAGCAGTCAGCCTGCAGCGCCGGCTACGGATCCATTGTCCCAGGACGGCAGTGGCGTTGGGTTGGCTGTGAGCCTGCGTTTGTTCGTTCGTTCGAGAGGCGCTGCGACTGGTTGGCCGGCCACATGGACAGACACACCTGGATGGGGACCCTCCAGTTGCATGCGACAGTGCGTCATGGATGGGCCCCGATGACCAGAACAACAAGAGGCCGCACATTTCAACACCGGAACCCCTTGTTTCCCTGCTCTGCCCAGAAAATCAGGTGTGACTCTTGGCTCCGGTCAGCGAATCATGTGAGCAGACGTCGGGTCTAGCGTTTATGATGCACCAATCAGAGAAATAGCTGAGGAGGACTGGACAGCCCCACGTTCAACCGCCGATGGACGATGACGGGATCTCCATATGGCCCTTCAAGTCGGCTCCAAGAGCTCGAAGCTCGAAGCCAACATGAATCGCGATCGGGAATCTTGCTATGTATCGATTGATATCCATTGGACAGCCTTTGATCTGCATTGTTTATCTACATATAACATACACTACAGAGATAGCACCCTACATAGAAAGCGCTTAGGTGGCATTCGCTCCTCGGTGATACCATGATAAAGGCGAGGAGGAACGTAGTGTCGCACCAGGCAGGAAGATCCGCGCATGCTTTCCCACAAGATCCCAAACTGTTGGCAGCCGGAAAACTGAAAACGGTCGTGACATTTGCACATTGAGCTTTGAGACAGTGAGTTCGCGTCGTATCAATTCTCCAGTGGAGACAAAGCAAGCATCGGATGCTAAGTTTATTTGCGATCCATCATCTACTCATCAGTCACACAAACGTGGCATTGGCCCAGTCTCGATGGCAAAACTGCAAGCTGCAACAACGGCCTTGTTTCAACGCAGCCGTCTTCCGTCCCGGAGACCAGCTTGCGTTTCGATGTGGACCCTCGAAAAGGTTCTTGACCAATGTTGAGCTCATGGAAATCCGGGAAGAAATTGCCCGTGAGCAGTTGGTGACAATGACTTGGGCAAAAGGTTCCTTGAATGAGCATCTGCTCTGACAATGACGATGTTGTATTCGAATTGAAAGGTCAAGACTTTCGAAGAAGGTTTGTCCGCTGTCCCAAACGGATGACAACACCACAACGGTCGCAGACTGGCTTGAACTATGGCTGTTATTAGCACTGTGTACGTACCACACCAACCGCAGGGCGGGCTGCACTGGCTGCCAGGGAGTGCAGTAGGCTTGCCGGGGGAACCTCCTCCTCAGCCGGCTCCCTTCGTAATCAAACCCTCTGTCGTCTGCCGCCAGATTTGATTTTTCCAGCTTTCTGCTTTCTTTCATACCTGTCTCGGCTTATTTGGCAGGCTCAAACAATACCAGTCCTTCTGAACTTTTATCTCATCCATCCAAATGGCTCGTTTTGCCCCTATTTCGCTCTCGTGGTCGGCCAGTCGCCAGCTGCATCCAGGACTCTTCGTTCACCCAGGGGTCGATCTCACTCGGTGATCATCTCCATGAACATCAACCTCACACATACTTACCCTTCCCTCAACTGGTTTGTCCCTCTTCCCATCATCACCGACGACACCGACTTTGATGATTCATGCACGACAGGCGCAGGTCGCTGCTGACAGATTGCAAAATTGTTTTCCCCTCCCCCCCCGGCACACTCCCCTCGTTTGTTGGGCTAGGCCCTGCGTTGGTTTTTTTGGCCGAGTCGAGGTATCTTCTTATCAGCACTGACCGGCGCCTTAGCCAATCAAGCACGCAGCAAGCTTCTGCTGGGCCCACCACAGTTCCCGGCCCCTAGCTTCGCGCTCGGCGCTTCAACAGCGCTCGAATTGATGCCTGGAGCTTCAGGCATCAGGCAGCACAGCAGCCGGCTCGTGCCCACAGTCCACAGCCCAGCAAGTCAGGGCAGTGCGCGCACAGTGGAGAATTCTGTTCGGGGTTGGATTCGTTTGTTCAATTTCTCACGCCCAACGAAATCGTCGAAACGAGCGTGCTCGGGCGACCTGCGGTGCGCGCTGCGCTGTCTACGTCCAGTGCGCTTGGAGCTCTCTCATCGACCTCGACTCATCACCTCATTGCGATACCGTCCCTTGCTTTCATTTCCTTCGCGATTCCGTTAGCACTGCACGCACAAATGAGCAAGAAGACGGCAGTCAAGTCGATGCGTTGCGCTTCTTGCGAAATTTCCCCAACTTTGCTGGGGAAAAGAAGGCACAGCAACCCCTAACTTCCAATCTCAGTTCCCTCGGGCCAGTCCAATCGCACAGTAGCAGGGCTCTGCAAGGCAAAGCCGTGTCTTGATTGGCCCGTGCCCGCACATTCCCTCTCCGTCCCTTTCTGTGGGCAACAATCCCGGTCGCAGCAGCGCCCTTGACCACAACAGAAGGGCCCCCCCCCCCTCTCCTGGTCCCCTCTCTCCCATTGAGAGTCGCAGCCCGCAGCAGCCCGTTCTGGGGCCTGGGGACTGATGAACGCAGCACTGCGTTGCGCGCACGGCGGCACCCGCTGTTCCAGTTCTCTCCCAAACTGCCCTGCCCACTGCCCGCCGCCCGCTGCGTTTCTCAGGTCTTCGCTCTTCCAGTTTCTCTCGCTCTCTCGCTGCCAGCCCGTGTTGTGGGCCCCCCTCTCTTCCGTACTTTCCACTCTGACCCTCTCCTCCTTCAAACTCTTTCCTTTCCCTCACCAATCCTCCATTTTTTTTCCCATTTTTCGTTTTCACACCCTTCGCGTCCCCCAATCTTCTCGTCGACCTCCCCCAAAATCCAAGTTGAGTTTCGCCGTCCTCGCGCCCGCCCACTACTGCGCCCGCGCCTGATCGATTCCGTACCTCAATCTTTCTTTGTCGTCGAGGGTTCGTCTCCTCCTCTCTCTCTTCGCCTCTTCATGTCATCTTCCCTCTCGCATTGTCTGTCCCGTCTCGCCCTGCCCTGCTGTGACCACGTCACCGTCGCCACAGTTCCCTCTCGAGATCACTCGGCCTAGCAGAGTCCCGCGTCCGCGTGCAAATCTTTCCTTTGCACGTGCGACTCGACCAACTCGACCGGGCTGCATCTCGACCAAACCTCCCGCCGTCTCTTGTGGTTTTGTGATTTAGGGTTAACCAACCTCGCAAGCTTAGATCCCCTCTTTATCGCGACTCATCTCGCCGCCGTTTTCGAGTCGACGTGTCCTTCTCATCCGCCTTCCGACCGAGCCGACTAAGCCGAACAGAGCCGAGCGAATTGAGCATTGAAGCAATCGAGCCGCCCGTGCCCTCGACCTCGACTGCGTGTAGCGTCGCAAACAGCGCGTCCTGGACGACAGCCGCCGGATGACGCTCTCGCCGTCATCGCTGGTCCTGGAATCGCACGCAGCTCGACTTCCTTCCTCCCCCTTCTCGCGTCAGATTGCGCGGCCAGTATGCCCAATCTCAGACCGGACAGATAAATCGTCTGCACCGTTTTGCCGCCACCCGGCCGTCGCAAGGCTCCCTTCAAGATTATGACAGAAAAGTTGCCCCCGCTGTCGACGCCGATCGCGCCCCCTAGTCAGTCTGCTGCTGCCTCTTTACTTCCGAGCGTCGTCGCTGCCCGAGATACCGCTCGAAAGCAGGAGCTGGCGGTAGAAGAGGAACCGTACACCATCAAGTGTATTTGCAACTTCACTGACGATGATGGAAACACAATATACTGCGAGACGTGCGAAACATGGCAGCACATCGAGTGTTACTACCCCGACAACATCGACGATGCTCTTCGGGCAGACTTCGCGCACTCCTGCGTAGACTGCGAGCCGAGGCCGATTGACCGCCAGCAAGCGATTGAACGCCAAAGTGCTCGTCTCGCCGGCGCTCTCCTCGAGGAGGCCGCCGCCGACAAGAAAGCCAAGCGTCCGCCGTCCAAGAGCAGCAATAAAAAGCGGCCCAAGCCGTCGGAGCTTCAAATAAATGGCGGTGCTCATCACTCTCACGGCGCTGACATCTCCAAGCATACCGGCTCTCACGATAATCCCCCACCCGCGAAGAAGGCCAAAAGCTCTCACAGGCCGAGTCATTCGGTCAGCTCCACAACCGCGAAGCGCAATCCTTCGTATGGCAACGCAAAGGCTGCTGCTACTCACGGTCATCCTCTGAGCCCAGTAACGACCCCTCCTGACCTGCCCGATGATTTCGAGCTCCATGCCTATTCCCCCACTTTTACAGCCCTCTATACAGAGTCGGATGCCCAGCTCGTCTTCTCCAACAGCTTCACCCACTTGCAGGTGTCCAATACCATGTCGGCATGGCTTCGCGATCCGCTCAAGTTGCAAAAGGAAACTGGTTGCTCGTACAGCGACGTGTTCCAGGACATTCCTTTAAACATCGACTTGATTGCCGTCAAGCCTGTTGTAGAGCGTGTCAAGAAGACTATCTCGCCCGACAAGGTCGTCCAGTGGCAGTGCCTGATTGCGCCCAGACCCATTGACAAAGACGTCCCGCTTGTGGAAGTCAATGGCCAAATTGGATTCCAGGCTGCTTACTGCGCAGAACCTTCAAGCAAGTGGGACGAGCTGACATCCCCTCTTCCCTTTGTTCTGTTCCACCCGCTGCTACCTCTCTATATCGACACAAGGAAGGAAGGCTCGGAAGCAAGATATGTTAGGCGCAGCTGCAAGCCGAATGCCATCCTTGAGACGTATCTATCAACCGGCAGCGAGTATCACTTCTGGCTTGTGAGCGACCGCAAGATCGCTGCCAAAGAGCAGATCACGATTCCTTGGGACTTCCGACTCCCCAATGACAGGAAGGCCCGCATCATGCGTGTACTCGGTCTCGAGGATGACGATGATGGCGCGCATACCGAAACGGTCGACGACGAGGAGTACCAAACACTCGCAGCCTGGGTATATCGCGTGCTCACCGAATACGGAGGCTGCGCGTGCAACCTGGGCCCGGAGTGCGCGTTTGCTCGTTTTCACCGAAACCACTTGGCCAAGATCAAGCCTCGGTCAAACCCAGGGCCTACTCTCAAAACGACAAAGAAGCAGCGCAAGACCAAGGCGTCCAATGCTCATTCACCGACCAGCATAGGACATGCCACCAACAGCCGAGCTCCTAGCGAGGGCCGACTCGAGGATGGGACTGAGCTCGATCACCGGTCCGTGTCTAGTTCCTCACGGAGCAAGCCGCCGAGCCGTGACCTGACTCCGACGGCGCGCCACGGCTCATTCGATACCCTCGGGATATTGACGGAGCCGACAGACCGGGATAAGCGGAAGGTCGCCATGGTAGAAGACACGTTTCGCCGGATGGAGCAGCAACAACAGCAGCAGTCGCAGCGGAAGAGGAAGCGTGCATCGGATGGGCATAATGCCGCGAAGGCGTCCAAGACCAGCTCCACATCACATACACCCCATCTCGGCTATGTTGATGCTGCGGCGGGGACGTCGAGGAGCAAGGCTGGTTCGCCCGTGCGCCCAAATCCTGATGGTGCGAAGAGTACGCGGTCGAAAGCTGGCTCTGCTGCCCCTGCTCAAGCTCGCCGTGCTACAAGCGCGCCACAGCCGCCCAAGTACTGCGATGTGGCAGTGCAGACAGATCCAGAAGATCCGCCAACGATATCCGATGCGGTTCCGATGAAGCGCAGGGTAGCTTCTTGCGTGAGCTTGAGGAAGAGGATGCTGGAAAACTGGCACCATCTTCGCGTGGAGGAGGAGATCCGGATTAAACGTCGTGCATCGGAACAGACGCCCTCGGTATCTGCAGAGAGCAACGCAGACCAGGAATCACTTACAGCATCGCCAACAGCAGTGAAGACATCCGACAAAGGGACAACAACAGCTGCTGCTCAGGTTGCGAGTGCAAAGGACGTCGTAATGATCGATACTTCGGCCTTGGCACTGAGTGTTGTGGCAACGCCGAATCCGCTTAAGACCAAGGGCACCGAACTTCGTGTCCAGATGCCCCCTCCGGTGCCGGCCTTCGACAGCCCCACTTCCGCGGTCGCATCCACTCCCGCCCCAGTATTCGGCGGCCCCACAGTCCCACCGTCGCCCTTCTCGACAATCGCCGCTGGTGGCTACGCAAACGCGTTCCCTCCGCCGGCGGTCAATGGCGTCACCGCGACGCCTAGTCCGGTCAAGAAGAAGCTCAGCCTCAGCGATTATAAGAGCAGGATCAAGGCCCGGCCGTCCCTCGGCACTAATGCAGTGAAGCCTCCGACAAACCCAGAGGAGCCCAAGTCAGCCACGAGCGTTGATGCTGGCGGCTCTCCGACAGCCGAGAAGGTTGCTTCCGCGTCAACCCCGACTGCGGTGTCAGCGGCAGCCGATGCCAACAGCCTGAGCGCGGCATCCGGGCCTGTGTAATACTACCTAGGTAGCTATACGCCGATGCTAAACGACTAGCAGGTTTCGGCATCGCCGGTAGCGGTTTGTCGGTTTATGTCTTCTTGATTCAGCGAAGGTCGTTATGGAGGATATTGGGAACCCTTTTATTATTTGCTTTTATTTTGATGGCCCTTTCGTCTTCCCTTGCTCTCATTTTTCTCTCTACTCCTGCTCTGAACACAATTAAAAAGGAGGGGAGGCTGCGGATGATGGGCTTGGCTTTGCTTGGCTTGGTCTGCCAGATGTCTTGTTTTCTCTGTACGGCGGCTTTTGTAGGCTCTAGGCTCGGAATTCGGGATGGAATTTTTCTTGATGCCCTGTGTGGTGGTTATATCGTGTGTGATACTACACTTTACCTACTTACTACCCTTTTATTTTTTTTTCTCCTTGCGTCGTATTCCCCCTTTGGGAAACTGGTTTGATGAAGCGCCGGGTTTTCTTCTTGAGAATGGTAGGGTTGATCTGAAATGGTTGAATCGGTTTGATGAAATGGTCAGATGAATGGATGGATGGATGCGCTGGGTTGATGAAACCGAATCGAACCGATGGATTGGGTTAGGTAAGGTGAATGACGGGTAGGCAGGCTTAGGAAGGGAGCTGGGCTGGTGGGTTGGTTGGTTGGTTTGTGGGTTGGGCTGGTTGGTGATGGCGTTTTTTTTCTCTCCTCTTTATTTCTTTGCTTTCGGTAGGGAAGAAAGGGAAAGGAGAGTTAAACTTTTTAAGGGGTATAGGGTTTTTTTTTCCTTTGATTCGTCGCTTTCTCTACTTGTTTTGACTCGCGGCAACGCGTCTGCCGTAACGCAATGCAATGAAAGAAAAATTATGGGGATTTCGAGAGTGACACTTTGCTGAGCATCTTCTGAAGAGAAAACAAGGTGATGGGCCAAAAAGTGACAAGGGTTTTGAGATGCTGCTAACGGTTTAGGGATTTATATCGTAGGTTTGATGAATGGAATGCGATGATTCAAAGACATAAATAATATGAGTAGTGCTTTGCTCGCGTTTTTTTTTGTCATTGTTGTTCCTCCTTGCGAGACGCTCCCTCCTAACGAAGCAACTTTAAGTGAGGATATACAAACAAGGGGTCAAACACAATCCATCATCCTTTTTCAACCTCGCCTTCGGATAGGTTGACTGTTTTCTTCCGTCTATAACACTATATCTGCACAAGACTTCCATCCTCAATAACCAAACAATCCTTCCCACTAACCCTATCAACCCTTGCCTGTCTACCCACCCCCCTCAACCCCCTCTTTCAACCTTCCTAATTCTCATGATCATTTCAATCCCCAAAATCCAACCCCATAACCTCCCTCATCCCCCCCACAACCCGCCCAACCCCCCTCCAGAACCAGACCACGCCTCTCATACCCCAAATCGTTGCTGCCATCGCCAGGAATATGAACATACCCGCCCCGACAAGCCGCCACTAGTCCTACCAGGTGAGGTGTCCCTGTCCGGAGTCGAGGCGTTTGCGTAGGTCGGAATGGGGGTCGAAGACGGGTTGGAGGAGGGAGTAGGTTTGTAGAGTGAGGTGGCCTAGGAAGAGGAGTGTGGAATAGGTGAAGTGGACGAAGATTTGGGTTAAGGTCGCAGGGGGGTCTGCAGTTGGTTCGGGAGGGGGGTTGGAAAACGATTGTTTGGGGTGGAGTTTGCCTTTTCCTTTTGGTTTATGCTGCTGTTGTTTCTGTTGCGCTTGATTCTGGTTTTTGGGTTCCTTGTCTTTGGGTTTGTCTTCTTGTTCTTCTTCTTGTTCTTCTCCTTCTCCTTGTTCTTGTTCTTCTTCTCTGCCTTTGTCACCATCTTGCTCCTTGTTTCCCTTTTCGTTTAGTGTTTTGCCCCCTTTTACTTTCTCTCCCTCATTTTTCTTTCTCTCACCGTTGTCCCCCTTTTGTTTCCCCTCCTCCTTTTTCGGAGCTTCTTTCGCCTTAAACTTGTCTTTCTCCTTGGCCTTCTCCTCCTCCTTCGTTTTGGCTGCTGCTGCCTTCACTTGTGTCTCCTGTCCCGCTCCCTGCGTCAAGCCCGGCTTCTGCGCAAACGCTGCGCGCGCGGCGTCTCGAGCCAGCCCCCGATCGACTTGTGCTGCCACAGACGGTACCGCCATGGCAGAGAACGTGTGGCGAGGAGGGGAGGTAGATATGGATGTGGGTGACGTGCCCTTTGGGGCCTTGAATGGCAGGGAAATAGCTGTGCGTGAGATGGGCGGGGGTTGCTGGCGCATGGTTGTCTTTTGCATAACCCATTCCTTGGGTTGTTCTGGAGCTTGAGGCTTGAGTTTCTCTGCTGGTCGTGACTTTGTTTGGTGAGCCTGCTTTTCTTTGTCTGCTTTCCTCTTCTTTGCCTTTTTCTTTTCGACCTTCCCTTTCTCCTTCTTCTTCTTCTCTTCCTGCCTCCTCCCATCCTGCCCCTTTCCCCTTTTCCTCCACGGTATCGCCCTCAACAACATACCACCGCTTTGTCGTGTGCCTTTCCCCTCTTGTCCTACTCCTAAGATCGGGGTGCACACTCGACTCCCACCTCCATGCACAATCATACTCTCCTCCTTCTCCCCCGCCCTCTCCTTTACCTGCATCACTTCCAACTCCTTCAACATCCTCTCCAAATCCTGGGTAACAAGCCTCCGCGAGACGCTCCGTTTCTTGTCTTGAAGGAAACCCGGCCGTGAGTCCGAACAGGCTCTGGTGTATACCCCTGTCCAGGACAGGTGTGAATAATTCTCTCCCCGGTCCTGCGGAGATAGCATTACGTCGGCTGGCATGGACACAGCGCGGGTCTTTACCTTCGTTGGAGTCAGGGCAGAGCTGCTGCTCGGCAAGGATCCGTCTCGACTCCCGTCGAAGGGAGGGGAGTCTTCGGCTGGATAATGGGGAGGAGGAGGAGGAGGAGGAGGAGGGGAGTTGGGTTGTTCGAAGCCAGTAGTGATGATGGTGGGTGTGCAGGCAAATGGGTCTGGGTCTGGGTCTGGGTCTATCCTGTCCGGGTCGTCCCCAAGATTCTCTATCGTTGGTGAGGATGTTCTGATGATGGTGTCGGTGTCGTTTGACTGGCTCAGCCTCTCCAACCTCTCCAAATCTTCCAGCATATTCTCCGCCCACTGACACGCCTGAACCGAAGCCAAGCTGTTCCCCTCTGGCATGAGGCTCCAATCCCTCATATTCCCTGCCATCCATTGGTGTTCTATTTCTCCCCCCTTGCTGTCCTGACGCTGCATCATCTGCGCCCGTTGAATGTCCCTCTGTCTTAGGCTGGGCCACACACAATGTAGAGGCGACAGTACTCTCAAGCTGAGCCGCCTGCTCACCCTCTCCTCTTCCTCTTCCCAGACTTCTTGTTCGGTCGTCGTCGGCGACAACCCCTCTCGCTGCTGATACTGAATAAACGTCGTCATCTGCGTCTCTTGCTCGCTGAAGTAACGGCGGCGGCGGCGGTGACGACCGCGGCGCTCGACCACCCTCGCCACCGCCGCCAAGCCTAAAAAAGAAGTTTCCGTGGGTCTTGTAGCGGCGCTCTGACGACGGGAGTGTTGCTGTCCACCGCTGGGACGTCTTGATTCAGGTAAAGACCCCGGGATGGGTGTTAGTGTTGAGGTGCCGCCTGCGGGAATGGATGACCATTCCCCCTTGACACGACGCCACTTGATGCCTTGCTCCTGGAGAACTTCGCGCATGGCCTCTTTGCGTTTTTCGGCTCGTAAGATGCGTGCTTGCTCGCGACGCCAGCGGCGCTCTTCTTTTTCAGCTGAGCGGGTTTCCCTGCTTTTGGGCTTCAGGCCTAATGCGGCCATGCCCATCTCCGCTAAAGTTCTTACCGGCTTCTCCTTTTTGCTGGTGCCTACAGCTGTCTCGGAGTCTGATGAGGATAGCGACGAAGTGGTGATTACAGAGGACGAGCTTGTCGGCGGAGTGATGATGTCGGGCTCTCCTGTTTCTGGATTGACTCCCGTCACGCCGAGGAAGTCGCCGCTCTCCCTGAGACTTCGCCGCTGTCTGCGGGCCTGGCGTTTGGCTTCGAGATAGGCTCGCGCTGAAGGGGACGAGAGGTCGGAGACTGGGGAGGTTGGTGCAGCCGGAGCTGAGGCTATGGATGAAGGTTCGGTCGCTGGAGCATCTGATGGTGACATCGGCGAGGAGATGCTAACATCCGGAGTTTGCGATACTGTACGTCGAGTTCGCACGCCTTGATGTTCGTGGCTTGGGCTTTTAGGTTGCCAAGGACGGGGGCCCAGAGAGCCATCGGTAACTCTACCTGACCTGTTTGGGACACATATCGCATCTGGCCAGCGAGCGTTGACGGGCTTTCGCTGGATGCTCGACCGCCGGACGCTGCTTCTTCGGCTTCTAGACTCTTGAGAGCCCATTCTGGAGGTGGTCACATTGTCCGATTTCGCAGGGGGAGCTTCATCCCGGCTGGTCCCAGAAGGCTGCTGGTCTAGCGTCCGTGATATGTTCTTCTTCCTTTTCTCATCATCAGTTTTCACTTCAGCACTAGCTATCCGACACTTTGTCTCTTCTTCCCTTTGCTTATACCTAGCATCTTCAACAACGGGCAACCTGTCAGGATCCTCTAAGCGATGCGAGTCGCTTGAGGGAGGAAACGATCGAAGAGTTCCTCCCCTCTCAGGCCTTTGACTCGGACGCAGCTTGTTGAAGAAGCCCGCTATGGACGTCCAAGATTTGGAGATAGCGCGACGGTTGAGCGGTGGTGGGTTATGCAATCCGGTGCTAGGGTTTGAAGCGGAGCGGAATGAAAGCATTGTGAGCTGGGGCTTCTTCCCGGGGCCAGCGTCATAATGTGATGAAGACCGCGGTTTGTTACTGTGAGACGATGTCCTTTGCTTGGAGGAACGTGGGAGGGACTTGCGGGCTGGAGATGGGGGATAGATTGAAGATGAAGGCCTGGTGACGGACGGCTGTTCAGTGTGACCATGACTGTGGCTTCGAGTACGGATGTCGCCGGCGGATGGAGCCATGTCGTCTTTTGTCTGTCGATCGATCAGAGGATCTTACATGTCATTGCTAGTCTGAAGTAACCGGCTTTCATGTACATGATAACTCATCCATACAACGTTAGAGACGACAAGTGAACCGGAGGGCTACATGGATAAATTGTAATGCATCTATGAATGTTTTGATGGGCGATATGCTCAAGGGTTCGATATGACATAGCCCTCCTGTCGTGATGAGGACATGTTCTGAGAAACTGGCAAGGAGCAATGGCTCGGAGGATGTATCTGGGAAGACCGATCCCGAAGTCCATCCTAACCCTGAGTACCGTCTTCATTGCAATTCTACTTGGCATCGAACTAATCAAGTACTCTGCAGGCTCCTTCCTCTCACTGCCCCGTGATAATCTACGGAGACCAGGAACCATCTTTCCCAACTTTCTCAACTCCTATCTCACACGTGCCTCCTTGACAGTATAGTTTACTACGGGTTGTAATGCCACAATCATCCGAGTAGAATAGACTCAGCCTCTGTATTTCAGATCTGACCAAAATGATTATTCCAGTGATGGAGCAAGCAATGCATTTTCCAGACCCTCTTTTCACAGAGATTCAATATGAACGGTCACCAGCTTGCATTCTTCCATAAGTGTAAAACCTCCAAACACTTTTCTCCTCTTTCCCTTCCAGACATCCCAGACGTTGCTATCATTATTGTTCGTAGTTGTGCATTCTTGCAAGGCTCCACGGAGAAAGAGATAGTTAGAACCAAAAAAAAAAGAAAAAAAAGTCGAAAATACTTCATGGACAGATCATTCGAATTCCCATCTCTTGGATGACGCGGCCAACCCGTGAGCGAGATGTGACGTGCAACTATCGGGGTGTTACATGTGATAGATGCATGTAAGTGGTGCGACACCAGCAGGGGAGCAAGCCAAAAGCTAAGTTGAAGCGAAGGCCTCTTTCAAGCTTTTGGAGACTGAAAACAGAGTTGATGTGTTACATGAATTTACATTTCCGTCTTCTTTAACGCTTTATTGACTGCCATATCATATCGCTGCCGCTATGCGGCTCGCTCGTCGTCACGCGTCATCACGGTGGTGAAGTTGGTGCCGTTAAGGGGACCCCCACTTTTTGACGGCTAAATAAAATCCCCAGCCAGGAACGGAGCTCCCGTTCCACAAAGTTCCATCACCACCGATGCAGATGGGAACCGCCAGATGGTTCGTGTTATCAGTTGCCTTGTTGACACGGTGGTTGCACTTTGAGAAACTCTGCGGTCACGAGACTTAAATCGGCAGCTGCTGCCAGATCTGCTTTTCTAGTTGAGATTGAGAAGCTTCGTTTGGAAACTGGCAGTCCGGCACTGGCCCTGGCACTCGCGCCACTTTCGCTCGTTTAATCTCGGATTCCGGGACGAAGTCGACGGAAAGAAAATAAAGAAAGGCAGGACTAAGATTAGGCCTGAGAGGACTCTCACTTTTGGAGAATCACTTACTTGCCACAGGCCGAATATCGAATATACAACTTCCTGAAGTCTGAACTTCATATATGCTTAGCACCAGCTTTGCTATCAGCTCACGCGCTGCGACGTAGACTCTAAGGCCCACGGCCTGATGATCGAGCTCGCCGATTCTTAGCACACCAAAACAGATATACCGACAATATGTGGCTCACTCTTCTGCTAGGCCTCCTAGGCTTCCTAAGCCTCTCCTTCCAGGCGCAGGCCTTTTACATCCCCGGCTGGTCGATCCGCAGCTACGCCCCGGGCGCTCCGATCCCACTCCTCGTCAACAAAGTCTTCTCGGACCGCACGCAGCTCCAGTTCGCCTACCGCGACTTGCCCTTCGTCTGCCCGCCGACCGGAACCCGCCGTGCGGTCGGCGACGGCCTTTTCTCTGGCCAAAATATTCCACTTAACCTGGGCGAGGTGCTCCGCGGCGACCGCATCACCGTCTCGGACATGGAGCTCCACATGCAGCGCGACACGCCCTGCACACTGCTTTGTCGCAGGGAGGTCTCTGCGCGTGATCTGCGCCGCGCTAGGGATATGGTGCGCGAGGGGTATGCGGTCGAGTGGATTGTGGATAATCTGCCCGGGGCAACCAGTTTTGTCACGGCCGACAAGACGAGGAAGTACTATGCTGCCGGGTTCAAGCTGGGCTATGTCGAGCCCGGCCCGTGGGGCGACAAGGGCGCGCGTTACTTCCTGCACACGCACCACTCCATTGTGATCAGGTATCGCAAGGCCCCCGGCAAGGCGGGCGACCGCGGGGAGATGGTGATTGTCGGGTTTGAGGTGTACCCCAAGAGCATCGCTAAGGACGAGAAGAGGGATGAAAAGGGGTGTCCCGAGGATCTGAATCTGATCACCCGCAAGTTTGAGCTGACGGACATTAGTGAGGACGATGATCGGAAGTATACTATTCCGTATACTTACTCGGTGTTCTTCAGGGAGGAGAACAATATCGAGTGGCGCAATCGCTGGGATTTGTACTTTGTTAACCAGGAAGATACGGGGAGGGTTCACTGGATGGCCATCATCAACTCACTGTTTATCTGCGCCCTGCTGGCTGCCGTCGTGCTGGTTATCTTTGCGCGGACCGTTCGTGCTGATATCAGTCAGGGGCCGGCGAAGGACGGCAAGCCTCGAAAGGCCAAAAGCACTGGACTCCTCGAACAGCCTGGCGAGAAAGGAGGTCTCGTCGAAGCCGACGAGGCTAACGCCGATCTCTCGGACGACGAGGACCCCCTCGACATCACCGGCTGGCGACTTCTGCACACCGACGTCTTCCGTCCCCCGCGCTACGGCTACCTTCTCGCGCCCCTCGTCGGCTCCGGCACACAGCTGCTCTTTATGGCCATCGGCCTGATCCTCCTCAGCGCAATCGGCGTCCTCAACCCGAGCTTCCGCGGCGGATTTATCAGCTTCGCCGTGGGGCTGTTCGTGTTTGCAGGCCTCTTCTCGGGCTACTTCTCCGCGCGCGTCTACAAAACCTTTGGCGGCCGCGACTGGCACAAGAACATGACCGTCACGGCACTGCTCTTCCCAGGCTTACTATTCGCTGCGGTCTTTGTGCTTAATCTCTTCGTCTGGGCCCGCGCATCCTCCACAGCCATCCCATTTACCACCCTCATCGGCATGCTCGCCCTGTGGCTTGGCGTCCAAGTCCCCCTGGTCTACCTCGGCGCCCGGTATGGGTACCTTAAGGCTGGCGCGTGGGATCATCCCGCCAAACCAGCCTCTATCCCCCGCCAGATCCCCTCCCAGCCATGGTACCTCCCCCGCCCCGGCTCCTTAGCGGATATTCGCACCGCCCTACTCGCCGGCGCCATCCCATTCGCCGTCATCTTCATCGAGTTGCTGTTCGTCTTCCAGTCCGTCTGGCAGGACAAGAGCGGGTACTACTACATGTTTGGCTTCCTGGCCATCGCCACCGCCATTCTTTTGATCACTGTCGCCGAAGTGAGCGTGGTCGTGGTATATGTCATGCTCTGCGCGGGCAATTACCACTGGTGGTGGCAGAGCTTTTTGGTTGGTGGCGGGAGCGCGGTGTGGGTTTTTGGCTGCTCGGTGTGGTATTACTGGGCGAGGCTGAATATTGAGGGAGTCGTGAGCAGCGTGTTGTTTTTCGCGTATAGTGCTGTAGCGTGCTGCGTGTATGGGCTGTTGACGGGGACGGTCGGGTTTTTGGGCGCGTATGCGTTTGTTAGGAGGATATACGGGTAAGTTCACTCCCTCCTCCCCTCCTCCTCTTACCCCCCCCCCCCAACCCTCCCCCAATCCCAATAACTATCTTTGTGGTTGAGCGCTCTGAGGCTGACTGGTTACAGAGTGATAAAGCAGGACTGATTGTGAGTGGCTGCTGACGGCTTCATCGGTATGTTCTTTGCCTCGAGGTTTTACATTGATGAGTAGCGTAACATTGTCTGGCATGGGCGGCGTTGGGCTGTTTTTGTTATATATTGTATGGTTCTGCCGCTCTCACTCTATTGGCGTTCTCAGGAGGGTCTTGCATGTTGGTAGGTATTGGTAGGGCATAGGGTAGGAATAAGTTTCTTTGAAGCCTTTGTTACGGAGAATTCTGAGAGGGTAGTCTTGATTGAAGTATGGCAGAAATAGCTGAAATATTCATCAAAGTTTTTTTTTTTTCTCAAAGCATCCCTTTCAACATATGGATAATAATGAGCACTGCACTTGATTATTTACATCAGGGGCCAGAGAAAGATCTCGGGTAAATTGGTTGGGCTTACGGGACTTTTTAAGGACAGGAATTTAAGGCTCAAGATTCGGGTACGGTAACCTTTGGGTTGAGACCCTGACTCGCTGCGGCAGCTCCGCTTCTTGGTGTCCACCGCCGGGTCCCCGTGAAGCCTGAAGATTGGATCCCGCTTCAACCTCAACCTGGGTCCGACCTGAGGCAACGAATTAGTCAACTTGACCTCGACAACAAAAGCCCCTTGTTTCTGGGCAGCATCTGTCAACGATTTTATCGTCTAGGTAATCTTCATTCAGCAAAGACCTGGCTCTACCTACCTAGGCAGTCTTGAACTCATCCAGCTACATAGGCTCAAGATTGACAAGCTCATCCCTTACTTATCTCCATCCAGCCTAACAGGCCAAAACTCCAACTTCATTTCTGACATCGACAGATACTAAATAAAGAAAAGAAAGAAAGAAAGAAGAAAGAAAGAAAAGAAAGACAAGAAAATGCCTCTCACCCTCCAGCTCCGCCGCACCTCCCCTTGGGACCCCCCAACCCCTCTCGACCACCTCCTCACCTCCCCCATCCAAGGCCTGACTTCGTTTTTCTACCATCGCATCCTCCTTCCTCTCCAAGGCACACCAGCCGGAGTGCGATATTATCATTATTACTACCCTTCCGTGGTGCACAACCGTGTCTCTTCTCCCAAACCAGACCATGGGGGTGATAAAATCAGGATTGTGTGTCTCTCGGATACACATACCAATACATTAAAAGAAGGGGGTATCCCCGAAGGGGATGTCCTCATCCACGCCGGCGATCTTACTAACGAGGGGACACCCGAAGAAATTAACGCCCAACTGGACTGGTTGAGGGGACTGCCGCATCAGTGGAAGGTTGTCGTTGGGGGGAATCACGATAGTGGGTTTGACCCTGGGACGGGGGTCTGTCGAACTGAAGAACTGAATCTAGGAGACGAAGGGGGATTGATATACCTCTGTGAGGGGGGGGGTTGAGCTAAAAGTGAAGGGGGGGAAGAGGGTTGTGAGGGTTTGGGGATGGGGGGCTGTGCCGAGGTGTGGGGAGGGGTTTGCGTAGGTTCCCTGAAAACTAACACACACACACACACACACACACACACTCTCTCTCTCTCTC